AGATCTGCGACACAGCGACGCTGCGACACCACACCACGCCATCCTCCCAGGTGCCCCTCCACGATGATCTTCTCGACTAGGTGCCACCATAGTACATGGAACGAACTCCAGATGTGGCTTGCAAGCCAGATGGGGTTTGGGGCCACCTCACCTGTCCAAACGACTCCAGAGCCACGAGGTCTTTGCCGTTTTGAGGTGTCAAGGCCCAACTTCCTACTCGGAACTAGATTTGACATTTTGTTGGCGTCCCTACCTATTCCGCTCATCTGGAATCATCGCAGCACCACAAACAGTGTGCCCCCTGTTCTCTCTTTTATTGGATACCCCTGAGTGGGTGAGTGAGTTTTCTGACCAAGACACACACACTGCTACGAGACCACCACAACGACGCTCCTTCGATGGCAAAAAACAATTCCTCTCTGACAAAGCAAGACTTACGAATATTTCAGGGGGGGATGGTTCTATTATGTTGTTCTTTTCTTATTCCTCCCGTGGGAGCGGCGCATGGCTGACATGACCCACGTGCGCGCGCGGGAGTCTATGGTAGTACCGTGCTTTGCATACTTGCGGTAAGTCAATGCTGACAGCAGATTGCACAGCAGCTGAGCCTCAGCCACCACAGGGCGGAACCTGTCGCCGTTGAATTTTATTTTATTATTTTTGACCTACAATCCATTGCGTCTTTTGTTCGTCCTTTATCTTGTCTCCAGTCTGCCCTAGGTCTTGGCCTTGCATGGCAGGGCCTCGCCCCACACCAATCATTCATGACAATCCTGCGGCGTCTTCAACCGTCACAATCAGACGAAAGAAACCCTCCTGGCCACAAGATGATAAACACTATACATAGTAGGTAAGTGCGTGTGTACCAATCGGGACTTGGAACACTGCTCTGCAGCAAGGGCCTGCAGAAAACGAACAAGCACGCACGCACGCACGAGATCAAGGCAACAACTTCAGATGCTTTGTGTTCTAGCGTCCACTCAGGGCTGAACTTGATCCACCCAAGACAGTACTATACTAAGTACTCACCAGAGTCTAAGTAGGCCAGGAGGTCTCTTCCAAACCCCCGGGTCAGGCTCAGACATGTCCTGAAATTACCACCTCCATGTGCCATCGTAACCGAGGCGGTGGGGTCCAGAAGTCTAGCCGCCCTCCCATATACGTACTACTGATGCTTTTCTGTGCTTTGTCCTAGTAGCATGGCTTGAAGCAGGGACCGCAGGAGGGCCTCCTCGCCCCAATTACTGCAACTCCACATATTATTTGCCTGGGGCCAAAGGGATCTCGCCTCGATTGTACTTGCTCTTATCACGCACAAGCCATCTCGCTCTCTTCATCATCGCAACATCTCGCTCCACCTCCTCTCATCTTCGCTAATCTCTTCAAATCTATCACCCCAAGCGGCATTCCCTTCGATGATTCATTTATTATCATGTGTCTGGCCCATTTCATCACAGAAAAGCTTGTGCCGCCAGGGCCCCAATTTCTTTTACCCAATCCGGACCCAATATGAGCCGACGTGATTTTATTATACCGGGCTCCCGTGTTTCATCTTGACAGTGTCTCATTTTATTATGCTCTCAGCACTCCCCAGCGCTGCCGGCCTGCGAGAGCCTAAGAAATCTCCCAATCCTTCAAATGACCATCAACACAAAATGAACCCCATACCTGCCCGGTCTAGTCCGTCCATTCTCTTGTCCAGTCGGTGTACAGACCGTGCAGTCAAGTCAAGGCAAGGGGGAAGAGGGTCGCCGCTGCGGTGGTGAGATTGGCGGTTGCTTTCGTTTATGTACGATGACGCCACCCCCTCATAACGATGCGCAACATCGATAGACAGCTGCGGTTTCGAGGCCGGTGAGTAAAAAGCCAAGAAGAGTCCCTCGCACGTAATATGGGGCCCCTGCATAACCGTGGTGTCCCCTCCCTCCTCCCAAGATCTTCTTCTTCGCTTACCGCAGGGCCTTGTCGCCGCACGGTCCGGTCACCAGAACATTGTGCCGTGTGCATTCTACCCAGGTAACGTAACGTGTGTACCCTGAGCCTGCGCCGCAAGCTGCGGTCGTGGCTGATGTAATCGTTCACCATGGCTGCCGCTCACTTGCCTGGCTCCTCTTTGGACAAGCCTCCAAAGGAGGGGGGGGGGGGGACTTTTCTTACTTTTTCTTCATCAGACTGTCTTTGAATTTACTGGACCAAAAGCAAGTCTGCATTCTGGCTCTGCTTTTGGAGCCGGCTCAATAGTACGAGAAGCTGCCGGCCAAGGGGGTCCCACGAATCTCACCGCGATGCGCCTGCCGTGCCGAATGAAAGCTTTGGGCAGAGCCACTTGCTACCGATTTCAAGGGCAGACGAGGGCGGACGAGAGCAAGCGAGTGCATCATTTCTCTTCGTTTCTGCTCTTCTGAAGGGGTGGAGAAGAAAAAGGGGAGACAGAAAACAGGGGGCCTCGAGTCGTCCTCTGTTGCGGCGAGGTGATCTGTGGGCACTCCGATGAGGCAGCCCATGCCTTGGCTGATCGGATCGGCCTCCGCTCCCTAGCAGGCGTTTGAGGAGACAAGAATGTAGTCGAGTACCTCTTGATTCAGTGCGTATTTATCTCAGGGAGAGGACGTGGAGTGTTTGACCCAGTGCCTCTGCGTTCATGGGCTCTCAGCTGGGTACTCCCTCATAAAATTCTTGTTGAGCATGTCAATGGTGCAGCTCCCAGGCAACATCACCAAAGCCCACGAGAAGCAAATGGTTTACGGCTTTTTCTCCATTCTATCGTGGGTGAGAGATTCTAGAGTATGATGTAAACTGTCTGTACGTGTCTTCGGGTCCCAATCCCAGACATGAAAGTAACGTAAATATCTATGCTCTAATGTGTATGAGAGTTTGATGGAAAAAAAATTCGAAAGGAGGCAATATTCGAGTCAACCTTCGGCATTCGACGAGAAAAGGCACGGCTGTGACCATCTGACCTTTTGTATCCTCGAGTGCCCACTGTCCCCTCACTCACAGGTTTTACAAGAATCATGAAGTATGGAGAGAAAACAGCTCTGCTGGGAAGGTTTTGTGTCCCCGTTTCAGGGTAGATTGACCAAGGTTTTAATCAACAGTCACACCATAGGGGAATGCTCAGAGACAAGTAGGGTACACTTTCAATTCAAGAAGTACAATGCCAATCTCACCTACATTGACTGGATTCAAATTGAACATGATGAGTAACGTTTCAAGAGAAGTCATTCTCTATCAAGCTCTAGTAGGATGGCAGGCAAGGAGGAAAAGCAAAGAAAAGAGCAGAGAGTAAGAAAGGGAATGTGCTCATGAGGACTTCTGCCACTCTTGACTGAGTATGGTTGCTTTTTGTTTCTCTTTCATTATGATTGACTGCTCTTCGGCAGTTCTAGATGCTCCTTCTTTGCGGCAGAACGTCTCGGACAGTCAAACGCCCTGAGCAATATCTGCAATACTTGTGTATCTTGCCAGTCATGTTGAGCAATTATGCTGGGGGACATTATCTATTGTAGCATGTGTAACAGTATTCGACCCAAGCAAACACACCCTCGCTGAAAGTTTAAGTGCGTTGGTCTTCAGTTTACTCTCATGGTTGAATTCATCTAGCACTGAAACTCTCTTCGATATCTTCTAATTATCAAATTTTCAGAACATGCGCCTCATCAGAAGACAGTCACTTGCATCTCAGAAAGCCTTCATCTTTTCGATATCAGAATCAACCAGGCGAAACGAAAGCGAGGTGTCACAAGATAATCAAAGTCCTGGTGGTCTATTGCCCTAACCTACCTAATTGACCAAATATTTTCAGCTGTTCCCTCCTCTTACCCCTGCAGCTAACAGTCTATCTTACCTCATTATGCCCTCAAACAAACAGAACAAGGACCCAGGCATGTCCAAATCACAGCCCCAAGGCAGCGTCAGCCTGACGCCTACACGAGAACCCATCATCGTGGGCAGTAGCTACTCAACCACTGATGCTCGCACCACGTGCAAAGTGCAGAGCTGGAGGGATGATGTCAACAGGGCCACCAAGAAGAACAACAGCAGGCCGAAGTGTGTTTTGATGTAGACGAAGAGAGCTGGAGGGTGACATTTTGCATCTAGCGGTTTTGGATCGACACAATCGTTGACGATTACTACGTACAGCATGCTTATCCTCCTCCTTCTTCCCTCTGCCATCCATCTCTTCTTCGACCTTGATCTGACGATTTCTTTTCCATAGGCAACTGAGATGGTGAGCGTCATCAGCACGCTTCTGCCCATTCGGCGCAAACAAAGCAGAACTTCCCCTGGCGAACAACGAGCTGTATGGCGAGCCCACATTGTTCGACAAGCACAGGTACATCCACAGTCTGAATGTTGGTGGAGGCTCTGTACCAAACACTCCAGTGACTACACCTTCGAAACGGATGGCTTGAGTACTCAGCACGTTGATGACCGCAGTGGGCATCACCGAAGCTTTTCAGGCCTACTAGGGCCTAGCATGGTAGGACTCTCACATACGTCAGTATTGCAAAAGCAAAAACAAATCAAGACCACAGGAATCCTCTCTCATGTTTCGTCTAGATTTAATACGGAGATCCCGGACTCTCTAGCTGAAAACAGACGCAATGCATACTGTCTGGCTGGAGAAGCGACATGCAGATCAATTGTAACAGGGATTTACTGCTTTTGAATAAAAAGCAATTTGTACTACTTGAGAGACTGTTCATGAAAGCGCTGCATCTCTGTACTTTTGGGAGGTTATGATTACAAGTGGTAGCAGGATTCAAGTCTCGTGTGTGTGTGTCATCATGGTAATCAGCTCTCTCCCGCAAGGCGAGTCGCTTGATCACCCAAAGTATCCCTCTGAAAGGACGGCGATTCCCCAGTACAGGCTGGAAATGATTCAAGTCTAGCCATACTGTCGCATCTGCTGCATGGGTTATGTAGTACAACACACAACCTTGCTCATCAATTCTGCTATTCAGACATTAATCTACACTTCATCTATCCATGTTCTCCTACATAGTCTTAGTGTCTTGAGGACCCTTGGTATCGACGGCTTGACCTTCCAGCTGAGCCTGGTTCGAGATCTGGGCCGTCAACACCACATCCGACTCTTTCAAGTACTTATGGCGGGCCGCATAGACCCAGTACAAGCCCGAAAAGAGAACCTCGGCGCCGACAATGGCGCATGCCCAGTTCATGTTGCCGATATTCTCGCCAGTGACAGGAAGATACAGTGGGCAGCTAGTTGCAGAGAAAGGTTCGTGTGTCAGTAAAGAGAATAGACAGGGGGGGGGGGGTTGTTCAAGTTCTGGGTAATACTAACAGGTACATCACAATGACCAACAAGGCCCAGGCAACTGATATATAGTTGATCAGGAGACCCCACCGGCCGAGGTCAAAGTGTTTCCGCTCGGGCAGGACGTGACGTCCTCGGACCAGAACCTGAAGCAGAGCTCGTCAGCCTTTTGAACCAAATCTCGAAGGACAAGATGAGTTTTTCAATCTTACCGCAATGATCGGAGCGATGTAAGCTGTCTGAAAGAACACGCCTGATCCGCTGACGATGGCATAGAACGCAAGGTCGCTACCCAGAGAGATGAGGCCTGGTGGAGAAAGAGAGCGAGAATGTCAGCTGCTTGCACATTTGGGAGTACGACACGGCAGGTGATGAGCTTGACTTACCAACCACGATCTCAACAACAAAGACCACCAGCATCATGTTCCAGGGAACACCGTATTTGGGGTGAAGCTTGGCCAGCCAGTCAGAGTAAGGGAACGCCTTGTCCTCAGCCATTCTCCATCCGAGGCGAGAGCAGGAAGCCAACACGCCGACGCAGATGAGCAGCTATCAAATGATTGTCATATTAGGAGACCATGTCGAAACAGATAATGGGATGCAGTGGGGAGGTAACTCACATTGCCTATCACAAACAGGATGGAGATGAAGAGACCACCACCGTATAAGCTACCGGAGATCTCCGCAAACCACGAGACGTACGGGGCACTGCACATGATTTTGTCAGTCATTAACGTCGCCCCAGGATGTAGAGGACATCATCTCAACTTACAGCTCTTCGGCATAGGACGCATAGTTGCCGCACGTGAAGAGGAGGATCAGATCGGTAACAATAGTGGTGACACCAGCAAAAATCATCGACCAGACCATCGCTCGCTGTGTCATCACACGAGAATCAGCACAGTGAGCTATCGAGTAGAAAAAGAAGGATATGATATAGTAGAGAAGGCACGAGAGAAGGGGGATAGGACTCACAGGCGCATCCTCTGCGGCATTTCGCATCTCCTCCACCAGGTGCATCATGGCATCAGTGCCATACAGACCGTAGATTGAGTTGTAAAAGGCCATGATGAAAACCCAACCGCTGCTCGTGTATCCAGTGTTGTTCAAGAATGTGGTAAAAACAAACTCGGCGCTGGACTTGGGCGCCTTGACCAGGACGGTGATGGCCCAGGCGAAGAAGCCGCCGACGGTAAGGAACGCGCCAAAGGAGCTGTAGAACGGCAGGAGGGAGGCGTGGAGGTTCATGAACAGCGGAACGATGATAAAGGCGAGGTAGAGGAGGAAGTTCATCCAGGACTATGCCAGTCATTACACCTTGTCAGCCTGTGCGTCGAGCGTGAACCTGCTTCGGGGAAGGGGGGTGTCCGGTCTACTGCTGCTTACAGTCCATTCAAAATCGGGGTGCACGGTCTGGATGAAGGAACCGATGATGTTGGCGTTTTGGATCGCGCACGAGGAGCTGACCGACATCTCAGCCGTCATCAGTGCCCAGCCGACGAGGTACGAGAGTAAGGGCCGCCACTTGGGGCTGGCCAGGACCTGCACGTAGAACTGCTGTCCTCCGGCGGTGGGCCAGATGCCACAGTACTCTGCCAGGGAGGCCATGAGGAGAGTTTGACCAATGGCAACGGCGATTCTTTGGAATTGGCTTGTTAGATACACTATTACCCGAACGAATTGAAAAAGGGGGAACAGAAGAGAATGCAGAATAATCATCCAGAAAGGATAGTCGGGGGTTGTAAACTCACGATCCGTACAGAAGGCCTACTGGGCCTCCAATATCGAAGATGGTGCCGTACAGGACCACAACGCATGCCCATGTGGCGCACATCATGACTTGGTACGCACATACTGATAGTTGATTGTCAGCTATGATTGATCTTTGACCATCTCGGAGTGGCGGGGCAGCCAAGTAAGAGGGGAATCATTCCACGTACACGTCCAGAAGTTGTAGACTCTCTTCATCTTGGGACTCTTGCCCAACATTATCAGCTCCATATCGTCCGAGTTGGCGACCTGCTTGGCCTCGAGCCTCCCAGGATCCATGGGCTCTTCAGCCGCTATTTCTTCAATGGTCGCCATGACTGGTGGCGGCAGTGAAGGTGACTGTGGGTAGTCGTGTGGTTCCGAAGACTATTGTGGTAGTAAGTAATCAAGAAGCCAAGACGTCTTGTGTTAGTAGAAGAGCCAAGAATGTGGTGTCAATAATAAGAAACAACCACCCGGATGCAGCTCAGTTTGACAGTGTTGAAGAAGAAAAGGAGACCGTGAACTCCCTAAATAACATTCAAGAGATGTGATTTCCCTCCTCTTATTTTTTTTTCGCCTCTTCAGTACGAGGAGGAAGGGCAGGTGATTTAATGAAACCTAGGCTCTCGACGTGTCCATCAGCAAGAAGAAGGTCTAGGTCGCGCTTGGGGCTTATCGTCCTCTGGTTGCCCGAACGCTCACGACGCCTCGAAAAGGTCTCCACCTGTCTTTCCCCGGATCCCGGGGGCGAAAGAGGATAACCTCGTTGCCTCAACCAACTCGCTCCGTCTCCATCGTAGATAAGATAGGAACGGGCAAAGCAAAGCGGAGAGCGACTCAGCAAGCAGGGCCGCTAAGACCGGGGGAATACCCCATCTTGGCGACGGTGAAATGATACAGAACAGCCACGTGAAAGTCAAAAAGCTTTAATTACTTGGTTTGCAAGGGGAAAAGTTTCGATACAAGATCTTCGCGTCCTTATCCAGGTTTCACACATGATCCCGTGCCTTGGACGAATCTAGAAGTTATAGACGACGGGCAACTCACATGGGTTTTATTTTGGCTATAAAACGTTAAAGCAGTTGTTAGTAGTATTAAGGTTCATGTTGCTGGAGTGAACCATGTAATATGTAGGAGGATGCACCCTTTATTTAGCCTGGCATATCTTTATGCTGCTGCGTAGAGCCGAGGTTAAATTCATAAACTCTGCTACTGGACGCAATGGAAGGAGAAATTTAGCAGTAAAACATAGTAGAGTTCAACACAAAGCGTCCTTCTTATGATATACTACTTGTCGTAACTCCGTTCTTATCTTCGGCAAGTTCAGGCAAGTAACTTGGTAGTATGCAGCATGAAGCTTGTACAAGCCCGGCAAGTGTAACCGTACCTGGCATCAACCAACCCTATTAGGTTTGATCCTTACATTCATTATTGATCATAATTCACAAGTGACTGATTTGGGGTGCCGCTTCAAAAAGATGAAGGCGAAATAGTGAGACGAGCCCCCCTCATCTTTGAACGTTGGACTGCTGTTTAAGTATTCTTGATGCGAATCGTCTCTAGAAGTCAACACTCAAAACACTACTATTGATTGCCGTCTGAGGACAAAGGTGGAAGAGATGGGTTCCGTATCAAATAACGGTTTGTCTGCCGCAGCCCTGTTCAATTGGAATTACCACGTATCACTGGATGCCCTGTCAATACGCATGCTGATCATCTAGCACGTACTCCAGACGCCTTCAAGGCCAAGATCGAGTCCCTCGTTACTGCAGATCCAGGACTCCCACGGCCTAATCCTACCCAGGCCTTCTGGCAGCTGCCCCCTCACCCAGACGTCTCAGCCATCCAGTCCCCCACACTGCGCACCGAGACCGATATTGTGGTTATCGGCTCTGGCATCACCGGATGCAGCGTCAGCAAGGCTCTTCTAGAAGACGAATCCTTTGGTCCCATCCATGTCACCGTTCTCGAGGCTAGGACTCTCACTTCGGGAGCAACTGGACGCAATGGAGTAAGTTAGCACCCACACGTCTTTGAGACTCCCATCCTCGTCTAATTCTTCTTCTTCTTTCTTTCCTTCTTTTAATTCTCTGTCCTATTGTTCTATTATTATCTGACAACGTGTTGACGTGTGTTGTTGTCTTATAGGGCCACCTCGTCTCAGCAGCCGGCCACAAGTTCTCAGACTGGGTCGAGCACCACGGCGTCGAGGCAGCTAGAGATATGGCCCGTTTCAGTCTGATGAACGTTGACAGAGTCCAAGAGATCCTGAGCAAGATGGACGCCGACATCCAGGAGAAGAGCGAGATCCGCACCGTCCAGAAACTGTGCGCCGTCACGGACGACAAGCTCTGGGAGCACCATGTGAACTCGATCAAGATGATGGCCAAGGAAGTCCCCGAGCACAAGAACCACAACCGGCTCGCCGGTGCTAAAGAGCTCAATGAAGAATGGGGCCTCATCGACGTCGTCGGCGGCTATATCCAGCAAGCAGGCGCCCTGTGGCCGTACAGGCTCTGCACCGAGGTCTTCACCCGCCTCCTAAAGGCCCACCCTGACCGTCTCGCCATCGAGACGCACACCCCCGTGACATCCGTGTTCGAGGACCCTGATGCAGCAGACAACAAAGCAGTGACGCACAGGTACATTGTGACCACGCCTCGCGGCCTCATCAAGGCCAAGCGCGTGGTCTACTGCACCAACGGCTTCACCGCCCACCTCCTCCCGTCCCTGCGCGGCAAGATCTACCCCTTCCGCGGCCACATGACAACCCAGGCCGTCCCAGCACACTTCCCTTCGCAAGGAGGCGAGCGTTCCTGGAGCCTGATGCAGCCCACGCGCCTCGACCCGCAGACGGGCTCGTTCCACTTTGGCCTGTACTACCTGCAGCAGAACGCAAAGACCAAGGACATGTTTGTGGGCACCGAGTACCAGACCATCGAGGAGTGTCTGTGCAGCGACGACACCTTTGTCAGCGAGGCCTCCAGGAAGGACCTGCCGGCTCTGCTGCCGCGCATGTTCTCGGCTGTGAGCGGCGACGGGTTGGAGAAGCCGACCCTGAGGGCCATCTGGTCCGGTGTGATGGGCATGACGCCTGATGGCTTGCCGTTGGTGGGTAAACTGCCCGGCAACGCGACAGGCCGTGAGCCTGGGGAGGAGTGGATCGCGGCTGGGTTCCAGGGCTACGGGATGGACAAGTGCTGGCTGACTGGCGAGGCTCTGGTCGGCATGATGGCCGGGAGGGATGTCAGCAGCTGGTTTCCTTCTCCTTATGTCATTACCGAGGAGAGGTTGGCTAAGAAGATGGGCTTTGAGCATGTCTGGCATGAGTATGCCAGTATGGTGCAGGAGAAACAGCGGCTCTGAGTGGTAGAGGAATCAGAATGAAATTGTCTCGTGAGGACAACTAGAAAAGAGGGTTACATAATTTACTCTTCTCCTCTCTCTCAACTGAACTCCAACATCAAATGCTTAATAGTCCCTGTGCCATCATCTTTAAAGGCCCCGAAGAAACAGCCATCGAATGAGTTTAGTAGCTACTGTCCTCACAGGATACTTTATCTGAAGTCTTGTTCAATGAAGCTCTTGCATTGGTACCACAGTATCAATCATCATGACCAGGGAATCCAAAAAGAAAAGAACCTAACCATCTGCATCCAAGATCACTGTATAGACAACATACACCGCTCAAGTCAATCAAGCCATATCAATGAATATATCCACAGCCCAGCACCCAGTATCTTCACTCCCAAAGAACAAGCCCCCTGCACAAGTCCAGGAGCCGCTCGCTCAACAAAAAACCCCAATCACCTCCGCCGCCCCCAAAGCATCCTCCCAAACACCTCACTCTTCTGCTTCCGAAGAACAGGCCTCTCATCCACCTCCTTTCCCTCCACACTCTCACCGCTATCCCTTGGCGCCTGCGCCGGCGTCGTCGTCGTCACCACCACCGTCCCCGCCCGCCCCCGCCTCAGCTGGCCCTTGGCAACCTCCTGGCCCTTCCGCGACCTCGGCGCCGCACTCGCGCTCCTTGTGCGCTTGCTGCTGGGCGCGAAGCTGCGTGCGAGCCTGCGCGCAAAGCTCCTCTCGCCCTCTGTCTCGGAGTCCGAGTCCACCTCGAAGACGGAGACGGGGAAGACGGGTGGGAGGGGCGAGGGTGGGGATGAGCAGGAGGAGAAGGAGGAAGAGGTGATGGCGGTGGATGTGGATCTCCGGCCGCGGGTTGAGGAGGAGGATGAGGAGGATGTTGAGGATGGTGGGGGTGGAGTGGTTACTTCGTAGGCCATCGGGTGATGTTGGGAGGAGGAGGAGGGAGGAGGAGGAGGAGGAGGAGGAGGAGGGCGAGGAGCTGGACAAGGGAGGCGTGGTAGCTGTTCGATGTCTGTCATACACCTTTGAAGACGGACTTGAGTTGAAACCTTGGGTATTTGGGGCTGGGAGTGCCGGTTTGCTGTGGTTGTAGCTGTTGTGGTAGCTGTTGTTGTTGCTGCTGCTGCTGCTACTGCTGCTGATGCGCGTCCTGGTGAACGTGGTGGGGGTGGGATAGGAAGAGGTGGTGGCGGAGGAGGAGTAGGAGGAGTACTCGACACATCGTGTTGTAAGAAGCTGAGCGTTCTTGGATGCGGCGCTGATGCTGTGGACGAGGTAGATGTCATTGTGTCGGAGCGTGTTCTGGATGGCCTCACTGGAAATCGCTGGCTCTGAGGGCAGGACTGGGAGGAGTCTCGTTTCGTCGGTGCATCCGCAGCCAGTGGTGATGGGCCGATGATGACGGGCGTGGTCGGGGCGGAGTGTATCCAGGAGGACCGGAAGGGGAAGATTGCGAGTTCTGAGAGTGGCTTGTGGGTTCTGCGCCTTGTTGATATCCTGCTTCTGCTACTGCTACCAGAAGAAGAGGAAGAGCGCAGGGAGATTGGAGACATGAGATATGCTGGGGGTTCCCATAACGTCGTGGTGGCTCTTGGTGGCCGGATGGGTTGCTTAGGGGTGACTTCAACCATTGGTGGTGTTGGCATCGGCTTTGGGAAGAGAGAATAGCTGGCCTTGGGCGTCACCGGTCTGGAGGAGGCAGCAGAGGTAGGTGTAGAAGTTGTAGCAGCCGCCGCAGCCTCGCGTTTGATGGCGATGATCGAGGGACATTTACTATTCCTCGACTGGCGGCGAGAGGCAGTGTCACCACCTCCTGACGCTGGCTCGTCATTGCTGTTGCTGCCAGGTGCCTCCTCCTCCACTTTATCGCTGCTGTCGGCCTGGCTGGCGAAATACTCCTGCTTCCGCGTCACATTGTGGTCCGGCGAGGGAATCAACGCCGGATAACTCCCATTGTTGTTGATGATCCTCTGCGTGATCCCATCCGCCTCACGGCTTGCCTCCTCCGCGTTGGCCTCCCAGAAAGGATCCTCCCAGAACGAGTCCCACAGCTCGGCACCAGACGAGTGGTACGAGTCCCGATTGTCCACCCCATCAGCAGCATCCGTAGAGATGATGGAGTCCCGGTCGTCAGCCACCATGTCCGGCACCGAGGCCTGCGAGCCCACCGAGGAGCGTCCCTCGACCTTGAGGCTGCTTGGGTACGAGTAGTTGGCGACAGCACCCTGCGCCGGGTAGTACTTGTTGACAAGTTTTAGATCAGCCAGCTTACTGGGCCTCTCCATGGTGGTGACGGTGATTGATGACGACGATGATTGAAATCAATCTGTGTCCCACCAGCAATTGGTTTTGCTATGCTTGGTATGTGTTTTCAGTCGGGAGATGAGAGGTATTGTGACTATTGTCTTTTTTTGGTAACCAAAGCTGGTTTTGATAGTCTGAGATCCTGAGCCAGGCAAGGTGTAGGGATCTGACAAAGGTCCAAACAATATAACGAAAGTTTAAGGACTTCAGGGAGGAGAAGGAAATTGGCGATGATGGTGGTGTTAGTGGGTTAATCTGTATGGAGACAGAAGAGGACAAGATCGAATGTGTATGTTTGTGTTTGTGAGAAGAGGGAGACAGAGATTAGGAGAACAAGCAAGAGGCGAAGAGAGAGAGAGAGAGAGAGAGAGAGGACAGCGGGGAGGAGAACGGAGGACGTTCGCCACAGAACTCTTGGAAGAGAAGGAAGATCTCTATGCCTACAGTCGGGGTCGCGGCTTGGCCCTTTTTGGTGGGGAAAAAAACAACACGAGGGAGGAATGAAGAGAAGCCAGGAATGTGGGAGCGACACTGGGGCCTCGACATATGTGTGTTTCTACCCTTTGGACCAAGGAGGGGAATGTACAAACCGTGTCCATGGGCCCACCCCACTGATTTCGTCACTACAGTACATAGTTCCTACGTACGACAAGTATACAGAAAAGAGAAAGTCATGGCGAGCTTCCTTTTGGGGCAGACTACTGCACAAGACGCACCGAACATGATCGTCCGCGCGGGGCCGCCGGGAAGGGCTGCAAGGAGGCTCCGGATGCCGCCAGCCAGGCTGCATGAGCCGTGTGCAACGAACTAAGTAGACACACTCTCTCTCACCCTGTGGCGAAATCATCATACATGTGACAGGTGCAAGTCATGGTCAGTCAAGTTCTAGCCAGCCTAGATCCACATGTGTGTGTGTGTGTGTGTGTGTGTGTGTGTGTGTGTAGAGAATAAGAGAGAGATGGTGCATAGGACTTATCCGTGGAGATAGTGGGAAAGCAAGCGGTAGCGGCTGTTCTTCCCTGGTTATACGATCTATCAGATTTCAAATTTTCCGCTTTGGTGGTTCATGGAGAAAAAGCAACACGGAAAATGAACAGATGTAGGACAGCCGAGTATCAAAAGCCCTTCTCAAGACCTTCTGCAAAAAGAGTGAGCACACACGCCAGTACGGAAGTGGAATTCCAGATCAGCGCGTTTGTCTCGGTTTCTTTGCGGGGTCACGAGACAAGACCTCACCAGGTCTATCTCGATCTGGTCGAGGGAGAGAGAAAAGACAGAGAGAGAGAAGGAGAGGGGGGAGAGAGAAAGTGAAAGAGGGGACGAAAAGGAAAAAGATCATAGTCGACGGCATGTATCCCTTCGAAGCTTGAAAAAAGCAGCGCTGTCCACGTTGGAGAGGGGGAAAACCCCCCGTCAATTCCCATGGACGGTTTTCAAAGTACAAACTCCAGGGCCGAGCGCTGAGACATGCATATTGCCAACGGCTTTTCAAAACACAGAGAGGGAAAGGACAGACTGCTACAGATCTTCCCTGCGAGGGCCTTTTATGCAAGAAGTATAAAATCTTGATGTGCTGGTGTTACTTGATATTGAATATGTTATACGTACATGTGTAAGTCGTTTGTTAATTAGGTGAGAGGTCGCTATGATATATTACAACAGCCGTCCCTTTCCGTCGGCTATTCTACTTTGAAACGTCCCATATTGAGTGATGATATCTGGTTGCCTACTTTAAGTATCGGAGATCAAGATGATGACAAAAGTGAACCCCAAGGTTGAGTGTGGTGGTGTGTGTGAGTGTGTGGATTCAAATCTGTGTAGGTGGGTTACAACATTTCAGCCTCAGCTGCAACCTACTTGCATCTGCCACCTGGACAAACGTCAAACGGCAGACACCACCACATCTCACATCAAGGAGGAGGGGAATAAACTCTAGCCTTTGTTACGGGTCTCACCGCAGGGAACCTTCTCTGGGAGTGAAGCAGCCCTGCATACTTGCGAATCGGATTACATGACGTTGAGGGGATGTTTCGCGGCATGCATGACAGGCGCACATTCGTTGAAGGGAGGGAGGTTTGCAGGGGAACACCGGCAGGCAATATAGTCGGATGTGAAGCCAACGGCAGAGAGGAAGAACGTCTTTCCTGAATCTGGTAGCTCGGTCGGTTGTCAGGGAGTGCGTTGGTGGGCGGCTGAGGGCTGCAGGTGTGCTGCAAGGCGGGGGGTTTTCTTCTTGTCTCTATGGGGCTTAATGTGAACCCTGCATGCAGCTGGCAGTTTCTTTTTATTCTAGAGACTTGTGACCTCTGAAGAATGATTACTTTGACAAAAACATTCATCATAGCATGATTGTTGTATTCTCCCCCTCCCCCCTCCCAACAACCTTCTTCTGCCTTGCCTGTTGTTGGGGGGCAAAGACGGATTGTAGACGCCAAGGTCGGATACCCGATGACTGGAATGTCAACAAAACATGAATAAGTATACGCAAAACTTTTCCTGCTCATGTGCGTGTGTGACAGAAAGATAAACAAAAGCAATGTTCGGGTAACCGGTTTGGTATTGATGGCCGGATGCAGAACACTCCAGATCCTGCAGCCTGCCATGGTGATGATGCAATAATAGCACCCGATACTGCGGAAGTAGTGGGAAGATACGGAGAGCCTTGTATCGCATTTCTTGCCTGGTGTATGTCGATGCAACCGCCTCGCCTCCTCCTTTTCCAAGAAGAGTACTTAGTTATACGTGTATAGATACAGCTACAAACAAGAAAATTAGACAAAGAAAGAAGAAGCATGGGATGAGGTAGAAACTGCAAAGTCTGATATAAACATCACAGATTCATCCACGAAATTTCCCCTTGCCAATAGGCCTTGAGGCAATGTTGCAGACAGCGTCTCCACGTCGTCTTTACTCCCTCAGATTGGAAAGGACAGGAGAAAAATAAAAATAAAGATAAGTAAACCAAAAAGAGTTTGCCGCACGAAACAAACCCATGAGTCGAAACAAGCTACTCAGACAGGGCGAGAAAAGAAGGGGGGTGGAAAAGGGCCGACACGGGAGCCTGCCGCGGAGAAAAAGACAAGCCGGACACAACTGCTATCCCGCCCCCGGGACGGCATAAAAGAAAGAGGGAGGGGGGGGGGGATATAGGTGGGGAGGTAGGGAGTTTGACACACCTTTTTGATGCATGCAAAATGTAGGGATGAATAGCATGGAGAATCATGGCAAAGACATACATACACATGGACAGAATCTACAGGTGGCACCTATACATGCACACATACGAATTTGACAACTTTCAAAGAAGAAGGAAGAGAGAGAAAGAGAAGGAAAGAAAAGGCTGTGGTAAGAGAATGTTGAGAACGAGTAAGCCTGGCTGGCGAGCAAGCATGACACGCCTTGTACGTTCCACTGCCCAGCGTTCTGTTTCTTCGCTGCACCGTCTCAGGTGTTGGGTTTCACTGCACGCTATATGCGGTACGGGCCAAAGAAGGGGGAGTGGTGTTTGTTAGCAGCCAGAACACGCAGGTGTGTGATCATGTATTAATTCCCTCTCTGTGTACGTTTGTCTGCCAAATTTGTCTGCCATCCTCTCTCTCTATGTCGTCGCATCCACTCATCATCCAGCTGCTCAACAGTCAATCATTCTTGCGTTCTTGCTTTTTGTTGGAGTCTAGATGCCTCTCCTGAGCAGGGCAAAAACAAAAAGAAAGGCAGAAAGAGAAAAAGAAAAAGAAAAAAAAAGAAGAGGAAAGAAAGAAAAAGGGGAAGCAAAAAGCCACTCTAAATCAAGCCTCCCTCCCTCAAAGGATACTCGCAGATTTGTTCATGTCATGCATTAGAAATCGTAATCATCGTTCGCCCACTGCTCGTTTACCACGTAAAAATCAACATGATAGAAAACAGTATCACAACCGCCAAACGCCTTGCAATGCAAAAATTTGATCCCATCCGTGAGGCAGGGATCACCAAAAGAAAAGAAAGAAGAAGAAAAAGATAGGGGATTTCCCTTTTGCTAGCCTTCTGAAGCCTCTTTCAAGCCTCCCTGGCGGGAAAGACATACTGTGGACTGACCCTCACGCCGTCCCTGGCACTCATCCTCGCCTCCCTCCGGCTCTCGCCCATCGCCCTCGCACCCAGACTCGACCCCATGGGACCGCCGCCGCCGCCGCCGCCGCCGCCAGACCCCAGCTCAGGCGAGCCCATCAGTCTCACAGCGGCGGGATCCCTTGTCGCGGGATCCTTCTCGGTGTACCTCCTAACCCTCCTCACGCCTAGCCTCTCGTCCCGCGCCCCGCCGCCGCCCATGTGCAGCGTCCAGCGGGGCTTGTCCTCGTCGCGCCTGTCCACGCCTAGCTTTCCCACCAGCGACGTCTTGTTGCGAATCATGCTCGAGAAGGCGTCCTCGTGCACGCAATCCTCGTTTGCCACGAAGCTGATAATCTCCGCGAGGCACGTCACGGCGTGCGGAAGGCGCAGGCCCTGGCGCTTTGGGAAGAGCGAGACCAGCGCAAGCCAGTAGACGGCCACCAGCGCGAGGGTGATGGAGAAGAGCGGAATCTGCGGGTAGACGCGGACAATGTTGTCTGCCGGGGTGAGCGCGAGGAACATACCGCCTGCGAAGATGGGGATGAACACGAAGAGGGCCGAAAGGAAAGAGATGAATGCAACGCGCCAGTGGCGGTTGCGCAGAGCGCGGAACGAGGCCTGGAGTGGGTAGCAGGCTGCGTAGTCAGCGAGGATGGAGGCCTCAGGCTGGGCACCGCCCGCTGGCGGGAAGGCGAGCTCGGCCCACGGCTGGAGGATGCGCAGGTGCAGGTCGAGGTCCTGGAAGGCGACGAAGAGTGCCATGCCGAGGAGCGCAGGGAGGAAGCTGTAGAGGAAGTCGGCGGCGGAGAAGGCCCCTGGGATAGGCGCGGCAGACAGCAGAGGCAGGAAGCCCTTGTCGGTGAGGCGGGTCTGCGGCATAAAACTCACGACGAAGAGGGCCACGACCAAGAAAAAGCCGCTGATGATGACGACGATCAACGGGCAGTCCTTGAGACAAAAGGGCAGGTGACGGTACCGCACGCGGGGGTGCATGGCATGTCCCTCAAGTTCAATGTCGCCCCACGGGTTGATATCTTCGGCGTGCTTCGGCTGCGCTCGGCTGTCAGGACTCCGTGGTCTGCCCTTTTCGTCCAGCATGTCAAGTTCCGAGACCGGGCTGTCCCAGTCGTCCTGCTGTCCGAGGGTATACCAAAGCTCGTCCGACCTCTCGCGATCGGCCCAGCGCCAGTATGTGAGCATGTCCGTCCTTCTCTTGTACAACACCCGCCTCATCTGATCCCTCGTGGCGAGGATCTCCGTGCCCCTGTAATCGTCGAGGGTGTTGCTGTTGGCGACGATGGTGGCAACATCAGCGATCGATCTCGGATCCCACATCAGACCGGTCTTGCGGACGAGCCAACAGGACATTTCAATAACGACGGCAGCAGCGAGCAGGACGTAGAGCGCCACCAGCGTCCAGGCAACGCCCTGCACCGTCGCCCACCTCCATTGGCCGTCCACATAGATGACCGTGTACAGACAGCTCAGCAGGGGCAGAGTGAAGTTCATCAGCCACGTGATCAGGTTGGGCACCCAGATGTGCCACGTGCCCACCAGTTGTGGCCGCAGGAATGACGTCGGGTAGAGGTCGTCAAAGATCGCGTCCTCCCTCGCGGTCCCCTGCGTTGCGGCGAGTCTCGCAAAGGGTCGGACCCGGAGCATAGTCGTCACGATATTCTGCGCCCAGAACAGGACGAAAGCTCCTATGATGGCCGGGAGCACTCGAAAGAGGAAGTATTGTCCGCTGTAGATGGTGCCAACATAATCCCAGAGTCCCGTGTGCCGCTGGGAGAACACGGCGCTGAAGATCAAGGCCGCGAGCATCAACATGCATGCGACCAACAGCATGATCATCGATGGCTTTCGTAATATCGCCGGTCGGAAGACGAGTCGTGGGTTGATCTTCTCTCGCCCATCGCTGAAGAACCCGGGGTCGACGGGTTCCCAGGCATCTGCAGCCGGCTGTCTTGCTGCAAACTTTGCACCCTTCTCTGTACCCTTGACTAGAGTCGACATGGACGACCTGTTTGAGGACGGTCGCTGGCCGGACTCGGACAGGAGAGGAGCACTCTGATCCATGCTCTGCCTGGGGTGGTCGTTGTGACGGGAGGAGGCGGCAGCAGCAGATCGTGGTGACATGGGCCCGTTGCTGGGGGCATAATAACCCCGGCTCGAGCCTGGCACAAACGGCTGGCCGTCGGAGGTCATGGTCGAGGGGTGTGAGGACTCGCCCTCGCGCTCTCGCGTCAGCTGCTCTATCGCATATTGTATGTATGGGGTGTCGTCGATGCCAGGTGTCACGCGGGCGGCCTCCAACGCCAGCGGGTCCCGGAACTCCTCAAGAGGCCTTCCCATCATGGGAATCGGAGGGTTCGTCGGGCGATTTTGTGCCATTGCGATGGCCTCCAGCTGTTGCTGTGTATACTGTGGTTCCTGAGGAGACCTTGGGCCTTCACCAGGCGAGATGGCCATGGCAGAGGGCAGAGCGTACGGTAAGAGGGTACGGCCGTGGTGCCGCTCTGGGCCGTAGATGTTGTCGGAAGATCGAGAGGAGGAGTAGGAGGAGAGACTAGGGGCAAAACGAACGATGGAAGAAGGCTGAGGAGAGGTGGACTCGTTGTCCACTGCTACATGCTCTGCTATGCCCTCTAGTAGGCCATGGTAGCCAGACTTGTTGTGTGCAGAAAGGTCGTCGTGCTGCTGCTGTTGGAGGAGAGAAGGAGCTGGTGTTGCTGCTGTGCTCCCAAAAGAGACTTGTCGTGTTGTTGTGGTTGTTGTTGCTGAAGATTGGGCTGCAAGACCAAAACGGAACAGGCAAATCAGTAAAGGACACTAAGAAGATAAACTTTGGAAGCAGCAAGGAGAGAGAGAAGAAGAAAAAAAAGAGAGAGTGCGTGTGAAGGAGGGAAGCACTCACCGGGCGGGTCCACAAGTTCAGAGCCACACCTGTGAACATGCATCCTGGACCAGCACCAACACCAGCGCCACCATCATGACGAACAAAATAGCATGCAACAAGGTCAGCAAGTGAACCCACTCTGGTGAAGAGGGTCCGGGTCTCTGGCCAATTGGCTCTATGAGGAGCGATACAAGCAGGGACGCTGCATCTCTAGCGAGGGACTGAGCGAGGCATGGTTGGAGAGACAGCTCATCTGCAGCGACCACAGAGTAATCAGCAGGTAGCCTGTCCCCCTCCCAACCCTGGCTTGTTTTCTTTCTTCTCTCTCGTTGGCAATGACGCCAGTAGTGGCCAGCAGGCATAGCCAGTGGGTGAAAAAAAAGATAGTGGGAGGCTGGGTAGACCATGGTTGTGATGACGGTGGTTGGGCAAGAACAACACCAGCCACCGAAACCCCACCTTCCTCACCCTGGCTCCTTCCCCATATCACACTGGTACCACACATAGTACATAGTACATAGTCCACATCATCCATGCCACAAGGACTTGAACCCTTCGTGCTTTCCTTCTTCTACCGTGGTGATCTTCAGAGCTAAAATGTCCTCTGCATCCCATAGTGGCCTTGCTAACCCACTGCATCAATCATAATAAGGTTTTGCTTAGACGATAGAACTACCAGTGCCGTGACAGAAGGTTCTAAATCAGCTTCCATGCAACACTTGTGAAGTCGCCAGCCCTGCAAGAGGGGCAATCCATGCAAGGTTTCAAGCTGTCTGGCAGTCACTGTCAGCTGTCTCTTTAGCGTTTACGAACGGCCCGTGCACGGGAACTAATACGCTGTGTGGAGGATGGGTGTTCAGAGCGGGTTTAGGGGTGCTCCCAAGGGTTCTTCCAAGGTTTCCATATTACGTCAATATCCCATCCCATCGTCATTTTGAACCTCACTCGCTCGGTCAGGACTGCTTGCTGTCACGGTCACACCGCAGCGTCTGCTACAGCGGCGAAACAGTTAAGGGCTACCGGACTATTTCCACCAGCAGCACGTTCGTTCTCTCTCGATCCAATCCACTTGACTCTTTGAGGCCTCGTCAGATTCTCGAATGTCGTCGTCAACTCTCGTATTCCCATCGCACTTGAAGACTCTGGCGATGAGATGCAATGGAGACTCGATGACCATGGATACGGTGCAATCCCAAGTCTCGTCAGTTTCTTTTACTAACAGCTGGCAAGGTGACTGTTTGATGGTGGTCTCTGTGTGAGTCCACGTGACGGAGTAGTGAGGTTTACATTGAATCTGGGATGACACGGTCTTTTTCTCTTTCTACGTCAACACTCCATTCCCGCGCCAGGAGGCTCCTCTTCGGCTCAGATGAAACCTAATCGGCACGATGAGACAAGACTGTCTTGGAATCGACGAGCTGCTGCTGCTGCGTTCCTCATGATAATGGCGAGCCCTTCGTGGCGGCACGAAAGTGCACCGCACCCTTGGTCATCATATACAGGCCGGAGAGAAGCCCGATCGCACGTGGTACGTGGCAGACGTGCACTGAGAATGAGTTTCTGCTCATAGACTGGTCTCGAGTCTTACAGTGGTCTGGCTGGCTGGCCGGCTGGACTTCGTTCGGGATCTCGACCTATCTCTGTTCGCTGAGCCGGCCTCCTTTCGCCACCTGCCAGAATGGTATGTCCCATCGCGCAAAACATGATATAAGGTTAATTCTCTCTCGCTGCGTCTCAGTTCTTAGGCCTGAGATTGTACTGCTGCTTCCAACTTGCAAATAGCAGGGGACTGGGAGTTAGCACGGAACGGTGTGGGAGACCAAGAATCGAACGAAGGAGGAGAGATCGCTCGCTATACATACACCGACATCAACGCCGTCTCTAGGTTACCACGAACAAAACACAATACCGACCGAACGTAGCTCGTTGCTCATTAATGCATCTCGACGTCACCAGTAGGGGGAAGAAGGACAGAAGAAGAAAAAGAAACAATGCCAGGCACCATCCTGTACCTGTGGGGAGCAAAACAACAGCATCCTTGCATCCGTCGGGAATCGAACCCGAGGCTCAAGCTTTAACATCTCTTGTATGGAAGGCTGGAATGTTACCATTACACCACGGATGCCTGTTTGCCACCTGGAACAATCTTCATTATGACTCGCAGCTACTTGTCACCAGCCATGTGCGTGTCTAGGGCCATGGAAGTGGAGTCTACTGGCTGTGGATACACGACAAGCGCTAAGTCCGGAATAGCATCCTCTTTGTTGCCTTTGCACGATGAGAGATGGTCATCCTCACTGCAACGTTCGGAACGGAAGAAATTGTTTTTGTGGTGGGCTGCGTCCGTGAGAACGCCCAAGAAACCACCTCTTCAGCACCGAGAAGCAACTTAAAATAGCTGTAGGGACACGGCTACAACCCTTGCTTTTCTTGTGCCAGATCGTCGAAGGCCCGCAAAAAGCCGTACCAGGCTTTTGCTACGAACAAAAAGAAGCATGCTGAGCGGAGTTCTCTTCCCTCTTCTCATTTGAACCGGCGCCAATTGTTGCATGTGGATTGGTCAGTTCGCGAAGCATCCAGTGTCACCCGATGGTACACTGCCATGGGCCGGAAAGGAGGGTGAAGTTCTCATGAGATTCGCAACTACTGATTACTTGTAAGCGATAGCGGACGATGTCGTGAACCCTCGAGGAGCTTCTGTCAATGATCCTTCTGCATCGCTCATGTACCTCTTGGACGCTTCGCCCACTCGACTTCACCCTTTCTCCTACCAAGAAGGATCGAGATTCAAATACAGGCCTGCTCAAGCCCAAGGCTCCCTCACTGCACTACAGCCCTCCAGGAAAATGAACAAGCTTGGTCTTTAAGTTTATGCCTACTAATCAGTACCACAGATTTAACGGAGATCGTATGATGTCCAGACTTTCAGATCAACAGGATTAGACATAGCATGCAAAGACATATGCATGACACAACTGAATCACCGTTGCAAGCTGACAATCTCCCCTATAATACCGGATTTTAAGACCTTGGGGGCGGCTTCGAATGCGAAGGAATGAAAGATCCGTCTGCCCCGCTTCTTCGAAATTCGGCCAAATCCTCAAGTGGGGAATTGGGCACCCTGAAAGACGACAGCCTCCAGGTTCTGGCTGACTGAGAGGTGCGAACCAACTTCAGGAATGCAGATATCGTCCTTCAATGTTCCCATCGACGCGCGGGATGTGGGGAGGGAAGGTGGATAGATCCTTCGAGGAGAGGGTAATATCACATTGGTCTTTTGGACTGGACTATATCATGGATCGCATATACTCTCAACTTCAGATTCTAACCATAATAGCACCGCACCCCCGGTCCTGCGGTCATATGAAGGTCAGCGAGAAGGGCCGCAATAGGCCGTTGCCTGGAATTGTGGTTTCCAAAATGAAGCTGCTTCGTCAAATTCGGCACGTCGCCTAAAGAATAGACGGTTCCGCTGTGCCTTAGCCCAATCAGCATGGGTTCACAATCAGCCCAGGGAGGACGATGAATGCGATAAGTGACAGAGCTGGTGAAATGGAACAATCTGGACACGATCCTTAGCACAAGGAGGGATCATATCCATGCCGCCGGCCATCCCCGAGTGTCGTAATGTGAGCCTCAATCAGAGTTTCTCATGGCTGCCTCGGACCGTTGGCAGCTTCACAGATGCCAGAACTGGGTATGCGTCAAATATAAGTCCGAGGTCGTTGTCGCCTGACGAGGCTCTCGTCGGGCGAGCATGAGGAATATAAAAATGCTCGGGGGCGCCGACTTGTGTAACGACATCATCAAGTCACAACTCATGACCAACAGCCTTCTCATCAATACCACCACAATAACCGAGATCATCAACCAAGCTGTCACACACAACAGCAAGTCACTATGGTGTCCTCACTCGTCTTCGCCTTGAGCCTCCTGACCACCCCTTTCGCCGCCTCGGCAGCAAAGCCTAATACCGTCAAGGTCCCCCGTGCCAGCACGAGCGGCGATCTCACCGGCTCAGGCACGCTGCAGGTTGTGATCGGCAGCGGCGGCAACGTGAGTGCGACGACTGACTTTAGCACGTCGACGCCTGCAGACATTGTGGGCTGTCTCAACGCAGCGGGACAGTTCACGCTGGATGACTGCGCGACATAGTAAGTGACAAGGTGTAAACTAAGGACAGAAGAGGAAGAAGAAGAAGAAGAGAGAGAGAGAGAGAGAGAGAGAGAGAGACCACAACAGTGGAAGCTAACACATTCGCCGCGACCAGTACCGTCACCGACACCTATTATGTCGAGACGAGCAATGGCATCTGCTCATTTTACAACAGCTCCTCGCCGGCCAACACGGATGATTACTACGGGGCCTACGACTATGCGCTGACATGCTGGGAGCATACGGGGGTGATTGGCTCGGATGTCACGTTCTACACTGTTGTGAGTTTACGGCGCCGTCCCCATCTTCTTCGTCTTCAGGAGACCTATTTTATGACTGACACGGATCGATACTACAGGAGGGTATGGCCTACAATTTCCTTGGCAACGGAGACACAGATTTCGTAAGTCTGCCCTGCTCCTCCAGAGACAACCGAACGAGGGCCTTTTGTGCTGATATATGACGTCGCCTGTAGTACTATGATGTCCCTGGCCTGCCTGAGACCTCAACGGACGCGCTCAACTTCTGGCGCTTCGTGTGGGGTGGCGAGGAAACCGATGTGCCGGCGGGCCACTACAGGGCGCTGCTGTTGTTTGGATCTTCGTGAGGAGTTACATAATGGTGTTCGGTGGAGATCTGAGGACCGGTGGGATGGGGCAACGTTGTCGATGTAAATGTGGATGTGTCGATAGCTTGTGTACGGGTATAAATAAGATTCACGCACACACACACTCACACTTGGAGCGAGATGTTTCTGAGATATACTTCTATCCATGATGATTGATTGGATTATTCATATATATATATCCTACTCTGTAAAGTTGTCGTAGTAGAGGAGTAGCGGACTCAGCCCCAAGAATCCATTGTTGTTCTCATGCTGAATAAGGAATTACCCACCCAAGTTGATATGCCATCAAGTTCAGAGTGCTGGACTGGCTTATATTTTCTTGGATTATAATCTGTAAATATTGTTTTTGTAAAGATGACAAAGTGTAGGTGAAGTGGGTAAGAAGTAGTCATTTTCTTCCCCTCCTTTCTTCCTCTCACTTTTCTCACTTTCCCTTGTTCTCTTTGGCGGGATGTAGTGACGGACGTCATATTTGAGTGAACCTCCGGGAGTGAACTTTCGGGCAATGATCAAGCCGACATCGCCGGGTTAGTCTCCACATCAAGTGTATATGTGTGTTTTACTGACTAGATCGCGGAACAAAACATTCCTCACTCAACCGCTTCCAGCAAGCCCAAAGGGGAGACAGCTTGAACCGGTCTCATCGTCAGATACAAAACAGATCACGATTATATACGAACAGACAAGATGTCATCCAGGCTCATCCACCGCGTCACAATGTTCAAGGTCCAGGGCGCCGACAACCAGGCCCAGCTCCTCGCCGCCTACGACAAGCTGGCCAAGGAACAGAAGAGGGTAAAGTGCTTTTTTTTTTTTTTTTTTTTGGCTTACTTCTCTATTTACTCCTCAGCCATATTTCGACAGACACCTATGCGTCGCTGACAAGTGAATAAAACAAAACGAGTAGCACGGCAAGCCATACATCGCGTACCTCTGCGCAGGCCGTTCGAACCGGGAGGACCCTCGCAACAAGGGGTACACGCTCGTGGCACACACCAAGTTCAGAACGATGGAGGATATGCGGTTCTACGACAATGAATGTGAGGCGCATCAGGAGCTCAAGGCCCTTGTGAAGGGTCTGGGGGTGGAGGCGCCTTTGACGGTGTACTTTGACGGCACGCCCATCGTGGATTTGACGCACGCCTGATTTTCTAGAAGCAGATAGTCCTTATGCGTATATGGATACATCCCGATGTATAGACACACACCATTCGTCGAGTTGTGGCTCATGATAACTTTGTACAACAACATACAGCATCGCTGGAAGAATACACCACCTCCTGAATGGACAAGTCCCGTCTTGTAGCATCACATAAGCCAGCTGACATAATGCCGCCACAACCTGCTGCATTTTCTTTTCTTCTTCTTCTTCTTCTTCCTTCTCCTCCCTCTCACACAACATTACCCAGACGCCGCAGCAGCGACCTCCTCAGCCCTCCTCTTAAGGTCCTCCCCCCACCTCTGGAAGCCCTTCTCCAGCAAGCCCCCCGTCGTCCACCTCACCACGCCCGCCAGGGGTCCGTACATGGTCTCCCAGCAGGTATACTCGGTGCCGCCCTTCCCGTCGCTCACCATCTCCTGTACGCGCTCCGTACGCAGCAAGAAGCCCGGCATCGTCACACCCTTCCACGCGATCCTCCACCCCTCACCGCCGCCGCCGCCGTCGTATGGCTCCACGGCCGTGACCTCCATCGACTGCCTGGTGTTCCTCGACGGCCTGTCTAGGTCTAGGTGGACGTCGAGGGTGATCCTCGCGCCGCACCTGATGTACCTGTCTGCATCATCGCCGCCACCGCCACGCGGAAAGGAAGCTTCCTCGGCTGGGGACGGGGCAGGCGACGAGTCGACGGTGCAGCTGGGGACCCAGGCGTTCCACTCGGGCCAGGCGGCGTGGTCGAGGAGCACGGAGGCGACGACGTCGGGAGGGGCGGCGATGGAGCAGGACGAGATGATGGTGAAGGAGCCGCCTGGGCCGTGGGTCGGGGTCGGCCGGGCTTCGGAGGTGATGGTGGCGGGCTGGTTGCGAGGGACTGGAGGGTTGCTTGTTGTGAAGGATTGGCTGGTCATCGTGAAGTGGGGGGCCTTTTTCTTACGTGAAGGAAGTTGTGGGCGTTTTGGGTCGTGGGAGGTTGCAAAGGGTGGACGAGAGGGAGGAGGAAAGTGGCGGAAGGTGGTGGCTGGTGTTGATCAAGAAGGAGATAAGATAACGTCCTGAATTGTTTACAATCCTTTCTAAAATTGGATCAAGCTAAATTGGGGGAAATAGTCATTATCTTAATTGATGATAAAGTATAAACTGAGCAGCAAATAGAATACAGCTTCTTGTATTGAAATATAAGTATTGTGAGTGTTTAGGACAGCTTATGAGCAACAAGGTCCGCCACCTAAGGAGGGGTCAGAAATCAGTGTCTGACACCTGCACTCTGTGTTACAGAACAGGGTTAGGGTTCTAGCCCTTGATACATCACTACTGGTTCACCAGCCAGGCAGGCCATTCTGATGGCTGCTTGAGCCTCGTAGACACCAGCACGCACGCTGACAAATGAAGTGGCACAAGAACTTGCTTGAACTGCTTACACGGGCGAAATCAATCGCCGAAGCCAGCACAAACCCTGGGTTGACACGGGGTTATAGCCGGCCTCAAATTCCGAGCCTCGTGCATGTCGATCGAAACCGGGTCGCATCCTATGTTCGATGGGGCTCGCAAAGAATCCTCCGGTTTCCCCTCAACACCACCTTTGCGGACTGAAGCAGGTTATAAATGTCCATGCTGAGTTGTCCATTACTAAAATTGACAAAACGAAATGGCCTCGGGGTTCAAAGTCTGCTCAAAGAATGACGTATCGCAATCTTTGTGGTATATAGGTCTATACGAGTCTGGTAGAGATCCTTCAAAGAAGTCTTATGCCGTTTCCTATGCTCTCGTGATTCTCTTCATGCTCCAGCACCAGAGCTCCCGTCACGTACTTTGCCCAAAGAACCACAGATCCAATCAGAATGTCCGTCATCAAGGTAGTCGTCGTTGGTGCCACTGGTCATACCGGCAAGTCCATTATGGAAGGGCTGTTGAACTCACCCACCAACAAGTTTGTAAGCTAGGCTCATGTTTTCCCAATGGGCGAAGGCCTGAACTTGCTTACTTAACTTACTAATACACTGAACGGTAGGAAGTATATTGTTTCACTCGGCCAGCCTCAGTTAACAAACCTGAGAACATCGAGCTTGGCAGGCGCGGAGCCAAGATCGTCTCCATCTCCCTGACCGACCCAGAAGAGACTTTGGTTGCTGCTCTCCGGGGCATCCAGGTGGTCATCTCTTGCATCACGCCTGTCTTTGAAGACCAGGAAATCTTGCTTGCCAATGCCTCGAAACGTGCTGGTGTCGAGAGGTTTTTTCCTTCTGGATTCGGGCCTGTCGTGCCGCCGGCCGGTATTATGAAAGCCCGCGAAGAGGTATGTGTGTATGTGTTCCTAGTTTGTATGGACGCGTGTTTAGCATGGTCTTTCCTTTGCTAATTGTACTTAAATACATGTGTTTGTGTGAGCAGAAAGAGAGAGTGAACAACCACATTCTCAAGCTGCACCTTGGCTACACGTTCCTGGACGTGGGCACGTGGTATCAAGCCAGCCTGCTCCCTGTGCCGTCAGGCCGGCTCGACTACTGTGTGCCACCAGCAATGAAGCCGACCTGGCCGCTTGGCCTGGATGGCAAGGTACCGACTGCTGTCACTGACCTCAACGACATTGGCCGTTACGTGGCGCTCATCATCGCAGACCCGCGTACTCTGAACAAGAAGGTGTTGGTGTACAACCAGGTGGTGACAAGAAATGAGATTTATGACGGTCTCGAGCGTGTAAGCGGAGAAAAGCTGGAACGTGTCTACGTATGTTAATCCCATGTTACCAATTCTTTTTTAGTTTTGATCGTATTTGGTAAATACGAGTACTAAATGTTGGCCGGTTGATAATAGATTTCCGAAGCTGAGGCGCTGAAGAATGTCGACGAGGCTGAAAAGAAATTCGCCAAAGAGCAATCCATCAAGAACTTCTTCGCGTTAGGGATGTACCAATACTTCCTTTCCTGGTCCATTCGGGCAGATAACACTCCCGAATATGCAAAGTATTTAGGATACCTTGACGGCAAGGAACTCTATCCCGATTTCAACTATCAGACTCTGGAAGGGTACATGAAGAAAGCATTTAAAGGGGAGGTCGAGCCTACCCTGATGCAATACTAGGTTGGGAGTAGATATTCACAATGAATTACAAATTTCTGCGCATACATCGGACATACTCAATTCATGCCAGAAAGAGGATACTTGCATGTGTGCTTAATTAAAGCTTAGAGTAGTATCGGACCAATACTGTCGTCGCAACAGTGTAATATAAAAATTTTGTCTTTTAAAATAATTATAAAGATTTACCGGAGGCTATCTTCTTGTTCATGGGCCACAAGAAGCTGACGTTTACATTGTTTGACGTTTTCACTTGGTTTTGATGACTCTACCTATTTGTCTTCTCCATTCCTTCCTTACAGTACTTATCTTGGCGGGGTTCTTCTCTAACTGAGGGGGAAAGAGGGGTCGTTTTAGGGGCTTTCTTCAGAACGAGACCCTGGACCGTTAGCGTCGGTGGCCCTCTGAAGCCAATCAAGGAGCTTCAACGGGGCCTGCCCACCTTCCGACCATGCGCCGCAGCAGCGCAGGTACCAAGATAATGGTGAGATCGCTCTAGCCTATTGAGGCATACAATGGAGGTCAAGCAATCATCGATGACTCTTGCGCCAACGGCAACTACCGTTTGAAGACGGGTGTCTCTGTCCTTCCTGCCCAAGACATATTTTGCTCACCAGATAGACGACAAGTTCCTCGGAGCTTTCGGCTTCCTTCTCTTCTCTCGCCCAAGTGGACATGCCATCACGTACAAATGAGACACTTTTCAATGTCTGCACGTACTGAATAGCCAATACAGCAAGAGCAACAGCTCTTCCCATTGTTTGCTTCTTCTTTTTGCATCTCGTCAAACAAGGGTTCTTCACAAGACCTTGGCGGAGATACACAACGCACCACTCTCCCAAAACAAGAATCGAACGAGAGACCCGTCTTCTGGATACACAAATCAGGCGGTCTGGACCTCCCTCTCCTCTGTTCTGATACGGCCTGCCACACAGAGCAGAGCGCATGTGAATCTGACTCGCGACAAAAACAAGTGGACCTGGGACGCTTCGAAACAAACTTATCCCTCCCCCCCTCGTCCCGAGACAGGGTGCATCTGGGTGGAGATATTTTATCTTTAGTTCATGCGGTAGTTTTCCCTTGGGCGATGCATCCAGGAAGACCATAGTACAAAAGGGTTTCCAGCACCATCTGTGCTTCTCGTCTCTGTTGAAGAGGGTCGGGCTTCCTTTTCTCGACGAGAGAAAGAGTGTGTGTAAGTGTGTGATCAGAGACGGACAAGACAAGCAAGGTCTTGAACAACACCTGGGGGGACTTTGTCTCTTCCCTCCCTCTCTTGTCTCGCTCAAATTACACACACAGAGACGCAGACCATGGCTTCCACCACGGACCTGCACCTCGCAGGCCTGGACCAGCGCGTCCTCGACGCCATCCAGAAGTCCTCGTCTGACGACATCCCGTTCCGGGCCACGATGCGCCACGCCCACAGCACCTGGGCGCGCACCTTCACCTGTGCCCCCGAGCTCTACATTCGCCCTCGCTCCGTGGCCGAGGTCCAGAAGGCCGTCAACCTTGCCCGCGTCTGCCGACGCCGCATCACCACCACCGGCGCCGGCCACTCCCCCTCCGACATCACCTGCACCTCGTCGTGGCTCGTCAACCTCGACGATCTTCGCGCCATCCTCGGTCACGACGAGAAGACGGGCGTCGTTCACTTCCAGGCCGGCATCCGCCTCTGGCAGCTCGGCGAGGAGCTGGACCGCATGGGCCTCGCCATGCCCAACCTGGGCTCCATCAACGAGCAGTCCGCCGCCGGCGTCATCTCCACCGGCACCCACGGCTCTTCCCTGCACCATGCCCTCATCTCCCAGTCCATCGTCGAGCTTGCCATCGTCACCGCCGACGGTCGCCTGCGTACCTGCTCGCGCGACCGCGACAATGACCTCTTCCGCGCCGCCCTGCTCTCGCTTGGCGCCCTCGGCATCATCGTTGAGATCAAGTTTCAGACGGTCCCTGCCTATTCGCTGCGGTGGCACCAGACGATCGACTCGGACGCAGTTATCCTGCGCGACTGGGACACCACTCTCTGGGACCGCGGCCATTTTGTCCGCGTCTGGTGGTTCCCGCACACGCGCCGCTCCGTCGTCTGGGCCGCCAACATCACGGACGAGGCCCACTACGATCAGCCTGCCTCGTGGTACGACGGCGTCCTCGGCTACTACGTCTACCACAACCTGCTGTGGCTGGCGCAGTACGTCCCCTCCATCCTGCCCGCCGTCGAGCGCTTCGTCTTCGGCATGCAGTATGGCTTCGCCGACGGCACCACCACCTCGGCCGTCCAGCCCCAGCGCAAGGCCCTGCTCATGAACTGCCTCTACAGCCAGTACGTTAACGAGTGGGCCATTCCCCTGCATAAGGGCCCCGAGGCCCTGCGCCGGCTGTCGTGCTGGCTGAACCACCTGCAGCCGGGCGATCGCGACTACTGCGAGCACGGTATCCCCTTCTCCAGCGAGGGCTTGTACGTGCACGCGCCCCTCGAGGTCCGCGTCACCGACACCTCACGCTTCCTGGCCAACACGGACGGCACCGGCCTGGAGCAGAGGCCCTTTCTCGACCCGACCTGCCGCGACGGGCCCACCTTGTATCTCAACGCCACCCTGTACCGGCCCTACGACCTTGAGCCGCCGTGCCTGGACCGGTACTATCAGGCCTTCGAGTGGCTGATGCGCGACCTGGACGGCCGGCCGCACTGGGCCAAGAACTTTGCTACCGTGACCACAGCTGACGTCGAGGGTTGGTACGGCGCCGACCTGGACGCCTGGAGGGCTGTGCGAGACATGGCAGACCCGAGAGGTATGTTTGCGGGGAGCTGGCACCGGCGGACGGTGCTCGGCGGCGCAGCAGCGTTGCCGCTCGAGGAGAGGGAGGAAGGGAGGATGCTGAGGAGGGGACGAGGCTGGTTCTGGAGTGGGAGGAAGGAGATTACATCATGATGATTATGATGATGGTGTCGATGATGACGATGACTTGCGAAGGAAGAAACAGGAAGACGACAAAAGGAGGAAAGAAGGTTTAGAATCGGTAGATATGTTCTTTCTCTCTTCTTTTCTTTTCGTCCATCGTTTTCTTTTTTTTTCTTTTGTCATTTTATGATGAGCGGAATGGCATGTCACGGTTCAAGAATTCCGAAAGGCTCCCCCTTTCCCCCTCTTTTTCTGAGCATCTCACATGATCTTTCTGCATCTGCGAGTATGGGGTGATGTGGAATCTCTCGAGTGAGCGGGGAGAGCCCCAGCAGCCACCGTGCACACAGTATCATTCTCAACACCCATCTTACTCTGGTCTTGATCGTGAATCCGAGATTGAAGGGGGAAAAAGTGAAAACACATACAAACCCAGACAAACACACATGTTTACACATAAGACATCATCAAGGAAATCGGCATGCCATGTCTTTCAAATTTCTATACAAATATTGGGTATCTAAACTCTCTTTCTCTCTTTCTTTGTTTCTCCTCCTCTCCTCACATGGGGAGATGATGCTGAATAAAAAAAAACAGTACATAATGCGAGCAAATGCGTCATAAATATTAGAGATTATGCGCAGCATAGCCCTACCTCTTCTAGAGGTATCTTTCCCCCTTGTTCTTTTTTGCTTTTTCCAGCTCACCTCACTGGGTGTCGCCTCGTGGGACAGTCTGGACAACCGCACACAGCTCGCCTTCGCACGGTCGGGCAGGCCCTACACCCACACGTGGCAGTGATGGTTATCTCTGGGCGATGGACAGTATTGTTGTCTGGCTCATGCCTCCTGTCCTCCTCATCGTCGTCATCGCCGTCGTCGTTATCCTCGTCCTCATCAGTCTCGACGCCACAGCAAGGAGGAGGCTGCCGCCCTGCCGCTGCCTTCGTCCTCAACATCATCACCTTCTCAGCGCCATCTCCACCTTCGCCTTCCTCCTCCCTAAGCCTCCACCAGAGCCAGTACACAGCCCCGAGCCCCAAAACACCAAGGCTCGTAGCCGGATACGCCCAGCTAGGGAACTCATTGCCCACATCGGTTGCGACGCCCCCTCGAGGGGGAACCCATGGCAGCACCAGCAACAAACAGTTGGTGGCCGCAAACAGGACGACGGCAAAGCGTGGCGCCCGGCAGGGTGATGACCAGCGCTCGGAGGGGGTGGTATGTAGGTACAGGAGGCCTAGCGATACGGCGACGCTGATGACAGACACGGGGTATCCGCCTATGTCGACGAGGAAGTTGAAGATCCGACCTGGCGGGGGAAGGACAATGGCTGCTGTGGAGACAACCCAGTGTAGGAGAAGACCGCGGACAGGGGCTGTGGAGCGAGGACGGCGGGTCTTGCTTGGGCTCGAGGACCGTCGTTGCTGCTGCTGCTGCTGCTGCTGCTGCTGCTGCTGCTGGCTTGTCGTCATCAAGCTGGTGTTAGAGGACGAGGAGGAGTTGGTGGTGGTTGTAGTTGTAGTTGCCCAGAAGGACGGCAGCACGCCCTCACGCGCCAGCTCCTCATTGACGCGAGCCTGGGCAAAGCTGGTGGCGGCAATGTTGCCCGCAGCAGTGACGACGACAAACAGCGGAAGGATGCGCGCCCCAGCTCCATCTCCAAAGACTTTGCGGAAGAACACAGCAGCGACCACCTCACCGGCAGAACGAAACTCATCCTTGTCGACGACCAGAAAGAAAGCGGTGGTCGTGGCAAGGTAAGCAGCACTGACGAGGCCCAAGGCGATCGGGGCAGCAACACGCAGGGTACGAACGGGGTCGCGCACGTCGGACAGCACCTGGTTGGCAGTGCTGTAGCCCCGAAAACAATACAGCACCTTGAGCAGGGCAGTGGCGTAGTCGTAGGGCTGGACAGACGAGCCCTCCCAGACGGCGTGGAAGTTGCGCTGGGCGGTGGACGTGGGCACATCACCTGCCATGGCCAGGTCGACGCGACGGGCCTCGAGCACGGCGGTCTCACGCTCGGAGCCCACGCCCATGAGGCCACCTGCGACGCCTGACACCACCACGACCGCGAGGATGAGCATCTTGGCCGCGCCGAGGGTGTTGATGAGGGCCAGACCCACGCGCGGGTGGCGGGCCTGGAGGTAACACAGCATGGTCACGGCGGCCACGGCAATAGCGCGAACGTTCCAGGCGTTCTCCTTGGCGCCCGTCACGTACAGCGCGTGCTCGCCCAGCACGATGGCGTTGGGCGTCGAGAAGCCCAGCAGCACGACGTACGACATGAACATGCACGTGGCCAGCATGTACGGTCTGCGGAAGATGCGCTCCAGGTAGACCTTCTCGCCTCCGGAGCGGGGCATGGCCGTGCCCAGGTCCAGGTACACGGCGAGGCCGCAGAAGGAGATGAGCGCCCCCACGACCCAGAGGAGGAGGGTCATGCCCACAGAGCCCACGCCCGAGAAGATGGCGCTCGGGATCGAGTAGGCGCCTACGCCCATTGTCTTGCCGACTATGATGTTGATGGCCGACAGGACGCCCAGCTTGCCGTCGTCGACACGGCCGCCATGACGAAAGATGGAGGTAGAGAGAGGTGGAAGGCCGGGGGAGTGGGGGAGAAACCAGGTCGAGTCTGTAGGAGACTCGACTTCTGTGCTGGAGGAGGAGGAGGAGGAGGAGGAGGAGGAGTCGTTGTCGTTGTCGTCGTCGTCTATGACAAAGGCAGCGTAGTCATGCTTTTCGCTCAGCCGTGACGAGGGGGATGGTCTCGTGGCACCACCGCCGGCCAGGGCTGACCTTGGTGTTGGTGGTTCCAGGTACGTCGAGCCATGTCTTGTGGTGTAGTGTTGACGGTGCGCAGAGGGAGACAGTTGTTTAGGTCCTCCAAAGGCGGAGGAGGAGGAGGAGGGGGTTTTGGGCGAACGGCAGGACAATGTGAAGGAGTTTCTCGAGGGGGAAGCGGCCGAGGAGAAGGCAGTTAGGTTCCTGAAGGAGGCGTTTTGGAGGTTGAGTGATGGTGGGGCCATGGTCGGTCGATATGATGGCGCGGTGGCCGTGGGTGAGGGAGGTGGTGATGTGATGATGCTGTGGCGCTGGTCGCACCATGGGGCAAAAGAAGGTGGGGGGGGGGGGGGAATGCTAAAACTCGCTCTGAGCAAGTTTCCCGATATGGAGCCTCCTCGAATGATCCGGCGTCCTTTTCTATGCAGCCATATGAGGAAAGGAAGGAGAAGAACACAATCGGAATAATACCAAAGTGGAGGGGCCCTCTAGACTCCTCGTCTAAAACAAACTGGAGAAGAAGAAGAAGAAAAAAAAGGAGATGTGGAATAATGGAACAATGCAGTCTACGCTTTATGAAAAAGAGGTATATCAAACACCAAAGACAGCATCACCAAAAGGAGGATGAATGCCAAGCAAGCAAAGAAGTAGAGGAGGAAGTGAGGAGCACGGATGGGAGCATTAATGAACCAGACGAAGAAAAACACTTTCAGGTTGAATCAAAACCTGGTCCGCCGTTCATCTTGATACGTAGATAGTACATCTACCTATGGTACACATCACAAAACAGACTTGCCATGTACTACCTTGGGAGAGGAGATGGCGAGAACAACACACGTACGCAACGACCGAGTGCCGATCCTTCCTCCTCCGCCCACCCCCATGTAAACTGGGGGAATGACTGGTAAACGGTTCACCCGGTCTGAACCAACAAGATGTGGGGTTTCTGTTCCTTCTCTTTTGCTTTTGCTCGGGGCGGCCTCGAAATAACGCAGCCGCAAGGTTAGAAGGGGGGGGGGGGGGAAGAGGGAAAAACTACATACACAAACCCCCCATCGTTGCGCATGCCGTCTGGACAAGGAATTGTGTGAAACAGTGACAACCCGGAAGCGGTGGAGGGAGGACGTCGAGATCCACACTAAACTTGATTGGGGGGCCTCCAAAACGGGGTTTTGTGGGGGGGGGGGGGGCACCTTGTATTATACTGGACCTCTCTCTCTCTCTCTCTCTGACAAGCTTTCGGGAACCCCAGATGCTAAGAGGTCATAAGCACATTTGCTTACTTGTGGGGAGGGGTGGGCCCCAGGGAAAGAAAGAAAGAAAAAAAAGAAAAGAATAGGTAACAGGATGAAAGAAGTAGGGCCCCACAACCATGACCAAGCCTTCCCGCTCACACGGGCTTTGAGCTGCGACGTGCCCGTTCTGACGCTGAAACGAGCGTGTGCCAGGGCAGCGGAGACCAAAAAAAAAAAAAAAAAAAAAACCTGGAGGAGACGCACATGGGTTTTTTTTTTGGTTTTTTTTTTGGTTGGTTGGTTTGTATGTTTAGGGGGCGCGGCACATGCTCGTTTCGAAAGAAGAAAAAGGGAAAAAAAAAGTTCAGAGTGGACGACGGATCGTCGCTGGTCCATGCCGACTCGAGAGATGGGATAGCCGCTGGGCTTTGGGTTGCAGGTTTCAGTCTGGATGACGATCTCACCTCTTTGTGTCTTATCTTTTGGGTTTGTAAGGTATTTCTTGACAGAGGTATCGGTGAGGAAATGTTACTGGCAGACAGACCAATTTATCCTGGTGACATTCAAGGTTCCTTGCAGCCGCTCTTGACAGTACTCGATCGCAGACTGTTGTTTTTTCTTTCTTTTTTCTCTGCTAACAACCTACCATACCTCCCCCTCCCCCCTTCCTTCCCTCAGTGTATTGTAATAATATTGAATGCTTCAACTCAAGTTATAAAAGTCCTAGTCCACGCGGCTTTGTCGCGCAAGGGGTCTCCGACTCGTCTCGCTACTGACACCGTGAACTTGTCTTTCTTCTTCGGATGAAATCTGACCTACAGGCTTTGAGACCGTTCACACATATCGATTCGGCGATCTTTTTTTTTTTTTTTTTTGAGATCGAACTGGCCCACTCGCCACGTAGCCAAGACTTGTCAAAGAAAATTGGAATAATTCAAAAATTGGACAGACAGTTCCGTTTGAAAGGGGGGGGGGGGTCAAATAGGACGGACGTACCTTGACCCAGGGGGGTGAGGGCAGACAGATGCAGATGGGAAGAATGGGACCGGGGCGACTGTCCGTGTGTACCCGAAGGCTGACATGGTGGACCAAATCCATCCTTTGCATCAACAACATGCAATAAAAGCCAGTCAAGTCACTCTTCCTGTATATGATTTCTTACACGATGCTGCACGAATAAGGACAAAGAGCGTGGAGAAGAAGGAAGAAAAAAGAGTGGGAATAATCTTGCCGTGTTGCCGATAAATTCTTGGGCAAAAAGGCCCCAAAAGGTATCGGTAAATAGCCCGGACCCGAGCCGGCGAGGCTCTCATCCAAGCATGTGCCGCCAAATAACGTCGTCCCCCTTCGGCTCCTTTTTTCTTCTTCGGCCTTGGAGGTTCAACTGGTCGGTGTGAGAGTTTTAGAGAAGTATGTGGAGTTTTTGTGAGATGATCGGAATACTTTGTTGTGGGCCTTTGTGTCGGATTCAATAATGTAAGGACCAGTCCGAACAGGCAGACCGATGCCTACCAACCATCCTACATGTCGGATATTGGGCGTTCGGTACGTCGGTGATTGGTGATTTCCACGATGACGATGTAGAAAGCAAGAACAGCGGTTTGCAGATGACGAAGTGGATGAGGTGAGAGGATCCAGAAGCATGCCTTTGATTATACTGCAGCTCAAGATTAATTAGTCTACATCCAACTGAAGGATCGTCCTCCACACAGCGGTGTGGGCCTCTTCCTTTTGACTGTGAACAAACACACACACAGAGAGAGAGAGAGAGAGGTTGTAGAGAGAGCACAAGTATGGCCTTTTCACCATGCTACTCCTCGGTAGTACCAAGCAATGGGACGCTCTTGTCTGCATGAACTGCAAAATTTTAGGCCACCAAGGACTGCCAATGGAGGAGACTTACTGGTAGCTATTTCCAGAATATCGTGCCCTCCATCAACCTCCTGGCCGTTCTGTATACGGCTGCACTCTCCAATTTCCCCCCAGCATCATACTTGGCATCAACCTTGAGCAGACCAGTAGGGTGGGACACCTCCAGACCACCCACCCTCCTCCTCCTCCTATCCTCACTCCCTCTCGGCTCCTGCACTTGATCAAGACACTGCTGAACAACTGACCCAGGGATATCTGCAGCCGCAGCAAGCGACAACGCTACAGTGACAGGCACGGCTCTGTGTGGCTGTCCCACAGACAAGGCTCGCACGCAAATATCCCCTGCTGATTTCCCCCTCTTCTTCTCCTTCTCCTCGGGGCTCATCTCGCCATCATCTCGTCGTCGAAATTGAGGCACCCACACCATGGCGATTTTGGGAACGCTCTCGGGCACATCGGCTGGCTGACCCGCCAGGCCCATCCTGACCCCGGCCGCCCGCCTGATTGTGTCCAGGAGATTCATCAGGTCCAAGTCTTTCTCCATGTCCTGTGGCATGAAGCTCTTCTTGTCGTCGTCGCCCTCCTCAGGCATCTTCTGTCCAACGACCTCTTCGGCCTTGACAAACACGCACGGGTTCCCGACATCGATACACGTCGCCTGGCTACCCTCCACAGTGTCCGCCGCACGACCAGTCGGCAGCAGACGTCCTGTCCTCGACCCAGCAGGGTCCAGAAAGTCCAGCCGGACCGGTGCCGCAGTCCCAGCCACCCCGTCGATCGCAAAGTCCCCAGACGCCGCAGCCTCGCCGCCGTCGTCGACAAGGGGAAATGTCGAGCGGATGATCTTGCCCGTGTTCGTGTTGTGGATGTTGACCACCACATCCTGACTGCCGTCGTGGTCGTTGTCGTCATGGTTGCCATGATCTCTGGCCCTCTGCGGCGTGACCATGCCGCTGTCTACGGCAAACGGCCCAATGGCGGCGCTCATGTTGCCGCAGTTGGAGCTATAGTCAACACCGCTGTCTCGTACGCCCACGGCGGCAAAGGTATAGTCGACGTCGGCCCTCTCGCCGACCGTGGACGGGCCGACCACACAGATCTTAGACAGGCTCGAGATTCCACCGCCCATGCCGTCAAGCTGGCGGCCGTTTTCAGCGTCAGGGCTGCCCAACACGCCGTGGAAGATGGCGGGCCATTTTTCCTTGTCTGGGGGGAGGTCCTGGGCTCTGAAGATGACGGCGCGGGAAGTTCCGCCGCGGTAGTAGGCTGCTGGGAGGCGGTTCTGTCTCATCATGCTAGTCCTGTTTCGTGTTGTGGCTGAGGAGAATGAGGATGATATCGTTGTTGTTGGGGTTGTTGGCGATGTTGCGAATGCTGCTGTTCTGGCGAGACGCGAGTGGCATGATGGCGTAACGCCGGCGGCGGCAGCGGCGAGACGGGCCCAAGGACCTGTTGGCCGCATGGAGGCCGTCGACATCAATGTTAGGGGGGAAAAGGCGCCGTGGTGAGAATTTTGTTGATCATGTCCATTACACTGTCGAGAGTCGCCTGTTTTGGTAGGTGAATGTAAAGTTGATACTTGAATGCTGGAATCTGAAGACTGTCCTTCCTAGATAAACCAAATGACTTGTTTGATTATATGAAGTTGGGGTTAGGGTTGGAGACCGCCCCCCCCCCCCCCCAAAAAAAAAAAGGATGGTGAAGCATGATATCAAAATTAAATATTGAAAGGGCTCCTGGAGAGGTGTGCAGACTATTCCTATAAGCTGTCATGACAATAAGTTATTTAGCAAGCTCTGGTCTTGAGTGATCATGCGGTGATATGTGTAACATCAGGGTTAAAAATGCTACTCGAGGAACGGACTGTGACTATTATCAAGAAATCGAACTCATTTTCATCTTGCCACAGCAGTGAAATGACATGGCTTGTCCTGCCTAAAGCCAATCAACAACCTTGAGTGGCCAAAAGTTGACACCAGCCGTTGGTGGCTGGTGATGCTGCTCCACAACGTGGAAGACCATATTGACTAAGGTAAGGCGTGGGGATAGCATCATTTGTCAGAGCAGTGCGCTTCAGTTACGATCCTGCTATAGTATAGCCAGCCCAGAATACATCGAGCTTGTATATATAGATCAAGAGAAAAGCACTTGTCAGCGTCTCATCTGTAGTCCGTGTTGTCTCAGGTAATACATTACTAGAGAGAGCTTTTGGTTGATGGTGTTCCCTGAAAATGGAAAGTTATACAAGGCGCGTAACGTGTCGCTTCTGAGTGTCTATCATGCAGAAAGCACACTTGGAAGCCATAGACAAATTGCCTCCTCAAAACCCTTCCAGTAATCAAATGATTGACGTATCTGCGTCTTGCAGACTGGCTTAGAACCCAGTAATTTCTCATATAACAATCTTCTCAGAGTCAGTCCCCCGCTAGATCTCAAGAGATGATGCAAGTAAGGAAGAATAATCATTATATTGGTGCATATGCATCGTGTATGGTGGTGGAAATCGACCACCAGGACCGTTTTCCCTTCAGGACAAGATGGGTATATGTATGTATATCGATGAATCAAGAACAACCTCCCAAATCAAAAGAAAACACAAACACACGACAAGTTCTGCTGCACCATTGGAACGCTCTTCAATCAATGCAACAGAATCTCCTTGCTATCCCTCGTCAAGAAAGCCGCCCTCTGCGGGCTCCGCTGTGGCGCCGCATTCCTCGACCCGTCAAAAGGCATGTCGTCCCCCGTCGGGCTGCTCTCACTACCCTCATCCGTGCCCGACCGGCCCAGGGTGCGCATCATCACCACCTCGCCCATCTTCAGCCCCGCGCTGCTGTTGCTCCTGTGGCCATCGCCGTCCATCCAGGGCGTATACGCCGCCGCCCCCGCCGCGCTCTCCGACCGCACGCCCTCGTGTGAGCGGGTGTTCCGACCCCCCTCAAGCCCCCGGTCGTCGATCTGGGTGAAGTGCTGCTCTGTGACCTTGACCTCGATCTCGTGCGTGATCATGATGCGGTCGATGTTGCGGCGCAGGTAAGGCCAGAAGACTGGGAGGGAGGCCATGATGGTCGCGAGGTCGACCTCGAGGATGGAGAGCACAATCGCCGTAGGGCCGTACCAGGTCGGGTCAAACGTTGGGTAGGTGGCCGCCTTGTGGTCGACTATAGAGACAAAGCGGAAAATGGAGCACAGGACGGATCTGGACATAATGAGCGCATGTTGTCAGCTAAAAGAAATAAGAAAAAAAAAAAAGGGAATCGGAGAGAATTTGTATACAATCGCCTCTGATGGAAAAAGAGAAACAGAGAAAATGAGGCCAACTTACACAACACCCAGGCCATACAAAAAGATCATGGCGATGCGAGACTGCCTCTGCCTTCCCGCGGCAGCCCACATGGACCGAGAGAACAGCGGCAGAGCAAAGATGGCGATATCAATAGCCATGTTGCAGGCGCCATGGACCATAAACGTCGTGACGAAGGTCCGCTTGTCATCCGAGCCGTACCCGTAGCGCGTGGCCGAGACGGTAAAGTCCCAGTCCGCATAGATGGGCACGCACGGCACCCACGCCAGGATCGAATAGACGATGCCCCAGATGGCGGTGATGGCGATCAGCACAATGACTGCTGTCCTCATGATCATGGGCTGCCTGCTGTCCGCTGCCGGGTGCTCGTTCAGGAGCCGCAGGTACTGGAAGAGGAGCGAGATCTTGATGGCCGCCATGGACATGTTGTAGCAGGCATTACACCACCAAAACATCTTGACGAACTCTATCATGCCGTCGATACCTAACAGGATGAAGTGCTGGCCCAGACCCGCGTTGACCACTTTACATGTGGGTAACAAGTGATGATAATAGTCAGCAACTGGACCCCAAAGTGAAGAGCATCATCATCGCCTCGAGGGAGGTTCACAACGTACAAAATATCGAGCCCACGTTGGTGACCCATGTTAACAACTGGATAAAATGAAGACCATCTTTGTGAGCAGGTCGATATCCCTCAGAAAATTTGTCGTCCATTAGGATTGTTACATACCACAATCAATATTATGAAATAGTCGTCCCATCCTGGACATCTCGTAACAAAAAATCGCACATATAATCGTAGCGTGGCAGAAATTGTCGAGAGAGTCTTTCGATATAATGATAACAAGGTCAGCGTATGTGTGTTCGGGGTCAAGCGGTCTCACACCCAGGAGCCTCCTCATTCTCATCGCTCACCAATAAAGTAATCATGAAGCCATAGACGGCAGACTTCGTGTTGAAGAAGGGGGTGGGCTCGTCGAGGTTGTCGTACGACCCTATTGATTGGAAGAGAGACATGAGAAAGATCCCTCGATCTCTCGAGTGAGGTTCGGCAGGTGAAGGTCGTCGGTCGCCGGACTAGGAATATAGGGATAAAATCTTCGTCTCTTTCTCTGTCTTTTCCTTTCTCTTTTTTCTTGTTTCTCACTTTTTTACTCGCTCTGGTATCGGCTCATGGTAGCCTGGCATCTGGGATAAAATGCGAGAGGCATTGCCATGCCATTCCTCAGAGACAAAGAAGGGGGGGGGGGGCCAACACAAAAAGGGACACCCACAATAATAAGAGCGGTCGTCCTACGGTTCCCTCATCACTGGGGCAGATTCCACGTGCCAATCCCGCTCCACACCCGCAGGCGATGCAACCACACTTACGTTAGCACCTTGGGGGTGTAGCTGCAGATCCGTGGCGTATCAGGGACCAGAGGAGGTGCAGAGTAGCAGCAACGAAATCCGATCCCCCCTGAAAAGTTCGCCATGGGAATTCTTGGTGTGGGGTCCGCAGCCCCCAGTTGGACCAGACAAAGCGTTAAGCTGGCACGGCTGGACGCTCAACGGTTTCGACGGCGCTCATTCTTTTTCTTTTAGGCCTCGTGCTTGTTCTTGATACTACCCAAGATGCAGCTATGTGCCATCTGGGTGCGAGTGCCGTTGCGGGGTCTGCAACAGACAACATGTAACCATACTAGAGTATACCATGTTCTTACACACTCTGGCTTTTCCTCGGGGGGCCCCTTTGATGCCATCATGCTGAGTGAGCACTTCTTGTCGTCAGCCCTTCCTTTCTATGCACTCTTACCATTCTAAGGTATGTTTGTACCATAAGTAGTCTGAGGATCCACTCACAGCGGAGCGTGTCATAATCCCGTGCATGTGTATCTCGCCTGCGGGAAGAATGACAGATCGAGGAATCGATCACCATCATCTCGTAGCCAAGATCCACCTGGCCCGCGGGCCGCTCCATTTGCTATCTCTCTGAAGCGAACCAGGCACACTGAGAACATAGCTCAATATGTCAACACTGCACTATAGTACGCCTGCAGTAGCAGCCAGAGATCTTTGCTAGGGTCTAACATCCGTGACCTCTAACAAGAGGAACGTGCGCATGTCAGGCCTCGCTTCCCAAGAGACGGTACGCTTATCTCTCCTCCACATAGGCAGACCCCTCTCTTGGCACTATGTCGGATGCCTCACCATGAATTGAGAGAACCAAACTGTGGAAAGCTGGATGGAGCCTGACTTGAAAGCGTCCGGCTTTTTCAGCCAAGAACTCACACAACTTCGACATGACACTGAAAAAAAAGTCGGGCGATGTTCTTTATTAAGCCCTCTCGCTTACAATGGGGCGCGTGGAGCTGCCACGCATACAGGGTCTGGCTCTCGGAGGATTTCGAACGTTTGCCTCCTCCAGCGGAACTCGCCACTTTAGGACCAGCAGAGCAGAAAGCCGGCACATCCACTTGCCCCCAGTAGAACCACTGATAATCATTCTAGGGTATTCAGGGGCAGCCTGGGCTTTTTGGGGGGGGGGGTCGAGAACAAGATATTCTCTCTTTTTTCTTCGACCCCGACAATTCTGTGCTCCCCTTCTGCTTTTCAAGTTCAAAGGTGGTCTTTGCGCAAGACAGAGGCTATACACAGTAATCAGGATTATTATCTACTTAAGTAGTTAGCTACGGTCAGAAGACATAATTTTTCTCACCACATCAGATACACACTATCTAAATCCTGCAACTCCTCCGCTCTGAATGGTAAAGCGACCCAAGAAGGGTATAGTCGGGATGTTTCGAGGATTTTTATCATGGCTCCCGACTGTGAGGAACCTTGGGTCAACCAACTTTCGGCCCCTGTCGTTTTGCTTTTCTCTTCTTCCTATTTCTCCCCCCCTGCCTAAGTGCAGGAAAATAATTGGCCCCGGCCCCTTTCCCCTCTCCCCCGGTCCCGGTCGACTATGGGGGACCCCTCGTGTTCCTTTCATAACAGACCTTGATTATAGCAAGATTCGATTCAACGCACAGTCCCCGTCACTACTACTATGGTACTGGACCAAACGTCCTCAGGCAGTAACCAGCTCGCCGGCATCCAGAACAGCAGGTCACTTTTATTTCAGAGCGGTGTGGAGAGCACCGGAATATCTCTTCCTCCCATACTGAAGAAGAGGGGTTATATCACGCCAACTATAAGTGATGAGCAGGTCCGAGTCCCTTTCTTAGGGTGACTTAGGTTTCCAGTCTGTACGCTTGGCAGTTTCAAACCCTCAAGAAAGGGAGATTTCATCGCGACCTTGACAGCTCTCTCTCTCTCTCTGCCCTGAAATATGCGCCAGTTATTGATTTTTCAAAGTTTATCTGGGCTTAGCAAAGGAGCCAGAGTGGTGGGGATGCTGATCCGCAAAGGATTCGCATCTGACGTGTTGTTACCCAGAAAGAGCAAACACACCTTTTTTCACCTCGGCCACAGTTCCGAAGTGGGACCACACTGTACATTTTTGCTCGTCAGCACGGAACCACTCCCCTGTACCGCTTGTGCTTTTCACATCCCCATCCTGGCATGCCTCTCGCTCGATCTGGAAACGACCACGGTAGTGAGGTGTGCCTTTTCGGTTTAGCTGCTGAGAGTCCCATTCCCGATGGAAGACCTCGAAATCGCCATCTTGCATCGTGAAGGATTCGGCCGATGTCCTCCGGTGGGGAAAGGGACTCTGCGAGGTGGTTGGAATACCTAGACCGGTTCTTGGGATTGTGGCTGCATGCTGTGCCTCCCAGCCTCATAACGCCTCAGATGAATAAGTTGGAAGGCGAGAGGGGGGGTGGAGGAGGGCACCCATACATATTAATAGGATTCCGGTTAAAAGATGACAACTTTCGGATCTGGGCATATTTTTCGAGTATTCAAACCGTCTTCAACACACTACCACACCGGCAACGTAATCGCAGACGCATCTCCCAGATGTACATATGTATTGGTGTTGTCCATGGGATTCAGCGGATCATTGGCCTGTTGCAATTAAGGTTTCGAGTATCCGCCAAGCACCTGAGTGTACCGCTTCTGAACCCCTCGTGGCATCAGTTCAAAGAGGTGGCAGCTGCGAAGTGGTCGCGACCAGGCCCTCCTCGCGTGACAAAATCTTATGGCTTGACTCCGATGTCTTAATGTTCGGGATGGCCCTGTAGAGGCTACTGCCTGACCAGACCGCTGGAAGAATGTCTTTTGATGGATATCTGCCAATTGGTATGCGGCACCTCTATCAACGCGATCAACATTAATTGCCCTTGATAGGTGGCCACGCTACACTTTCAAGCCTCATCTCGAGAAACTTATCAAAGAACGCCGGGTCTGCGAACCGGCAACGAACAACTCCAGGAGCTTGACAACGCCTGTGATCTACTTTTCATTTTTATTTCTTTTCCAAAAAAAAAAAAAAAAAGAAAGAAAGAAAGAAAGAAAGAAAGAAAGAAGAAGAAAAGAAGAAAGCCCCTTTCAATTTGTTCTCAATCTTTGGTCATATTGCGGTCGAATATTCACTAGTACACCAGGAAGTGCTTCCATAGCCCGTGGATCTGCAGTGGTAACTTGATATCTATAACTCAACCCCTGGGGACAACTCCCCTACGGGCTATTCAAAGGGTCGGTAAGCGGCTCAATCATGTACATGCGAATAGTCTCAGACTGTTCGGTTAGCTTGTAGCCTGGTGGTTTAGGCATGAAAAATGGAGAGATCATCATGCCCCTGACGATCGTGAGCCGGGGGCTTATCAACCACAGAGGACCGCTGATCAGACCCTCGAAGACTTTTCAGAATGCCAAAGAGAACATGGCGATAAAGTCTTTGAATACTCAAATACCTACTTCTTAGATCTCCGTAGCTTTTGTCATGATGCTTACTCGATGATTCGAACAAGTCTTCCTCTTCCAAAGATAAAGTAAAAAAAGGTATACTTGGTCCAGCCTTCCGAACCTGCTCACGTCAAATGGAACTGTTCAGCGTTCCTGCCGTCTCAATCTCGTCCAACTTCGAATTGCCTCAAAGTCTATTGGTTTGTCTCTGATCTGCGTATCTTCAGGCTGGGAAAGAAGTCATGAAACAACGCTAGGCCCACTCGTATGCTTCGTTTAAGCAGGAGTAATCTCTGGCCTGAACCCAAAAACGGTGGTAGGATGAGCCGTTGTGCTATCCGCGGTGTTTTAATTCGGGCTGTGCGTGTTGCTAGCAGGTCTATGAGGCCGTCATGACATGTACGAGCTGGCCATTGCCACCTGGTAGATGCTCCATGCCTCCAGCGTGACTCGGTGAATAATTCTGGACTGGGGCATATCTTCAAGCTCCTCGTGAATTCAATAGTGTCAAAGTATCAGAGCCCTGACTCGTCTCTCAAGAGTGATCTGGCATGAAGATAACGCCCGCTGGTATGTCACCAGTGCGTGTGACAGTGTTCATTTCTCTTTTCCCTTTGTTTTTTCTTGCTTTCCTAGTTCCAAACTTTGCTTCTTTTTGTTTCAGTGTCATCCGATTTCTCAGTTCCAGTGATAGGAGTTTTGATAGAAGTGTCCAGTAGCACAAAGTACAAAATATCAGGCACAGAAGTTGCTGGAGGGCACCCACCATATTTACCATACCAGCAGCAAGGCTCCAAAGAATGGATTAGTGACCGTGGACCGACCGTGGACCGACCGTCTCTCAAACGGCTCTGCTTCATTTGCTTTTCAGTTGCGAAAGGATTTTGACGAGGGAAGAGTAGATTTGTTCTGGCTCTATGGATCGGTGGACGACACATGTACTCAACCTGACATCAAATTTTGGCACAAGGATTTTCGATTTGCTACAAAATTCGTCATTTTCATGGCCTGTGTTGCCCAAACAAAGGCTGGCATGGAAGTTGGCCTCCTCGTGACCATCAAAGCTGAATCAAGACCCCTTTACCATCCGTGGACTGCAGACATCAAATCCAAAAACACTTGTGAACGAATAAATATGTATGATAGCTCAGGCCTGCTCATAGAGGGTAGTGTCATACAAACAAGATATCTGCAAGGCGAAGTAAGCCCAAAAAGATCCCTATGCAGCGATTTTCATTCCAAATATCAGACTTGATAACATCGCCTGGTCGGTACGAAAATGTCACCATCTACGAATCTACCAAAAGGAAATGCTGTTCTGCAGCACAGTGGAGGTGGAAAAGAATTGGGGGGGGGGGGCAGGAAGGTTATCAACTGATGGCCTCCAAAAGGGAGAATGCAGAACTGTCTTGAGAGGCAGCATTTGCCAGTCTTTGATGTCTATGTCGTCACAAAGTGCACACCCCTTTGTCGATGAATGGAGACAAAGTGAATGCTACTCCAATCAGAGTGAACGTGTCGCGTACGCGTACGAGCCCCAGAGCGCGTTGGGTGGCTATATAGGTGTGAACAAAATCTTTGCTGATGCCTGAGGGCGTTTGGCCGAGTGGTACAGATTGCTTTCATACTTCTGTTTAGTATTTCGGAACCACAAAGCCAAACAAACTCAAGAGGCTCACTGTTCGATTCTCATCGCACGAGAATCGTTGGTTACGTTCTGGGGGATCACTTTTTTTTGTTTCCTTCTCCTTTTTAGCCACCACATCTGAGGGCTCTTGTTTATAGACAACATTCTAGTATTTTCAGATAATTATGGATGAGAGTGAGCAGTCCTTTCTTTGTCTTTCTGAAGGCTTTTTTTTCTTCTTTTGTTATCTTCTGACTTTTGTCTTCCTTTCTTGCCTTTTCTTTCTGCCAAACCTCTTCTACCTGGCGAGCCCACTGGTAGTCAGGAGAAAACCATATATGCTGCATGCCTATGTGTCAGACTGCACACATTCATGTCTTCTAATTGAATATAATCATCAATTTTGAGATCTATCATACAACAGCTGTATATTCACAACACATGCATGTTATTGGCCAATTTATTGTGCGCTTTCTTGCGCAGTTTCACAACTGTCAACTACCATATAGGAAAAACCTACTCTGGGCTGGAAATAGTGGGTTGGACCTTGGATGGAGCGCTAAAGATGCAACTCAGGCCTTGTGACATGTTGGTTGACACCGTAATTATGTTCTAATTTGGTAGATTCTAGCTGTGTATTCTAGGGAACAGGTCGTAATAATCAAAGCATTGTGCATCTCACTTACTCACTGATGACTTCCAATTTTGAGAAGAGGACGGAATTTAAGTCAACCCCGGCTGGCCAAGCCCAAGTTGGACGGATACGAGCCTTCGGCCACCATTCCACCATTCCACCCTCACATTCTCACATTTTACTCATTATTTTCGGAATTTTGCTTTGTGACCGTACGCAATAATGACACCTATGAAGCCTAGGGTCACCGCCTCACGTGAAACCACAGACACATAAATATATTGAGCTGGCCCAAAAAAGGGGGTATCATTCCATTCCTCATGTCTCAAAACAACAAAACATCAAGTCTAGTGACACATCCCAGAAGACCGAAGAAGATAGAGAGAAAGAGATTCCTCTCAAGGATGCTCGAGGCAAGTAAGAAGGAGGGAGATGGGAACCAAGCTCTACCCCACACCCACTCATCTCTTTTCAACCGGTTCTCCTGCTCCGATGCCATGCCGTAAGTGATCAGTGCTACCGTATGATGTGATGTGATAACCAACCTCTCTCCTCTCCCTCATGGATACCACCGACTGACCGGCACTGAGACTGTCGGCGAGGATCTGTGACATCCTTCCGTCTCCGCTGCGTCAGGCAATGCCTTCTTGTGCCACATAAATGCCACGCAACCTCTTTGTAACATGCTACTTCCCGTGCTAAAAAGAACGCCTACTACTCCTTGTGACCCAATCCCTAAGAAACTATACAATGCTGCGACTTCCTCTTCCTTTTTCTCTCGACTGGCCTCTCTATTTCTTTTTCTCGTCCATTTTTCCGTTCATGTAGTCAATGCCGCGGGTCGGACGGGGCCCGTCCGTGACTCTTTTGAGCATCCACCATCTCCATCTGGACGGCCTCCACCGCGGCAGAGGAGGCCCCAGCGGCAGTCGGGGTCTCGGCCGCACGCTTCTTCTGTTCGACCTGCATGGCGACCACGCGCATCTTCTCGATCAGCTCCGGCATACGGTACGGCTTGATAATGACGTCGTCACAGCCCGCAGCTTTGGCTTCCAGAATCTGCTCCAGGCGCGCGTTGGCAGTGGCCGCAATGATGGGGATATGGCCGCCGAGGATTTTGCCCTGGCGCTCGAGCTCGCGGATCTGCTGTGTACAGGTGAGGCCGTCCTGGATGGGCATCTCCACGTCCATTAGGATCAGGCTGAGGGGGAACTTGGTCGGTGTGGCGGTGGGCGTGACGAGATTGGTCGTTATAGGGTTGCGGAGGTTGAGACCTTTGACAGGCGCGATATCGGGTGATCTGGCCGGTGTTGCCGGGGTGTTGGGGTTCGTGTCAGATGGCAGGTCGTCAGCGTTCGTCATCTCAACATCCCCTAGCCACCGGTCCGAGGCACGAATCTTCTCCAACGCCTCCAGACCATGATTGGCAACGTCCACGGTGAAACCACGATCCGCCAGACCGCGTCTGGTGAGCTGCTGGTTGATCATGTTGTCCTCGACCACAAGAACGCCCTCAATCTTGGGCGGTTCGATCGTCATCTCCGTGTCCACGTCAGGCGAGGAGGCCGTTTGATCCAGACTCTTATTTGGTGTGCTACTCAGCGGCACCTCTACCGAGCCGATCTGCAAAGACTCTGCCCTCTTCGTTATGGGAAGGCTGTTCGCCTGCAGGGCTGTTCGTGCTGTGGCTTTTGCTTCCTTCAGGGCCGCTTCGCTTGGCCGGTACGTCTCGACGTAGAAGGCAAAAACGGACCCAACCCCCGGTTCTGATGCGACGCCAATGGCGCCATTATGCATCTCACAGAGTCTCCTGCTGATGAAGAGGCCGAGCCCAGAACCTCCATACTTGACATGGGTCCTAGCCGATGCCTGTTTAAAGCGCTGGAACAATGTCTTCATCTCTTCCTCAGTCAGGCCCTGACCGGTGTCTTTGACCTCAATGGTGAGATATATTGGGTTACCACTTTTCGCGGGGAAAGGCTGCTGGTATTCACTCCCTTGCAACGGCGGTATGAACTGGACCGAGCAACTTGAGTCGGTTGGTTTCATATCTGACGCGCTGATGGTGATCGTCACAGAGCGGGTTGGACCAGATTTGGTAAACTTCAATGCGTTGGTGAGGAGATTGATCAAGACTTGTTTCAGGCGAGACGGGTCAAGGTCGAGATATTCCAGGCCGAGATCTTCGTAAGACTGGTCGACTTTCATCTGCAGGTCTATGTCCACTCTTCGTGCCTCTACCTCAAACATCTTCAGCGCCTCTTGAGAGATTTGTATAGGGTCGACGGTGATCGGGGTCACAGCTAGGAGCTTCGAATCGAGCTTGGACATTGTGAGTATGTCGTCGACTATTCTTTTCTGGTGCTGTGCGCCTGTACGATAAAAGGTCTTCAATCAGTGCCGTACTTAATCGAGGGGTTCAAGGTAAAGATCCAGGGACGCAGCCCAGTTCAAAGAACGCAATACACGAGTCATGTATCATGACGATTATTAACAGGCAGGACAAGAGGACGTATGCGGAGAGAACACATAGATATAGGTGAAAAAGGCCCGGGAGGAGAAAGGAAAGGGGGGGGGGGGGGGGAGAACAAGAAACGGTCCACCCACATGCTATGATCGTCTCAGCGTTCTCGACACTGCTCTCCATGAGGACTTGGTCTTCTGGTCGGACGTTGCCACCAAGCATCCCGTTGTGGGTCATCGGAGACTGCCTACTAAGACTCTTGTTGGGCTGCGTGATGTCGAGCGCCTTCGACAGCGACGCAATGACAGCATCAGCGCAGTGGATGATCGCGCTAAGAGGATTGCGCATCTCGTGGGAGGTCATGTCGATAAAGTTCTCCTGCTGTCGTTTTGACTCGAGGGCCTCTTCCTTTCGAAGCCTCTCACGTTCCAGCTGCCATTTCTGTAACGAGACGTCGCTCACACATCCGCAGACTGACTGAGTCATCCCGTCTGAGCTCTTTACCGGCATGAAGGTGCTGTGCACCCATCGAGGTGCGATGATCTCGGTGTCGTGACTGTCGACCACTTTCCAAGGCAGTCTCAGTCGGACCTCGCAAGTCTGCGGGACGCCCTCGCGGACGACCTTGTTCAAGGCGCTCTCGAGAACCGGGACGTCCTCGTCGCTGACACAAATATGCCATGGCTTCACCATATTTTCCTTCGGTTCGAACTTGTCCTTATCCAGGCCGCACATCTCGAAGAAGACATTGTTGGCCTCGACAAGCTTGCCCTCGGGATCGATCTCGTACATGCCGACCGTCGCCAGTTCTGCCATGCGCTTCAAGTTCTCCGCCTGCTGCGCCCGCCTAATCGCCTCCTCCGCCGTCTGTTTGTGGAGTGTCACATCGGTCAGACAGGTCAATATCTGGCGCACCGTCCCATCTGGAGCGCGTTCGGCCCTTACAGCCGCAAAGATGTGACGCTCGGTGGCGTGGTCATCGATCCCTTGAAGTTCCACGCCCGCCTTTTCGAAGCTCGGCGACTCTCTCATGGGGGGAGGTGGTGAGTTGATAGTCTCACGGCGGATCAGTCGGCACTCGTAGGTGACATTGTCTTCGTAACGAAGCCGGTCATAGGCCCGCATAACGCCAGGTCGATCCTCTTGGACAATGTATGACAAGATATCTCTCAACGCGATCGAAGGGCCAGTCTCTCGCATTGGGTTCCCCGTGATGCGGTGCCAAGCATCGTTCGCGTAGGTCAGCACTCCTTGAGCATTCTGGAACGCCATGCCGATCGGTATAAAATCCGTGATGGCTTCAAACTTCTTCATGGACTCGGTTGCCTCTCGTGTGCGGTCGGCCAGCTTGGCCTCCAGCTGTGCCTGCTCGAAGGCTGCCTCCTGGATCGCGTTCCTCCCCCTTCGGGCCTCCTCCTCGATCAGGATCGTCGATGCCAGCGAGTTGGCGAGCTTCTGGCTCATTAGTGATATGAATTGGCGGTAATCGTTGTCGTAGGGTCTTCTCGGGTTCAGGCCGAGGAGAAGGAAGCCCATGGCGTTTTCTTCCTGCGTCGGCCGGATCGGGCAGAGCACTACACTCCGGCAAGCGTCGCCAAATCCTCTCCATTCGAGTCCAGAGATGAGAGACTGGGGTAGCGACCCGTCCTTACTCTGCAGGACAAGTGGATACGGCCGCAAGGAAGCTTCTCGGAAGAGGTGTGCCAGCTCGTCGCTGCCATCCTCGAGAGAGATAGCGCTGGATGCGAGGGTGTGCCCAGGAGGAACGCCGAGCCCCCCCTCGAAGCGGAATAACTTGGGCGGAGTCGAGAGCGCACCTGCTAGAGACTGCGACCCCTCGTGGACGCTGTAGACGGCAGCCAAAGGAACATCATATTGAGGTGAAACTGCGTCAAGGGCCTCGATCAGTTTGGCCCAGAAGGATGACACGGCCCTCGCCGTGACAAGGGCGTCTCCGAGGTCGACCAGCATCTTCATGCGCCTCTCCCACAGGCGCACCGACGTCGTGTCGAGAATAGGATGCAGAAAGCCCACAACCCGGTCCTGATCCTGGCCCATGATAGGCACTATCGACCACTTGAGGTAAAGCTCCTCGGGCGCGTCGTCACTCTTCAGTATGAAAGATTTCCACTCGTCGTCTACAACGGCCTTGCGCTTCTGGCTAGTTGTGATCATGATGTCCTTGAGCTGGTTGCCGACACCGGGCCAAGCAGCCTCGACCGACTTGCCCAAAAGGCCTGGATGTTGGGAACCGCACAGCTTGCTGAACGCCTCGTTGTAGATGAGGGTGTACTGATCACCCCAGTATATCGTAATGGGTCGGGAGTCCGCAAGGATCTGGTTGAAGGTCTGCTTGAGAAGCGGGGGCCAGGTTCCCGGCGGGCCAAGAGGGGTAGAAGCCCAGTCGAGGCTGGCGATGACATTCAGATAGGGCTCCTGATCATGTATCAACTCCGGTAGGACCAAATCTGGCTCAATTGACATCCTCAGCGGCGATGATGCGCTCGCAGGTTGCCCGACATCCGTGATAGGAATTGATAAGGGCCGAGGGGTGCGTTCGGGGCGTCTTGTGGGGTCGGATGCGGACATGGGCGCGGACGAGGTCGAGGTCGAGGAGGAGGAGGACGAGGCCACCTTGTTGGCACTGCCAGAGACCCCGAAGCTGCCCTTCTGCGAATCGAGCCTTACCTTGCGAGGGCGGTCGGCCAACTCGGGCTGCTCGTTGGCACCGACGACAAGCCATCTCTGCTGGACTAGACACTTGCTCCACTGGGCGTTGAGATAGTAGAAGGAGGAGTCGGGGGATTCGGAGGAGGAGGAGCTCCTGAGTTTAGTGGCGCCGGCGGCGCGGAACGAGGCCGTGATCCACTCCCAGAGAGCGGCGTGTTGGGCACGCGAGTCCTCTAGCAGGTCTACTAGATCATCACAGGCCGCCAGGGCGGGATTATAGTAGGCAATGAGGGAGTCCTGTCTCGTCGTCGTCGTCGTCTTCGAGGAAAAGGGCCCGGTGGCAGCGACAGCGGCGCCACTGGCGCCATCGACGATGAAGGTCGGTCGTGGGTCAGCCTCAAGCAGATCGACAATGCCGACATTTCCAAGTTGCGGGTGCATCCTGTTGTTCGTTTTCCTGCGAGGATGTACACTCCTAACTCAAGAGGAGGAGGTCGGCATAGCTGGCGGTTGTGGAGCGCAGGGTGCTTGATCAACAGATCGACTCCCCTGTGAAGCACAACACAGAGAGAGGCGCGAGGAGAGAGAGCGCGCGAAAGACGGAGATACAGACGTAGAGGACAGAGAGGGAGGAGACGTAGGACATGCAAGTCCAAGCCCAAAGCCCAAGCCCGGTCTGCTGCGAGAGAGACCGTAGGCTCTGTGCCTAGCAGCAGAGGATCTCGAAGAAATCCAGATAGAATAAAAAGAAGAGAGGAAGAAAGAAGAAAGACAAAAAAAAAAAAAATTCAAATTCGAATAGGGGAGGCAGATGACGATGGTAAAGTCGGTGGGACAGCCGACGGAATGCGTGTGCCGTATTGGCACTAAGACTAGGCCAGGCCAGATCAGACCAGCTTTTTGAGAGGGAGACTCTTTTGATGTTGAGATTATACGGTGGGGGAAGAGAGAAGGAGGAGGTGGAGGGGTGTCGTTGTTGAAGGGGTGGGGGCGTGTGGCCTCGACAAATCGCCGTCGAGGAGGCGAGAAGTGAGAGGAGAGCTCGTGGGACCTGCCGTGTACGTGTGCGATGAGCGAGAAGAAGGAGAAGGAAGGAAGACGAGTCGATCACCAAAGTTAGCCTGGTTTCTAACCCTCGTCACGATAGAGAGGGAAGGAGAGAGCTGAGCTAATTACTATGTCTAGGGCTCTAGCAGGTTCCGGGACCTAGGAACAGCAGCGGGAGGATGCTGCGTTTGGCTTGGCTTGGCTGGCTCGGAAGCGGGCAAGCAGGGGAGGAAAAAAGAGAGGGGAAAAAAAGTCGAAAAAAAATACCTGAAGGGAAAGGGAAGGAGAAGAAAGAGAGCAGAAAAAAAAAACCACACACAAAAAGTCAGTGTGGGGTTGCAATCCCTCACGATCAACGGTCCCACCGACCAAACTTGGAAGTCGAACGCACCTGCACCGTGACCAGACAGGGATTGTGACCGCCTCAAGCAATCAAGTCTTCTGGATGAGGAGCTGACAAACAAGAAGACGGAGGGTGGAGAGGGGACGTATTTGTTGTTGTTATTGTTTGTTGGTGTCAGTTGGCAGACTTGTTCCTCGAGAGGAACCGAAAAAAAAAAAACATGGAACATTTCCGAGAGTCGAGGGGCACAAAGTGGTTCGTGCTCCAGAGTGGTATTGTGTGATAGTGGGTTCGTCACTGAAAGGGGACGGAAATGTTCATCTGAGAGGAGAGTCAGAGCAAATGAAATAAAAAATAAAACCGAAACTATTTCAAGCCTCGTCCTCCTCCTTCCTACTTCCAATCTCTCTTCTTTCTTTCCCCCTGTCATGCGACTCGCAGTCCACGTTGGCGCAACCAGCGATGAGACTATCTGGATGGGATGAACCTTGCCTCCTCCACTCCCCCCCCTCCCCTCCATTTCGAGATCGCCTCGACGCCGCCGAGATTGGCGCGCGCAGCTCGGCTTCAGCCGTAGGGACCCTATCGCTTCTTTAGCACGATCTTGACTTGTGCTAGCAATGGTTTGCTGCCAGGGACAAGTAATGCCATTCTAAAGCGAGTCAGCCTGTCATCAGCAGCATGGAACAAAAGACCAACACGCGACCCCTTCTTCGTTCCCGTTACATGACTTATGGTGCCCCCTTCCTTCCGCTGGCATACTCCCACCAAGAAACGAAGGAATCAAATAATATAAACCCCGTACTGCAGTATATAATCCTTGTGTCGTACACTTTGATGAAGCCTTCACAGGGGTGCCCCTCCTATAGTGTATTCACTACAACCTGCTGGTCTGTCTCAGAGAGGGAGTGCTTCGGTCCTTAGGTTCCCAGCCTCGGAAGTTGTTGCTAGGTGGAAGCGGAAGAGGTGGTGGTGGAGCTCACTGTAGTAGCAATAAAGGTGCAGTCTGCAACCTTCCGCAGCAGCAGGTCCGCTCGGTGTCCCTCCCTCCTGGGTCAGGATGACGTCATGGTCTACGGCATAGTGTATAGCTGCGCGTCCGGTCCCCTCCCACCCCCGTCGGCAAGGTCGGCTCACGAGTCATTTATCCTTGTCAGTCACTCACTTTTGCAGATGCTACTTACCCCCCCCCCCAAACAATGTGGAAAGTTGTGTTATATGCGTGCATACATTTGCGTGTGTATGTGTAAATGTATACATTTGTATGCGCTCCGGTGCTCTGAAACTTGTCCAACATTATTTCTGTTTTATTACCAGCCCACCCAGCAGCAATATGGAGAACGAAAGGTAAGGCGAGATAGGAAGAAGAGCCGGAGGGTTGTGACCTAATCCCCATATAAATGTGGTGCAACTCAACAATTGGGGACCTTCCCACGTTAGGGTTGCTATGGGTACATGGTACCGTACTATTGTACCATGTACTATTACTATGTATGACTGGAGTGACCAGGTTCAGGGTCGCACGGGCAGAGCCGTTGATGCGTTCTCATAGATGCGCGTGATTCGACTTGACAGCCTGTCCATCACCTAGTGAAGACTAATCACCACTACTTTGTGACCTTCCCAAATTTAGAACCCTTCACTGGTGCCAGCACGCAGAATACTGTAAATGATATATAGTACATAGCGTAATATAACACATTTCTTGCTTCTTCTTTCTAACAGGATACAGCAGCGACGCCGCAGGAGGATCCGATCGTGACGACGTCTTGGCCCCCCACACGACCTTCCTTTTCCCCTCTCCGTCCTCCCCGCCCCTCTCTTGTAGACAAAAGATCACAGAGCGGATGCTGTCGCAAAAGGTGGGCTGCATGAGCCAGCTGTTTATGCTGCTGCTGCTGCTGCTGCTATACGGTCATCGAACGGGGGCCCATCTTCAAGTGGAAAGCAGTCAGTATTGTTAAGCTGGGCTCTTGTTAGCTCTTCATCTTCTCCTTCTTCCATGATCGACAGGGGGTGTCAGCCCCTGCTAGTGAGAATTTGTTTGTATTCCTACTCGGCGCCGACCGAAAAATACTATGTACATTCCTTCTATGGTACTTAAAAATGCATTCGCGACAGAGGGCGAGTCAGTCAGTCCAGTCTTCTGTGCATATTCTCTTAGCTTTTGGAGCTACGGGGATAATTAGAGCCAGCGCTGTGTTGTGGGGGAACATTGCATAGTGCGTTTAATCGAGGATCATTTAAGAAACTGCAACCGCTTCAACACTTGCCCTGTGAGTTACACTTTGAATACTTTACCTCCCTCACATCCCCAAGAGAGAGTTTGTGTGAAAGTGAGAGAGACTTGGAACTGCTCCCTTCAACCCCTTGTTTCCTTCATCCTGGTCGCAAATAGTGGGTCTGATAAGGTGTCATGAAAGCTAGGGTCCCTCTTCTTCTTTTACGTGATAAGAAAAAGCACCACATAAACTGCACTGGAAAATTGAATTCAACTGCCAGGCCCACCTCATCATTTTTTTTTAATTTTTTTTTTTTAACAAAATAGGAGAGGAACGACAGAAACAGATTGCTTTGAATAGAAGCCTTGTTTTATCATCCCGGAATAAACATGTCACTTTTGCCTCGATGAATACATCCTCCAAGGGGAGAAGAAATGAAGAGAAAGAAAGTCCAGGTAAGTTTTTCTTCGACGCTTGGTGCAGACAACATACAGAGACGGTGATAATACAACCTAACAATTGCAACCAATATGTTGCCTATTTCCAAAGACTTGCATAGATGACTCTCTCGCCCTGGAAGGAATTCCTCGAGTGCAAGGTCACCCAGTTATCTACCAGCAAGACGTCCCCGCGCTCCCACACGAAAGATACCGCCAGCTCGTTCATGATTTCAAGACACCTGCTCAAGATATTCGCATTCATAGCGCCGCCGTCTCCAAACACCACGGCCTTTTGCGGATCGTTCCGCTTGTCCTTCCATCCTGTGAAGGCCGCCACGATGCTGTTGAACCACGAGATCCTCCCCGTGCGCGGATCCTTCTTCGTAGCAGGTACCACCGCGGTTGTCGTCCTCAGCAAATCCCCTTCCAACCACTCGACCTCCATACCCATGTCTCTGCCCACACTCTCCGCATCCCTCTTGGTCTTGACGGCGAACGTCGACTTCCACCCCCTCCCGATAGCACTGGACGGGTCATCCTCCTTGGGCAGCACCCGCACGTATCTTACGCCCTTCTCTTCCAGCTCCTGCACAAAAGTCGGGAATTCTGCCCTGATACGCTCGTAAACCAGATTCGACAGTACGATCGGTGTCTCACCGCCCTCCAGGGCCGGTTTCATGCAGTAGAAGAATAAAGTGCCCGGATGCGTCTTGCTCTGCGCCATCTCGTGATGGAACGGGATTAGCTGGTCCGCAGGTGACTCGTTGGCCGTGAACACGGAGCCCGTGATGACGGTCCGCGGGGCCGCACCGCCCACATAAGGAAAATTGGTGAGCCCAAAGGACTTGCAGACGGCATCAAAGTCGACGGGTGTCGAGATGGGCGGGCAGAACCCCCGCAGAAGGATGGCGCCATGGGTCTGGGCGAGCTGCACGAGGTGGCCCTGCCTGCGCGTGATCCAGTCGATGACGGCATCTGTATGAGTGAAGGCTGTGGTCTGCGTCTCGAATTTAGCTGGGCCTGGAGTCAAGACGAGCGGGAAGGCGATCTTGAACCCGTCGACCGTAAAGTGTTTCTGCTCCGGGATGGAATCGATCGCGGCCGGCGTGAGCTCCGGGATAGGGGACATGAGGAGGTGGTTGGCCTGACAAGAGCTTTCCGCCAGGTGAGTTGCTGCTAATGACGTTCTCTTCTTGTCTGAGAATGCTATTAAAAAGAAGGAAAACCTTGTTTAAATTGCCAAACGGTGATTTACGGATTAGCGTGATCAAGGACCAATTCCAGGAGTCTGCCGTGCAGACTTCGACGTCCCCAAATTGCGCCATTGCCGATATTTACTCCGCTGAGACTAGACTTTGTCCGGTGTAATTGCACAACTACGCAACTACCTACCTTAGCTGTCATGTGTAGACATGTTTGTTGTCAGATTCTATTGTTGTTGTTCGGGTCTACCAAAATTATTGACAATGAACCAAAACTCAGTGGTCTCTAACGATGGCTAGCATGTTGAGACTACGCAAGTAATTACATTGTGGACCAATTCTTTCAAAAGCGCCTGATGATGTGGTGACTTTTCGGCGGGTCTTTGGCAGGCCTAGAGCATGCTGCGTGGGGTTTCTGAGTCTTGACTGGCATGCAAATGATTCTGCATTATTGCAAATGGTTATATTGCCTCAACGTGCTCGCGACTGGCTAGCATATGTCTCACCTTTGAGAGGCGGTTCACGCCCTTGCACCGTGCCACGCCGCGTTCGACCGCGCTCCAGTATGGTGTCCTTCACATTCCTGAGGATATCGCCCCCCCTGACTTGTTAAAGTACGCAAGGGAAAACTAATTAATATGGACAGAGAGGGCGAATAAGATTTCCCACATCCCTCTTCCTTTCTCTCTCGTGATGGAACTTTTGTTCGTGTCTTTGCCAATTACACACACCAACAATACGATAATACCTGGACTTTTGTGTCTTTTTCCCATCGATAGTACTAATACCTGTCACTCCTTGTTTCATATGGTTAACGTTTCCTCCTGCTCTCATGAATCATGGCGGTCCAGCTGAAGACCACCGGCTCGTCTTCCAAGCAGTCCACGACCCGCTGGCGAGGGATACTACTGTCGACCATACTCGTCGCCTTGTTATTTGTGGGCCTGTACAGCCAGCCTCTGTTCTTCGACGAGGACGGCCTGGACCAGAAACCGATATCAAAAAAACTCCACACCAACCAGGCTGTCTTTGACCCAAGCCACGGGCGCGACCGGCCTCTGATCCTGTACGCCTATGCCGAGTCCGACAACGCCAGGGAGAATCTTGAGTTCTTTGTCAAGAGAGGGCTGCACGCGCGGGCCGACTTCATCTTCATCTTCAACGGCGAGACGGATGCAGTCGGCATGATCCCCACCAACCTGGAGAACGTCAAAATTGTCCAGCGGGAGAACACCTGCTATGACATTGGCGCCTTTGGCCAGGTCCTGGCCAAGGATGGCCTGTGGATGAAGTATAAGCGCTTCATCACCCTGAACGCCAGCATCCGCGGGCCTTTTCTCCCCGTTTGGAGTGATGAGTGCTGGACCGATGCCTTCTTGAACAAGCTCTCGGATACGGTCAAGGTACGTAGTAACAAACCGCATTCTTTTCCATCTAGGGCGTGTGTGTTGGTCAGAAAGAAAGAAGGGGGGGGGGGGGATGTATACAACCAAACACTACAAGGTCGGTAGCGATTGTCAAGTTCATTATTAACAATGCTCTTTTTTGTCGTTCTGCTAGCTTGTTGGCCTTTCGTACCACTGCGTTCCCAGCCCTCACGTCCAGTCAATGCTTCTTGCCACAGACAGAGTCGGCATGAAGATATTACTGGATCCGACATATGCATACTCGGTGCCTCTTGACACCCCTCCATGGGGTGGTGCAGAGCTACCAGTCGGATACTCGGTCTGCTACAGCGACTACGCCCAGGCGGTAAGATTGCCCCCCCCCCCCTCCCCCCTTTTGTTCCTATTTCTCATGCTTCCACTCTATTTTTCATTTGACTAACGCTTGTCTGCTGCTGTCGTCGTCCAGGTCCACGCCGAGATAGGCATGGCACGCCTCATCCGGTCGCAAGGTTTCGAAGTGGACGTGATGCTGACCTCGGTCCACGCATACACGCCCAAGGAGTACTGCGAGGTCCTAGGTCCCCAGTCGGACCATCTGGGTGCCGGCAACTACTTCGGTTCCAACGTGCACCCATACGAGCTCATCTTCGCAAAGGCGAACCGCGGGATCGATGACGCCTTGCTGGACCACCTTACCGAGTGGCACTATACCATGAACGACACGAGCTGGGACAAGTGCGGGCGAGACAGGCCATAGTATGGAAAGAAGTGAAGGGGTGGTAATAGTTTTGTGATGGATACGATGACAATATTGGCTGGTCGAAGAGGAGGGTGAGAGGGGGTTTGTTGCCATTTTTATGTGTAATTATCTTTAAGGGCCTCCTTCGATGTTCTATTATACATATACATAGCGTGTGGGGATTTTCATAATAGACGAACGACCTCATTGATATTATTATCATTAATCGGAACATCATAAATTTTGAACGGCATGCTCAAGCACATCATTCATATGTTTTGTTGTTGGAGCATAATCAAGGGGCATAATCAGTCAGCACGCTCTCCCTTTGTTTAGATTGCCTGAATCTTGATTGCCGATTAACTAGTTCACTTTATCGTATCATTGGACCCTTGTGTCATCATGCATTGCACTGGCTTGCGGCGCAGCCTGTGGGAGGGTAAGGTGACCACTGCAACTCTCCGCTCAGCCCAAGCAGCCGCCTACGCTTAGGCTGTTTTGCGGATTTGCGCAAAACCACATTATGAACGAGAAGACCCCTGATTACATACTTAGGTCATACTTGTCAGCCATAAGATCTCCCCACCATAAGAGGTACCGTAGCCATCCTGACGAGCCCCTTTCTTCCCCTTCACACCGTGGGACAGGTAAGGGGAGGAAAGAAAAGAAAAGAAAAACAAGAAAGTAATACCAGTCTGAGAAAGAGGGTCCACCTCTTCCCCCCACACCACAACACAACCCATAAACAAACAAACATGGCAGACGTATCGTACGGTGGCTTTGCGCCCCGTCGCAACCAGGGAATCATAGGGAGGTCGCTCTCCTTCTGCACCGGCCGGAACATGACCTGGCGATCGACAGCCTCGCCCGTGGATATCCCAGGTGCCTCTCCGCCCAAACCCTCGACGAGAAGATGTCTCTTGTCCGCCTCCGTCCCGGAGAGCACAGATGCCGTCCTCTCCAGGTCCATCCTCGAACAGTGCCGAATCGCCGACAGAACCTGCGACACCAGCCCGCGCGCAAGCCTCAAGGAGTGTGGGAGCTGGGCGTCGCGGACCTGCTCAGAGGCGGCGGGCAGCAGCAGCATCACGCCGTGGTCGACCTGGAAGGCCTCGTCGAGCTCGTCCAAGGAAGGAGGAGGAGGAGTGGCAGCACAGAGCCTGGGAAAGAGCTCCTGCAATCACCAGATGACTTCGGCAAGTGTCAAGACGGAGTTTGCCAAACGTCGAGAACCTCAGAAGCAGGCAAGGGACCAGGTGTCGGCCTTGTCGGTTGCGCTGCGTGGGCTGAGTAGGAGTGCGCTCAACGTTGCTGAGGGCCAGCGTGATCAGATTGGTGCCGCACAGCGAGAACATCGTGAGTAATGATTAGTATTCGTCGTCTTTGAAGAGAATGACTTTTTCCTTCCTTTTCTTCTTCTCCTTTTACTTTTGGCTAATCGCAGATGAGTAGAAGAACAGATAAAGAAACACGTCACGGCTGCTGAGATACAAAGCAGCATGGTTGGTCTGAGCCTGGAAAAGGAGACCCTTCCTCACAGTGATGTCGAGGCTGGACAGCCAGTGTCAATACCCGACACAAAATGTATCAGCGTAGATACGGTGTCAGAGTCGTCGCCGGCGACTTCACTCACGAGCTCGAGCACCACCACATGCTCAATGTCCTCAGATGCCTCCTCCGTCGGATTCGCCTCACGAGAGGAGCAGATTCGAACGCTCCTGGACCGACTCATGGAGTATTTCTTTGCTGTGTGCGCAAACATGCACACGCAGAATGGAACAGGGACCTCAGTATGCGATACACCATCATCCAGGTCGTCTGTGCCAAGCAGATCGTCTGAGCACCTTGGAGGAGGAGCAGCAGCCGGAGGAGGAAGGGTCAGAGCCGGTGCCAACCGCAGTGGAAAACGCCGTGCGAGCCGGAGTGATGATGGTGGTGAGAGCGGTGACTCGGACTCTGACGAGGACGACAAGCGGCCGCGGCTGAAAAAAAGAATCAAGGATGGGGAGACGCAGCCGAAAAGGCTTGCTTGTCCATTCTTCAAGCGGAACCCGCGTCGGTACCAGGAGGAGCGATCGTGTGTTGGACCAGGATGGAAAACTACCCATCGTCTAAAGTGAGTTGCTTGTTGTGATTTCCTCTTAACAGCCATACCAGCATATGCCAATAAAAGTACACGGACGACTAACACCAGAACAGAGAGCATATATATCGCTGCCACACGTTACCGGTCTATTGTCTCCGATGCCATAAGGTCTTCAACAACGAGGACCTGCTTCGAGAGCATTCGTTGTCGGAAATTCCCTGCCAGAAGCGCCACACAGCGCAGTCGGCCGAGCCCACGTTGGAAGGCATAGGGCTGTCTCAGGAGAGACGACTCAGGAGTCGAAAGAGGTCAGAAAAGACGGAAGAAGAGAAGTGGGTGGAGGTATACAAGATATGCTTTCCAGACGATCTCACCGTGCCTACCCCCTGTAAGCCGAACAACCTGTCAACATTGTTGTATACCCATGCGTTTAAAAGGAAAATTGGCATAAAAAGGCAGGAGGGCAAATGCTGATAATGATTTGAATCGCTTCTACATCAGACTATGAACTTCCGACCCCAGCTGAGAGCCCAGCTGCCAACAGGACGTCCGAACTCGCGCAGTACGAGGAGTTTGTTCGCAGCGAGCTCCCGAGAAGAGTCAGGTCCGAACTAGAAAAACGGATCGAGCGAGAACTGATCCCCATCGAAGAGAACCTCAAGGGCCAGCTCGTCGAGATCGTACGCGACCTGCAGCTGAAGCTACTGGAGGAGTTCAAGGAGCCCCGGAAGCACTGCCTACAAACGCCAGACGAGCCAGATGAGAGCTGGGTGGCAGTACCACCCACCTGCCTCGCTCAGTGCCACTCTCTGGTGCAGCAGCAGCCCTCGAGTGACTTCGCGCCGGCCGGACCACCTTCAGTCACCTCTTCGTCTCTGCATCAGCCACTGGACCCCTACCCATTTTCACAGCGAGGGTTGAGCGGTGACGACTGGGCCACCTCGGACGGCCTCATGTTCGGGTTTGCACCAGAGGCTGAAGATTGGAGCGGGCTATGGACCTCCGCAGACCAAATTTCGACCTCAAAGGTATCAAGCTCGGCGGCGGAGATCGGGTTGGCCAGTAGCAAGAGCGTCGATGGAAATGGTGGTATGATGTTTACAAGGGCGAACCAGCAACATCTTGCTGGAACGTACCTACAGGATTACCGCTTATAAGTTGCCCTGCTTTAGGACCACTATGATGTGTGTTGTTTGAGTGTTTTGTGTAGAGGCTTGAAGCACATCATAGTCTTTACACGTCGACGTGGATTCATGTTTTAAATAAACGTAGGAGTCAGTGGCCAACATGCGACTTAAGGACCTGAGCACGTAGCTTTGAGAGGTATCTTCGCCATGATGGAGAACAAACACAAACAAACGGCAATAAGTGTTTGAGTATGCATGACTTGAAGGATAAATAAAGAGACAGTCCTGCACCGAGAGACCACCCCCAGTTCAGAGGCCCTCCTTGACCAATGCATCCTCCACCGTCGTCCCCGTAAGTCTCTGGAAAACATCCTTGTACTTCCCCAGCGTCGCTTGCCTGACCTCCTCGGGAAGGCTGACTCCCTGCTTGCCCTTCAGGCCCTCCCTCGTCAGCCAGTTGCGGATGATCTGCTTGTCGAAGCTCTCCTGGTCCCTCCCGACCTCGTACTTGTCCGCGGGCCACATACGGCTCGAGTCGGGCGTCAGACACTCATCCACAAGCACGACCTCGCCCGTAGCCTCGTCTAGCCCAAACTCAAACTTGGTGTCGGCAATCAAGATGCCCTTCTCGCGGGCATGCGCGGAGCCGGCCTTGAAGACAGCCAGGGCCAGCTCCTCGATCCGCTTGGCGTGGTCTGGGTTCCCGATGATCTCGGCGGCCTTCTCGGGCGTGATGTTTTCGTCGTGCTCCCCATACTCGGCCTTGGTGCTGGGCGTGTAGATGGGCCCCTGCGGGAGGGCCTCACACTGGCGCAGGCCCTGAGGCATCTGCATGCCGTGCACGGTGCCGTGGGTCTTGTACTCGTTCCATGCCGACCCTGCGAGGTAGCCGCGCACAATGGCCTCGACGGGGAAGATCTTGAGCTTCCGCACCTGCATGCTGCGGCCACGTACCAAGGGGAGCTCGTCCTGGCTCAGGCGGTCGGCGGGCGGTTGGAGGGTGACGAAATGGGTCTTCAGACCTGGGACCTTCTGCGAGAGGAGGCGGAACCAGAAGGCACTGATCATGGTCAGGATGGTGCCACGGCCGGGCACGCCGTTGTCCATGATCACATCGTAGGCTGAGGTGCGGTCCGAGGAGACGAAGAGCATCGTCTCGGCGTCGAGGTCGTACAGGTCGCGCACCTTGCCTGACGCAACCTTGGGGAGCGACTTGAGGTCGATCGACAGGACTTGTTCGGTCATCTTTGCTGGTTGGCTGTTCTCAAGACAAGTTTGATGGTGATGATGGTGGGAGGTTGGTGGACAAAAGAGTCACGGCGATGCAGCCTTTCCTGCACTCTCGCCGATGTGAAGACGATTCAGTTGAATTGGTGGTCACTCAGCTGATGAAGTTGTCTGCAAGTTACTTTTTAGCTTTTCTGGCCTTGAAAAGAAGATGACTCATGCTTGTTTGCACCTACCTTTTTATATGGGGAATCTCATCCTCCAGGGTTGGGCCTTCTCTTTGATGTTGGCAGATGGAAATTGAAAAGAGAGAAGTCGCGAGTCTTGAGTCGTGATACAACCACACCACCTGAAAAGTTTGCGATTGGCAAGGGCGATAGCGGAGAATCCATCAAGTATTTAGTGGCGGCTGTAACCGCAACTGCAGCGACTATTCCTTGACCGTTCACCACCAAAATGAATCAGACTTTTTTCAATGTTGAATTTTATGCTGTTAAGCCAGGAGTCCTATGTGAGGTGCCTCGTTGTGTCACATATCATGTTGTAGAAGTTTCCAAGATGTAAAAGCATGGTGTTTTTCGTCTAATGGTCGCCAAGCAGCACCACTGTTGGTCTAACTGCCTTGCCTGCCATCTGCTGTGTCGTTCAATGATAGGCAAATTCATTTCATAGGCCCACTGGGCTCGCAAATCTGATATTATGAGATGAAAACATTCGAGGACACATTTTTGAATGAGATTGTATCGCATTTGACCTCGGAAACATCATCTGTGGTGCTCGAATTACTCAATCATCTGTGCATCATTATTAGTTGATCCTTGCTAACAATGCCCACAATTATAGACCGGGAGACATGAAGCCTTTCGCAATAAGTACTTGAGTACTTAAGCTTAAATAAATAGACTGATTTACTAATAACAAGTATACGGAGCTTAAATGCGAAAACGTCTCGTCGCTGGAGAAAAGGAACGTCCCTAATTTGTCTCAGCAGCAATAAGGAGATGCTAGTGGAGGTACCGGAGTGTCTTCAGTTTGCTAATGGAACTCATAGTAAAGAGGTCTATACCCAAGTTGCAAGATATTCAAACCTATAGGGACGTGCAAGAGATGGGACATTGCTACCCCGGACTTGAAGACGTTGGAGACCACTTCGACATCAGGACTCAGTCTTTCGAGAATATCAATAGTGTTTGATTTCCTTTCTCTCTTTTATCTTTGCTTCTAAGTTCTGTTTCCCCAGGCCCATAAGAAAATAATTGATGTGATCTGTGTTTTCAGGCTAGAGGCTCTACAACATTGAATTGAATCCGGAAAAGATTCATTAAAGGGCTCATTAAATATGCGAGAGCCGATGAAAATGAAAGAGCCTAACCCCAGTGCGGCTCAAGGTCTCATTTTGTAAATTAATCGATGCGACTGCAGGGGGGGGGGGGCAACTGGACTGGAAAGGAGACGCAAGCTGCAGTCCTCGGGTCGAAACCTTGCGAGCTCTCAGACACAATGATGAGTGTTGTTGAAGTTGGCAGAGCTGAGACTGGTAACAACACATGCGAATCAGAAGGCGCATACCAAGGTTGCATCAAGTGAGTTACGCGGTGCGGACGACCTTCGCGGCCTGGGGGTTGCCGGGCACAGTCTCCCTTGCTGCAGATAATTAATTGGATTCCTACCTTTCCAGCCACGTGCAGGCGACAAAGGTGGGTTTCGAATCTCATCCAGATCAAAGCTCATCCCACACGGCATCAATTCTCGGCAGGTGGTATCCTAGAGCAGATGTGATGCATCTGTGCGGTGCTTTGAGAAACACACCCGCATTGACATAGTACGAGGTAGTGTGTGGTAGTAGGACAGGATACGAAGTTGCAATAGAGAAAGAAAAGCTGCACAGCATATCAGCAATGGGCTGGAGGCACGTGCAACATCTCGCCCTCTAAGGCGAGAGGTGGCCACTGGAACTGGCTCGTCACGTATGAGAGTCGTTAATTAGTCGATGAAGATACCTGGACTGTGCTGCTTTAGGTAGAGTGCACGCCAGGCAGGCAAGACGTGGTCGATCCGGCTAAAACGGCAGCTGTGGGGAGTACCTTGTCGTACATAGCAATGAAAAGGAGAGACATGCGATATTGGCCGCTGAGACAAAACGAGACAAAGAGGGATCTCCGGGAAGCTGAACTATGTTGCCATTTCTGCACGTTTTGTACGCCACAACGCGAACCATGGAGCGAGAAATGTTTCGTTGGGAGGCCGCAGCCAAAAAGGGACCTCTTCCGACGTGCAATTTTTGCCGTCTTTAACGGAATTATCACGATACCAGCTGGTATGTAGGTCAGTCCCCTTGTACCATTAAGACGGTACTAGGAAGACCTAGGCCGAGTTTCTGCCAGGTCGATTACCAAGGGGGCGATTTAAGAGGGTAGACAAAGAAAATATGGGGGCCACGCAATCATGAACATCCGCCCCAGGGCGGGAAAAGCGCCGGGCACCAAGCCCTCATACGTTTCTCTACCAGGGGCGCCCCCCCCCTGAACGACACGGTACTTTACTTTGCGCAAAAGTCACAAGACACGGTCGAACCAATAAAGCTAGCCCATATGCTGCGTCCTGCCAAAAGATGTACGCCAGAACGAGAGAAGGGAGTGTGGCCCCGGCGATCTGGCCAGATTTTGTCCCATCGGTTGGTACCTGAAGTAGGGCCCATGGATTTCTCTCTTCTGGTCTCTGAATGGTCCAGCAAATAGTTTAGTTCCAACCTGGTTGGGGGCTTTGCACTTGCACTCGCGCCCCGGTTGGATTCGCCGCAGGATGACGACGATGGAACCTATTCCCACCTGCTGTGCAGACCTACTCACATGCTGACGACCTGCATGTAGCAAGGTGCTGATCCTCTACCTACCCAGCAGAGGTCCTTTTTTCTTTTCGTTTTCTCACTCACTCTAACCCTTTCCCTTGCAAGGGGAAAAAAGAAGGAAGGCAAAAAAAAGCGAATACGTAGTATGTGATGTCAGTACTTTTCGTCGATCCCCACAAAAAGGAGAGCCTTCTATTCACAACCGATCCCCGAAGTGAGAAACGTTGAGCGCCTCATTGTTTTGATTTACTTTTTGACGACTATTCATAAATTGTTTTGAATCACCTCAGCTTGGCCACTGCAGCTCAGAGTCAACTGTTGTGTGTCAAACACCAGAGAAGCTGTCACACCGGATCGGAGTGGCTTGAAGAAGAAGAAACAGGAAGTGGTATCTGCATATTCAGCGTCGCCACTCGTCTTGATCTGCACGGCAGTACTGTAATCATTACCTGCTTGAGTCCGAAATTTGCAACGACGCCACAAGACAGCATTTCTTCCTTTTGAGCTTCTTGACAACGACGACGACGACTGGTAAATATCCTCTGCTCAGCACGATAACTGCACCAAACAAGCGATCCTCGTTCACTGTGCTCCTCTCACCCCTTCCCTCATCTGCCCTTATCCCGACATGAGGCCAGGTGACACAGCTGCGCTCCTGGCGCTGGCGTCCACAGCCGTAGCAGACGTTGTCACAATACCAGTGGCCAGAAGTCCAGCCAAGTCCGTCCAGAAGAGAAACCCTCGACTCAGCAAGCGCGCCACCCTCACCGAGTCTCTGGTCAACAACATCACCGAGGGCGGCTACTATGCGACGGTCTCGGTGGGCACACCCGGGCAGACCCTGACCATGGTCCTCGACACAGGGAGCAGTGATGCGTTTGTCATCTCTGCCGATGCCGACCTGTGCACGGAGAAGAAGCTGCAGGTCGTCGACCAGGAGACCTGTGGGGCGACGTACAACGCCTCCGAGAGCTCGACGTACAAGGACCTCATACCTGGCGGGTTCGAGATCGAGTATGCCGACGGGACCACCGCGGCGGGCGACTATATTACGGATGACTTCTTGATTGGCGGCAAGACGGTCAAGAACCTGCAGATGGGCCTGGCCGACAAGACGGCCGTGGGCACTGGCGTTCTGGGCATCGGGTTTGAGCTGAACGAGGCGGCCCAGGCGGTCTACTCGAACCTGGTGGTGTCCATGGTGAACCAGAGCGTTGTGAGCACCATGGCCTACTCGCTCTACCTGAATGATTATTACTCCTCGACGGGGAACATCCTGTTCGGAGGAGTGGACACGGAAAAGTTCATTGGCGACCTTGTCGTCGTGCCCATCCTGCCAGACGCCGAGTCCAAGAACTACAGCAGCTTCACGGTCGGCCTGACGGGCCTCTCGTTTGCCTCGTCCAACGGCACAACCTACAACCAGAGCCTGTCCGACGACGATGGCAGCCTCGACTCCATCCTCGACTCCGGGACCACCCTCAGCTACCTCCCTGATGACATCGCCACGTCCCTCTTCTCCGCCGTCGGCGCCTACGAGTACACCGAGCTCGGATCCAGCCTGGCCCTCGTGGACTGCAGCCTCGACGTCGAATTCACCTTCCGCATCAACAGCACTGCGTCTATCGTCGTCCCCCGCGACGAGCTCGTCTTGGACGTCATCTCGGGGGACGAGGTGCCCACCTCCATCCCCTTTGCCAACCCGTGCCTGTTTGGCATCCAGAACATCGGCGACGAATCTGACGAGTCTGGTGGTGGCGGCGGCGGCGGGCCGGAAGGGACAGGAAGCGCGGCGCGGCAGGCCGAGTATGCAATCCTGGGCGACTCGTTCCTGAGGAGCGCCTATGTCGTCTACGACCTGGACAACCTGCAGATCGGCCTGGCGCAGGCCAACCTGAACAGCACGAGCACCAACGTGCAGGCCCTCAGCGCGGGGGAGTCGAGCATGCCGGCCTTTAGCGGTGTGGCGAGCCAGTCCGCGAGTAGCAGTAGCAGTAGTGGTACGTCGACTTCCACCACCGGGACGAGCACAACGGGGACGAGCAGCGGAAGTGCTTCGGGTATGTTTCTGTTGTTGTCTGCGTTCAGACCAAAGCACTTGTTTCCTAAATATTACTTTCGTCTTCTTGGCTCTTCCTTTTCTTCTTTAACCATCACTCTTCGTCCCAGTCTGGGTACTCTCTGCTAACATTTCCTCGCAGCGACCTCGACTAAGAAATCAGCCGCCATGGGTCGCAGCCCACCTACATACGAAGGTCTCATGAGCGTTGTCGGGATTACGCTTGCATTTGCCATGTCGGGAGGCCTTCTTTTCTGGCTGTAGACAGTTCTAGATATCATCTTAGCTGGGATCATTCAGACACTTCTTTGGGGGTATCAATTGGCGATTTCTTGTTTTGGAGGATTTGGGGAAGCAGTACATACTTAGATAGCAGATACAAATATGAGTAAATGAATGCCATGTGGCAGAATAAAGCCATTCCTTTTCCATATCGTCTTCGGTGTGTGCGTGCGCGCGTGTATGTGACAGTTTGATGTGTCTGTCAAACATAATTCAGGCTCCAGGCGGCACATGAGGTTTTGGATTGACCACCGGGCCATGGCCTCTCTCACCCGGTCTCCTCGCCCTAATGACCGGGCCCATCGTTTCCGGAACCACCTTCTGCTCCTCTTTTCCCTCCACAACACCGCTGCTCCCAGCTGGCGGCACCCACTCCCCCAGAACCCCGTCCCGGTTCGCCCTCCACACGCCTCCCTCTTCATCCCCGACGAACCTCTCCAGCTTCCAGATCTCGGCCCTTGCCTTGACCTCCTCAAGGCACTCCTCGCCAGCCCGCCACGCGGCCTGCCTGTGCGGCGACGACACGGCGATCAAAATGCTCTCTTCGCCGATGGGGACGGGCCCGAGGCGGTGCACGACGGCGATAGCCTTTAGGCTGTGCTTCTGGCGGATAGAGGAAGCGATGGAGTTCAGCGTGGTGAGGGCGAGGGGGACGTAAGATTGGTAGGTTAAGTCAAATACGGGGCGGGCGCCGAACGTGTCTCTTGTTGTGCCTTTGCAATTGTGAGAGGAGGTCATACAGGAGGTAATATGAATAATGTACCTGCGAACAAAACGATTGCTCCTGCTTCTGGGCTTCTTACACGGTCCATGATCGACTTGGGATCGAGGACATTGCGAGTGAGAGCCACGTATATTCCTGGCTCGTGCCGTTCAGATGTTGTATCGGCATTTTCAGTGGTCATTGTTGTATATATGCAGGTATAATTTACTGGCCCAGCGATTGATGAACAAGGTCTCAAGGTCAACTCCGAGGGCGTTGTGGAAGATCTCAACTGAAATAAATTGAGCACTGACGAGGTGGGTGATCGTTTGGAAGTTGGAGTATTCTAGAAGAACGTTGATGGCGCACAGTTGCAAGATTCAAACAAGGATGAAACTCATACAAAGAAGTGAAATATTGCAAGGGAATGGTATTAAATATTGTACGAAGATCGAAGTTAATATTGAAGTAAAAGCAAGTAATTCTGACATATGTGATGAGGGAAGAAATATGGAGTCTGCCAGTTTCCCTCAAGGGCCGGGCCGCTTTCGGCAGTGGGTTGCTACTCCCCTGCTTGAGCACTGCAACCTTTGGAGCTCAGCGCCAAAACCACCTTAAAGTTTGGCCTGACATCAAGCAACAGGCCCAACAACAAACAACTTTTGATCGCGAGCTCTACTGCAATCTTGAGCCTCGTCATTTCATCCTTCTTGGCTTTCTCTCTCTCCCTCTCCCCATTTTCCCTGCTGCTCTTCGTCTATCACCAAAAGTTGCAAGCAATGTACGACGACGACAGATCTCGATACCGATACAGGTCACAGTCTCGCGACCACGACTACGACCACAGCTATCGTCGCAACTCGAGGTCGCCTCGGGGACGACGTGATCGAGGAGACGAGGGCGATTATGACTACCATCGCTCGCGGAAGGGTAAAGCCGCATTGGGCTGCAGACGTCTTCAGCCTGCAGTGCTTGTTTCCCCTTGCATGTCTGCCCGTTCTTGCTGGCTAACTCTGCGCCCACACCCACTTTGAAGAAGACGACGAAGGTCGGCGCTCTTCTCCCTCCGGCTTCCATCATCACCACGCGAGGTCACACCGCTACGACAGCTCTCTGCCCTACGACGACGACCTGGCCGACCACCGCGACCGTCGACACCCTCACTCCCGTTCCCGCTCCCCTCGCCGGCCAGTTGGGCCCGGTCGGCCCTCGTCCACGATCATAGTCGAGGGCTTGCCTAACGATGCCACGGAGGATGACATACTGGACGGCTTTGCGAGTGCGTCTCCAGACGCCAAGGTGTTCAGTGTCGACAGCGTCAAGGTTGTCCGGCTGCGGAACAACAAGCGCGGCCGCAGGATCGGGTTCGTCGAGTTCTTCAACGTCAACGAGGCTGCACACTTCCTTGAGTTCCACCACCCAGGTCTCGAGTTCCAGCTGGCCCACTCCCGCGGTGTGGACTCGGAACCGATCAGTGTGGGCATCAACTATAGCCGCGGGCGGGACGACGAGAATGGTAGGGACGAGCGGGGGCGGGATGATCGTGGCAGAGACGAGCAGGATTGGAACTGTCTCGAGGTGAGCATCCACACTGCTGCTCGAGCGATGCGATTGCGAGGTTGAAGGCGATTTTCTAACGGTGCTGGGAAGTGCACGTACTTGAACTACAACACGAGGAATCGATGCCACAGGTGTCGCGCAGCGAAACCAGGTGAGACTTTTCCCCAGACTTGCATTGGTTCCCCTGTAGTTTGACGAGTCCCTTTTGGAGCCATCACACAAGAAAGACTGTCATATGCCACGACTTGTCTCCCACTGGCGCTATTTGTGGCTGAAGACGAGACTTGCTTGGCCAAAGAAGGAAGGGTCTCAAGTGTCTATCTCTTGAGGCCTACAAAATGATGACACATGTACTAATACTCTTGTCAGATAATTACCCTCGTGTACGCGAAGACGTGGCCTCGTACGGCCCACCGTTGACTGGTGAGACCGATGAGTGCCCGCAGCAGATTCCTTCGCAGTATCTCGTCGTCCGTGGACTCGATCCGACAATCACTGAGGAGCTCTTTGCTGAAGGCGTCAAGAAGCTCTATGTCGAGGCGAGGCCGGAAATGAAAAAGGATACCCAAAATAAGCTCAAGTCGACGGCACCCACTGTCAGAACGGCGAGTCTTGGGGCGAGGCCAGATTCTCTACGGCGCGTCTTTCTCGTGCGCGACAAGAAGACCGACGAGGCCATGAGATATGGCTTTGCTGAGTTTGCGACACTTGAGGATGCGCAAGGTGCCATCGCCAAGTTCCGTGCATCACCAAACATCACAATCTCCTCAAAACCCGTGACAGTGGGCTTCATCCACACAGGTGTCTTCATTCCCCATTCTGGCCAAGTGACTGAAGATAACCGCCACTACGTCTTTAGTCCGATCTACAATCGGGACATCTACCTCAAATACTGGGACAATCGAGTCTACCCCAGCGCTCTGAGAGTCACAGAGGATCACGTCGACACATCAAAGAAGTCTGCCTCGGACAACACAGGCAGTCCCGAAAAGCCCGGAGTCACAGCTCCTGACGAGGTCACGACTGCACAGGATCCTTCTGGGAAGAAGATGAAGAAGTTCAAGCTCGGCCAGGCGGCAGCCAAGCCTGCTGTTGTGATGGGCACGCAGATGCAAATGTGGGCCAAGAAGCGTGCCGAGCTTGTGGGACAATCACGAGCCGTAGCCGACGACAGCGTCGAGCCGAGTCCCATCTCGACCGAGCGACCGCTGGTGGTGAAGCGGGCTCGGACCAAGGAGTCCTACACATCCTTCAGCGACCTGGACAGCCTGTCCTGCATGCTCTGTATGCGAAGATTCTCGTCTCTAGTGGCTTTGCGTGACCACGAGACCCTGAATAGGGAGCACCAGGCGAACAGGGCAGACCAGGAGAAACGAGCTGCTGCTGGGGAGAGGCTCAAAGCCGCAGGGAAGGCACAAAATATCATCACTCTGCGTGTTGCTGCGAACAGCACCCCGAACATCCCCTCTGAAAAGGTGTACACGTCCTATGCGGACAGAGAGAACTTGCACTGTCTCATCTGCCAGCGCAGGTTTCCCAAGGCAGGTATGCTATCACTGCATGAACGCGAGAGCGAGATGCACCGCCGCAACCTAGCCGATCAGAGCAACATCGACCGGGCGATCTCGCAGCTGGCTCGCATCGGCAAGACGCCTCGCAAGATGGTGCCAACCAGAAAGGGTGCACAGTACCGCGATAGGGCCAGAGAACGGCGACGAGCTTACAATCAACCCAATGCGCCAAGGCGGAAAGTTCCCTTGGAGCCTGCACCCGCCAACAAGGAACCCGAGAAGGTCGCCGCGCCGTCAAAGGGCGCGGCACTCTTGGGCAAGATGGGCTGGACGGCTGGCGAGGGCCTGGGTGCTGACCGCTCCGGGCGAACAGACACCATTGCCACGGATGTATATGCTGCGGGCGTTGGTCTCGGCGCCGAGGGCGGCAAGCTCGGAGATGCAGCGACCGAGGCGGCGAGGAAGACCAAAGACCACTACTCTGACTTTGTCGAGGTCACGAGGAACAAGGCGAGGGAGAGATATGAGAAGCTGGGATGACTTGATAGTTTTCCTTGATTTCACTAATACAATCCGGCCACACGAGAGGGTGTGAGAGAAAAAAGACAAACGGTCCCCACCTTGTTCAATCTTCGGGAATCAAGAGTCTGTCACCTGTTCGACTTTTCTGCTTCGGGGTCTTCCACTGGTGAGTCCAAGGCTCGCATAACTTCGGCTGTTGTACTTACTCTGGCAGAACACACCCTTTTCTGGCCAGAAGAAGTGAAAAGTCTCTTGCATGACAAAATATTTAAATCGACAGGAGTATTATCCCTGTCTTATCATGCCACGAATGAGTGGCATTGGATTGGTCGACAGCGTGAACTATTTCAATGCACCATCACTATGAAGGCGCACGAAACCTTTTTGTGTCCCGAGAACCATTGAAAGACCATTCAAGGTATCGTGAAACGAAATACAGCTTGACATCTACATCTGTTATCACGACATTCGGGTCCTCATGAGAACTCAATCAAGTTCACACGCATAACTATGTATGGTACACATGCTTTTACTGGTGGTATCCACATCCCACTAACTATCCTTGTTTTAGGTGGCATCTTATCGCTTGCACCCTCCACACTATGCAACCGTCGCAGCCGACTTATACAATCTTCCCCAATCACGGGTCATGGCCGACAGGACCCCCCCTTCGCTGATAGTACCTTTTAGGAAGGTCGCCCACTCCTTACCTCCGCGCAACGGTTCACAAGAAGTGCGAACCACCGATGGGCCCTACAATGGTCACATACGGACCGCAATCTGGAGCCTTGGCTGGCTTTTTTCCTCTCTTGCTCTCTCGTTGTGCGCATCCCTCCCGGCTCTCAAGCTGGCCCCGCTACCCCCAACTATCGTGATGGCGTGCATGCAATTAGTTTCTTATGCTCGACGCACCGAGGCCCCACCTCAGTCCACCATGATATGCCGGTGTTCCTCGTGGCTGGATTCCGAAACGGACGACGAGGTTACTTGCAGTCTCCCACGCTCGCCCTCCTCGTGCGTGGACGGCTCTCATAGCTCAAACTTTCTGTAGTCTTTTCTTTTCTTTCTCTGTCTCTTGGCACGATTGTTATCTTTCGCCCACAGGTCCGTTTGGAAACAGAGAGCAGCGGTAAACAAGACCTAGGGAGGTCGTCTCTGGTCTAATTATATTCCCACGTTTTGTTTTATGCCTTCCTTCTTCATACAACGTTCCTAAGCTGTCAACCCCCAGCCGTGGTCTAGACCATCTCTCTCTCCCTCTTCTCTTCTCTTGTCTCTGACAATCTCTTGGAGAGTCACTCTCCACGGACGATCAATGCGCAGAACACCAAAACGTTTTCCCAATTCATGACATATAGCCAAACTCACTATCAGCCTCTCTTCTACGCCTTTTACCCCTCCCCCTTAGGGGCATGAGGCTCCTGCTCCTGCTCTCCTCCAAGGAAACCAGGCAAAGATGAATATCCTTCACAAGATCTTCCGGCGGCGGCACGCCGCCGAGATCGTCGCCTTTGATGTCGCCGTGGCCGAGACTTCGTCGGAGCGGGAGATTTTGCGGTCGCTGGGCGTGGCGTCACTGAAGCAGTTTGAGAAGATGCACCACCTGGACCCCAACATGCCCCTCGATGAGCTGGAGCAGATAGATGCGGCCATCAGGCAAGGGAATGCAGAGAAGGGCGTCGAGATTGAACATCTCATCGTGGAGGACAATTCGCCTTATCCCGAGGTGAGTAGCCAACCCGACTAACTTTTGGGCGAGGACGGGGGGGGAGGGGGGGAGGCTTCTTTATTTTGTTTTGGTTTTGGTAACAAGACAAACGTGTCGTGTAGGTTCGCTCGACGGTGCGAAATTACGATGTTGACCTACCAGCCAACACGATACGGGCGTGGGTCATAGGCCTCTTCCTGTGCACCATCGGCTCCGGGATCAACATGCTCTTCTCCCTACGGAATCCCAGCATCGAGGTGACAACCTATGTCATCCAGCTGGTGGCATACCCCATCGGCCTTCTCTGGGACCGCATCTTCCCGGACCGGGTCTTCAACGTCTTCGGCCTGCGCTTCAATCTCTGCCCTGGCAAGTTCAACTTCAAGGAGCACGTGATAATAACCGTCATGTCGAACGCGGCGTACGGCGGCGGCGCTCTCTACGCAACGGACGTCATCATCGTGCAGCAAGTCTGGTACAAGCAGTACCTGGGCTGGGCTTGGCAGACGCTCTTCGGCGTCACGACGCTGTGTCTGGGATACGGGCTCGCGGGCATCTCGAGGCGGTTTCTTGTCTGGCCGGCCGCCATGATCTGGCCCAGCAACCTCGTCAACTGCGCCCTCTTCTATGCGCTGCACGACCACTCGTCCAAGGCCGAACCAGAGTCGGCGAGCGGCTGGCGCATGGGCCGGTACAAGTGGTTCATGATCCTCGCCGCCTGCTCGTTCGTCTGGTACTGGCTCCCCGGCTGGCTGTTCCAGGGCATGAGTTTCTTCTGCTTCATCACCTGGATCGCCCCGGACAATGCCATTGTCAACCAGCTCTTTGGCGGCGTCAGCGGCTACGGCCTGCTGCCGCTGACGCTGGACTGGACCGTCGTCTCGGGCTACCTGGGCTCGCCGCTCATCACGCCTTTCTACGCCATCGCCAACACCATCGGCGGCGTCCTGGTCTTCTTCGTCGCCATGTCCATGGGCATGTACTACAGCGGCTTCTGGTACGGCGCCTACCTGCCCGTGCAGAGCCCGCAGTCCTACGACAACACGGGCAACATGTACAACGTCTCGGCCATCCTGGACGTCTCCGTGTTCAACGAGGAGAAGTACTACGCCTACTCGCCGCTGTACATGCCCATGCAGTATGTCATCGCGTACGGCCTTGCCTTTGCCAGCATCTCCTCCATGATCGTCCACGTCATCTTGTACCACAGCCGCCAGGTCAAGGCCCAGTTCAAGCTCGCGCGCAACCAGGAGGACGACAGCCACATGCGCATGATGAAGAAGTACCGGGATGCGGATGACTGGTGGTATCTGGCCTTGTTTGCTGTCATGATTGCGCTGTCGTTTGTCGTCGTGTGTGCCTGGTAAGTGAATCCATCAACCAGAAAACACACACACACACACACAGACATTGTCACGTGTTTCCCTTCCTCTCTCTCCATTCGCTAACAAGCTTCTCTTTTTTTTTTTTCAATCACACACACAGGCCAACAGAGCTTCCCTGGTGGGCCTTCGTGGTCTGCATCCTCATCGCGGTCATCTTCACCGTGCCCATCGGCATCATCCAGGCCATCACCAACATCCAGCTCGGCCTGAACCTGCTGACCGAGTATGTCGTCGGCTACCTCGTGCCCGGTCGCCCCGTGGCCATGATGCTGTTCAAGAACTACGGCTACATCTGCTGCACCCAGGCCCTCGGCTTCGCACAGGACATGAAGCTGGGTCACTACATGAAGGTGCCGCCGCGCACCATGTTCTCGGCCCAGCTGATTGCGAGTGTGTGGTCGGCCATTGTACAGATTGCTGTCATGAATTGGGCGCTGGCACATATCCCGGATGTGTGGTATGTTCCATTTTGCTTTCTTCGTTTCTTCTTCTTTCTCTTCTCACGCCTTCCTCCCGAGGAGACGATAGAAAGAGAGAGAGGACTCACTCATCACGCTCAACTGACAATCACTGACTATCCCTCTCCTCCCAACAGCTCCGATGATCAGCCAAATCAGTACACCTGCACAGGGCAAAAGGTCTTCTACACGGCAAGCGTCATCTGGGGCGCTATCGGACCCAGGAGGATATTCAGCGCCGGGGCATTGTACAGCGGCCTGCAGTGGTTCTGGCTTCTGGGCGCGCTGGCGCCGCTGCTCTCATGGTACTTTGCGAGAAAGTATCCCATGAGCATATGGCGGTACATCCATGTGCCTCTCATCCTTGGGGGGTCGGGATATCTGCCTCCTGCTACAACATACATCTACCTGTAAGTCTATCCACCTCTCACCCATACCTTTCCTCCTTCATTCTATATCCCTCCCACAAATTATTCTCTTAACTTTCTTGGCTGACCACGTACGGCTATTTTCCTGCCCACCAGCTGCTGGGGCCTTGTCGGCACCATCTTCAACTTCTTCATCAAGCGCCGCTGGAACGCCTGGTGGATGCAGTACAACTACATCACTTCCGCCGCCCTGGATTGCGGCCTCATCATCTCCACCATCGTCGTCTTCTTCAGCCTCTACCTCACCATGGCCGACCCGCCCAACTGGTTCGGCAACGTCGGGGCGCTGTCTACCGCCGACTTCGCCAGCACTGCTGTGTACTCGGTTTTGCCACCGGGGGAGACGTTTGGGCCGAGCACGTGGGTGTGACGAGCGCCTCATGAGTACCACTGAATATTGCATGTTTAGCAAAGTTTCTTTTTCTTTTTTTCTCGTACTCATGCTGCAATGGTAGGATGTGAGAAAAGGAAAGGGAACTCGTATGGGAGTTGGGCAAGGGTATTCCATTGGCGTATATTGGTTTCCTTCTTCCTTGTTTCCTCCCTTTTCTCTTTCTGGATCTTGGGCGTTGGGGCTTTTCTAATTATCGGGAGGGTTGGCACTGATTTTAGTAAGTGCCTGGGTCTCGGTCAAGACAGAAGAACCGACATGTGTCAGTTCATGACTGAAAATGAAATATTGATGACAATTTTGTGACTCATGTTAGAAGCCTCTCCATGTCGCTATGGGCTTGTCTTGATGATTACTATTGAGAATCGCAAATCTCCTCAAGCCAGATGTTATTCACTACCTGCTTGCGTGTCTTTGAGCATACCTCGCCCCACTGATCAAGTACCAAGTAACTATATACCAATAGCACAGTTTCATACTGCGTGATTTTACTCATGGCAAAGACCAGTCTCGGCTTTGCTGTTGAACCCTGACTAGATGGCTGATATGTCTTGTACTTGCCTCATCACCTGCCTACGACATGGCTGCTGGGTGCCGATACCAATGATTGGATGCTGCAGAGTTGCATTATGTAACGATTGTCAATAAGAATAAATGGGGATCACTAGACACTAGGATGGCTTAGACCTGGCTCAATCGTCTCGTACTGGTATCGGTGGTGCGAATTGCCATTGGCAAGAATGGTTGGTGTGTGGCGGCACACTTGCTTTTCTCTACTTGTTTGTGGGCATAGAAACATTGAATAGTCTAAAGAGAAAAGGCATTCCTGAGACAGTCATCGAAAACAGTTTTCACCTGCAGAGAAATGATTTATATTGAATCACACTGTCAGGAAATTCTCCTAAACTGTGTCTGCTTTTAGTAATCAAGCCTTCAGCTAGCGGACGACGACCCAAGAGGTCATATTACGATTGCTGGCCAATCGAAAGGTCAGGTTACGTTAATCGTATGCACTTGCTTCTTCTGAGTTCCAGAGGGACTAAATGTGCGTGTGAATAGATGCTGTATTTACTCCAAACATCAGATCCCATTGCGAACGCATGTCTGCTTGATATGGGTGTCTTGTTTCTCATGGCGCACGCTCGTAGGAGTTTAACCTAAATTGCCCATCTCCGTCGAAACCATGTTCCTAGATGACAACGAAAAGACGTTGAGACTTGTCGTCCACGGCTCGACACGTGACGGCATGGGAGTGATTACTCGATTCGTCGTCCAACATCGCAAATTCCCGTTGTTGCTATCAAGTTAATGGGCCAATTTCTTCTTTAATCTTTCACTTCGGTTTCAAGCCGAAGTATCACATGTGTTGCATCAAATGGCATCAGAAAGATTCAATCGAGGACGTAATTTTCAAGCTCAAGCCATGCTATGGTCTGCACTAAGTCTCTCTCCCCGCCTTACACCTCGAAGACAACAATATAAGACTGATAGTCAGCCACAGACGTGCAAACGCCGGCTTCAAAGGTGCTATCCTGCTCCTCGGTTCCAACACAATCCTCACCCTCGCTGATCCATCCGTACAGCTCGCCCCAGGTCACCGACTCATCCACGTCCAGAGTGCAGACGCTGTACTCGGCTGGGAAGTTGCCGCAGGTCTGTGTGCCTGAACTGTAGTCTCCCGAAGCGACGACAGTAAGGTCATCATCACAGGTACTTCCACATGAGAGGTTCCAGCTGTTGCCAACTGCATTGACTGCAGCGGCGAGGCCGAGGATGGCAGTGGCGATGTTCATACGGTGGGACTGCATGATGGTGGACTGATACGCGCAACGCCAGTAAGTCATTTGATGAAAAAAAAATACTATTCCTGCGCCATTAGAAGACAAGTACAAGGGATATAGACTTACCGAATCAAGAATCGACTTAGTTGGCACGGCTTTGTTGCTTCGGCAAGAGTTGAACTAATTAGTGTTTGAGGATATTAAGAGACCAACGTGTTCCTGGTCTGGCTTTGAAGGGGTAAGATATGAGAAAATTTGGGGTTCGTGGAGTGTAATTCTGTTAGATGAAAGTGTAGATGATTCTGCACTTCAAATTATTTTTCATCTAAATGGCAATTTATGAGTTTAAATAGTTTTGTTCTTCTTCTCTTTCCCCCCCCCCCCTTGCTTATATTACCCGGAGCGCCCGCGCAGGTTGTAGGCATGGTATGCCGCATGCAGCTGGCCCGCTGGTACTGTAATCGATTCATAATCCGGCACGATTTCTGAAAAAGCAACTCATGCAAGTCGGCATTCTACCAACCTGTGTACCTCAATTCTTGGTACTGCTTACTGAGAGGCGCGATTCTTGCTCAAAGAGAGAGAAGAGGGGGGGGGTGTCTTGCCTTGCATATGATGAGAAGCGGAAGGTTACATACCGCCAAGGATGCATAGGTGCCATGCGAAAATTTTACAACATGCTGGAAGGGTCTATGAGTGGTTCAGCGCGAAAACCTAAAAGCTTAATTCGCAGGCTTGGAAGGATATTCGGCTGAAGAGGCTGAAGCAGGTATAGTAAGTCTGAGAACAACATCCTTCCTCCTCCTTCCCAAAACATAGCACGAGCGTGGGGGCATTTCGACACATCCGGCAGATTGATCATCTCTCGATCCTGATAAGTGACAGTTCTATCCAAATTTCTCAATCCTGTGTTTTTTTTTGTGTTTTTTTGTCTAAGCGAGGGACCGGTGAATGAATGCAAGATGACAAAAACAAGTGCTCCACCCTCCTCGAAAGCATATCAAGTGCGGAGCGACACTTTGCAGAGAGGGAATTTGTTTACAGAACGGGATTAATTGCCCCCCCTTGAGGGACTCGATTCGTCAGTTGCCTGGCCCCGGTAAGTCGGCACTCCAAACCCAACAGACACACGCGGGAACCTGCAGCACCGTTTCCTTGATTTTCACGGCATTCCCGGCGTGCATGCCGGGCGGCTTTTGAGCAGCGGGGGCGTCTGCACGTATTAACCCACGTATATTTCCAAGTGTGTCCTGAATGACGTGATGCTTCTTTGACGACCTAAAAGAAGACGCCGACGGATGGCTTTGTCCAAGTGACGATACCACGAATCGGATCTGTCATATCATCAAATGCTGTGAGACACACTGCATAGGGTGGAGTGGAGTGTAGGATCCTGCACCACTGATGTATTACAATTTTTTTCTTCTTTCTTTTCTCTTTCTTCTTCTTGCCTTTTCTTCTGCGGAAAAAAAAATAAAAAATCTCATCGGTCTTATTCGGAAGATGGGCGTTCTTGTTGCTTTGCCATGAAGATCGTGGGATTGGTAAATTAGTGGCCCGTTTTCAGAACACTGCATCTAGACTTCCCCCTCGTTGAGTCTTGGCTGCAACTCCAGGTTCACTTTTTGGCTAGAACTTGCAAGTCAAAAGGGTAAGCAATGCGGGTTGTGGCCACAAAAATAGTCTAGACACCTGCGCCTAACCCACACCCCGGGCACTATCCTACAGTATGATCAGCTAAAGCATAAAGATGCTTACAGTCACAATATGCTGCTGGCTTGTTACTGCTCGTTTTCATGCCCAAGTGACGGTCAAAATTCCCAACCTGAAGTGACAGTGAGATGGTGATATAGCTCCAAGGCATGAGCTATTATTCTGGGAAATTCTTGATGTAAATCAGTGTGTCAAGCGCTTGCTACTGCTTGTCTACATAACAGATCATAATTGCGTCCCCCTCCCCCGCGCTCAAAAAAAAAAAAAAAAAAAAAAAAAAAAGAAGGCTGCACACATGCAATGGGACGTTCCATCACAAGTAGGATCCCCCAAAATATTTTGTCTCATGAGACCTCTCTGTCTTGCCTGACCAGTCGCGGGAATGACCCCGTGTCACTGCTCAGCTCGCCTCTTCAGCTCCTGTTTGCCGATCATCCGGCGTGGCTCACACAAGATGAACACACGGCGCCTGCATACTTAATTACGTAGTCTTGCTGTGAAGGCATCGTACGATTACGTGTGGATCTGTGCTCGCCTATTTCTCATGATGGTTGCAATATCGGAACACGCCTAGGTCCGGAGTACGAGCCTGAGATCGAGATTACTGTTGTCTGCAGGCCCACAGGGACGGTGATCCCAGGACGTCCTCGTGGACAATTTCGAGGTTGTCATTGCTCCGGTCGTACGGAACTTTGAGACCATCCGGGATTTCTTGTGCGAACCGAGAGCAAGACTCATGCCAACCCCTTGATGTGCCCTTTGAAAAGTTGTAACGATTTCTTTTGCTATCGAACACTTATCTGAGGCCTAGTCGAGAATTCTACAAGGCGTGACGATGAGATATTGAGACAATACGAAAAAATGCGACCATCCTGGCGTATAGGAACTTTCCACAACTCAGTAAACACTGTTGACAATATGAATTTCACCAATCCCGACAGCACGAGACACTCTCCTTGAAAGAAAACCCGTCCAGCAAACCATCTGCAAAAGCAAGAGCTTATGTCACCTTGACCAGGAGACTTCTGATCAGGTGTGAATGCCAAGCTCCGCAAGCTTAGCCTTGACATCCTCGTTTTCCGCCGCCAGCCTGCTGAACTCGTCATACGCGAAGCCGCCCTCCGGATACCCACTGAGATCAAAACCCCAGCCCCTGAACTCCCTCTCCACAGCCGCCCTGTTCCGCACATAGCCTTTGCCCTTGACAAACGTCCAGTTCCAGTGCGACTGGCCCTTGACCTCCTCGCTCAGCTTCCAGAACTCGTCCGCGTGGGCCGCGGCGTCGTTCAGGTGGTAGACGCTCTCGCCGTCCTCGCCGCGCTCGTCGACGTAGTAGAACCGGCCGTGCTTGTCGCCCTTGTACGTGGCGGCCGCCGTCTCGAGCCAGTAGGCCGTGCCGTTCTTGCCTATGCCCAGCGAGTGCGAGAACGGCCAGGCCTGCGTGGTCGACATGTTGCCCGTGAACAGGAATGTCTTGGACACGGTGCCGTCGTCGGGCAGGACCTTCCAGCGCCGGACGGCCTCGACGGCTGCGGTGTAGGGCGAGACTACATTCACGGCCAGGCTCTCCGTGAGGCGGGCCGTCGAGACCTGCAGAGGGTGCGTAGAGTCGACGACCTGAACGTCAAATGCTGCTATTGCGTCAGTCATTGTGGAGGTCCTATGCGCATCGATCCTTGAAGAAGTGAAGGGAGAAACTTCTCTGGGATATAAGAAAATTACTCACCATTGTAGACGACGACATGCGGCGGTCCTAGCTGCTTGGTAACATTCTCGAATAGTGGCTGGATTTGAGTCGGATCCTTGAGGTCCAAAGGCACGATGAGGTCGGCGATCTTCTTCAACTCCTCAGAGGGATGACGAGAGACCGCAGCAACCTTGTACCCCTCACTCGAGAACTTCTTGACGGTGGCCAGACCGACTTTGGGGCCAGCGCCGAAGATGAGTAAAACCTTGGGAGTAGACATGATCGAGTTCAGTGCTGTAGGACAATTCTTTTGGTATATGTATTTGAGTAGAATCGCGGAGTGATATCTGAGCTGAATCTCTTCTCCGACCAAGTCATTGTGCTACCTGCCATACTCAGGCGTGTCCCAGACAGCTCTTTATATCTCTCATTGCCAGCAGTCTTCGTTGCGGTCATTTCCTATAATTGATAATCTGTGCCATGGTCGAAAAGCTTGGCCATCTCGGCAGTGATTCGGTTTCTCGGTCGGCCAAGTCAATATTGATATGCAATGCCCAATTGTCCTCCCACTATGTCGTTAGGGTAGGCCAATAAAAGTGTGCCACACGACATGTTCTCTCTCGAGCACAAATCAACGTAGGCGTGGAGTTGGCTTAGTCAGGTAAAGATCGCTGCGGCGGATGCGGCCGCACAACTGCGCGTCGGCCGCTGCGGCCGCATCGTATTCCGAGCCGGGCATGGCCACAGCCCGCCGCCAAAAAAGCGGTTGTGCGGGGGCTCATCGTTAAACCGACTCCGATTTTGTCAGTTGCTGCTCCTCAAATTGTAACCATCAAGCCGACAATCATGACCTGGCCGGGCCTAACAATTCACCTGCCAATTCTCACCTGCTCTTTGACTCTCAAAGCACAATGTAGAGCCAACTGGGGTGATCCTTGACCATATGCCCTCGAGTTTGTTGACTGTCTCTGCAGCACAGATGTCGACTTGCCCGCCAATCTCAGGTCCAATGAGTACAGCGGCTGAAATTTGAGCGACTGTGTGGACCGCGCCGAGGTACAGCAAATGTCGTTGGCTCCGGCCAAGTATGATCTGCGCAGTATTCCTCATACTGCAACAGCTCAGCTCGTTTCCCTGACCAGCTTCTTGACCAACTTCTTCTGCGCATCCACCTCCAGTCTCCCCTCATCCGTCTCTTTCAGAGCTCGACCAACTATTAAGATCGACCTTGTAGCATCACTACTCACCCACACCCTGCCGTTTCGTCCCACAGCGATCTCAAACTGCAGTCCTAGTCTCCCGAGCTCTTCAAGCACGACGACGCCTCCCTCTGTAGTGCTCTTTGGCATGAGCAGCCTCCGCGCAAAGCCCAGCGACACTGAGAATAGCATGCCGCCATTGAGGGGACCCAGCCCGTCGGATTTGCCTGTGGCAGGGTTGACACACTCCAGTTCGGCGTCCATGTGCTTGTTTGCGAGGGACACGCGTGCGTAGACGAGCTGGCCGGGTGCGAGCTGTGGGCGCGTCTTCTTGGTGGCCATCTCGAAGGCGAGGACGGGGAGCAACGCGTTGGAAGTGTGAGGGGTGAGTTGTACGTAGTAGAAATCGGCGGCGCCGTGGTGGACTTGACCTATGACCAGGTCGCCCTGAGATGGAACGTACTGTAGGATCATGGCTGTTAGCAATCGTTTCGAGAGGACGGCCGTGTCCAAGAGTATGACACATACCCGCCCTCCATTGTACTCAACCCACACAGAGTTCTTTCTCCTGTCTGTGACGAGTTGTCCCGCCACGGTGGGTAAAATCGTGCTCGGGAGGATGTGCCGCAGTCCAGGTCCCAATTGCAAAGCTTTTTTGGGATGGGACGGGATATGTGAAGGATCTAACGCGTCTCCTGGGAGGACCAGAGGTCCCGTCGTCGAAGCCATGTTTGGTACGTCGATCTTGGAAGGTTGTAAAGCTGGAAATAGAGCTGTCACGATCAAAGGAAAAGGCCGCGACACGCTGCTGATGTGAGTCGAGTGGAGGCCTTCGACTTTCCAAAATTCTGGTAGCAAGCAGTAAGCTTATCGTTATCGCGACCTATATGTACTTACTTGGTATAGTGGGGGGGGGGGGGTGGTTGTGCTGGCGGACGCCTTTGCAGGGGTGCCCAGCCTTGCAAGATTCCGCTGGGGAAATTTTGAGTTGGGCTTGTCCAAAAATTTCGACAGCCTATTCAGATTCAGAGACCAAAAAGACTGTAGGAAAGATCAACAAACCAAGTTCTACCCACCAACTTGCCATTCCTCTTTCTCTCACCACGCTTCCCGACACGAGCAGTTCAAGTTTGGACCCTCTCCCCTCTCGATATATTCCAGATGAGTGAGAACAGTGCGGCAGAGGCCCATGCTGGCCCAGGCGAGCGTGTTGCGATCGGTATCACCTTTGGCAACTCCAACAGCTCTATCGCATACACAATCGATGACAAGGCCGAGGTCATAGCCAACGAGGATGGTGGTAGGTACAGCTGAGGCCTCTCTGGAAGCTTAAGAAGGCTATCTAACAGTGGCTACACAGACCGGCAAATACCCACGATATTGTCTTACGTCGATGGCGAGGAGTACTACGGCGGCCAGGCCAAGGCCTTCCTCGTCCGCAACCCCAAGAACACAGTCGCATACTTCAAGGATTTCCTAGGAAATGAGTACGTACTGATACACATACTCACATATGAGCCCTGTGGAAAGATACACTGGTGATGCTGACAAGCCCTCCTTCTCTCCTTTTCTTTCTCACAGCTTCAAGTCTATCGACCCAACACACAACCACGCCTCCGCCCACCCTCAAGAAACTGGATCCACCATCTCCTTCAGCATCAACGACAAGGAAGGCGAGGACGCTGCTCCCTCTGAGCTGAGCGTGTCTGAGGTGTCGACCCGTTACCTTCGCCGCCTTGTGCAGTCCGCCTCCGATTACCTCGGCAAGAAGGTGACCTCGGCCGTGGTCACCGTGCCCACCAACTTCAACGACGCACAGAAGGCCGCGCTCGTCAAGGTCGCCAAGGATGCCGACCTCGAGGTCCTCCAGCTCATTGCCGACCCCGTCGCCGCCGTGCTGGCCTACGATGCCCGCCCTGAGTCCGTCGCAGAGGCTGGTGTCAAGGACAAGATCGTGGTGGTCGCGGACCTGGGTGGTACCCGCAGCGACGTTGCCGTTATCGCCAGCCGCGGCGGCATGTACACAGTCCTGGCCACGGCGCACGACTACGAGTTCGCAGGCTACGCCCTCGACAAGGTCCTGATGGAGCACTTCGCCAAGGAGTTCATCAAGAAGCACAAGACCGACCCGCGCGAGAATACCCGGTCTCTCGCTAAGCTCAAGTTCGAGGCCGAGGCGACCAAGAAGGCCCTGTCGCTGGGCACCAACGCCAGCTTCAGCGTCGAGTCGCTCGCCGACGGCATCGACTTTGCCTCTACCATCAACCGCCTCCGCTACGAGATGGTCGCCCGTCCCGTGTTTGAGGGCATCAACAGGCTCGTCGAGGGCGTCGTCAAGAAGGCCGGCCTGGACGTGCTCGACGTCGACGAGGTCATCATGTCCGGCGGCACCTCGCACACGCCCCGCATCGCCGCCAACATGGGCTACATCTTCCCCGCGTCCACCGCCGTCCTCGCCCCCAGCACCATCGCCTCCGCCATCAATCCCTCGGAGCTGGTCGCCCGCGGCGCCGCACTGCAGGCCAGCCTGATCCAGGAGTTCGAGGCCGACGACATCGAGCAGAGCGTGCACCCTGCCGTGACCACCGTCAAGCACATCACCAACGCCATCGGCGTCCTGACGTTGAGCCAGGACAGCAGCGACGAAGAGGTCTTCACACCCATCGTCGCCCCGGAGACAGCCGTCCCGGCCCGGCGCACCGTGCACGTCGACGGCCCCAAGGACGGCGGCGACGTGCTGATCAAGATTGTCGAGGGCAACACGCACATCAAGGTGACCCAGCCGGAGCCCAAGGCCGCCGCCGAGGAGAAACCCAAGAAGGATGCCGACGACGACGAGGATGACGACAGCGACTTTGACGACGACGAAGACGAGGAGGAGCAGGAGAAGCGCGAAAAGGTGTGGAAGACCGGCGCCACCCTGGCCGAGGCCGCCATCCGCGGCGTCAAGAAGGGCGCCAAGGTCGAGGTCACGATAAATGTCTCCGCCGACCTGGGCGTCACCGTCGCCCTGAGGGAGGTCGGCGCCAAGGGTGGTGTGAGGGGGACCATCCCCGCGTAGGAAAGCAGCAGGGACAGAACCGTCTGTGTGCCCCGCGAGGCTGAATAGCTAGCTGTTCTGTTGTAAGCGGCCATACAAAGGAAGGAGAAGAAAAAGTAAGACAAAAGACAAAAAGAAACAAATGCGCATATAGAAAAAGGTGGTGTTTGGGAGAGGAGATGATTATGAAACCCTCCTTACCATTGGGTGTAAAGCTGATAGACGACCTGATAGGACAAATTAAACGGAAAGGGGAAAAAAGAGGTCAGATTTGCATACACACATCTTTGATGATCTTGTTCTTTACTTCTTGCGTCTCCTGACCGTGTTTCCAAGAAGTCTCCCATTTCAACTGGCTTTGCCAACACCATATTAAGTCACAAAAAATTCTGGGCAGCATTGGCAGGCACATGAACCAATACACTTGCGTGCAACGTGCAAAAACGTCTATTATCTTCTTTGTTCCTGCGAGGGTCGCAGCCCGGCAGATTTACATTACACAAGACAGAGTGAATATCTGGGCAAGTATAACGATGATCATGGTATCCGCTGAAAAAGAAAAAGAGAGCATGATACATATCGTGATGGTATGCGCTTCCTAATTAAACCCAGAAAACGAGAAAATGCCTTGTGTTGTTGTTATCAAGCTGTGTCTGGCCATTCCCGTCCGTTCCGTTTCCGTTTTGCCAGAACCATGACGCCTGGGACTACGGTATCGTCGTCGTCGTCCCTTGTCACCGTCAGCCCCTTTCGAATGTGCGAAATTATGGGCAAATTGTTGCCTCTCTGGCACACACTTGAGCCCCTCATCTTCCCCTCATCGATATTTTTCTTTCTCATCCGTCAGCTAGCATTGCTATGCCATTACATCGGTCATCGTGACGTCCTCCTCGACGGGTTCCGGCGGGTTTTGCACCGAATGCTTGTTCTGCATGTGCCGCCTCCAGTTGTCCTTGCGCGGGAAAGACTTTCCGCCGCCCTGCTTCGCATACGCGCAGTTGGGTACCGTGCAATGGTATTTGCGCGTCTTGTTGTGCTTGTCGTTGACGTGCCGGTCTAGATGTGTCTTGGTGCCAAAGCGCTTGTCGCACTGTAGGCATTGGTGGGGTCGTTCGTGGTAACGCTTGTGGTGGCTGCAGGTTTGTGTAAGAGGAGGATTGACATGCAAAAGGTGGGTGGAGGTGGGAAAGGTCAAGCAAAGGGATGTTGTACATACTTCAATTTATGCACCTGGTCAAATTTGCTTCCGCAGATATCGCAGGCAAAGGACGTCGGTTTGGGTGAGCCGTCGTGCTGTGAGGCTTGTGATGCTTGTGATGGTGGCCGCGAGTGGTCGCCAGGTGAAGCCTCCAGGTAGTCTGTGCCGCCGTAGGAACTGGCTGGGCGTTGTGATGTGGATGAGCGTGGCGAGGGCGACTCGGTGTAGGCAGACTCCGTGAGGCCGGTCTCAGGGGAGATATGATTTAATGGCGATGATCCATAGGCATACAGATCAAACTCGGGGCCTGGCGATGAGGTGTCGGAGATGTTGGTGATGACCTGTTCTTCATGCTGGGGGATGAAGTGACCGCTGTGGGTGACGTCCATCTCGGTAGGGTGTCGGACGACAGCCTGGAAGTGAGGACGTTCAGGTCCTGGGTTGGCGTTGTCTGGTTGTGACGGAGGGTAGGTGTCCTGCTGTGGTTGATAGGCCTGTGGTTGTTGTGATGGTGGTGGTGGTGGTGGTGGTGGTGAGGGTTCGGAATGAGGTGCAGATACAGGTGCAGGTATAGGTGCGGGCGCGGGTGTAGGCGATGATTCAAATTGGGATGGTAGTGAGTTTTCGAGTTGGGGTGGCGGCGGCGGGGAGTTTTCCAACTTCCAGAGTTCGGTATGTACCCAGGCAGCCTGCTCAGCAGCGGTCGAGGGTTTCATCATATCCATCGGGTTGACCGTGCCTGGAGCTGGATGGGACGGGCTGGGCGGCGGCTCAAACCTTTTGGGGCTGGGTGAGCGGAGGCCTCTCTGTGGCGGAGTGAGTGAATCATTCTTCGCCTCCGATGACTGCCTCTCGCCTTCGTCACTACTCAAATCGTCGTCTTTCGAAAAAGGCGACGTTGGGCTGAGCGGCGCCCCTGGAGGATTAAATGGGCTTCCCAGAGATCTTGATTGTTGCTGATGTTGTTGTTGTTGTTGTGGCTGCTGCTTTTGCTGCTGCTGTTGCTGGATGCTGACATGAGTGTGGGGCGCGGCTATACCAGCCAGAGCGGCAGCGGGCATGGCCATCAGATGGAGAAATTGAGTATTTCCGGTAGAAATCGGCAGAGGAGGTTCCTCTGGAGGTGACAATGGGGCTCCTGAGTAGTACTCTGCTGCTGAACCCCCCGTGGGGATCTTCTCGTCCACAAGATACGGTGCTGAGGCGCCGGTCTGGATCTGCGCCAGCTCGTCGAGGTCCACATCTGGTGACCTACTGCTCGTCTTGTGAGAGTCACTCCCACTAGATTTCGTGCTGTCGCGATGGAACACCCTATCGTGGAACTTCCGAAAGGTCCCTCCGATGGAGGGCGGGTGAGCGCCATGCAGGCTCTCTGTAGGAGATCGCGACAGGGGCTCCGGCTCGGTCGTGAAGGTGCCGAAAGTCGGGGCTCGGCTCATCTCCTCCTTCTCAGGGGGTGGAGTGAAAGGGGCCTGAGCAACTGCTGGTGAGTCGCTGCGGCTGCCCGCGGCGAGAGACGCAGACGAGGCAGGCATGGCGATGCTCGGAGCGGGAGAGCATGTGCGCAGCGTCTTGCCGACCAGGGCCGGGCTGGGGGCAGCGCTGCGATGATAGGTGATGCCATCAGGGCCGTACTCCTTGCCAGTCTGCGAGTCGCGATCTGATAAAGTGGCAGCTGCCGATGCCAGACGGCTCTGGGACATGTGAGAAAGGCGGTTGGCGTGCGTCGAGAACGTCTGCGAATGTGAGCGTATGCCGGGCATGCCCATCTCCGGGTGCAGGTCATCCTGCTCCTGACGCCTGCGCAGTCGGCGTTTGCGGCGGCATTTCAATATGAACGGCAGGCTGCAGAGCAGAATGAGGATGGCGGCCACGGCAGCACCAATGATGGCACCGGCGATGGTGCCAGTAGACGCGCCGCGGGCCATGAGGGCATGGTCACGAAGAGTCAGGGATCGTGCCATGCCGACGGGGGTGCGGTGAGTGGCAGCAGTGGGTGTCGACCGTCGGAGGAGACGACGACTGGATCAGTGTCTCAGCTCAGCAGGGCTGATTGGCTGCAGTGCCTTTGAGAGACACTCAGTCGAGAGGAGGACGTCCAGATAGAGTGAGAGAGAGTCGAAGGGGCCTAGGCCGGGTCCGGGCCGAAGTGCAATGAGTGCACACTTGCAGCCCCAAGTTGTAACTTTGGTTAATGATGAGCAGGTTGACTGTAAGGATTAACGAGGCGACATCAACGGTGAAATGACCGAGTGCCGAGGAGGGAAGATTGGGACCTCATAACCAAAGCCAGACGTCGGACGCGGTCCAGCTTCCTTTGGCCCCTCGCCTCGGATCCCTCTTCCTGTCTCTCCTCCCACACACACTCTCTCTCGCGCGCGCGCTGTAGCCCTCTTCGCTCGTGGCCAGAATGGGTTCTGTCGTTGGCCTCCTGGGCTGAGACGTTGCCTATTCGTAAGATGGGTGATGATAACGATCGTTGATGGCTGTGGGGATTGATTAGAGATGAGACGGCGTGACCATGGTTGAGAGAGGCGATGCACAGAGGTTTGTTGGTGAAGGTTCAATGAATCAGGACCAGACGGTGGGAAAAGAAACGACCTAGGATTGCAACAAGCGGCGGATGAGCAGTGGGGTCGGGGTGGGGCGGAGCGACAGGGTGATTGAATGGGTATGGATAACAATTGGGGGGTTTTTTTTTGGAGGAGGGAAGAGAGGGGGTTTTTCCGCTGGAAGGTGATATGAGTAAAGAAGAGAAAAGGCTCCTCCATCCACAGCCCACAGTTGGGATTTGTGGGTGGCCTGGGATGAGGGGTCGACCTCCTCCTTCTCAAGAGAGGAGAGCACGAAGAGGAAGGGGCCAGACACAATGCTACCAGGCAACATAGCGCCGAGCATAGGACTACTATTACACTGCCCAGTGCCAACTATACTGCTTGGGGGCCTACAGCAGCAGCAGCAGCAGCAGTAGTCCCTCCCTGTCCAGCGCTGGACACTGTTGGACTGGGTTTCGATTTCAGCCGCAACGCCAACAACAAAGGAAGGACGGTGAGTAGGGAATCCTGTTCGTGTGTGTGTGTGTGTTACAGGCCGAGACCATTTGGAACGGGAGACAATTCCTTGCTTGACTCGATTGACTATGGGGGCGGGCGATGAAGGCTGGATTTTCCCTTTTTTTCTTCTCTTTCTTCCTTTTCTCTTTGGTCTGTACTGTCTAAATCAGAAACAGGCTGGTGGTAACAGTAGCAGACAGGAAGAAGGATCTAGATGGAAGACACTGAACACTGAAGAGGCCGCTCCGGCGCTACCGGATACCCATAGTACTACTAAAAATGTGGTGTACAGCGCATCGTAACAGCGTGCGTGCAGGGGCACTTCCGGAAGCCTAAGACACAAGCCCAGACCAGGCTCTGGCCTGTGCAGAATAGTGGGTCCCCTGCCCACCTAGAAAGGGGCAGGGGGCCCCCTTGAGGGAAGCCCAGGTTCGGCAAGGTGGGAAAGGAGGACTCTGGGACCTCAGCCAGTCAGGTCGGGTTCCCTCCCAACTTCCTTTGGACCACACCCTGCAATTGCTGCAACTGCAGCTGTGTGATTCATAGTCGGTGGCCAGGCCTAAACTTGACAACAACATGGTCCTGACATCACACTGCCTGAATGCCAAACCTCCACCCTCAACGGTCGTTCCCAGTTTCTCCTCAGGCCGACGTTGGTTTTCCCTGATCTCCGACCAGAAGAAACCCTTGCCCATTACACCGTAACGTGCCTGCTAGTCATTGGCTTCTACGCTCTTCGAGGCCCTGCCCCCTTCTGATCTCGATCTCTTTGAAGCATCCTGGCCTGACGAAAGCTTCCCCCCTTTGGCCCCTCCACCCCTCCTCCTCTCGTCAGAATTCGCTACCACAGTTATCGCTCTAGACCCTGGGTCGGCAATCCTGCTGTGATCCAAATTGACGTGACCTCACCAAGATAACTGGTTGTGTCATGTTTCAGGTTTCTTTAGCCGCTGGGAAACATCGGGACGATGCAACTTGGACACTCGTCGGCATCTTCGGCGAACCGTGCATGAATAGCAGATGTCTATTTCTGCCTGGGCGGGCAGCTGCTAACATGGATCAATGGGGTCATCTATTATAAACGTGGCCGTAGCAGCCAGCTCCCTTCAAGGTTTCTGCTGCCCATCAGCGAGATATCTTGGTCGGGATCTGATAAAAAGAAGCATGTCTCACATGTGTGTCCAGGATCAGTTCCAAGCCCTTCTCTGCAAGTGCCACCAATGTCGTGTTGGACAATCGCTGTCACGGTTGGTGGGAATGATTTCTGAGCAGCAGCAATAATGGCCCTCTTCGAGCTTTGCTCGTGTACCACAGCATACAATCGATCGATTCTCCCGTTCTGGGCATAACACCTTGTGTGCTGTCCGCCCGGGGCGGGGGGGGGGGAGGTTGGATAGGGTGTCATACCTGCAGGTCGAGCGAGTGCTTCTCCCTCCTCGGTTTCCCCTCAGAACCCCCGCGGTCATCGTGTATACAGCGACCGGATCTAGCCCCCAAGGCATTGATGTACTACTATAGTATCTACAGGCTCTATCAGCCCTTACGCACTGGCCTACCTCCTTGTACCAGACCACTCTAAAGGAGAGAAGAAAAGGGGGGGGGGGGGGTTCTTGAGCTAGTAGCTGTTGAGTGAACCGATTTCCCCAATAGTCGTTGAAAGCCAAGATGCGATTACTGATCCAAAGTTGTGACAACAATCAGCGCAAGTTCGCTGGCCACGGTGCATCGACAATACTCCTAGCTTGTTATTGTATTGGGGAGAATCATCACTATTCTTGATGGCATTCGTATCAGCTCAAGCCGATATATTATTTCACAACATCGAGCCATATGGCCACAAGCTTCTTAGCCTTTCCAGCAGCGCTCCAGAGATTGACTTTGGGGCAAGTTGAGAGAAGCAAGTAAGCGCTGAGGATCGGCCTGCCTTCATATACACTGAGTTCAAATACATCTGTCTCTGTTTACTTTTACCTTCCTTTTGATTACTTTTTTGTGCCCTTTGCCCCCTTCCCCTCCTTCCAGGAAGCCATTTGAAATCGCATCATCAAATAGATCACGGACCCAAACACCATCCAACTCCCGAGGCTATGCTCATGAAGGTCAATGACCAGGCTCGATGCTCTCATTTGATGGAATAGGCGATCGTGACTGCCCCATAGCACGTCTATTGGCCTCCCAGCGGACTCGCCATGCCGGGTGCATTTCGTCGAACATCCACTGTGGGATCCGCCCGTTCTCGTCGACGTGAACGAACCACCCATCCCATTTGAGCCACACCCGCCAGTCGTTGGACAACTATGGCACTCAGAGTCAGCCGTTTGGAGATGGATGATGTTTTATTTTTATTTTATTTTCTTATGGATCGGGGGAGGGGGGGGCAACATACTAGGAAGTATAGAAATCCTCCGTCTGGGTCCTGGTACAGTGTTCTGAATATGCTCCGGTACCATAGATCGTGCTCGTTCAGCCACCCGAGATCGACCCAAGCAGCGCACAACGAGGGCATGACACAGAAATTTCTTCTGGGCCTAGGTGCTTCCTCGTTCTCGTCATCCGCCGCGCTATTCTCCTCATTGGAAGGCTCATCGGCCTCTGGGGAACTTGGAGCTCCACAGCTCTCCGTGTCGGTCTGGTCGTTGTTCTTGTGGAGCTCGCAAGTCTGCTGGTCATCCCCGGCCTCCTCGTTTTCTTGGCTCGGGGACGGGGTCGACCGCGGCGGTGCTGTTGGACTGCCGTGTTCCACCGTGACGGAACTACGGGGACTGTGTGGCGAGTCCATTTTTTTCTTTTCCGTTTTGCTTGACGGACTTCTCAAGAGGACCGCAAGGAGCCCAAGAGTGCGAGAAGGGATGGATATTAGATTGAAGACTGGGCGAACAAGTCGAAAAGAGGGGGGAGACCTGACGACTGAAGCGTTATATATATATATATACTGAGATCTAGGCCTCGCAGCTATCTAGTTTGGCGATGGCTGTGAGGCCTGGTTCCTTCGTTGATGCTTTGACAACGATGGCCTTCCAGTCTAGGGAACGAACACAAGAGACAAGCGTCTCTAATTACAGGTCCAAGACCCGATCTGGGGGCATTGTAACATGCGTCTGACGATATGACACGATCATCGCAAGAGAAAGCACGGCTAAGATGGAGTCATGGATGGAAGAAATGCAGCACCGTCTCGTCCTAGGGTTTCTAACCATTCGATGGCTAAGCCTAACCGCCCAACGAGTTCCTGGTAACAAGCGACTTACGTTTCTACCTATCCTAGGTGAGTAAGTGTTTGGTGGTCGCCCATGGCACTTGGTAATGTTCGGTGAGGTTGAGGTGACACGACATTGCATACACAAACTGATGGCAGGGACCACAAGCACCGGCGAGTGATCTTTGAAAGCCCCAACAAATCGCTAGGATGGACAGGACGAAGGGGCTGGCTCCCGTACCGAGCACTTGCTTATGCTGCACTGACCATGTCTAGAGCACTAGGACCAGGCCGCCCATCTCTACTAGCCGTTGTGGGCTGTTGTCAGAGATCGTGCGGACGAGTGTGCCTGTGGTCGCCTGACACTACGATCAATTTATTGGTAATGAGAAAGGTCCAACATGTTCAAAAGTGCAGAATGTTGGGGTCAAGGGGAGCACACAGTGATACAGGCAAGGGCAATCAGACTTCGTCAATGACAATATATACAGTTCACCTCAACCTCCGAAGCTACCATATCTCTCATCGTCACAGATTACCCAGAAATCCAGAAAATGACGCTCAAAGGGACCGTCACGACTAGCATCAAGCCTCCAAATGCACTGAAGCCCGCCGGTACACTCGAGGTGACCTTTCCGATAGCAACACCAATCAACCCCGACAACGCAAGCCACAGAACAACAAGCCTGATAACCATGCTTTTTCTCAGCTTATATGATACCACAAGGACTTGGCCGTTCTGCGAGCCAGTGATCAGGCTGGGGAAGGACTGCGCAAAGATGACTTCAGATCCCATGACCTGGTGGTCGTTGAACATGGCCGTGAGCCCCGGGCAGGCCTCGCGGTGTGTGGCGGACAGCTCGACCCTCCGAGAAGGGTGCTGTCCCTCGATAACATCGTCGAGTCGAGTCTGGGAAGTGCACGGCCGGTCAGCCAGTCAGTCCACCTATGCCAATTGAGAAGGACTTCCAAAAGAAGATTCAAAAAAGAAAAAAAAAGAAAACCAAAAAGAAGGGGAAAAAAAGAAGGGAAGAAAAGCAAGAAAAAAAACTACAAACCGTCGAGACCCTCGCCATCTCTACGACATGCTTCCGCAGAAGCGTAGACAGAAAGCGCCATGGCCTCCGTGCTGCATCGCAGGAGGCTTGGACTTGGCGCACCTGACGCATGGCGTCCCATACGGACTGGACGGCATCGACCTCTGGCTGGGTATACCAGTACCATCCGCGGTAGTCCTGGTAGACGACACGGATGTACTGACTGGGACGGGTTGTGCTGTCGGCTGGGGTAGGAAGTGGGCTGCCAGCACCGTGCAAATTTCCACGAGGGTCTGTTGTGGTCTGATGGGTCATGGTGGAAGTTATGAGGCTGAACTAGGGAGGCAGTAATATATGCATTCACTTGATGTGATAATTTTTTGATCCTTTCTTTTCCTTGACGAAAAGAGGTAGAAAAGCTGTATAACAACGAGCCATGGCTGGTCAGAGGGCAGGCCGGAGGGCATCGTTATATAGTAAGAAGTACAAGATGGTGAGAACTCCAGCTCTGAGATGGTAGCTGCGATGAAATCGAAATGCCGCGGGGTTGCAGCTCAAAGCCACAGACCACGCCACCAGTATATAGAGATAATTACTGGTGGTTTATAAAATAGCTGCGATGATTTGACCTAAGGCTCGGTTGCTGTCCCAGAGCCTGCATATCCAACGAAATAGCGCAGGAAACAATTCTGCCATGTAATAGGCCATTTTCAATATCATCGCAGCGACTCTTATGTTATTACACCCGCCCGCCCGCCCTCCCCCACAGGAAACTGAAATCATCGCAGCGATGAAGAAGACCCCTGCAGGGAGCCACATGAACTTTGTCGTCCCAGTCGGCACTAAAGTAGCCCTCGCAGCGATAATATTGAAAACCATCGCAGCGACGATCTGGAGGGGCGGTGGTCGAGAGCCTACGTATGCAAGCCACCCACCATGTAAACCTTAAAACATCGCAGCGACGCTCTTATATTCTTTTCTGTCCTCTCCTTTCTATTTATTTAGTTCTTCCCAACCCATTTTCCATTATCTCCTTCCCATCACCGGGACCATTTCCAGGCATTCAAAAGCCAACCGTTGGACCTACTACCACATCTTCATTACGCAACAGCATCTCACTACTTCACGTATCTCTTTGCCTCACGGTTCTCGTTGTCTTTTAATATTCTGATCCCGAGAACAACATCAGCCTGACTAACTACGTTCATATGGACCGGATCCATACTGGACGATGAGCCAGACATTACAAGCCCAAGACTCGCTGGTAGCGGCTGGCGCAACGGAGGACACCGTGCTTGCTTCTCCTAGCAGCCCTTTGAAGAAACGAAAGAGGACAAGCCAGTGCCAAGAGGCGCGTAGACTTCGGTGTCCTATTGCCATGTTTTGGCTCCATGTCCACCCGGGCCTCACATCTACCTACAACTTTACGAAACCAAGCTTTCCAAACATACACAAACTCAAGTATGGCCTCAAACCCCCACACTATCGTACCTGCAAGTATCCTGATGTTTGTTTTGCAGCGAGCATATCGATAGGTATCATTCCCAAGACTATTGGTGTCTCAAATGCAAGACGCCTTACAACATTACGTCCAGGAAGAACCTGGAAGTCCTTAAGAAGGCCCATGAAGTATCTGGCTCTTGCTACTCCAAGTCTTGGCCCGGGCATCTGAGATCTTGGGCCAGGGAAATGTTGATGGATAAAAGTGGGTATGATAGATGGAGAGATTAGGACTCTAAGGAGATGCGCAAAGAGACTCCCCGTGGGCTAAAGCCCGACGGGACCCAGGAGCCTTTGGAGGAATGGAGATACAGGCGAGTATACGAAGCCTTGTACCTGTACGGTTTTCACCAAGCCGATTGTGAGTAATCCATCTATATGACTTTTTGCTTCCCATTCTCGGCTTGTGCTACTCTCTCCATAACCTGGTCTGAAACTCGATCATGTCTGTTCACACCCAGGATAATTAGGTTATATCACTGGTCCCTCGCCGCCTGTTGCCAGGAATCTGCCCTCCCCCTGCAGTCGACCAAAACCACCAAAAGAGAAGAAAGGCAGAGGAAGTGTGCCGCCTGGAGCGCCGGGGAGCCGCGTGCCTTGTCCTTAGTCCCCTGCTTCAACTACCCAATTCTAAGACCCGGATTGCAGACCAAAAAGCCACGTGAGCGGCAAGAAGGACATCAGAAACTGCACGCTAACTTGGGAATATCGTGGTTGGACTACCTTCGAGCGTTGGAGGGGCACATAGAGGCAACCTTTGATCTATACCTAGGAAATCGGAGACATAGACAGCGGACTTGATGCATGTATCATAGCAAGTCCTTCACGAAAGAGAGGAAGAAAAGGGACAAAATACGACTGTCCAAGTGTCGATAACATACAATAGTTGGGGTCCATTGCAGTTGTTTTCATGTATTCTTATCACGGTTCGAGGATCTGCGTTTTCATTACTTTCCTGCCTGCGCAACATTGGCATTGACGACCAACTCAATTCAATTGTGAAATGATTAGAGAATCCTCCATGATCATTCATACGCGCTTTTTGCACGTCTTTCATCACTTTTACAGATAAACATTTTGCAGAGACACTGCTCTGCAGATTTTCCATAGGCGTAGGTCAGCCAACGTGCTCACACACACACACACACACACATACACAGAAACACGCACACATCTCAGTCTCCACTTCAATATCTAGATATTTGAAAAACGTTGCAATTAGTTGCGGCTAGACAATAATGATTAACCCATCTCCCAGCTCCGTGTTAGACCTCACAAACTTGCGGGATGCCTCTCCCTACACCGGAATCTACCACCACCACTGCCCGATACCATTCCAGCCCTTTCACATCCCAACAGCTACAACCCCACCACCGCCAACAGCGCCTGCCCAGCCCTCAAGTTGGCCATCTTGTACGCCTTGCTATCCGCAGGGAACGTCCCGTTGGCGGCCCACAGGTCGATGAGCGGCTGCATGGGCTCCAGCTCATGCGGCTTGAGCAGGTCCAGGGTGGTGGCCGTCAGCAGGAAGTGGCTGAAGCAGCTGTTGAGCTGCTTCTCCAGGTTCAGGTGGTAGAAGGGCTCCACAAAGTGCGCGTGGTACAGGTGGGCGTAGACGCGGAACATCTGCAGGAAGATGGTCTGGCAGATGGAGCCGAACTCCCTGGGGAAGCCGCTGCGGCGGCCGGGCCAGTCGCTGCCGTCTGCCGGTGGGAGGGAGGGGTCGGTGAAGGCCGGGTTGAGGGCGTAGGATACGCCGGAGGGGTCCGTGGGGAAGATGTTGGTGTCGTCGATCTTGCTGGACACCCAGCGCTGCATGAGGGTGATGTACTCGTAGGCGGGCAGCTCGACGGGCTCGTGGCGGCTGTTGAGCCATGTGTAGGAGTGGTTTCTGGGAGGGGGTGTGTCAGTACGCTGAGCCAGGCTGGATTCGTGATAGTATGTGACAGCCGCAGCTTTCTGGGGGTTGAGAACAAAGACAAGGAGGGAGGAAGGACGGAAGAAAGGGAAGAGGCGGTGGTGGGTCACTTACGGTCCAGCACTCATCTTGGGACAGGTTGTGGCATTGCAGATGCTCATGCCTGCGTCTTCTTTCTCGTAAATGACCCGAACGAAGTGCCAGAGGTTGCGATAGTGCTCAACAACCTGGTGGGCTATCCACTCGCCGTTCTCGACGGTCTTGGGCCTCGCAACGAGTGTCATGAAGTTGCCCTTCACTATGTGCTTGGCATATACCGGGTTGACCCATGCAGGAAGTGGCCGTGGCAGATGATAGCAGTTGAGAGGGTCATCTTGATCAGAAGACATGGTGATGCTGACAGACTGGTCCGAAACAGATGCTGCTGCTGGTAGTGCACTGGTCTCGTGACCGAACCTGGATCTGGGGTCCTTGTGTGCCCTGATGTCCTCCTCGCTCGAGGATTCTCTCAGCTAACTGCAAAATCTGTCAGAATAAGTTCGACATGATATGGCATGACACAGGCATGACCGTGGGAAAGAATCGCATCAGTGATGAGGGCTGTGGTGTCAAGCCTCATATGTCATCTCGACATGATTGCCAGATCTGTCAGATCTGCCTGCTGCTGCATAATTTCCTCGACCCGAACCGAGATCCTCAGGGACAGGGTGGTACTGGAAAGAATGGGGTATTGACCCATTGCAGCAGCAGCAACGAGGGATGAATGAACTCCCTCCTCAAGTACAGAGACTTGCTTGACCAGTTCTGGATATGTCCTGGTGATCCAAAACTTGCAGGCTTGAAAGTCATGCTGGAAACGAACTTATTGGTAGACTCACACTTTGCTGCTGGAGAAGAACTCTTCTGTGTTCAGTCAGGTTCAATTCGGAGTGTCAGGCTCTCATCTCAGAGCAAGTTTCGAGACACAACTCATGCAGACAAACAAGATTGATGCATGAGTAGCAATAACAAGAGGCATATGCACACAGAATTTGTTGTCGAAATACCCCTTGGGACAGACAGACGGATCAAGCACACATAGACAACAACAGACACAGGACACGTCCCAGGGTGCGGTGATCATCAATGCCTTGTGGGTTACAGCGCCAGTCAGTCAGTCAGTGCGTGGCCACTCAACTGCAACAGGGGATGGGGCCCCATTCCCCATCTCCATCCTGCGTAAAGAAGATCCCCGCTCCGTTCGGTCTCTGTTGTGTGGGGCACGCACGGGGGCCTAGGCTGTTTCCGCCCTTCTCCTCATCGACTTTTTGTGACATTTTTACTTTTGATACTTGGATGAAAGAGTGGCTTTTCCCTGCTCTCATAAGATAGGGCGTCTGTTGGCATCGATTGATTTGTCACTTGAGACTCAGAGATGGCGATATTCCACAAAGGTCGCTCATAATATTCTCAACTGGATCCAAAGGGCCCAAGAGATGCGCTACCCCACTGCTACAGCTCAGGCACAGGGTTTGGACCCCATAGACAGTGGTCTTGGCTCCATGATAGGGACTGTGGCTTCAGTTGCAGTCTGCATCAGACAGGCTACAGGCCAACACAACAGGTATCGCCTACCCAATTGATACCAAGTGTGCAGGAAGACAGATGGAGCTAGGCCATACAACAGGTCCCGGATGCATGGCTCGCTTTTTTCACCAGAGCTGTCTCCGAGTTTGCCACCTATCGAATGTCACGGGTGCACAGAGAACGGTGCACAAATTACCAGCCACTCTTGTTGAGCACACGAACGGTCAAATCTGCAAACAGAAATTTGATCATTATTGTCTGCCTTATCTTACAACAAGAGGCCGATATAGAAGCCTCCCTCACAACCAATACCACCCCTGCACTCCACATCAGTGGCATATCTAAAGCTTTTCCGAACCCATTCCGTCTTCTATGAGAGGGGCACCGGTGGTGCAGCCTCCGTTCCCGTCGGCATCTTCTGGCTACCCGGTGGAGGCGGGAGAAACATCGGCAGGTATGTCACAACCAGAGACATGAGCGCCATCCCGACAGAGAAATAGCCAGGTGTGCTTGAGCTCGTCTTGCTGTACTCGCTCTCGCCCAGCCAGTTCTGTATGCTGAAAACCACGGCAGCCCTGTATCAGACAATCGTCACGTCAGCAACCTTGTACCGTACCATGTTTCCCTTGACTTTTTTTGCTCCCTCTTCTTTTGAACTGTGCGCGCGCCAGTTTGGTATCTGGGGCTGACACTCTGCCCAGACTGGCCACTGCGGCTACCGCCACGCAACTGCTCGAAGTATACTGTGGGTGGTGGAGTTCGTACCATCCTATGTAGCGATTTCGCATAAAGATCGCGGCCATCGGCAGGGTCTGGGACATGGTCGAGCTCACGTCGGCGCCGTCATTTTTGGCCATTGGCTCCTGGTAGGGGATCACTGGGCACCCGCAGGTATGCGATTAGTTCTGGAGCTCGAAGTAAGAAAGGGGGAAACAATGGGGACGATCTTACCCAGATCCGGCCGTCTCAGGTCTTTCTTGGATGCCATGATGATGTTGCGTCAAGGGATTGTAAGAAGAAGGGTATGGAGGGGCTGATGATGGACTGGACGGAGGTGTTGTCGCATCGGTTACGGTGTTGTTAATAAGTGGTCGTTGAGAGGTAAAGTTGCCAGCCGGCTTGGTCCTGGAGCCTCGGGGTCCTGCTAACCTAACAGGGTTATTCCTGGTCCTTCCCACTAACACCCTAACCCTAGGTATGTAGGCATCATTTCGGATCTGGTCTAGCATTATCAGGACAATGTCCCCGTCCCTGAAAGGATTCGCGATCTCTGATTACCTTCACTCCTTTTTCGTGGGGTCTCACCTCAGCTAAAATTTACCGGAGACTGGCAGTGTCAGTGAAGGATGTTCTCGGTCCGCCCTCACGTCAGCACCTTTGCATCTCCACGCTGGTGGCCAGTGTGCATATTGACAGCTGTCAATGCTACGAACAGTCTGGATATTCTCAAAAGCATTTTTATTAAGAGAAGAAAAAAATAAAGATAAGAAAAGGCAAACAAGGACTGTGAGTCTCAGCTCAGGGTATAATATCAACAGGAAATGCCCAGATACAAAAGACTGCTGGGAAACATAACGCCAGACGCACACTTATCTTCCGTCCTTCAGGATCCGACCTCTGGCTGACTTTGCCCAAGCCCGGTTCCACCCTTATAATTTTCCAAGGACAAGCTCTCCTGGTCTTGCATGTCCGAGACCACCTGCGACTCGTGCTGCGAGGCCGCGGTCTTGTAGCCAAACCGGTCCTGGCTGGCTGCCTCGAGTCTCGTGAAGTCCGTCACGCGGAAGGGATCTGGTGCCTTTTCAAACCGCTTCCTCAGAGACAGCGGGCCGTACCGGCGTCCTGAGCGCGAGGATGGGGTGCTCGACACCTTGGTCCTGCCCCGGACCACCTTGATCACCAGCGACGCCACCACAGGCGCGCAGCCGACAATGACGGCGACGACCTGCTCCGCGACGGCCAGGATCGACACGACGATGTATACGACCGTCTTGTTCTCGCTCTCGGCGGTGGGGATCTGATAGGCCAGCCTGGCCACGCTGGCCAGCGGCGCCAGGGAGCCAAAGGCGAAGAGTGCCCACATGGCCCACCGCTTGTTCTGGCTCATCTGCAGCTTGAAGATCAGGGCCAAGGGGATCACCAGGATGGCAAAGTCGCTGATGATGTTGATGATGGACGACAGAACCAAGAGCAGCCACTCGTTGATGCAGGTGTCGCCAAAGGGCAGGCCGTACGGTACGCACTGCAGGCAGACGACGAGGATGAGGGCGATGCTGTACAGCACGTTGATCCAGATCACGGCGTGGATCGCCCACCACGGGCCGCCCCGGGTGACGCCGCGCGGGTAGAAGGACCGGAGGTAGAGGAGCAGAACGGAGAGGCGGGCGAAGAGGATGCCCACGCGGGCGCTCATCTCGAGGGCTTCCCAGGCCTTGCCGAAGGCTTTGAGCTCTGTTTTCGGCACATCCTCGTCTGCAGAGGAAGAAGAAGAAGAGGAAGAATCAGCAATGTGAGCAGGAGAAACAGACACGAGGGACACGCCGTCGACCTACAGTTCACTCCTCCGCCGTGTTGCATCAAGAGCAACACTGTGGAGATTTCTGCAACAGTTCCGATGAAGGTGACAATGCTGGTCCCTGAGGTTTGGCTCGGCTCATCAGCAACGATATTTCGAGTAGCGGGACACCCAGAGGAGAGGGAAGACGACCAAGGAGCACACTAATCACATACAGTCATCCCACCAGAGTTTCCTATGAATCACAAATCGTGTATATATCCGTGTCGTCGTCACAATCAAACATACAATCAAGAAAACAATCATCAATCCCAGGATAAGTCCAGCAGGAACGGGCGCCTGAGCTTTGGCCGAGGCGCTGATAAGCCCGCTCTGTAACGCCATCGTGGTGGACTCGTATCTAAAAGCTTCTTATTTTTCTTTCTTTGGCAAGTTGTGGAGGTCAGGCGGCCAGTCTTGCAGCAGCAGCAGCAGCAGCAAACTTCATTGTCGTGGAACCTATGTGATATAGAGTCGTTCAGAGGGCCGGTTCAGGTCAAAAGATGGTCTTCATAAGTACAAGATGACCCAAGGCGCCACTGCAGAATCTATAGCACTCTGACTTGTACTCTGGTATGGCTTTCGGTTCAAGATGGGTGGGTGGTATTATTGATCGGTTCGAGGGAACCCGAGATGGATAGACGCAGCAGGCTGAGAGGAGGACTGGTGGGAGTTGCAGAATACGGTGCTGCAAGAGTACGGCGATGCAACATGCCGTGTCGCCTGGATGTTCAGCTGTTCTGGTGGTGGGTGGGTGGTACGAGGTGGAAAAAGGGTGGCTCTTATTGGAAGAATATCGACTTTGCGCCCACCATGCTGCCACTGGTCAGGCGATGATGTTGTCCTTGACACCTTGGGGAAGTACGAAAATGCATAGTCCGAGGACCTGCATATGTATATCTCGCAATGTGCAAGTCTTCAAGATTATTCTTCACCGGGGTCAGCAGCGCTACCCAGTCCCAAGTCCTCCTTTCTTTTCCCCCCTATCTGTGAAGACATGGTTTTGTTTTTTCCTTTTCTTCTGTTTCTGTTTCGGTGCCTATTCATCACCTTGTGCTGGTAGTGCGTGTCACATCAGAAGCACGTAATTCCTCTGGGGGTACTGGGGTCTCAGCCATTCAGCATATCTGCGTGCTGATCAGTTGCCTTAAGCCCTCCCCCATTTCCATCGCGACGTGCAGGGCATGCCTACCAACCAGCGCAGGGCTGCTCTTGATCGCCTCATCTGCCCGTTCGCCCGGGGCCAGATCGTGCAAGCAGCGGGTGACAAGGATTGTTGACAGCCAAACTACTACTACTATTGAGATGACAACTCGAGACAGTTCACCTACTAATGACTGCGTACTCTAGGCCGCCAACGAACACCCTCTTTGAAGTGAGACATGATGTTTTACTCCGTACTTTGACCACTCATTCACAATGGGAACCAAAGTCCCTGTTTCTTTGTAAATGAGCAGCCCTTACCCAAGCCTTGGCTTGGATTCAGAATGCCGGCATTAGTAGGGGCGGACGGTTGCGACCCACGATAATTGAAGGATCCTCCCGCCATCCTTTCAAACCTCCTCCACCTCGACCACTACTCAACCAGGCATTGGGGAGTGGCTTCATGCTACATGACCAGGGTTCGGAAAGTGGCGCATACGTGCCGGTGACGAGGATTGAAGACCAGGGGGGGTTGGCACTAGGGGGAGGGTGGCCTGGGAATATTGCAAACCGTAGCTGCATAGTACTTATGTGAGTACCATGCGAAAAAGAAAGAAAGAAAAAAGAGAGAGGAGGGGAAAGGGAAAAAAGGGAGGCTATCATTTTGCAAGGCCAGGCCATACGCTCTCCACAAAGTTACATGCAACCATCCGCAATCTCGCCACCCACACACTCTTCTGGGCTACATCCCGCTCGGAGATATGCAGCACCTGCATAACTTGGGTCGATAGCAGCAAGGAGCTGAAAAAGACCAGCAGCACGTCATGGGGAAACAGGGCATCAGCAGGTCAAGTTGGCGCCGGCCCTTGCAACTGAGGGCTCCGAATGCGGGCGAATTTGCGAAGGCGGGCATACGCCGAGATGGCCTACAAACACGCAAACGTACCCAACCTGGCGGTGGGAAGGATAGACTTGAGCTCTGAAATTCTTTACCCCATAGCCCTCGGTCTCTCCTCCTCTGCCAAAAAGGTGAAGGTTTTTTGCCCTGTGTGACATTACATCTGCATTTCCTCCCCCTCCCTTCTCCTCCTCTTCCTGCTCCCCCTCCTCCTTGGTCTCCATCTGCTCACTCTTTCTCAAACTCGTCCAAGATCATCGCCCGTCAATCTGGACCCCAACTTTTTTTTTGTTTCTTCTTCTTTTCTTGGTGCACCTGATAAACTCGCATCACACCTCCCCACGTCCAATAACAGGCCATCGCCAAGAACCAAAAAAGATGTACAGCCCTCTTCGTGTTGTGTTGGCCCTTGCATGTGCAGCGCTTGGAGCCCACTGTCTCAACTTGAACGTGACGGCGATTAGTGCTGCGAATAATGCCTCCACCCTGGAGTGCTGGCAGATGACCACGCCCTTCTCGATTTCGACCACGTCGGGGACGGCGGGTAGCGCGTCCCTGGACCTGGGTGATGTGTATGACAATCCCACGTTGTTTCGGTTTTTTTTCCTCTCTCTCTTGCTTTTGCTTGGTTCTCTTCCTGGCAGATTGCATTTGCAATCGTAATGCTGTGGTCACCTTAAGGCTCGCACTGTTCCGAGGGGAGGAAGAAAAGGGGAGGGGGTACTTGGGAGGCGGCCCGGCAGATGTCGTATTCTCGAGTCTCCCGTCACATTCGCAAGCGCTCCCCAACTTTGCAATAGAGTTCAAGGTGTCATCCGATATCTTGTTTCTCCTAGAAGCCTGCGCGTCGTCATATTGTCACACGATTTGGTACTGTAGCATCCTGTATTACAAGCTGAGCACTGACCTTTGTTGTTTTCCCCGGCCTCCCCTGAGCAGATCGAACCTCACCTACACCGTCCTCCCTGCAGCCTACGATGGCGGTCTTCACAATGCACCCCACGCACAGTAAGCAAAGATCACCATCATAATTTCTTTCTTGTATTCTTTGGTTTCCTGGTTCATCTCCCATACCCCTGCTTCTTTGGCAGCGGGACGGGACGATGATTAGGTAGATTGTGTCCCCCCGTCCGATTCGCTGCTGACGCCAGACGAACTGTCTCTCTCTCTCTTTTGCTACAGATGGGTCGTCTTCATATCGGGTCTAGCCTATATCACATTGCCCACCAATACAAGTGCGGCTGCCTACGTTCCCGGCGGCGAGTTTGGCGTCATCTTTGCCGCAGACACCGCTGCCGTGAGCGCCGAGGGCCATCGCACCCAGTACCCAGGCGTGACCGAAACGGTGGCCCTCCAGATTCCCGTGGCCGACGGCAAGGTTCCGGACTACGAGGTGTTGCACTCGGGCGCATGCACCGACACGGATGTTGGAGGGCTGAGGGGGCTGGCGGCGGGGAGCTCCTAAGGTTTTGGCCGGACTCGTCGATAATCAGCTGCTATTTCTGTTCAGCGATGGCATACAATGGGGCTGTGTATATGTGCAGCAGAGTTCGTTGGGACGAGGCGAGGCGTCCTTCCAAGCCTGACATACTTATTTTGTTTTTGCCTTTGGAAAAGTCTGGTGATGGAAATGAGGGACGGCAACGTTACCTTTTTAATTCTCTGCCTGGTCAGATCATCCGACAGGCAATGAATATATAATCTATTAGTCGTCTGAGAGGGATATTAGCTCTCTCTCTCTCTGTCGTTTTACATATGGAGGCGTACCATTCATTTGGGGTCGCTATACATAGAAGCTTTCTTGTCTCTCAACTATGCACCCCTTCGAGGCCTGAACCTAGTTCTTGGGACCAGCAGTGATGTAATTGGGTGATGATGCCAAGGCATGAATAATAAGGTTGCGGGTATCAGACAACGAACCCGCGTACCCGGGGACGCATGGTACGGCGGTACTTTGAACCCCAGAGCCGTGTCAATTATATTGCCCGTGGTATGATCTTCTCTTTGCAGGCAGCCATGCAAACGGGGGCGTTTTCACAAAATGAGTCTCGCACTGTTACGGACGTTTAAAACAATCATAATTAATGAATATGTCAGTTTGTAAATGAAGACGACACTGCGAAGTTGTGGGCGGTGCTTAGATATGGAAAACCTGTAGTGATGTGGTACATGGTGAAGCCTGGTGAAGGGGTGGAGAACAGTGCAGAAAATACCAACCTCCGCAAATGATTATGTGCATTGTTCTTGTACTTGAGAGATTGGCCCTCAGGGTTGAGTGGAAAGATGTACAGTACAGCTAGTGTCAAGCACTGGCGATCACTTTTGCGCACACCTCGGTCGGGCTGTCATCGTGACCGTCTTGACATCCCAAGTCTCACTCTCAGTGTGTCTTTTGCATCGATCCCGTCATATCAATGTCGAGTCACATTCCTGTTGGTACTTGATTATTCCCATACAGCTTCAGCTAAGTATTTCAGCCAATGTTGCGAATAAAAGTTAATTGCCTGTTCGAGGTGTGAGTACTTGCTGATCTGTAAAGTATGACAGCTTAGGAGAGTGCCCACTCCCAGTGACTAAGAATCCACGAGTAGTCTATGACATAGTTACAGTTACATGTACCGGGTGGCAGTCTCTCCACATGCAATGATAGCACAGTAATCTCCCGCCTCCTTGTTCTTCCTTGAGCTACATACCATAACTCTTACAAATCAGACAAATTATCATGACTACCTTTCACGGCAACAAGTCTGCCGGTCGTTCAGTGCCATAGCCAGCTCCTGAGATCTAATCCCCTCACTTTCAGCCTCTCCTTCTATCCCGGCGCAGATGGGTAATCAATGACGGTCACCATGGCACGGGATGCGCCCTGCGACCCACAAAGCTGCACCCTGAGCTGACGTCCGTCCTGCTTTCTGATGTCGCAATACCTTTATCAAACTAGAAGAGGAAATGGCAGCTGCAGAGATAACAAGAGGGCGATTCAGCTAGGTCATATTCGATTAGTCCTGGATGCCACGAGGAGCCGCATGCCGTATGTATGGACGGAGCCTTATGGGAGACTGGCGAGGAGACTTCAGCTCCGATGTGGTCTTTTCGTCAGGCTGAAACTATGCCAGATTTTATTTGCTCGTCCGAAGCTGTATTTCCCGACGCTCGTAGGGCGGAACCAATTTCAGACGGGCAGACTGGCGTATGGCTTGTCAGCTAGCATGATCATCATGAACGCGCAGAATCAAGTCCTTAGCCTTGTCGGGGCCTTTTTCAGGAACCGGAGAAATGCAGCTCGTATATGCACGAGTATAACACCCGATTTATCAGAACGGACGGCATGGCAGCATGTGTTCATGTTTCTTATTCTTGAGGCTCACCCCCGAACACCGAGTTGGAATCCTAGGTTTATTACTCACCGTGAAAGATTCGCCCATAATTCAGTGCAATGCTTCTCACGGAATCAGGACAGAGAGAAGACTCGGTAAACTAGAGTGAAAGCGACTCACTTTTGGATTCCACGGTGTCAGCAGCCTGCCCTCCATCATGTGCGCGTGAATTTGGATCGCAAATACCAATATTGGTAGCCAAAGTTCCTTTTCTTGAGCCTCATTGCGATAACACCTTTTCCAACCCTACAGATTGAACAACGTTGAGCTCCATTGGAGTAGTGCTTACTTCCTGTTGATTGATCATTCACCGGGGAACAAATGAAGATATGAATCTCTCTGAAAAGGGTAAGTTTCCCCGCAAAGGGCGGGTGGTGTGGGTGGGCTGCGGCGACGCCACCAAAGGTGTTCAGGTGTAAGACTTTGAAGAATTATTTCTTCAGCTGGAATTCTGAACGAGATAGACCTCCTGTTATGGTAAGATCTGAAGGTGGCTGCTGATGGTACTCGGCTACAGCGGCTACAAAGTTGATGAGATACACATCATCGCTAGTAATTTCTCACGTTGGCGAGGCTGGCAGCAGAGCTACTCTACTGTTATTTTCATATTGTGATGCTTCTGCTCTATCTATTATAAAATATGAACATCTCGTCGCCAACTTTCCAGACTTCTCTTGGTCACCCAACCCGCCTCGGATCTTTCCCATCTCCCTAAGCCACTACCATTACCAGCACAAAGTCAACCATGAGCCGCTCATGTTTCTCGTCTGTTGACGCTTCAAGCAGCGTTGCTGGTGCAGAGCACTCTCATACTGAACCTGTACAACCCGATGGAAATACCCCTTCGTCAACTGCAGCGGCGACCTTGGGCGAGACGCCGAGTCCAGCTCCGGCTCAGATTGGCTCTAAGAGCACAGAAGAGGTATTTCCCCAGCTTATTCGACACGAAGAGTGTCAACTTGGTTTCCAATTGCTAACCAAGTGAAGAGTCAGAACAACGATGCTCACGGGCATGAGTCCGAGAAGCCGCCACAAGCTGAGAAACAACCCAGACCAATCGATGAACTCTTTGAGGCTATTCAAAAAGCAGACGTTGAGGCAATGAGCCAGATCCTGGAACACCACCCTGATTTGATCAATAAGCAAAATAATCCGTACGAAGAAGAAAACAGGATGACTCCACAGGAACTACTCGAGGCCAACCAGCTCGGAAGCCTGATGACTCAGGATGTACTCCGCTATCAGCGAGAAATTTGGATCGAAGTCGACTACTACGGTGGACAATGTCCTCTCCATGTGGCATGTCTTTTCGGGCAGACCGGACCGGTGAAGCTTCTGTTGGAACAGCGGAATATAGATATGAACTCGAGAAACTGGTCCGAGGAAACTCCCTTGGGAATTGCTTGCAGGGCGGCACACATCTCTATTGCCAAATTGCTCCTGAGTGAATCTCAAAGTCTTCAGGGCTCTCAGAAAATCCAAGTGGCCCTAGAAGATGACGTCGGCAATACTCCAATCCATTACCTAGCAGGCAGCGGTATCTATCCAATGTGGTCCGAAAACAAAAAGCCAGCTGCAAATGACCTGAGAGATGTTGTTCAGTTGATGCTCAAAGCTGCAGAACATGATTCCAGCATAAGTCTCGAGGAATTTGGACGGCTTTGCATGGAAGTGGCAGCAAGCCAAGAATCTACCTCTCTACTGCAAAAATTACTTACAATCGTGCCTGAACTCCAGGATTTTCCAGATGACGATGGATGGACTGCTTTGCATTTTGGCGCGGCAGCAGGTCATAAGTCAGTGGTGGACATGCTACTGGAAAAAGGAGCTGACTGCACAATCGTTACGACAAGACCTTCTCAGAGAGATGCTGTAGGAATTGCCTTGGAGTTTGGGCACTTCGACATTGCAGTCCAGATCTTCGGGCATACTTCCTCAAACATAAGTGCTCCTAAGGATGGGCGCTCAGAAACATGGGACCAGGAAGACCTCACAGCCTGGACTTGGCAACGAAAACTCAACCGAGAAGATTCCGATGGCAAGCCCAATGTCAAAGAAATCGCAGTGAGCAGGCTGACCTCCTCCTTGGATGGCAAAAGAAAACAGCAACAGAAAAAACTTCCCCCAGGAGAGATCTTCTGGTATCACCTTCCAGCAAACCATGTGAGCACCAGTCTTAAAACTTGTTCTTCCCCGTCTTCCGTGTTCTCTACTTAGTAAGTATTGAATAAACATAAGTCTGACAATTAGCGTCTGCGGAACAGTGGCAGTGGGTACAGGTAAGCACTCTTCTGCTGCCCTACTACTTGCGAGGATTTATATCAGCCTTGGGATTATTGATACTGATAGTCAACAGAACCTATGCGAACGCAGCCCCAAGTTCAAGGATATTCTAAGGAGCCTTGAACAGACTTTTGCATCCTCTGGGCGGTCACCTCCCTTTTGTGAGCATAGATTCGAGAGGATGGGCAATACACCGGATTCAGATGATGTTCTAGGCAATGTGGCAATCGTGAGTCAACCAAGCCTTGCATCATCAGTGCAGAAATTCGGATAATTTACTGGTCGTCCTAATTTAGATGCCATTGATCGACATTGATCTTTTAGCTGGATTCGAAAAGACTGAAGAGAAATTATTAAACTCTACCCATTGGAGCAAGATGATGCAACTTTACGAGAAAGAAAATAAGACATTGCATCGTCCTCGAACGCTGGATCACTACTTCAACCAAGACCTTCCGCAGAAGCGGTTGAAAGATTTGAACAATGATCAAGTCTTCACACGGTACCTGCACTCACGCAAACAAGAACAACATAGCCCACAGTCGCAGAAGAGTACAGAAGCTGCCAGGTCCACTGGTACTTCAGCAGCACAAGTCACAGCACGTCCAGAAAATCTCAGAACAATTAACAACGCCAGCCAGACTATCGCTCAATCAACGGGCTTTCATGAAGGTGGGATGATAGAAGCTCAACCGCAGAGTGATCACCCCATGCAACAGGCTTCCATTCCCGATGGCGGGGACAAGGCCAAAGATCAATCCACAGAAGCTGAGGCAGAGAACAGAGATCGTATACTCGTCGTCTCACAACTGTGGCTGGTCAGGATAGAAAGTAAGTTTTTCATTAACAAGACCTCTGAACCACTCATTAAGCCCAGCACAGTTTGCAATAGCTCTTGTGGCCCTTCCTTCTCTCTTGCGCTAGGATATGTACATGCTGCATTTTTTGGAACTCAACTAACAAGTCTCGTTGCAAGACCTCTTAATTACTTCATTTCCTCAATGCTGGGATTCCTCAAACCAGAAACAGCAGTTTCCACAGAAACTTCGAAGCCTGTTCAAGACTGCAAGTGCAGCGGAATTGAGCGCTGAAAAATTATTCCACAGTATGGTCAGAATCTCGATGCAGTATCAGACTTCGATTCAGATCGGCAAGGAGACTCTCACATACCTGAAGGTTTTCAACAAGGAGGTTTTACGAATAGTAAGCCATATTCAGCATACGTATTAAGTCCAGAACAAATGATGCTAATAGATTGTTGTCGACAGTCAGAAGAGGTTGACGACTGCTACAAAACCTTTCGCCATAATGTCAAGAGATCCAAAGTCGCTTTCAGGGAACTATCCAACCGGGCCACAGAATGCTTGATAGATATCAACGACGTGGTACACGAGATCGAAATTATCATAGAAGTTCTGGACCATCGGTCCAGTGTCTGGGAGAAAATGCACGGGATTCCCCCCAGAGGCAACGAAAACTCAGAGAATCATAAAGATTGTCCTGTCGCCGACAACAAGTGCGATCCGTATGAAATTAGGGATTCGTCATACGGCGATGCGGATAAAGTCCATAAAGACGCACAGAATGTCCAGAAAAAGGTAAGATGCGATCCATTAACATCATCCATGTTCAAAGTCATCTAAAACCAGGTTTCGGCTAGATCAAAGATCTCATGGACCTTCTTTATGGACAAGCCGGAACCGAGACTGCGATCAAGTCGTCAGCTCAAGCCAGTTACCTCGCTATCTTTACAGTGTTGACAGTAGTTTTCGTAAGTAGTCTTTCAATACGTCCAAGTTGTAGAAGCCTGTCGATATTTATATTACAATGCAGTCGCCTCTGTCTTTTGTCATGTCGCTCTTAGCACTTCAAATCGAGTCATTCACCCCAGGACAGTGGACAAAACAGCAAGTTGCGCAGAGCTGTGGTAAGTGACCCATAATGCAGTGTGTTCTCTGAAGCTGTGTTCTTTCCTATTAATGTTGAGCAGGTTACAGTATACTAGCAACGGGTCTTCCTTGCCTTGTGATATGGATGTATCTGTTGTGGAAGAACCACCCCAACATGTATCGTGTGATCAAGAAAGCAGCAACAAAATGGATCTATCGAGGACGCACTATAGAAGAAAAGAGGTGAATCAATTAGACAGGCACAGGCATAGGCTAGCTGAGGCTGTTTTGACACTTCCTCGGGGAAGGCAGGCTAGATACATCACTTACCGTTTCTTGCCATGAGCATTAAGGCAGGAACCATTGTCCGTCTTTTCGCTGCCGACATTGAACCCTACAATCGTGAAGCAGTCATAATGATTGATGTAAGGCATTGGACACCTATTCACGCTATCGAAGTTGCTCGCTTCACTTGCGGTGCTTCCGCAGTCTTGTGAGATGGTCTCACTGCGTCCGCACTCCACGCACGGTGACCTAAAGAAATCCCGTTCTGAGAAATAAGCAGCTCGGTCGTGGTCGTCACCTAATCATATGCAAGGGCGAGTGAGTCACTGGCTCCCACTCTCGCCAGGCACCCTCTGCTTAAATAGCCTGGCTTAGCCAGCTGTTGTTCACCTCCATTTCCTTTCCTTTCCTTCCTTTCTATAGCGCATTAATCCACTCAATTTGAATAAACTCTCGATCGTCCGGGACATGGCTGCGGCGCTATTGATTCAGTATCTTCTTGATGATAGCTGGCGCGTTTTGGGGGTTGTGGTCAGAAAGACAGATTGAAGTTGAGTCATCGCACCTTTTCCAAATGGCCCTCCAGCTTTGATCTTTCTCTGGTTCACGACTTTGGTGCATCTCTGAGGGACGTGATTGTGGGATTGTTTTTGAGCGGTGATCTTAAATGAGATACGCCTCACTAGACTGGTCTGCCCAGCCTGGTTCCTCGCGTTCGTACGAGATGTCTGTATGACTTTCTGTGCCGCTAGCATCCTGCCGACATTTCCCTGTGTGCTTGATATTACAAGGAAGTGATTGATGCTTTTTCGAGATCACTATTCTCAAAGACTGCTGTAAGATGGCTGTTGTCTCCTTGTCAGTAGTAAATTGCAATTCTTAAGACAATTTGAAAACTTCGAATAATGCAGGCTGCTTAGCTACTTCAGTAGAGAGAGAAAAAGAATATCAATCAAACTCTACTTACTACTGCCAATAAGCAGTGAAATAAACAGCATCGATCTCTGGCAGTGAATGGAGAAGAAAAAAGAAAATGCCGAGGCTGGACAAAAACGGAATGCGGTGAGTGTGGATCGAACACACGACCTTCAGATAACGATTGAAGTGTCACTTCAGTCTGACGTTCTCCCAACTGAACTATCCCCGCAACAGATGAAAATCTGCGAAATTTCAAGACTTATAATGCAAAGCTGACCAACAGATCTCCGAAAAGTCATTACATGATACAACTCTGGCAAATACAAGAAGAAAGCAGTGATAATTTTATATTATCACATATTGGTAGACATATGATACGTGATAGCAGTGTCCACTAACATAATGTGATCATAGGGAAAATGCAAAAATACATGCGGTGAGTGTGGATCGAACACACGACCTTCAGATTTCGGCTAAAGTTTGACTTCAGTCTGACGTTCTCCCAACTGAACTATCCCCGCCTGTGGTGGATACCGCCCAACGAGAGTCTATCCATGAAGCACACGAGTATACCACAAAGTAACCTAACGGCGAACTTTTTGACAAAGCTTCATCTAGAGTCTATGCACAATCTTATTGTACTTCTCTTCTGTAAGCACTTTTTGTTACAACTTGGTTAATTAGTCTTATATGTTTCAAAATTCTGATAGTACTATTAAGCCTATTATGATCTTTCAATCTGGAAAGACGAAACCAGATGAACATCATAGTTCTAACTTACCTTCTGGCATATGTATAATAACGTCTCTAGCACATATATGAATCTATATATTGCGTTAATTTTTATTGCCACTATTGCTTCCTCAGTCCACAATTCCTGTTCATGTCGAGGACGCCGGTTTTTGAATGGCTACCACAAATAGATACTTTGTATGCGACAGCTAAAAGGAGTGGCCACTCCCAGCTGACTGGAAGGGGACTATGGCCTATATAGCTGCGTAACGGTCGGGCTCACACACTTTGTGCCTCTCGACTACCCAAAGATCACAGTATCTATGATTGCAAAACGTCTAATAACTCCCCAGCCCGCGAAATGTGATACTGAGGATGGCCCAAGATCTAAAGCCTCCATCCAACAGATTTGGAGGCTTGACCGTGTTAGATGTCATGTAAATCGTGAACACACAATGTCTCCTTTGGCGGAAGATCGTCACATCCAGGCGAGTACTGACCTGAAATATTGACATGCAGTCTCGTACCTAGGCGGCGTATTTGTAGAACGAACTTTCTTCGACAGAGCCGCCCTCTCCAGGTCGAGGTGGATCTCCGACGGAAGCTGGGAGCTTGCTCAGTGCAGATTTTTCCAAGAAGGGCTAATAGGCTTCTGTCTACCTTCTAAGCACGGTGGATCCCGAGGCGAAAGATAGGGGATCTGTCTTCACCAAAGCCAAGGCCTTCTCCTTGACGCCAGGAACACTGCCAAAACCTCAATACCTATTTCATTGATAGCTGCTCCCACCAGGTCTCCATTTGTGTTGCTCAAGCAGGCCACCAAACTCCATAAAGTAAATATAGAGAGTCTCAAGACGATTCTCAACTTCTCTACTCGCTAGCGCGTCTTCTGACCGGCCATACGATGCGACAATCTATCAACCAGAAAGGGAGTCTAGGAGCAGACCCACACCGTGAGGCAAACAGGAATACTTCTCCCTATCGAAGCCAACCGCTATTCTTTCCCAATCTTACGCCTCACGGATTATGACAGGGTCTGAGACGAGTTAGTCGAGAAAGCCCAGGCACGACAGAGCACTTTCGTATCGCTGGTTCATAAACACCAGTTTCGGTATGATACACGGCAAAGAGGAAATTATGGGTTCCAACTACTTCATCTAGAAACTCACGTCGACATGTCGGACGACTTACCATCATGAAAAGCTGCCGACAATGACTACGTGGACAAGCAGCCTATGGATACCAAGAAAACCATGTGCTATTATACTTGGCTTTGCAGGCTCTTTCAAAATTTACTTGAACTACTTGCCGTCTGAGCCTACTCTTACGCCAGAGGACTGATTAAGCCAAGCTTCAATCAATCTAGCCATGCTTGTTAAGACTTTTATCCTCCGTATTAATGGTTTTTTTTTATTTTTATGTTTTTTTTATTTGGTGTATTTTAAGAAAGAAATGAATTACGACTAGCTTGATAACTACGCATGTAATCAATGTTAAAGATTTTATATTAAGTATTCTTGTGAACTTCACGAATGACCTGTATGTGTACGACTGATGAATCTTCTATAGTTATCAGTGTTACTCAATATAAATCGTACGATTCTCTGCAGAATCCTCCCAAACTCTCCAGTAACCCACACTCAATGCCAAGCCGATTCTTCGATAGGTATTTGGCATCATGCTCGTGGAGGTCTCTTGCAACAATAGCAGGTAGTTGACGAGTGTAGAAATCACCACTTCTTTATCTTCGTGATCATCGCTCGTGTCAATACGATATTGTTCGTGTTCATGATGGGCCACGAGCGCCAGAGTAAGCTTGGCGTATTGAATTTCCGAGTCTCGCTTGCCATCTAGAGAAGCAGATATGGATTTAGAGCCGCTTCGTATTCTATACGATCCGGTCAGGCCAGGCTCAAAGCTGATTCTGAGTCCTTTGGAATGGTACAGGGTTGCTATGACATTATTCCAGTCAATTGCCTTCGCGTGGATACCGATACGCGTTGACAAGCATTTGGGAGAGGCTGGACTGGCTTCCTCGACCAAACAGATTGACTCGGTATTAGACTGAGCCTCGATCAGTCGGCAATCAGATAGACATGTTGTTAGATGATATGGGTAACGAATTTTGCCAGCCCATCTCGCCCAAGACCATGATGGAGGTTGCATGCCAGCCGCACGGTAGCCCTCAAGTAGCTCGTTCGTATCTTGAGCCGTGGTAACCCACAGAAGACCTTGATGGAAGGACCCGCTCCACAAACCCCAAAGGTACTTCCCGTCAATAGTTTGCTGCGCATAGTACTCAGAAAGTCCCGCTACAGCAGGAAGCCTATCGGTCTCGAAAGTAAGGTTGCAGGTGGTGAACCTCTCCACGAGGTGGTACCACTCATCCTGGCTTACTAGCCCGTCCTCGAGATTCATCTTGTTGTTTGTAATAGGGTCGTAGTTCTCTGGAGCTATGCCGTCGGGCTTGATAACGCCAGATGCGTCTTCGAAGAAAGATGTACCGCGCGCGAAGTGTATTATCCGTTTCGATAGGATACGCTCCTGGAAGACCCAGCCTCTTTTCATGATGGCGCTATCAGCCAGACTCTGCGCAAAATTCTCGACATGCTGACCGGTCGTCGATATGTGGTCGACAGGCCAGAGGAAACCATGGCTATCGTCAAGTGCTGTGTGCGCGGCTATATTGCAACTTGCGTTGTGGTAGATAGTCGCCATCTTGGCTGATTCTCGCAGCCAGTCATGCTCGTCGTGCTGGATAATGCAGAGGGCATCTATCCATAGGTAGCGAAACCCGAGGCTTCTGGCGACTATGACGGCATGTTCGTAAGTTCGTGGCAGATGGCGAAACTCAATGCGTTTGGTAAAGGCCGGTAGGTTTTCTCGTGTCAGCTCCAAATTGTGCGCTTCGCCCCAGCGATGACTCAGTGTCATATAATGACCCATCGTCTCTCCATTAGATATCAATAGCCTCATATCTTCAAAAGTGAGGCGGTCTGAAGAGAAAGAACTGGGTCTCAGGTCCAAAACTCTTGTAGGGAGCTGCACTCGAGGGACCGTTGCTAGTTGCGCTCGGAGACTAGGAAGCTGATGATATATAGTTCCTCCTACTTTGGCATGGCTTGCAATCAACCATTTTACCGCATCTAACCTCATGGTAGTATCCCAGATGGACGGTCCTACATTAAGAGTAGCACAGGTTAAGCATTCGGATCTCGTACCTGAATGTATCCAGACCGTCTGCAGCAAAAAGAAAACTTAACACACTTACTGAATCTTTCCAAAATCGGGAGAATCTGTCTGATTAAGACATGGAATTCAATTCTTCCGTAGGTTGAAGCCCTCCGTAGTTTGTACCTGGTTCGTGATCGCCAGTTGTGTTTGACGACTTTTGGGGACCCGTGTTCGCTAATATCCTGCAAAGCCGCTTTGAAATAGTCCACTGCGTCCTGAGACCACGGAATGCTGCAGATTGTTGTATCTAGACTTGAAAGGCTTCGGAAGTCCTTCAAGACCTCAGTAGCGAATTGGAGACGAACGAAATGACGAACATCGTTACAATGCTGGCAGGTTCTGAACACCGCGCAGAGACCTGCATAATCAGTGGTATGACCACACGTTGAAGACATTGTGATGAAGTGTGATGGTAGAAATGTATTCTCAAAGTTTGTGTAGTATATTCGTTTTGGATTTGTGTTCTTGTTTGTGGTGGTCGAGTTGGGTGGGAAAGAGCAATTACTTCTCTATCACAATCACTGTGTTTTGTTTTCACTTGGATGAAAGCGGGGTCTCAAGTCAACACGTTACCTCTTTTCACTGATTAACCCAGTCAAGCAACGCACTTTCTTACAGCAGAATGCTAATCCTCCTGCACTGTTCTCAGCTTACTTGCCCATAGCGCGCACGTAGTCCTGGAGGTCAGAATTGTGACATGGGGTTGGCCAGGTGCGCAGCAAACCACAGCAGGCCTTGAGACATTCCTGCAAGCAAAGGTAGGGGGGGGGGGGAAACCAATAGGATCACCTTTAAGACACATATTACTCTCTCTTTAAAGAATAACTTATGAACAGTGAAGTATTATATGTATAGCACGTCACTGTACCGCCGAGTCACCAAATATAGAAACATAGCTATATGAATATCTTAAAATTTCGTTAATTTCAATTGCGGGGATAGTTCAGTTGGGAGAACGTCAGACTGAAGTGATACTTCAATCGTTATCTGAAGGTCGTGTGTTCGATCCACACTCACCGCATTTCTTTTTCTTCGTTTTTTGTATTTTTTCTTCTTTTCTTTATTATACATGCTCTTTTGGAATCCTTCCATGAGATATTTCTTGGCCATCGTGGGGGTTGGATGCTGAGAAACATCACTTTGGCCTGGACAGATTACAGGAAGTGGTATTGCAGGCAGACAAGGAAAGAGATATATATATGTATCTCATGAGCTCTTTTTTCAGACTTGCTGAATATTATAGTTTACCTTTTAGACAAGACTTCCTGTCCGAGGCTGACCAGGTCGTCGTGTCCAACCAGCTCTGCCTTGAATCCATTGATCACCTGGTGTAGTTGGGCAGCAGCAATCTCTTCGACCTCGATGCTCGGAATACCAGGTATCGCCCGCCTTTCACTGTCCGCGCCGAGGATCAATCCCGGCCGGGTGACGCACGCCTCGACCTTTCCATTGGACTGCTTCGCAACTTCGAGGATCTGGACCTCCGCATCTCCCTAACCGCCGCGATATATTATTGCTCTCTGGTCAGCGGTGGAACACTCATTCAACCTTTGCAGATGGCCCTGGTCAGGCAGAATATGAAAAGCCGAGGATGAAACATAAGAAGCTTACCCGTATTAAGGTGTATTCCAGCATCGTGGGGTTTTTGACGAGTAGTTCGACCTTTTCGGCCTCTGCGCGGTCACGCTTTGCATGAATGCCGCTCATGTAGATGAAGCGGAACGGCGTCGGTGTGTCTGACTGGGCTCTGCCGGCCGCCAGGTGCTTTATGGCCGCGACGGCATAGTCGCGGGAGATTTTGCACGTTTCCTCCCAGGGCACGTCCTTGAGTTTCGAAGGCGTGATCGAGATGGTCCTAGGTTTTTGCACAACATCAGCAAACCTGCGCAGAGACCAAGAAACGATGAAGTGAGAGGTGTTTTTCTTCTTCTTTGGATTCCCCTTTCTTTTTTTCTTCTTTTTTTTTTTTTTTTTTTTTTTTTGTGTCTGTCTTACCAGATGCAGGCATCGGCGCCTTCCAGTTCCTTCTGGACGGCCGTGTTGTACGTCTCGAAATCGTCACAGACCACAGATCGCAGTTTCGCGCCGCCAGCCTCCGAGCCTGATGGTACGGGCGTCTCGCGCCGGCCGAGAGCCACGACGGAGGTGATGTGCGGGTGGAGTAGGGCCTGTCGCACAAGCTCTGTGCCGACGAAACCGGTCGAACCACCGATGATGAGCTTCATGACTGTGATGGCGGTGTGAAAGAAGGAGAACAAAGAACTCGTCGAGAGCAGACGCGATTTAACAATTGAGACGCTTGTCCCTCACACTCTCTTATTCTGTCAAGGGCGTAATAGAAGTGATAAGATATAAATCCAAGAAGTTCAGCAACAGAGTCGGACATACGCTGTGGAGTTAAGCTTTGGATTAAGTACTGTATCCGGAATTACGCTGCTCGAAGTGGCTTGGAGGCGAAAAAAGGTCCCTGCTTTTTACTGCTGACCGCTGTGCCGCAGTCTGGATGGTAGCGCCAACATTGACCCCGAGTCAGCTAGAGAGCTTCATGATTTGATGCGCCCGCGAAACAGAGATGAAGCACAATGGATGTGTCTTCCCCATGATAATACCCTCGCGACATTCCGTTCAAGCACTGGCAAGCCAAGATGTATCCTAAACATTATTATCCTGACTATGGCCTGTGAGTCTGAGGGACTATACTTTTGTTGCATTGGGCCAAGAATGGCACGAGGAATGCCGTAAATCACCTTTGACTAGCACTTACCTAGACGATTGTTCAGGTCCCAGGGCCGTAGTGAGTCCTGCTATCATTGACCATAGTCGCCCATCTTGGAACGATGTATTATATGCACACAATTGTCGTCCCAGAAAGTTAAAATCTCCCCCCTTCCCACATTTGAATCCTATCTTCTCTGCGCCGCATAGGCACACAGTGATCTTTCTTCATTCTGCCAGGCTCCAATGTCCTCCTTCGGGCAGTTGCAGCGCTGGCCACGGCTGGAAGCTCGACTCTTGTGGAACAGAGGGCGTTGTCCCCTTGACCATAATATGCTGGTGCGACAGGAGCGGCGCCTACGGTCCAGTCTGCTTCCCGAGGCCGAGGTCGGGAGACGTCAAAGAGGCAAAGAGGATGACGGCCAGTGCGGCTTTTGACGTCGGTTGTGATGTATGGACGGGATTGTCGTTGAAGTCGCCGGAGCGCGCTGGGAGGGCAGGCGTGACTGGTATGCAGCGTCCACGGCGGTGTTGCAAAGACGAGGACGCTGTACTACCTTGAGGGTCAGCGGAATCAGATCGAATAGGGCCAGAGGAGTATTTATGTGGGGTGATTTTACCATTTAATGATGATTGCTTTCCTGAATCCCTGGAGGTCTTCATCATTGGGTATAGACTCTTTCAAGGCCAACCTCATGGGCTCTCAGGTATTTTTGTGCCTTGACTGTATCCAAGGTGATCTCGTTTGATGATTAAATCTTAAGCGAGCTGGCACCTTGTCGACTGACATTCTGTGTTACGACCAAGTCTGTTCTTGTTGAACATCATAAAATTCGCGTGCCGATATTACCCACCACCTGGAACTTCTCCCCCTCTTCATCTACTCCCGACATGGAGGGTCGGGGATCGCCATAGGAAGCAACTACTCCGCATAGCGGGATGGAAAATAGATTTAGGATCGACGGTCCAGGTGTAATCGCTTGTGACACCAGGGTTGCAACAAGACGGATGTGGATCTCGATGCAGTGCCCTGATGAGTTGAAACGAAAAGCATCCTCTTGCTCTATTTCATCGATGATAGCACAGGCTGCCTGGAGGCCAGAGCACTGATTAGCTTCGGGAACACACAAATTCTTTGAGATCACAACAACGTATGGCTAATTTGCCTTTTTGCATGTGTGGTCTCCCTGATTTCAAAAGAGACATTCTCCATTCATTGGCTGTACAAATAATCCGTCCATTACTTGGTCGCATCAAATACGGGTGCCCGTAAACTCCACGGGTAGTCAGGCAGTTAGTCACTGAGTCGCAACAAGCCTGCCAGAGAAGTGGCAAAATAATCAGCACCAGTACCTCTACTACAGCCAAGGAAGCTTCTTTCGTTGGATTCTTGACCTAGAAGACACACTACCCTCGTTGAGTGAACTCGTTTGGACCCGAATTCCGCGGAGATTCGGAGAAAGTACCTGAGGAGTCGGCGAAATTCCTCCAGGGCAAGACACCCGGCTCTCCCGGGGGGTTTGCACAAGCCGTTTCTTTTTTTTTTTTTTTTTACTAATTATGTCCTACATTTAGTGCCGAAAGCGAGGCACGGGGCAATCAACAAACATAGCCCACCAAAGGGACACAATGCAAATGGTCGTGATGAAGCTCAAAAAGGAATGGGACTGATTTGATAAGCAGCAGAGACGTTAGAGAGTCTGGTTGGTTTGTTTTGGTTTGGTATGATTTGGCGAGTTTGGTTCGCGCTCGTTACCTCTGAGCAAAGTAGCCGATCGTAGCGACTAATTATTACACATTGATTACAGTGTGGATTCAAGATTGATTGTATTCCGGCGCATTTGTCTGACGCGGGGCCTGCCCAGTGGAAGGAGGAGGTGATGAATAAGTCCGCAACTCCCCTAGTGTGCGCGCTCTCATCGTGTCACACGGGAAAGTCGGAAAGGCTGCTTACTTACTTAGTGCTCAATGGGCGTGGGGAGATGCGGGTGGAGGGATGGATGGATAATATGGAAAGGATGGGGGCGGTCGGTGCAAACCCAATCCTAGTTCAAGCGACAAGACAAATGTAATCAATTAATGCCTTGTGGGGTCTAGATCTCGCCGGAGCAAACGGTCGCTTTCAAGGTATTTGAGTATTTGACTATTGGACCATTGTACACACCCTGGGGGGTAGTACAATATCAGAGCGCAAATCATGGCGCCGGAATTGCCGCGGACAAGGAGTGATGATGAGGCCTGGAACCAAGGAGGCGTTGTTTTCTCATCCTATGTACCACTTCATACGCCGGCTCGTGTGTCTGACCTTACCTTGTGCACATTTTCTTCTCATGAACAAGACACGATTTCCATTGTTTCTCAAGTGTGAATGGGGTTGGAGGTTGAGAGGGCCACATTGGCGTATAAATGAGTATTCTTTTTTTCTTCCTTTTTTCTCATTCCACCATGTCCATGCAGCCACGAAGTTGCACGTTCTGCAGGGGACAAAAGATAGAGGCAAAATAACAGCCGAGGCAGAAGTGAACCAGGTCCAGTAGGTAAGATTTGATTTCGAAGCAACCGCCTGCACGGGCGCTGGCAACAAACACCGCAGGCAGCTTATCTGAAAGGAAGGTATGGAGCAAGGAAATATTCCTCCCTTTCTCGGTCCGGAGAGCGGTCACCTTGACGCCCGGAGCCGAGTTGCGTTTCTAACCCCCAAGCCCCCGCCCTTTCCCCTTTCCCCTTTCCAATGCACTCACTGCTTTTTAGCGATGTTGGGCGTCTGCAGCTGCAGAGAAGGAGACACCACGTCACATCGCCCCGTCCTCCCGCATTAACAAGACTCGAGGTGAAGGGAATTATAATAATAATTATTTATTTAGAATCTATTGCAAGAGACCCCTAACAACATGTGGCGTCAGGAACAACACACCTGCTCCTCTCCACCTCGAGATGATCAATCTAGATGGCGTAGCTTGTCTTTTGGAGGGTTTCCCACTGAATTCAATGTCCGGTAGACTTGAGCCGGCACAGGCTGTAGCGAATATGCACCGGAGAAATGAAAAGACGCCGAGGGTCGCACTGAATAAAGCCGGAGAGAGTGCTGGGCACAAGACGATGCGAAGGGAGCTGCTGGAGATAACTCGACCCGCGAGAGAAGGAACTTTTTCATTTTTACCCTTCGTCTACCTGTCTCTCTCTCTCTCTCCGCCTGCCTTTGCTTTTACTTCTTTCCATTTGGATTTCTTCACTGTCAGGGATACTATGACAATTCCTTGTGTGAAGGATCAAGGCAGCTGGGATCGATCAAGTAAGTATTTGGAAAGAAGAGAAGAGGGAAAATACTAAGTTTCATTTCACCAATGAGGATGGAAGATCCAAATAGCCACCCCTGGTTCTGATCCGTGACGTGGTATCGTATGGTAAGGAGAGCTGATGATGTCGTGATCACGAGATAAGCCACTCGGAGGGCGTCGTTAGCCTCCGGGAGCCGACGTGATGAGCAGGAAAAAGATGAAGAGAAACAAAAGGGTGGCGAGGGAATTGCTGTATTCAGCCACCACCCAAGATGAGAAGGCCATGTCACAAGTTATCTATGATTAAGTATTCACCATGGACGGAGGAGGATGGGGCCGAAACGAACGCCTTCCTGAACAGGCGAATCTGCAACATCGCAGGTCAAAAGCTTGTCAGTGGATGAAGCAGTACAGTAGTAAGTCAGATAATTGGTCTTGCGAATTGAATGCGTGGACCAACAACAGTGGGTGCTTGTGCGAGCGTCATCGGAGAAGGAAAAAAAGAGAGCAAAAAAACCCCAAGAGAAGAAAAAAAAAAAAATGCTCAAGCAAAAATAAAAACCACCACACAGCAGTACTGGCAACTTGGCCAAAGGACGTTCAAACGCCTCAGGACTCGCCCTTTCGCCTATCTCGTGTGAGCCCGTGTGACGGTTGTTTTAGAAGAAGAAAGATCGCGTGGGACGGTTTGGCACGACGGGCTGAACGGCAGAACGGGGCATCCATTTAGTGTGCCAGTCAGTTGTGTATGTATGTACATGTTGACGTGCTACGTAGTACTGTATACATGACCACTGCAGTATAGCAGGACGTTAGCCCCAATCGTCAGGGATTGAGGGGGTGACCACCTGTGCCACCCTCTCTATCCGGAAGGGTCGACACGAGTGCCTAAAGTACATAGTACTGTACATAGTACCTAGTACTTCCAGCCCCCGCCTTGTGCCCGTGTGGGTACCTGTAGTGTCGTGCCGCAGCAGTAGCTTCCTCCACCGTAACAGCATAGGTGCGTCGCTGGAGGGGGGGGGTCACTGCAGTTGGTCAACTCATCGCTCTCTTGTTTCCGCCTTCCTTGGACCAACCGGCCGCTGGGCTGCCCTATCCCCCGGCTGCACGTACTTCTCATAGCGCGCGCCACAGGCCCCTAAACCCTCTTTCTCGACTCCTCCCCGTACCCAATACCCATCTGTTGCTTCTGCGTGCATGCCCTCGCCAGCTCGCATACCTCCCTCCCACCTGCTTACCAACCCCGATTAGTCCTCGTGCACTTTGGGGGCCCCATGTAACCCTGGGGATTGGACAACCTCACCTCACTCACCTCACCTCTGTCTCTCTTGTGCCTCGTACAGCTGTCGTCGCTGGCTGCTACTGCTTGTCGTGCACCTTTTCCTCCTCGTCCCCTTCGTATACGCTGAAGACACCACCTTACCATCCAGTCCCAGCCACGAGACACACGAGCCCTCTCGGTACGAAGGCGAACTCGCTGGGCCCGGAAGATATCGACCATTGTGTCTTGTCTCTGTCTCATATATCCGACCCGCCTCGTCTTGCCTTCTCCCGCCGCCACGGCCGCGCCCCCCCCCCCCCCCCCAAAAAAAAAGCAGATCGCAATCGCACACGTCCACCCGGAAAGCACTCTCTGCCCAGAGCAAAATCGACAGTCCCCAACGGCCACACTACTCGTCGATCAAGAAAGAAACGAAGAAAAAGAGGGAGAGAATTATATATACACACACAAACGCATATCCAAACAACCAGCTCTCTCTTTCTTTGACTCGAACCAGATGGCGCACCCAGGTCTCTCCTAGCGATGTCCTCCCGAGCCTCGATAGGCGTCCCGCAGCGACAGCCCCCCTCGAGGTCCCTGAGCAGTTCTGGCACCCTGTCGCAGAGACCTGCCCACAAGAGAACACTCTCATCGCAATACCTGCCTCCTTCTCCTGTCCGCAACAACAGCGCCGACTTTCCCCCCTCCTCTTCCGACCCTGGGCCCGGCGCCGCCACCACCTCCAGCAACAGCCAGGCCGGCAATGTTGCACAGACACAATATGGCACGCCTCGCCGCGGCGGTTCGCGGCTCCGTCTGGAGCTTGCCAACGATGGCATCACACACTCGGGCTTCGTCGAGTCACCGACCAACGCCGGCTCCGCCATCGATCTCTCCAAGCCCTTCACCCCGTCAAGGAGTCTGCCGCCGGGCATGGCAGCCGATTCGTCCGACCTCGGTGATATAAGTGGCAGCAGCCCTCGGGCGTCAAGAGGAGGAGGAGGACTGGGTAGTAGTATTGGTGGTGGTGGTGGTGGTGGCGGAGGAGGAGGAGTGGTAGGAGCAGGAGGACTGGCTTCTGCCGACAATAGCGACAACAACCCTCCCCTACCAATGCCACGACGCCGATGTCGATTTGCGCTCCCCGACCTGAAGAAGCACGTGGCTGCTCCGGCGCCGGCTCCCGTCAAGAAGGATAATAGGCCCAAGCCATATAGCATCGAGGCCCCGCCCGCGGCGCCGCGATGGGCACTAGTCAGTGGTGGGGGCAAGGACTCGCAGCACAGGTCGGCCAGTACGAGTGCCCCTTCGATGGGACATGCCGATTTTAGCCCGTGGACTGGCGACGGTCCCGAGGATCACTTCACTCAATCCTTCATACAGAATGGGTACTTCGACAAGGGGCCCTTCGGCCAGGCAGAGAATGGGACCGGCAAATCCGCCATCTTCCCCAGCCTCAAACACAAGACGGGTCTCTATGCCCTCTCGACCGTCTTCACCGGCCTGCTCGGGGCTAGGCGGCACAGCGGGCAGATCACCTCGCCCTCCACCTTCAAGCCGCCTCCGCGCGTGACCGTCACCGACACCAAGAGGGAGGCCTGGCTGAAGGATCTCGCCAACCCAGCGAGCTCTCTCCGCCGGCTGAGCAGGACGGTCCCGCACGGCATCAGGGGCAAGGGCCTGCTGGACCAGTGCCTGAACAAGAACATGCCCACCGACCGCGCTGTCTGGCTTGCCAAGTGCGTCGGCGCCAACGAGATCAGGGCTTTCAAGCGCAAGGGCGTCAACGGAGCTGTCGTCATGGGCGGCGAGGCCAAGTGGATAAGGGACTGGACCGTCTTTGTCGAGCAGTTTGTCGACGGGGTTGTCGCATCCTTTGGCGACCCAGACTGGAAGAACAAGGTCAATTATGCGTATGTGATCCCTTTTCTCCTTCCTAGCCTTACCGTTTTTCTTCGTACTGTTCATTTGCTCACAATCTGGGCTGGAGCAGGGTCCGACTTGCTACTCAACTCTACGCCGAACACTTGCTCGACCGCGAGCATTATATGGAATGGGTTGTGCTGGGCATCGAGAATTGCCCCAACTCAAAACTACCCATGTACCTTCTTATCATGCAGATCTACTGGAAGGATCTCCTACGCCTGAGAAAATATGGCCGACGGCTCGTCGCCGCCCTCCTCAGCCAATATAGTACCGTAAGTCTTTTCTCCCCGCGTTGTTTACTGGCCTCATTTCTTATATGAGAGGGAGAGTGGGGGAGAGGGGGGGGGGGGAGTGAAGAAGAGGAATGACGGCATGGCTGACTTGGCATGCTAGATACAAAACCACCCCGACCGCGACATCTTCGCACCACTAGCAGCAAGATTAGTACAGCTCATCAAGACCCTGGTGTTGTCGACCTCGGTCAACTTTGTCTCCCCGTCCACTTGGCCCAAGCACAAGGACGTCCTCGCGGCAGCTCTCCCTGCGGATGACAGTGCCATCTTGGCCGCCCACCGGGTCATCAGCTCCCGCAACGAACAACTGCTCTCGAGCGCACGGGCGCCTGCAGCCCGCGGCATTATGGTCAAACACCTGGACGGCGCGCTGCAGGCCCCGATTCCTGAGGACCTGCCCATCCGATGTTGGAACATGTTCAAGGGCAAGGACAGCTCTGTCAGGACCACACTGGAATGGTGCACGTCCTCGTACCGCCCAGGACTGTCCAAGATCTATATTGCCCACCGGCTGCTGTCAGCCTGGGCTGGCCTCGGCCTCAACACGACAGATGCGGTCCTGGGCTTCATGGTCTCGGACCCCGCTATCTGAGATGGATCGCAAGACTGCGCTGTACCATCTGGTATCCGAACTCGTCCGCTCTGGGCATTTCGAGCCCATGGCGTACATGCAGTGGCTCATAGCCCGTGGTGGGCTTTACGATTCCAGCGGTGTCGACCAGGACGGCCCTGCGACGACCCGACTACTCGTGGAACTGCCCATCTTTGCCCTGCCGGACTCGTTGAGGACTATGCGTGCCAACATGCTTGGTCGGGCGGGCTACAGCGTCGACGACGAGGCGACCAACACAGAGATGGCTGTTAACTCTGTGAAGAGCAGCCTGGGTCTGCACTGGACGGATGCGCCCCAGACGGGCAGCATATCCGTCGACAAGCTCTGCAGGAGGATCAGGAGGAGTAGCCGTGCACTGAAGGTAGAGGTTGGCCAGTGCCTCCGCCGGATCTTCGTGTTGGAGATGGCACAAGCGCAGACCGCCAGCAAGGAGGTTCTCAGGTTTCCCACGCCCACCTTTCTCGCCGCAAGGTCCATCCTGGAGGCGGCTGAGGACTTCAGGACCCTCGGCGAGCTTCTCAAGACCGCGTCGGACCTGTTCGACGCCGACATATTATCGTCGTGCGCCGACACTCTAAATCTCCATCTGCCTACCCTCTGCGCGTTGGGCATCGCAAAAGATGTGTTTGAATCTCTTGTAAAGAGGCTCGGCAATTTATCCCAGACACAGGGCGTTGTGGCCGTGCGTCCTCTCCTGACATCGATGGCCATGCTGGTCCCACGGATCCCTGGTCAGGACGCTCTTGTCAATCACCTCAACGACGCAATCCGCAACGACCGGAACAGCGCCGTGGACGCCTCCTCACCTGTGAGCGATAATATGGCCGCCCGCATTCAAGATGAGGAAGGTGAGCTTTTGGACGAGATCGAGAAGAGGCTGGCAAACAAGACTAGCATGGACAGGACCACCATGAACAGTTTTCTCAACAAGATCATTCCCAAGATTCAGGCCTGCTGGCTGAAAGCTGACGAGAGGCTGCGTGCTTATGGCTCTCTGCTGGCGAGGCTACGATACTTTGATACGCAGCATTTCGACTCGTTCATGACCAAATGGGTTCTCGGGATCCGCAACCCGCAGAGCCGACCACCACTCGGGCAAATCTTTCCCCTCATGGTCGTCGTCGGGTGCCTCAACTTTTCTATCATACTGACCACGACGGGTGATGCCGTGTCCGTCGCTGCAAGACCGAATATGGCCGCCAAGGCGGGAGGGCGTCCGCAGACATATGTCCAGGAGGTCCTCGAGCTGTTCACAGCACCGCCATCATCGAAAGAGTTGCTGACGCCCGAGGAGGCATATCGATTTCGGATCCTACAGGCCCAGGCGCCCAAAACACACTTCAAAGAGATGGTGGTTCTTGTCCGAAATGCTCTGGCCGAGTATTGTAGCGCCAACAGCCAGGAGGACGCCTCAGCTGTGCCTCTGGCGAACGAGAAGGCGCGGGACCGTCTAGAGGGGCTACTGAGGAGCTTGGTGCTGATCGACCAGCAGAACGTCCCCAAGCTTCTCAACTTGAAGGCCCTGGATCCTGCCGTGGGAAAGATGTTGGACAGTATAACGACACGACTGCTGCTGCCGGACGAGGCACCGGGAAGACAATTCACCTTCGAACAGGTCCTCGGCCTGGCCAACGAGCTCACCCTGCCTTTCTGCCAGCTGAAGCTGAACCAATGCATGGCGATGGTCGAGACGAGCGGCGCCAATGCCCAAGACAGGCTGCAAACGCAGCTGGAGGTGTACTCCAAGGCCATGGACGACGCCATTGACTCCCACAACATCACATGGACCGGGATCCTCCCTTGGCTGCCGGCAGAAGTCTCACAGCATCTCTTGACACTGGCCCAGACTCGGCTGTTCAACCTGCTGCCATCGATGAAAAACCTGATCCCCGCCGATGAAAGCTTTGCTGTTGCCGAAACTTTACTGTCCGTGATTGACATCCTCAGCCGGGGTCGTCCAACACAGCTAGCCTCCAACGTGGTCGATCGGCTGGCTGATCTGTGGGAAGTTCTTGCGTCGCCTTCGGATGAGGAAGTGAAGATTGGGGTGCTTCTGAAGTGGCTGCCGCTCATGCTTTCGTTGCTCGCACTGCATGCGCCCGTTCAGGAGCCGGCCAACAAGCAAAACGGCGAGGTTCGCGGTCGGGCCCTTCTCGTCCTCACCGGCCTCCTCCAGGAACTCGAAGGCCTATCGCCACTGGCCATATGCAACCCGGACATCCCCTCCAACCATCTGTCGCAGCTCACGCAGCGCACCTTCGACCTCGCCCTCCTCCTCGTCGACACGCTGCCCGACGAGGCCCGGCAACAATGCATCCGCCACCTGCGCGATGCCCTGTCGGACCCGCGCCTGCGGTACATCTTCAGCTACGCCCCGCAGCCACACGACAATCTGATGCTGGCGCACAAGGACAAGCCGGCGACCCCTGCAGGCCAAAGGCCCCGTGGTACGGGGTTCCTGGGGGTTAGTTCTCTGAGCCAAAATGTATACGGCGTGCCTGTGCCTGCAGGCGGGGGCGGCGTGGCCGGGGAAAGGCTCGGCGCGTTCACCTTTAGGCGGTGGGAGATCCTCAACGAGCCCACGCCAAATATTGGTGAGAATGATACGAGCCTGGACCTGAGACTCTTTGAAGGCATCAAGTTGCAGTGATTTGACAGGACGCAAAAGGCTGTTGTGGGAGGACGCTGAAGAAAGTCCATATCCCAGGAGAACGTTCCTTTTCTTGTTATTTTTCTTCCATCATTACCCTTTTTTTTTCTTCTTTTTTTGGTTTCTTTCGGCGTTATTCTTGTTTGTAGGCTTAAATGGAGAGCACAGACAGCGCCACAGCTGCCATGTTTTTTTTTCTCCTTGGTTTGCCTCATCATATCGCTCACTCATGAAGTTATGGCGTCATGTTATGATGTTTCTCTTTGGGACTAGAAATGCATAGCATGGGGCCGGGGAGGTGTTTCATTTACCGATGGAAAGCAAATATGTGGAGGATCATATACATACATCTTATCCCCTTGTCTCTCTTGCTGATATTGTTTCTTCTCCTGTTTGCGGGATGTTTATATTATCCAGTCTAGCGTGCATATATCATATAGGCTTTATTTCGTGTCTCGTCATCTTGGAGGAATAATATCATCGGATATCTCGTTTGTTCGTCTGAAGATCTCAAGACTGTATGAATATAATCAAGTACTTTCCTAAGTATTTGCATACAGATGGGATGGAGAGGTCAATGAGTGGTGGGCAGTGGCCGCCAATGTCAGTGCTTTAGGGTGGACGGACCGGTCTTGACTGGGCGGTAGCTTGTACAGTTTGACGCCCGTACGGCGGAATGATTGGACTGGAGAGGATCGACAGAGTGTGGGGATACGGCAAAGCATTCTTTCTATTTCAAGCAACATAGACGCCTTGTTTCAAAACTAAAACTTTAGGTTTCTTGGACGTCAAGGGGGTATCCAACGTCCTAGATACCAGACTAGCAACGGAACCCAGGTAGATGGAGTCGTCGAATCATTATAAGGATGCTTATGGAAACATGACAGATCTGTCAAGTCACTATGATGCCGACCAATCAATTGACCTGGGAGACTTGAAGGCACTTGTGAATAAATATTGTGTGCTGCTGTCGAGTGCCCTAATCACCTAATGTCAATGGTTAGCCAAGACTTGCCCTAAGTTTTCTGATGCTGGTGTTGAAAAGGCTGGTCTTCCATGGCAAGGGGGTGTTTTCTATACATTGAGTGGGAGATTTAATGTATCTCTCATAACCTATCAGATGTCAATAGTAGAGAGGCCTCCCTGTCAACGACGTGACATCCATCCGCGAGTTCACTATGGAACTCTATAGGGGTGTAAGCTGAAGAGGGGGAGAAGGAGAGACAAGAAGAAGTAACTAATAGTGAGCAGGTGGAAAGACATTCAGGTCGAAGTCGGGTGGTGACTTAACTTAGGGGTGGGGTTCTGCTCTTCCCCTGCCTTTGATATTCTGATGATTGTGAAAACCACCCCACCCTTTTTCTACCCCGTCCCCACAACTCTTTCATATCATTTCTACATGCTGAGTCCTCGATTGATACTTGCCATTGAAAATGATGAGCAGGTACACACGTCAGCAGGCCTTCATAGGCCTTCCATGAAAGCGATGCTACTCTTACCCACCCTTCTCGAAGACATTCGATAGTAATATGGACAGGAAATCAGCTGATATCTGGGGGCGAGATTGTTACCGAATCACATACAGTTAAGCGGATCTTCAGCACACAACAAGTGGCCCATGCTCATGTTGGTGTATCGCGGAATGAAGAAGTGTGTATCAACGGACCAAGTTGCGAGCTACTACTTCGCATATACCCAAAACTTGTCAGACTTGGTGGCTGCTGAGCACATGATACTGAACAATTTGAATTCCATCGAGGCTGAATAAACCGGCATGAGAGCGATTGGAAGCATGTTTCCCAACCATAGCAGACAGCATACAGTGCATCATGTATCCTGCTCCTCCTCCACTTCCCCTTGCTACATTCCACTGCACGACTTGACCGTTGGAGCGGGCATCGGGCCGAGCTTGCAGACCAACGACCTGGGTATCGATTGTCCATGTCACAACCCATATCATCTGCTCACCGGGTGTTACCTGTTTCAACCAACAGCATTCTCGCTTCCAGAGCATTGCATTGCACTTGGCCCCAGCCTGGCACGAAATGTGGGCCCTTTGGAGTGTCAACCCTGCAACTGCTTGCGCATATGACACTCGAATGTCTCTCTCAGATTGGGTAGGGCTCTGCACCGCCTATCGTTTCCCCCTCCTTTTTGAGAATTTTCTTCTTCTTTTCCCTTCTTTCTTGTTTTCCGTTCCGTCCTTCAGAGGCCTAGGTGCTATGAGAAGAAAAAAGAAGAAGAAAATATGGCTCCACCGGCGTTTATGTATCGCAGTGACTATCGTGAGTTGGCCAAATCAGTTTACTCGGCCTCAGCCTCGATCACGACCGTCTTCCTCTTTACCCGGCTGTGGGCTAGGTCGACCAAGTACAAGGGCCTATGGTGGGACGATTACATCCGTAAGAGACCCCCTTTCTTTTCTCTGGTCTGAGAGAGACAGAGAGAGAGATGATAGAATACCCAAGAATAGTTCTGGCAAGTCATTGACAGCAGATGAATTACCTCAAGTCATCGCTGCATGGGCCTGCCTGCTCGTCGCCCATGGACTCTGCGCCGCGGCGCCCATCTACTATCATTATAATGTCCTACATTTACATCCGGCGGGGATCACGACACATTTGGCTGGTCTCAGCTTCATGTACGTCGCGGTTGCCATCAGCAAGACGGCTTTTGCCACAACTCTCCTCAGGCTCACTGCAGGCCGTATTCGTCTCGTGCTGTGGGCCATCATCATTGCTATGAACACCTATACCGCAGTCAGTAAGTTTGTTTCTGTGATTGGATCTATTATTAGACATTACTTGTGCGTAGGTTGGCGCTGACTATCATATCGAATAGTGGTTATTCAGACTTGGATCGACGTCTGCGACTCCATCGAGTACCCGTCCATGAAGTCAACATGCATCCCGGCAACGACACAGGCCTACATAGTTCTCGGCAACCTGGCATTCCTCTTTGTTGTCGATCTGACATTGACAGTGCTCCCATGGCGGATGATCAAGCAGGTCCGGTTCATACCTGAAAAAGAGAAATGGGGCGTCGCCGCCACCATGAGCCTCGTCGGCGTCTCGATGCCGATCAGCATTGTCAAGTCAGTGAAGATAAGACTCTCCCTCATGGACCTACTTTCGCACAAGCATATGGCGCTGACGATAATTCTTCCAGGATTGTCATACTATCCATGGTGCCGCTCTGGGAGTTTGGCGAGTCGGATTTCACGTGTATGTGATTGGTGTCAAGCCAAACCAAGCAATGATACAAAAGTCCCGCCTCCGCCGAACGCATACTCGTCTGTGCTAACAAAGCTGCAATAGACGGTGTCATTGTCTTTTTGTGCTTCCTCCAGGCAGAGGCAGCAGTCTTCATCATCGCCCAGTCCGTCCCGGTCATACGGATTCTGTGGCACGGCTCCGCAGCCCCTTCACCACGCGGCACCAGGCAGGACGAGTCGAGAAAAGTAACGGATACCAAACCGGTGGGTGCGGCCATCCAAGGTACCGTCAGGAGCATCGAGCTCGTGGAGCTGCCATCTGGTAGGATCGTCGCCGCCGACTCGGAGGAAGGCCGAGACTTCCAAGGCTCTCAGGCTGCGGTGGGCGGTGAAGGAGTCAAGCAGGTCACCGAACAGCCAACAGGCGAAGTCAGCATGGAGGGACATGCTGCTGCTGATGAGGTTCATAGACTTTGGGCTGACAGTAAGTGCCACCCTGTAAGATCCCGTCACCAGACTGCCGCGCGTCTCATATTCTACTGTTCAAATCCCGATTTCGAGACTGGCTCCAATTTATTTTCTTTTTTGGATGCTGCATTATTTTGAATTTTTTGTTTTCCATGTCTCTTCATAGTCAGATCATTCTTCCTAATATCATAGCTGACATGAAATGTTACAGTGGGCCTGTCCAGGAGGGCTTATTCAACATCACCAACACCTCCGCCTCAACTTAGGTAAAAGCATTATGAAGCGACAAATCCGTAGCATGATGAGAATGAAGGCCAAGAAACATCAGTAAGTTTTCAGGAAAGTCATCTTCGGAATCTTTCAGAAGGCCCATGCAGCATGAAGTGGTACATACTGCGTTTCAGTAGCAGTATTTAAGCAGTGTCATCTGCCCGCTGAGAGCCATGACCTCACTGTGGGAACTTGATTACCTACTTATGTAGTTGATAACGCAAATGGACACTATCCCTGGTCTTCCGAATCTCGGACTTTTCAGGTGCTTAAAGAGGCTGATTCTCGCTGACATGATGATGATACAAGAAGTGTGTACATCGTTTCTATAATTGACTGCCTGCTGCTAGAGCCAATTTGATCGTTGACTACTAGCCTTCGAAGTGCATGATACAGATACTGACTGAGAAATGCCACGTTTGTGACTGTGAAATGACAGGCAAAGATAAACCATGTCCTTAGTATCAGCTTGACTGCAGTGATATAGCTAAATTTCAATTTGTGAGTAATTCATCAAATTGTGGAATAGTTGGAATTTCATTCAACTCCATTATGTTTATACACCAATGCTCAGTCGGCATCGGGTGCTGCACTCGCAAGAATCATCCAGGACAGCACAGCAGATGTTGGGACAACTGCTTCTTGCTCATCTACATGACACCATTGCTCAGTTGTCCTCAATGTTCCCCATTCACAGGAAGCATCTGGCACAACCTAGCAAGTGTCGGCACAACTGCTTTCTGGTCATTTATCATTACTTGGTCAACTTCAAGCCCTCCATTTGCAGAAACTGTCCAGAACAGCCCGGCGGATGTGAGCACAATTGGACATTGCTACGATGCCAATTTTGAGTCATCTGCGGGGAACTCCACACCGGAGTCATCCAGGACAGCGCAGATCACAGCCAACTTCAACGTATAATCCTTTCAGCTTGCACAAATGATACCCTTTCCCGCTCCTCTCTCTCTTCCCTCTCACCCCTCTCAACACTTCCGTACACGCCATACCGCATAATGGTCTCAGCCCAATCGCAAAGAAAGCGTATTCCCTCTCACATTGAAGCACCCTGTCCGCAATTGACACCACGCAACCAGACAGAATAGCTTCCCACTGGAACATGTAGGCTGACCAACAGGCGTCCTGGCTTCATCTAGTGTGTTTCGTGTTGCTGGCCCCAGTGACTTACCGATAATCTGTGTGGCTCCTGTGTCAACGTCATGCCCGGGTCGCTCTATCTAAGCTACATTAATACTTCCTCGCCATGGATGTAAGGATGAGTTTCTGAGGTTCAGTTTTGTCACGCATGAGCAAATGTGCATTCGCTGCCAAGAAAAGTACTAGGTCAGGACCTACAATGGCTGTGAGCTGCCCGTTTCCGATCACTGTCACTCGTGCGCCCAGCTATCAGCCCAGCCGGCCCAAGTTGACCTGCCCAACGAGTCCATGGATAAGGACGAGACGACTTGTCCCTGGGGAGACCCCTTTCACGGCGCGCAAGAACACCCAACCCAACGAGAAGTGCGCCGAGATCTTCCTGTACCACGCGAAGCTCTACGTGGTGGGCGACGAGTACGACCTGGCCAAACTACGGCGGCTTGTCTTCCAGTGCCTGCAAGCCACCCTTAAAGCCTTCCCCCACCCTAGCCGCGTCTAGACCAACGACACGATCCGCGACATGCTCATTTTGTACATGGCCATGGGGCTGGGGCACCTGCTGGAGTGCGACGCTATGAAGGACGTCTTTGAGGACTACTCCAGCCCTGGATACGCAGTGCTTCTGCATATACCGCCGCGCCTGGGTTGGAGGACCTCGCCTGGCTGTGGTGATTGTTGTTTTCTTCTCCCTTTTCTGTTTTCTCTTCTAGGTAGCCTGACTTTGATCGTATCTCTGGCTTGCGCATTCGCAAATTCCAGATGTCCTAGGAGATGAGTACCAGAGTAGTTTTCGATGTGCCCTAGATAAAGTTTTGGTTATGAACACGGCCAATAATAGGATACGAAGAGTTTCAAGGTTGTGGGCTGTCGACCGTTTCCCTGTAAGCGGGCCGGGTCGGACCACAATCCTCAAACAGAACCGGGGTCCGCCCAGATGGCTTCCTCGGGGAGAGGATCATTCGACCCGCCACCTACTGAATCTGGAAGCCCATGTTACTAATACGTAGAGACAACAACTGGGTCTGTTGGCAGCACGAAGAGTGGTGAATGGTGATTGGCGACGAGAGTTTTGTGGCCTTGTGAATCTGATTTTGTTAAGCATAATCTTGATGTCGCAAGATTGCATATAGACATCATCAGGTCTGTACTATGGTGTATCCGTTGCTGAAAGCATCGCTCTGTGCACGTTGTGATGATTGAGCGCAAGATTAGGGGTTGACTGGGACAGCATTAAGCTTTTTGTCGTTTTGTTGTTGTTTTTTTTCGAGGTTTTTTTCTTCTCGAAGAGACTGCACTTACTAGTTGCTAGCAAATCTTATTCAGCCTGAGATGATTGTAAGTACTGTGATGAAGGAATGAGTTATGAGGATTGCTGAAATTGTGCTAGTTGGTTATGAGTGGCGAAGCACGATTGACTACGGCTAACTCGGATGTTGAAGTTCGCCTGGCCTTGGTCCAACGACCCAGGGCCTTGAGCTGACGGCTATCATAATTTGAGGAGGGGAGGCTTTTTCTTGTTAGTTCTTTTTTTGGTGACACGATGAGCCTCTGTGGGAGGGAGGATTGAGGGTGATTTGATGTTATTTACAGCGTGACTGGTACAGAGATATCAGTAGCTTGCATAGTTGAGCTCAAGATCAGGTTGCGGGGAGTTTTCAGGGTCTCTCGAGGTGACTACTTACTGGGACCAAGAAGGTACGTACCCATTGATACACATAATACTACTATGGTACAAGGCAGAAGGGCAGGGAGGGAGGGGAGGAATGCCTGCTCCCTGAGGCAGCAATGACGAGCGAAAACAGTAGTATGGGGTGACACCATGTCCTATGGCGGTTGGCTGTCTCTTCTTTCGAAACACCCCGACCCCTGGACACTGGCCGCCAGGTCCTGAGAGAGGGGCGACAAGGACCCCACTCAGTGCAACTCACAGGGCCACCAGGTGGCAGGAGTGGCCAGTAAGAGGGCCTGTAGAGGATCAGACTGCCACTGCCATGAATGTTGCTCGGAGCCAATAGATGGCCCCCGCTGAATTACATACCCTGCTTGGCTCTGGGCCTTAGGGACAAACTTAATCTTCAAAGTGCCTCTTACAGTGCCGTGCCGTCTTTTCCATTCTTCAACATTCTCCAAACTACCACACCACCCTTTTTCTCATCAACCCCCATTTCTCTACCATTCTCCCTCTTTACTACTTTCATCGTCCTTTTCTGTGAAAACCAGGACATCCCTTTTCTCTCAACAACTGCATTGCATCCCATCTCTTTCTTTTCTCCCCTTTTTATCCACGTCGACATTGATCAGCACATCAGACACAACGTCACAGGGCAACAAAAAGCAAGCCTCACATACTCGTGACTAGTGTTGCCACTCTGCACCCACTTCCCATCACCACCACCACCACCACCACCACTCAACAGCACATCCACAGGTCATCAAAAACCATGCTGCTACGACCTCTCATTGCTGTGGCTGGCCTGTCAGCTGCTGCCAGTGCATTTCTCCTTCCACCTCAGGTCAGCAGCCATGAGGTTGATACCATGGGGTCCGTCCCCATCGAGATTGTTCCCGCCGCCCATGCCAAGACTGTCCATCTCGAGTGTGCAGGATGCCCGCCTGTCTTGAAGCACAAGAACCACAACAAGCACAAGGGCACCCAGCACAAGCAGCATGTCAGCCATCTGGAGCTCGACTTCAAGACCGAGTCTGGCAAGTTGATGGTCAACGGCTTTGAACTGTATCCCCACTCAGACCCCTTCTCAAATGTCCTTGTCGCTGCTCAGGTCGCCGAGAAGCCCAAGCACCACAACAAGCACAACAACAAGCAGCACCACAGCAAGGATGGCGACAAGGGCAAGGAGCTCAAGAGCCACCACAAGTTCCGGCCCCATGAGGACAGGCCCAAATCTGTCCAGCAGCAATTGGGCTTCAGCCTCCAGATCCAGCCCGTCATCAAGACTGCTGACGAACTGGAATTGTTTACCGTGGACCTGCAGATCATCGAGGTTGGCTCTGTGTTCGTCGACGGCCTCCCTAACATCCGCGTTGACCTCATTAAGGCGCCCAGCCACGAGCTCATGATTGCCAAGATCGAGAAGACCGCCTCCGAGACGACCCCGACTACCATCGCCGACGGCCAGAAGGAGTGCACCACCATCCTGTGCAAGTGGCGCGCCATCATCGCTGCCCAGCTCGAAAAGATGAAGACGCATGGCTGCACGGGCTTGATGGGCATCAAGGCCGGCGGCCATGGCGGTGCTCACGCTCATGGCGGCCACCACGGTCATCACGTCGGACATATGGGCCACAACCGCCAGCACGGCTGGGCGCTGCTCTTCCGCAAGCTTACCTCGCATATTATCCTGCCCATCCTGGTCGGCATCGTCGCCGGTGTCAGCGTCTCCATCCTCGGTATGCTGGTCGGTACCATCCTGGTCGGCCTGTGGCGAAAGTTCGTCCGCGGACAGAGCTTCTTCCCCACGCACCACTGCCGCCGCTTCGGCCGCTCGAGCCACCACAAGACTATCCACCAGGAGGCAGCCCTGCCCGAGGAGAAGGCTTCATTGATGGCGATGAGCACGGAGGACCTCCCTCCCCCACCTTCCTACGAGGACGAGCCTGCGACGGAGCATGTGGAGCGGGTGTAAAGGGATCTACCAACACACCCACCACACCACCAGCCTCATCATCTCTCTTTCCTGGTTACACCCAACATGGCACTAAGAGTAGGAGTGAAGAAGGGATGGACTGGGTAAACGGTTGCTTGTATGCAAAACAATAAAGAAGAGGATACCAAATAAACATGAAGATGCAGATTGAGTCAAGGATCTTCAAGAACGGCGTTTTAACATGGATGGAGGGGATCACTGGATACGCTGGCGTTGGTCTTTTCCAAATCCTCACTCAGGAGGACCTTTGTTTGTAGTCATTCCTTTTGCCATTCAGGACTTTTTCCTTTTTTATCTTTTGCTTTCGACTTTCCTTTCACTATCTCGGATTTCCTAGGATTGTCTGCTCAATACCCAAAACGCTCCTTCTTGAATTGATGATACTTTTCTTTCCCCTCGAGAAATTCCACGTGCCAATTTGCCGGCTCTGTGCATCGATTTCGCTTGGGCCATCGTTGTCAAACGAAATACGTCTCGTCCCAGAGCACGCCACCGGGACACGTTTCCAAAGTTTGTAGAGCTCAAGAACCTCTCCTTTTTCGCTTTCCTCTCGAGTCATTTCAACACCCGCGTGAATTTCATTTAACCAGCGCTAGATTCTTTGCTCCTTTTTGTCGTGATGTTGCCGAGTCTTCCGTGGAGTCCGTCCTTCCGGAGAGCACAGCCATCTTCACGACGGGCCACCCCCGGACCTGGTAAACAGTCCTTTTCGAGGCGGGTCTTCCCACAAGGGAAAGAGGAAGAGGAAAAGCCTAAATTACGAGCAGGGAGCTTTGCCCCGATCTACTCACAGCGGTACTTGCGACGGCTCTGATCAGGGACGTGGGCTGTAAGGAGTATGCGCAGTGTCCGTCCGAGGTTGGTAGTGTGGTTCGCTCGGTCATTTTACGCAATGCAATGCTGCGCTGCGCGGCACACTGGTTTCCGATGCTGGTTTTTAAGCTGAGGGGACAAGCCCATAGCGGACCGACGTACGGGGATGTGCATGTTCATCGCAGGAATCAATGGCGAAATTGAAGAGCAAGTGAGAATAACTATGACGGTTTTTTTTTTTAAAAAAAAATTTAATAACAAAAATCAATAAGATGTATTTAGTAGCATTTCAGAAGAATGCAAAAACTTTCAAAAATGCATCAGGAGGGAGTCGAACCCCCGCCCCTTGCTAACGTCCTCAATAATTGAGAATGGAAGGCAAGGATCCTGACCGTTGGACCACTGATGCTTGAAAAATGGCGCACGCTAATTAATTATATACCTACAGACCGTAATTTGCCGACCTTTCCTGCTTCGTCTACTCCACCAAGCTTGACAGGGTTCACAGCGGGTGCCCAAGAGTTCCAAGTAAAGATATGGCCAGAGAGTAATTTTTTTTTATACAATAAAACAACTTGATTTTTAATAGATTAATGTATAAGAAATATTTTTTAAAGTAGACATTTGAGAATGGTATCCAGTAAACCTGGCAGATAGTAGGGACTGCAGAAAGTAGTCAGGGAGGCTGGGATGGCCAAGTGCTGTGGATTGTCACACACCCTCCCTCCTCTTGCTGGAATGTGTTTTAGTCCCAGATTTTCTAAGTCTTGAGACAGATTCCCTCCCTCTCAACTTAATCCATGTGCCCAAGACAACTGAAGATACCTATCCGGGGAGAAAGTTGAATTCTTTACACAACGCTATGCCAGTCGACGCTGCATAAGAGGCAGGCTGATTGACTAGAGGAAGGGAGAAAAGGAAAGGTACCCTCCTGTGTTTTTCTCCAAGACACAAATGGCCATGATTTCCTTGGGCGGTGATTTTCCCCCGTATCCAAACTCGGTCAACAAGCTTTGATTTGCAAATTGAATATTATGTGGGATTTTAAAACGATGTTTTATGATGCGTGCCAGGGATAAGAGACACCACCCCTCCATAGACGTCGATCACGATCATCAGTGCATGATGTCGCATAATTCCACAGCAATCTACATCAATTTCTCCCTCACAACCATTTTCGATTCCAAGGCTTTTTGCAGATACATTGATTCTTTTTTTGGAAGATTTATTTGCTGGCAGATTCGATGCTGCTAAAGTGATCTAGAAGGTATCAAATACATAGCGCCAATAAAATAAATAAGAGGTTCTGAACATCGTAAATCTGTCATCATACATATAATAGCACAGGGTGGTGGGGAGACACAAGTGCCCAACAACCACAAGTGACAAGACGCCAGAAATTAGAATACGGTTTTGTTTCGCAGCCCTTATGCGCCCCCCTGAGCATTGCACGTAGTCTCCTGCGCGTTACAGTCGCCGACCGTCGCGCCGGCCACCTTCCCCGAGTTGACGGCGTCGGCACACGCATTGTTCTGGATAGCACAGGCGCGCTGCACTGCGGCGCCCTGGTTCACAAAGGTGTTGCCGTTGACTTCGAAAGGCCGTGTTGAGTCTCCAGAGTTCGTGACGGCCGGTGCCTCGATGCCGCCGATCGCGCTGCTGCTAGTGCTGGTGCTACCCTGCTGGGAGGAGGAGGAGGAGGAGGACGACGACGACGACGACGACGACGACGACGATGTCGAGGCTGTGGAATTGCTGTTTCCAGTGCTGCTGACCCGCGACGAACATGGGGAGGACGCCGAGGCAGTACTAGTTGCCGGTGCCGACGACTGGCTGCCTGAGTTGTTGTCGCTCTGTCCGGACTGGGTCTGGCTGGACTGAGAAGAAGAACCAGATGACGCGGCGTTGTTGGTGGCTGAAGAGCTTGATCCGCCAGTGTTGCCAGTGTTGCCATTGTTGCTGTTACCGCTGCTCTGGCTGTTACCACCACCGATCTGGATCTGCATGTAGGGTTAGTAAAGATTCAAGTTCACCTTGGCATGCCCAGAGGAAAGGAGATGCGACTCACTCTCACGCAATCATCCTGTGCACCACTGATGTAATCAAAAAGTGTTAGCGACAGATTTTCATATCAAACACCCAAAGGCTCCTTGTTCCTTCTGTACACGTACCGTTGAGCAACAGGCATCAGAACAGGCTGGTGGTTCGACGAGCCCGCCATGGTGCACACACGGTAATTTCCAGCCGGCAGGCCACCGGTAACGACGGCCGAGACGAGCCCGTTACCGTTGCCAGCATCGTTGATCCCCTTGAAGAAGACAAACTGGGAGGCATCTGGAGGCTGCGAGGGCGTCTGCGAGTTGCCGATGTCCTGAATGGTGACGTGGGTGTGGCCAATGACTGTGCCGCTGCTGGACAGCTGCTGGGGTGCAGAGTAATATGTGCTGGCCGGGTTGGTGAAGGTGCCAAGCTCCATGTTGGTCATCTGCACGGTGACATTGAAGTCCTCGTTGGCGGCGGGCTCGTTACCGGGGACGGGGCTCGTGATGATGCTGGACACCATCTTGGTCGTGGCCGGCATATCGCCCATCACCACGCCGTTGCAGGAGCCCTGTTTCTGCTGCAGGCCGTTGGTCAAGGTCTTGCCCGAACAGAAGTTGATGAAGTTGGCGTTGTCCGTCAGCGACAAGGCCTGGCCCGCCTCAGCACCCGAGGATCCGTCGTTTGCGGAGCCCGTGGCGATGGCATTCTGGTTCAAGGTAGTTCCAGACGCCGCGGCGGCATTGTTGTTGTTAGCTGTTGATGATTAGTGAGTGAATGCGGTCCCGAACCCTCTGCAGTGGATTGGTAGACTTACTATTCCCAGTATTGCCATTGCCTCCCTTTCTCTTATCAAGTCTCGACACCATCATGTCGAATTTGCCGTGTGCGGGCACTGCGAAAGCGTCCGCGGCCGTAGCCATACCCACAAGGGCAAGAACAACTGTCTTGAACTGCATGTTGGCAAGGTAAAATTAACTGTAGGCGTTCGTCGTAGAGATATGAGGATGTTAATATGTAATATGGCTCTGTCGAAGAGGCTGGGTACCGGACTAGTGAATAGTCAAAAGAAGAGAGAACGGCCTGCTGTGGAAAAAGGAGTGTGGTCACAGTATTTTCACAGACCAAGCTGTGGGAATATCTGATGAATAAAAGAGTGAATGAATGAAAAACGAAAGTACACAACCGGCGCGTTGAGAGAAGTTGCAATGGTGGTGAAGAAGAGAGGAGGACGATCACGAGGTAGGGAGGAAACCATGCCAAGATATAGAGAACGAGGAGCAGAGAGCGTGGCCCCTCACAAGCAAGGCCATGACAGGTCCAGATGACTCCATTGCCAAGATCTTGGCCGCTAGGAGTACTTGCATCACTTCTCGCACAGCCCACCTCCGTGATGGCTGAGATTCAGGGTCGTGTGTTGGTGATGGTGCGGGAAGGAGGCGCACCTCGTCGCCTAGGATGCCCCTCGCAAGGGTGTATTGATATGGCCTTGGGGTCCCTCCCACTAGGGCTGATGACCCCTGAAAGTTTTAAGGTTAAATCAACGAGCCCCGTTCCTGCATCTTGCCCTGGTCAAGACAAGTCGAGGAGTGCGCCTCAGGAGCACGGAGAACTTGAGCTGTGGGCCTCCATCTCATATGGGGTGAGCAAGTCCCAGAGTATCTTTCTGTGCAAATCCAGGACTAGACAGTATTGATTATACGTCTAGCAACGCTCAAGAGATATTCAAACTCGTTGAGCCACTGTTCAGTAAGGGAATGAAGAGGAGTGGTTGTGTTGAAGACCAGGAAATCCAGCGACTCGCAAAGAAACAACTTCTCTAAACCGTCCCATGTACCCACTCCTACACTGGAAGAAGCCGAAGGCAGAAGGGATGAAAGAGACATCCCATCTAGTTCAAATAAAGTTGTTGTGTCCAAGTACAACGTTTCGACGGCGTCAGGGTGGTCCTGGGCATAGCCAAAACGCTCGAGGGTGTTTGGAAATGGACGACAGTTGCGCTGTCATTGGCCAATGACATCGCCATGCGCAGCACCAATCGGAAATCTCCGACTAAGCGGTTTTGCTGTCTTCAGATCTTTTTTTTTATATATATATATTTTTTTTTTACCGAGTTTACGAGACTCTAGACTCTCCCTTTCTCTCCTGTGGCTGTCGGTGATCAGACTGAGGAGGGCGCAGTAGGCAGTCCTGATAGAAAATATTCTCTGATAGATCGACGGTGATGCGGCTCAAGATGTCAGAGGTTCTTTAGCGGATCCCCTGCTAGCGTGCCGAGGATGGGTGGGTCTATAGGCGGTTTAGGGGTCGTCATTGGCCCCAGGGAGTCGATCACGCATCTTCAGTTTGGGCTTCTGCCAACCCCATGTGTCGATGAAGCGACAAGAGCGCTTCAAGGACAAGTCTGGGGGCACACCGTCGCTGCTTGGTAAGAGCCATAGCAGCAGGGGACTATCGCCAGCCTCAACGACCTCCGGACCTCAATTATAGACGGCAGGCGACAGGTTCTCGGCCTACCTGACCGGGTTACGCTCCAGAAAGATCCCATGCTTACACCAGCTGAAGGAGCGGCCGCATCGTCGATAACTTCTGTCACTCGTTACTCAGCGCTCTTGCCTACCTTGTGGCGATCCACGTTTCTTGATCTCCCTTAATATACCCTTGTTGCTGATTTACCCGGATTTACAGAACAGAGTAAATCATGGTCATGTCTCACGAAGCCGCACCAGCAGCATGCTAAGGTGTAGCAGGCCAGCACATGGCGAGGGTTGTTTTGGAGTACTCGCAAACCGCCGTCAAGGCCTTCTCATGTTCACAGTTGAGCCAGTATCGGATGAAACTCGTTCTTTTTTGTTTGGCCAGATCCTGGTAGTGCCCATGAATCAAAGCCCTCTGCCGGTGAGTGCCCCGCCCTCCAGTCCCCCAATCATCTTTCGACTCAACAGTTGAGTTTTTTACGCCAACATTTTCGATTGTCAGCTCTAATCAATACTCTTCTAGTAGTGATCTTAGGGCGATGCTTCCCGCTGCTAAGGAAGAGCTTAGTCTTCACTATGCGTAGGGTTCTCAGTCTAGGTCATTATTCGTCTCGCTGGTTGCTTGGGTTAGCAAAATTGCCATATTAACATATCTGGCTTATACATGGGTAGTTTCCCACAATAGTGACCCAGCAGAAACCCAAGAAAGAGATGGCTGTGTTTAACTCACCATGACTGTTGCCCAGTGATTGCTCCTCTTCCCTTGCTAAGATCCCTCCTGACGACGGCGGTAGGTCGGAAGATGGCCATGCTTGGTATGCAACTTTCTTAGCCGCCTTGTGCCATTGGGTGCCATTGTATCAAGCATAAAGATTCAGCATTTGTAAGAAATCTATGAAGGATGATAAACTAGCTCTATATGTGCATTTTCCGAAAGGCTGGATGGAGGTGTAGATATCAATGGCCAGCCACTTCTACTCTTCTACTGTACTGCCTGCGTAGTCTCACCCTGGCGAGCTGGCAGAATCCGCAGTTCGCAGTTCACGGTTAGTTGAGAAATGGTATATCTGCAGTGTGTCCACGGAGAGGGCAGTGAACCATATTGTTGAACCAAAGTCTATATTCTTGAGATTCGGCTTCTGGGTGCATCCGTCTAGGACGGACCTCACACAACTTGTAAATACCTTCATGCTTCGTGATATATTTCTTCCTCGTGGCCCAAAGCCATCTTCACTCTTGCGGAAACCGATCACAATTCATTATCCGTCGCTTGCAAGGCCGCAACAATGAGATCAAGCCATGCGGCGAGTCGATATCCAGCGCGTGCGACCTGAATCTCGACCACCGGCGCAGCTTTCTCATAGTACTCCCCACCTAGCTCCTGGCCTGCGATCGCCGCCGGCCCTTCTGGAAGTACTGTTCGACTAGTTAGTTGCCTCTTCTTCCTTGCTATCATTGTAGAAAGAGAGTGAAAGAGAGAAGGGAAGACGGCTTACCATGAGTGCACACATAAGCATTGCCCTCCCTCGCCCATCCCAGCGCCGTGCCGATAGGATCCTCAAAATCCACGCCGTCCAGCCACTTCCCGCTCTGCGCCTCGAAACGCCCGTGCCTGATCTCTCCCGTGAGCTCATCTGCCCACTGCTTAGCCTCAGCATACGGCTTCCTCCTGACGCCGCCGACCCACCGCTCGGCGATGCTCGAGTCCCAGACGTGGTGCAGGTTCAGCTCGCTCCCCCGCCAGAGGACGTGGATGCCGTTCCCGCCGCGGGCAACGTCCTCGTCGTGCAGGGGCTGGTGGATGTCGCCGACAAAATGGATAACAAACTTGGCGGCCTGGGCGCGCAGCCAGGTGGGGACGGCCGGATCAAGGATCTGGGTGGTGTAGTTCTGGATGGCGGTGACGACACAGCCGTCCTTCTTGCAGTCACGGTCCAGGTCAACGGTGCACGAAGCCGGGGGCGAGTCCTTGGCATCGATGAAATGGAAGATACCCGTGTAGTGGCCCCATTTGGTGTAGCGGATCGAGTCGGCCCAGGTGGCGACCTCCGCGAGGTAGTCGCCCGTGTCGCTGCGGAGGAGGCCCTGGAAATAGGCCTGCGTCTGGGGCTGAACAAAGTTGCTAGCTACATAGGCGATGGTAATGTGTCCAAATCCTATGTAATGTGAGCATACATCTCTCTTCTACTTGCCTTTGGTAGGAAAGAACAAGATTAAAAACAGGTGAATCTCACCTCCCCATGCCAGAGTCTCGGGGACGGCCAGCAAGCCTAACGCCAGCGAGCTTGAGAATTTCATGTTGCGATGGCTGGAGCTGATAGACTCAGATGCAAAAGCAGAAAAGCATTCAAGGTAAAGAGTCTCACGTTCAGGGTAAGCAGAGAGGTAAAGACACGGTTCACCATGGACTTTGGATGAGCCGGCCACGTCAAGTGTTCGATGGGCGTCAGTTGATACGTGCAGCAACGTTCACGCGCTCGCTTCAGGGATGTGAACGTGCATGGACAGCGAATGGATGCGTGGCGCGAGACCCCCCACATGTGACACCTAGGCAACCACGCACTACTGTGGTACAGCTATGATCGCCAGTCAGGGTGTGATTTTGGAATAGAGTTTGAGGGAAAAAGGAGAACGTAAACTGAGAGAAAATCACAATAAACAACCAGAAGAAAACCACCAAAATCCAGGACTCTTGCTCTTACTAACGCTGCAACAAGTGATAAGTTGCTGTTGCTTGAGCGGAATTGGGGTGCACGGTCGCTAAATGCGCTAACTTGGTTGGGGCGGTACATAGTATATCTAGCCCCCCTACCCCTCAAAAGTCACCTCTACCACTCATCCACCCTCCCCCCAGCCCCCCAAATGATCCCCGAGCTCAGGCGTGTGTTAGTGGTCTAGCTACCCTTTCTAGTACTATAGTATGCATTGATTGACCTGATTACTACCACCTACAAATATCAGATGGCGGGAAAGGCTTATTGAGAATTTCACCTGGAGTCGATATACAGTGATACGTTATCTCTTGTAGCATCTACCGGGACTCTACCTCAGTTGCGAAGAGCATGAGCATCCCGTCCCACAAACTCACAAGCAGCGTGTAAACAAGAGAAACCTTGAAGATCGCCTAGAGTTGTCATCATCGTAGCGGAGGACAGTGGATATCAGCGACCGGATCCGGTCAATGTTCCTGGCCCCTTCTACGTCGTAAGTCGACGATCGGCGTATCTATGGCCCACTGATTGCAACTATGACATGGAGCTGTTCAGCTGTGCCGGTTGAGTACCAATGAGACATGTTCACCTCGAGTCCAACCATGCGTCGTGGTTGGTTCAGCGCATTTGTGCACTCTCGACATGAACTTCATGTCTATCAGCGTGTGTGACATGCATTTCAATCATCTCCTTCTCAAGATCAAGATAGGCGACAGGCTGGAGCCAATCGCAAAGTTCCCGATCTAGATTTCAAAGAGGCTGCAAGGGGTGACATCCCGCACGGCACCTTGCGTACAAAATGTAGGTACTATGTTACGCAGTGCCAAGTACGTCACCAGGTCCAGGCACGGGGAACACGGCCGCCAGCGCCATTGCAGAAAACTGGCAAGCGCCAAGCCAAAGTCATACGGGCTTCCTTATCTTTTGAGCTCCTCGATAACAAGTTCCTGCTCGCGTGAGTCGCGGGGTCTAGTGGCCCAGCTGACTTGACTCCTTCACTAAATCCTTCTGGTGATTTTCTTTGCTCTTCCTACTTACCGTTCTATATCTGACCACAATTCAGCCGTCGACTGTGCGCTTATCATCGCGACAACATCGCGATAGAGTGTCTTTTGTCATCGCCATCTGGGACATCGCACCGGGAAAGACATTGGCCCTTATCCTGTGTCATGGCATTCTTCGCCTTGACGATGGACTCGGCCTCGACGTCGACCAAGACGGGCCAGGCGCTGTCTGGTATCTTTGGGTGCATCAGCCTGGTTGCATGGATATGTCTTCTCGTATGGCTTTCCTATCTGGCTCCATTGATTATAACAATGGCACTGACATTCGCGACAGCTTCCCCAGCTTATCACCAATTACAAGGCGAAGAGCGCCGATGCGCTGTCCATGGGCTTCCTCTTCATCTGGATGCTAGGCGACCTCACTAATCTTGCGGGTAATGCGATCTCTCAATTTCTCTTAATCCACTCTTCTCTCCTCACATTTGCCCGGATGCACGCAAACTCGTTCTCATCGCCGCTTCCCAACTAACCCACCCGGCTTTTTCTCCCACAGGCGCCCTCGTGACCGATCTGGCCCCCTCCGCCGTCGCGATCGGCATCTACTTCTGCTTCGCCGACCTCATCCTGATCTGCCAGTGTCTCTACTACAATGCCATCAATGCGCGGCGCCGGCGCGACCGCCAGCGCCATCTCTCCACCAACACCGAGGGCTCGGCCATCTCCGAGGAGGAGCCTCTCCTCTCCCGCGAGCGCTCTGGCTCTAGTGGCCTTCCCGGCAGCCAGCGCCGGCACTCTGTGCGCCGGGGTTCGTCTGGCCTCGACCCGTTGCAGAGAATGGTCACTGGCGAGGACGACACGCCCCAGCGGAGCGCGTGGGTCACCAACACGCTGAGCCTGCTTGCTGTCTATATTCTGGGCATCGCCGCCTGGTTCGTCAGTCGCGAGGTGCTGGGCGGCGATCCTGGTGCACCGGCAGACGGAGACGCAGGCGCAGAGGAGGTCGAAGAGCCGTTGATGGCGCTGGGCTTGGCGCTGGGCTACTTCAGTGCGGTGTGCTACCTGTGCGCGCGGATCCCTCAGATCATCAAGAACTGGAGGGAGAAGTCTACAGAGGGTATGTTCCATCGATGACCATCCCGATCCAGTGAAAGGAGAGAGAAAGACTGAGAAACTGACTTCGATTTCCTCAAGGCTTGGCCCTGCTGTTCTTCCTGCTCTCCCTAACCGGCAACTCCACCTACGGCGCAAGTCTGGTTGCCTACTCCCAGGACGGTGCCTACCTCCTCAAGGCCCTTCCTTGGCTGCTAGGTTCCCTAGGCACCATCGCCGAGGACATGATCATCTTCGGCCAGTTCCAGCTGTACTCAAACAAGAAGGACACGAAGACGACGCCCGACGGCAACGGCCACGCGACGCTGCCTGAGGCTGAGCCATAGGATGGCTGCAGCCCATGTGGCTCGGCGATGTATTATTGTTCGACGTCTAGATCCAGCGGGTACGTTTCGAACGCACCAGTATCTAGCGCGCATGGTCGGCGTTTTGGGGGACTGTTTGGCACGGTCACGGCGTTATTGGTGATTTGCGCAGGTCCAGCTCGTGAGTGTTTTAGCCTCACTAGTTTGGATCTAGGTTTGCATGTGCATAGTCGTCGGTCGAATTTGACTTGGTTATTATTACTCTTACCTCGCTCTGCCCCACAATGATCATCGAATCAGCTCCTTGTAGCTTTTCACATGCCTCTGGGCATCGTGGCTCGGCAGGGACGGCTGAAGAGCGTTCATTACTTGTCTCAGGACTTTCAACACGGCGGCGGAGCCAGACGCCGGTCAAGCCAGACGCCGGTCCTTGAGATGGCTCGTACCCTACCTCAGTCCCAGCATACTGACAGCCACAGCTCATCCTCTGATAGTAATATGCAAAGCACAAACTCACTTACATGTATATCTTGTACCTACAGTACGTACTGCCCAGGCCCTGACGAAAGGGGAGGGTTTGGCTCGGAACATTCAATCCCAGGCCGATCCGGTATAAACGGTAGAACGGCAAGCGGCTAATGTGACGCAGCTCATGCATCGGAAGATTCATGCCATCCATCCATCCATTGATTGTGATCAACCAGCTACACGGCACAGTTCGGCACCATTCGGCACAAGGCACCGAGCTGTTCACGGCACACAAAGCCGTCCGGGACCATCACTATGAAGTATCATGAAGGTCGATAGCCTTGACTCATATTGCTATTTTCTTTTCTACTGTCCTTCCCCCTCCCCCCCCCCCCACTGTTGGAGCAGTCGTCGATCTTGTCTGGTTTGGAAGCTAGCTGATGGGTGCGCGGGGGCGCAGATGGTAATAGTCGTGCTTTGGAAGGAGGGAATTGGTGACTATCTCCAAGCAAGCTCTTGCCAAGCTGCACTGACGCCCGAGTTTTAGGAGTTCAGCTGTAGTGGGACCCAGTGTGGCTGTGTATACAAGATGCTGTTCTAGCAACGGCATGCCAGTGCAGGGCTTTCGATTTGCGATCTGTCTCTCTGTGTGTGTATAAATGTGTCATGTGAACTCTGAAACCGCGCAGGAGCACAAGGGAGGCGGGGGCCATGGATGGAGGAGCAAAAAAAAAAAAAAAAAAGGAAAAAAAGGAAAAAAGAAGGAAAAAAAGGGGGGGGGGAGGATGACACTACCAGTGTTAAACAACTTAGGAACCAGGACGCGTCATGCCTTTTCACCACAAACGCAACAGTAGGGTGGCAGCAGGAAGACAGAGGAGTTGTTGATGTTGAACCCTTGTGGCCAAAGTCCGTCCTGTAACAGCACACACTGCGTTGCCAAGCTTGTGGCGATGCGATGAGGCATAGCTAGCGCCTTGGTAAGGGCGAATTTGGAAATGGGGTTGCTTACTATGGATACTAGGCAAGGACGATGGCTGCTGAAGTTGTCGTGAGAGATCTCCCGCGGCCGCCGTGCGGTGAAATTCCGCGGTAGGGCCTGTGTAGCTTGTAGAAAGGATGAACCAGCCTGATCTTCACAATAAAGATAAACTGGAGAAAAGAGAAGGGGACTGTGTACCACGACGTTCATATATTGTGTAGCCACCTGCTTCAGGAATTCTGCATGATATGAACATTATCGTACTACTAAATGGACTTGAAAATCTGTTGCAATTGTGGGAGTGGATCCAGACGAGGAAGCGAGATAGATGGGAATTTCGTGTCTTAGACTTAAGGGTCTGAGACATTTGGGTCGGAGTCTGAATCCCAAGGAAAGGAACGAGCCGACACCCGCGCGGGAAAATTCAACCTAGACAAGATGCGGTGGCATGCCGTGCCACCGTTGTGCCGGATAGACGGGAATCCTTGGACATCATTGATGCCAATATCTAGTTAACGTCTCGATGATGGACTCTTTAGCTTTCCTGTTCAACTTATTGATATTGGGTAAATCGAGAAGCACTCGCAGTCGGTACTAAGGCCGCGGTACGCACGTGCCGGGGTTGAGTCATCTACTGCCATAAGTCTAAATTTACAGTGTTCTCCGCCTAGGCCTTTAGACCCAAAGTGTCTTCCTTCATTTTGGAACTATTGCCGCCCAGGTTGCCTCTTCGACTGTCCCCTGTTCTCTGATCCGCCTGCCTTGGCCCTTTCTTTCTTTGCCCCCACACCTCAGAACTAAAAAGAATTCATCAACAATGTCACCACAAAGCACGGGTTTGCCCGGCGTCTACCTTCTTTCACAGAGGCACAAACACCACCCCCCGGGGGCCTTGACTGCAACATTAGGCCAGCCCCACTGGAGTACAAACCCTTGGCAGCCCTGAACCTTGCTTTCACTGGCTGACAGGGCACTTGCTGCGCCTCCCCAGCTTCTTTGTCCACTACCCCTGCCAGGCAGTCAGTGTCTGCAGTGCCCAGTGCTGCTACCGTTGCTGCATCATCATCATCAAGCGCCACCCACCCTGCGCCGCAGACCGGGGATCTGCAACGATCTAAATCCCCGGCTGAACACTTGCTTAAATTCCCTTCCTCGCGCCCATGTCCAGACGGTGTCTGGTTGTTTCGCCACTCTTTATATTCCTATTAACTGCTGGTGGTGGACAGAAAACACAAAAGCAATAATTATATCCAGGAGACGACGGTGGTGACGACGACGACAACGAAAACGTTCGACGAGTGTGCTTAATCAAAGGAGTGGCAATCTCGCATACAGCATCATCACCTGCCGCGATCTAATTCATCCATCCCCTCGAGGACCAACACCGCCGTATCGACTGTCACCCACAAGAGACTCGCCGGGACTCCCTCATTTCGCAGGTCATATTGCCTCTGTCGACGTTGTAGAGCTCCCTTACATTCGCTCTCTCCCTCTCTCTTTTTCTTGGGCAATTGGTGCGAGCAGGATGGCTTCGAACCTCTCACGATTTCTGGCTCTGGCTTCGGCCATACCAGTCATTCACGCAGCCGCACCCACAACTCCACGTGATGCCGACGCAGGCACAGGTCAAGGCTTCATTTCTTTCCCAATAAAAAGAGGCGGATCGACAAAGACCCTCTCAGGCCGTCAAGCCACAGCAAGTCTGGTCAATGAGGCGGATACAAGTTATCTGATCGAATGTGAGCCATCCAAGGCGGCTGCCCTCTTACTACAGCCTTCTCATTCCCATGCTTCCGATACCAGTGTCTCTTCTTTCCTCTCACACTTCCCCAACGACCCATTTACTGACCACTGCTAACCTAACTTCGTTTCGTAGTGACCTTTGGCTCGAACGCGCAAGCCGTCAAGGTCGCCATCGACACCGGCTCCGACGAGCTATTCGTGGACCCCGACTGCGAAGACCCCGACTTTACCTCGGACGAGCAGCAGGAGTGCGATGCCGACGGCACGTACACCCCCTCGACCTCGACAACCTCCAAAACTACCGGCGAGACGAGCCAGATTGTCTACGGATCGGGCGCCGTAGACATCGCCTACTACATCGATTCGATCGGCATCCCCGGCGCCAGCCAGAACCTGACGAGTGTGCAATTTGGCAAGGCGACCGAGTCGGAGGACCTGAACGAGGGCATCCTGGGTCTTGGCTTCGGCAACGGCGTCAACCTCAACTACAGCAACTTCGTCGACGCCCTGCAGGAGCAGGGCCTGACCAACACCAAGGCCTTCTCGGTCGCCCTCGGCACCAGCGACACCGCCGGCGGTACCATCGTCTTCGGCGGTGTTGACACCAAGAAGTTCGCGGGCTCGCTAACCTCCCTGGACATCGCCAGCCCGGAAGACGGCGACATCCAGCGCTACGCCGTGGCCATGAGCAGCTTGAGCTACAAGAGCAGCAGCGGCACCACCAAGTATTCGGGCTCGTCGCTGTCCGAGATCGTCCTCGACACCGGGTCCTCGCTATGCGAGCTGCCGTCGGCCATCGTCACTGCCATGGCCAACGACGTTGGCGCCCAGGAGGATAGCGAGTCGGGCCTGTACGTCGTGGACTGCAACGCCGCCTCGTCCTCGGACGCCCTCGAGTTCGCCTTCGACGGCGTCACCATCAATGTCCCTATGAGCGACTTTGTGCTGCAGGACGGCACCGCCTGCGTCCTGGGCGTCATGGCCCTCGAGAGCGGCACCGGTATCGACGGCCTGCTGGGCGACACGTTCCTGCGCAACGCCTACGTCGTCTTCGACCAGACCAATATGAAGATCAGCATGGCACAGTACACAAGCTGCGGCACCAACGTCCAGGCCATCGCCACCGGCTCCGCCGGCGCCAGCTCCTTCACTGGCGAGTGCGCCGCGACCTCGACCTCGACCTCGAACGACAGCGGCGCCGGCGACGTGAATCGGCCTGCAGGTGCGGCTGTCCTGGCTCTTGTAGGTGGGTTGGCCGCGCTGGTCGGGCTGCTCTAGAAAGCGATTTCTTTTTTTTCTTCTTCTTGGGAGTACATTAGGACAAGAGAGGAATTGGATACAGGGCAAGTATATATAATCTGAACCTATGGGTCGCCTGCAGGCGAAGGCATTTTCCATGAGAATTACGAGTCTATTCATGAGTCTATATCGGGGGCAATTTTTGGCATAAAGCCTTCCTTCTGGGTTTGAAGGCATCGCTGCATCGAGTCGAGTTGTATCGGGTCCTGTTTAGAATAGGATAGAAGCCGTTCCTGTGTGGATGACACATGCGCACTTGGAAAGAATATCAAATTCAGGATTCATTCAATGTTCATCCTGTGTGATCAATGCCAGATCAGTCAGCACCTTAAGCAAGCCAGCAAACCCACCCCCCCCCCCCCAACCCCCGGCTCAGGATACCATATCCAAAATCCTCTGGTAATCCGTACCATGATATAACATCATGCCATACCACACATGTGAAAAGCGCACTCGCCAGAAATCCGGACCTCATCCCTGCCCCACAGCAGAACCCTGGCAAAACTGATTGAGGCACTCCTCTCCTCTCAGGGAAAACGATCTGTACCAGAACGTCATTTTAGAGTATTGCGTCACAAGCAGGGGAAAAAAACCCAAATCAGGTGAAGCTTTGCCGAGATTGCGGGGACTTCGGCTGGCTGCCGCTGGTCTGGAATGGGGTCTTTGTCCTCGATTTACGATGGCTTATGCACGTGCAGCCTTTCTCGTTCCACATAAGGAAATGAATCGAAGGGCTGAGTTGAGTGAATTGACCTGTCTCCGTGTTCACGAGGTCTGAGAGTTCGTGTGGAGCGTAAATAACCCCCTAAAATCTTCAAGATACTAAAAGTCCATACCAAGTCGTAAAGGAAAGTAGGGTATTGTGAAAAGAAAGGTATTAATGAATTCATTCGAATACGCGCAATGGTATCATTTGTGGCCTCGTCCCATCTCCCATGCTCTCCATCTATCATATTAACCCTTGTGTGTGTCTCTCTTCCCAGACCTATCCTCCCAAATCAAATGAGCCGACACAGCCGGCACAAACCGAATCACGCGTGGTGCCAAAATGGTCCTTCCAAAGCCTCTCCTGTCAGGCCCCAGGCCCAAGGGAGAAGTGAGACAAGAAGAGAAGCTCCCATCATCATGTCACGGCGACATCACCCTCGTCAACAATCGGTGCACCCTGCTCTTTGAACAGACCTGGCCTGACCGTCGGCTCATGCAGCCACCTTTCCCACTACTGCATGGTGCCATACTGTCCCTGGGGCGGGCCGACGGGCTCAGCGGCGACATGCTTGTGACCACCCGTCTGGACGCGCTCGCTGTAGATGCCAGGGGCGCGGTCGTAGGCACGGGCAGCCTCTTGGCGGGAGTAGTAGACATAGATGATGTAGAAGGCGTGGATGTGACCAGGGATGTAGCTGTTTGTTTTTTGTTCGAGGTCAGCCGCTGGATTTGTTGTGGAGCGAAAACATAAAGGTAGGTCAAGTAGCGGAATTGTGGGGGGAGGGGGGGGGACGAGAGCTTACCCTAGCAGTGTCAGTCCGATGTTGATCAGGACATCTGCACCGCAGCCGGCAACGATGACCACACCGACAGGAGGGACTAAGAAAGATGAGTTAGCAAGAGGCTGTTGACAATCAGAAGAGAGTAGGCGGGTAGGCAAAAGGAGGCATACAGAGGAGGGTGATGAGGATGAGCAAGATGAGGCTGCACACGTTGGCCATGGCTGCTTAATGTGTCTTGTTGTCTCGATAATGTGTGTGTGTGCGTGTGTGTGTGTGTTGTGATTTTTGTGAGTTGAGCTTGCTGGTGTACTCGTATCGTATGGTGCTGTGGACTTTGTTGTCTGATGACTGATGGATGAACAAGAGCTAGAAGAGCAGACGTCTTGGCAGAGCTGGCGTGGTTTGAGCTTTTGTACCCGCCTGGGCCGACTGAGTAATCGAGCAGGAAAAGCAACAAGCAGGGCGCAGCAACGAAAAGCTTGGCCAGGAACAAAAGCCGGAGGGAACCCGGCAGGGCTGTGCGTTGTCCAAGCAATTGGTTGAATGCATGAAGATGCAAGGCGAGCCAAGGTTCAGGAGAGAGACGCCCCACTTACGTCACTGACTTCGCGAAGCTTGGCTGGTGCCGCGTTGCTCAGGTATGCGGACGATGTGGGGCACAGCGGGTAGGTACATATGCTGGGTAGATTCCGGGTAGCACTTGCTCCTACAGTAGTACCATAGTACGTAGTGCAGTATTGATTGCTGGTACTATGGCAAAAATGGCAAGTAAGGCAGCATGGGTATGCTTGTGCACAGTCATCATGACTTGGACATCATGGACCTTCCACCACCATGAGTCCTCATCTACATAGGATCAACTGGCAGCCACGTACATATGAGTAAAATATTCTCTGCAGCTCATGGTGACTTTTTCAGCCCTTGTAATGTCCCGTGCTTTTACATGGCTATGGATCATGATGAGCCATCCCGAGGTCGTGCCTACAAATCAAAAAGAAGGCACCTTTGTCTATGAACCCAAACTCGGGCAGTGGTTTGGACGACGAATGGCTCTCGACCACAGCATTCGACACGTCAATAATTGATGGCATCACTGTTTGCTTGAACATGAATGTCAGTATCAGCATACGGCATCTCGAATCGCAGTAGCTGTCTGGAATTGGAGCTGCCTAGGCAGGTTCAACCAGTGCCTGGCTAGCTCTAGGATCTTGGTAGGCATGACCTCCATGAACTCCTTGTCCAGACCCACGAGCGAGTGAGAAAAGAGCTCGTCTGGCTGGCTTCGAGGTTGCCTTGATCCGCTGTCCAGGTTATGGTGGCAGGCATCATCTGAATAGAAGAGCCGCACGAGGTTCTGATAGTGGAGCAATCTTGAGGGCATCTAAGACTGTAATGCCGTCAGTTGAGAGCATCCGCGGCCCCGGAGCTCTGACTTACTGCAGCAAGGGCTTTGAGGCATTCTCTTCTCGGATGTCACTCGATCCCAGGACATGAAGAGCCTGCCGTTGTACTATGGCAAATCGTCTGACTAGGCAAAGGCAGTAATACTATCAGAGGATCGTCGGCATAAACGACAAGTTGGAGAGCGCCAACTCGTAGATGCACGAACGGCTCCAAGGCGAGATGAGGAAGGAATTATCCAGGCCTGCTCAGAAGAACGGCATCAAGGCAGACTTCCAGCAAAGATAATCTTGACAGGGGACGTGCCTGGCTCTGAGATTGATTCACAGTGAGAGCATTCATTTAACGCAAAAATAGATCTCACTTTGACGAAGGCTTTGGAGAAGGATGAGACCCAGATCTTTACGATCTCTCCTGAGCCGAGTTCTAAACTCTTGGTGATGACAGGTTGTCAGACACTCCTTCAGCTCTATACCGTTCTCGTTCATATTCACTTTCTTCACGTGGCCCATCTTCTGGGTATCAGCGAATGACAATTCTCGTCCCCACACGCACTGTCTATTATCTGCAGCACACGGGGATCTAGTGAAACATAGGCTTCACCGCAAGACTTGCAGGATGCAAGGACGCTTAAGCTGGCTTGTTCGGGGCAGTTTAAGTGACTAGCTACTTTCAGGTTTGCTATGATTCTGCTTGCTTGAATGTCTTCGTCGGCCCTTTTCCGCGTTTCTCTGTGTCAAGGTTACCTCCATATATCTAGTGTTACCTTCTTGTTCAACTTGAGTGCTTACGCTCAATTCAAAGAGACAAGGATACAATTGTGATGGTTTCAAAATCCTGCAGAGATTGTGTTACGCAGACACATTCAATTACATAAATCGGTGTCTGAGACAACATCTCCATAGCTGTTACTAATACAAACCACATACTCCAAAGGACACTAGAAAAGAGTCCATGCCCAATGGATTCGCCGATTGTCAGCAGCCACTTTTGAGCACATCATGATCACGAACAACCACGATATGTCCGCTACTTATCCTAAACAACCTTAGCCTCTGTGTCAGCAAATGGTAAACTCGTGACAATAACAACTCGGTGAAAATCTAGCCTGAGCTCTCTTCTCAAGCCTCACTAATTATTGGGTGTTCCCCGTACCCTGCTCACGGGAAATCCCGCCTGGGACATGCTTAAGCGGCATACTGCATGCACCCTACATTCCAGAGAGAAAAGTAGTATTGATAATACAACTGGAAAATGAATGGCGCAAAAGTGAGGCGCTACTTGCCTGCCGTTCGAGAAGGTTGTCGTGGACTCAAATCTCGCCCAGTTCATTAGACCGAGGAAGCGACTGCATGTGAGTTTCCATCTGGAGCGGATTGTAGCATACTTGCGTTTCAAGGTTATGCTGTGAACAATTCCCAAGAATATGCTTGTAGATATTAGGAACTATCAGAACTCCAGGCTCTCCTGTTATGCAGACTACTCACTGACCAACAAGTGGAGGCAGGAAGAGGGATGTTGGAATTTATGGCATCCTGGATTTTATTGATGATATGCCCGAGAAATTTCGGCCACCTGTACCACACCACATGCACGACAATGTGATGAGGTCGATAGATCACAATTGTATTGGTCATAAATAACCTCTCACGCCTTCAGCTCAAGCGTTTCCGAGTTAGCCCAAAGTGCCGTGGAGGAAGTCCACCGGTCAATCACGCCCAAAGTTGCCCCGGGCTAGCAGAGAAAGGGTTGCAAAGAATCCCCGTGGCGTCGAAGTGAAGGGGAGATTACTCATGACACTTCATATTTGTCTTTGCTTCGAGTAATTGGAACTGGACATGCGTTTGGCCTTCCTCTACAGCGTGATGGCTCTCTGCCCTCATGATCAGTTGTCACCACCATCATAGCCGGTCAACACGGAGACACTTTAGTAAATTGTTGGACGAGAATAATTATGACTTAGTTCTTGTGTAGAACGTTCGTAGACTTATCAGGTGGTCAAAAGGTTGTTCAACTCACTTCATATTGGGGACATGTCGACCACTGGAGCAGCTTTCATGAGCCCAATAAGCACCTGCTCGAGAAGTCCTTGATCAGGTCTAGATTCTGGAGCCCTCGATCGAAGTGTGTAGGCATATGGACTTTTGCCATTGATAAGCCTGCATATCCCGTTGTTGACCAGAAAAATATTTCTAGGTGAGCAGAGGGACTCGGCTCTGCCGCCCCGTCCTCCCCCCACCCCACGCAGCCCATATCGACGATCAACAAGTGAGACAAGACATAATGACTGATCAATTCCAGACTGAGCTTCTCAAATCCCTAGATCCTTGCCAGGTTAGGAATAGGGGTGACACACTGACCAGCTTGTGTAAAAGAAGCCTTGAGGACCAAAAATGCCGAAACTCAAGACACCGACACAGCTGTTCACCATCCCGTGGAATGGGCGTGACCAAAGCCACATTTTTTGTGGTCTCTCCCGCCTCAATCTGTCTGGCTAGACGCTGTCTAGGATCGCTCTCTAGTCTTATCGCCCTGCAGAGTGTCGAGCCCTTCTTTTGTCCAGGACTTACGAGAGAAACGCCAGTGGCGGGGAATCGCCGATTTGCAGGAACTCAGGAGGCCCGGCTGTAAATACTACGTAGAGGATTCGAATATAAATTGGCCAGCGATCCCCATGTTACAATGTATGTAAGTTCAATGTCTCGATAACAGCATTCTTCACTCTAAGAATCCCGCTGAAAACATATTATACAAAGCCTCCAAATAACAATCTTGGCCTTGCCCAACCTAGTCTCCACTCATCCACAATGAAGCTCTCCACGGCGATCACAGCTTTTGGCCTCGTTTCCACCGCCTGGGCTCAAACAGCCGTTGACACTATCGCAACTGTCGCCGCTAATCTTGAAGAAACCCTTCCACAGTACGAGACTGCTGTCGGTATGTTTTCCTTGTCTCATCTCTTAGGAACTAGCGTATAATCCTCAGCTTTCGTCCTGTAAACGCTCTCGTCCTGTGAATGGTGCCCAATTATGACGAGAGCTCTCCTCTTTGGCCCATACCCTCCCTCTTTGCACGCACGCACACACACACACACACACACACACACACACACACACACACACACACACAAAGACTGTGTAGTTGAAGTGAAAGGAAATTCAGGAAACAAGGCTGACCGGTTGTCAATTTAGTCGCGAGTGCCAATGCGGTCGAAGACGCAGCCAATTCCGTGGCTCTCCTCGCAGCCGAGGCTCAGCTCGTCGCCGGTTTGACCGCGATCGACACGGCCTTGACCAGCGCCGAGACTCAGATCGCGGCCGTGACGGTCGGGGCCGCGGGCGGTGTCACTGGCGCCGCTACCGGGCTCACCCAGACTGACATCAACACCCTCACGACGGCCACCCAGAACATCGTCACCGCCCTCCAGGGCATCAGTGCGACCGTCACACCCATCTATAGCCTTGGTGGTAATGCTCAGGCGACTGCAGCCACCGAGCTTGCGGTGCTTGCGGCCACAGTCCAGCCATTTGTGGCGCCCCTGCAGGCTTATCTCGCTGCTGTTCTCCAGAGCTACGCGGGTGGTAGCGTCGACGTCACCGGGCTGGGGGCTGCTCAGACGGCTTTACAGAATGCGGTCACCAGTGTCATTAATACCATCGGTGCTTAATCGAATGGTTTAAAGCTTGGGTTGAGCTGGCGGAATACTGGTGACGGGTGGCTCCCCGGGGTGGGGGGGTCCCTTTGGCTGGTGGTGATGCTCATGCAGCTTCGGAAGAGTCTGGGAGGAGGCATGGAGTGATTTCGTTAGGTCATTGTGTTCGTTTCACACAGCTCTCAACAGCAAGAACAGTAGTACTAGCAGCAGCAGCAGCAGCACCGATGAAGACATGGGCACCACTCAACTTGGTTGCTCGTGAACTTCACCAAATCGCAATTGTCGATGAACAGGGCATATCAATTCTTCCGTTGCGTGACTTCACGTTCAAGATACAAGCAGAGAATGACTTGTTGCCACCGATCCATGATTAGAGTGAGTGACACAACGTGCCTTTATAGCCAAGATCATCCGAAAGACATCATAGTGTCTTCTCTCCAGACTACTACACAGACAGTAAGTACACCCGCTAACCAGTCACATTAGCACGTGAGTAGTCGCTCGAGGTCAGGGATAGATAGGGCAGAAGTTGAGACATTGCCGAAAAAGAGGCGGTACTAGATCCATAAACTCTGGTAGTCAAACCAAGACTGGGGGGGGGGGGGGCAGCTAATCATAGTCAGCATTTGCCGTCCATGAGATGACTACCGATTCCTCATACAGCGTTCTGCTTGCATGTTCTTGATAACGATGTTAAAGGGTGCGTGGAGACGCAATCAACAGATTCCGCAGTACACAAGGCAAGTAATTTAGATCAGGCTCTGCGGGTGACGGGGACACGCCTGTGGGATTGATATCAAAGGACTAATATCTTGAGGGGCTGCGCGAACAGAAAGAAGGAAAGTCAGCCAGGTGCAGGCTGGCCTGAAGCCATCTCGGATTGCATGGCAAGTGTCTGCCAAGCACGCACGGTTGCAGTAAGTACAAGCTGGTCCTGTGCATTGTCCGCGTCGACACTTATCCAACCAGCCTTTGGAATTTCCACGGCAGTCTTATCAATGATGAGCGCCAATGTTGTAGACTTCACATGTCCATGACAAGCATAGCTGGTCCAGGTAGCCAGAAAAAAAAAGATATTTGGTATTTCCTCGTATTAGAACCATTATCGGAGTTGGAGTCGACGCGCTCTGCGGTGTTTCGTCCCGGCATATACTGATGCCCTCCGTATCAACTGCCTCTCTTTCCTTGCCCAAGCTATCCCGTGCATTCTTTCTAATAGGCCCGTCGTTCCAATGTCTCGTCATGCCATCTAAGCAGTGTTGCGTGGTGCGCCTCCTCTCAGTGGCCTGCCGGAGGGTCAGTCAATCTTCCGCCCACTTATAGAACCATGAAAGCATTGGGGAAAGAACCATGTGGCTCAGGGAGGAAAGGATGACACTGGCTGATCCAGGTCGGTCAGGCCGGCGGTCGGTCCACCTGCCATGCCACGGGTCACAGAGGTTAATCGAGTTGAGAGTAGAAGAAAGGAGATGCTTACGCGCAACCGGCGGGTGTCACAACACCTAATGCGCAATCGGGGCCGTCCTTGGCGACAACCTGGTTGTCGAAGACGGGCGTGATGACAACGCCCGCACTGGCGAGAGAAAAGCAAAGAGCGAGGAGAGCGACGACCTTCATCTTGTCGATTGTACTAGGATGACTAGATGGTATTAAATGCGGTAGTGGTGTTCGTGAGTGGCGTGGAAGACCAGCTTGCTTGTTGGGAGGGAAAGATTGGCGGACTCAAAATGATTGCACAGCAACAACAGTAATGAGGACGAGAAAGAAGACAGAAGATCGACGCCAAGGAACGAAGCGAGCAGAGAAGAAAAAGAACGAACGAAAGAAAGGAAGGAGGGCAGAGGCAATAAGATAGGTAGGTTGTGAGATCTTGCGACAAGTCCCGTCGCGGACCTAGTCAGGGGTACGCTGGTCTTACCAAGTTTCAGGCTTGCGCGGGAACCAAATTGTCGGCCTATCCAATGGAGTCAAGACGTTTCGCGCGCAGGCGGCGCCAACCTTGGCGCTATACGAGGTGCAAAATTACCGGAGGAACGATTGAAGACGTTGTCAAGAAGGGAAGGAAAGAAGAAGTAAATAATAGTACTCATCATCCTACCTCATCATTTTTTTTTCGCTCTTTAAAAGATGGCATCGTCAAGTTCATGATGTTCTTGTAGCCAGTTGCATCAATCTGTCGAGGTTGAGGTTGAAACTGAGGTGAGATGAGACCTGGATGAGACTCGCTTAGTAAGGGGGCTTTCCTGTCACCCTTGTCTTGCCGGGCTGGAGAGACCACGCCCCGCTGGGGGATGCCATATGGCTTGGCCAGGAAAGCAGGAGGAATACTGGGAATACTGTATTTTCAAAAATAGTTTACATGAATAAAGATTAAATATTGCACGAAACAAGAGAGGTACGTTATGCAAACAGCAAATAGGTCTAGAAATGATACAAGTAGATCTAGAGTATCTGAATGGGGATAATTTAGCAGTTGACAAACTGGAGTTGTTTTTTGGTTGGGGGGGGGGTTTTTTTGCCCCCCCCCCTTCTCAACGTGAATGAACAGGACCAGACAACAATTAGAATATGGTGTCTCAATAAATAGAAGTTCACCGAGAAAAGAGATCCCAGGAACAAAAAAAGGGGGAGAGGACAGAAAAAGAAAACCCCGAAAGGTAGTACAGGCTAAATGCTTCCCTGCTAATATGAAGAAGCATTAATTCACCACAGCAACTTAGAGTTCCTTGCAATCAACCAAAAAGTACTTACACAAGCACTTAGCTAGTTCTGACATATATAGTTAAATAGACGACTAGATGATAGCCTTTGCCCACACTTTTGTATCCGATTCACATAAGATCAGCTGGACCTATTGCGTCAATTCCGTCACAAGCATGATCTTTGGCAAGCACTAAATAATATTGGTTTCAACATCATTTAAACACCAAACAACTTCACAATCAGTTTCAAAGCTTTGAGACCGTGTACTATTCTCAGGATCTGAGAAGCATGTTCAAATGTTAGCTGCAGCTATACTCAGACAATGTTTATTTTTTGCAGAAGCTGGAGATCATCCTCCCTGTTATTACTGTGCCTGAGTCTTCAGTTCTCAAAGTTGAGGCATAGAAGTGCTGCTGTGTGGCTCGATCAGCTGGCATGTAGACTGATTCAATGTTGAGGGTCCCGTCTGCTTCCTGGCCAAAATTGCAATTAGGCTACTATTCTGTTTACAAGAGCCAACAAACTTGAAGCTACAAGACTATCTCGAGGATTTGCAGTGGTGAAGCGTAATGAATCAGATCTACGATCATATTCTCTTCAGTGACATACCTTTATTGCAGTGTCTCTCCTTTGTGCCAGCTGCGCAAGTCCAGCGAGATGCTCACAATATACAGGAAAAGCAGAGGACTGTCTGCTCTGGGTTTGAACGAAGACAGGCATTGTCTCTTACTTGAAACTTTCTCATTGTGATGTTCTTGGAGCATATATAAGTATGGGATTTCAAGTGATTGTGATGCCAAATAAATCAAATAGATATTTTCAAATACCAGCAGCATAGAAGGATTAGATATCAGACAGCTGAGGAACATGGGCAAGGCATATTGAAGGGGTCAAGCAGACAAGAACATATTGCACTCACGACTAAATGAGCATTAGGACCTCATTGACGAATAAGCAGTCCTCTAAATTTATAGGGCTCAGGGCTCTCTTCCAGTCGACACTGTTTGGGGGGGGGGGGTTTACCCCACAGAAAACAATCCCTACGATAATATCACAGAAGGTTTCTGTCCACAGGAGCTCTTTCCTTTGTACAAAACCTTCTCTTACCCCTCTACCTGGAGCTTTTGTCACCCTCCTACCACTAACAAAGTCTCCTCTCCAAGGTGGCCTCGAGACCATACAGGATTTGAGTCCATCCCTTCAGGCCTGTTTCTGTGGTTCTGCCTACCATTGCCGACATGTTCTACTCGCATGAGAGTAAGTTACAGCACGCCGAACCGCGTAGCAGGAAACGAATACAGAACTGACACGATCTTCAAGTTCTCGGAAATCCCCAGCACGGCGTTGCCACTGTGTGGTCAGTTCCCTAGAGATGGTATATTGCTACTTATGTCGCTGCTGGTCAATGGCTGATTACATGTGTTGTGTGACCACAGGCTCGTCGCCAATTCCTCCAACAATGGCAACGGCCGACAGCTGCATCGCAAGATCATCGAGAAAGTAAACGTCCCTCAGGCCTGCGACACTATAGAGAAGCCTCCTGGTGCGCCTATTGCACTGCGTCTACAAGGAAGCCTCCTGTATGGAGTCTCTGGCGTTTTTAACAAGCACAGTACATACCTCCTCACTGATGTTGAGAAGGTATGCGGGCAAATTCGGGCAAGCCTCTGCAAAAGCCAGAAGGCATCTCAGAACGCGATCGATCCCAAGGCTGGGAAGGCCAAGTAAGTGCAAGCGAAGAGGCAGAGCGAGGGAGAGCTACCTGCTCGGCACAACAACTCTCCGATGGGACGAGATGCTAACACTGAGGGGACAGGCGCCATCAACTGATGCTGGGAGACGACCCCGACTTCGTCCCAGACCCATCTCTGCCTACTTTGGAATTCGACAAGTACGGAGACCTTGTCATTCCTGGCCTTCAAACCAATCTGCGGCCCAAGTACCTTTCCCAAGATTTCGCGATTTCGCCCGCCGATCAGAGCAGCGCTTCTACAGCCAATACACCTTTCATCAACTTGAACATCCTACGCACGCCGAGCCAGAGAAGCATCAACCTCGCCTCGCCTGTCGGAAAGGGAAAGCAGGTTCTCAGAGATGGCCGCTCCTTCCTTGGAGACTTCGACTTCGGCTTCGACGAGGACATAGCACCCGAGCCCCCTATCCAAATCGACTCGGACGGCAACATCATCGAGATGCCTGAGCCTGAGCTACCTGCCTACCCCTCAGACATTAAACCATTCTCCTCCCCGTCCGGTATACACTCACCTGGTGTATACAAAAAGCTCAGACTTGCACAGCCTGCTAAACAGACGCCGACAAGACAGCCGCGTGCCAACCAAACGCGCGGAGATGACGCGTTTTTCGTGGACGATGACGGCCTGACTCCGATGTACGACGACGTGCCAGAGGAAATTCCCATCATGGACGGAGCCACAAACAACAACGCTCAGTCTGGAGACATCGTGTCTCGGCACCGTTCTCCGTGCAATGAGCCCATGAGCTCCCAGTCTGCCCACGCCACGCAGCCAAAGGAGAAGAAACGCAAGCCCCGCGAGCCCAAGCTCATTACTGCAGATGTTGAGACCCAAGTCAGGAAAACTGAGTTCAAGAGTTGGTCCGATGACTATGTCGCCCGAATGGTGGAGGGCCACGTGAAACAAGACAAAGCCAAATTTCAGAAAGGCACCACTTTCAAGGCGAGGAACACGATGTTTGACGCTGGCATTGGAGGAGTTGGTAGCATCACCAGTCGTATGGGTAGAGGCTATGAGCTCGCTGAGTTCTTGTCTGGCGACAGGCTCATGGAACTCGTACTCGGTGACACTCTGGACGCGATCAAACGGAAGGTCGAGAAGGAGATCGAGAAGGAGAGACAAGGCGGACGCCAGCGCCGCAGCGCCTCTCTTGCGTTCACCTCAGATGAGGAGGATAAGAATGGCAAGAGCCGCCGCGTCCGGCTTCGGGCGGACGATGGCAACCAAGGCCTGGAGCCAGACCAGCAGCATGGCCGCGGTCAACCAGAGAAGGGTCTGGCTGACTCGTATGCTGTACTCATGGATGATGAGCTTCCCGAGATGGGCCGAAAGCATCTTGGGTCAGCCTTGTCTGACAAACGTCTCTCTGTCAATGTTCCATGGAACCGACCCTCTTCCACTGGCCTTACCTCTGCGGCCAATTACAAGAAATGCAAAGTCGGGAGTCATACAGTCGACAACAGCCCACTTGATCGTCAAACCGCCGTCAACCACCAGTCAACCATTCATTTGAGCGATAGCGCCATGCCTGTCTCCAGAGCAGGCCGTCTGATTCCGTCGCAGCAGGTCGACACGTTCAGCCCTTTTTCATACAACGAGTTCGGACTTGCGGTTGGTGTGTCTCCTCAGGAGACGAACACGAGCCAGTCGATGCCAACGGAGCTTGACGGAGAGTCGCAAAACTTTCTTGCTTACGTGAAGCGCGTTGCGGCCGATCGTGGTGAAGAGGATGACTACAAGAACCAGCGCTGGATCGAGTTTGATGATCTGATGGAGGTGCAGGACAAGACGAAGGAAGTGGCCGCGCAGGCCTTTTTCCAGGTACTCAAGTTGGCTGGAAAAGGACAAATTCAGGTCAACCAGGAGAGATCGATTATTCACATCGGTGTGAAGGACCGCGTCCAAGAGGTCCATCTCGCCAACGAGACTGAGGACCACGCCAGGATCGAGAGCTCTATCGTCGAGGTACAGGACGGCCACGAGGTTCAGAGCCAAGAGATCCAAGGAGTTGTCTTCCACAGCGAGGGGCATCAGGAGTAATCTTCCTCAAATATTGATGAATCGGCCACGGGCATGTAAGCGTTTTGATTCGAATTTCGAATGCCAGCCAATGTTTGTCTCCGACATTTGGTGAATCCTAACATCGTCAGTACACTCGCCCTATCATGGACAAGCAGCACTACCTGGGGGGTGGGATGACAAGTTTGGGAGACAGACTCGGCCAAATCTGCTTCTCATGCATGGAACGCGGAGGTGGGAAAGTCGGCCAGATACCCTTGAACGGTATTTGTGGTCGGTAGCATTTTTTGGTAAAGACATCGCTCTGGTCTATTGTCCAGCCGGCAATATCGGTATCAACGTCGGACTGGGAAGAATACGAATCAAGAAAAAAAGAGAAAGAAAAAAAAAAAAAGGCGGTGGAACAAATTGGACGAGACGGAAGGAATCAGATGGATAACATTATCCAGTAAATTTTTGACAACTCGTTGTATTTCATGCACTCATGCCGTCGTAAACCGCACTATAACTGTGATAAAACTGTATCTTACTGTCACTCGTAGTCGTCCTCATCACCAACTCCCTCACGGTCAGCAAAGACCATATAGTGCACGTCTTCGTCCTGTGCTGCCTCGCCCAGTACTTTCCTCCAGACCTGCTGGACGGGACCAAGGATGCCATCGTCAAAACTCAGGGAGGCGGGGGTCGTAGGAAAATCGAGGACTTGGCCATCATCAATAATGGTGCTGTTGGTGCTGGCCTTTTGCTCGTAGTAAAGCTGATACAGAGAATGGGGCGCCGTCCCATGCTCGGGGGCAAGAGCGGACAAGAGGGAGGTGATTGTGTTTTCGAGGAGGGATTTGGACTCTACTGTGTGAATGGTACTCAGGTATAGCGCGCCTAGGAGGCTGGGGTCAGTAACAGCAGCGAATTAGGATGAGGAAGGGACAGGTAACAGAGGAAGATTGGGGGATTAGGTTGTCAGAATCCATGTTTGACGTCAAAGCCGAAGCTCAGGCAATGTAGATAAGGTTGTTTGAATGGTTTTTCATCATGCAACGCGAGAATGAGAGGGGGAATCATCGAGTCGGGAGGGATGGGGGTGCTGAGCTTACATTGTCCAGCAGGGCATTCGCCTGTGTCGCTTGAGTGAGCGATGGCGTATATTGGACATGTGGATTCGGCTGCGGAATCCGTTTTGACAGACCCAGGAGGGAAGGCGATGACAGCCACGGCAGGAGTGGGAGCTCCCTCCATTGTTGTCTCGAACAAGGCCTCAAGGGGTGAATCGATGATGGCCACTATCCTGCTCGTCTTGGTAGACTGACCAACAGAGGCCTCCTCAGGTCCTCGAACAAGCAACTTGGTCTTGACAACTGTGCCGTCTGTGAGTTCCAGCTCTGTGAGCCCATCCCCTGTGCCCTCGCTCCTCAGCTTCTTGAGGCCGGTACCAAGCATGTAGACTCCGCCACCGACCGCACCAGCCCGACAGCCGACCTGTGCAATCTCAGAGCCGCCACCCCACTTGGGATACACGGCGGCAAAACCAGGTCCGAACTTGCCCATGGACGTCAGATGCCGGTGTATCGTCTGCAGACCATCCTTGGTACTGATCGACCCATCGAGCGACAGCGTCAGGGTGATGATATACGTCTTCAGCTCTTGGTCCAGGCTCATCTTGTCGCCCAGGAACTCGGCCAAGGGTCTATCCGCGTACTCTTCCCACTGTGGAAGCGTAGGCTCGTCTTGATATGACAGAACCAGCTTGAGGAACTTCATCAACTGCCTCTTGGAGCGGGCGGAGAGATCTGTGGAGGAGAAGACATCCTCGCGTGTGGAGGGGATGCGCGTGAGGATCGGTCTTGGGGAGGACGGCCTCAAGACGAAGAATGAGCCGACGGCGAGGAACTCTAGCTGTCGGAAGGCGCGGGAGGAGACAAGCTGGGACAGCAGTTCTGAGTTGGCATGGATAATCTGCGGGGATAGAGAGAGAGCGTAACCTCGTGGGTTCGAGAGGCCGGCTCCGGCTCCAGCTGGTGCTGACTCTGGCGGTCGCGTTATGGCGGCACCCGTGAAGATGGCGGACGAGTCTGACGGAGCGCTGGCTGTCACGGACGCCCAGTCATCGGCCTCCTGCAGGCTGAAAGCAGCCTCCGCGCCCCCATAGTATACATTAGGGTCTATATGCAAAATCTTCTTGTCGGACCGGGACAGGGCTCTTCATCAAGGTGAAGGACTGGGTTAGTTAGATGGGCTTCTGGGACTGGGGAAAGGAGGGGGAGAAACCACTGACAATGCCAGAAGAGCCTCCTGCAGACCTGTACCGCATATAACTGCGTCCCAGGTTGTGTCACTTAGAGACTCCATGTCAAGAGTGTTGGCTCTCTCGACGGAGAGGGGCTTTGGTGGTATTGAGGGGAAGACGTTGAAAATTGAGCCGTCCTTGGAGAAGAGGCTCTGCAAATTTGACAGCAGAGGATGCCTGCTTAGTGGCCCAAGCTCCTCACCCTAACCCCACTCAGGCCCAATCGTCGACAAGAAAGTCACTTGGCTTTTTTTTCTCTCTCTTCTTCTCTTCTCTTTCTTAACAACCACCCCGCTCAACCAGGTACAGTTGCCTTTTACCCACATAGACAACAACATTCTGAACGGAGTTTCCTTTCATTAGGCAGCTTCATGTTGAGCGGTAGATTGAAATTATCCTCTTGTATCTACTGCTCTTGAATTATCAACGTGTTAGAGCGGTTCGAACGGTCGAGACATTTTTTCTTCCTCTATCGGAGCGGAAGCAAAAGAATAAAATTCAAATAAATAAATAAAAATCACTTCGCAAGACGCAAGAGCGTTTGCCCGAGGCTATTTCGTTGCCTGTTGCGGAGCCGCGGGCCAATGCTCACCGATGATTATCAACAAACTCACAGCACACCTATGCGCGTAGTTCGGCACACTAGGCTGCTGCAATTCGCCAATTGGAAGCTCATTCGTGCTATGTTGTATACCTAATGCTTCTTCTTGCTTGCCCCGTTCCGAGCATCTCGTCTGATCGCTCTGAACAGTGCAGCTCCTCCCGCCTGACAGGGCGTCGTCACCACCTATACCATTCGCCAAGATGGAAACCCTCACGTCAAGGCCCATGCTGGCGACTGGACTGGCATGTGTAGCCGCCGCCCTGATCATCCGGCCCCTCCTCCTCCGCCGGCCCCCTCAAGCCAGGACTGACATCATCCCCTCGCCCCGGCAGACCCTCCTCCGGACCCTCTCCCCCTCCCAGCTCGCCTCTCTCCCTTATCCACCCAATGTCCTCCCAGGAAGCCGCGCCATGAAGACCCCCTACGGCACCATCCACGTCTTCGAGTTCGGCCCCTGCCAGGGCGAGCGCGTGCTGCTGCTGGCCGGCATGTCGACACCCTGCATCGCCCTGTCGAGCCTCGCGGAGAGTCTCGCCGCCCAGGGCTGCCGCGTGATGCTGTTCGACTACTTTGGGCGCGGGTGGAGCGACACGCCTGACCCGGCCGAGGTCGACCACGACGAGAGGCTGTACGTCAGCCAGATGCTGTACGTACTCGCCAGCTCGGAGGTGAGCTGGTTCGGGAACGCCGACAGGGACAGAAGGGACGGCGGCGGCGGCGGCGGCGGCGGGCTGGGCGGGTTTCACCTCATCGGGTACTCGTTCGGCGGTGGCCTGGCGGCTGAGTTTGCGAGCTGGTTCCCGCACGCTGTGCGGTCGGTGACATTGATCGCGCCGGGCGGGCTGATGAGGGCGAGCGGGAACAGCTGGCGGACGCGGGTGCTGTACTCTCGAGGCTGGCTGCCGGAGTGGACGCTGCAGTATTTCGTCAGGAGACAGTTTGAGCCTGCCAAGGAGGACAAGACCCAGGCTGGTGGCCACTTCGATCACGCCTCGCTCGTATCCAGCCGTCCAGATATCACGGTGGGGTCGGTCGTGGCGTGGCAGCTTGGCCATCATGTGGGCTTCATACCAGCCGTGATGAGCGCATTTCGCTATGGACCCATCCACGAGCGGTACGAGGAGTGGGCGCGGCTGAGGACACGGCTCGCGGAAAGACGGCAGGATAGCAGCCTGCCTGGCCTGTTCGCCGGCAAGATGCTTCTGGTCCTGGGCTCGTCGGACCCGATTGTCACGGAAGAGCAGATCGTGCCTGACATGAGGAAGATCTTGGGAGACGATGATGCTGTAGAGGTGCTTGTGTTGGATGGTGGCCATGAGGTGGCTTTTGTGAAGGGATCAGAGATCGCGGATGCTGCTATCAGGTTCTGGACAGAGATCTCAGACTGACTAGATCAAAGCACAAGAGTATAGACATAGATAAGACATGTACGTGACACAATAAAACATCTAGACTCTGGAGAGGACTTGTTGTACAAGTTGGTATATTGTGTTTTTTCTTTCTTCTTTTTCGTGTTAGGGTATCATTCGCAACCTATACGCCATAGACCAGCGTGGTTTCCAACAAAAACCTCCTTCTCATTGGGAAAGCTCCTTAGAGAGCACATCCCACCTGCGTTCTGCTACGCCAACCATCTCCCGTATTTCCTTGGAACCTAGTAACCTTCCTCCGACCTTGGAGATCCCTCGTATCCTCGTCTCACCACCCGTCCGATCCACCACAACCGTAACACTCTCGTCACACAACTTCTCCTCCTCGCGGTCCGGATCGACCAGGACCCACGACTTGGGCTCGCCCTGGCCGGAATCCTGCTCCCTGTTCGTCAAAACGGCAGCTGTACAGGCCACAGGCAGGCCCGAGGTCCCCAGCGGCTTCGTCTCCTTACTCGAACACAGCACCATCTCGCGGTCGGCATCCCACCACGCCTTTGGCAGCTTCGTGTCTCTCAGTGCCGCCAGTATAGCCGCCCACGCCGCATCGAAGGGATTTCCGTCAAATGAGATGAACAGCACGTCGATGTACAGTGTCCAGTAGGCCTTGACCTCGCGCTCCTCGACCTGCGCCTCGTCCCCCTCATCTCCCATCGTGTCCTGCTCCGCCGCCGGCGCAGGCGGGTCGTACCATATTCTCAGGTCTTCCGTGTTCAGCACCCCGGCGTTGTGGAGCAGGCTGTATACCCTCGTGCTCAGCGTCTGCGCGAGCGAGCTAGGCGGCACGCCCGGTAGGAACTGCGGTGCACAGCCCGTCGCCAACTCGATGTTTGGCACAAGGAGGTCGTAGTCCTGCATCTCCCTGGCCCCCTCCTCCCTCAGCTCGTCGGCAGTCATCCCCTCCCGCTCGACCCTGCCCTTGGGCACCCGCCACTGGGGGATGTGCGTCGCCGGCAGGATCTCCCCGCGCACGCCGCAGATAACGCTCGTGTCGCCAACGCGCACCATCGCACTACCGTGGGCGTGCGAAAGGGACGAGGTGTTGACGCTCAGACATCGCGGCTCGTCTGGCCGGCGGCCGTTGGCGCGGGAAGGTGGAGTGGTCGCATCTGCGTCGGGGCGCTGAAGGTTGGCGAGAAGGAAGGGGTGGGGGGAGAGCTTGGCGAAGGTGGACGGGGTGAAGGCTGTCGCGGTGGCCATTTGTATTGGTTGTATTGGATTAATTTATTGGAGGGGGAGGGGTGCAGGAAGGATATGGCTCTTTGGGGAGAGGCCCTTGTGTCGTCGAGATCAGGGTTATAGTATTTAATTATAGGAAGGTGGGTCGATCAATTGGTCTTGCGTTGTTGTGGTGAGATCTCGATGGTGGTGACGATGATCGATGTGCACGCTGCGCTGTTGTGTTACGGTAGCGCGTTTGGTGTGGGAGGCTCTGAGATTTTTCTGTCCTCAGCCTTGGTGGGGGTTGATCCAATCAGGCTCTGGCGGGTATGCAGGCCCTGAGCTACCCCGCCATGACACTGAAGCTCGGGCATTTAGGGCGTTCCCAGGTCACCAAGCAACTCCTGTGACGTCTGCAGTTGCGGAAAACCTCTCTGAAAGACGGTTGAGACTCAAAAAGAATCTAAGGTCTGCGTCCTAGGAGCCAGCTCCGAGCCAGGTCCTACTTCACAAATTGTTCCTATAACTCGGCCAGGATTTAACGCCAGAGATACTACATAGTAGGTTCTTGTTCATTTTCGATTTCGTAAGCTGACCGTTGTTCAGCTTGTGGCAGGCTGGCGGACAATTTGCCCCGGCGATCAGTTTGCCTCGCCTTGCGTATGACGTAAATCTCCATAAGGGCCTGAGATCCAGTGTAGGTTGCAATCTATTCTGACCTCAGACTTGATAGCATTGATTTGCAATGACGAAAGGCTACAACGTGTGAGCGTTTAAAAAGGGTTTATTCTTCAGATATATGGGCCCATGACGTATGTAAGAGAATGTAGATGAATATATCAATACACAAAGCTGTACGTTTGTGTCTGTTCATCCCTCTGTCCTTTCCTATCCATCTCGACATCTTTCTCAAAACCACCAAACACAATCATTCGATCCGACTCTTTTTCAACAACACTATTCCACACTACAAAAAATTTACAATGCACGGCACCTCTTCAGTCGGAAACTCTGCAGTCTACGAGGCTGGCGACCAGCGCAACCTCAAGAACTCAGAGATCCCAGCCCCAGAGCGTTATGAGGAGGGCAAGGAGAACTCTCACATCACCACAGATTCCAGTAAGACACAAGCCTTATTTCCAGTAGCAACCAATTTCCAGTGCTGACAATCTGTTACAGAGGATCAACGATCCATCGCCAACCGCCTGGCTGCTGAGGAGAAGAAGGGCGAGCCAGAAGATGACAGGGAGACTGCTCTGTCCAAGAAGGATGCTACCCTGCCAGTATGTCCTCACGAGTCAAGTATCACACACACTAGCAGACCTTGTATACTGACAAGAAGGTACTAGGCCAAGATGCACGGCAACGAGCCATCCAAGGGCGCCAAGATTGATGAGGAGCTGAGGCAAGAGGAGGAGGCCATCCTGGAAAAGAAGGGCGGAAACAACATGCCCGGCAAGAAGATGTAAAATGATGATTTCACAAAGAATACGGCGATCGGTTGGGTGTCAAAACGACACAGCATGGCGTTTAGAGCTTAGAATTTGCATGATCTCTCATGGGGAACAATAAAATTGTATTTCAACATCATGACAACCTATCTATCTATTTGTTCAATACGATGGTAGTACTCTCAACTCCTGGACTACGAATGCGCGGCGCCAAGCCTGTGTGCCAGTGCCAGAAGAGCACATACAACAGACTCCTCCTACCTTCTACCCCTCTCTAGTCGTCGTCAACAACGCCCTTCACAGCAAATTAATCTACTCACGCCAAGTCAGTTAGCAAAGCCCCCATGAGACCAACTGAAGCAGCGCTAAACGTGACGAGGGATGCTCTCTCAGAATATGTAAGAATTGACTATCACTTGACCGCGAGATATAGCACCGCAGGCGAGCGGGCCATCCCGGCGGCATCAATCGCAAATTATTCTCATCATTGGAGCGTGGGGGGGAGGGCGCCAGGGGGACAAAAGAACCACAGTGGATTTGAGGGGACAAAAAGGGAGGAAAGAAAACAAAGAATATGTGAGGCTTACCGGTATCGCAAAGCGTGTCTCACATGGGTGCGTCCATCTATCGGATCATCTCCGAGTGGTTCACACCGTGAGGAAGTGACAACAATAGAGAGCTGATGAAGGTGAAGATTAGAAGAAGAAACAGTTTTGATCCCTAGCAAGAAAAATTTCGGTGGTTGCTTTTTGAGTGCGGTGTGCACGGGCCACTTTGCTGACTGGGCTCCAGGGAGTGGGGGAAGGACCAGTCGGGGCATATGCCAGGGCTGGAGGGGGAGGAAGGACCCACTGGGCTGATCTTATGTATAGCCGCCAATGCTCACTCTTCTCAACGACACGTCGATAAACGCCCTGTGTGTGGTCTCGTGAGCAGAAGAAAGAGATTGGTTTGTTTCCTTGGGCCAATTTTCTTCTGCGTTTAATGTTTCTCATCTCATATACTCAACTCCGTATTGAGTATACCCCTGCTGAAACAGGCTGACCGCTAACTGCTCAATCGAAGCCGGGCTGAAAGAGAGAAGAGGAAAAAAGGCAGAAACAAATAAGAAAAAAAGGAATACCAACGCCACTCAGCTGTGCCTGAGAATTATGGTTCAAATCGTGGCGGCGTCGATCCCTTCTTCATTTCCTGACGACAACTCTGGCGGCTAAAGTGAGAAAACCTGAGGTCTTCCATGATGTTGAAGAACAAAAGCCGGCCCTCTTTCCGGGAGCCTGGCGTTGGGAAGCGATGAGGCTCTCCCGCGTGCGGGAAATCTACTCTCGCCTCGCGTCGCTTATCTCGGACACGGCTGCTTCTTCCCGTCCCTGCATCGTAATTAGCCGTTGCCTACCACTGGGCAGGCCTTCTCCCAGGGGGGTTCTCATCATGTGATGACTGCAGGTGGGTTATCCTAACATTTCACACAGGGCTTGCTTGACAGATTGACCGCCTCTAGGTGCCTCATCCCGCTGCCACGAAGTCAAATCATATACCCATGTCAGGAGGGGCTGGGTTCCAAAAGGCTCATGGACGATCATCCTATCGGCTCAAGGATGCCCTGCAACGAGCCTAAGGAATCATCAAGAGCTGTCGAACGCGCGACGTGGGTCTGCGTCATAGGATGGTCTCTTGCCTCATCTTCGACGTGGCGGCAATAACAGGGTCATAGGAGAACCGAAGAAAAGGGCAGGGGAAGAAGAGCAAAAAAGGAAGTAACGAATAGACCGTCTTGACCCCTCCGACCCACTGAGCTCTTCAAATATAGGCGCCCAGCTCTCCTTGCCAGCTGAACTTTTCGGCCCATCGAGAAAAACAAACCCCCTATACGATCCTCCTCACAATAGCAACAGTACGCTGGATTGGACGTATGACCCTGACTGCAGAACCAATAATTACGGCCGACAGGACTCGGGGCGAAATGGTGTGGCCCGTACTTTTGAGAGAAACCTCATTCCACCATACCCACCCTCCCAGCCGCGCCCTTCTGCTCATGCCCTCCCGCTCTCATGATTTCTCAGTGGTCTGCCAACATCAAGTGGTGGCTTGGATGCCGAGACGGCGGGCGCCGGCGGTGACGAGTGCTGGGGGGTTGCCATCCAATCCTGCCGTGGCCGCCCGAGGCTGACCAGACTTTTGAACCCCCGGGGGGTTGCCAAAAGTTGAGAGCTTGCACTGCCTCAATCTCGGCGTGACGGATATGACGACGTGTCCAAGAGAATGCATGCAGTGAGACGGGCGACTGGGTCGGCCCGGTAAGTGGCGAGTATGAGGATGTCTCAGTAATACAAGCCACGGCGGGGCGTTGTGGACTACTGATATTGAGAATGATTGCTTTTGTTCTTCATCTTCTCTTTTGGTCAGAAGTGAATTTTGGTGGCGTTCCAGGCGCTGAAGTTTCTGGAGCGGAGGAAAGAGCGGGAACTGACCTGAGGACACTCGAGTGAGAGAAGACAAGCTCCGTGTGCTTAAGATCAGGTGCGAGAAAAAAAGAAGCTCGGGAAAATGTGACATCGGACAAGAGCTTTTTCTTGCGGCAGACGAGCTAGTTGATGATTGGCACACGGACCAAAAGCTTGGGCACTTCTTGAGACAAGAGAAAATGATGCCTGAGACGGGGTGGTTGAAGGTTCAAGGAGCTGCCTGGTGGACACGAGGGTTGGGCTCCAACGGGAAGAAGAAAACAAAGACAATGATCGTCAACGACCGACGACGTGGCACGGCAGGCCTTTGAGTCCACATCACCACCCGCCTGAGCACTGCTGCATCTTCCAGTCGGGAGGCCAGGTTGTGTCTCACCTTGGGCTCGAATGAGGGTCGTCCACAAAGGGCAGGGCTCGTCTTTCGTCTCTCGCGAAGCTAAGAGAAACACCGGATGGAAGGGTAGAGTACGTGGTTGGCAAGGTCTGCGCCCTGGTCTGTACTTCTGATTCCGATATCGCGGCGATTCATCAAATCAGAAACCAGATCTGAACACTTGTCTCAGAAACCCGACCAGGCTCGGCTCCAGGGTTCGTCCCGTGGCATGCTCACCGACTTCCAGAGCCGCGAAAGAAGGGCCGCCGCATACCGACGAGCCTCCCCATTTCCTTCCTTTCTTTCTTCCCTGCTGCAAGGATGGCCAGCCGGATCATTCGACTCGAACCGCCCGTGGCTGGCAGATGCTGGTAGCCGAAGAGTGGAGCACTTTTCTTTTCTTCTACCTCTTTTTCTCCTTTCGAGGACGCGAAGGGGAAAATCTGGCGAGAAGAGGCGTTTCCTCGTACCGAGTCGGGAGAGCTTGTGTTGGTTACCCCTTGCCGTTGGGGCGGACGGCAGATGAGCTGATCATCGGGGCGGGACCCGTGTTGGACAAGAATTGAAAAGCTTCTTTTCTCTTCTCTCCCGCGTTGTTTCTTCCCTGCTGCTGCCCAAGTGCAACAAGAGCCTAATGGTGTAGGGCTGGCGAGTGGTGGATTTGGTTCTTTTTGCGGGCCAACCAAGTTCTCGGATGGAGGACATTGGGCGGCAGATCGTAATGTGGCACAGCGTGTCTTACCTGTCAGATGTCCTCCTTGCCTGCCAGCTGTCTTAGATCTTGTCGCACCGCAGACGTCAGTCTGCTTGCTTGGCATTTGTTCACCCGGTTGGTTGAAAAGTTTCTACTCCTCAAAAGGCGTGCAATGGTAGACACAAGTCTTCGGAAGAAAAGGGTTCCCGGCGGGGGGGGGGGGGGTTGGTTTCCAGGCCTCGAGGTGTTTCCCTTCCTGGCTGATCACGGTTTGTGTGAGGAAGAAGAAAAAAGGTTCAGAGACAAGTAATTCCGTGTTCAATCTAAAAGAGAATAAAATAATCATCCGTGCTCCATTCAGCCCTTCCAAGCCCTCATGCGGGTCCCCGTACTTTTTTCTCTAGATACAGCCTGGTTTCTGTGTCCCCTTTAAACCCCCCTTGGCCGTACGCCATCCCAAGACATTTGAAAATAAGAAGAGAAGTAACGAATGGCAGCTCTTGATGCTTCACACTGCTCCCGTGAGGGAGAGGAAATCGGGTGGAGTTGAAAGAACAGAAGAAGAAAAGAGAGAAAAGAAAGAAAAAGAGAACAATCCTAGGAAAAAGCTCTTCATCGTAGAACGGATGCTGTGAAGCCTCAACCTCTGAAGTGTACCGTGAACAAAGCAAGCGATTGATCTGCAAGTGAAACCCGCCTACGGCAGCAACCTTGTTTTCGTTGGCATGTCGTTCAGAATAAGACTAAGGGCATGGATTCCCGCCCCAAAAGGGGTACTGCGTTTTGCGTGTGTGTGTGTGTGTACCTGCGGTGTGCGCGTGTGTACGTCCCGGACTCGACGTAGTGAGACAAACGCCCAGGCTCCCAAAAGCTGATTATCGTCCCTAAGGAACTCTAAAAGCACGGCGTGCCACAGGTGCTGCATGCACGGCCGGGAATCACCCAGGACTCCTTGCCGGCCTGGGCGCAGGTAGGGCAGCGGACACCAGGAAGCTGTGGAACGAGGTCAGAGGTTTGTTGAACTTGCACAAAGGAAGGGGGGCACAAGAGAACGTACAGGCCGAGATCGGACATTTGGGTCGCTGGACGACAGGTCGGGGCATGGAGGAGAAGAGGGCGGCATAGGGAGGAGGGGCCCTGGGGTGGTAATAGTAATAGAGGGCATTGGAACAGTGTTGATGGCCAGGTCGCGTGGGATCATAGGGTGGACCATTTTGCCGGGGCTGAAGAGTGTGAAGCAGATAAGACGCTGGTTGACTTGTTGACTGGAGATTTGGTGCGTAAAAAAGGAGACAAGATACGATATAAGAAGGGAATTTGGCTGTGGGCAGTGCTTCGAGGTTCTCTTGCTGGAGTAGCTTAGGATGGAGGTTGAGAGAGAAAGAGAGAAGGGGGTGCAAGAAGGGAAAGGTAGCGAGAAAAGAGTATGGGCACGGCGATGGAGTTTATATACTCTTCGCAAAAGGGCAGCCGACCAGGGATCTGCCCCCGTCCGCAGACGATAAGTCGAAGCAGCGAGGCACGGCGAGGTAGCGAAAGGCAAGCTTTGGTGGTATTGCTCGACGGGTCAGGGTCAATGGTGCCGTCTTCTCATCCGTACCACAGCCCAAAAAGCAACGTTGGGTCTCTTGACGGCCAGTTGTGTGTAGCCCAGACGACTTAGGCCCATGCGCAGGAGGGAAGACGGAGATGATAGATACCTTGGTCGTCGTACATATTGTACAACATACTATGACAGACCAGGGCCATACACGTAGAGTTTAGTACACACACACACCACACACACACCACACACACGCAATCACACACACACACACACACACACACACACACACACACACACACACACACACATATACACACACACCGCATCACTCGACCGGTTTAGACTACTGGAATGCCGACCTTGGGCTTGGCTCTGTCGTAGAAAACCGTGTCTCAACTAGGAACCCCATGGTCGCCGAAGAAGAAGGGGTGGGGAGCAGGATGAATGGGCAGCCTTGCCCTCTGGTGAGACTTTTCGAGGTTGATCCTGCTGCGCTGCAGGAAAAGGAACAACACAGGAAAAGGAAAAAGAAACAGAAACAAGTTGGGGAAAAGAAAGAGAAAAAGAACACAAAGTCAAGCCCAGACGATGAGGTTAAGTTGGAGCAGGGAGCGCTCTGCCTTTGAAGACATGATCGGAATCTGTGTGGAGATTGAAGAGGCGCGGATTGCATCCTGGGCATCATAGAAGTAGCAGGATGTACACCTTGCCAGTGCCTGTGTTTCTCACATGGTGGCCAATGGGGCCTGAATTGCTCACAAGGTACCTAGGTAGCCCCTGTATGCAAAGAACATGGGTACCCAGTCCAAGCACTTACTCATCCAAGTAGTGGCTTAAGTGCTATGCCATGTGTGTTAGGGTGACTTGCCTGCGCTAACGATCTTCGATCCTCATCATCTTTTTTCCCCTCCCGCGAGAGGGGGAGAGCGAGAGATGTAATAAGATTCCAAGATCCCCAGGCGGTTTCAGCAGAGAGATGCGTCTCATCGTACATGTGAGTGAGTTCCCTGCTACCTACTAACATCCAAAATCCAGCTCTAGTACTTTGCTTGCCGGCCCTCGCCCCGTTTGCCTCCTTGCGCCGAGGTTGGCCTTTTGTTGATGCGATTGTTATCAACAGAGAGCAAAAGAGAGAGAGAGAGAGAGAGAGAGAGAGAGAGAGAGAGAGAGACGATCATAGCGGTTGTGGATACTATACCATGTTATCCTGGCTTTTATTCATCCGCCCTGGCCAAGGTGGACCGCACTGAATATATACCCAAGTACAGCTGAACACTTTCCTGGCCCAAGAAGCTTTCACCACACGAACCCAGGAACCCAAGTCGGCAGTAACATGATCAGTTAGCCGCCGCGGAATACCGGAAGTGAAGGGACAATGGCTAACGTCAGATGTGATTTACGGTGAACTTTCCCGCGGCATCCGACCAATTGGGGTGGGATGGCCTTCTTTCATGGGGTTGTGCGGCTTCTGAGTTTCTGGCACAGGGGAAAGAAAAAGGCATGGTTAGATCTGCGCCGTAGTCGGATTCAGGCTAGTGTTAAAGGCAAAAGGTTCATCAGATCTCACATTTTGCATATCCTTACATGCAAGCCCCTTCATCGCGCCGCCTGTTTGAGCCAACTCGCCGCGAGGTTTCACTCCTTACTTCGGATACATGACCACAAGGTGGGTGGTGGTGGTGGTGGTGGTGTGGGGGGGCAATATCACTCAGGCAATTCTCTTGTTTTCATGGCGAAAAGTCAAAATTTGGGTTTCCTCATGAGGGAGGAAAAGAAGGGGGGAAATGCTAATGCATTCTCTTTGGCTTTTGGACATCAATCTGGTTTCTTTCAGTTGTTCCTTTTAGTTGTTCCTCTGTAAGTTACCAAAAAGGGAAGCCGCCTTCCAGCCTCAGCCCCTCACAACCACCTGCCCGTCCAGCATCCTTGAACCATCCATGAGGTCAGCTGCCCATATGCTTCTTCCCAGACCTTGCTACTGCTTTTTTCTTTCTTCCTTTCTCCTTCCCATTCCTTCAAGACACCATCAACCCAGTTCTCTCTCTATCTCCTTCACCGCCTCTCATCAACAGAATCAACAGCACCTGTACGAAAACGATGCCGTCCCGCCATCATATTGTCTCCACCATGCATTGATTCTACCACGTAGTATGACCTCTCTAGATCGGTCTACTGCGGGGCGATACGCTACGACTACGACTCTTGTTTCGGTCTCTTTTTTTAGAGACAACCTCTTCAAGGCCCTGCCTGTCGACACACCTCTTCCCCCTCCTGTTCCGGCATCTTCCCCCATTCGTCAAAGTCAACATCGACAACCGGTCAAGCAGGCTCTCCGAGATTTTCTCGGTGCATGGCAGAGGGACAGACACATTCGCTTCTCGTTTGGCGGCCCTTGCAGCCGCCGCCACCCACTCACCCAAGACCGGAGAATTACCCAGCTCGTCACAGCATCGTCATACGAATGCGAGCCGATGTTGTGGCGCACTCCTCCCGGCCCTCCTCAATATGGCTCTGACACTTCTTTCATCGTGCAGACCCATTTCACCCATACCCGTTCATGTCCGCTCATTTCGGATGAGCCGACTCGTGCCTTGCTGGTCCGATGGCTCCCTTGACACTGATAATCAGATATTCTCCACCGACAACACCACCTTGCCTCGTGGCCCATATCATCAACCAGCCCATCCACCCTCCCCCCCGAGCGGGATCTCATGCCCCGGCCCAAGACTCGCTCGGACCTTACCGCACGGAGCAACCGCGGCGGCCGGCCAAGACAGCCGGCAAGGCATTCTGGAGCCGAACTTTGAGGTTTCATCGCTCCACACCGTCATTTTTCGGGGATCGGAGGTGTCTTCAGCACATACCGATTTGTCTATACAAGGTCAAGATCGGCGGGTTTACATACAGGGTCAATTGTTGTCCAGCAAAGCAATACCTGCGCCGCCATGGTGACACGGCTGAATCTGCGACTTCACCGAATATTTGACTTGGCCTTACTTTTCTCGCCACGGGATGATCAAGGCGCCCAATGTGGTGGCGCCCTGCTGCCCCACCGTACACAAGAAGTTCAAAACACATGATTACGACCACTTCCCAAATAAGAAGGAAAAAGGAATCAGAGATTTGTCAGGGAGGGTGCCATTGTGCGCACATCTGAGATATGAGAACCCTTCCACTGCGACTCTCATCAATGTCCCAAGACAGGCGCTGGTCGACCTTTCAATCCTTTATTTGCAAGAGGCACGGCCATGTGCGGCTGAGTAATTGTCCGAGAGCAGAGCCTCAACTCATTGAGGTAACACAACATTGTCTCCGCATCGGCTGAGGCGTGGGTGGCCCCAAGCAGAATGTACATGCGAGGTCGTAGAGGCTTTCTTCCTTGGAGGCGGGAGTTGCTTGGGTCTGCGTGATCATAAGCATTGCACTTCGATAAGTTGATGTGAACGGAGTGGCGTCTGCTCTTGTGAGGGGAGGATTTGGCGGCCCAAGAACCCGTCTCTTCATCCCTATTTTGCGTTGTGGTGGGCCAATGCCATATGAGACGTAACTCGTGCGGATCAGGTCAATCTCGATATCACGGTTCTGGGGGCGACCTGCGAGACCAGGTATCAAAAGTATGACAGGTCAGATTCGTGCCCAACCAAGAGCGAACCGTGGGTCTATATTTCGCTGCCGCGACTGAGGCAGCGAGGATCGACCCACTCGATACGATGGCACTGCAGTGCAGTGAAGAGTAAAAAAAGCAGCTCACTCCGTTTTCCCCGGTCGCATCTAAAACAACGACGGCCATGTTATTACGGCCGAGGGTGTCACTCGCGAATCATCAGCGCTCCGTCATTGTTTTTTGTTTCATCGTAGTCGTCCCATTGTTGAGACGAGAGACATTGTTGTTTCGAGCAATAGGTTGAGAAACAGGTACCCCTCTCGAGTAATTTTCTTCCTTCCGCGGCGAGGATCCGATGCTCGCAAGAGGCGGAGGCTCGTTGGTTGATCCGCGGATCGTAGCCGTGCCAATGTCGCACTCTACAGTACCAGCCAGCTGGGTCGTCTTCTGAAAGACTGCTCCACGGGCATCAGCCCACAAAGAAAAAAAGAAAAAGAAAGAAACAGCGAAAGAAAGAGAAGGGGAAAAAAAAGGCAGCAGCACTCACGCCTTCTGTTCTCTTCCTCTGTGTGCGACTACAATCAGCCAGACAGGTAGCATGCGATCGACTTTCTATGTTAGCATACTGTAGCCTGGCGCTGTTCAACTCGGAGGGCTTTTTTCCGGGCCAGGAAAATGATTCAGAGTCGAGGAGGCTCTCCTATCACCCTTCAAATTTCGGTATCACGGCTTTGGACATAGAGTTTTGCATCCCGATGATGGCTCTGCTGATTTGTACCACTTGACAGGCTGATTTCACCGCACACCGCCCAAGGCAAGGACAAGAAATAAACCCTTGGACAGGCACACGCTTTCATCGAACACAGCAGCATCTTGCCTATGGCACAGGGATGAGTTCAAATAAGTTTGCACGGGTTTTGACGGGCGCCGGCGGCTGAATTCGATCGACTTACTAGCGTGCTTCTAAGAAGTCACCACCACTAGCTTGTACCGTAGTTTGACCAAGGCCTATAATATTGACTGAAGGAAACATCAAAAGCCAACTTTCAGTTTGTTCTTTGTAATGTATACTCTACGCAAAGAAAGAAACAATTAGACTTATAAGAGCCCGTACGTGAGGTTTCCGAAGCACTTGCGGCTTTGCTTCAACATCCAAGCATCCTGAAGGGAGGGAGAGAGCCTTCGGGCCTTGCAGCGCATAAGTTTTTTTCTTGCATAATACCATAATAACAACAAACACTCAGCGCGCTTTGATGTGCAGTCCTAGCTCCATATCGCCTTGCACTTAATAGCAAGGATCCATGGCGCCAGTGTTCTAGATTATTTTAATAATAATAGAAAGAAAGAAAGAAAAAAAAGACTAAGAGCTCATTCTCATTAACCTCTAGCAGATCAAAGGTCCTGGTTCGGAGCCGTCGCTAAACACAGCCCCCCGGAACAAGTCGCCAAATGCTTCCAATTCCTTGCCCCCCCCCCTTTCGAAGCGACAATTTCATTACCAGACCACTTTCTCTGATTTCGACAGTCAAGTAGACGCTCTACTTTTGGTTTCTACAGAGACCACCAAGGCCACTGGAGTGGAAGTAAGGTCTGACTAAGATTATCGTGCCCTGCACTTGAGTAGATCGGATCGGGTACAACACGGATAAAAGACCTGCACGTCAGGCCACATGACACTTGCCGGGGGGGGGGGAGGGGTGAGGGTGAGGAGAACACCTTCGATCGAATGATGGTGCGTGAGAATGCATTGTTGCAGTGGGTATCCTATTTAGTATGCCAGCAGGCTGCAGGCGTCTCAACAAAAAAAACAAAAAAAAAAAAAATCAATCAAAATATGACTGTCCTTCATTTTCCCTGGCTGCCATCAAGCGGCATCTTTCCCGCCGGAGCTATGTCCCGTTGGCTTTTTCATCCAAGCGAAAATCCCTCGCGCCAACGCCGAAGATGATTCGATGAGGATCCGAGCCCGTACCTGGCCGATCATGTGAGAGCCAACAAGAGGTTCCTTTTGCCGAGGCCTAGATGCTGCAAGCTCGACCGGACGGGAGCTGATTTTGTGACAGCTCTCGTGCATCATGAAGATGTGCGGCATGAACGTGATGCTGTAATCTCACTGGACTATCTTATCGATATTGACCAGCAACTTACCAGCACTAGGCTTCCCGTGAGCATCTGCCAGATCAATGAATCGGTAGCCCTGTTGCAGTCGATCAAGCCGGATGCAGGCCCAAGCCGCAAGCTTATCTTTCACGAGCCCTTCGTCCTCGATCTTGAACCTGTATTACAGAAGACAATGAATCAGTATAGTGAACTTCTTGATGATGTGGTGGCACGAATTCGTCCAGGGGGAAGTTAGTCATCCCAAAATATAACACCTCGCCCGTTGAACGTTTCAGCTGCCAACGCCCACCACAACGTTGCATGGTCACACAGCAGCACCGAATCGCAATCGGGAAATCGGCCATGGGTAGGGAAGCCGAGGTGTGCCAGACAGAGAACGCATGCAGGGAGACGCAAATGACAGGTCTGTCATGCGGTTCTCAGCGGAAGCGCAGCGAAAGGCTGGCATCCCACGCGACGTCTCACCATACCACTCCTGCGACCAGCTCACTGAAGCTGTTCCCTGCCCACTCCCCACGCCGGTGTGCGTGCAAATCTCGCCCCATGGGTGTCAGCTTGTTTTGGGGGGGAGGGTGTGTACTGCAAGGCTCTCAAGACTGCCGTAAAGGGAAACTTTCGCCTAAAGGGTGGTCTGCATTGGGGTCCGTTACGGCCTGCAGATGCACACTTGCGGCCGCTTTCCACTCCCCAAATGAGACGGGATGCTTTCCCAAAGTGGGTACCACAGCTTTGGCGCTTGGTGACATCTTGACACATGTGATACGCGATGATGACATGTAGCCAGGCAAGGGAAGATGGGAGAGTGTATGGGTGGGTGTAATCAAGTGAAGGGTTGAGGAATCACGGTCCCGAACAGGCGGGGAGGTCCAGCTCCGCGCGCAGGAGGCTTAGAGCATCGTGGCTTACCTGACGAAGCTGAGTTCCTCAACGATATTTGCGATGGGTGGGAACTCAAGGACTTGGCCGACGCCCCAATCGGGGTTTTCAGTCTCGCTGCATTTTGTCACCAGCTTGTACTGGCCGTCCTGGGCAAGTCCGCTCTTGATTGCCTTCTTCTCGTTGCGCTCCTCGGGTGTCTCAACGTGGAGTTCGCACTTGACAAATGGCTTGAAGCCGGTGCTATCCGAGGTGCTCATGCTGGATGCCGAGCTGGCTTCGCAGTCGCTGTCGGATTCTCCTGGGAACGGGAGGAGCTGTCCGGCCAGGACCGTGATGCGAAGGCGTTTGAGGGCCCGATGCCTTCCACCTTCGGCCTGCGATCTTGTGTCGTCGCTGCTGAGGTACCCCTGGGGCTTCAGCACCCAGCCCTGTTCCGACTCGAACATGGCGCTATTGAGCATCATGGCCTCGTCAACATGCGATCGCTGCCAGTTCAGGGCTACCATCTGCACACCTTTCCTCCAGTACAGAGAGGGGTCGAGGTTCGTCGAGTTCACCCGTGTGGAGTGAGGATATGCGCGCATGAAGAACTTGCGGTTGTGTACGAACATCTCCTGGTGCCTGGTCTGGTGCAGCTTGAGGATCTTGTACTCGTCGATAGAGAAGATGTGCGAGATAGACTGGGCTCCAGGGGCGGAGAAGTCCTTGAAGTGTTCGCTGTGCGTATAGATGGCCAGCTCGCCCAGTGCCTGTCCGATCACCGTCTTGGACTTCTTGATTACTTCAGAAGCACTGTTGTTACCTTGTTGTGCAGCGAGATCGACCGCCACGGACAACCGCTCGTCGTCGGAGCCGGCGTCGTCTTCGCGCAACAGGGGTACAGTCAGCTGGCTGCTGCTGGTGCCGCCCTTGGATGAGCTGAAGCTTGCCGCGGCTGGTCTCTTCACCTTGACTAAGATCTTCTCCATCAGCTCTTCCAGCCGAGGCTGCCTCTCCGCCGGGTTGCAATCTGCCAGCTTTCTGTCCAGGAGATGGTCGCCCCACTCTTCTTTCATGATCTCGGCCATCATGTCCTGCTGCTGGCCCGTGGCGTGGACCTCGAGGCTGACAATGACAGGAAGTTTGTTCGTCTTGAAGGCTGATTCCCTGATTACCCTGCAGACCTGGCGGAACGGGATGCGGTCCGCCAGACCTACGTCGCCGAGCCCCTGGACCGTGTGCGCGTGCGTGACCTCGGGCTCGATCCTCCGCTCCCTAGGCTCTCTCGATCTCGAGCCGGACCGGGACGTGCGCCCTCTCGACGTGGTGGACTCGGCTGACCTCACATGACGCAGTGGTGGCCCACCGTCGTTGGGGTCTAGCAGGTCGTTGTCGAGCGAGGTCGTGCTGTGGCTGGCCGGCGGGAGGGTCAAGTGCAGCTGGCTCATGCTGGCACTAGCGTTGCTGCTGGGCCTCCGGCCACGGCCACGGCTGCGACTCCTTTCACGCACGCTTCCCGCAAGTTCGTGCCATTTCTGATCCATGAGATCAACCAGGCTCCGCGCCGCATCCGGTATAGAGCTCGTGGAGAGCGTGGACATGTTGGACTGGTGCCTCTTGTGCGTAGGGAAGGTGGACCGATCTGAGGAGTTGAGGTTGTTGTTATTATTGTTGCGTGGCGATTTCGACCCGCTCGGTGTTCTGGGTCGTGTCTCTGACCAGCCCTCGCCATTCCATACGTCTATCTCGACACAGCGGCAGCCATTCTCCAGGACCGACCTGTAGGCCTCAGCCGAGACCTCACCACTCAGCTGGTTGCCAAGCCCGATATATGTGTTGTGGCTACTGCTGATGAAATAGTTGGTGATGGGCTTCGACAGGTCTTTCTTGCCTGCTGGCTTCAGGGCCGCGCTGTAGTCGTGCAGCCAAATGTATACAAAGTCCCCCAGCGTGTATATCTCCTTCTCGAGGGGCCGCACCAAGCTGCCCTGCGTCTCGACCAGGAACTCCTGCAGACGATCCCTCGTTATGTAGTCTCCGGCACGGCCTCTCAGCCCCGCAAAGATGTTCTCTATATGCCTGTGCGTCGAGTCTTTCAACAAGGGCAGGTCAGATGTCGTCGTGTGGTACAGATCCGCCTCGTCGACGGCCAATGGGTGGCTGTTGTTGTTGTCGTCGGAAGTGGTAGCCGCCTCATCGTCGACCGTCTTGGGATCGTGCTGGTGCTTCTGTTGGTTCTGGTTCTGGTGCTGCTGCTGCGAAGGGCTATGACCGTGCTGTGCGCTGGTAGGCCCGCTCCCGAGCGCGACCATATTGAAGAAGTGTTTCCATGCCGTGTGCGCTCCGAAGCGCGGGCTGGGCCGCGGGCCGCTGGTAGCGGGGGTCGGTGGTATCGGGGAGCCTATTCTTGGGATGTTCTGGGTCGTCAATGCGACTTTGGTAGTGGCTCCAGTATTCTCTGGTGGTGCCGCGCCGCGCCTGCGAGGCGACATCACAGGGTGGTGCGTGTGGGCGCGCCTGTGGATGAGTCCCTGTGTTGGGAGGGAAAGAAGAAAGAGGAAGAAGCCTGAAGTTAGTCAAAGCTTCTGTCTCTCTATTGTTTTTCCCTCTCTTTCGAGATGCGACAGTGCGGTATGCGCTTTTGCGAGATTACGGTGGAGGACGGGACGGGAAGAGGGAACGTGGGGGAGCAGGCAAAAGCGAACAGAATAGAGGGGGGACAAAAGTTGGAATGTTGTGTAATCAAGGATTGATCACGATATAAGGTCTTGAAATATTGGAAAAGAAGAAAGAGAGAGGAGAGAGAATTCAAGTCTTCTCCCTCCCCCTTTGAGCATGCTCGTGGAAACTTACGAGGCAACCCATGACGAATGCAAGAAGAACAAGCAGACGATGGGGTGGTCCGTACGGTGTCTTGTTTCCCTCGTCCCCTCCCCCCCCCCCCTGTGTCGCGTCGCCCGAACGTGCACGCAAAGCACGCAAAAAACGCAAGCACAACACCCCCAAAGGCACAGCACAGGGCAAACGTTAAGGGGGGTTGACAGCTGCGAGCTGCGAGATCCGCAAGGGAGATCGGCGCGCCGGATTGGCGAATGGGTAACAGGAGGGCCCTCTGTGGGTCAGGGCGTCCTGGGGCTGCAGGCCAGGCCCTGTTCGGCTACTCGACTCGCTACCGGGGTTCTGGGCGGCCGCTGCAGGTTGACATGGCCCGTGTGTGGTGGTGGTGTCACTCGTTCACGAGGTTTTGTTCGTGTGAAGTTTGGTGGCAAGAGAGGAAATACGATCAAGAGACGAGAGAAAGTGAGAGTAGAAGATGACAATCAAAGAGACATGGAAGGAAGGGGCAAAAGAAGAATAAAAGAAAGCCATACCACAACCAAGAAGGACGAGGAACCAAAACCAACGGGCGTCAGAGAGGAAAGGCATGATGAATCCCACGGGGGCCCTGGGGGGGTACTAAGACATGCGCCAGCCTGGACCTGGTGGTGGCACCTGCCACATGCCTCCCAAAGAGCTCCCTCGGTCGAGACAATGTGTTCAGCTCTGTCAAGGCTGACCGCGCATAGCCACCGCGCTGACCAACGAGCATCCATCCAGAAACGACCAGACGCTCTCCAATCCTGTTCATCTGCTAAGGTTTGGACAATCTGTCTCCAAATGTCAGATTGGGGGACGAGGGTCTAGGGGTCCAGCTCCGGCTTGGCGCAATGGCAGTTCCGCGACACTGATCCCAGCTCAACAAATCTTGTGTCTCCAGACAAAGATAATTTAGGAGGGAGGAGATTCCTTGAGGCGCCAGTCGGATCAAGACAAATAGATGATCTTGTTCCAGGAATACCATCATCGCGTGTGTGAGCCGTCGTACCGCTTGTGGAGCTGTGCTGTGTGGATGAATGGGCAGCGCATCCACCTCTTTACCTTTTCTCTCTGGAGACCTTTTCTCACATTACCATTTCGTTTGATCTGTTTTTTTGTTCTTACTCTTCTGTTTTTCCTTGGCGTCTTCTATCGCACGGGGCTGATCAGCCTCGGATTTGTCAAGGCTATCTGTCCCTTCTTCCACTTTGGAATCAAATCCTCTCTCCCCTTCCCAAGGTTCAGCCTCGCCGTCATGTCTTTTCTTTGATGCAGCCATATGGGAGGCCGTCCGTCGCCTTATCCAACCACAATCGCAAATGCCATGTACTGTAAGCCACCGACTGCATACTGCAGCAGCCGTCTGGTGCCCCCGGAATCAGTGCAAGGTGCGGCTGCTGCAGTGGGTTCCCGCCGCCCTGGCACAGACCCAAACAAGGGTCACAGGGCCTTGTCAAATTTCCCGGTTCTAGTTTTTTTCTATTTTTGGATTGACGTCGACATCAACGCAATCTCGTATTGTTTACTTTTCTTGCTGCTTCTTTAGGATCTTCAAGATACGGAACCTTGAATCGCATGGTTTTATGACATATCGAGTATTGTGTTCTTCCCGGTGAACAAAAGTCTGCTGCGAAAAGGAAAAGTTTCTTGTCTGGTTGAGGATTTTGGACAAGACCGGGATTCAATGGGCGTGACGTCGTTGGGCATCTGCTTTTTCGTCCGCAGGATTTCATCACCAGACGTTCCGGTTTTCACAGTAGACAGCGAACAGCACGCCGAAAGAGTATTACTACAATCATCCTCCAATTTTGTAGCTCTTCATACTCTTGTTTCATCATCTACTGCATAATACCATAGAGGCGTGAACAGGAGGCCTTATCCCAACGCTAGTCGGTCGGATGCTGTTCCTCACTCCCAACGTACAATAAGGGCTTCCTTTTAGCCATTTCGTTTGTAGAACACGGCAGCTATATGTAACTCTCATGGACCTTGGGCTCGAGCCAAATTCCAGTCCCCGCCGATTCTCAGTGAATCACTAAGGGTAGAACAGGAGACGAGCCAGGAATTTGCAGGCTTCTCGAAAACCTTAGCTGCCACTTGCACATTCTGCTCAGTCAGCTTGTTGGGTCCTCAATGTACGCTCTTATTCCTCTCGTTATGGTCACTACCTAGGTATCCAAGGCAGTGACTTCTCTGGTAATACAACAGCGATGGGAGGATCGTCCCATCGAAACTTTTTCATCCTTGAGGCTCTTCCGTCTTCTTCTCTTCATCGTCTGCGTCCATTAACTTCAGACGGGAGCGGCTGTTAGCAGTTCTTACTCCCCAACACCAAGATAGTTGGTGCTAGCCCCTGTCACGAGCTTCATGTTCGTTCCGCGCCTAGGTCTATTAACTTGTTCAAGTCAAAGATCTAGGGCAATAGCTTACCATACTAATTATGATTCACGTGCAAGTCTAGGCATTTAGAGCGAGGGTCACTTAATTTAAATGAATCCACGATCTCGTGGTAAATGCACAAAAGGGCTCGTCGTCTTAGCCTTTCTACGAGCGGTTTGCAATATAAGGGCACCATTGCTTTCACGGCTCTTCTCCGAACCTGCTCTTTCCCTTCTCCTTCCTCCTTCAACACTCAGTACTCACCTTAGACGTCCCTTGAACTAGACTATCACGGCACCGTTATCCCACGTTGGAAACTCTTGGATTTATTCACTTCACTATAACCACATAATATCTAACATCCACTTCAGACGACTTTCAACCCCCCCCCCCCTCGACCAAAAAAAAAAAAGACCACAGACATCAATACACCATGTGTCCAGAGCAGTTTTATCACGGTAGGCCATGCCAATTCCAGGTCGGAATTGCCCACGGCCACGAGATACCGGAATTCCTCGACAACAAGCCCGAACCACAACCACTGGAGCCCTACTTAGACGCCAAAACGAAGGCCAAGAACCCTTGCAGACCTTGCATCCAAAACGCAGCGTCCATGTACGGTATGGAAACGCTATGCATAGCAGCAGACTTCATTGCCTTCCCGTCACGCCTTTCTATCGGAGCCCAAGTTTTCGTCTGGTTTCTGGTGACGATGCCACTCCTTCTCCACCTCCTGAAAACGATCCGCCGTCCAAAGCATACCAACCAATGGTCTGGTTCACACGCCCACTTTGCTTTAGCCCTGGTTCACTTGGTTAGGTGTGGGTTCGATCTCGACCTGTTCACTCAATGTCGTGGGAACTGGATGAGTGGTGAGAAAGGGATGCAAGGTGTGCCAGATGAAGAGATGTACAGTTGGACACCGCCAGTCCGTGCAGCCTGGAATGAATGAAAGGATCACGATAGATAGCGTTAGTTTCTACTTGAGACGAAGTCTTAGACAGCGATTCTGTGTTATTAATTAACCACTGTGCAAAACAAAAAAAAATACAAGTTAAACTTAGAATAGTGTGTGTTCAATCAGCTGCAAGTATTTTAATTACGCAAATTGTTCTAGTACCCTTTAACCAACTCAGACAAGTGTGTACTTTCAGTCATCATTAGCTCAATATAAGACTTACATTTATATTATATTTCAAGATGAACCAATGAAAGACGCAGCAATGTCTGGGGGAGTTTTCTTGCGAGTTCTACTTGTATAAACAAGTTAGTGCATAGTCATAGGAAGCTTAAGATTGGATTCGAATTCTACATATCAAATACACGTCAAGGAAGAGAGGAAAAAGTAATAAAGAATATGAAACCAAAAACAAGGAAGAGAGAGAAAGGTCATCAAAGAAAAAGTCTCAATATCGTGGACGATGTGTCCAGGTGTCTTTTTTCTTGCTTTGATTTGGGGGGGGGGGGGGTGTTCATCTGTTCTTGATCGATCCCAACCCTGTTCATACAGCCCCAGGCGCGGCGCATGCTTGCACAACGTCATTCCGGTTCTCCAACCACACTCCATCGAATGGTCATTCCAAGCTCTTCCATTCGTAATTTGCGCAATTGAGACTGTCGAGATATTTCAACAAACACGTTTCACACCACCTCGCTCAGACGGCCGGCAGAGCCTCATAACATCATTTTTAACCATATCCACATCTTCACAGCATTGGTCCCGTATTACCACTGAGAAACAACCCCACCCCGGCTTCGATAACATGGCTGGGCAGAAGAAGCAGAAGGATTGGGAGAACGAGGTGCGCTCATGGGGCTTCTCGCATGTGTTCACATGGACTGATGGGCCGTATGACACCTCTCACTCTCTCTTTCGAACTTACAACCCGTGAAAGCAAAAGTGTCGTGAGAGGAAATGGCTGAAATAAGAGGGAGCTGCTGACGGAGAACTTTCCCACACTGCAAACAGGAACGCTCACTACAGCCCACACTCCCACGCCGGCTTGACGACACACCTCATCCTTAGGGGTGAACTTACCATCACTTACCCAAAGGACGAGCAGCCAACCAAGCAGACTTTTTTTGTCGGCGACCGGATCGATGTTGACGCGGGTCGGGTTCATGAGGTGTGGATGGGCAAGGAGGGGTGTACGTATGTTATTGGGGAGTGAACATACTATTCCTTTGAAGTGGTGAACTGTGCTGCCCCTGTTTTGTGACTAGCTCTATTCTTGTTTGGAGTCAGAGCTACTGTTCATCTATATCGAGAGTATAGGAAGGAGGTCTGAACAGAGCAAGGGACCTGGGACGACCACGTACAGCTGGCAAAGGCCGCCCGTCCGATGTGAACAATATGGTGACGTCTTTGATGCTATAGAAATGAATCATTGAAACATGTGCACCGGGTTTAGACTTTCTACTTCTTGTTAGTATCGTCTCATCATTCGTTACCAGACATTCATCCCATCTACGAGTCTGATGCATCTGTATGTCAGTGCGTGTTTGCATTAACAAAAACTTGCATTTATTGAGACTACCACATTTGCCAAGCCTTTATTTGGCAGAAGGTTCAAGATCAGCACTGACGTAACTTTCTTCTCCTGCGGCTCTTAGAAAGGAGATATGGCCTTAGAAGTCGGTTCGGCGAAAAGATGCTGCAAAAGAGCGAAGCGTAACTCATCTTATTTCATCTTGGTTGTCTAACTAGAGATACATCTGTAAGCGTTTGATGAAGAAAAACCAGTCCTTAAGTATATCAGTTACAAATTGCCTTGCAGCCCGCCGTTTAAAGATATGCACAGGTCACCGTATCTTGAGCATAAGTACAGTTCGACACAACCGCACCGGTCGTCTCCGACACCATCTCCAGGATCTCGACCTGCGCCGCACCACTCATATCGACAGTCTCATCCTCTGTGACGGCGCTGCAGCCTGTGAACTCAACGCTGCCGTAGTCGATAAAAGGGATCAGGTCGTATTCCACATCGATGGCGTCTGTTATTTATTTGGGGGGTGTTGCCCCCTCGGAACTTTAGTATTTGTGTGCGAGGCGCGGAAAGGGAAGACGGGGCAAAGGGAAAGAGGGGCTGGTTGGGCTTACAATCCTCCACGATCCACTCCGCTGTCTGCCCGCAAAGGTCGCCGTAGTCGTTCTCAATGTCTGTGTAACTATAATTTGCGCTCACACCGGTGGAGAGATTGTCGATGACTGGGGCGTTGAATAGTGAGCATGGGTCAACTCGCAACTCATGCCACTTCAAGCTGGGCGGAGATCTGCAGCGGACGGAAAAAGGAAAAGGAAACCAAAAACAAAAAAGGAAAAGAGGTGGAGGGGGGGGGGGGGGGAAGACGGCACACTCACCAGCAATGCCAGAGTTGGTCCCAATAGCCGTGACCGTCATCTGAATCGAATCACCTGCAGAAATCGATACATCAAGAGTATCCACTGTTGTCGCCATTAGTGATCCAACATCAGACTCTCTCCTGCGTGCTCATGTCACCCAATACGATTCGACTTATGGGCGAGAGACACGGAGACAAGGGGTAATAAAGATCGTCTCACCATCCGGTAGCCAACAAGCCCAAGCACTATACCCAACAACTCCGTCCTCGATCGTGAGGAAGATGCCCGTCTGGAGCAGTGCTGCACAGCTGTCCCCATCAATTCCGACCCAGATCGCGCCGCCATACTGCGTGCCCTCGGTGTAATTACTAGCTGAAGGGTCGATGGTCGGCACGACGATCGTCCCGGTGACAGAGGTGTACTTGGTCCCGATGAGCTCAACACCGGACCAGTTCAGGCTCTCGGATACGTCGCGCTTGCTAGCGGACGAGTACGGAGGGGCATGCATCCTATGGCCGCGGGGGCGGATGGGAGGACGTGCGTGAGGGTTGGCGCTGGTTGCCAGAGTGTAGGGCAGGGCGAGAAAGGTTATCAAGATGGCTAGTGACTGCATGTTGATCAAGTAGATGGACTATAACCGCTGCTGCTGAGATTGGGTTGAGTATCGAGTATTGACTATGACACTATACTAACGCAGGTGATCGTGTAATCTGCTGGCACCATCCGACCGCAGCCCAGTCTCATTTATAACAATAACAAGCCTACATGCCTACACAGGCCGTCGGGTCCATCGCAAAGAGCGCGGCATGTTCTCCATGCTGAAGGAGGGTTGCGGCCAGCTTCACGGAGATTAGCCTGTTCGGTTACATGCCTGCGGTGCTTGAGTGAAGGATCGCATCAACCGCAGTGCCAGGGTCGATGAACTGCTGTATGCGGCGATTTAACCCTCGATAACTCTGCTCACCGTACCGGCCTGTATAATCTTTCGAGCTGCAGAGATAAGCAAAGAGATCCTTCAATGCATCCCTCTCGGCAAATTCAAGTGGTCAAACAGACAGACGAGGTGTTCCTTAAGCCCTTCTACAAGAACGGGAGCGTCTATTTCGGGGATACAAAGTTGAAGACGAAAGCCAATACACAAAAGAAAGGATTCAACAGACACTTGGACCGACCGAGCCTCGTGTCTTCGTTCATGCTGATTGCTCCCAGACTCTCGCACACACCCCAGCATGTCTTTCGCGCAAGCAAGAAGAAAATCGTCCCACAAACGGGAGCCAAGAGAAATGTGCTTCTAGACAGCGCATTGCCCATGCCAATCACTCGATTGGGTCAAAGAGATGAAGGCGATCTACAGAATGAGAAGACCAGATCGTCCAGTTTGCATTGTCAATGGGGTGCGAGTCCCTCGAAAATCTGGGTCTGAATGATACTATGAATGTAAACCCTCTTAGCTTGACAGGTAGTAGGATCAGAAGTGAGTGTATCCAAAATATTTTCACCATGCTAAGGGGGCAGTCTGCCCGAGCGTCTTGGCTAGGAATCAGCCTCAATCCTCAAAAAGGTTCCGATAGAGGATGAGGGCAACACTCAGATTGGGGGGGGGGGGCGGGGTTGATGGTACAGCTCATTCTGAGAACGTCACTTGCTGAGCCTCTGATCGGCGAACCTTGAAGTCTGGCCTTTGTGTGAATCTAGCTTTGTGTGTGGATTGGACCGAAAAGCGGGGAAAAGGTCTAGATTATCTTGTGCCAGAATAGATGGAGAGGAGAAGACTTCTTTGCTGTGGGAACCGCGTCCTTGCAGGTCGTTAGAACCAGATATCCCCACGCTGGGCTTATCTGGTTGAACGTGAAGACGTGGGTGTTTGTCGCCCGCCGTACACGGACCCTCAGCCTGGTGATATGAGCACGAGCGATGGTGTCATAATCATGAACATCGTCTACAGTCTTCTTTGCTTGCCTTGCGACCATGTCCCTCGACTACTCTGGCGTTGAAGTAATAGGTATAGCTTTGGAGCTTAGGACGCCAGGCCGTACGCTGACTCCGAAAAAGCGCTTCTAAGTTATTCAGCAGCATTGCAAACAGACCTGGGTTGTCCGCTCATTGTGCAATTATGCAATTATGCATCGAGTTAGGTGAATGTTGTTGCCGGGGTAAGCTGCAGGCTGACTGACAGCCTATGAGACGTGAGTGTTTCTTTGAATCTGTACCAGTATGGGGAGTAAAGGATCCTTGATCAAGCTCTCTTATTTCACGGCAGATGTTTTTCTCGTAAAGCGGAGCGTCAAGGTCAGACAAGGCATGCAATTTGGTGGAGCTCCGCGATAAGACGGCATGGCTGCCATCCGAGACCGCGACAGAATCCGCCTGGAGCGCCCAATTGGCGTACAGAAAGCGCTGCCCGTGGACATGGAGAGGGAGAGGGTCTTGATATGCTGCATCTCGTCAGCTGGCGCTAGGCTCTTGTCCTCGTTGCACTCGGCAGTGCAGTGCATTGATCAACCCCCCTCCTCCTTCTCTATCACCAAACGCTAAGGTCTGAAAAAGAGGGCTCCTGTCACCGCCGGCCCACCCCCCTCCCTTCTTTCCTCGTGCAACAAGGTCGTGAAGCTCCCCAAGACAGTTAGTTACGCAGAGCAGCAAGCAGCTGAAAATGCCAAGTGCTAACCTCTGGTGACGGGCTCGGAAGTGGCAGACCGGTAGCTTCCGAGGCCCTGGCCCCTGATCGTCGAGGGATGGGGAGCGGAGAAGTCGTTGCCAGGATCTGGGTGAGAGGCACACGCAGTCATCGATTTATCTAAGCATCATCATCCGAACAATAAACCTCCGCACAACTGGACCCAGTGAGCGATCGAGATCGAAGCCTCGAGGTCTCGTCACAAAATTTCATCAAAGAGCGCTGTAACAGGAAAAGTGGAAGAGATGAGTGCACGTCGGCGCCCTCAGCTGGACGACGCAGCTCTCGACATGATGACGTTTTCGACCGATGTGAGCCTGATTTCGAGACCTAGGTTGAAGCTGGTTACTGAGGAGTGATTGGCCTAAATAGCTTTGGGTGGCACCAAAAGCAGCCTCAAGGTGGTAACACCGTCTTTTTGTTGACGCGTTAGACCATCCCTGACCCTGCAAGGCTGCATCTCTTATGAGAAGTGAGAGGTAGAGCAGGAGGGGGCAAGACCACCGCCAGAGAGCCAACGTCTCCGCAGTTTGTTACCGCCCAGCGCTGCCTAGTAACGGAGTAGTCCGGACTATAGTACTTTATGTATGGTTGGCGGGTCCGTGGCGGTCTGGATAGCGGTTCTCGAATCTCGCTGGATCTTTCGAAGAAGGTTTATTGTGGGTCTGGGCAGAGATGATTGACTGCTGATTGCCACTGCCTGGCCCCGTGCCCAGATATGCAAAAGCCCTGGGTGTCGAATCATTCGTGGTCAGTTGACACCGAGCGAGATGGACTCAACAACAAACAACAGCACCAAGCGCGCTCCCGATGGCGGGTATCAGTCACCTGCTGCCTGTGTTCGAGAGGAGCCTCTGTCGATGGATCTGCAATGCAGCTTCGCGCAGCAGGCCAATGGTGGGCGAGCAAGGGGGCCATCTGAAACACACACTGCCCGGAAAGGGCATCGTGACCTTGCCTGTGCATAGATAACTGGGAAACTTCCGACCGTAGCTGCATGGGTCAAGACAAAATAAAAATAAAAAATGACTCCGTAACAGTGATTTGGCACTGGTAGCAGTGTCCCATAGCCGCCGGACCATGCCAGGGCCTGAACGAATCGTCCTGTACAGACGCGTGCCAGCTTCTCCCGGTCTGGATCGTGATACAGCAGCCCGTGAGCAGCTTTGTGTGTTACTATGTAGGAGTCGGGGAAATGGCGGTCGGTTCGAGAATCCAGGTTCGAGGCACCGGGGGCGCCATCCTCCGGGAACAAGGGGCGGGCATTCTCTCCCTGTGCGGACCTGGTGCAGGCTATAGTGGTAGCATGATACATGTTTTCTTCACCCATATGTACCATACTCTTGAATACCAACCATAACAGTAACCATAGCCGCACGCCACAAGTCGAGAGGGCTGGAGTGGATTCTTTGTTGGGGGGTCGGAATGGCTGCTTCAGATGCTTTCAGGTCGGTACATAGTAGAGCAGGCGAGATTCTCCCATCAGGTAAAGAACTCGGCGAACCTCATCCTCATAACACTACACTCTGGCATGGTATGTAAAATGATGGAATAATGGTGACTGTCGCAGCAAGGAGATTAGACACCAATCTGGGGAGAGCCGAGTGTGGTAGCGAGGTCGTTGCAACGGTCTCTATTGTCGCCGGCGGGGAAAGAAAAGAACCGGCGACCGGTTTGAGTCTCAAGTGTTAGCGATAGCGTTGCAACAGAGTTGGAGCAACCAGGTTTCCAAGCTCGATGAATGGTATTTCTTGCAGGATCTGGATGGAATTCCTGGCCATCCATGTCTCCCCGCATACTGGCTCGTTTCCCAGCCTGAATTCATCTGGGTGTCCGAACCATGGTGTTCCTGTAATTGAAACGGTAGTATGATGTCTTTGGGGAATGTATTGAGGTCTGAGCTGTGGCTGCTGCAGTAGCTTCCGGCTCTGTCTGAAGTTCCTGTCTCCTGCAGGGGAGCTTCAACACTCATTTTCTTTTTTTGGCCTTCTCAGCCCCCGAGCGATGATGATGTTCTGTGTTGTCATGCTGTGATTTGTCTTGGCTGGAATCAGGCCAGGCCAGGTCAGGTGAGGGCAGAAGACGGCATGTCCGAGGTCTGCTAGTTAGTAGTATCCGTAGGAAATCATTGAAGGAGAGGAGGAGGAGGATTTTCGTTATTGCATCGCCCACTGTCTGCTTTAGCCTGACGCAGGCTCAAACAGAGCATCTGAAAAGATCTCCTTTGAGTGAGGACATACCATAGAGTACATCATACATAGGACTATGACAAAAAAAAAAAAAAAAAAGAACCAAGCGAAAAGTTGGGGCGCTGTTGTTCAGCAGCAAGGTGGAGAACGAATTGCATGCAGAAAAGTTACCTGTGGTTGAGAGGCAGTGGCAGTGATGATCACTCGGGCCCAGGCCTAAGCAGGACTGGAGCCAGGGAGTGCCTGCTGAGCCTTGGCCCCTCCTTCCCTCCCCCCACCTACCATGGTACCTCTCCACCAGCACAAAATAACGTACGATGAAATGTACTTGTCGTGTATCTGCCAGATGCCAATCGAGCGTCCTGCTTGCAACTTTCCAGCTTTCTGTTTTCCCTGTTTCTGAAAAGGCGCCAGTAACAAATGCCATCTCCATCCCTCCCCCAAATTCCCCACATGCGCCAGCTCAGCCTACACTAAGACCTCCAGCTTGCACTCTATTCCCAAACTCGTCCTTGTCTTGGATCTCCCTCTTTTTCTTCTTCCCTGCCTGCTTTCCTCTCTCATCTTGATATCTTCCCCCTGCCCTATTTGACTGGTCTTCAGTTGCCCCCCCTCCTTCGTTTTCATCTCCTTACTTGTCTCCCGCCCCCTTCCCCTTTCCTTCTATTCTTCCTTTGAACTTGGCAATCCAATCTGACCAACGTGGGCCCTTGTCATCTAATCGCCTGTGAACTTGTCCCTCACTCCTCCTACGGCTCGGCCTCACGCCATTCCTAGGCCCAATTTTTGCAAGGAGAGGAGTTGAAGAGTCCCTGGCTCTCGACCCGGACTTCCTGGATCCCACCTGGCTCCGTTTAAACATCCGTGCCCGTTCCGCATCACGCACTCTCTTGGCCCTCCTCCACTCACACCTCCCCCACTCCTCCCTCCCAAAACCCACCCTTCCTCACTTATCTTCCGACTACGACCCGAATTTCCAGGAAAGACCTGTCGTCCTGTCCCTCGACCTAACTGACGGTCATCTCCACCATCTGGGCACTCATCGACAGCAACTGACCACCCTTCACTTCGACGGACGGAATGGCGGTCTCATGCTGCACATGAAAGCTTGATACTCGTTGCTGCCTGTCCTCGGGCACAGCTCGACGCCATGGGGAACACGCCCTCCAAGCCCTCGCAAGGTCGTACTTCCCAGAAGCTGTCCAAGGCGAGGATCCCCAACTCCTCCACGGCCAAGGCGCCTACTTCAGCTCCCAGCACCCCGCAAGCCGGCACTATCACTCTTACCTCGCACGACCAGGCCCCGGCCCTGATCAGCATCCCTTATTCTGCAACCACCACTCCCAGTCCTGTCGATGAGGATCACAACGAAGTGGGCAAGGAGCCCTCAGACAGGCAATTTCTTGTACCGCCAAAGGTGCAGAGGCGACTCAGTCTGTTCCGATCGAAATCATCCCAGGATACATCGGAGCGCCGCAAGTCTAGGCGCAATACCATCATCGGGCCATCCACTCCCACTTTGGAAGCTGGTGGCGTCTCGAGGGCACAGTCTTTGTCTGCTCACAATGTTACGAAAGAACCGCAGAATGTCGTACCCAGCAGCGAAGAGTATGTGGCTCCATACCATGTAACGCAATCTTTGGCTAACGGGGGCAATGATAGCTGGTCCCCTACCGGGAACCGTGCCTCCTGGGCGTACGATATGTCGTCTTATGAAGCCCAACGGATCCTGAACCTCGTCAAGGACCATAATACACATCTTCCCCGCAGCCAGACGTCAACATCGCTGTGCGAGTCTGCACATAGAGCAGAGATGCGGTCGCCCATCGGTCGTCAAACCCCAGCTGTTATTGGCCAGGCAGAGAGCACCGTGATATCTCGGTCCAACTCGGAGATATCCCTGCATCCCCCCATGCGGCGTCGCTCCATCATACAGACACCTGGTGTTGCTACACGGACACGACCAAGTCCTAACGTCACGAGGTCTAGGAGGTCCAGCCTACGACACAGCCACCCTCCAACGCCAAACATGTCCCGGCAGCCGTCCTTCGAGACAGATGACAGCCGCTTCTTGTCACTCCCACCGCTCCCTGTACCGATTCGCGTGTCCGAGGACGCGCCTAGGGTACTGACTCCCAAGGATACGGATTACAGCACGACGGGAGCTTTCAAATTCGGAAGCCTTCGGATTACCAATGGAAGCCCTGTCTCGACCCCCTCTACGGCAGCGATTAGCAGAGGCCCAGCAGAGATCAGCAGGCCCTATGCAAGTGGCGGTGTGGACTATTTCGCCAGTGCTCCATCCCGTGACACGGATATGCCGTCTGCGGCAGTGGAGGACCTTGTGCAGTCATCTACTGTTCCCCAGGAACCTCTATTCTCGAAGTCAGGGTCAGTCCGCGATGTGGTTCCCCAAGCGCAGCTGCCTCCTCTGTCGATCACCACTGCTTCACACGGCACGGATGCGAGCGACATATTGTCCCCTGCGTCGCAGACGAGCCCTGTTGTTGAGATTCAACAGAAGGCCCCGGCCAGCCCGGTGCTCAAGACGCAGTCAAGACAAGCAGCGGTTGATGACGATTTGTTTGAGGATGACGATCAGCCCGAAATATCTGGCGTTGAGGTGCTCGACATCAGATTAGACCCCAACGCGAAGAGCCTCCCGCCTCAGCCAGTGGACTGGTCACAGCAAGGTACACAAGGCATTGCGAGGTCTGACAGTGGCTTCGAGTCAAACGCCAAGTCGGAGTCGTCCCAATCTTGCAACTCACTTACCAAGGCAGACTCTGGCTACAGTTCCAACATGTCCCTGCGGTCTTTGCGAAACGAGAAGATCCAATCTACGCTCGAGAGAGAGGCTGAGAGAAGCTCAACGGAGAGTGAAAGGGACTCATCCTTAGTTCTGGGCAGGGAGCCCAGGAGATCGCTTGAGACTCAGGTGACCAAGCCAATGGGGGCCTTGGAAGTTTCCGCTGCCAATTCTGCGCACAGTGACAAAGCCCCGACGCCCCCACCAAAAGATGACGTCTCATTGAAGCCTACGTCTCAGCCGTCAAAACAAACAGCAGGACCTGGGGTGACACCCAGAAAAGTAGCGCGGCCGCAGCCCGCCGCCATTGATACCAACAAGGGCAAAGACAAGCGAGGCCTTAGGTCTCCAGGATCCGCTCCATCTACTCCAGCGAGTGTGAGATCGGAGGACTCGACGTCATCCTTGAGTATTGGAAACAATACCCAGAAGCCAGGCAGATTGCAGCGTTTTCTCAGCCTGAATCACTCGGCGAGGCAGTCTCTCACAGTGCATGAGACGCATACCTTCGACAATGAAGTGCCGTCGGTTCCCAAGGAGGTCGAAGACAAGCTCCGTGAGCATACCGGCCTGTTCCCCACAACGGCCAGGAGGCTTGCACTGAAATCCCAGATAAGCAAGGAGACTTTGAAGACGATATTGAGTGTCGGCAGTCTAGAAATCTCCAAGGACAATGAGCTACCTGCCACACCGACGACTCCAGACGGTGATGACGACAAGACGATACGCGACTCAGACGACAGCCAAGAAAGCTCCTTGAAGCAGGCCTTCAGCTCCGTGCAGACAAATTTCAAGAGCGGCGCAGTCTCTGTGGTGCAACACCGACGAGATATCCCACGGAAGCCTGTGCCCACCCCGAGACCTTCGCAAGACCAGGGTCTTACCCAGCAAGCTCTCAGGGACGATAGCATGCTTGCTGTAGAGGCCGAGCTCATAAGCTATACCTCAGTCACAAGCAGCCTGGGCAGCAATGCGTACGATGTCGCTGCCCGAGCAATGCAGCCAGCGGGACCACCGAGTCGTTCTCAGTCGATGATCTCAGGGCGAGAGCATTACCTACAGTTAAGGACGTACAGTTTGAACACCGCCCCCCCTAGTGCTTTGAACGAAGGCCCACATCGTTCGACAATGTTCCCGCAAAATAGCTCACTACGCGACAAGCGGAGATCCTCACCTCCAATCAGCATGGCATCGCGCAACTCGTTTCGCTCGCCTCCGCCGCGGTCACCATTGAGCCCGCAGGGACCGGCGGTTATGCGAAGTACGAGCCACAGTGGTGTGACTGGCAGCATGAAAAGCCCATCTCCGCTGGGCGCTATGAACCCTGGAAGTTCCCAGCGAGCGCAGACGATCCGAGTAATACACCCCCCGTCTACCACCATCTCGGGCACCTTGGCTCCCTCACGCAACTCTCCAGATGCCCTCGGCTCTGCGTCGGTCAACAATCGCCCCCATTCGATGTCGCCAGTCCGCTGTGAATCTATGGGCGAATCTCAGGATTTCCAATCACATTGTCAGGGTGCCACCGGTCCGTCCCTCAAACACCAATCAAGCCTCGATGGATTCGGTAGAAATCAGCTGCAGGGCGTCTATATCCCCCTGCCAGCTCACCGAGGACCAACGGTGGAGTCAGATTCCCCGTCTCATCACTGGAGTCCTCGAGGCAGCTCTCGCCTGGGTGAGGGCCATTCCCAGTCGGAGCAGCTGGCATGGGCCCCTCCGTACGTACCTCGTGGGTCACATCGTCGAAACTTGTCAGCAGGCAGCCGACCCTACTATCACCAGCTGGGTGGCAATCATGCGCCTTACCGCATCTTGCACAGTTACAATTCACCCGCGTACCGCAATGCCCCTATCTGGGGTTGACAGTGTCGATACCTGGGGGGAGCATGCTGGTTGCCTTGGGCCGACTTTGACAATGATGGACGAAATCTTTACTTCGCATCGAACAGGCACGTCGCTGGTCAACGAAGAGTGATAAGTAGGTTGAGACTTGAGGCCTTTGCATGGCTCCTCAACTGCGCATTAGCAAGTCTCATGGTAAACGCCACACGGGCATTCGACCATGCGAAGCAACATGCGAAGCAGTTTGGCTGCTTTGATCTAAGTGCAACAGCAGCAGATCGCATCTGATCACGATCATTCCAAAAGATTTCCTTGTCTTTTTTCTTTCCTTCCTTCTTTATTCATCTACCAAGGGGTTGTATACATTTCAACGGCCTTCGAAATTTCGGGCCAAAGGCGTTTGGGGGCATCAGCATTAGAGCATCAAGCGGCACATGCAACGGCACGCAACAGTATTCCACGAACCTTGAACGGTCAGCATTTTCATTTTGTAACGGCGGCATCCATCGAGGCTGGACCAGCCTTTTCGTTATTGATGCAATTTGAAAGGACTCGTCTCCTGTGGAGATGACAACCCCAAGCGGTAGTCCATATATTGGCGCGCTCTCCCGGACGCGGCGTCATGTTTTCCCTTATTTGCTTGCGCACTTTTGATCTTGGTGGAAGTTGGCCGGACATCAAAAGGTACAGGCATTTATACCCCCGACAACTTTACAACGGTCATCACCGTATTCGTTACTTCTGCGTCATGGTACTGGTCAAGAGCGGGTTGAATACCATCAATATCTTGGAGGAGAGGTCACTGGATGGCTCATGGGTTGATCCTCTTCACACACACATACACACAAGACAATGGAGAAAGGCCCAAAGACAGGGGGCGGGCAGGATGCCTCGTGGGACAGAGGTGCCTCAGTGAAGGGAGGGCGTAGCTGATACTGGCTTGAATAGCTTTAGTAGCACAAATATGATGCGATACAAGTGATTCTAGACCCTACATTGTGGTGCCATGCTGCACGTGTTGGTGGTCATGCTCCATTCATCCAGCTACGTTGGGCCCTGAGCCCTGCGTGGACACTGTTGGTAGAACAGTGCAACTGTTGTAGAATTCTCGCGTGCAGACCGGTGTGGATACGGTCCTCGTGGTCAGTGTCAAGCCGCATCATGTTGGAGCGCCTGGACCAGCTTTTGACATGCATCCTGAGACAACAACATGATGATGGTAAATCCACATGGATCGACAAACAGCCCCGCTGTTGGGTTTCTTTTTATTTTTATCCTCGAAGAAAAACAAATTGACTGGTGAAGGTTGTCGATGCTATATCTGAACTAGCAAAAAAAGATCCTAGAGATCTGATTTTTGATAACAATGTTGATAGATTCTAGAGTACAAATGCGACATTGTTCGGCCCACTATGGAAAGGTACGAGTAGCCGCTCCAACCTGACTGAAAAAGAAATGGGGCAAAGGTTATAAAGACTGTGCTGATGATCAGCACTGTACTCAACACCAATCAAGTCGAGAATTCGATAACAAAATACAAGTGAGGGGCAACTTTCTGATGACGCCAGGCTGTGCAAAGCGCTTAGGACCGTTCCTTTAGAAGCCCTCGCCACTAATCAATCATCTCAGCCAGGGGCCCCCATTATCAACTGCAGATCTCAAGAAGAAGAAAAAGGATATGCAAGGGGGATTTACAGGCGTTTTTGGTAGGTCGCATGCTTGTTTTGCCTGCCTGTCTGTACTAGCCACCCGCGCATGGCACATACCATAATACAAGCAACGCGCAATAAGCGTGGGTCTTTTTTAACGCTAGCACTTGCATGTGCACCTGCACTGCCCTGAATCAAGAGGGGGTGAAGCGTAGGGGGCGGTCACGCTGGACCTGTTGCTTGCTGCAGCAGCTGCGTACTGGGTGGGGGGTGGAGAAGCGGGTTTGGTGGTGGCACCCTAGGCTGAAGGAGGGGCGCAGTTTCCTTCTGAATCAAACCAACCACAAGCTGCGTGCATCTCTTTCAAGAGACACGGCGGCTCATCTTTTATTCATTCTTTTTTCTTTTCGTCCTTGACTTCTTGAACACAGCCCTTTCTTACGTTTCAAGACTTTACATGTTTCTGGATTTTTCTTCATATCGAACGGGAAGATCTTACTCGCAGCCTCCAGAAGAACGAAGAGCTGGCTAAGGACCTCGAGGAAGTGGACGAGTTGAGGACCTGCCCCAAACCGCCTCTTTTACACTCGCACAGACACAAAGAGTGACACTGCATCATCGTTGACCGAAGTTGATATCCCTCGGTAATACGAGACACAACGCCACTTTTCCGTCTGAACTCCCCTTGCCACTCGTTTCCCAAGTCGGCATTTCAATGCTCGTGAGCCGTGCGTGAGACATAGAGGGGTTATCAGGCGGGGTCAGCCCAGTTCTAGGAGCAACAACCCACCATCATCAACAGCAACAGCAGCAGCAGCAGCAGCAACAACAACAACCCCTCCTTTTTGCATGTTGATAGAACCCCCCCCCCCCCCCTCCTCTGGGCTCCTCGTTTCTACCTGTGGTTATCAGCATCAGCCGGCATCATCACACACATACGCACCACCGATTATGAAGCCTTTGGGAATGGAAGACCCCGCTTCCTATTACGACCCGCTCTTCGGCGACTCGTACGCCGACCCGCTCTTCGACGCGGAGCCGCTGCGCCGGGACCCGGAGGCCGAGTCTGTCCGCTCCCACCCATCTTCCATCTCCCATGCCGCAGACCAGACATTGCTGCCGCACCGCATGCCGTCTCTGTCGTCTAGACCTCAAACCCAGAGACTACAGAGGCGACGGAGTCGCTACCTCTATGTAAACGGCGTCCTGGTCCCGGTTACGTCGGCATCGATGTCGTCGCCTCTGGCCCATCCTCAGTCATCGGATCACGGTGCCAGCTGGACTGCTGCTGCTGCTACTACTACTGCTGCTGCTACCACCGCATCATCACCACCATCATCATCACCACCACCGCCGCCTACTCTTAGAGCGACAGTCCCGCACAGGACACTATCTCACAAGAGGATCAAGTCGTATGGTGTCTCCGGGACGACCTCATCCTGGCTGTTGGGAAGCGGCGGCAATAGCAACGGTGGTGTCTTTGCGGACGCAAAACGACAAGCTTGGACCGGCGAGCGGCGAGAAGTTAGAAAATTACAGAAAGACCACCCAGTCGGGTCGGCTCGACCGGCGTTCACAATTGCCATTGGGAGCAGCGGCGACGGAGGCGCGGACGAGGTTGTTGGTGCTGGTGCTGGTGCTGGTGCTGGTGACAAAGATGGGTTGAAAGGGTCGGTGCTGGGGATGAGGCGAAAGATGGAGAGGCTGAAGGGACTGTATAGAAGGGGGTCTAAGGAGGCAGTGATGGGTTCGACAAATTCACGCTGATGGGGAGTTCAGCTCAACCCACAGTCACTGAGGGTAGTGGCTTGCACTCTATTCATTTTTGCGAGCCCCCCTATGATTGACCATTTATAGGATTGGTGTCTGCACATGCAACCCGCCTTACTGTGCTGGTCCGTCACTTTCATGGCGTATAGAGACATGAAGTAACACGAAGTCTAGAATTGTTGACATTCTGGGACAGGCACACGAAACTGTCCATACTTCTCCACACCTATATATAGAGAAGCTGCACTGACGAACCTGTCTAGTATGTATAGAACCAGATTTATAGCTGTGCGAGTGCCTGAACCCCCTCTCGAGTTTTGACCAAGTTGCCGTGTGCACTACGGACTGAGCCTCTCTGTTCAAATGTCCTACACAATAAGCTGAATTGGGACACGATAATTGATTAATAAGGTCGATTGTTTTAAAGCTGACCATTCTTGGCGCGTCTTACATCGAATCTACTAAGTAGTGAAGGGCCTCCTCTTAAAGCAGCTGTCCCAATGCAGGGCGACGGTTTGATATCTTACCCTAGCTGGGCTCCAAATCCTCCTCAGCCGCACCACCAATGGACAGGCTTGTCAGGCAGTACAACAACAGATTTTTACAGACACAAAACACCTTCTATTCTACTTTTCAATTAATCTTCAATCATCTATGTCAATCGACCCTCTCTCCATGTCTATGTGCACCGCTAGCATTGCGATCATTCGGCCAGGCAGGCTCTGCTTTCCAAGATGGGCCTCAGCGGAGTGCTTGCCATCCCACTATTCTACACCCTCGTCCTGGGATTCCCTCTCCTCCTGCCCGTGATCGTCCCCCTCCACTTCTTCATATCCATCACCATCCTCCTGCAGAGCATCGTGACGAGAGGGCCGCTGTCGGAATCATGGATGTCGGGAAGACTGCTCGCTCGCTGCCTCACCAAGGTGCAATCCTGGATCGACATGTGTCTGGCCATGTGGTTCGTCCTGTTCAACTTGATAATCCTGCTCCCTCTAGGCCTCTTCTACTTCTTGGGCTTTATTCCTCTCACTCTCTATCTTGGCCATATGTTTGTTGTGCCCAAGTTCTGTCGGAGGGCTGTTCTCGCACCGGTTCGACTCGTCGCTCCCAGGGACGAGGCAGATCTCGTTGATACGGTCCCCAAGGCGTTGGTCGTCGTGTACCGCCTCATCAGCGGCAGTGGGGCGAGCATCGCAACAGCTCTCCTGCGCCTTTTGTCTTGGTCTCGATGGGCTCCCACCAGGCTATCCGTCCCTGCCTCTCGTCTCGACCGCCTGCTATGGAACCTGGCCAACTCGGACACGGGAGAGGCACTGGCGCTGGGCAGACACCGGCTCCGGGCCAAGATGGCTCTTGTGTTGCGGGCGGTAGAAAGCTCTGCCGTGGTTCTGCTGGTTGTGCCCAACCTCATGGGAAAATACCTAGAAGTGCAGTTCTTCTTCACGCAGCAGGCGCTCATGTTCGTCTGGCATCCCCTGCTCCTCCCCGTCCTGCTGGGCAGCAAGCTCAGCGACGCCGCGGCCGACCTGGACAGCCAGTGGTACACGAGGCAGCTCCAGCGCCAGTCCGGCATCTACGCCGCCCTGCCTGTTGTTGCTGCTGCTGCTGCGTGCGGCTCCCCACAGGCCCAAAAGATACGCGTCCTGCGCATCACACCGGGACGTCGGACGGCGGCCCTCGTCTGCGTCCTCCAGGTCATCGACCTCGCTGACCAAGAACACCGCCGGCCTTCTTACGAGGCCCTCTCGTACGTCTGGGGCAGGCCGCTCCTCAGTCAGAGGATCCAGGTCAACGGCCAGCCCTACTGGGTGACGGAGTCGGTGTACCAGGTCCTGTGTCGCCTCCGACGGCCACGTTCCACCCGGACAGTCTGGATCGACGCGCTCTGCGTCAACCAGGCTGATTTTGCCGAGCGTGGGGCCCAGGTGTTGTTGATGACGAGGGTGTACGAGGAAGCGACCAGGACGATCGTGTGGTTGGGCGAGAAGGCAGCGCCGTGGGGGTCGGCATCGACGCTGCGGCCCTTGTCTTGTTCGGATCAGCTTCACCGTCGCGGACGAGACTATGGGCAGATGCAAGGAGGCCCAGGAGGAGGAGAACAAATGAGGAAAATTGGCTATGGAGATGTTCGGGTCATCAGTCAGATCCTGAAGAACCCCTGGTGGACGCGGGTCTGGGTCATACAGGAGCTCGTGCTGGCCAGGCAGGTCGTTATGTGCTGTGGGCCGCACTCGATCACTTGGGACAACTTCTGCCGTCTCGTCGATGCTTGTGCCTCCAAGCCTTACTTTTCCAAGACCCATGGGCACTATTCACAGATGCAAGCATTGCGCGCCGAAAGGGCAAAGAGGTTCACCAGTACTCCCGCTTCTCTCGCTTCTTCTTCCCTTCCTCCTCCTCCTCGTCCTCACAACGGCATCGTCTCCGTGCCTGTCTCCAGGATGGAGTACTGCTCAAACCTCCTCTCTGCGATCTTTGAGTTTCGCGGGCGCCAGGCTACCGAGTCTCGAGACCGAGTGTTTGCCTTGCAAGGCCTCGTACCAGAGCCGAACCTCACTCCGCAAGACAGAAAGACACACCCGACCAGCCCTTTTTGTCTGATCCGCCCCGATTACACCCGCCTCCCGTCCTTCTTGAGCCTCGAACTGGCGTGGGCGTGCATTCGGGAGACCAGATCGCTGTCCATTGTCGCCCTCGCCGAGTGTGCCAGGCAAACCTTCCCAAGCGCGCCAGACAGCACCAATGACAACAGGTACACGTACGTCCCGAGCTGGTGTCCCGCGTTCATGAACCGAGAGGCCGTCACGCAGGGATTGCAGTGGAGACCGTTCTGGACTGGGTTACCGGGGGCCAGGAAAGGGAATACTAGTTTCTCGGCCGCGGGCCATCTGCCCGTACAAGAGCCTGCTGTGTTGGAAGCAGCCATCGTGCTCGAGGATCCATCGGACGAGGCGGCGTCGCAGCGGCTTCAGCGTCTGCCCATCCACGTCCTCCGCGAGCTGCGCGCAGAGATAACCCAGGTTGGTCCCGTCGCGGGGGTCTCGGCCTACCAGCTCGGACGAGAGACGCTGAGGGTGATGAACAGAGAGGCGGACTCGTTCATGCAGAGTTTTTCTGCACGTGTGGACTGGCGTAGCGTGCTTGCTGAGTGGTGGGAGATGGCGGCGAGAGAGGCGCGGCGGCGACGGCGACGGGATCGTGGGTCTCCAGACAGTGGTGGTCCTCGATCTGATGAGCCCACGGACGAAACGCCCTGCTGGGTGGCTGAGTTCTGCCGCACGGTCACTGGCGGGGTGTTTTCCGTTCCTCCCCGCCATCTTCCTCTTACTCCTCCTCCTCTAGAGAGTACTTGGGGCAGGAAAAGACCGGCAGAGGCTGAGCTGGCTTTTGGAACGGTAGAAGATGCGGCGTACCGCGAGGCCCTGGAGGCTACCTGTCGAAATCGACGCTTGTTCATAACTGCTGATGGGCGTCTCGGCTTGGGTCCGTCCGAGGTTCAGGTCGGCGATGAGGTGGACGTGCTCATAGGGTCACAAGTGCCGATGGTGCTGAGGCTGGCAATGAGGGATAAAAGTAGGGAGTCAATGGGCTATGGGGACCAAGACTGGCTGTATGTTGGTCAGGCATACGTGCATGACTTGATGGAATACAAGGGGGGGAATGATGTGAGGGAGGATATCGAGAGGGGTAGGGTGGCGCTGGAGAGGCGTGTGCTGGTTTGACGAGAGGGCATACTACACTGTGATGATAACATTGAGCGCAAGGAACACAGGTAAGACAGGCTTGCCCAGCTGGATTTCCCTTGCGGCACACTCAGTGATGTTGTGAGTCGTGGAACCTGTATAGCACCATCAACCACCCAAGAGAAAGGGTGTGTGTATGTGTGTGTGTGTGTGTCTCTTTTTCTACACTGTCTCTGTTTCAGCATTACCATTTCCAGCACTCTTCAGCCCTGCCTCCTGAATATGTGCCGTGTGCAGCTCTTCCAGTGCAGGAATAATGAGGCTCTCAAGCTCCACATCAGGATCTCCCTCGGGCAGCAGGGCAGGGTCCAGCGGCTTGTCCTCAGGCGGGGGATGGAGATCCTGTTTGGTCTCCTCCATCTCGCTCAGGGTCCTCTTATGGCCTGTCGCCTTCATGCTCGCGACGATGCCGGGGGTGCGGATCCACTTGTCGGGCCGGCCAGGCGCGACGAAGACAACCTCCCACTTGCGGGTGGACAGAAGGTTGCCAATGACGAGGTTGTGGCTGTACCGCTCTAGGGCGGTCTTGGCCTTGTGCACGAGAATTTCTTGAGGGAAAGGAAATGGTCAGCGTCCTCCTCCTTTTTTTATATTTCTTTTCGAGTTTTCTTGTGGCTGATGGTGTAAATCGACGACGCCACGAAACAAGCTTACCTGGATCCGTCTCGAGCTTGAACGACACGATCATGCACTGGGGCGCCCACCCGTCGACCAAATTCTTTAAGAACTTGGGTACCGGGTCAAGATCCACAATGAGCCTCTTACTCCGCGGCACCTTGGTAGTCGAATCAAAATTATCAAACTCTTCGTCATTACCACCACCACCGCTCAGAGTAGGACTGGTCTTCAGCGAGGACGAGGCCTTCTTGACCCCGTCCGCCGCATCGGTGCTCTGGATCTTGTGCTCCGCCATTCGGTCCTGCGGCAGGAAGAAGTCACTCGCCGCCGCGGCCAGATACAACAACCCATCCGGGCCCAGACGGTGCATCAGCCTCGCGATGGCGCGCAGCTCGTGCAGGTAGTCGCCGATGGTGACAAACGGCACTGTGAGCAAGAGATTCTTGCTTGTCGCTGTCTGGTACTTGCGCAGGACGTTGAGCATGCTCTCGCCGAACTCGGGCTTGGCCACCACGGTGCCGCCGGGCCCCTCGTCCAGAAAGTCCAGGAAGCAGTTGGTCGCGTGGCTGTAGTGCCGGCTGTATGGGAGCAGGCTGAACTGCCGATGCAAAAAGACGACCGCGTAGCCGTTCTCCAAGAAGTACTCGGCCGACGTGGCACCGCGCGTGCCGGCACTGAAGTTGTCGATGAACCGCACCGTCTGCTTCTCAAGGGGTACAGTCGTGCCGCCAGACGTGACGAGGACGACGCGGCGTTTTGCGGCGGCGTGGAAGTCGATGAAGTCGCGGGCCTGAGCGATGTGCTCTGATAGGGCTTTTGGTGGCGGGTTGGAGCTGAAGTATTGGTCCTCCACGGCCGCCGGTGTGGCTTCTGCTGAAGGAGCCATCCTTTAATTTGCTGTTGGTGTGGTTGAGGCACAGCAACAAGACAGATAAATTTTGACAAGATTGGCAGTGGTCTTGATGATAATGATAAAAATGACGATGTCGTCTAGAGAGACCCAATCAACCAGAGGTCAGCTGACTGAATGAGTTTTGTAGAAATGAGAGAATGACTTTTCAGGACGACACTGTTGGTCAGCTGTAGCAGACCCTGATATGGTAGTGTTATAAAACAAGATCAATTGTGCTTCCACAGATCTCGAGTGTCTTGAGGAACAATGACAACCTTGACAGAGAAGATGAAGGAAAATGTGATGGTCTGACGGTAATGATGATAATGATGCTATCAATTCATATGAATGAACACATGACTGTTTTTCTCAGGAATGAGTGGGCGGATGATTCGGTGAAATGAACTCATTCCCGTTCACAACCTCGAACGGCTTTGCTTTATCTCCCTCGGCTCCGGCTCCGAGCGCTGCAACTTGACACCTGGGGCGTTCGTTGGAAACAATTGCGGGCCAAAAAGCACATGACGACGATAAGTTGCTCACCTTGTTCGGGTTCCCAGAAAACACCGGCGCACCTCTATTCAATTGGAGTTGCAGTGGTGGAGAGACAAATGAAACCTCTGCCTGTGACTCTTTTCCCGTCTCTCTCTGTTGACTCTGCTCCCAACAAAATAGAGAAAATAGAGAAAAAGTCCCGAAAGGTGATGAGTCTCGCCGTCGTGTCCGGAGCAAAGGGAAAATATTCCGTGTAGATCGCGCGCGCACAGACGGGAGTCGAAATACAGCGTTGATCTCGGCCTGCAGGAAAGGGTTAGGGTTAAGGGAGGTGAAGACAGGATCTTGTTCCGTTGTTTGGTAAAGGAAGGAAAGAAGAAGGGAAGAATGAAATAAAGTAAAGAGAAATGGACAGCTGTAAGATTATGCCTAAAATGATTTTATAAGCTGGTGTTTTGTCAAGAGTGATGACTGATTTGAGTAATTTTTGAACCTGCTTTTGAAGAATACGGCTCCCCAGGTATAGAAGGTTTATCGCAAGTATGAAGGACGGCTCAAGAAGCCCTATTGGGTCATGCATAGAACGACAATAAAACATGAATACTCCTGTCCCTTGATATCCTTTTTTAATAACACCATACCAGCGCTGAAGCCAAGTACTATCCTGTAAAGTGAGCCTTGTGGCATCCTACGAGCGAGCTCCCACGCGGCCAGATGTAGGCCACGTTACCGCATATAAATATACTGTCCGTTCTATGCAAGTTGTCAAGTGAATAGCCTGCGAAGAGAGAACAAGTCTCCTACCTCGCAGCAACCATGCTCATGTAGACCCCCCAGACCACACCCGCAAGGGCACCGACCAGACCCCTGACCTCCACACTCCTGACGACAACGAAATTGAACAGGCTCACAAACGGCCACAGCTTCCACCCATCCTTCATGATGGGCATGAACTCCAGCTTGGCCCTCTCGACCACCACCCGCCAGTCGACCTGCGAGTAGTCCAGCGCCTTGCCGCTCGCGAGGAATGCGGCGCTCTCGCTGGCGCCCGTCGTCCGGTGTGCCATGGCGGCCTGGATGCTGTGCATGAACATGCTGAACATGAAGGTAATGACCCCGGCCGCGATGGTCTGGTCCAGGAAGAACTTGATGGCCGTGTTGCCGATGTTGAGCTTGGGCTCCACGAGGCGGCCCTCGCGGGCCTCGCAGTCGAGCTCCTTCTCGTTGCCCGAGGCCGCGGACGAGATGGCCTCTGGGGTGGGCGTGGGGCTCGTGGACGGGAAGCTGGACTCAATGGCCTCTTGGACTGGAGAGATGTGTGAGTGGGCAAGTGGAGGAGCGAGTGAGATGGGTGGGGGAGGGCCCATGAGCAAAGGAATACCGCAAACTTACACAGGAAGTTGGGCGGAGTGGATACCACGGCGAAGAGGAAAAATTGGAATACTGGGACCCAGTCGATCACAAAGGATTTCTATTGAACTTGTAAGTCTGGGCAACAAATGTCTGGTATGGTCTCATGACGGGAGTAGATCGAAAACAGTATGGAAGGACGTATGTCCTGTCTCTGCGTCACCGTCTCGTACGTACCTCACTGCGGTAAGCGCCTATTGCTTGTGCCATTATGTTGGACGTGGCACTGAGGACCGCCGCCTGGATAGTCCCCGACACAATTGGTGGCACCGGCATCTTGAACAGAGTGTGTCAAATATCGGAAATAAGCCCTTGTGAGGTAATGGCTCTGTTCTGCTTGATTCAAGACGCGTCTGGTTCTCACAAATAGAAACTCTGAAGACTGTGAGAAGACGAAAGATGGTGATGTTGAGGAGAGAGTACGGCAAGGAACTGCAGACTGTCGCAATTGTAGTAGAGAAATTCAGCAGGCCACGCTGTTGTTATCTGTCATGACCGCTAACCATGGGCGCTCTATAGTGATGATTAGTGCCATGTCAGGCTGCCATCCACTGGAGTGTTAGGCTTTGTAAGCGATGTCAGTTGCTGGTCTACAGGGGCACAAGCATCATTGGATGAATCCTTCGTCCAAGCAAACCACTAATTATTCACGCCAATGTCTGCGAGCTTAAATCTTCAGAGACCATGACTAACTCATACCTACTGACTTTAAGTCTCTGATGTTGCTGCAGAAATCCAGGATAACAAAGACATATAGCATGCTTGTCAGAAGAATTTAACTCGGCCAAGGGCTCTGCAAGAAATATCTGAAGGAGAAATGGCACCACCTTCATACAACATAGTCCTTGTATATATAATATAAATAAATACGCTGTGGTACATAATACAATAACTGATGTGTCGGAAGAGTAGGAGTAAGCTCCACCCCTGCCTGCCGCTGCGGTTTCGCATCTGAGGCTCGGCGGATGGGCCCCCCCTGCGATCTAGAAGAGGGTTGGCGCTGATTGGTAGGCAGGCTGGCAGCTAAACGAAGCTCCTCTATAGCTCCCCGGGCCTACGTTCAACGTCTTGTCCTGACTAGACATTCCTCGCCCACCGCCGAGCAACCCTTTCTCGACTCCTCCCACGCTCTCTAATTCGTCCTTCACCGTTTCTTTCGCTTCTCCCTACACCGCCAGCGTCTCGATACTTGGCGTTAGTCCAGAGACGTTGCTTGCATCGAGAGACGGCCTCTCGACTAATTCGCTCCAGAGTGAGCAGTGCCTTCGCCCTCCCGACCTCGCAAACAAGTGAACCATACACCCCAGCCCCGACGAAATGCGATTTCGATCTTGACGCTCATACCATCCTCTCAAGCCCACATAAGTCATTACACACTGGCGCACACTTCGCCTTACTCTGTTGCTACGAGCTTCGCACGAGACCATCACCACGCGCATCGTCTGCCATTCGAGAGAGCTGCACCTACGAGCCATCTAGAATTACCTCGCGGACTGCTCTTCACGCCTTGTTTCTTAAACAAACTTGGCAGAAGAAGAAGAGACATAAAGAAACCAATCAGGGGCTGACTGGTAGAGGACTCGGGACTGCAGATTTATTGGTGCTGCAATAATTCTCGTAGTGCCCAAGATCGAGTTTATTCGACCTTGCTAACTTGACCCCTCATACACCTCCTGGTTAGCCAGCTTCCTCGACCTGTTGCGCAAAAGATCTCTGAGGGAGAGAAAGAAGCTGCTTGGATCTAACCACCACCCAGTCCAACTCATCTTCTGATTCAGAGAGCACAAGGACATTTGTTACTCGTTTTTGCATTCCAAATCCATCAAGTGGTCAGAGGCAAGATTGCAAGCACAGAGCTTCATCTTCAGGATCTCGGAAACACAAGAGGTTCCTTTAGAGAGGGCCAGCGTCACAAAAACTGGGCATTGTTCACCTGTCTGCATTCCAAAAAGTCTTGTCAAGGATCTGAGGTACTAGGAGTGTACGTACTGTTAACTCTTTACCTTCATCATGTTATTTATACCCTGGGTTCACAGCTCTCCCTTTTCTCCAAACTCTCCTCCTGTTTGGTCTACTGTTTCTCTGCACCCCGAGGAGGAGGATCCTATCGGTGTTTTATGCATACTGATCTCCGGGTGGCTGACACAGACTATATTGGACTCCTGTACTTCTGAGCAGCGAGACAGTCAATACACCTCATCCAAGTCTTCGGCTGCAGCATTCTGAATTAATCCAAGTTTAGGCTTGACAAGATGGCTGATGAGGAGTTCGAGATCGACGTCTATGGAGACGCAGACAACGGCCAGGATCACCAAGCACAGGAGCAGGGACAGGGCGCAGAGGAGGAGTACGGTCATCATGACGATAAAGGCAATGTTGACACCAACGGCGGCGGCAACCACGACGACGCCGCCGCCAACGAGTATAACGAGGCCAGTGGTGACCATGGCTTCGACGGCCATGATGACGCCGGCGAGCAGGCTGCTCCTGCGCCCCAGCAGGGTGTGAAGCGCAAGCAGGAGCCCGATGACCGTCCCACCGACCCACGTGCCACCAGTGCCTTGCTGATCTCCGACATGCAGTGGTGGAACACCGAGGACGAAATCCGTGGCTGGATCAATGCTGCCTCCTGCGAGGACGAGCTGAAGGACATCACCTTCAGCGAACACAAGGTGAACGGCAAGAGCAAGGGGTATGTTTCTGCACTGCACCCACAACCCTTCCATAACCTGTACGTCCCTTTGTGAACACATGTAGCTGACATCCAGTGTCCAAAATAGCCAAGTTTATGTTGAGTTCACATCTGCCCAGGCAGCCACTGCAGCCAAGCGCTCCATCGAAAGCTTGCAGTCCGGTGGTGGTGATGGCAGTTCGAACCAGGCGCGCCGTGCCACTGTAGCCTTCCACAGCGCCCACAACAACCCCTTCAAGACGCTGCCAAAGGACGCCCCCCAGCGTCAGAACCGCGACAGTCAAGGCCGGGCCGGTTCTACCGGTGGCACCTACTCCAATGGTCCTCCAGCCACCAACTTCCAGGCCGGTGGAGGCGGCGGCGGCGGAGCTGGCGGGAGCGGTGGTTTTCAACAGGGCAACTTTCGCGGTGGCCGCGGAGGCTTCAACCGTGGAGGTATGCGTGGCGGATTCGGGCAGAACTATGGAAACAACATGAATCCCTACAACAACAATAACAACAGCATGGGCGGCTTCAACAACATGGGTGGAGGCGGCTTTGGACGCGGTGGTATGGGTGGCGGCTTCGGTCGTGGCGGTCCAAACATGCGTGGCCGAGGCGGCATGAACAACATGATGGGCTCCGTGCCCCCAATGATGGGCGGAAACATGGGAATGGGAGGCATGATTCCTGGCATGAACATGATGGGTGGTGGTATGGGCGGTATGGGTAAGCTACTCACCCCTGCCTCTCTCTTTTGTGCACATCTCCTGGCAGTAGACTTTCTCTGCACACGGCTGGCGTGGTGCTGCCTCTTGTTGGATTCCGGCTGACCCATGGTGCCTGATTGTGTTCTCAGCAGGTTTCAACCCAATGTCCGCTGGCCAATTCAACCCTGGCTTCTTCGGTGGTAACCAGGGCGGTGGTAACTACGGTGGCAACAACCAGGGCGGTGGCGGCGACTGGGGCAATCCTCACGGTGCTAAGCGACCAAGAGGCGAGTAGAACTTGGCTCTGCCTGGACTCGGCAACCCTACAAGCCACCGAACATATCCTGCTGTTCCATCGCACCCAGACGGAAACGAGGCGGGAAACGGTCGTCGTGGCGTCCCGCACTACTAACTATTCGAGATACGACCGTCTCGATCAGACGCTATGACAAACAACTTGTCTCAACACCCAACATATTGTACTACTACTCAACAAGGCCTACCGTGAATATCATTTGCGGTTACCTGCTACAGATTTCAGCACCGGAAGTGATCGATCCAGCAAGAGGGTATCGGCCTATATTTACGATTGAGATACCTCACATTAAGTCAAACGGTGACGATAATTAGTGATCGTCTTGCACTGCGGTGAGGAAGGACGGCAACTGGGCGTTCCCTTTTGGCTATGGGGCCGATGAAATTGCAGACGACTGGAGTTTGAATTATATTTTATTTTTCGGGACGGGGAATACGGTGTTCAGAGGATTAGAGCGGAGAAACGCAATTGTTTTCGGAGGGGTGCCCTTTGTACAGTCTCCCTCCGGCACTTACCTATATCTGCTTTTGGGGGGAAGGGGGATAAGGGGTCTTTTTCTTTCTTTCTTTTTTTCCATTCTCGCGCAAGGATCGGAGTGGTCTCACATGAGGATATGCAGGTCATGGCAATGCATCTTTGATTTTGTTCTTCAGCCCTCCTTTTGTTTCTCCCTTCTCTCTGTGTCTATTAATAGGTGATGTTCATGCTTTTTCCATTGCAGCACTTGGATTTTGGACTACGAAATGGTGTTGAATGGCTGTGGAACTGATATGAGACCTGAGAGTTTGCGTTATAAGGCTAGCAGTAAGAGCATACTCTTCTGCGGAATTCGACTTTTATTTTCTCTCTTTCTTTCCATGGTTACATGCTCAGAGCTCCTCAGCGTTGCTTTTCAGGAATCGTGCAACGGCTGTGTTGTTGTCTCGTAAAAAAGAAGCTCTGGTCTTCGCGAGCCTAGGTAATTATGACATGGACATGTCACACCGGCTGTAGTTGACTCCTGGCCCTGGCAAGCAACTAACTTTCTGTTCTGCCACTGGAACAACAACTAATCGATACGCGCACATCACTTTGCTCAGTGATTGGGCAACACTGTCCAGAACCGCCAGAGCGCTGCCCGATGCCAATCGTCTCATTTCCGAACTGTTGCTGCCTGACCAGTCACCAAAGGAGCATCCTGATCACAGGTACTGACGTCGTGCGAGCCAAATCTTAGGAAATCTGACTCGAAGTCACATAAATTCCAATTATAGGGCAATTGATCGGAAGCTGGGTCAGTCTGTGTTGCTCGCTCGACTGTCATCGGCCGTGGTGTTGCGCACAGTTGCAATGCCGACCCGAGAAGGCCTGAGGGAGAGGTGTCGATGAAACCGTGAATAAATAGCATGATTTATGGAAGCCAAAAGACGTCGCAGAACTCAGTGCTGCTCATGGCCACGGGAGAAACACAAGGACCTCACTGGTCTTCCTTTCCGAATCCCCTATATCGCCGCCGATGCACCGGCACGCGGCTTTGTTCGCATCATTCAACGCGAGTGTCGGCTCCTGCAGGGGGCTGGTAAGCCAAGTCGATTCTCTGTAAATTTACCGAACTTTTGTACGAATCGACAAGTACAGTCCTACGGGATAGACAAACTAACTTGTAAATATCGACGGTGAGTTCTCCACGTAGACATTGTTCTGCCGTCCACCGCTGCTTGCCACGTTATGGTGGGCCAAATGGCAGGGCTCACCGCTGCTACTATACGAGTTTCCACACGAACCTGATCAGGCTGTCTACAGAACATTCTCAACAGCTTCGTCTCAGGGGAAACCATTCGAGGTGATATATCAGCTTCAAGTGTGGATCGACGGCTCCGTAAAGACTAGTCACGGTTTGTGTCGGTCTGGGGAAGGGTTGTGTCGGAGCTATTGGGTGTTGCATATCGAGAAGTACTGCACTGCGGTGGATTCGAGGCAGTGGTCTTCTTTGCATGCAAGTGTCAGGGCAGCGTTGCAGCCATCAAAAAAAAAAAAAAACAAGTGCCTGTAAGGCAGCAAGCTGTGGGTAGCTCCAGCCACCCAAATGATGGACGTGGCTTTCCCGGAAGCCATTTGTCTGCTTGTGTGGGCTATGAGAGCCTCTTTAAGAGGCTACAGCAGTGCAGTGCGTTTTGTGTTGTTGTTTTTTACCGACCGGTCCAGCCCAACTGTCATGTAGGGTCCCCTTCGGCCCTCGCCGTCTGCGCCTCATGCATGCCCATTGGAGCACCGCCTATTCGGTCCAGGGGCAGCTTGGGAAACAGAGCTCCGCTATCAGATGGGGGATGCAGGTTCCATCCCCACCCGGGGGTGCACCTCCTGCATGTGGCAAAGCAATTGAGCTGGCAAGTGTTGTTGCTTTCGTGGGTGCACATGTGCCATTCGTTGTCTCTGCAGGCTAGGCAATTTTCGGCAGAATTCAGCGCTGCACCAAGCCAGTTTCTAGAAACCATATAAGAGTACTATATGATCCAAAGACAAGTTGAGATCCAGTGTGTGTTTTGCTTTGTGTGTATGTGTGCGTGTCGGTGTGTCACCTCTTGTCGAAATCCAAACCTTTCCCTTTCTCCCAAGAAGCCCATTGGGAAACGTCCCTCGAGCTCGATGCATTCCGCCTCGTGGTTCTGCTCAAAATGGCCTTCACACCCAAGATACTCTCCTTCGGTAAGACCACCTTGATCGACTGCAAGAAGCCCAAGCCTCATTACTCCGCTGACTTTCTGATGTGTTGTCGATCCCAGATGGGGGTGGGATCCGCGGAATATCAAGCCTCTTGATCCTCCAAGCCATCATGGAGGACATTAAGGAGGCACAGAAGCTTCAGACGACCCCTCGTCCGTGCGAAATATTTGACATTATCGGTGGCACCAGCACCGGCGGGTAAGTTTTTTCCTTTCTGCTTCTTACTTTCTTTTTCCGAATGGACAAACCCCAAAGCATGAAAATGTAGCTAATTTAGTTGTTAGAATTATTGCCATCATGCTTGGGCGCCTGGGCATGACTGTTGAGAGCTGCCTCAAGGCCTACCGGTCCGTTATGGAAGAGGCCTTCACACCCAAGTTTCGATGCCCCATACCTGGTCGATCTCGGACCACATATTCCTCCAAAACTCTTAGGGATGCCATACGAAGGGTCATCACGGACGAGTGCGACGACCCTCAGTGTCTGGCCACGAAGTGCTGCATCCACGCTAATGAAGTCTTTCAAGATGGGTCTTGTACTAAAACGTGCGTTTCGAAACCGCCCAGCCACTCACAGAAGCATTCTAGTTCGCCATCGTGAGACCCCTAAAAGCTGACCTCTCTTTCTCATTAGTATCGTCCTGGCAGCCCCAAAGAAAGATCTAGACGCCCGACCAATATTGCTGAGGACATGCGACATGTCCCCTGAATTCAGCAACTGTGCCATCTGGGAAGTGGCTCTTGCAGCCTCGGCCACACCAAAGCTCTTCAAGCCCATCAAGCTGGGCAAGAATCGGGTGGAGCTGGTAGACGCCGCGCTGGGATTCAACAACCCATGCGAGGTCCTCATCGAGGAGGCCCAGGTCCTGTACCCATCGGCTGAGAAGTTCACCATCCTCAGTATAGGTACGGGGCGGGGCAGCGTTGTCGCCCTCCAGAACACACGGTTATCACCGACGGCATCAAGCACCGAGTCGACGAACAAGGTGGACGAAAAGCTTGAGTATAAATACCGAGAGACCGCACAGTACCATAGGTTTAGTGTGGATCATGGTCTGGAGGACATCACGCCCGCGAACTGGCAGATGAGCGATCAGGTCGCCGCACATACGTATACCTACTTAAAGGGGAAGAAATATAACATCCGAGAATATGTCGACAGTCTGGCGACCCTAAGCAACTTGGAGATTTCAAACACGAGAAATCTCGCTGATCAGCTGGCTGGGAAAAGAACGTTAGTATTAGCACGCTTGTTTATCACTCTCCATTTGATTGCGAGACAACCTCGGAACACTCAAAATGCCTTCACTTGCTACACAATCCAAATCTGAAGACAAGCCTGCTGACAGCTTCTTTAGGCCGAATATCACTACAGCAGTAGTAGCTAAGAGCAACCCAGCAGCCCTACAACAGCCGACAATACGTATGATTCAAAATCCTCCTGGCAATAACCTGGAGCAACCAAACCCCATAGCACGGAATCCTTCGGGGAATTCCATGGACATAACGGATTCACATGAGAACAGCAAGAATTGGAAGGCCATACTTGACTGAGTTTTTGGGACTGATCCCTCGACCGGTAAACCATCCTTTAGTCTTGTAGGATTGGAACAGGCCTCAAGATAGGAATCTCGGTCTCCTATAGCAGCCTTAGAGGACGAAATGTGGTGATTTTCTTTTTGTATGTAAAAAGAAAGAAAGACAAAAAAAGAATAAAACATTTCTTGGGGACTACCACCTAGCCAATAACGGGCTTTACACACCGCAAATGATTCATCGATTTGCACAGAAACTCTACTTTACCATCATGCCCCTCTACCAAACTCATTTTGCATCGCCCATGTCCCCCATATGCTAACTCGTTTCAAAACCTTTTTCGAGGCGATGATCGGGAAATGGTTTTTTTCTTTCTTTTTCAGATCCACATCTTTGATCTTAAGATCAAAGTCCAACCCCAGCCATTATGAGCGAAATCTTGGTTTCATCCTTCTGAAGAGTGTTTGGAAGACTTCCATGTCCGCCTCCTGCCGGTACTCTGCTGTGGTGAGTTCCTTTTTCGCCTGACGGGCAAGAAGGGACTCCTAACGGGCGACCATGAGGGCGTCGCGAAGTTGACAACACGCATTGTACCAGGTAGGGGTGAAGGTGACCTTCTTGCTCTTGACGTGGTCGGATTTGGACACGTCCGGGGTAATGATGTGGTCGCCAGTTTCGCGACTCCCTGCTTGATCAAATTAGACCACTGTAGGCTTGAAGAGTTCCTGGTCTGCGATTACTACATTACGAGGTGAAGGGGAGGGGGTACGAGTGCCTGCATCTCTATTATATTCATGATAGCAACATTATCTCATTCACGTCTTCCCAGCCCTGCGTCTCTTCTTAGCAGGCTGCTCAGGAGAATCCTCTTCCCTGTCTCGTTTGTAGGACTTATTCGTCTCTATCTTCCGGTCCTGCTCGGCTATCTTGTCCTCCGTCGCCATCGCCCTCTCCACTGTGCGAAATGTCAGGGCCAGTCGCATAGGCATGGTTTTATCCACAGTGGCTGCGTGGTCCAGGTATCGCTGCGTATGTTCTCCATGCATGAGCACAATGTCCCCATGATCAACGGGAAACTTTAGGAGGATGCGGTGCGCACCTCGCTTCTGCTCCATTCTGGCCCTGAACAGTCGCTTCCACTCCTGGTGGTCAATCTCGCCAGCCTCGCGCCGCTCCCAGATCTCCTTGCGGTATGCGTACTCTGTGCAGCCCTGGATCAGCGGGTCCTCGTCGATCCAGGTATCCCCGGCCTTCTCCTGGTGGCTCCTGGCCGTCAGTTTCCGTCCATAGTCCCACACCGGCTTGATGGCGACCGAGAAGGTTCCGCGTCCGCCGAGGGTCCAGGTGGCCACGTTGGGACCCAGTCCGCTCTCGCCGTCGTCGTGCATGGACATGGCCATGTCGGCAAGGTAGCATGCAAAGTACAGCTGGTTGAAGTCGCCGGTGCCTTCTAAAAAGTAGGGCCCCAGCCAGTCGTTCATCTTGTCGACGGCCGCTTTCACCTCGGGTGGCCCATGCTCGAAGCGGGTCGTCCCAAGCAGAACGCCAAAGATGTACCGGGCGCCAAAGTTGCTGTTGAAGTGATTTGTGTGCACCATGCCGGCTGGGGTGTTGAGCATGCGCCGCTCGAGGTTGAGCCGTCCGAGGTTTGCCAGAGCCAGCATCCTGGTGAAGTACTCGTTGGCCACAGCCATGGCGGTGGGCTTGGCCCTGAGGATACTGATGCTGCAGCCCGGAGCAAGCGTGTACTGGTGGACCGTGAAGTCTTGAAGTGAAGGGCCTTGTTGATATCCAGGGAGTCGGGTGTAGTCAAAGCCAGCCCATTTTCTTTTGGCCTTTTCAATTTTCGTACACCCGTCCAGGAACTCAGGTGTGAGAGCAGGTGGGGAGGCTCTGATCGTAAATGTGCATTGATCGTTGCGACAGTGCCACTCGTGCCAACGGACGCGAGTATTGAGCATGCCGCACTGGGGACATGCAAAGCCCCGCATTAGCCCGTGACACAGAGCCACAATCTTGTCCTGGTCGATGGGTTGTCTTTGCAAATCTACCATCAGGTCGTCATAGTTGGCCCTTCTGAACGCCGTTGCAGTAGGATATAAGAGGGGGTAGCAAGGTTCCAGGCCTTGGATGTTAACCGATAGTCTGTCCCAGCGTTCCTTTAAGAAGCTGGCGCTGTAGGTCCAATTGAGCTGGAGGGCGTCTTGCTGTATGGGATCCCCTTCTGAAGTCCACCACTCCTCGCAATCAGGGTTCAGGCACACAAAAGCTTGCTCGAATATTTTTGGTGAGCTTTTGTCACAAGTCTCACACTTGTACGTTTCAGCCTTGGTCGTGTAGTCCCTTGAGGTAATTACTGGCGGTTGACCATGTGCAGGATCTGCCCACCAGCTCTGGTGTTCAATATCGCACTTCTCGAGCCTGACCATCCATATCTTTTTGCCCTTATCTGCAGGCTCTGGCCAGATAAATGTAGGAACAAACCAGGCCAGTGGCCAGCTGTCCTGATTCTTGGTCATTGTGCATGGGAACAATGGATACCCATGAGACTCAGAGCTTGTAGCTCCTTGCTGAATCACAACACCTATAGGTCTCCTTTCCTCCATGTTCCTAGTGACCTCCTTCAGCCTTCTTCTGGTAGTTGCAGGAGCTGAATCAGGTGTGTTGATGGAGGTGATGATAACCTCAGCATCCAGATAGGCTCCTGGAACAAAATATTTGCCTAGAAGCAGGCCGAGGCAGAAACCTGAATCCTCCTCACCATTGGGTCCTATGTTGCGAGGGTCACCTCTTACTGTAGCATAGTACCCAGCCTGGATGGTGTGAAACCATGTTGTCGCGTTGATAAGATGAGCCCTATGCTCGGCGAAGTATGGCGGTGGAACAGCAGATTGCCATGTTTTCTGCATGTCGCGTCTGAGGATGGCATCTTCATATTGAATAGGTGGGTCTAAGGCAGCGTTGTCGGCCATCTTCAAAGTTACTCTGACAAAGGGCAGAAGCGGCAGGGTTATAATGATTTTTGGCAGTTGAGTTTATCGGCTCGTGTCTGTTTCTTGAGAAAGCATTTATCAGTATTTTTCATGAGATCTAGGATCGTTCTGGAAGCTTACAAACTTGAAGAAGAATGCTGCTATTGTTTCTGAGTGATTAGACTGGTGCTGGATTGAATATTTGGTTGTCCAAGTCCTTCGATGTTCTTCGATGATGTTGGTGTGACAAGATTGCTGAGCAATGAGGACTCTGATTGTCCCCACCTGGAACAATGCTGAGATGATGATGATAATGACCTCAGGACCGAGTCAATTGTTATGATCACTTCAAGGTCATGGCTGCCCTTTTCAAAGGATCAGCCCGGCATTATACCATGCCCAATGCAATTCAAATTGAACAAGTCCGGCTTTCTCTGTGCAAAAGTCCTGCATTATTCCAGCAGAAGTTCAGAATTTCTTGGTCCAATGCTTTATCACAATGTTTTTCCTTTGCTATACAAAGCTTGGATTTTCCCTTGTGTAATGTTCATGCTTTTCCTCATTGGACTAGAAAATTCGAGCACCTTGTTTTGCTCTGTCATAAATGCTATAGGGCTTGCCTGTTTAGAATGGCTTAGCAGGAGACTTCCATTTTTCCTGTGAATGGATCAGCTTAGCAATGACATTCGGTTGCAGGCCAAGTGGCTACAACCATGGGAAAATTTTTCTGTGAACGAGATTTGGAAAGTGGAAGAATTTATCCAATTCATATCCAGTAGCTGCACAGCCAGGTGACTTCAATCACGCTCAGTATTGAGCTATCAATACTGCACTTTGGGAAGAGAAAAGATTTCATTGGCTTAAACAGAAAAGCAAACATCATAGATGCATTATATTATATGATTTTCCAAGTATTACTCATCAGTGGAAGTCTTCCAGTAGGCACCAGGGCTGAAGTAAGGTGGGCAGACTAATTTATATATTGACTTTCCTCATGAAGCAAGAAAGTACCACGCCATGAAGATCTGTAGGTATCCAGGTAGGCTCTTGATATTTTAGACAGGCTTTGATTTACAGAAAGCGTAAAATTAGCTGTAGAAGAAGTGCTTTACGAGAGTGTAGAGAGTCTCTGGTTTGCCCAATCGATGTGATCCTGAAGGCATGCCAGGCAAATCTTACACTTATGTATTCAGGTTCACAGGTAAATGATGATTGACACTCACTAGCAGTCAAGACATCCTTGGACGGCTAGCTCGCTGGTTTGTCTAGACTAGGGACAGCTGCTTGACCTGATGATTGACAATCGTTGAGTCATAGAAGATGTTTGATAGTTGACGTGTCTCTTGGTGAGTGCAGCCATCAAGCCCAGGACTTCGGAAAATGTCTTGTATCTTGTGCTGATTATGCCAAGATGGCTGTTAGGAGCCCCGGCAGGGCCCATTCACTCCACATGCTGGCCTCAGAGTGCTTGACAAACCCCGTACCGTTTCACCTCAACCGCTTGATAGTCCCTCTGATCAAGTTATGTATTTGTTCCCACCGCTTGAGCAACATCTCCCTACGACTCTGGTTCAAATCTGCACTGCCAGCCTCAAACTGCAGGGCCTTCAGCTGTTTCATCTGATCCGAAACTTCTGAGTCATAGTCTTTGAGGAGCGACACCAGGACCCCGTCCGCTCTGCGCTGGCTCTTCTCCCCATCGTCCAGCCCGTTCACAAACCGCTGCCACTCCTTGGTCGACAATCCATGGTGCATGCCCGCCAGCATCAGCCGCAGCGCCACTTGTGTGCGGTGGCATGCGGTGTCCTCGTCCAGCACGTACTTCCCCAGGAACCCCACGGCCTCGAGGTCCTCTTTTTGCGCATCCGACAAGGAGGGGAGAATGGCGTCGTCCAGGCAGACCTCGTCCCAGCGGTTCTGGTCGAGCACGAAGCCGTACTCTACGAGGAGAAAGTCGTTGGGGTGCTTGCCGTAGCTGATGTGGACCTCCTGACCCTTTTCGTAGGACCGCGTGGTCCGGAAAGAGTACGTGGTGGCGTGATTGAAGGCGACTTCGCAGCCGTCTTTGTCGGTGTGGTTAAACAGATCGGCGACGGGCTGCAGCACCATGTGGTCGGCCTTGGGGAGCTTCTTGGTCCGCGGGGTGACGAAGTAGAACGTTCGCGTGTTGACGAGCATCCAGGCATAGAGATACTCTTCCTCCGTGCACGAGGCCCTGACCCCACCTCGCGTAGAGAAGGGGAACGCAGCGGACACCAGATCCCAGTCCCGCTCGAATTTCTTCTTTTGCTTGCGCAAAAGCTTCGCGGCGGCGGCGGGAAGGAATGCCTGTAGGGAAGCAGGCCAAACCATCGGCATGGAGAGCTGTATGTTCTCCCATGTTGGGACGACGGCGTCCCATTTGGCGTAAGTCGTGGCGTTTTCCGTCTGGTTCAGGGCCAGGTCGGCGGCCAGCAGGCCATGGACGGTCATGTCCTTGGGAAGTTTCTTTGTAATCGTTGACGGGACGGTATCCAGGGTTCGTAGTATTGAGCAGGGGACCGTGAGAATTTCCGTGCCTTCTGGAATGTGGTCTGTTGCAACAACTGCATGACGATATCAGTACTTATTCCTAAGGTCTGACCGTAGAACCCTCCGCATGCAATGCAGACAACAGCAGGTTGTGGCATTGTAGGTACGTTCACAGCCCGCAAACAATCACTCACTTCCAAAGCCACGTCCAGAGAGCCTCATGGGCCGTATGTTGTTGATCTCCACGCCGAGACCCTCGGCCCAGGCCAGGAGCTCTTCATGAATCTCCTCGAGCTTGTCATCCATATTGACGACAGCGTTCTCGAGTTAGATGGCCTGTGAAAGTAACTCTAATTGAACGTCTTGAGGCCAAGCTAGGAGGGAGCTCAAAGGTTGTCGTTTGATGGAATGTGGATTGACTTCAGGGCCACTGATTAGGTTGATTTTGAAAAGTACCAGCTTTTCTGGCCACGGTGATTCACTTTGGAGCCAGCTTCATATAAGCCCAGTCCTGGCCCTTGAGCGGTCCACGATGCCGTTAGCAAGTGGAAGATGATACTTTGGTGTCACAAACAATCCATTGCATCTGAAAACTTCCAGTGTCTGATGAAGCCAAGGGTCCTCTTTTTTCCTTGGTTGGAGATGAGGAGGAAGTTCTCGCAAGTGACTCACTGCCAGCCCTGTCCTGGTATCCGCCTACTGAACCAGACCCTCGAATCTGAGGGAGGTAATTGAACAAGGGGAAAAGAGTCGTAGACTGGTAGACCAGAGTGCAAAAATTGTACAACTATGTCCTGAGTCCTGGGTGAGCACTGTGTATTCTTTCGAAGGAAACTGCGAGTCGTTGACCTTTTATTTTCACACCGCCGTGTACGAAATAATATTGCACTGTACGGCCCCGACCGGCCCCACCAAGAGCTCTCTCCGTGTCTTGCCGGCCGGAAGCTGAGCTCCCAAGCCGGCCCCGATACCGTCATCGAACGATTTTCCAAAAAAATAGCTCCACCACCATTCCTGCACCATCTCTCCGTCTCGAGCTCCCGTACGTTCATCCTGTCGCGATGGTCGTCTCCGAATTCAACTTCTCCCCATGACGAAGCTCATATTCCCAAGGTCAAGAGCGTCGGCGCTCTTGCGAGGCACTTATGGAGTTTGCCAGGCCGCATTAATACCGGCCGCAGCGTCTTCGTCAAGTCAGCCCAGGCCGTTCTCCGTGCTCAGCCGGCCGACGCCGAACTACCCAGGCCACGTTCCGCTCACACGTGTCGAGCGTGCTGGGCTGGCTATTGGGTCCGGCATTATGTCCTTCCTGGACCCATACCGTGGAGGCAAGGCCTTCTCTTTTCTTTTCTTTTTTTTGCTTTCTTTCTCCTCGCCGAGGGAGGGACTTGACTTTTACTAACAGCCATGGACGCCAGACCTCATTGCCGCCTTCGCCGAGGCAACCTCGTCACCCTACTTCATCCCCCGCCTCCGCGACGCAATGCTGCGCTCCCCAACAGGCCGACGCATCCTGCGCGACCGTCCTCGGCTGACCGCAACGTCTCTCAACCTCCCGCACCTCCGGACCCTGGGCCCCAACACCGTTGGCCGCACTTACGTCGGCTGGCTCGACCGCGAGGGCGTGTCTCCCGACACGCGGTCTGCCGTCCGCTATATTGATGATGAGGAGTGCGCCTATGTCATGCAGCGGTACCGCGAGTGCCACGATTTCTACCACGCGCTGACGGGCCTGCCCATCGTGCGGGAGGGAGAAGTCGCGCTCAAGGCCTTTGAGTGGGCCAACACGGGCCTGCCCATGACGGGATTGAGCATGTTTGCCGCGCTGACATTGAAGCGGCGCGAGAGGAGGCGGTTCGTGGACACGTACCTCCCCTGGGCGCTGAGGAACGGCTGGAGGAGCGAGGAGGTCATTAATGTCTACTGGGAAGAGGAGCTGGAGACCGATGTGGATGAGCTGAGGGCGAGGTTAGGGGTGGAGAGGCCGCCTGATCTGAGGGAGATCAGGAAGAGGGATAGAGAGGAGAGGAAACGGCAGAAGTTGCAGGCCTCTGGTGGTCGCAATTACTCGCAGACAGCAGCATGAAGGCCTTGTTTGGGCGGTTTTGTACACTACCACTCACCTGTACCGTTACCACGAGGCTCATAGAGTCGCTAGGGCAACGCATAGCCACTTCAGACCGGTTCAATAGAATCGCATTAAGGTATCATGTCATTGCATCGTGTCCTTTCTTCCTTGACTTCCCAGCAATATACTCTCGCCCACACTTCCATCCTTTTTTCTTTTCTTGTTGGGCGGGCCTACAGATCCAGCAGGTCGTCATCGTCCTCGTCCTCCCAGCCTTTCCTCCGGTTGATCACGATCTTCTCTTCCTTCTTTTGGTTGTTCTCCGCCACGGCGTTCAGCAGGTCCTTGAGCTGGTCCTCGGTGACCTTCTGCCGCAACTGGCCCGTCTGCGCCAGCATGATCAGCCTGTTCTCGATGTCTGTTGCCCGCTCCTCCTTGACCATCCGGATGCGGCCCAGGCGGTCGGCGGCCTCGGGGTGTAGGATCTGTTGGAGGACGGATTGTCTAGCTTCGGCTGTGCGAGAGGAGGAAAGACGAGTAGTTAGCTTCCATGTCCATAGGCTTCATGAGGATGTTTTGGGTGGTCGCGTGATGCTCGTTGGGTAGGAAGGGCATGGATGTCCCAGTTATTTTAAGAGGGGTGAGGGTCGTCTACCTTCTTGCTGTCTGATGTGACACACACACGCGGATAAAGTCAGTCATCCGAGAAATACAGCAGTAGTAGATTGAAGGGGCCGCAAGAAGAGGCATAATCACTTACTTCTTCTGCTCAGCGCCGCCCTGGCCTGAGCTGCCACCTGCACCTGCGCCACCCCCTCCTTGTTGCGCCTTGAGCTGCTCGAGACGAGCCTTGCGAATCTGTTCTCTGTTGGCATCTGTGGACACTTTATTGAGGAATCTTCTGCTTGTTTGTGACATACCTGTTCAAGTTCTGAGTCATCCATGGCTGCACATTTGTGTGTCTGAGGAATTAGTAGAGAGACTCGCAAGAGGTGCGGATCCTAAGATAAATAAGTTGGTGGGGTCAAGCTGCCCCGGGCGGGCAGGCATCCGCGGTGCTGTATAGCCTATATCGATAATGCCCATGCGCCCTAAACAGTACCCGAAACCACAGCACCACAGCATGCCCGCGAAACTACACAATGTGCCGTTCAGATATTCGACAAGCCTTCAATGTTGATATCATACGGAGACACACGATCCTTCTACAGTATGCCTATTTGTGTCGGCCTCAGTGCAGCTATAAGTAGTTGAGTCCGATTCGAAAGACCAGTGCTGCCCGGCCAGGCGAAAGCTTTGGGTGATACGATCAACTCGGGACTTCGAAATAATAGCACGGACACAAGATTGAATTGGCAGAAAATTTATTTCACATATAATTTATGTGACAGGAGTTGTGTGGCGCTGGGCTCGCTCTCGGAAATCACTGCAAGATCCTCAATCTCGCTCGATGCCGTCATGTAAATCTTCGGCCTCCCTACCCGCGTTGGAATTCCTCCCTATCCTAATCTGTGTGCGGATTCAGTGAAGCCAACCCTTCAAATGGGATAAGACCCCTCAGCTGCTTCCTCCGTTCCTCGATCCTTGCCTTGACGGCACCAACCACCATCTCGTTCTGCGGCATCTTGATACCCAACTCCTGACCCCTCTTGACAAAGTATCCGTTCAAGTAGTCAATGTCCACCATCTTGCCCGCGCGGACGGCACTGAGCAGCTGGCTCTGCGCCGGTCCCTTGTCCGCGAGCCGGTTCAGCGTGTACTTCCGCAGGGCATCCATCCCGCAGTGCTCTACAACCTTGGAGAAGTTGGTCAGCTCGGGCAGCGCCCAGATGACGTTGAACAGCTCCTCCAGCAGCTCGTCCGCGAGCAGGATCGCGTGCTCGTTGCGCAGAACCTGATCGTAGGTAGCGTCGATTGCGATAGCCATGGGCTCGATGATGCACTGGAAGACAATCGCGGGGAGCTTCTTGATCAGGTAGTTCTCCAGGCTGTATCCGCCCGCGCTGAGTCCATCCGTCGCTACTAAAGTCCGCATGAACTGGACGGCGTTCGAGCGGCGTTCGACGGGCGGATGGAACTTGATGAAGGAGGGAAGGTTGATACCACGCTCCAGGGCCGTCAGGTATAGCTTTCCGGGCTTGCGGAGCATGGATGAGAAAAACATGGGCTTGTAGTACCCTATGGAGGCGGCCATGTGCCCGAGGATATATGTTGGTCGCGTAGTAGGATCCTGAAACAATGTCGCATTCAACTCCTCCGCAACCCCCAGCCCGTCCTGGATAAGACAGATCGTCGTCCGGCTGTCGATACGGTGCTTAATGTTGTATATTGCCGAGACTGTCTGGCAGCAGGGGATCGTCACGATCAACTGCTCGATGTGCTCGGAGCTGGGTATGGCTTTTCCCTTCCCTACCCACTCGGCCTCGGCGCGGTTCTGGAAGCTCTTCCTTTCACCCTTCAACATCAGGAGACGCTTGCCCTCGAATTCCCAGCTGTTCATGATGGCCCTCTTATTTATGAGCAGCTTGACAGGCTCGAGGTACTCGTAGCTGGCGAGACGGTGGGCAATAAAGAAGGCCCGAGGATCAGTTCCCAAGATATGCACTCTCCTTCCCATATTATCTTCCTCCTTAGGTTCTTGAAGGTCCTTCGCAGCCTCCTTTCCTGGGGGAGGAGAGGTTGTGTATGGCTTCCCGATGGGTATTCTCGGTTCTTGGTCGGGCGCGCCTCGTTCGTACCAAGAGTCCTCCTCTAAATCGTCAAGCAACTTTCGGAACTTAGGCCGACGCGACAAGGGCTGTAAAGTTCCACGCTCGGGCAGATCGTCGATGTCATCGGCATCCAGAGGGAGGTTCTGCGCGGGTTTCCCGACCTTGGCCGCAGCACCTTCTGAGGAATACAATCTGATGGCCCCCCGGCCCGCATGATTGCTACCGCAGCTCCATGATGCGCGTCTGTGAGGTATTCGCGCAAACACCCGCGATAGCGGAAGACTGCAGCGTAAGGAATACAGATTGAATAACGTCCTCAGGAGCCTCGAAAGATCATAGCAACGGTATTGGTCGAGAACAGGGCGGCTTCTTCTCGAACGGACGAAGCACCTCGAGACCGGAAGCGGTGCAAAAAAATGCCCTCGCGATTCGTCCAGTTAGATGTGGTCGGGCTGGTGGGGGAGGGTAATGCTCAAGTCATCTGGGCGCAGATGATGTTTCTGGCCGCCCTCAATTCATGGCGAGGTGGAAAATTTGGGGCGAGAGTGACCCTGCGTGGGAGGGAATGGTCGTTGAAGAAGCTGGATGACGGTGACATTTTTTCTGGCAGCGGAGCGCCTCTCAAAATTTTAGCGGGAAGCTACTACGACGAAAGCACACGACTTACTCCGGGCGTCTCTGTAGAAGAATCGCCCGCTGGACCGGAACGCGACCCTTGCCTAAATCCCTGCATCCTTGCGTCGCTGATCGACTTCTTGCACATGCAATTTTCTAAGTGCGTCCCGTATGGAACTTTTGCCGCGAGTGAGACTTGATGAATACCAACAACATCATTAGTACTCTTCATCCAAGAGACTCAAAGAGCTGTGTAAACTCAACGGATCTCCCTGGATGAGCATTCGTAACTCGTTTCATTGACCACCCCTCACTCATCCGGCCTTTTGTCTGTACTCTTTTTCTCTCCTCAGTACTTATCGAAGAGTGAGGATCTGTTTTCGACAGACAGAAGCATCTCTTTCAAGCCCCCAGAAATCTGACACATCTGGTCATTTAAGCGAAGGCCTCGTCCGAGATCATAAGAAGGAGAATAAAAGAAGAAGAACAGAGAGAAGAGTCACAACGACTCGCCCACTATGGACGTCACAGACATCACTGCACATCTCGACAAGCTCGACGGCAATATCAATGAGCTGGAGGCTTCGCTGAAGCCTCTGTTGTCGAATCTCAACGAGACTGCATCAAAGCTCCCTCTGCTCGATAGGGCCAAGCTATATGTCACAGTTGCATACGCGATTGAGAGCACCCTGCATTGTAGGACATCACTCCTTCCTACCCTCTTGAATATCCTCGCTAACAGTGCTCAAGCCGCCCTGCGCGTAGGCGGCGTGGACATAAAAACACACGCCATCTCCAAAGAGCTCGCTCGCCTGAAACAATATTTTGAGAAGATCAAAAAGGCCGAAGAAGTCCCAGCCGAGAGGACGCAGGCTCTTGATAAGCAGGCCGCTATCCGCTTCATCAAGGCTGACCTGGTGTGTAGTTCCACATTTCATTTTGCTCTTCACCTTTTACGACTATGCTAACCTCATCTACAGGCCGACAACGCCGACATCAATACCAAGCTAAAGGAGAAGCTGGCCAAGGAGCGCGAGAAGGCCGCTGCGAGGGCAGCTGCGCAGAAGGGCAAGAAACGACCCGCTGAAGAAGCAGAGCCTGCTGTTGCTGAGGCTGCCAAGGCTGAGAGCCCTGCTGGAGATAGCTCGGATGAGGAGGGAGAGATCGAGGAGCCCGAGAAGAAAAAGTCCAAGAAGTCCACAGCAGCCAAGCCCAAACGTGAGAAGAAGACCAGGAAGGGAAAGAAGAAGAATTAAGCGATCCAGCACCGCAACTCACCTGCACACTCAACACCACCACCGAGATATCTCCTGGAGTTGAAGACTGTCCGGCAACCCTACATCTGGGCACACACCTCGATACTCCTTGAATACCTCCACTACAGACCAAAATGTTCACTCCAATGTGGGTGAGCGAGGGACGCCATTCCAGCCTGCCTCGCTTGCGATGTGGTTGTCGAGAAGTCTGTCGACACAACAACCGCCACATTGCACATTGTTGAAGCGGCGAGCCGTGCGTCTGAATTGGAAGAGGGAATGTGAATGGGATATTGGAAGAACATCAGCTAGAGGCGATCGGCTCATCGGTGAGGGATATTCTCATCACGAGCCGACAAGATATGGGCGATCAATTGCCCTAATGCTCATGTACTGATGGCATGATGGAACAATGTCCGGCACCAGAGCCCGCAACGTTCACAAATTTCCGGCTCGAGCTTCCTGCGTACATTTGCGTAAGGTCTTGACGCCGAGATTTGAATCATTTTGGACGATTTACACATCGAGCTTTTGACTCGTTTGGGGCATCGCCCAGGCGATTGCTTGATTCGAAGAGGTGATAGCAACAGATCAGGGCAATTGGTGACTTGTAGGCCGAAATAGAGAGATACCCCATCAAATTTTTATGATATCTGAAAACCCAGCTCCCAATGCTAAGTACAAGATGCTTTTCTTCGTTTCATTTCCTGTTCCTCCTTAGAAGTACTGTAGAGTTGTAACCTGAACAGTGGTTCAGGCCATGTCAAGGTTCATGTAATAGTGTAGACATCAGTGATTTGTTTGCACGAAGTAGTATGAAACTGTGTACTCTTTCTTCCTTGATTTCACTCTATATCTACCATCACTGTGTCAATTTCATTCTACTTTCTCAAATATGAAGTGGAACATGCTATTCTTCCTCCGAGGAATAAAAAGAAGAAAGCGGCATGTCTCCCCTAATCGACTGCCAGTGAATCGGTAGTAAGGGTTTGACTGTATTCCCGATTCATAAGTAGGCGGCGTATAGCGCATGTACAGTGCTGTCGTACCCACTAGAGCGGACCCTTCCACCCTGCAAGGCCCTGGATCCATGTGAGAATTAGCACGAATTCCATTGGCTTCCAGTACTATTATTACTTAAGCCAATTTTTTGCCCTCTGCCGCGGCCAATTCAACCTCGACCTTTCCGACCTTTCCTTTTCACTCAACCTCGTCAAGACGACACTGAACAAACGACAACACCACCTTGTCTTTCACCACGCACACGCATACGCAACCCCCTCTACAAAAATGCCTCGTCAAAGATCTGCCGGCGCTGGTCGCGCTCCTGCCCGCCCAACTGTCCCCGCGCGGACGTCCACCCATCCCCAGTCCCAGCAGCAGACCCGGCCGGCCGCCACCTACGCCGCGCCCGCGACACAGGCTCCTCACCAGCCTCCTCCTACCGCACAGGCGCCTGCGTCGTCCGGCGGCTCCGGTCTCTTTGGGCAGATGGCTAGCACTGCTGCGTACGTTGCCCCTATCTCTCTTTCCCTTTTCTCAGATCTCTCTCTCTCTCTCTCTCTCTCTCTTTGTATATGTGGTCCCTTGTTTTCTTTGCTTTGTGTTGCGGGGGAGGAAGGGGAGAGAAATATAAAGCATAGGATGTGGCAAGGGAGCGGCTGTTTTTCCTTTTTTTTCATGGATCTGGTAAATACTGACCAAGCTATTACCTGCATACAGAGGTGTCGCAGTCGGTCACACCGTCGCCAACGGTATAATGGGCATGTTCGGTGGCTCCTCGTCCAGCGAGGCCGCAGAAGCCTCCCCGCAGGCCGCCGCGCCCCAGCAGCAGAACTCGTACTACGCCAACCAGCAGGCCGACCCCAACTGCGCGATGGCGACCAAGAGCTTCACGAGCTGCATGGACGAGCACCAGGGCAACATGTCGATCTGCGGCTGGTACATGGAGCAGCTCAAGGCCTGCCAGGCCGCTGCCAGCAAGTATTAAGCCTGGGCAACGAGCTTTGCGGATGGGAAAGTGTAGAAAAGAAAGAGACAGGGAAAATAATGGATGGCATAAGAGCGACGTCGAGTGTGGTTTGATCTGGTGGGAAAGAAACCTTTCCATTCGGAACCAATGGGCGGGGGAAAAGAAGAATCATCTGGTTTGACTCAGCCCTCGCGGGTTTGATGTGCGACAGATAGATCGGGAACCAAAAAAAACTCGACTCATGATATCATACATACAGATGCTTGCATTGCATTGCGGCCTGAAGCAGCGATGCTCCGCAAATGCTTGTGAAAATATTATAACATAATTCAAGTGGCATGCAAATTCTACATTCATAGGAGTGAAGTCTAGTCTATGGCGGCTTCTACTTATCCTTGTCATCCTCGTCGTTCCGGGGCTCAAAATTCAGCTGTCCTTCGTTAGCGTTTATGTCTGTCGTAATGTTCACACGAGGGTTCTGGGTGAGGACCTACCGAATTTCCGTTGTAGAGTTGATGGTCCCCTCGCCTGTCATCAGGGTTCTGGAACCCCTTGATCCGCCCGCTACCCTCTCTTCCTGATGTCGATGCTTGGCCCTCGTCCTGATCTTGATGAGTACCACCCGCCTGTTCACTACCGCTACCAGCGTTCCCACCCGATCCTAAGCCCCCCAGTGCACCCGCAATTCCGCTCAAGATATTCATCACGAAGGCTAATACGGCCGTAATGAGCCTCGACGCGGGGTTTGTGAGCCCGGCGTTCAGGCTCGTGTAAGCTTCCGAATACCGGTCAACGGGCGTCAGAACCAGCGTTGCGCTCGGCGTCAGCCCCAGCTTCTCGAGGCTTTGCTCTTCCTCTGTGGCGTGGTCGATCGCGCGGTTCGGCAGCGGCGTGAGAATCACCTTGAATGTGTACGGATCCTGCCCGTCGGTGCGGCTCTCGTCGATCCACTTCCGCACGTCCCGGGATAGCGTGGCCCCGGACGGAAAACGTGTCCTGATAGTCGACCCATCGAAGAGTCGGATCTGAAGAGCGCACTGGTCGTGCCTCCTTGCAACTGACGAGGAAGGGACCGGGGTTGACGCAGAAGTAGCCTCTGGGACGGGTGTGCTCACCTCCTCGCCCGCCGCAGCCCGCCGCTCTGCCTCCCTCTCCAACCTCCGCTCCTCCTCCCGCGCCTTCCGCTCGGCTTTGTCGTCCGCAATCAGCTTCAGCACGCGCGCCCTCTCCTCACGCGCCTTGGCTTTACGCTCTGCAAGCTTCTGTGAGGCCTTCTTCACTGCGTCGTTCTGCTTTGTCTTGGGGTCAGAATTCTGGTCCTGGGACTCCTCGGCGGGCTTCTTGCCCTTATCCTCGCGGCGTCGCTCCTTTTCGATCTCACTCCGCTCTCTGCGTGCACCTTCACGTGTCCTTTCCGCTGCGCTGAGCTGTGGAGCAAGGGCCTCGGATGAGCTGGAGGCTGGTGCTGGTACTGCTTGGCCACCGGGCTGTGTCGTCTGAGCTGGGACGACGGTGGCTGTCGAGTTGTCTGAGGAAGGGACTGCAGCCGCAGGGGCAGGGGTCTCCGTCTGTGTACCAGGAGAGGCACTGGAAGCCATCGGTGCTTGGCTTTCCGTTCGTGCTGCCAGAGCATTTCCAACCCTCCTCAAAAATTCGGCCTTTTCCGTGCCGGCAGACACGTACTCCTTCAGCTCCCCGTTCTTTATGATCACCAGCGTAGGGATTTTCGGCAGTGGAAAGATGGCGGCCAGGTATCCTGCCTCCTGAGATCCGGCCTCCAGCCTGAGCACGACAGCATCCTTCTCCAGTGAGGGCGCAATAGTGCTGTCCGTCAGGAACTCATTCTCCCATGTCTTGCTTTCCTCCTGACCATCGGTCACAAAGCAGACAACGAGCTTCGACTGCTGCAGGGCGGTCGATATGCCTTCCTGCAGGGTTCCAGTGAAGAACACCATCTTATCAGTTGTGTCCTCAGCGGAATGTCTTCGCTGGGTCGGTTGTTGCTGATTTGGGCGATTAGCACAAATGACAAACCTCGCAGGAAAGACCAGGAATATTGCTATAACGCTAATGAACGTCAAGAGTAGTCACGGAAGGATTGTTGTTTCTTCCAGCTTGCGTTGGTTACTTAATATGTTACTGCCACCTTTCGGATTTAGTGGGACATGTGAATAGCTAAGCGTTGCACCGGGGGAGCTAAGGCACTGCAGGGTACTTCCCGAGCTAGGGGGTTCTTCCCCCCCCCCCCCCCCCCCAAAGCTCGGTAAGCTGCGGCCCTGAGAGCTCCACTGGCCAATCGCCTAGAGCTCGTTGCATCATCGCCCAAAACTTTCGATGCACCATCTATTCTCAAAACTCTCACCAATTTCCACCGCCCCGTACCACGCCAGCCAGACTGGAAAACCCCAACGCCTATGACTGCAGCTTGAGGTCACAATTACATTGGCCTTGCTAGCACTTATCACAGGAGACATCTGGTTGCTTTGCCAGTGCACCCCCGCGGTCCGGAGGAAGATCACCGGCCCTCTCTCCCTCTGGGCTTCAGAGCGGCTCCGCTTCAACACCTTCTAGTCCGGCTGAGCAGCACACGACCGCGCATTGCAGCTTCTCACACCCCATATCACCCAGTATGAAGGCTTTCGCGCGCCTAGGGAGGCACTCGCCGGCCAAATCGACCATGCAGACCCTCACAAACTCGACCTCCAGACCGCGCACGATACCGTGCCACCACCACCAACAACAGCGACCCTTTTCCCACACCCGTCCTCGCCCCCAGTCTAACGAGCCCCGCCAGCCAGCCGACGACCCCAACTTCCACTCCATTCTCGACAACCCTCCACAGCTCGTGCGCACCGGCCGCCGCCACGGCCCGGGTCTACTCGTCCTCGCCATCATCCCCATCACGGCCTTCGCGCTGGGCACCTGGCAGGTCTACCGGCTGCAGTGGAAGACGGACCTCATCGCCAAGTGCGAGGACCGCCTTGTACGGGAGCCTTTACCCCTGCCGCCGCGTGTCGATCCGGATGCCATTGGTGACTTCGACTACAGGCGTGTCGTCACGCGTGGCCGCTTCCGGTACGACCAGGAGATGCTGATCGGGCCGCGGATGCGGGATGGCGAGCAAGGGTACATGGTCGTAACACCGCTTGAAAGGGAGGACGGGAGTACGGTGTTGGTAAACAGGGGGTGGATATCGAAGCGGCTGGGGGACAGGAGGAAGAGGGCGAGGGAGTCGATGCCGCAGGGGGAAGTGGTGGTGGAAGGGCTGCTGAGGGAGCCTTGGAAGAAGAACATGTTCACGCCTGATAATAGGCCGGACAAGAGCGAGTTCTATTTCCCCGATGTGAAGCAGATGGCCGAGTTGACGGGGGCACAGCCGGTTTGGATTGAAGCCACGATGGGTAAGTGTCTTGTGTGCCTGGTCTGGAGAGCAGCAGCCCTTCATCAAAAGTTTCTTCTCAGTATCTGTTGTGGGCAGCTTTGCTAACTGATATCCTAATAGACCCGAATTATATGCAGGTCATGGAGTACGAAGCCAAGGGCATTCCTCTGGGAAGACCTGCAGAGGTCAACCTGAGGAACAACCACGCCCAGTACATCTTCACTTGGTAAGTGATTCTTTTTGTCTTACCCTTATCCGTATGAGAGGACTGGACTGCCCAGCTCCCGTCTTCATTCGCGGTGCCTGGGCATAAGTCGCTGTGGCTCGGTGCATACACGCCCTCTCCAAATTGCACGCCTTGATCTTCTGATCCTGAATATCTCTGGCGGCATGCTAACACCCCTCATAGGTATAGTCTGTCCCTCGCTACAGCTATAATGTTGTGGATGGTTATCAAAAAGCCGCCATCCGAGGTGGCCAAGCGCGTTCGTAAAAATACGCAGTGGTAGGAACTTTGCTTGTTGTTGCACATTATGGTCTAAGCAAGCTGGTCACGACCTCACCCCACTTCTTCGTCCTCTCCTGCAGTGGCCTTTCGTCGTCGCTTCTTGACAGGTGCCGGAGCAGGCATGCGCAGTTCCTGTAAGAGCTCCCTAGGCAGATGCCTTTGCGCAAGGGCATACGGAGTTGCTGAGGCACTCGTCTGCCGTTGTCTGGGGGAAATAGGGACTGGTTAGGTTGGCATGTACATACAAATCAAGACGCACAGAAATCCAATGATACCCAGATGTCTCAAGAAATAGAGGGTAGGTGGGGGATCAAATGAACATACCTTCTCATGAGGGTCAACATGTCGCTCTCGTTGATTGTCGTGCGCCCTTTGGCGTGATTTGCATATGCTCGGAGGTCATCGCCGAGCTGCTCAAAGAACCAATCTGACGCCTGCATGATGGTCGAGAGCGTGTCCGAGCTGATCTTGGCCTTGCCCGCGAATCGTTGCGCGAGCCGCTTGACGACACTTGTGGGAAGCGATGGATACTCGATGCCATAGCGAGAGATCTTCTTGCCGGGTTTCTTCACCCGTCCCGTCGACTTGGAGGAGATGTGTCTTGCAAGGATGGTGGTCTCTGCTGTTCTGTCGCCCGCCTCGGAAACATCGTCGTCTCCTGCCGCGAGATCCCATGGCGGCGCATCGTCCTCGACGTCCATCTGCTCGGCAAAGGGAGGAGGTTCGTCGTCAAGTGGCGGTGGCCCATCATCGTCGTCGTCAAAGCCAAATGGTTCATTCGCAGGCGATGAGGGCTCGCGCTGAGGGGAAGACTGCACTTGTGGTGCCAGGACTACCGTGCTCTGGTCGCCCGCATCGAGGTTGAAGTCAATTTCTCCAAAGTCACTGACTCGGCCGCCCAGCGTGTCCCGCCGCGCAGCCTCGTCATCCAGCCTCTCCAGCGCGGCGTCCTCGCTGCCCATGCCCGTACCGTCGCCGCCTGTATCGTCATCCCACTGCGGCCGCGGGAAGAAAGCGGAGTCGACGCCCCCATCCTCGTCATCACTCGGCCCGTCGCCCATGGGGCCGTAGTCACTCATGCGCATGGAGAACCTCTGCGATGGGCCCATCGTCGCCCTCCTCGGCATCTCTATGCTCTGCATCGTAAAGTTATCATCCAGATCCTCGAGCCCGCTGCTCCTCGGCGGCCGCGGGAGTTCGCCGTCACTATCGGCGTCCTCGTCGATCGGCAGGGAGAAGCGCGGTCTGTCGATAGGGAACTCGTCATCGCTGTCGTCAGGGTCCTCGGGAATCGTCACGGCGGGCCGGCGCCCCTTGCCGCTCCGCCTCTTGCGCGCGCCGCTCGTGGCGGTCGGGTCGTCTGGTGACGAGGAGCTCGACGTCGTGATGACCTTGCTCTTGGGCGCCAGGGTCTTGCTGAGGGCGCGCAGGACATCCCGCGGCGTCTCGCGCTGGTCGCGGATCGAGCGGCGCCGGTTGCGACCCGGGGTGTTGATATCATTGATGGCAGCGCGGCGGGAGTCGAGGGCGCGGATGGCGGCGCGGCCGTGGGGCGTGAACTGCGTGGGCGGTTTGCGCCCTGACGCCGAGAAGAGCTGCCTCGAGGCGCGGAAGTCGACGACCTGGTTGCCTGGTGTGCGGATGGAGAAGCGGGTGGTGGATGTCGGGGGCGCAGAGGCGCGAGGGTTGTGGACGGGGGTCTGGGCCGGATTGGGCTCGTCATCGCGGCTGTTGTTGGTGGGTCTTGGGGGGTGAGAGGAGCTGCGTCCTGGTGTTGTGCCGCCCTCGAGGGGGTTGGGCTGGCGTGGACGATTGGTTGGCGGTGGCACCTTGGAAGAGGAGGAGGAGGAGGATGAGGAGGGCCCGGCGCGGATGGGGAGAGGGAGCCTCGAGGCCCCGGCTGAGCCTTGGGAGTTTGGCATTTTAGACTGCGCGCATGGTTTTGGACGATTCGTACATGTGTATGTGAATTGGCCGTGGTTTCTGCACACGAGAAGCCACCTCAGCTGGATTTGGATTGCAGAGTTGAGGTGTTGCCAGGATGGGATGGCTAAGCTATGCTTTCGACCTCGATTGAGGATGGTGGACGCGTCTGGCGCGTCTGGACGGGTTGCTCTCCCATCATTTGCGCCTGCACGGCTAGGGTAAATGTGCCAAGTGGGGGCACCCGTGGCCTATCTTATCGATAAGTCCTAGCTAGTAGTTGAAGTATCTAGTCCTCATTGGGCCACCGCAGGAGTGTGACGCTTAGAAGGACTTTCCTATGGTCGCAACATCTCCATCTGTGTGGCCTCCAGAGCCACCACTTTTTGCGGGTTCAAGCAAGCTGTCACTGGCTTGGCGTTCTTCTTGGACTGGAGGCTTGGTCATGAGCCCGAAATTCGCCGTCGCCTACACCGGTAGAAGGGAAGTCTTGTAAGCCTCGGATGAACTCGTGCAAAATGGTTGTTGGATGTTTCTCCTGAACTGTGCCAAAGGTGTGACATCGTCGTACCAGACCTCTGGGCGTCTCGAGTTGTCGACCGGCGGTCGGGACGTCAGTAGTTATGCTCCGAGCCCTCTGGGAGCACTTTCTCCTTGTCTCTCTGCGAACAACCGGCAACACGATCCATCGTGCGCCGTGTCATCTCTTCTCTATCTCTCTCATGAGTGATGAAACCCCATGAGCATGAGAAGGCTGCAGGTCTATCAGGCGATGCGAGGCCCAAGACTCGGTATGGAGCCCTAAGGGAACGGAACAGGACGTGGTCTGTCGTCCCGGATGATCGATCCGTCGAGGAGGGCTGCACGACGAGTTTTGAAACAACGAATCAGGCAATCCACACTTGCGCCCGTCGCGAACCCCCTGGAGGAGCCAAAACACTGGGTGGTCCAAGAGCCTTGTTACATGACTTGCTTCAAAGTTGCGCCAGGACCCTCTGGACACAGCTAACAGATAGTTGACATCGAATCAAGAAAGAAATGCGCAGAGCGCGAAAGTGTTTACTTCATACAGGTCATCACCAGCAGTGCAGCCGTGGATCTAGACTACCCGTCGTACGTACAACGTATGTATGTATGCTATGATCCAACCCCGAATCGAGGATCGGCTCCCAGCGTTTCTCTACAGACACGTCTCTAGGCAAGAAAGCCTCGACGGCCCTCAGAGCTCCGGGCACAGCTTTGGAAGGCCAGTGGATCTGAGCTGCCTGATGTGCAGTCAGGATCCTGTGTTAGACCACAGAACCGTCGTACTGTAATGGCGATGACGAGGCCTCGAGCCCCTGGAGGGTCCAAACAAGGCTTTGCATTCCCGATGATCCGAGCTTTGTTGCTCTTGCTCCGTATTTCAAGTTAGATGTGGAACAGATGTTTTCCCGGGAGGAGTGAGTTGAAGAAGTGGACGGCTCCGTGATCCATCTTGTAGCCTCACTCGGTTCTGACTGTCCCTGACATATGATATGGAATGTGGTGGTACACAGAGAGGTTGGGTGCCCAGGTGACCGTCCCAACGCACCAACGCACCAAGTCCTTGCCCTGAGTGGTATGCAATGTACCATGGGAGAGACTTAGTTCCTCACATTTTCTCCGCTTCTTTTCTTCAGTTTGCTGCCAACAAATGAACAATAGCAGGCTCCGTAACGTTAACGATCTCCGTCCGCTATGAAACTAAACCAGCCAACTGGTTCTTGATATTGCTGGTCGGAAACCCAGGCGGGGGCCTATGAGGCTAGCAGAGATCTCCGTCTTGTTTATCTACTTTGAAAGACCAACTGCAACCCAAGAGATCCTCTGCACTAGTGACGCCTCTTGCTTCCTGTTCCTGACGCTGTGTTTCCTCGCTGGCCGCAGCCGCACACTGCGCGCTCTAGGCACATTCTGGAAGAAATCTACCATGGTTGTACGAGATAGGTATGTACTTCCAGGCGTCTCACCACCTCATTATGTACTAGAGTTGCCACAGGCCTGTTGAAAGTCCTCAGACCCCACCGTTTGATGAAGACCTGCCCGAAGTGAGGTACCGATGCTTACAGGCTTCAAGGGTGAAGTACTTCCTATCTCCCTTGTCACAAATTGTGTAGTCGGCCCCTAGCTCGTTACCCCTACCCGCTAGTGAGACCAATATGGTAGCCACCCGCCGTAACCTCCAACCTGGTAGTGTGTCTGTATCGCCTGGAGACGCTCTTCGCCGCTTGGGGACCCCCAGGGGCGGTGGGGGGAAAAACCACTGGCAGACGAGACCCTGGGGCCCTGCTAGCACACTCAAGCACCCTATCTGGCCCACTGTGCTGAACCTGAATCTTCCTGCCTGCGTGGTGTGCGTGTGCTACTCTTCCCCCCCCCCTCCCTGACCTCCCCTGACCTTCAACTCCCGTTCTCAAGTCGTGTTGCGGCATCAATCCGTTCCGGTCGTGTCAAAACATTTCTGTCTTCTATGCGGCAATACCAAGATTGACTCGTTCCTCCTGCATCCTTCATAGCTTCTGGACCCCTTTGTGATTATTGTGTGTTGATTTCTCTGTTTTGTGTTCTCTTCTTTTTTTCCCTTCTCCTCTTCCTCCCCCTTGTCACTACTGCTGTCATTATCACACCAATCATCATCACCAGCAATCAACGACATCATTACGTCGCGCGCGCGAGAAAGAGGAGAGGCCTGAGCTCTGTGCCACCCCAGTCGAGCCATCGCCTACTACCCCTTGCCCTGCCTGCCCTGTTCTGCCCTGGCCTGTCTTGCCTGGTCCTCTTTTGGTCTGCAAGCGCCACCCTGATTACCACCTCACACATTCACATCCACTCTATCACACATCCTGCTTCATATCTGCAACCACAGACGGCCAACGAACTCCTTCCCAAAGCTGTCGTACCAAGATTGAGGCTTAAACAAACGACTCTCCCCCCATCAACCTTCCTCTGTGCAATATCCAACGACCACAACTCGACCGTTTTACAAAGCATCACCCGTTTGAATTTAATATGGCCGCTCCCGGCGTTCAGTCTATCAAGGTTCGTTCCCAGCGATCACTGCATCGGCGTCGGTATTGGCCTTGGCTCTGGCATTGCCACCCTCGCAGCTGGAGGCGGCTCGCATGGCCTCGAGCAAGACCATTCGTGCAGAGTAATCATGTGAATAGCAGGCTGACCATTCCATTTTCATCAACTGCAGTGTGTCGTGACAGGTGATGGTGCTGTCGGCAAGGTACGTTCTAACCCGTGTCCCATCTCTCCCCTCTTTCTCTCCACCTCCTCTTCGCCCGCCCGTCGTCCCCTACCGCGACCCGTCGCATTCAACCATTTGACTTGCTAACCTCAAACGGCAGACATGTCTTCTCATCTCATACACCACGAATGCCTTCCCAGGCGAATACATTCCCACAGTGTACGTGCAATTGCCAATCGACCTACCACCTTCATCGTTTCGCCGGAAGCGCTCCGGATGAGGACCTTCACCGCCGCCTACTGCACGTGCGACAACAAAGACTGATGATTATTCTCGTACAGTTTCGACAACTACTCTGCGAGTGTGATGGTCGATGGGAAGCCGATTAGCCTGGGACTTTGGGATACTGCTGGACAGGAAGACTACGACCGACTTCGACCTCTTTCCTACCCTCAGACCGACGTCTTCCTCATCTGCTTCTCCATCGTCAGCCCGCCATCGTTTGATAACGTAAAGGCCAAGGTGCGCAGACCAACCTCCTTCTTTTCCCGGACTGAACCTCGCCTCGCTGGAATCCCATATTTTATGATGGATGGCAAGGTTTCATATCCATAAGTGTTTTTGAGACTGACACATATCTTGCAGTGGTTCCCCGAGATCAGCCACCATGCTCCCAACATCCCCATCATCCTGGTCGGCACCAAGCTCGATCTGAGGGAGGACCCGAACACGATTCAGAGTCTCCGCGACAAGAGAATGGAACCCGTCACCTACGATGAAGCCCTGCGAACTTCCCAGGACATCAGGGCACACAAGTACCTAGAGTGCTCTGCATTGACCCAGCGCAATCTGAAGGCCGTCTTCGACGAGGCTATTCGGTACGAAATAATCCAGCTGTCTATTCCTTGAGACCAACTTGAATGACTGACTCGATACCTCAATACAGTGCTGTGCTCAGCCCGAGACCCCAGGCGACCCAGAAGACGAAGAAGTCGAAATGCACGATTCTGTAAACGACCCGACCGGCCGAACCATGGCAGAACTCGTGCTGGACCAATTGATCGCCATGCGACGTCGCCGCCGCCGAATTCAATGTATCAAGAGAGGGGAAAAGCTTTTAGAACGGCCGGACTGCTTAACCTCAGAAAGGCTAACCATCACCTTTTAGAGGGGAGCGTGGACAGGGGGGGGGCACCCATCCGATTTCCAAAATATTCTGCTGCTACATTTCCTGCGAAAGCATCCTATGAACAACGAGGGCGGGCTGAGGCGAACGGATGATACCGTTAATACTCTTTCCCAGTGTATTCTTGGAGCAGAAAAAGGCCTCCCTCCGATGGCATTGGGGAAGGGGACTTCGTTCTTGGCAGTGTGACTATGGTCTTCTGGCATCTGAGTTGCTTTGAAGCTTGGAACATCACGGTCTCAGCACAATGTCGGTCTTCCTAGCCAGTTTCTCTTTGTTTCTTGTGCAGCAAGATGGGCGTACACACAGCATCACTTTCAAATGATTTACAACAACAAAAACAACACACACACACACACAAACCCCAAGCCCCTCAAGGATATCCCCAGAATTTTGATTTGGTTCTTTGTAGATAGCAGCTGGTGAGGTGAGGATTAGCCAACCAAGGGGCTGGTAAGGGAAGGAGAGGAGACTTCTGATATTTTCGCGTGTTACCTTTTTTTTTTTCTAGCCAAGGGTTTCTGTTGTTTGGGATGGGAGTCTCCAATACTTCTTACTACATGTAACCTCGCATGATAAACACTGATCTCACAAAATATCTGGTCTTTCGGACTCATAGTGAAACTAACGAGACATGACAAACTGTGCTTGATTTTCTAGCAGTCTCTGGTGGAGCTGAAAGGGGTATCATGCGAAAGCATAAAACTAACTCTATCGAACAGCGCCATGAGGCAAATGACGCCCCGGGCAAACATAAAACAGCTTCTCGCTGGCGGTACCAATCATAGGTAACGACACACCTCACTGGTAAAATTCCGCCGGGTATGGCCTTCCCCCACGACCCGGAATGCGACCGGCTGTTTCCTACGACCTGCGACCCGGGACGTGAGCACGCCTGCTCGGGTGAACCATTTGTTCCTCGCGGTCCTCGTCCTTCTGCACGACTTCCTTGCCCGCCCTCGCCTTGGCATTCTCCAGCTTCTCCTGCTCCTCCTTCGCGATGCGCCTGCCCCGCTGCTCGTTCAGCCGCCTGTTCTTCTCGGCGACCTTGTCCATGCGGCCCTCGGTCTTGCCGCCGCCACCGGCCGTCAGCTCGACGTTGATGCGCCGCGTGGAGCCCTTGGCGTCGGTGAGCTCGGTATGGTGGAACTTGGCCAGGCACGTCTTCATGTGCGCGTAGTTGTCGAACTCGACAAAGGCGATGCCGCGGGATTTTGAGGGCTGGCTGCGCTCGGTCAGGAGGCGCACGGAGGTGGGCTTCAGGGCGGCGAAGTGGGCCTTGATGTCGGCTTGGGTCGCGGTGTAAGGGAGGTTGCCTGTTTTGCGGAGAAAAGGGGGGGGGGGAGGGGGACGGATTAGCAAAATCGTAGAAAAAAAATAAAGGGGACTGTAGGGACGGGGGAGGAGAGGAAGATTTACTGCACGTACCAATGAAGCATATGAACCTGTTGTTCTTGCCAGGCTTGCTATCGTCCTCATTGACAGCATCGACGTTGCTCTCCTTTTCGCCATCGGCTCCTTCCTGCTCTTTCTTGGCCTTCTTTCCCTTCTTTGTTTTCTTCGTGTCGCCCTCGGCCTCTTCCACAGGGTGGTCGTCCTCACCAGACTTGGCCTTCTTCGCCTTCTTGTCCTTCTTGCTCTTCTTCTTGCCCTCCTCTTCGTCCACAGTTGTCGTCGTCTCAGTAGCCTCCTCTACCTTGTTCTTCTTTTCTTTCTTCTCCTTCTTGCTCTTCTTGCTCTTCTTCTTCTCCTCTTCCACCGCAGCACCCCCCTTCACAACAGCATCCACATCTATAGCCTCATCCTCAACATCAAACTCCTCATGATTCAGAGCCTCGGCTTGCTCGGCCTTGCGCTCCTTGTGGCTCTTCTTCTTGTCGCCCTTGCCCTTGTCCTGCTTGCTCTTCTTCGCCTTCTTGGGCACGGCGGCCGCGGTACCGTATTCCTCTTCCTCCGCTTCGGTAAGCTTGCGCTTCTTAGACGGGGTCGCGACCTTCTTCTCCGCCCTGGAGTCGGACTTGGACATCTTTTCGTTTCTTTCCTTTTTCTTCTTCTTCTTCTTCTTCCTAGATGGGAAGGGGAGAGTTGCACAGGTCTTGTACTGTACTGTTGAATTGGCTGAATGGAATTTGGTTTTTGCAGGAAAGGTCCTAGCTCTCTCCTTACAAAGAAGAGGAATTCGGGGAAAGGGAGAGGAAAATTTATGTCGGGCGGGGAATGGATATACTCGAAAAGATGTTCACATAATTTTCTGCCGCCGTTCAACCTTGTAAGAAGAGATGACAAGGGAAGGAAGACAGAAAAAGAATATGCGCCAGTGCGATAAGATAAGAACAATACAGTGGCACTATATCCACCATACTACCCACCACCTACCATTCTACCTGAGGCCACTTCCACTCCTGGCTGGTATCATGCGGCGACATGTAATTGATGCCTTCGAAGTTCTGGACACTTTCAGACCTAGTCTTGCCTCCCTGCGGAACACCACTTGATGCCTTTTTGAGCCACTAGTTACTGACACTGACGGCCAACAGCAGAGGCGTCAGCGCCTATATTGGAGCCACCCTTGTTTACATGAAAGTTCGACCGCGGAGCGCATGGGACACAACTAGCTGAGTTTCGACAGCGTCTAGAATTATTGCGAGTCTAGAAATCTACCATGATGTCCCCACCGGATACTCTCCCCATAAATGGATACATGACTAGAAAGAAACACCCCCTCATTACTCTCCTGACACCCCGTGACCTCCCTGCCATATAATTTCAAGCATGATCCATCCCCTACCCCAGATTTCTACCAGAGGTGAGCTGTCGAAAACGAGCCCGCCAAGTCAGAACTGTGTACAGACAGGTAGCAGGGCTTCGGTCGGCTTGGGATGCATGGTTGTAGATGGTCAGACTCCGAGAAGGCTCGCCAGTGGGGTGTGCAGTCCGAACACCGCCGCGGCCTAGACGACGAGGGCCAAAAGAAATGAGGAGCTCCGTCGGTCAGCAGCAGCGTGGCCAAGGGACCGTGTTACATGTGCCGCCGTCTCGTATGCCGGTGTAGAGTACGTCTCCGTTGGACCAGCATCCACTTCCCTAGCGCCGATTCCAACGCCGTTCACGGTGACGACAGCAACAGTCGAGATGATGCCGCCTGCTCCTGCATTGCCTAGGCTGCCTCCGTTCCCGAGCCCGTTGCCACCTGATCCCGCGCCTCCGAGTCCACCTCCGAGTCCACCTCCCAGGCCGCCGCCCAAACCGCCGCCCAAGCCGCCTGCACCCTCGCTGCCAGCCGTTACCACTTCAGTGACGGTCGACGAAACAACGGTCTCCGTCGTGACTGAGATAGCAGTGATGGTAGATCCTGCGCCACCAGCTCCGTTGCCACCGAGACCATTTCCCATACCGTTTCCCATGCCATTTCCGAGGCCATCGCAATCATCCCCGCCTAGACCATTACCGACACCGTTGCCGGACCCAGATCCTGCGGGACCGTATGTGTAGCCGCCAGGCCCATTTCCATTGCCACCAAGTCCCGATCCACCCAGGCCATTGCCGCCCAGTCCATTGCCAGAGCCAGATGCTGCGCCTCCAGCAGGAACAGCGAGAACAGTGACTGTAGCTTGGGCTCCATTGCCTCCCAGACTACCGGCACCTCCAAGGCCACCAGAGCCGCCGATACCACCGGCACCTCCAAGACCGTTTCCGAGGCCAGAATCAACTCCGTTTCCATTTCCGTTGCCGTAGGCTCCGCTTTCTGAACCGCCCAGACCTGAGCCTCCTGATCCAGTGCCACCCAGACCTGTGCCTCCGAGTCCAGAGCCACCAAGGCCTGAATTAGCTCCAGGCGCGAGAATGGTGATTGTTTGAATAGGCGCACCGGCCCCTGCGACTCCATTGTCCATACCATTGCCAGCCCCAGCGCCGTTGTCATTGCCAATGCCGGGTCCATTCTCACCTATGCCGTTTCCAAGGCCGCTGCCCAGTCCTGACCCGTTCATATTCTCGCAGTCATCACCACCAGCGGGGCCTCCAAGGTCAAGTCCGCCGAGTCCATTGCCGAGTCCATTGCCAAGGCTGTTGCCGAGTTCGTTGCCATTGCCACCGCCATAGGCTCCATTTCCCAAACCAGATCCGCCGAGGCTGATGCCAGAGCCAGAGCCAACGCCGCTTCCAACACCAAGTTCACCTCCAGCGCCGGGAATTAGGACAGTGACCGTTTCGGTGGGTGCACCCGGTGCACCAGAGTCTCCAAGGCCATTGCCCAGCCCATTCCCGCCGAGGCCGCTTCCGAGGTTGTTGCCGTTGTTACCACCAGAGGCTCCATTTCCCAAGCCAGTTCCGAGTCCAGATCCTGGGCCACTAACATCTCCTAACCCATCGCAATCGTCCCATTCACCTCCAAGACCAGATCCACCAAGTCCGTTTCCATTGGCTCCGTTCCCTGAACCAAATCCGCCCAGATCCGAGAAAGACCCAGAACCGGCTCCAGTTGGTAAGGCAAGGACCGTGATTGTGGCGGGGCCTCCAGCAACTGCAAGGCCGTTTCCGAGTCCATTTTCACCTAGAGCGTTGCCGCTCAGGCCGTTTCCAATTCCATTACCATAGACACCAGCACCAAGACCTCCAGCTGCTGGGCCACCGAGAACGCCGGCACCGAGGCCACCAAGGCCATTTCCTCCGAGGCCATTCTCGTCACAGTCGTCCATGTGGGAGATCTCATAAGAGTTACCAAGACCCCTAGAAGAAAGTTTGACATCGCGATTGACTGAGTCGAAAGCAAGAGGGGAGACGGTGGGTGTTGAGATGCTGAAAGGGGGGACTGGGGATGACAGAACAGCAGTAGCAGCAGCAGAAGCTTGCAGTAAAACAGAAGTGGCAGTTCCAAAGACGGAGATTTCGGAGAGGGTGACATCAGGAGATACGATGCCAGACAAGGCCGAGATGCCAAAAGACGGAGTGGTTGAATCAGTAGGAACAGACAAAGACGCAAGGGTGGTGAGCACAAGTGATGAGCCATCAACAGCGGAGATCTGGCTCATTTGAATATCAATCTCCAGGTGGATGTCAGGGCTTGAGGCCCCAACTTTGATGGTCTGGGGAAAGCCGAAGCTTCCAGTACTTCCCTGTCCAGGAGATATATCCACGGTGGCTGTGTTGATGCTTTCAGGGTCTGTATAGAGTAGGGTCAGTACATGCGATCATTCGAAGGGACCAATAAGAGACAGACCAATCTGGAGGGTCCCTGCGCAGGTGGTGTCAGACCACAACAGAGCCCCGAGGCTTGCCGCCCAGACGGTGGATCTCATGATGAGCAATGGAGACGAGACCAAGGTGGGACCGATCGAAAGACTGTGTATGGTAAGAGAGTGTGTATAGAAGAACCGCCGAAAATTGCTGCACGCAAAGGGATGATCTCCAAAAAAGAGTGAAGAGCAAGGAGAGCGAGAGAAGTGATGAACGTGAGAAGTTAGAAGCACAATCCAAAAAGGCCAAAATGAGTGACGTTCTCTAAACGTATTATAGGCTGGTAATGGCGATGTGTGGTGATGTGTCGAGGTGGGCGAAGTAAGTGGTTGAAGAGAAGAGGAAGAGGAAGAGGAAGAGGTCAAGGGCAGAAGTCAAGGAAGCGGTTGAGAAGATATAGGGGCAGAAGAAGTCAACAATGGAGACCGGCGCCTTCCATAACAGATGTCTTGCCATGATGGATGGAATCATGGAAGGCGCCAGGGCTTGGTAGGCATTCATGAAAAGCACCTTCTGCACCGAGAACAGTAAAGCAGGCTGTGAGCATGCCCCTGCCCAGAGGCCGTGCACCGCAACTCATTGCATTCCCCAACCCGTGCAACTACCAGCTAACCCTGTGCCAGTCATGTGGAGGAAGGCAGCGTCTCGCCACATGCATCCTTCCATGAGAGACCGTCCCGGGCCTGCCTACATCGTTCAATCATTTACAGTCTGGGCCCGTCCCACTGCGTGATTAGAGAAGGTGCCTTGCAGGCACAATAGGCCATGAGGCTCCAGACTCCAGCAGCAGGCGATATGTGGAAGGCACTGCCAACAGAGTTTGCAAGGATTGCCTACTCATTTCCCCTTGTTCCCAGACCTCGAAGGAGCCATCTCGCATTTCGTGCAAGCCGGTCAGAGTTCCCCAACAGATGCTTGCCGCTAAGGTATATGTGCGCGCTGGGTCGGGTGGCAAAGTGACGTGATTGGTTGCGAGCGTTCAGGAAGCGGGATCTCTCGAGGAAGAGGCAGTCGCACACAATTCTGCCGGCTGGTTCGATGCGGTCTGATTGACTTGATGATCTCTTGTGGCCCTTCAAGCAGCTATGCACCTGAGAAGAAAAGAAAGAAGAAGAGAAGAGAAGATCAGAAGAAAAAGAAGATATAGACAAGAATATGTACGCTCGCCGGGTCTTTGATGTCCATGAGATACCAATATCACCTAATTCCTTGGTTCTTCCTCCGCAAGGGCAAGCCCATTGTTTTGCGTGCCTCGGACCCTACAAGACCAGCGTAAATGTAGTGCTTCTCGCCCCTTCCAGAGTCGAGAGAGCCAGGATGAAATAGAAGTCTGATGCAAACTTGAACGAAACGTAGAATTTTCTTCTCTGCTGACAATCCACCAATGGGATGCTGCAGGTGCTCTGATGTGGTATTGCACGGCCGGGGAAGCTTTGTGACTCTTGAACGAACAGGAAAGAAGAAAGAATATAATCCAAGGTAAATGAATCTGATCTGATCAAATTGATGAAAAGTCCCCCCCCCCCCTCCTTCCACACAAAAAGAGGTAGATAGGTCGTACGCCTGGCCTGTTGAGGACGGCTGTCGTGGGACATCTGCGTCTTTGCGAATTCTGCGCTGAAAACATTCAAGAAAGAAAAAAGGATAAGAAAAGAAGAAAGAGGAAGAAGAGCTGTTGGTGCAGGCCATTGAGATCGGGAATGCCGGTCGCTGATGCTTGGTGGATCTGCAAGCTTCGTGCATTCAAGCGACGAGCCACGTTATCGTCTGTTTGCGACGGAGAATAGAATGATTCCCATTGCTGCAGTTTGACACAGGAGAGGGGGGGGGGGGGGGGGAGTGAGGTCCAGACCTCGCCGGACCGAAGAGACAGGAGGGGAGAATCCAGAAGGGACGTGATCACAGGATCAGACATCGTGGGTGGTCCTTGCGTCTCCTCCGTCGTTGTTTGCGGTTCCTGTCGGTGTCTCGATATCTACTGGTGTCGTCCGTATCATCCATCGCCTCCATGGCATCGTCTGCCCTCAGCATCTGTCGACAGATGTCGATAAAGACTTCGTCGACGTTTGCTGTCGATCCCTGTCAACATGCACTCCTCTCCTCCTGGTCAACAAGGGCAGCCACTCACTTCTGGTCCTAGCACTCGCCTCGTAATAAGGCGCGCCCCATTGTTGCGAGATAGCAAAAGCCTTGGTCCGTTGGACCTGTCGCTGGTCCTCAAGGTCGGCCTTGTTGCCGATGATGACGATGGGCACGTCCTCCCTGTCCTTGATGCGCAGAATCTCTTCCCTCAGCCCATACAGCTCTGCCAGCGAGGACGGCGACGTGATGCTGAACACCAGGAGAAAGCCCTGGCCATTTTTCATGTAGACATCCCTCATAGATGCTATGCAGTGTCAGTAAAGCTATTTTCTGAACAAAATGGGGACCAGTGTGTATGTGTGCCATGTCTTACTGAATTGTTCTGTCCCTGCAGTGTCGAGGCTGGACCAGGGTCAGTCCTGTGCGGCTCAACCGAGACACCATGTCTGACACAACAACGCACTCACATTTCCAGGACTACTTGCCGACCCTATGATACACATTAGTGATCGTGAGGATAGGGAAGATGGATGAGAAAAAGAAACACCGAGACCACTGCCTAGGAGAGACAAGTCTTACATCGACAGCAAGTTGTTTCTGGTAAGAGTCCTCGATAGTCGGATCATAACTCTCGATCCACTCTTGGTGAACGAATTGTGCTGTTGATGGCGGATCGGTCAGTTTAGCGTTCACATGATCACTCCTCATGTTGGGATGACAGGCTGCTAGACCAGGGGCCTTGAAGAATGCCCATGTCGATGGAGTGTGGTGGGGGATCCACTCACCAGTTAAGCAACTCTTCCCCACGCCGCCTGAAGTGCGAGAAAAGGGGGCTGTCAGTCAAATCTGCACGTTGCGGCCGCGAAACTTTGCAGCTAAGGGGGGTTGGGTGGGGAGGGGGATATGCGCAATGCAGATGGTGAGGGGGTTTATGAGCCCAAAAAGGGGGGGGGGGGGTGGTTCTCACCTGCTCCGAGAACGACGACCTGAAACTCGCGACTGTGAGGCACACCTGTTTAGAAAATGCCAGAGAGGATGGGGACGAGAATGAGGTGGGGAGAACCGTGACTCACAAAGCTTGGTATCTTGACGGCATTGTCTCGACCCTGGCAGCACCTGCACCAAGCCTGACTCGGAGGTGCAGCAGGTCCAAGTAAAAAGAAGGAGGGAAGGGGGGGGCAAGGGAGCGGAGGGCGGAGGGGTCAAAAAAAAAAAAAAAAAAAAAAAAAAAAAAAAAAAGGATGAAGCTTCGCCTGTCAATCGGGCAGAGCGATTTCACCGCAGGCGTGAACCGAACCGCCTTCGCCAAGGCCGTTCAGTGCCTGTGCGGGTGGGTCGCCGGGCGGGCGGTAGCAAAGTTCCGGACCCGTACAGACTTCGGCATGTAGCGGTGGTGGTTCGGTTGGAAAGAACTGACTCCCTCAGAAGAAGTTGGAAAATTGATCGAGTGCGGACAGACGACTTTATTTCAAAAAGTCAAGGGCCGTCGCAGAAAGTTGCAGGCGCGCGTAGATCCTTGCGAGATTCAGCCTTAGGGGGGCTGGAAGCGGGGGGGGGAGGGGCGCCGCAGAAACGGTTGACACGGAGGAAAGACGTGGAAGCCGAGTGGAGGGGGCCGGCGTGTCGGTATAGCAGGATAAGCGGTAACTGTTGGGGTTGGCGAGAGAGAGGTCTGGGGTCGATGTCGAGCTCAAACTGGACCTTGGTGTGCCGCAATTGACCTTGACGAACGTGCTAGGTTCAGAGATGGGATTTGGGAATCTGGCCAAGTAAGGGCTGGCGAGGTTGTCGAACCAACAGACCAAGTGGCACAAAATTGTGCGTCGAGGGTAGAAGAAGGGGGAGGGGAGAAAAGAGTTGCAAGTTATGTTGGAACTTCACATCAGGGATAACCGTTCTGTCCTGGAATGGAGGGAGGCGCGGGGTTAGGTGCCAAGGCAAATGCCTCGGCGGCGTCGATTGGTGGAGGAGAGACGGTCGTTGTGCGTGGACTGCACCAGGGAAGGATCAATATCAAGAAGGAAAGTCCGAGGAGGGAATCTGGACTCGAAGACAAGAGAGGTCCGGATGGTGTGGAAGAACGCGCTCCGATGGGCAGTCAAAGCCGTGACCTCGTCCAGGCCGCCGAGGGAGTGTTGAGTGTTGAGGGTCGGGGTCGATAAGAAGAGGATGTTGAAAGAGGCGGCCTTTTTCTTCTCTCTTCTCTTCTCTCTCTCTCTCTCTCTCTCTTCTGGTTTCTTCACACCCTTTTCTAGGTATGGACCGGTAACAAAGCTGATATGGCCGAGTTGTGAGGTGTTTCCAAGCCGGGCTGTTCACCTAGTCATGTATGTATGTACTCGGTGCGACGGCCCAAGGATCAGGTGCGCCTTGCCTTGCCTGAGGTCTACGGCAGCCAAGGGCCCCCCTTGACTGACCGATCCCCGTAATTGGCAAGGTAGCGACGCAGTCTGTGCGGTCAGGCACGCACTCGGAGCCCGTGGGAGAAAGGCTGGCCCATACAGCCCAGAAGCTGGTGCGTGGCAGGGCTGTCACTGATCAGAGCGCTGACCGGCTGTGCTCGTAGGCGGCAAACGGTGTGCAACGCGAGCGGGAGGCGAGAAAACACCTTCGTACAAAAAGAATACGGACGCGAGGCGGGGGAGGGAGGGAGACAGAGAGAGGCTGGTTGGGCTGGGCTGGGCTGGGCTGGCGCACGGTAGAAGAATCCAAGACAGGGGGTCCAGATAGGGAACACGCGAGCGAGGAGGTTGAGCAGTACCCTATTGTAAGCCGAGGGCAGACCTGTCCAATGGAAATACAAGGAAGGCTTCAACCGGTCAGGGACTGCGCGACGACGACACGCAACTCTGTGTGTGAAGGACACCGGAAGAGGGGAGAGAGGGTGCCCTGAGGGTCAATCAAACTTCTAGAAGGGAATTGAGGATGGATGCACGAGGGTTTTTAGACCCGACGTAGGGGTATCCGTTCAAAAACAGAAAGATTGAAGGGGATTTGAGCCGAGCAACGAGGTTCAAGAAGCGGAGCTCTGTGTGTGTGTAAGAGTGAGAGTGAGAGAGAGCGTACGTGAGTATGTGTGTGCTTGTGTGCCTGTGCCTGTGCCAGGCCTGGACTGGAGCCCAGCAAACACACACACACACTCTCTCTCTCTCTCTCTCTCTCTCTTTTTCTCCCACCCACACGCACACACACAAGCCCCCTCCCCCCAAACAATACACACACAATCTCTCAACTTGTTGACATTGTGGTTTGACGGCAAGGTACCTTGACCAGAAGTAAGATGAAATTCTGAGGAATTCTCCGAAGCGGTAGCTACTGGCTCGCCAGTGTCTCCATTTGCCTACCCGGCTTTTTGTTATTATTGCTCTGTTTTATCATCTTTGTTTTGATTTTTGCTTCCCCCCCCTCTTCTGCCCTTTTTTTCTTCTTCGTTTCTGTTCTAAAGAAAGGAAAAGAAGTTTCCTCTTGTTTTCCCTCCCTTCATTTTCCCTGGGAATGGTTTTGTTTTTTCTGCCTTGGTTCATTTTCTGTCTCTGTTCTCTTATCTCCCCCGTTCTTCTTCTCTTTTGTTCTTCCCCGCCTCCTCACCTTTTTCCCTCCTCTTCCTAGCAGATCACTACTCAGACTGCACTTCTGGAGTAAAGACAGAGTGTGCTGTGGGTCGTCAAAAGCTTGCAATCACCCTCTTGGCTCCATCCTGTCTTGTCTCGTTCGTCCTCCGGGGGGCGCTACTGCATAAGAGCCCCCGAGGTGCAGGCGCTCGAGGTCCCACTGTGGGTGGTCCCTGGTTACCAGGGCTTCTGAATCTCAGGGCGCACCTCATGGGCCCAAGTGGGCTGGGCCGAGACTTTTGGGGCCTTTCCGTGCCGGCTGGCCCCTCCAAGCAGCAGCCTGGACCAACCACGAACTGTCTTCCAGGCGAGTCAGCTGCAGGCCACCCGCCTTCCTGCTTTCCCCGGAGGGCCCCTGTAGAAGCAGTTGGGAGGGCCTGCCCACGTTTGAAAATTCAAAACATCCATAGGAAGGAGAGAAGAGAAAAGAGGAAAGAAGCAACGAACAGGGAGGGAAGAAAAAAAAGTAGGAAGGAAACGGAAATGAAAGGGAAGGAGACAAAGAAAGAAAAAAAGAGAAAAAGAAGATGAAAAGGAAAGAAAGGAGAAAACAACCCCCTCCACCTCAGAAGCTTCCAATTCCACTCCAATCACGACCCTCCCCCTCTCCCTTCTCTCCTCCTCAACCTCCACCACAACCACCACCACTACCACCAACATTGCTCCACAGCGCAGCGATCCACGCCCGCCCATAACCCCTCGCACCAAGTCACCGACAACCTGTCTCGACCCGCCCATGTTGAGTAAAAGATCCACTCCTCCACCCGGAAACCTTGTCGCCATGCACAACTCGGCTCCACAATACTAGAGCTTCTGGACTGCTTTGGGAAATGCCGTCTCTCCTGGAGGATCGCCTTGCCTTCTGTGTGGCTACCATGGCGTTGGGTATGATCCCGAGCAGGGAGGAACGGCGCCATTCCATCCCGGAACTTCTCCATGTTAAGCCCTCTCAAGTGGCAATCACCACTCGACAGCGCTCCATGACCTAGAACCATCGACAGCAATAACTCGAGAGTGCTGTTACATACACCATGTACCGTGGTACTGACTGTACTATGGTGCCAGGTCCCTACGCCGGTGCTCTTTACACGCTACATTCGATACAACACAGGCTCACAAGCTAACAGGCTAACAGGCTAACAGCCATCTTGCGTTGTCTTTTGTACCAAGGCTGGCAGTATGTAGGGAAACGCGACAGACCTGCCTGGTCTCCACGGTGTCGCCTCCGAGTCCCAGCCGGTGCAGACTGAGTTTACAGCAGGCACCAACGGTTTTCTCCGTCTCTGGCCTACGGCTATCGCTGTCTGGCCCACACTAGCATTGTCGCACAAGCCGCTCTGACCGCAGGCGTTTTCATCCCGAGAGCAACGTCGAAACAGACACCAATTCAAGCGGCTCCTGTCCTCTCCATGCAGCCGTGCCTGGCTAAGCTGAAAACAGGATCCAGGCCATCAGCTGTGGGCTACCTCGATTCCAACCGCCTCCTTCTCTCTCATCGCCGTCCGTCCCACTTCATTGAAGCTCGGCAACAAGTTACCCTGCTGTGGCATAGTGGCAAAGCGGCTCTTGCCGACCCGCAACTTGACCGCCTTGACACGAAGTCCTGCATAGTCACACAGAGTCTTCTGCTAATTCACGCAGTGCTCTGTGGCCAATACAGAGCGACGATTCCATGGACGAGCTAGTTTCCCTTTAGAAGGCCACGAGATACGTCCTGCGGGGGAACTAGGCCAACATGTGCTTCCTTGTCAGCGGGAGGGTGAACTCCATCACTAGGAACATTTCCAAGCCTTGAAACCGCCCTCAATCTATATCTAGGAGGTATTCGAGATGGCCCTGGCCCATGATCTAACGGCAGCACCTTTTCTAAGATTCTTGCCAGCTCAGCTCACCTCCCTCCCCTCAGCAACGTGTTGATGATGTGGTCTCGGTGCCGCTGAAGATATCATTCTTTGTCGCCGTCAAAAGTTGTCTGTTGGGCTCTCTCTACTTAACTAGAGTTTTGCGACATAGTGAGGCCCACGAATGTTGTAACTTCCGATAAAAATACGCAGGACTCAAGGCCAAGGGGGCCCTTGAAGCTCAGCACGAGGAACACTCAGTCGTCCTCACAAGGCAACAAGTCAAAACACTAAGATGATCGATGATCCCTAATGCCTAAGTGAGATGTACCTTTCTAGAGTCATCCCAAGACACCAAATGTGGACGAGAAATACTTGTCAATTGATACGTGGCTCAACGGGCAGCACGCAGCACTGTCTTTTGTGTGGTGGGCCACTGCCACGGCGCGGCTCTGGCCCTCTTCTGGCTTACTGCTCTGCTCTCACACACTTGGCCTCCTCATGGGAACTATTGGTTTGCAATTCGCCTCTCAGCAAGGTGGTTTTTGGCATGGCACACGTCGTGTCACCTGGGGTGGCCCCGAGAACTTGGCGGATGCCATGTACAAGAGGGCTGCGAGGTGACGGATCCGGTAGCGCTGAGCCGTTAGACACGCTGTCTATACAGGTCTGGCCTGGGCTGCAAGCACCTCTTTCAAGCACACCCTGACCGGTCGTCGCCTAAAGACATGGGCACCTGCACTATTGCTGTGCATATAGCCTAAAGGACTGACATCACAGGTCTCGACCGTGTCAGCAGGTCTTCCTCGGCGGGTGCTCGCCGATGCTGAACATGATCCATTGCTCCGATTGTCAAGACTAAGCCTCGGAGGTCCCGAGCGCAACACATTACGAGGCTTCAAGGAGCGCCTCAGAAAGTGACAAGCCCACATGGGGTGCTGTTACTCGCTGCTGAGGCAAGTGACACGTCAAAAGCTTGTAGGCCTAGGACATGACAAGACCGTGGAGGGACGACAGCAGGGCATCTTGACATACTGTGTGCTGGACCACATCACTTTACCTGGCACCGGTAAACAGTACCTTCTTGCCCACCTGGACAGACTGACAAGTGCCGGCGGTGGAGCATTGGGTGGGAGCAGCTGCAATGCTGCGGCGGTGTTGTTCTGCAGACATTCTCATCCCTTATTCAACGTGAAGAGGAAAACAGCCCCCCTCCCCTCCCCCGGGAGGGAGTATTCGGTGGCCGGAGAGAGTATTCAAGCCGAGCGGACTCGCCTAGCTGCGGAACGCTCATCGAGGACAGGGAAGCACCCCTCTCGGCACATTGCAGCGGTCGCCAAACTAACGTGCCTCGATGTCATGTCGTTACTCCCCTTCTCCTCTTCTGTTCTACCCATCTTGATGTGTCAGTACTCATTGTCACTTTTGGTGAACACAAACAAACTCATAGTCGCGGTCGAGGGGACGTGTAGGCACCGCAGGTCAGGGAGTTCGCATCAAAAGACCGGTTGTCCGTAGTTGACCAAGTCCCCGATACAACCCCGACTTACCGGTCGTGATCCTTGCCTCAGGATCTTGGCGGTCAGTTCAGGTGTCTTCATGTCACGTCACGGTGATGAATCAAACATCTCATCCAGCAACTGCCGCCCAATAGTACTAGCTCCAACTCATCAGGTGGTGAGTGCCCCCTTGCTGCAAACCCTGGCCTGCATAATATCCCGGCACGCTGGTTTGGCAGCTGTGGAACGTTTGCGCCCGCTCCTTTCGGTCCTGGTCTCGGCTCTCAGGGGACGAGGCCTGGGTGGCTGTCGGCATGAGCGAGCTACGCCTTCACTCCTGACTCTCTGTGAACCCTGTCTGGACTGGACTGCAGTTACGCTGGCCGGCGCCCCGCGACAGAACAGGACTGGCAGCGCGGCTAGACGTTAGTCGCGGCTGCAGGAGCAGAGTGTCTGGTGGGGAGAGTGCGAGTTGACCGTCAATGTCATACCTAGTCCCTTCCCGAGCTCGGTTAACATGCTTCACCGTCATCCCGTACACGGCGCCAGCCGAGCCACGTGCATGATAAGCAACGGGCCGGATTGTTCGTCTTATGTGAATGGCCTGCCTCATGTGCGAAACGATGAGGTGTACCCAACACAGTATCTCTATAGACGAGAAGGAGGGGCATTCTCTCCCCATCCGGGCCTGTGAAATCAATCTTCCAGACGCAACAGTGAAATGTAGCACACCGAAGTACTACCGGAGCCTGTACTTGAGCCGTACTAAATCAGAGAAAAGACCAAGCAGAACACCTTCGCCGACCTAATTGGTATCCTTTGGTGGTACCAAGACGTATTTTTGATCGAAGATCATGCATCTTATTTCGCCAAAATTCAGCATGACGGGAAACTCAGTCCCATTACTGCGCTGTGTGTGAGCTGGGCGAAGCTGATGCCCATCGGGAAGTTTCGACTCCGCGGCCAGATGTCTTGGAGGCAGCAGGAGGACTTCGATGCCAACGCCGTCTCGGGCCGTGTACATACGATTATTTATTCGTTCTTTTCTTCTTTCTCTATTTTTAGCGCTGAGTGTGCATCGTCGCCTTGACCTCATCGTGGTTCCGCCGTAAAATGATCCATCGGATTTCACAGCGCTGGTGGTTACCGTAGGGCAACACATTGGCCATGCCTAGCACCAAAGCAAGTCATTACCAGTTTTCCAAGATCTTGAGGGGAGCTTTGTCATAATGTGAATCCAACTTTCTTACGGTATAGTTGCGGCTTGGTTTTGCGCCAGATGCTCTATTTCGCCCATGATACACGCATCGCCTATGACTTCCAAGACTTGCTCCTTACACAGAACCAGCCTATCGGCATCACAGGGCGCCATTGGCTACACTGTCGACGCGACTCCCCGCCCCCAGGTCGGGCCACTGTCGCTCAAGCTTTCTTCCCCCCCATCATTCCCATCCCCTGTTATCTGTGCCGGATTTATGTCCGGTTCAGGTGCCACCCCTAGTTCCGTGTCCTTCTCAGATTCGGCCCGTCTCTTCCGAAGCTTGCGGCCTTTCCTCTCGGCGAACTTGAAGGGAATGCCTTGCTGCTCATGCTCGGCTGCAACGTCGTCGAATGTCTTGCCCTGTGTCTTTGCTTCCTTTCGGATCTTACGCGTCCGCAACAGCCAGATGATGTGGCTAGAGAAGATCCCTAGCTCCAGACAGCAGCTATTGAGAGTCACGTGAGCCCTTGGCCGTCTGTGGGTGATACTTGAGGGCAAAAGCAAGATAGGTAATCTTACCAGACTATGTATATAATGCCACCGAGAACATCAAAGGTGGTTTGAGCGACTGCAAATGTGGCTGTCAGCAGGGGTGATCGGGTTTGCCGAGTGGTGCCTGGCTAGCCCTAATAACATATAGACCTACCGAGTGCCATGAGCGAGAAGAATGCGCCGCAGCAGTCCATGGTGAGGAATATCTAATGTTTCCTTTCAATCAGTTACCAGCCCGAGCTCGGATTTTTCATGTAAGGCACTTTGGGCACAGTGGCGTACCCAGTTGATCCCAATCACACGTCCCCTCCTCTTCCAGATTTCGCCATACGGAGGCAGAAGGCCTGCCGCCAACAGGATGGAGGCAACGATGCCTATCACCAATACCGGCGTCCCATTGCCCGCGAGATAGATCGGCTGCGGGATATTTTGTTGTCAACATCGAAGGAGGCTATGACAGCAAACGGGAAACCGGGGGGGGGGGGCCTTACAAACTTACCTGTATAGTGAGGATGAGCGCCGCCTCCACACCACCAAACACCAGCCCCGTTCCGACACCAAGCAGCGCAGCTGTCCAGACCCTCCACTTGCTGTGGTAGACCAGCGTCTGCGTCCAACTGACGAGGCACAGGGCCATGAAGCACTGCGGCTGCACCTGGATGGGGATGTTGAAGTTCTGCACGATGCTGTAGACGCCAAAAGGGACGCCGCACAGTGCCCACAGGAACATCATGCTGCTCGGGAGACCGTCGGTTGATTTGGTGCGCCAGTTGGTCCAGATCTGCGGGACGAGCTGAACACACCAGAGGATGGTCCCTATGGTACCGAGGACGTCTGCCGAGACAGGAATCGAGGTCTGGGGGGCCATTTTGAGGAGGAAGGGGGGGGGGGGTGGAGATGTGTCGAATTATCTGCAAGAAGTCGTGATGGTCGGGCTGCGTTGACCTAACGAGCGTAGTTCATAGAATGAACACGCCGTGCCCACCACCAGCCGTCCCCCAGAGAGAGATGCAAACACGAAACACTCGTCAAGTCCACAGAAATGAACAAGACAGGCTCGTTCGGCTGTAATATAACACAGAGTGAGAGAGGACAAGAGAAAAAAAGCTGATAAGTATCGACTCTTTTTTGCCTTCAACACCTGGAAATGACGTGTATTAAAAAACGCTTGGCCGGAAACAAAAGTCTCTGCTTATACACCTCGTAAAGCTGAGAGAGGACACTTAAAGGACCAAGCAGCACAGAAACACAAGTGATGAGACGTCGCAGGCCGAGAGACTTCTTTCGTCTTGCGTCTATATTCTTCAGGAAAACAATACATGGTTGAAGCAGAGTGGATCTTCACACAGGTCTGTCCAAAGAATCTCTCAAGCCGTCATCGACCGATGACCGGCCAGAGAGGAGGTATTCCCGAGCGGATCGCTCGCCCCACCACCTACTTTGTCCTTTTCGGCACCGACGTCCATTACGCCTTGTGGAACGGGAGTGCCGCTCACGGTCCGGGATTCGCTATTGTTATTTTCAGGAATTGTGCCTTTCTTGTGGTGAACGAATGAAGGCCTTTTCAGAGCCTTGGGCGTAAATGTCGTGTGTTTTCACCAGAGTAGTATTTTGAAGGCTGACCCATCATGTCTTACATGTTGTGCTGTGCAGGCGAGCTGCAAGTCGTAATCATGCTTCTGAGCCCTAACCCTGGGCTTGAGTAGTAACATCTGGTCGCACTGTGGGCTGGTTCTTGGACATGGGCTGATTAAGCTTGACTGAGCCTAAATTGTACAGTAAGTATAGCACAAAAGAACTGTGCTTTCTGATTTTCAACATGGATCCTTAGGGAAAATATCATTGGCAAAACTTTAATGGCAAGCACGTTCCATTGGTGAACGAGTAGACCTCAACCTCACTTACTGCTTGGTTCATCTTCCGCAGATTTGAGATTTCACGTTCTCATCTTGAAAAGAACACCCTCATTTCGTACCGAAATTCTCTTTTTCTCACAGGGCATACCAGTACTGCCGCCTTCAAGTATCAACAGAAGGTTGTCTCACCCAAGTAATCGAGACGGTCCTCACCTCGTCCTTCCTCTCTCTCACCTCATTACACAAGCCACCAAGATGTCAAAACCAACAACACAGAAATCCCACCCCGCCAGGTCAGGATCAAAAAAAAGAAAGGCACCTTCGGACGACGATGTTCGAGGCACTGAGGACAGGACGCAGCAGAAGGTGGCGGTAGCAGCAGCAACAACAGCCCCACGCGCCTCCAAGAGACCCAAGCAGAAGAAGAACCGCCGCCCAGACGCCGAGGACGAGGAAGCGCTGTTTGACCTCGACCTGGGCGTCAACACCATCTTCGGCCGCATGGACCCAGACCTGCTCACCGACTACGTGGCGGCCAACACCAAGCGCTTCGGCACCGAGCTGTCTGCCATCGAGCTCTCGGACCTGTACGTCCCCGCGGGCGCGGTCAGGGACACGACTGCATTTTCCAAGACGAGGGTGAAGGAGAACCTGGCCGAGTTTCTGGAGAAGTTTGCAGGTGGGGAGGATGAGCAGGAGAAGAAGCGGCTGGGGACGGCACCTAAGAAGTGTGGGAGTCCGCACACGATTGTGGTGGCGGGGGCGGGGCTGCGGGCTGCGGATCTAGTGAGGTGAGGTTGCGCCATTTTCCTATTCCTGTGGTGCGAAAGAAGAAGGAGAAGGAGAAGGAGAGAGCTGAAGGGTCTCGGGGATGGGGGATGCGTATGCTGACTATAAGACAGGGCGACGAGGAAATTTCAAAAGAAGGAAAATGTGGTTGCGAAGCTGGTAAGTTGTTGACATGGTGGTCCCCACGCCGTGCTTCTAGTTGGGAAGGAATGCGTGCTTACCAGGTCACACAGTTCGCGAAGCACTTCAAGGTCGCAGAGCAGGTCGATTTTCTCAAGAAAAACAGGACGGGCATCGCCGTTGGCACCCCAGCCCGTCTGGCAGCCCTGTTAGAAGACGGTGAGTTTGTTCATCCATGGAAAGGTGAAAGCAAAGAGAAAGAAAGAACTGCATCGGCTATACAACGCACAAGATAATCTGGCTAACACTGGAAGCAGGAGCACTATCCATTGAACACCTCAAGAGGATCGTCATTGACGCCTCGCACATCGACCAGAAGAAGAGAGGCATCATGGATATGAAAGACACTATGATGCCGCTTGCTCAGTGGTTAACGAGGAAAGAGTTTAGGGAGAGGTATGGTGATCTGGACAAGCCTTTGGACCTACTGTTCTTCTGAGGGCTGCAGAGGCTCATGTCCTGATGTGGACGGGTCAATGGTGCTCGTTCAGATAGGTGATATTGGCGTGTGATGCTGAGCAGGACGGTGACATAGCCTGCGGAGGATGGGAGCAAGGCACATGGCGACAGCGGACCTGCATACCACAGCGCAATAGCCAACCACCAGCAACAAGCTCAGGCGTTGCAAGCAGAAAAGGAAAGGCCTAGACCTGGCCAGACAGAATCAGTGTGCAGCCATGGTGCACGTCGGTCTGCACACTTACGAAGAAGCGATGAAGTTTCCAGTCACAGATGGTATTCGGGGTGGGTGGATCAAGCATGGCAGCAGCAGCAGTTATAACGGGCGCAATATGTGCTCGTCAAAGGTTGAGCGACTTGATCGGATGAAGTTGCTCTCCCTGTCTCGCTCTCTCTCTCGATGATAATAATAATATCTCCCGTCGGGTTTCATGGCGCGTCTCGATTGCTCCCAGTAAACCTTGGTCCATTCCCTCACCCACTCGGACTTGTTCGTCATAAGACAGCATGCGGTCCTATCCAGCCATCCGAGCTACTGCCCCAGCGCAAAAAGCACAAACGTGGATCGAGTGTATAACATGTATTGTCGTGCCTGAAGACAGTTCGGCGCGTAGGACGTCCGCGACCGACAATCAGAGAGTAATTCCACCACCATGCCGACCTATCCGCGATCGTCTGCTTCTGAAATGACATCTCACTCATTAGGCTCGTCGCTCTCTCCCCACTTGTCTCGAATATATTGCCCCCTACCCCCTCAAACCCCCTCAAGTCCCGTCCGTCTTATGGAGTCCTGCCCTCCCGACCTCCAGTCAGCCCCCGGATGCCCGTCACCACGACCCACCCCGCTACGACAGCGATCACGGCGATCCTCAGCTCTCTGGCGACGCCCACGACGGCTGGGCTGATGGTGAGTGTGTGGATGTGGTTGATGGCTCCTGAGTGTTCTGCTGCGAGGGCGAATGACTCCATCTTTCTGTTTTCTCTCTCTCTTTTTCCTGTTCTGTTCCTGTGGTGGTGGGTCCGGATAGGATGACCAGCAAAGTTGGTGGTATCCTTGCCAAGGACAGGCTTCAAGCTGTTCCAAATGCCCGTGGATGGAGTCCAGTCAAGACAGGAATAGTAGCCCCAGATTCAAGTGCAGAAATGTCAGAACGGCAGGTGGTGATGTGGGCGACAGATGGGATTGACGGTTGGCTTTTTCAGGGTTCACGAGAGAGGGTTACTAAATGAGCTTCGGGCACCAGTAGATTTTACAAAGAAGCGACGACGTGCCCACCCGAGTAGAGTAATTTCCAGAGCGTCCAACCCTCAACCCGCGCAAGCAAGTTCAAAACTCGTCTACATTCTGTCCAATCTGGCCTGATCTCGTGTCGACACTCATTTTCTAGAAGATCTCCTTGCAGCAAGACACCTCAAATCGCCTTAGTTCCTTATGTCTTGTTTTGTTATTTTGTTCTGAATAAAAACTGAGACATGCACAGCAGCCTAACTCGAAGTCGCTTGACCGCTCAACTGTGGCCAGCGCAGGATTGACTCGACATCTTTCTGCGTTTCTGCTGTCCGTGTTGTGGTGTCTATATCACGATAATGAATCAGAAAGAAAAGAAGAAAGAAGAAAAAAAAGAAAAAGAAGAAAAAGGAAGTTGACGGCTGAGGAACGACTTTGGTGATGATGGCCGTGCCAGGTTGATCGGGGCGCACGCCACGCATTACGCCTGCCAGAGATCTATCCTGAAGGCCAACATCACCCTCCTGTCAGGACACCCATCTTGATTACCTCCAGGTTTCTGATATATCTGGAACAGCACATGGTCGTAGGGCTCTCATTTGTCTTGGTCTAGAGAGGTGCATAGAGCCTGATGCACAGAAGGAACGGTCGAGAAGGTCCACACGCCGCTCTCACTCGAGGCCAGGGAAAAGGGGGCACGAGCTTAGTATGTAATGGTCTGACTGGTTCTGATGCATGTGGCAGACTTGTATCGGCCGAGATGTATCGTGTGCTTACCTCTTTCTTTCAAGTAGCACCTCGACTTGGATCCTTCTCGAATGGAGAACTGCATGCTTAAGGCACAAAAGGCGACAGGGTTTCCATATTTCCATATGTAAACTCGCGATCTGAGGAATTTGAAGGCAATGGTCTCATCCCTGCTTATTCGCACACCACAGCCTCCCGGGATTAAACCCAGACCACACCACCGTGGTCTTTACCATCATCCTCAAGCCTCCCCTCCGTCTTCAGGCGTTCCAATTCTGCCTTGAATTTCTTGGTGATGGCGATGATGAACTCCGGAGAGCCCGGCGTCAGCCCCACCTTGGCGGCGTCGACCCTGAGCCAGGGGATTTGTCTCGCCCCTTCGGTGCTCGCGGCGAGCTCCTGGAGGCGGCTGATGATCTCGTCCGTGTAACCGCCGCCGAAGAGGATCGCCCTCGGCGGGGAATCCCAGTTCCCCGTGCCCAGGGAGCTGCTGGGGCTGGGCGGGGCCTGATTTTTCAGGAGAAAGGGGAGTTCATTCTCGACGTTGGAAAGCAGGGCCAAGTGGATGACTAGATGGTTGTGATCTCATGTCAGAGCCTGACAATACTTTAATACAGAAAAAAAAAGTCCAATTCATAAGAATGGCCATTCGCAGCATGATACATCTTTGGACTTCAAACGAAGACTTCTTTGCCTTTTACATATTGACGTTGTTAAAAGCTCGCTCCGAATCGGTCTTCCTCTTGGCAGCAAGGCTTTTGTTATAAGAAGAAGGATTACAAGACCGCGCGGCTCACCTTCATATTCAGGCTTCAACTGATCTATAACGGCACGCCCAATCTCCTCGTGAATACCAGTTGTGATGACAGGTGTCGCCTTGATTGACATCTTGAGCGTACTAATATGATCACTTGATCACAAAGATCCTGTCAGAGAATGAGAAAATCAGGGCTTGGGAACGAAAAACGATGTCATTGAATCCGCCAAGGTGCGTGCAGGTGGAGAATCTTCATTATAATGGCTCAGTATGATCCAAGTAGAATAACTAGGGCTCCTCCTCTCGCTCTTTCACGACCCCGCTCCGATCGTACTTCAGTAAGCAGAAGGTAATATTTTAGTGATATTTCTTAAAGATCTCGCCACTCGGTGCACCTAGTTCATCCATGTCCGGTCAGCCTTGAGAGATGCCGCCATCTCGAATACAAAAGTTGGCCTATACATCCGAAGTTTCTTCCTAAAAGCTAGCACCACCGAATCGTCGGTGTAGCTGGCAGGTCTGGATATTGCAGACAAGCCCTCTCGGCCTTCGTCATGATCGGTAAACGCGAGTTAACGTGCTGTACTGTAAACAACAAAAAATTATGGCTCTCGTCAGGGTTAGCGCTTGCACCAGTTAGCGCTAAGTTGTATATTTTGTTGAGGTCCTGTGAGCAATCAAAGGGATGGGGGCATCAATGTTATGCCCGTTAGATACCAAACTAGAGGCATAGCAACTAAAAGCTTTAAAGAAATGGGCAGGACGAATCAATGTCTTTCACACGTGAAACTATTTGTCCACTTTTGAAGGTGAATTTCTCATCCTAGGCTGTGGGGGGGTCCCGCATCAGGATCCATATCTCAAAGTACCATGGAAGGAAAAAGTTTCAAGATGCATCTCAGCCAGCCACAGCCAACTGCAAGACTATTTCCGCGGTGCTGAACAAAGCGCGGAAAAACCCCGGAGCTTTGAGAAAATCATCAAGATGTGGATCTTACAGTTTTCTCTCTATTCGGTAAGAAAAATCGGGAGTTACAATAGAAGCTGAATAGGGGAGGAATGGGGAAAGAACTGAGAAGCAAAACCTATTTACTTGAGTAGGTATCTGCAGAAAGATGCACAGCCTGAAGCCAAGATATTGATCCAAGACCTTGCAGTTCACATCTTCAATCTTTATTTTCTTTTCTTTTCAAGAGGTGATACAAAGGTAAGAAGAATTTGCAGACACAGTCCGCCTCTGTGTTAGTCAACCCAGCCCCAGCAATATACTGAATCCCTCATTGTGGACTACCAAACATGTTAATTAATAGTGCTATGTAGTGAACGTACTAGTAGTATGATAGGGCTCAATGTCTTGGTGTTGTCTTCTACACCCTATTGATGGCGGAATCAGCCTGAGATTGTAAGTGACACAAGTTGCCAACCTCAAGGTGGCGCTGAACTTGACACCTGCCTCTCTGCCTCCTCGGACACGGCTCGTGAAAACCTCTTCAGCTCGACCGAGAATGTGACCGAAGAAGAAGCAAAATACTGTTTGGAAGGGGAGGGGGGAGCGGGCGGCTCCATATTGAACCACATGGTCACCACGCCTGCTAGCGCACAGGTTTCGTCCAGCCGCCCGTACGGCAACGCCGCCGTCGCTTCGCCCTGAAACCTGACGCTATCGTGCTCCGCCGGCTGCCTTCCCCTTAGCTCTCACTTGTTCGCTGCGGCGCAGAGAGAAGCGCGGTGGTGGACTCCACGATGGCGTGGATGTCGTGATGGCGTGGCTCCTAGTCCTCGCGTTTTCCTCTTTCTGCTTTCTTGTTTTTGGGAAGAGTGGTCTTTGTTCTGTTGTTGTTGTTTTTCCTTGGGAGGGGAGGGGCGGTGGGGCAGGTCAGTGCCTTCTGCGAGTGTCTCGCGGTGATGCAGGGAAGGATGGGGCCATTACTGAGGTGGCCAGCAAGATTGTGGGGCCAACATGTTTGCTTTTTTTCTTCTTCTTCTCGAGCAGAGAGAGTGATGAAAAGCTTGTGTGATAATGTTATTCATTGCTGTGTTGTCACTTTGCCTTCGTTGTGGGCTCTAATTCCTCAGAAGAGGAGAGGTTGGACTAGTTACCCTGACAGCTTGAAGGACAAACAAAGAGGTTTGACAATAGGTACAATGCCCATCTGGCCTCACAGTAATCCAGGCACCAAGGAGTTCAATTTGCTGTTGAATCTTACGCCCTTGAGCGGTATCATGTTCGACTTCTCAAGACCATTGGTGTGATGTATTGGCATTTTTTCATCCACGAGTCCAAAGCCTTGGTTCCGGGAGTTTCAAGGGTCACTGGTTATGGGGGACCCACACCGAGCGTTGGTATCACGAGGACACACGGGTGGTGTCAAGAGCCACCTGCAAGAATTCTTATCGAAATCATCCCTTGCAGGATGCCGAAGAATTTCAAGTGGACGGGCGCCACGACGGTCAGTTACGGCTCATATATCTGCCAAAAGCAACCAACAACAGCCAAGGGACCTGAAAGGATAGCGCACGAGGGCGAAGGAGGTGGAGCAGAAGAGGGGAAGCTATTCTCAAATTTATCATGCCAATGTAGGCCGACGACCTCAAACTGCTGCCTGGGAGGGGTTCGTAGATAGGCTTGGAGTCTAATGCTACCTCAGTTGGTGGTGCAGGGAATGATCTGGCGTACATGGAGAAGCGAGGTCCACGTGGACAGATCGTGCATTTCTCCTCTCTCTCTCTCTCTCTCTCTCTCTCTCTCTCTCTCTCTCTCTCTCTCTCCCTCTCCGTCTCTCTCCCTCTCCCTCTCTCCCTCTCGCTCTCGCTCTCTCTCTGATCTAAAAGGGGTCTGATGGAAGACCTATCATCAGGTGGTCTCCATGCCCCGCCTAATAGTTTCGAAGAAAGCTGAAACCAGAAGCTGACCCAGCCAAGATTCACCTTTGCGGATCACTTGATCCTCACCCCGCTTGGGGGCTGAACATCCCGTGAGAGCTTCGGCTTGCCATATCTGAAAAGATGAGGCGCTAGAAAAGGTCTTTGCCAGGCCCACCCCAACCCTGCGTCAAGGACGGACACGTAGGGCATATGTCTCCTTTTTCTCCTTTATCTTCGCACGCAAAGGTCACTACGGATGATCCATTTCTCGCCAGCAGTGACTTCCCTTCCTTCATGCTGTTGTGTTGTATAGCATTGCATTAGCTGAGTGATCTGCGCTGTAACCGGGGGGGGGGGGCAAGCGTTGAGATGATACAGTATGAGAGGAAGAAAGAAGAGAAGAAGAAGAAAAAAAAAAAAGGGGGGGGGAGTGAGAGATAGCCGGTTTGTCTCAGGCGCCGTGACGGAGCAGGCATGGAATTGGCTCACCAGCATGCAGTCGTTGCCATGTTTGTGAAGAAGAAGCATCCCAGTCTCGGGCGGGACGGCAACCTCTTCTTTTGTTACCCTCCTATCATGTGGGAAGAACACTGTCTCACCGCCTTGACATCCATCAGCTGCAGAGGTAAGATATAGTAGCAGTGTCCATGTCGTCTTGGTGACGACCGGTCCGTGGTCTGACTCGATTTGTACAACATTCGAGTCGTCATCTGCAGAGGCGTTGGTTAGTGAGGACATGGTCAGATGGGAAACTTTATGAATAGCCGAAGACCATAGGGTCACACCAATTCTGTCTGTGATTTTTTCTTGTTTGGGAAGCTCCTTGATTTTTCTTCACGGCGGTGTGCTGTGCTTCTGTAAAACTGTATGCACGTCGGCAAGTCGCTAGGATCGAAACGTGACAGCGTCCTGCAACAAACCAAGCAGCCGAGCCGCCCGCTTGGGCTTGTGTGCGTGGGTGCGTGCGTGCAGATAGTTGGATGACGACGCACGGCGTTTCCGCCAACCCCTTGACCCCCTTGTCGGGAACTCTTCAAATAGCTTTTTGAGGCTGTGTTTGGGTGATGAGGGTGGCGAATGCCTTTCCCCTGCTGTCGTCTTGTAGGAGAAGAAAAAATCAAATAAAACAAATGAGGCGGACATGCGTGGCCTATCAACAGGGTCCCGCGTTTGACTGTGTGTGAGAGCATCTTCGCGACTCAATGGACCCATGGTGTATCCGAGATCCAACCAAAAAGCCATTAGTGGCAGGCAGTGAGCCCGCAGAGCCGCAGGCTGTACGAGAAAGGCAGAGAGGTAGGCGATAAAAAAGCGCTAACGATCTTGCATCTCGAGTAAGACCAGTGGTGTGGGAGACAGCCCTCAAGGGAACCCGATAGGCATCGGGCATTGGGAAGACGATAACCAGATTACAACCAACGGGGAACATACCGTAATAGATCGTATAGATGCGAGGCTTTGGGGAGGTCATAAGTGAAAAATGACAAGAAAGGGAAAGAAGAAGAAGAAGAAGAAGAGAAGAACGGAGGGAGCACATCAATGATCCCACCTCAGTAGTTTCACCTACAGTGTGCATCAAAGAACTGTCCAGGTGAGTACCGATACACCCGGATGTTGGGAGACAAGCCTACGACGTCACCGCCCCTGGAGAAGATGAGGTATTGGTACATCAGCTATATGCAAATAGCCAAGCTATGCTTTGATTCTGCCACGGATCGGCAACTTACCACAGACCATTCCATTCGTCCGCCATCAAGACATCCTTGAGGCCTGTAGCAAGCCACAGCCTCTTGGCAAAAACTTGGTCCAGCACCTGAAAACGATCGTTGACCCGAGCGGCCTCGCCGCGCTTGGGCTTGCCTGGGGTGGTGGTAAGCGAAAGGGTCCTTAGGAACGAGACGTAGTCCCGGCAAAGTGACTTGGGCCAGAAGTTTCGGACGAGCAGGACTCTCGAGTCGAGCATGGCCTCGGGCGCGAGATCAGCCAGGGGCAGAGGCGGCCTGAAGGCAGGCCAGGCGGGCAAAGATGTTGGGGTTATTGGTGCTCCTGCGACGGGGCCCTTTGCCTTGGAGGCAGGCTTCGTGGGCCGTCTCTCCTTGGGCATGCTGGGCATCTGTGCCGTGATGGGGTCGTAATATTCTGTGCTAATGAGAGTCTTAAGTAAGGCTCGACCAAAGTTGGGCCGATAGAGCGTCGGAAGTGGGCCGCCTGCCCCGGTGGTGGGTGGCGGGTAATGGTCACTCGTGCTTTTGAGTGCCCTGACCTATGTATGCTGACAGGCAGCATCAAAAGAAACTCATCTCGCCCTCAGTTGGGTACCCGTGTAGGATGCAGGATAGGTGGAGCGTGACGTCTTCAGCCTTCAGTCGAAGCAGGTTCGATGCGACGAAGGAATTGACAACGTGGCGCCTTTTTGTCTCTTCTCCCTCCCGCCCCGAGACGTTTGTCTGTCAAGGAGCCTATTTTCTCGTGTGGTTCTAGAACACCGGGGACCTGCGGTTTTACGACTCGCCAAGGATTATGTTTGAGGTGACTGGCAAACCGATGGGACTGACAACGTGCAAGAAGAAGCCGTGGCGTTGAGAGGCCTGAGAGGAGGAGTTTGGTCGTGCTGCTGTGAAAGTGACTTACTTGACTTGCCTGTTGATTGAGATTCGGCGACGTAACGTTAGAGTACTTGGAGATAGAGCCCATTCTTCCCCACCAGGCCTCCACCATCGTGCCGGGCCCGCAGCCACTATGCTGTGTTGGGCTTCACCCAAGCCGCGTCCATTGGACGGCCTCACGACAAAGCAATAACGGCCATGGAAGCGAGATTATCAGACAACTCATTATGCGTTTAGCTTTGCTTAGTAGAGTGCCTCTGCTGGAACGGATTCGTAGAATCTTGGCCTACCGCACTGCTGCTTGGGGAAAAGAAGGTGCTCTCGTCGATCTCACATTGTTTCTTTTTCCATCCACGCATTAGTGCAATCCTGGACTGCACCTATCTGCCTGTCACTGTCAGTTCTTCATCCCCCTTGACAGATGCAAAAGCAAAGGCCGGCTGATGCGGACGATGATCAATCGGGAACACCCAACTTGCGGCCTCTGCTGAGACACATCATCAGTGTCCTGTACCCGTCTGGCGTCCGCACTCCGCAAGTATAACAGATGGCCCCTTGCCGGCTGTCATTGGCAACTACCGAGTTTTGGTGGGTTTTGTTTTGTTTGTGCTTCGAGTCTAGACCTTCGGAGCCTCCAAACTCATTCTCGGCCGATCATGAACTTCAGCCTTCTCAGAAACCTTTATCTTGATTGGCATCTGCGAGTCCTGGGCTATGAGGACCCATGCCTGGGAAATAACGCCATCCTCCCCTCTCCACGACCCAAACCTCGTGTAGTCTCTTGTCAATATGTATTGCAGACGCTCCAGAGGTTGCCAGAGCTCAGAGACGTCAAGGCCCTGCAAGCCAGACAGGAGAAACTGCAGCCGAGAGAACGTGCCGACAGGACTCTGAAACTATTCTGTCGATGCGCCGGACCGCCTCTGATCCGAGCCTATGAGATACTTGCGAAACTCAAAGACAGGCTGGAGGCCCTAGAGCCGCGAGCCTCAGAAACAACCTTTCTCCTGCACAAAGAACTCGTGGAATCTCTCGTCGAGGTCAGGAAATGTCATGCAATGTGGGAAGTCAGTGTCGGTGACGAAGCCTTCTTTAAAAAACACCCGTGGCCACGATCTGTGCGGTTCGAGTATGTCAGATACATGCTGCAGATCTTGCACGTTATCGCCAACCTAACCTTCCCGGAAGATCTTCAGGACTACCTGGAAGAGATGGAGATGGTCCTGGCACGAAAAGACTGGCGGGACCATATTGTCTTGGACAGCGAGGTGACCTATCAGCGGAGCAAGAAGCACCTGAGGCCCGAGGTCATCGCACCTGTGCACCAGTTCCCCGTAGAATTCTTGTTGCACGGCCAGAAGATGTTGAGCCCTTTCCTAATCCACAACACTTCTGTGTATGGGCACCGGCTAATCGCCAACGAGTACGCTGCACAGCAAAACGAAGGTGAGACATTAGAGAGGCCTGTGATGACGACTTCTTCGCAGCAAGAGACCCCTCACTGACTTGTCTGCCCAGATGCTGCGAAGGTCTATCTCAACCTAAAGAGATTCAACAACTGGGATCAGCAATGGTGACGACGATTAGTGACGGCGACGACAAAAGACAGAAGTGATGGCGGCAGTGCCGTGCTGGCAAGTCTTCTTTTCAAAGCAGGTCCTTGCCAATCAAGTTGAGTTGTTGGGACGGCAAGAGACGGCTGCCTAGCTCTCTTTGGCCCCCTTCCTGCCTGCCTTGCGAGAGATGCTGTGCATTTTTGGCGTAATGGAGAAGGTGCTGATGACACTGGGACTGGGATGACTTGAAGTTGCTTTTTCTGTATACCTCTTACAGCAATAAAGCGCATAGTATGATTTAGCTTCGATTGTTGCATACCTTCGATACTAGGCTAAGACGGCCTTGCGGAAGGTCCCAACGTGAGGCGGAGCTACCCCGAATTCCATAACTTTGAAATATCGCCAGCAATCAATCAATCGTTTCTCTCTCTCTCTCTCTTCCTCACACACGCTGTAAGATACTGGGGTGGCGCCGTCGCCCTTTGTTTTAGACCATTAGACAACACACTATCCTCCACCAAGATCGTCGCTATTTTCCAGGTCGAAATGGGCTGGGGCTGGCCTTTTTCCTCAGCGGCTACGGCCAAGGGCTCCGACACACCCTCGTTCTCAGCCACATCCACAGCAACACCTTCTCCCAATGAAGAACAGGAGCGGCGCAAAAGAGATCTTGATCTTCAAAGATACCAGCTGGAGCTTCTGCGTCTCGAGAAGGAGGAACTGAACCGCCTTATTAAGCTGCGACAGCAGGAAGAAGCGCGACAGGTCCCGCAGATATCAAGCCCGCCGCAAGTCGTACAGTCACCGATTCCACCCGAACCTCCACGTACTCGCGAAGATAATTTCCGTCGCGGAGCAAAGCAGCTTGGTTTATTCTTCGCTGGTGCAGGCTTCCTGACGGCCTCAGCCCTCATCTCTCGACGCGCTGTTGCTCGCAAGATGGTCGACGCCTACCCCAAATTTTACCAGCCGAGTCATCACGGTCCAAGGCCACCGCCACGCGCCCAGGCAGAGAAAGGAGAGGATCAACTTGTGGCGATAGAGGCGTTGGGTTTGGCAACACTGAACGTTTTCAGCTTTGGGGTCATGATGACGGGTGGCGTCATGTTTGCCTTTAACATCTCAAACGTGGAAGACCTGCGGAGGAAGGCGAGAAGCAAGCTATACGGGACGAATGGGGCTGTGGATGAGGCAGCAGATCAGCAAGTGGAGGAGTGGATTGCTGATGTCTTGTCGAGAAGGGACAAGAGGGAAGACAACCCTGACTCTCGGGACAAGAGTAGCTGAAAAGGCAACCGGGACGGTTACAGGTAAACAAACCTGACTCAACCACTACGCTGTGTCACGATCTTCGACGAAGGGCTTCTTCGGTCTGGCAAAAAAATTCCACGAATTCTAGATAACCTTCATCGGCATGTGGGGACAAAAGTGCCCCCGGCTGCGAGCTGCACATTTTGACAGTAAAGTATGCGGTGCGTTTCAGAATCGACTTGGGAATGTGACAGCCGAGACCTGCTGACTCCAAATCAAAAGATGTCCTATTTTACGACGACCAAAGTCAGTACGGCTCATGTGGGAGCAGCCTTAGCAACCAGTGCGTTTCGGCACCGCCGATTTGTGGTTTGCTGTATTCGGCCTAGCTACTTTGACATATTTCTGCATGTCAGACTTCAAACTCCATTGGGCAAGGCCCAACCAGATAGGTCTGTCTGTCGAGTTCCCTTGTAGTTGTTTGTTTATCCATGACACAATTATTCCCCTGGGCCACATTGGTATACGACCTAGTGGCTAGACCATCCGATCTCCACGAAGTTTTCGGATCCGGATCTCCTCCCTGACAGGGCTGCCAGGGGACTGGCGATCTGGTGGTAAGGCGAAGGGCCCGAGCCGAGCTCATATATCCAAAGCGCGAGAACTATGCGCCAGCATGCTGCGGGCTGCAGAAGTGGAATCCTGCTCTGGGTTGCAATGCCTGTGATCATATGGCCTGCACTTGCTCCACCCTGCCATGGCGAGACTATTACCACAAATATATACCCTTTGCGCTCAAACTCGAAGAGAGCGCACTCGGCACATGCAGCTCGAGGACCCCTGTCGATCCTAGATGAACGATCAATATCCTCTCAAGTTATCCAGCTCGATGGGCAATTAATTCTCCGAGAACTTCAGAACTCAGGTTGTAAAAGTGATCAGGTATCTACCTTTTCTGCATTTCCTTTTGCTTCTTCACCTTCTTCTCCTTTGATGTTTTGTGTTGCAATCAACAAGATATGTACCTCAGGACTTGATGCGCTCCACGTACCTTTTATTTGGATGCAGCAGCCTGAGAGTTTCCACGTGCGCTTTCGTTGGTTTTCTTTCAACTCCTTGGAGAAGGGACTCAAGCCCGGTATCGACATTCCAAATGTGGCGCCTGGTTTGGGCCTGGATCCAGTTCCATGATTTTCCTACTTCTTATTCCGGGCACTCTTATCGAGGTGAACACGGCTTCTCCGTATCCAACTCTTCTCACCACAATATATAAATGCCAGCTCGCTCGGCTACCACTTTCGAACCTGCTATGCTTCTAGGTCTCCATACACTTCGAGGCAGGCCATCATGGAGGCGAACATCACCGTCGACGTGCAGGACTACCGACTGGCCTTCCCAAATGGCCAGAGCCCCTTCCTCTTACAGTCTCCAGTGCAGCATGACGGGGAGAGAGGTGGAATGCTTCTAGTTCGACAAGACCTAGGAGCGAATAATAACGAGGTCAGCTTCAAACTGCCTGAGAATCTAATTCCAACAAATGATCCACCGCATGGAACACACGCCCATGGAATACTGCTTCAGTCTGACCCGGGCCGACGCTATCTCAAGGGAGATCTGGTCTGGCTCAGAGATCTGAGCTGGAATCCCGGGTCCAACTTGGACCCGTCCAAGATCAAAGTCGTCAACCTTCGTACCTGGGAGGACCTTGTGATCGACTTGCAGGCGGCTTGTTGGGTACCCAGGTATCGCAAATTGGATCATAGGGCGAACGAACAGGAGGTCCTCACAATTTCGGGCCCACCCAAGAGGAACGCGAACGACAAGAAGCTATATGTCCTGGCCATTGTGCAGCGGTTGTCTCAGAGCAATGAGCCTTCCTCTGCTTCTGCTGCTTCTCGTGGTTCGCAATTGGAAATCAAGGAGCTCGTGGAAAAAGAACTTTTCAAGTACCAGAATTTGAGCATCTCACCAGACGGCAGGAGAACGGCGGAGAAGCTCTTCCGTTGGGCGTTGACTGGGGTTTTGCAGTCACCTATCAACGAGTACTCACCGCTTGCGCAGCAGACGCCCCTGTCTAGTCTTCCAACGATGCCGAGCCTACAAGCAGTAGTTCCGGAAAGCTCAGCTTCAGGCGCCACTCCTGCTAACGCTGATAACGACATGATCATCGGAATCGAGAACGACCCAGACTTTGACCGAGATGCAGAGGAACTCTGGGCTAAAGGCATGGCGGTCCTAAACAAGCAGTCGACTATTATCGAACCTGTATGTACAGGACCCGAGATCTTGTGGCAGCGTGCATATGGGCCATGATTGTAATGGCACATTGAACTGACAGGGCCGTGACTTCAGAAACAGATTTGCAACCTTCCGAAGGATACATGTCCCACCCCACCCCGTACCTTCTTCATCACCAACCGCCCGTCGGTCGACAATCCTTACCCGACGCATCACCATCGACTTGATCACGAGTGCCCGATCGGCGCGGCGCACGAGATTCACTGCGTCTTCCCATCCCCACAGATCCCACTATGCATCATCCCATGCACGATCAAGCACCAGTGCTGCACCACCAGTGTGTGGCCGCGTAACAAAAGCATCAACAAGCCGAGCACGGTCATCTCGCTCCCTATCGGTGATCAGGGCGGTGTCATCGTCAGAGGGGGGAGCGGCGTGACTCGCACCCAGCCGGATAACCACTTGTACTCGGACCTGCCGATTGCTGTCAAGCCGATGGGCTTTGACGCCAGGTGGAACAACGACGAAATGGGCCGGAGGGCGTATGGCGTGGGCGAAAGGGAGGATATTGTCGATGGCGAGTGGAACTTTGCAACGGCGAGCCTGGATGGGGCTGTGGAAGATGTCAACCCGAACGCGGCTAGCGAGGTATTGGCTTCTGATAAGGGTGGTGGAAACAGCCAGGAGGACCCTGATGTCTTTGGAGACCGGCATTTCTTTGATGAGTGAGTAAGGAAGGTCAGAAAAACTTCTCTTGCAAATACGAAGATGGGCGCGTGACCAGCGTGAACAATGATCCGAAAGGCAAGCATAAACCGACTGCTCAATACAGATTTAAGAGGAGGTCATCTGCACGTCGTACATCTGTCTTCTTTTCTTATAGCAGAAACGAATCACCCATCACTATGTTCACTTGAAAATCTTAATCCCACATACAGGAACTGCTACATGTTGTATAGATATTTACATGTACTTTAACCAGTGACACCGGGTAGGAAAGGTGAAGGTCCACCTCTTCAACGCCCCCTTTGTCCAGGCTATCTGTCGAAATAGAATAAAAATAAAAAAATATTGAGGATGTGCTCAAACTCTGACACAGGTGTGAGGCGACTACCCCGAAGAAGGACGGTCTATGCTGGAACACAGGCTCAAGAGGATAGCAGAAGGAAGAGCCAACGCCAGATCACAAGATTCTTCACGTTCCACAGCAGCGTTATGTCAGCAAAATTCAACGCAGACAGGAAAACAAGAACAAGGACGGAATAGCAGTACAGAACCAGAGTTTGAAAGCAACTTGCTTCATCAATTGAAATAATAAGGACGAGAACGATTTGAAGAGTCAATAATATGTCAGGGATTCCGCTTTGACAACAGTTCCACTTGGACAGAGAATTCTCCCACTTACAGAAACCACTCCACCTGGACAAATGATTTCCACTTGGGGGGAGGGAGAGAGAGAACTTAGAAGAAGAAAAGGTAGAGACTATAGCAAGAGAAGAACATAAGTTGAAAAGAAGACAGGAAGGGGGAAACACGGCAAGAAAAAAAACAGAACGTGAATTGAACCGAGATAAGCGTAGACGGCAGTAAATAATTATACAAGAGAAATACGAAAAGAGAGTAATAACATAGAAAAGAAAAGAAAAATACATAAAGCAAGCAAGACATGAGAGGAGGGCACACGAAGAGAGAAAAAAAGTAGGAGAAAGAAAGTAAGAGGAAGAAAGTAAGAGAAGAAGGAGAAAAGCATTACATGAAGAGGAGATATCTAAAAAAGCAAAGCATATAGTACAGGAGGAGCAGAGTAGGTACAGTAGAAGGATAGTCAGTGCAGAAGGCGGACAGACAAGCAAAGTACATACTTGAGGAGAAGAGTACATGAGAGGGAGAGCACATGAGGGAGGAGAACATTGAAGGGAAAAGAACTTGAGGCAACATGGAATGGCGGAAGAAGAGAGTAAGAAAAGTAACGAAGAGAGAATGTGGGTTAAAATAATAAGGTGAGAGAATAGAATAGTAAGTAAGGTCAAACAAAGAGGCGAAAGAAGAGAAGAGAGAATAAAAAAGAGAGAATGTAAGTTGAAACAAATTGGTGAAGAAAAGAGGAGGGAGAATTAAGTGAGCTAGAATATCAATAGAAGATAGGAGCTTGACCGTTGGTTAGAGAGAAGAGCAGACTGGAAAGATAGAGCCTTGAGAGTGTGCATGTGTGATCAGTCCTAATGTAAATACAAGATAGGGTGAACTGAGTAGACGGAGAGTACTTGCCTGTATTTCCATTGCTGCTCCTAACAAAAAGAAGAAGAGAACAGCGTGTGATAAGAAGGGAGACAATCCTGTTTGAAATGAAAGTCAAGGTCAAATGCTTCAGTGCGCAGGGAAGACTTGCCTGTAATTAGCTCCTGGGAGCCTTGACTCCTGGGCTGTGTCCACCGCCGCCCCTGAGGAAAAGAAGAGAAGAACCAGATTCAACTTGAAGGGACAGTCGAGTCCTATTTATGCTTCTCAAACACCTCATAATGTTCTGTTGTACCGGATGTGACAGCGGCAGTCGAGACCCATGGAGTGGACAAGGCGTAGGAACCGTTGACTCAACGTCTCCAGATCAGGTGCACGCGCGTGGTGGTCGTGATGTCACGGACGTGGGAGGGTCAGCGCTACACGACCTAGCTCGGATGCGCACCAAAGGTATGTTGACCGATCTGCAAATGTCAGGCCAACAGTTCAGAAGCTTGGGGCTGCCAGAGAGTGGCCTAGATGTTTTGTGTGGAGTGATGATGATGATGTCGACGCGTCTTGATTCCACCTGCAACTGCCGGGCTCGGACATCACTTGTCAATAAGCACGCCTAAGCTGTTTCATATCGTCGGCGAGGGAGCTTGTGGGAAGGCTCTCCTTCGAGGGCAATGTCATGACGCGCGCCTGCGAGGGATATTGACTGTGCTATGTTCTAGAAGCATAGTATTCAAGATTTGGTTTAATTATAATATGTATGATGACAAGATGATGCGTGGATCTAGTATGTAGCACAATTTTCAGCCCAATGTCACTTGTGACAGAAAATTCGACGGAAATCTATGTGTGTGTGTGTGTGCTCTGAATCATTCCGACGCCTGGTTCGCGGATGCATGAGCACAATCCCATCTGCTCTTCTTTTGTGAATGGCGCAGCCTATGTCGACCCTGGATACTCCATCGGCGCTGACTGCGGTGTGTCCACGATGGCATTTTCATCCGCCCGGCCCGCCATCCTTGACTCCAGGCCTAGCGAGCTGCCCTCTTCAAAACTTCCTCGGCGTCCCCAATTCCTCGGCTGCCGTTTGAGGAACGCGCCCACAGAGCCCAAGTAGCCCTCGTGTCTCAAGAAGTAAGCCTGCTTGGCGCCCTTGGACCAGAACTTGATGGCATATGAAAGCGTGTTCATCGTCTGTGGGTGGCCCCTGATAAAACTGCCACCAAAGTAGATGTCTGCTAAGCCGTGAACCTGGCTCTGTAGGAAGGCGAGCTGGCCGATGTTGTTGGAGATGGCGTAAAGGAGAGACCGGGAGACGTCTGCGGAAGAGAAGCGGGATGCCTCGGCTGGCGTCGGGGCAGGTACTGCTGCGGTGCCTGATGACTGCGCGTCCTGTGAGCCTTCTTGTGAAATGTGGTGATCTCGGTCCCCGTTGCTCAGCCCGCCCATGTCCTCTGCCTCATTTTCGGCCTCGCGCTTCATGCGAAAGACTTTGCCGAACGAGCTGGCGATGGTGGTGTTCTTCAGCCCTATCTTCCCGTAGCCCGTGCCTTTCCCATATATATCGCCAACCAACATGTCGACGTTCGAGTTGTCGCCATGTGCCGCGTTGTCCAGCATCTCATCGAACGATCGCGCGCCTGTGAGGAGGCTTAGGAGCCCCCAGAGCGTGCCGCCGCCCAGCGACGTGCCACCTACACGCTCATATTTCCTGGGGCCGGAGACCTTGAGCATCGACACACCAGACCCTATGTTCACCAGCAGGTATGGATATATATTCTCCTCCGGGCTCGCAAAGTGCATAGGGTCCGTCTCGCTGTACGTGAACACCTCCCTCGGGATCTCGGTGATGAAGAAGTCCAACCCTATGATCAAACATTCCATCTCGTCCTCGCGTATTACGTCGACGCCCAGCGCGTCCTTTATCTTGTCGTAATATTTATATGCGCCGCCGCCTGTGGCCATGACCGTTAGCCGGCCGGGCTTGGAGCCGTTGAGGGTCTGCTGATGCTCTTTCAGGTGGCGCATGAAGGCGATGCAGTCGTCGATACGGTCGGTTTCGAAGGACATGAAGTTGAGGCGCCCGCCAGGCTCTGTGGAGAACGCCTCGCGGGAGAAATAGACGAGCTTGGCGAGGGAGCCGCCGATCTGAAAGCATGAAAGGAGGGATTGGTCAACACACTGCAGACGAAAAGAGCCGGAGCGGCGCAGAGTGTAATGGGCACGCCACGTACATCCGCGCCAGCCGTTGTAAATACATATTGGGGGGTCCAGGCGACTCACATCGATGGCAATGTGACTCACCACCGCCGTGTGGTTGGGCAGTCTGATGTCCTTGGTCTGGTGGTAGTCCTGCGAGCCGTAGCCGTTGAAGTTTGCGCCCGTTGGCGATGACGAGGTCTGGTCTACAATGAAGGCGCCTTTCACGTTGATCTTGACACTGCCAGGGTGGTTGATTGTGCTGTCGATCTCAGCCGTCGTTGTCTCCGTCCTTGGCCTACCAATCTGCTCGGCGAATGCGACTGGATCATGGGCCGCAGAGCCTGTGTCGACGCCGTCTTGCGACGGTTCTGGTATCCTCTCGGTCATGGCTGTTGGCTGTGGTGTATACCGCAGGCTGCGGTATTAGAGGAAGTCGGGTTGGTCAGGAGGATGAACGAGGGTCTGCGCATGCGACGATCAAGGACGCATCGAGATACAATGGCAATGGGTTGCGACCTGCTCAATGTCTTCCGGGGAAAGATTGTGGTGGGTCTGATCCTCGAGCCCTCGGCAACATGGGTCAATCGCAGCCCCAGACTTTCTAGCTGCCGACTGCTATATACCGACGATACTGAAGAAACGGTTGAAGACAAGGCTCTCCTCACACATGTTGTTGTCCCAAAGTGAGATGGGAGACAAGGAAGCAGATGTTTGCTGGTGGTGGTCAGTCAGCATCTTTTCGGTTGAGCGGATACGGAGGAGGCTGTACTACAATGTACGGTTGCTACGGTATACTTACTACAGCACTATGGTAGGGTCCCCCGCAACCCTTGTGGTAGCCACGGGACCCCGCCAGGCACACCCCTCACGGAGGCGCTAGCGGACCGCTTCCACCAGCTAGCCGGCGCGGCAGGGTCTCATGTGCCTGCCGTGCCCGCTTAATTCTATATAGCAGACAATCTACTACACGGCGGTTTTGGCTTATGTCATTCAGCATCTCCTTTACTTTCCTTCCTCTCTGCAATGTCAATATTCTTTGGTCCGTCTTCACATCAAAATCCTTTTGTCATCCTGCATCAGTCATCTTATAGACAATTACTGATTCTCATTCATGTCTATACCAGTACTCACACAGTACTAATTATGGCGAATATCCATCTGCGGACGATTCCCTCGTTGCCTTTCCCCAGCCGATACCGGATTGAACCAAGGAAAAAAACACACGATGTCTTCAGTTTTCATTACTATAAGTATGGTAATCTACTCCACTTAGTGCAATAAGGCATTTTTCCAGATTCTTATCAGATCCCCCACTCTAAATCCGAGCCGACAGTCAGACAATCATACTCCACCCCCCAGGTTCTGCAACGAGAAGAGTTTGCCTAAAATCTCAGTCCTTGGCCTGTTCTAACATCTCGAGTCACGGTGCCTCAAGAGTGGCACTGCTAGTGCAAGAAAACACATTGTAATGATACAGGTTCTGTATTATGTTGGTCTTTTCATAATAAAGTGACGACCAAAGCCCTATTGATACATACGAGCCCAGGAAATAAGAGCTCAGTTGCTTCGCTCCAAACTCCTCACGACAGCCCACGCTTGACAATACGCCGAATATTTGTATCACAAGAAGAAAGCATACAACCATCCATACTCAGTAGAAGTTACCGCCAGGAACACATACAAATATTGCCGTCAGAATGGCTGTCGATACCGCTGCGACAAGCATGGCCTGCACAAAGATGGTGTCCTGGATACTCCTGAGCGCAGGCTCTTGAATCCACACCTCTCGATCAAACACCTTCCGGATGAGATTGCGCTTTTCGTACTTGACCACCCACGGCTGGTCCTCGTAGCTGTTCGAGCTGCTAAATGTCGAAGAGCTGGCCCCGTGCGGGCCTGAGCCCTTCTCATCGCTGCCGTCCTCCCGCAGCTCCACCTCCTCATCCACGAACATCTCCCATGGCCTCACGTGGCGGTGGTGCATGCCGTGCAGCACGACGCACATCCCCTTGAGCGCGGCGCATTGTGTCGACACGCCGAGAACCATCCCCACAGCGGGAATGGCGCGATAGCCCCTGGGTACGCTGCTCAGACAGAGCAGAATGTATGCGACCAGGCTGCCAACGATGAGGAATGCGCCGAGGAAGTTGGCAAAGAAGACGCGCGCCGGGTTGCCGTTGCAGATGGACCATCGGATGAAGTTGGGATGTGCCTGCATCCGGAGGGTCGATTCGACGGACCGCTCCACTTGGCGAAAAGCAGTTGGGTGTGTAGTCTGGCTGAGGGCGATCAGCAACTGTTGGCGCTCGCGGGCCGAGAGGTTGAGTTGACGGGGTGCGTTGTCCATGATGTAGGTGGCGATCACGCGATCGATTTCCTCACGGAAGGGCTGGATGGTGACTATGGTCTTCTGTTAGTCTACGTCTTCTGTGTCAAGTGGCACACACACACACACACACACGTGTGCAGCTCTAATCATGCGTATGAATCTCTGTGGGGTGTCGGGCCCTGAACGGCAAACTTACATGGCGCTTTGATTCCAACTGCAGCGAAGGCTTCGTTCGCCTGCCTCCGCCAACTCGCCGCGGCAGGCGATCCGGCAGTCCCATACTCACTCGATGAGCCCCGATCATTGAGAGACGGCGTCCCGGGGGGCGTGGAGAACGGATTACTGTTTCCCATCTCGAAGAAGACAGGCGTCCGACTGTCGAGGAATCTTGGGTTGCCCGTGGCAAAGGTGTTACTGTCTTTCTCGAAATCGGTGCCCTTCAGGACCGCCGCCACCGAAGCCGGGTCGCGCCTGAGCCCGTCGCGGTACTCCTTCTGCAGCTTGGCGAAGGTTTCATCTTGCTCTTCCTCGGTCCACTCGGGCGCGAGAGCGAGGTCGGGCGTATCGGCGCTGTGGAAGCGCCGCACGTAGGAACGGTGCCACAGGAGGAACTGCAGGTTCTCCGCGCTGTGCTCGATATAGATGAGGTAGTTTAAGAAGTCACGAACGGTGCACGGCTGTCGAGCAGTGTCAGCTCTGTTTGGCGATCTGGATTGGTTGCCGGTGACAAACTCACGGGGCAAGTGCCGCCGTCCATGATCCTGTCGAATTGCAAGGCATCTGGGATGCCTATTGATGTGTCCGAGTGGATGCTGGCCACTGACTGTTGGGCCAGTGACTCGTTGTTCTCCTCATCTGTTGGCCTGCCAATGGGTTGCGACGGCGGGCGTCGGTAAGTGAGGCCAAGGAAACCCATGAGGGGCTCAGAAGTCTACAGGGACCAAGACTGTGTGTATGATATTGGTGGTTCAAGCGAATGGTTGAGGGATCCAAGCAGGAGGAGGGAGAGAAGTCAGGTGTAAGTGGCTGAAGCAGTTGGAGACACAACAACTACTTGTAGGCGAACAATAGCAAGAAAAGAAGGAGTATACAGCTGATGACCGAAATATGTGAAATAAAGGATGTTCTTTTTTCATGAGACGCAGAGGAGAGGGCACATGTTCTGGGACCGCGACCTACGATGATGGCAGACGACCATCTTTAATCAAGTTCATGACAGGCCGATCTATGTTCTGCCCTGTCTCCACCCATCCCACCTCGAGGCCGGTCCCGTAGGTTGGCTCCAGCCAGAGTGGAGATTTCCACCGCGCTGGTGATCTACTATAGTACATAGCACGAGCGGAACCAGCCCGGTGAACACCTCCTCCCCCTCTCTCCATAGTACTCAGTGCTGTCCCTCTGTACTACAAGATAGTGTACAACGGTACCACGCTTGTGCCACAGCTGTAGCTTGTATCTTGCCAGGGCTAAAACTTGATACGATGGACGGCTCGCAAATCTTCAACAAACCAGGTTAGCAAGGGGACTGCCAGAGAGCATTGATTGTCCTCCCAACGGATGAGACCTTCCTATTTGCTTCGTTGGCTCGATGTTCTTCCTTTTTCTGCTCTTGTTTTCATCGTTGTTATGGTGTTTCTTTGTTTTGTTCCTCTTCATGTGACGTAGTTCCGGGAATCAAGTCCCCAATAAGGACATGAGCTGCCGGTGGAAACTTACTGTGGGCAATCTCTTCGACTGAACCGCCCTCAACTGAGAGACTCTCAGCTCACTCGCCTGCTATACCCCCCAAGTCGTTCTCATCATCAACTCGCTGCCGCATAGATGCAGTGGCCATACGGCCGTAAAAGAAGACACAGCATGTCCCTTGCAGACACGGAAGAAAAAGAAAGGAAATCCCTGCATGACTACTGCGTAGAAAGGGCCCCAAGTTCTCACGTTCGCAAACAGAAAGAAAAACCCTGGCTCCCAACCATGAACTAACACCACCAATCCTCCAGCCCTTGTCCTAGCTGACGGAGTCCGGCTCTGTGGGCGCTCCCGTAATACAGACGAGCGATTGGGCCGGCGGGCCAAACCCACGAGATTTTTCTGCACCGAGTGTGGGTTGCATTAGTCTTCCCCTCTCGCTACGATTTCTCTCTTTTCTCTGAAACACGCTGGCCATGGCGTCCCTGACTATAGATATATGGGCGGCCGCGGCTCGATTGATCCGACCGGCGGAATTATTGGTGGTGGTGATGGTGGTGGAGAACAAGGGTTTGTGTTTGCTCTTGTCATACATTGACTGTACTTTTATCGTGAGAGTTATTGGGTCAAAGGCGCACATGTCCGATGGGCAATCTCCCCTCTGCGGCTGAAGCGAGCGGCGTATTGTGACCAACAAAGGTGCCAGCAGGAAAAATTCGATATTAAAAAGGAAGGGGAATGAGGGATGATCACTACCCTTCCGAAAATGGTCGGCCGCCTTCTCCAGTGTCTTTTTGGTCCCGATGCTCTGGGCTGAAGAATCCTTCTCATTCCTCTTGGTGATTGATATTGTGCTGCGGACTGAAGCTGTCCCTCTTCCCTCGCTTTCAGAGTGAGTGGCGTCATAGGAGCAGCAGGGACTTCATTTCTACAAAAGGCTGAAAGGGTGGGTGTGACCGTGTGTGTGTGGTGTGGTGTGTGTGCCCTTTACTGCAGTGCCACACAGATCTTGCTGCAGTGTAACAAAATGACGACAAGATGCCCGGCTGATCCTTCCCGACCAACATTTACTAACCGGCATGCTCGGTAATCTACGAAAGAGGAGGAAGTTTCCCCGGAACGTGGCCAAATGTAAAATAAACTCTATTTTCCTTCATCTTTCTTCCTTTGCAGACGGGCGCTGGCCCATATGGATCTCTGGCTGAGTCGCGTGCCCCGTTACACGTCAATCATGGGGGAACAGACTGGTGCTTTTACGGATGCCGAAGCAACGAGTCATTCTGCCATCTGACAGGGCACCCGACCATCCGGATCTTCAACGTTGTTGAAATGGTTTCTCCTCTTCAACAGCAATAGCACACGAGGCCTACCTGTTGGGTATATGGTTTACATGTGATTCCCAAGTGGCGTGGCTTCTTCAGCTGAACCAAAATCCTAAGACGTAGAGATGTCGGCATGTCTTCCAACTCGATAAACAGATGTCGACAAAGCAAGAAGAGTGGGGGGGAGGGGAGACGTCATTCAAAGATGCAAACCGTGCGTGGGAGGTGTGTGGAGCTCGATCTCTATACTTGCTGAATCCCATTGGTAGGAGTACGAAGTTCAACCATTGACAGTGGTGGTCATAGTAGCATTACCGAGGGGGGGGGGGGTTCCAAGATGGATCCTCAAAATGGAGCCTTCATCAGATCCGATACGAATGACGGCAAAATTCAAGCCCGAAATACAAGAGATAATCCAGCTCATCTTGCGGTTCTGCTTGGTGAGGAGAAAGAGAAGAGGGGCCATCTCGCATATCTGGTGGATCTGGGTGAAGATGACTTGATCTGGAAGTGTGAGTGGAGCAAAACAAGGATACAAGCAGAGCCTCTACGTGCACAAAGCCCCACAATCCGCGAGAGGACAAGCCTTTGGTGGATGGACGGTGCTCGAGTCCTTGTCACGCTTGGCCTGGAATGGCATGGTGGCATCGATTCTCAGCTCCGTCCAGGCAAGCCTCGTCTTGTGTGTCTTGATATGTTGATGTGTCGATGTGACGTCTATGCTTCTTCTTTCCCCTCTCTTTCTTTGCACTCGGCGGCCGTTAGGATCATCAGGGGACCGTTTCACTACTTGCTTTGTTCGTTGCTAGTAGAAGGCTAAGCTAGGCCGTCCGTTGGGTCCGAGCGCACTATCTTCTCCAGTGTCATCTTCTCTATCCTTAGAGGACAGCACCAGAAATGAAAAGCACTTCGGAAAGTGGGCCTCAACACCACCACCAACAACGTCCGGTGCCAGGAAAATCACCGCCACAAGTTGGAGAAGTCTCGAGTAATTACTATGATCGATAAGGGACGGGCCTCGGCTCTGCTCTTCTTCTAGCTCGGCTGTAACAATGCACCTTTCTTTTCCTCCGCAATACTGTCTGACCCCCCCTTGCCGGACACCCGTACCCGCCGGACAGCTAATTTCCGACAGCGCCATACAAATACCAACATCCTCACTTACATATTATTTCCTCAATATTGAAGCTATTCAGAAACTGTTTTGATAGATAGATAGCCCTTTAATTGACGAATCTATTGATATACTTATATCTATGCCTGGACGCCTTATGACGCAATTCTGGCAATGCCGGAAGCTAATATCTGTTCCTTCCTGTCTTCATATCCATGATCCTTTTCCTTCAACAATCTTCTACCTCAAGCAAGCCACAATGCCTTCCCACGCCTGGAATGAGGAGAATATGGCTGATGCCCTCTTCGATATTATAGATAACCATTTATCTTTACGAAAATCAGCCAAGAAACACGGAATCGCCCCCCAAACGCTGTCAGATCGGCTGCATGCAGGGTCCTCAGTTCAAGAAGCAAAGAAACCTCAACAACGCCTTTCTACTACTGAGGAAAAGAAGATATTGAGATGAATCATCAAGTAGGAGAGCTTAGGATATGCTCCATTAGCTTCTGCTGTGCGTGGTGTTGTAGGAGCCCTCCTCAAGCAGAAGGGAGATCTCAATGCCCTTGGCTGCAAATGGATAGAGGGCTTCAAGAAGAGAAATCCTCAAATTCGCCATAAAATAGGCACTCGCCAGGAAGCCACCAGATACGATGCCTTCACTCCGAAAGCTGTTAACTAGTATTTCGACATTCGCGAGAAGGAATATGGGTGGATCGAGCCACAGCTTACAGTAAATGTGGATAAGGGTGGCATTATGACTGGATATGGTAAATTTCTATGGAATTCTCATCTCAGAGCTCCTGAATTGATACTTTTGATAGGCCTGAACTCGCTGGTTCTTGGATCCTCTGAAAAAAAGAAGGCATTCCTTAAAAGCAGCTAGGACAGAAGCTGGGTTACTCTCATTGAAAGCTGTACAGCTACAGGCTAGCTTCTCGACCCAGGCATCATCTTCAAGGGCAAAGATCTTCAAAAACAGTGGTTTTCTGAAGATATGGAGCAGTCTGTGCTAACCTGGCGCGTGATTACTAGTCAAAACGGCTGAATAAGCAATGAAATCGCGGTAGCGTGGCTTGAGGATGTTTTCCTCCTTCAGATGAATATTCTCCGTGAGAATGATATATCTCGGGCTATCCTCCTCATCCTAGATAGCTATAATAGCCATACATCAGTAAGTTAAGATCTTTTGAAGCTCAAGGTGGTATTTCTCGAGGATAATGTGCTGATATAAAACAGCTGGAGTTCATAGCTTCTTGCTACTTGAATAACATTTTCCTTTGCTTTCTCCCCGCATACACCTTCCACAGCCTCCAGCCACTAGATAACGGCATATTTGCTGTACTGAAAGCAGCCTATCGGAAAGAACTTCAAAAGTTGCAAGATCTTACAGACTCAGCCCCTGTTAACAAGATCAACTTTCTACGGTATCTCATCACAGCCAGGGCAGCAATCACTCCTAAAGTAGTAAAAGGAGGATGGAGACATAGTGGCAACTATCCAATTAATCGCCATAAAGCCCTATCTCATGAGGAAATCCAGGAGGATAAGCAAAAACGAGGAGCAGATGAGTTGGAGAAGGACGAGGAGAATGAGCCCATTTCCCATGAATTTATTACTGCTATAGGCCGAGACCGAAGCTACAACGAACGCAGCAAGTTGAGGAGGATCGCAAATCACCTTAAAGACCTCCAAGCTGAGGTTATCTTGCTCCGACAGCGAAATGCCTCCCTTAAGGCTCAGAACGAGGCCATTTCGAAGACCCGAAAGCGCAAGAAGATCCCCAATCCTAACAAACGCTTTATGACTATTTCAGAGGCACTTTCGGCTGGAGAAGAGGCCAATACAGCCCAGGAAGAGGAGGATTTGCCTGCTGAGGATATTGTGGAGGTTCAAGACGAGGTTGACGAGGAGGACTCTGAGGACGATAATGCAGACATTCCACGTAAGGATTCACCACCAATTCGTCGATCTTCTGGGCGGACTAGCCGTATGCCAACTAGATATTTGGAATGAGGAAATTTAGATCATTTCGATGATATATTTATTATTATTATACGATTTGAAGTGAATTATTTCTATATACTTGAAAAGGTGGCAATTGTGTGGGCCATTTCGCATTTTAGTGTCCGGCGGGTACGGGTGTCCGGCAAGGGGGGGTCAGACAGTATCCTATGAACAATTGAAGACAGTTAGGGAGAGTCCTTCGGGATACCCGTTAATCAAAAGTGGATGACCAGACTGGTGATGCCATGAAGGGTGACGATGCAGTCCACGGCCAGAAAAGTATTGGTCCATTCCAGGGCTGAAAAGTTTGCCTCTGATTGCTTCTGATACGGATGTCTCCTTTTCCCTTTGGTTTCCTTGTTTTTGTTTGTTTTTGTTTTTGTATTTTCTTTTCGTAAAGTTTTCTTATGATGGCCAGACTTCATCATATTTTGCCAATTTCACGGCAGTTTGTGGATGATATTCGGCTGTTCAGGAATAGTATCTTGTGCAATGTTTTACACTTGCTTCAGAGCAGTCTACACCAGGCGGTACTATGTTATCGTCAACCTGATCGTGGATGACTTGGTTCCTCAGTCGGATGGATAGAAAATGGCCGCCCAGGAAGCCACCTTAGAACATCTCGGTGTCCCCCTCCTCGTCCAAATCGCTCAGCGAAAGGACAGAAATACAGGGCATATCGACGTCACCGTCTGAGTCTGAGTCGTCGCTGAGAGACATAAGCGCCGTGAGGTCATAGTCGAAGTATTCGGACAAGTAGCGCTCGACCTCGTGGGCCACATGCTCGGCCTTGCGGTTCTTCTGGTAACAGACGTTGAAGCGTACGAGGGGGGTACTGGTTGCGCCCAAGTGCGCACTCATTCAGCATCTGGGCCCACCTCCTAAGGGCCTTTGTCCTGGGCGTGGGCTTGCTGGTGCGACCCGCCTTCTTCTGCCGCCGCTGCTTCGTGTGCATGGCCTTCTTGACCTGCTTGTCGATCCCATCTCCAATGTTACGGTGGGAACGCTTGGCTGTAGCCTTGTTGGTGGGCGATTGGTGTAGGGAAATGGATGATATGGCCGCGAGCATGTCTTGCATGTCGTACAACGCAGCGTCCTCCCTTTGCTCCACCTTGGCGGCCGTGTCCTCGATCCAGGCCTCTGCCTCGGCTGCCTCGCGATTCCCGAGGACGATAGATGCGTTATGGTTGATCTCGGGCTCGGTCTCCTTCTTTATGCTGAGAGTCTGAGCGGGAGGCTGCTGAGGTTGGTTTCGATCAGACAGAAGCCGCTCGAACAGCCTGTGATAGACGACGAGGTCAAAGTCACCACTCGTGGACATATTGGCCCGCTTGGAGGGACGGTCCTCAGAATCGTTGGGTGGTGCGCGCTTGGTTGCGTGACCGACCTCCCAAGCCTCGGGCGAAGCTTTGAAGTGATAGGTCGGGGCACGAGGAGCAACCTGCTGCTGAGCGTGTTTCTTAGGCGGAGTAAAGAAGATTGGGGCCAGATGAGGCTTTTGATATTCGACAACGAGGTCGTTGTCATCACCCGCGGCTATACGCAGACGCTTGGAAGGACGGTCTTCATATTTGTTGTCCCGGACCCGCTTCGTCGCCGTCGGTGGCATCAGCAAAAGTTCGTCATTGGAAGCCTTGAGTGATAGGACGAGTTGGGTAGAAGCCTGGGATGGGACGAGAGCGTCACATGGTAGGATGGAAATCGCGGGCTGAATGGTGGCGACGGTGATATCTCCGATGAGCTGAATATTCCTGCGACTTTGGGCCTGGAATTCATCCTCGTGGCTCACACCAACCTAGGGTGTGTGCCGTTGATAGATGATCAGGCTCTGGCAGCTGGCACTTATGGTCTCAACGAGGGAGGAGATCTCATTTCGAGCCTTAGTGGTGAGGCCATTCTGGCACCGTGCCACATAACGGACAAGTGCGAGTTGCTGATGGACGTCTGTCATATGCTTGCAGCATTAGAATCTATACAGACAGATTTTGAGGGTAGGGACAGGAAGAAATGGTATCCAATTACTGGTGGGTTCAATGTCGGAGGCATAGAGCAGGGACTGGGTTGAAGGCTGTTCGGGCTCAGTGTCGAGCTGTCGAATCAAGAGGTCGCAAAACCCCGTATCGAGCAGGGAGCGAAGCCAGTGGTATTGGTCATGGTAAAATAGGGCCAGTGCTTGCATCTTCTGGAAGTCCTCCTTCAGGCCCGTGATACGCTGCTGGCTCTGCTGGTAGATGCGAGCGATGAGGATAGCCACCAGGACACGAATAGCGAGAGGCAGAACGGGGAGGACGCGTTCTGCGACCTCGAAGAGGGCGAGGATGGCGAGGATGTAGAACAACATTGTGAGTCCTGTTAATTTTGCAGAACCGATTCAGAGAATATGTGGTCGTGATGGATGTGTGCAGTATGGAGAGTCTGGCTGCGCAGTTGGAGGAAAGGAAAAGTGATGAATATCTTGGGGAAATGGTGGGCGTGTCTATATAGTAAAGATACAACCCCAAAAACTGCAGCCTGGAAACAGTGGGGGACAACGCGTTCAGTGAAGCGGTAAAGTTTCCATTTACAGTGAGCAGGTCTGCTTTACCCATGGTAACTATCAGCATAATTCACAACTCCTTGACTCCCATTCTAAAGTAAAACTCACACCAAGAATACTGTTAAATGCGTCTCGTGCCATTTAAGTACTGATTGAAGTTGTATTATCCACAGACCAGCGAGGCAACCCCTGCATAGGCCACACACAGCTCTTGTCCGATTCTTTTTTCTGATTGAGTCCGATGTTCGGTGTGTGGATTGGGTAGCATGTCCAGTGCAGCTGCAAATGCGGCGCGCTTCCATGGTCGTCATTCTCAGATACATCGCCAGAGTGACTGCTTCACCCCAATACTCAAAGTTATGATCACATCCCCTGGGATCATTTACCTTTGCGTTTTCGCCTCCAAAGCTGCACACGTTAGATAGAATGCAAAGTTCACTTGAATACTGGGGCATGAGCTGGAACTTTCTATGGTGAATGCTGCGGCAGATGGTTCAGTAAGAAGAATCAAAAGTAACGATCAATGTATTTGCCCAATATCTATAACCACGGTGGAGAGAACAAAAAGTAAATATGTACAATGACCGTTTCCAAAGCAGCCACTTGACTTTGTTTAACAGCCATATTGAAACTTGAAACACCACTGACATATGAACAATCACAGTGTCAAGGGAACATTGGAGTTTGTTTCGCTAGATTCTCTAAACTTTTGTTGTGATGGCTCGAACCTTCGGCTGGATCAGGGATATGGAGCGGCCGACTGTCAGCACAGCTGACCAGCACGCCTTTCCGGCCTTTCGAAGTCAGCGATATTGAAAGTCCCTGTAAGTCTCCATCCTCCGTATGATGAAAAGAATCTGAAATATAGTCAGCCAGAGTTGGCGCCAAGCATGACTCTGTGTTTGCGACCACAGCCGCAGCCACAGCCGAGAATTTTCCCGCACTATCATCTAGATAGTTTGGTCAAATCGTATCGAGGAGGCAGCAGCTCAAAACACTATCAACATATAGTTTGGGTACCGTGTATCAGCCGTACTCCCGTGCATGACGGTAACGGCAACGCCGGCTTGGCTTCGATCACTGTTACAAGTGACGTTGAAATATCACGAGAATTGCTGCCTGGTCAGACAACAAATCTTGCGCCAAAGCATGACGGTCATCTTTGAGCTGTGTTGGAAAAAGATCATGCTGAATTTTCATGAACATCTGCAGGTGTTATACATCAGGTGAAAGATTTCTGACTCAGCTCGACGAAGGCTCCTGGTAAGGGTCTGTTCCATTGGACGTCAATACGATGATGCCGTGAAGTTGGTGTCCATCAGCTGATAAATGAGGCGTAGGGCTTGCTATCTTGTACTATGGCATTACTCATAGATGGTTACGGTCCACACCTCAACTTCAGGTCGTATATATTATTTACTTCCTCGTTCCCTTCTCTTGCCTGATAATGGAATCTGCTAACGAACGGAAGCGGTGAGAGAGAAAAAAGAAGACGAAACCTTGCGACACATAGTCTCACTCTGCAACATGGCCGCGGCGAGTCTAGCGTGGACTCATAAAGTCGACGAGCGTATCGGCATCATCAAAGACGGCCTTGGTGGGAATCAAAGTCTTGAAGCAAAGCTCCCCGGCCTCAAGAGCCTCTTGGACGATTATCTCGACGCACAGAATCCAGTAGGCACCGAGAACGACAAAGAAGGATTCCACCGCCGTCTGCTCCAGGTCTTCCGAGACTCCGAGGCCGACTTCACCTACGAGGACTGGTTGAAGAAGCTTGCCCCGGATGAGCAGGAAAGGATTGCCGGCTTCGTGAATGGAGACTCGGTGGAGAAAGTCTCCAGGGGTTATAAAGCTGCACCTAGCCTCGGTGTCCGTGAACATGTCGAGTTGATGATGAAGTCTCAGACCGATCCGATTGTGGCCGGACCAATCACTGGTGACGCAGTGAAGTGGGAGGTGGAGGATGAAAAGGAGAGTCCTTTACGGAAGTTCCTGCATGAATTGGTCGAGCCTTTCCGACATCACGAGAAAGGCTCCATCGTTGTAAGTATTCGTCTTGTCTTCGGCCCACCGAGCTCGCATGTATTGCTCATGCTGACCCTCTCTGGAGGTGTACAAAGATGCACCGTTCCAGAACTGGGGGCAGGACGTTGAATACATCCCAGCATATACGTGCATTCCTACTTCTCCGGATGGCATTCAGCAGATCGTCAAGTACGCCAAGTCACAAGACATGGGAGTGAGATGTGCTGGTTTTCGTGAGTAGTCCCGATTCATCCTTGGAAGAGGCTGTGATATAATCAAATTTGCTGACTGTGTTCATCAACAGGTCATTCCTGGGCCCCCATCTTCGGCCGCAAAGGACAGATCACAATCTCGCTCCTCCCACTGCACGAGGTGACCAAGCTCCCCAATTTTACAGCCCTTAGCAAAGCCCTGCCCGAGGCTAAGCCGACTGAGCTGGAAACGATCGAGGTTGTCGAGGGCACGCCTCGAGTAGCAGGAAACACCCTAGTGCGCATCGGTGTGAGCACCACAAACGAGCGTCTCCGGCGCTGGTGTGTCGAGAAGGGCAAATACTCGTTGCCGCTCAATGTGATCATGGTCGAGATGACCATCGGTGGCACGAACGGTCCCATCTGCCATGGCGCAGGGCGGCAGCACCCGACACTTAGCGATCTCGTCCGCAAGGTTGAGTATGTTGATTGCAACGGTATGCTGCGCGTCGTCGAGGACTCAGAGCACCTCAGGGCGGCGAGCGGGTGCTTCGGCCTAATGGGTGTGATCACGCACCTCACGCTCGAGTTTCAGCCTATGACTTATGCGCTCATGAACCCACAGAAGGTCCCTGTGACCCGTGCTGTCCCGCCGCCCGACGACATGCGGGAGGAGGACATTCCGCCCGCCCTGAGGATCAATATCACGCCTGAACAGCGCAGGGCTGATATCGAGGCCTTTGAGAAACACTGCACCGATGACTACTATGTCGAGTACTTTTGGTTTCCCTATGCCGACAATTCTTGGGTCAACAATTGGAACACCACGGAGGATTCAGCCGGCGTGATTGACTATCCCAACGAGGCCGAGACATTGTTCATGTTCATCAGCCAGTTTACGCTAAATGTGCTGCAGTACTCCAAGGTCATCAACGAGCTCATCCATGCTGTGGATCTTGACACGGCGGCCGTGACGCTGCTGTCGCGCGCAGCGATGCTTGCGCTCCCACACTGGGACAAGCCGGTCAAGACATACCTCACAGACGCCCTGCACTTCCAGCGTGGGATCCAGAACGTGAGGGTGCTGGACGTGGAGGTCGAGATGCAGCTCCTGCCCATGAAGGAGAACCCGAGCAGGCCAGACTTGCACCTGGTGCGGAGGGCCTGGTGGGATGCGATCCTGGAATGCTATCGACACAGCGATACCTGCCCGCAGCGGATGCCGCTCGAGATGCGCATCATGGGCGGCAGTGAGGTGATCATGGCGCCGCAGAGGGGCAACAGCCTGGGCACATGCTCGATCGAGGTCCTCACCCTCGAGAATGCGAAAGATCTGTGGAAGCCGTATGCCGAGGGGGTGTTGGCCAAGTGGTTGAACTACAGAGACGGCGAGGGCAAGCTGGTGAGGGCGAGGCCGCACTGGGCGAAGCAGTGGGCTGGGCTAGAGGTGGAGGGGAGGCCGTGGGTGGAGAAGTTGAAGGAGGTGGATTACAGGGATGAGATTGTCGAGTTCAAGAAGGTCCTCGGCGAGATCGGGAGGGCGCATGGCTGGACGCTGGCGGATCTGAAGAAGCGGTTCTCGAATGATGTGCTCGATGGTTTGTATTTTGACGATGTTCATGTTTAGTTTTGCCCGCTCAAAGGTTTTATCCTGTGTTTTAAAAATTATCAAGGAATGCTCTAGACGTCGAGATTTGAGTTCTGCCATGTTTTATGCTCTTCACTCTCGGCAACTTGACATTTGATTCAATTCAGAATTTGACTGGCCAATTGGATCAAAGGTCGATTGCCCTGTCCTTGAAGGTGTTCGGTAAAACTCAACGATGATGATGACAATGTCTACAACAAGTTGGAAAATTCTTATCAGGAAGTCTATAGACAAATATTATGGTGCCTGGGTGTGCCGATCCCGAGGACAAACGGCCAAATGCGGAGTCATGAGTTATCCATCGATGCTGCAACAACCAAAACTCAGCGGACCAACTTGACACTTTCTTATCATAAAAAATATAGAATTCCCAAACATGATTTGATCCAAGACGTATTATTACTGTTGAATCCTCTCTACCAGTCAATCATCAAAAGCATGACCTCGTGGGCTGCGCATGACAAGCACCGGCATCTCCAGACATTTTTGCGGCCTCATGGGTCACGATGAGGGCAATGCAAACAGCAAGATTGCCCTCTCTATTAAGAGCCACCATCCTCGTGTGTGCATTCAGCATAGAAAGTAAGGCATTCTCCCTCCACGACCCTTTCGACATCCGCGAGGCGACCATCGACAGCATACACAACGCCCTGTCCACCGGGACGACAACATGCCGCGAAATAGTCAGCTCCTACCTCGCCCGCATAGAAGCGCTCAACCCAACCATCAACGCGATAACAAGCCTCAACCCAGACGCTCTCACCATCGCAGACAGCATGGACCTCCAGATAGCACAGGGCAATGCCTCCCTCCCGCTCTTCTGCATCCCGATCCTGGCCAAGGACAACTACGACGTCACGCCTATGGACACAACCGGTTCATGCCTCGCTTTAGCAGGAAACAAGCCCACCCAGGACGCACCGACAATCAGGGCCCTGAAAGAGGCGGGCGCCATTGTCCTGGGCAAGACAAATATGCACGAACTCGCCCTCGAAGGCCTCGCCGTCTCCTCTCTCGGCGGGCAGACCCTCAACCCTTACGATCTGACGCGCACACCAGGCGGGAGCAGCGGCGGCAGCGGGGCAGCGGTGGCAGCCAACCTCGCCCTGCTTGCCTTGGGGACAGACACGGTCAACAGTCTTCGCAGCCCGGCGGCGTCAAACTCGCTTTTCAGTTTTCGGCCCACACGGGGGCTGTTGTCGAGGGCTGGTGTGATTCCTGTCAGTTTCACGCAGGACGCGGTGGGTGCTATGGCCAGGACGGTGCGCGACCTGGCGGCTGTGCTGACGGTGATGGCTGGTGTGGGGTATGACGACGACGATGATGCAACGGCTTTGATACCGCCGGAAGTCGTGGGTAGAGACTATACTGCTGCGCTGTTGAGGGAAGGGGGGCTGAAGGGACTGAGGCTAGGGCTCGTGCAAGGCTTCTTCAACCACACCGACTCGAGTGAGACGACGCCAGTGAATAGAGTTATGATGGATATGGTAAGCAAGCTGGAAGGTGCGGGGGCTGTGGTCGTGAATGTGACGGAGGCCATCTACAATGCTACGGCCATCAGCGCGGCGATGGATGTCCAGGCTTTCGAGTATCGTGAGGGCCTCAATCATTATCTTAGTAGTGGGCAGAACGCCTCTGGACCCCGGCCAGCGACCTTCGAGGAGATATACAGCAGCGGGAAATTCCTGGTCCTACCTCTCCAGTACTCTTTCATCAACAACTCTCTCGTCTCTTCCATGTCCAACGCCTCGTACCTCGCGGCCCAGCGCAGGATCCAGGACCTCACGAGTACGCTACAAGCAACATTTTCTACCAATACTCTCGACGCTCTTATCTACCCTGAACAAAAGAACCTTGTCGTTCGGGTAGGCTCGCCGTCCCAGAGTGGACGCAACGGCATCCTCGCCGCGCTGACAGGATCGCCAGTGGTGGTTGTGCCGGCTGGGTTCTCGAGCCCGACCGCAGAGGCGCCGATTGGAGTGCCCATCGGCATGGAAATACTGGGTCTGCCCTGGAGTGAGGATAGGCTGCTGAATATTGCCCAGGCAATAGGCGAACTGGCGCCGGTGAGGAGGATGCCTCCTGCTGCGAACAGGACAGTAGAAGTTCGGGGAGGTGGGTATAAGAGCGTTCCGGAGGTGACGCCGTTGGCAAATATACCGCCGCAATACTCTCTTGGGAGGCTGTACACTTGATTCCGAGCCCGAGAGCGCAGAGAGGGGTTCGTTGCGTGTATCTGAGTGAGGTGCTATCGAGATCTTGTATATGTTTTAGCCAATATATATATCAGGAAACATATTCGACTTCCAATGAAGAAGAATACCAAAATTCTCTCTCTTTCGTTACCACAGCACTCCACAATTTCACAATCCTCACAGCGCTCTTGGATTGAACAGATTATGGGTTGGTCATCAGTACCATAGGCCAAAGATGCTCAAACATGCCAGGTGGTGATGGATATTATCCTGTATCATGACGTAGATCTCGCTCTGTACTTGGATGAACCTAGGGTTTGGTTTGCATGGCGATATGCATTGTCATCAATACTGAGATGCTGCACAACTGTATAGATGGTTTGGCAAGCTTGATGTGCAGAAGGGAGGGCGCAGGGATAACATTGGCAAGGGACCCACCCACACCCACCTGCCAAGGGCCCATAGCTCCCACTCCCCTCTGTGACAGCCTGGCCCACAGCTATCCGAATAGGGAAGGAATGACAGCATTGGCCCAACCCATTTTCAACCTCACCCGTTTATTTCGCAGCGACATCTTTTTCTCTACCACATCGCATAATCCTCCACCATGTTCGGCTTCGTGAGTATCATTATGACTCCTGCAGCTTTGGCTGCTTCTGTACCGCATATGAATAGCTAATTGAATCTTCCTGAACAGCGCAAGACCAAAGACATCGTCACGCTCTTCCACAAGGCCAACTCCCCAGCTTCGGTGCGAGTTGCGTCCCTCCTCAAGCAAGCCTCCGCCAATGCTGCCGAACATGCCACCGAAGACCAGGCCAGCGACCACTCAGCTCAGACAACACCAGAGCGTGCCGAGTTCGATTTGAACATCACCGAGGACCCGCCTACTTCCGACCAGGTCCAGACCATCCTGGAGTACGTAGGCAAGCACAACGTTGGCTCTATAATCAAGGGTGCCTCGTCTGAGAGCGAGGCCATGAAGCTGTTCAAGCAGAGCGCAGAGAGCTTCCAGAGGCCTGTGGTATGTCTTGGTCTTATCACCTGTCTTTTCCTGGCCAGCCTTTTGCTGAGCCATCGAGGGGTCGACTTTCGGATGCTAACGTGAGGCAGACGGTGGACTGGAACAACGGCAAGGCTGTTGCTGGCGCTGACGAGTCCAAGATCATAAAGATGCTGAACCAGCTTCCTAAATAAAGTCAGGACAGTCTCTTGGCAAACTTCTGTACAAAATGAGATTCCCCTCTGTTCCACTCGAACGATTTTCTGTCAAGCAATGTTGTGAATTGCCTTATTTTCATCATCTACCCCACTTGCAGTGTCTTTCCTCTCAAAGTCTTATCTGGCAATCCACGTTCTTACAGGGCCGTAAACAGCCATAGCTTGAAATGCCCCCTCAACTCCTTCTTGATTAACCAGAAAAGCAACCTTGCAAAGCTGTGATCTTCTAGGCAGCGTTGTACATGTGATGGGCTGCAGCGATAGTGACTTTGTGTCTCAGGGCATGAAAGAATACAGAGGCAGGCCGTCACGATCGGAGGCTAACCCACTGGTATAAAACTGGTTGCCGCAGAAAAGACCAAATGAGACTGCTCAGACCCCATTGAAGGTATGCCACCTGCATCTTTTCTACTTCACTTTCCCTGTCGTCTACAAATTCTTCTTTGACTACACAGAAGACGCTGACTTGGATCTGGGAAGTTGCCTGAGTCTCATCATGCTTTGACTGTTCCGTCTACTGCTGGGCCAATCTCAGGAGATTTCTGGAAATCTCAGGCATGGCTGCAGCTCACCTCGACGCTCATTCACTGCCCACCCACCCCTTTGATGAAATCGATCATTTTGAAGGCAGGCAACTTCACCAGGCTGGGGCTCACAGTATCGACAGCTGCAGCTGCTCCTTCACATCCATCCTCCACCAGATATGAAGTGGCTGCCCTACAAATATTTTCCCCCACACACTTCATTTTTGCAATTTCGACTCTAGGTTCCAACCAGATCTCCAACTTCTTCCACATCCACCACACTTCCAACTGTCTGTGTCTAATGCATTCACAGTCTCAACAACCAAGCTTTAAATCTTCTTCTGCTCTGTACCATCACAATTATTTTGTGTCATTGCAACTCTCTCTTCTCGTCCACTCTCTCAGCTTGTCTATCAGCTGTCCCATCAATCAGTTGCTCCCAATCCAACACAATGGCTTGCAGCTGGGCTGAGCAGACCAGTAACCTGGTGGAGCACAACTCCATCCTACCTCGCGTCCCAGACCCGTCTTCGCATCCCAACGGCGGTGGCCAGAATGACAAAATCAAGTGGAATTACGTGAAGCTGAAGGGCGGCATGACTATGATCGAGCCCGTCATGGGCTTCTATCGTAACCCGCCTCCCCTCGCCAAGTGTCGCTGGACAACTAACAATGGTCAACACGAGCCGGTCATGTTCGAGAAGAACATCTTGAAGCTGCCAGATCGAACGCTGACCAAGTGGAACGACGAGAAACTCGCGGCCGAGGCTAGCAAGTACCAAGAACTGTACTGGGAGGAAATGAAGACGCTGGTCCGCCCTGAGTCTTTCGAGGACCTCTACGAGTACTTCGACAGCATGACTCTCTGGATGAATGGCGCTTACAACATGTGGAACTTGGTCAACATGCTCGTGACCCACGCGCACAACCAAATGCCTTTGATCCGCCAGGAGTGGAAGCAGGCCATTGATGCCTACGTCTACGATTTCTTCTACAACCACCCTTATGCCTACTACAATCGCCAGGCCCTCTGCCAGTGGAACGGTGTGGGTGACCCAGTCAACTCGATCGCCTTCCAGAACTGGCCCAACTTTGATTTGGACGGTCTCAACCTGGAGCAGGAGAACATGGCTCGCGAGGCGCTGATCTCTCAGTACATCTATCTCACTGGCAAGCAGGTCAATGTCCCCCAGTACTACCCATTCTTCCCCCGTCCTGTTGCTGAGAACAGTGACGCGTCTCGCGGCGCGTTCAACGAGGTCGCGCCACAGCTGACTGCTGTCACGCCCGCTGCTAACACAAAGCCTCAGAAGCAGGCAACCCCGTTGCCTGTTTATGAGCGTCAAGGCGCAGCGCTAACTGTCTCTGGTGGTGCCAATGCCAAACCTGTAGTGGCAATCGGCCAGCCTACTACAGGTCGCACCTCGTCGCCTTCGGCCATCCTCACTAGCATTCCCGAGGAGCCTACTACTACTGCCAACAAGGCTATCGAAACCCTGACCGGCTCTGCGTCGTCTAACCCTCTCGAGTTGGCTGAGAAGACCCAAGACGCTGCCCCGAAGCCGCAGGAATCTGCTCCAAAGATTGTCACCAAGCAGGCTACATCTGAGCGCACCGAGATCATTCGTGATCGCAAGGACAGCAACGGTTCTAGCGACAAGCTGTTCTTCAACCCTGACTCTTCTCCTGATCGGCTCCAAGTCGAAGGCCGATCACTCTCGATTGTGTCGGCCCCTGATCAAGGCCCAGAACCCATGTTTGACAACACTGGAGCCGGTAATTCGAAGCGTTGTGCAAGCGAGGCGCCTGCTGTCATGAGAAACAGGTATGAGACAGGACAGACGAACGTTCAGGTACGGGAGCCTAGCCAGGTCCCTGCCGCCGTGAATATGAGACGGACTTCATGGCAAGGGCCTTACAAACCTGCTTCTGTACAGTTGTGCCCAATGATGGAGCAGGGTCCGCCGACAGACGCTCACCAGCACCAGCACCCCAACCAGACAGTGCCATGCCAAGCTCAGCCGATGATGGGGCCGTCTCCGCCTCGTTCTTCTTACCCGCCTCACCACCCTCAGTCAACCTTCGGTCCTCCCAATGCCATGATGCGGCCGCCTCCCGGTCCTTTCTCTGGTCCACACGGCTTCTACCCGGGAGGCGGTCCTCCATTTACTTCTGGTAGGGACATGACACCTGGAGGACGACCTCTAGAAATGTGCCACAACCAGATGCCTACGCGACCGCCTGACATGGACACACCTCAGTTTGGTCATCCACAGGGACCACCAATAAGCATGCCTCCTCACCTCATGGGACCTCCTCTCCAAGGCCTTCCCAAGCAGAGCCCTCCCATGTACCAAGAAAATGGGTACGGCCCTCCAACACCGAGGCATAATGGTGGACACACCCGTTTCGAAGGACCTGGCGACAAGAGAAACCACAACAAGAAGATGGGTGGCCGTCGTGATAGCGTCCTCTCCACTGGATCTCGCAAGGTTCGTGATGATCCGATCCACGGCGCCATCTACGCTCTGAAGGATGCCCGCAGGGGTAGTAGCAGCAATGTCTCCTCGGGTCGTGCGCCTTCGAATGGCTGCGATCCTGATCCGGAGCACGGCAATGTCGGCGTCACATCGCAATGCAACAATGCGTGGGCTCAGGGTCGCTGTTACGAAGAACTGTTTGCCTGCGCCTTTGACGAGTGTCCTTGCCCACGCTGTGCTCAGGCTACGACAAGTTTGTTCATTGCGCTTCGTGGCTCAACCAGAATAGAAACTCAAGACTTGCGAAATGCCCTCATGAAGCAATTTGCCAAGTTTAGACCTGTTTCTGTCAAACGCAAGAGGAGCGCACCGCAGGCGCTTGTCACATTCCAGAACGATGTTGATGCGATTCGAGCTATCCAAGATGCATGCAGTAAAGAGGACAAGACCATCAAGAATCTGGGAGTGGTGGGCCGAGTTTGGTATCCTCTCTTCTCGAAGCACTACACTCCAAACACCTCTGAAAACCCTACCGGCCAGCCGAAGCAGCTGTTCGAGGTCCAGAGCCACATGCGCTCGTCCGACACCCGAGACCGTCGAGACTCGAACCCATTCCGTAGTCAACCGCCAACGGAGCAACCCATTGGTCGTACCTTCACTGACGAACCTCAGGGCCCAATCCAGCACGGTAGCTTTGCGCAACCTCCACCCAACATGGGACAATTTCCTCCACCGGGCTTCCCGGCCATGAACGGTGTGTCATACCAGCCAATGGGCTTCATGCCGCCGCGCACATTGTGGGAGCCGCCTGCGTCTCCGCGTCGACAATTGAGCACAGCTATGTCTTGTGCCAAGGTTGAACAGGAGCACGCCGCGACTCAGCCATGCCTGAAGACGGGCCAGCGCACCTCTGAGATCCTGATGAAGGAAGACTGGCGGTCGAAACCTCCCTCAGAAGAGGCCATCATGGATGACAACAACGATCTGCCCGGCACTGATACCGCGAGCAATCATTCGTCCCAGGGTTCTAGAAGCGTCAAGGTTTCTCTGCCCAATGAAGAGGGCTCGGCGCGTGAGGCGGTCTCCCGTGACTCCTCGCGCAGTGCTTCTCCTGAGACTGGTGAGCAGGCTCTCAAGGATGGCGGCAAGAAGCATTTAAAGAACGAGAAGGAGAAGGTGAGAGTGTGTAACAAGACGAGTGCCACAAGCTCTCGGACCATCACTCCAGAGAAACTTAAGGCAGGTGCGGCTGAAGTGGACAGTGTTGCTCAAGAGGAGAAAATTCCCAAGACCACCACTGGGGATATTCAACCAAAGGAGCCTGCCGAGAAGAAGACTTCTCCTGGTGGTTACCGCAAGTCCACATCTGACCTGGCGGTACCAGTCGAGTCTGTTGAGCAACCAATAGCCAAGTCTGGGTACAGGAAGACCGCCATCGACATCTCTTCAGCAGTCGAGAAAGTCTACTACCCAATGGAGACCGTCATCCGACACAAGCCGTCTCGCAGCACTCTACCAAGCGAATGGGCAGCTGACATGCCTCGCACGGCGAAGAACTTGTCTCCTGCTAATAACAACACATTTGCCTCATCTGACACTAAGGAGCGCTTTGCCTCCATCCATGAAGATCTCCGCAGGGCGCAGATGGTTTCGGTTGTGGAGAAGGTCTCAGAGGCCTTTTCGTCACCCAATGCGGCTTCTATGACCGACAATGCTGCTACTTCTGGTTTTGGCATTGATGCTGAGCTAGATAAACAGCCGAAGCAGGCGCAGAAGCAGAGGAAAAAGTCGAAGAGCAAGAAGGGCGGTAAGGCCCTTGGTGGCAAGTCCAACCCAGCGTCTCGGTCCCACACGCCAAACAATGTGGACGTTCGCGTTCCTTCGTCAGAATCAAACCGTCCTCCCTCGGTCGCTGCGTTGGTAGGTGACGCCACCACGTTGCGCAGTTCATCGCCTGTCATGCAGAACAACAACACTAACGACCCTTCTTCTGTTGGCTCCCAGCAGCCAAAGAAGAAAACTAAAAATAAAAACAAGAAGCGAAAGCCGACACAGTCTGCATCAGAATTCTCAGAAGGGCTGGCGAAGAGCGAAGGTTCTCAGGATACCAAGGATCAGGCAGTCTGTCCAGGATCGCCTTTGAAGAAGTCCAAGTCAACAACGGACGCTGATTCTGTTGAGATGGCTGGCAAGGATGCTGCTGAGTGCTTTCCTAACAATCACAGCACCAAGGTCGTTGAGCAGGTCCAAGGGCAGAACACTGGTGGCTACCGTTCCAACAATGGTGGCTCGCTGCGCATGAACAAGCAGCGCACGCCCAAGATGGTGGAGCAGAAGGACGGACCTCAGGACGGAAAGGAGACCAAGAAGCCAACCGACGATGCTGGCACCACGTCTCTAGCCACCATTTTTGAACCACCTGTTAAGGAGGAGCAAGCCAAGGGTGTCTCGCCTGACGCAAACCTTTTCGCGCACCAGAAGTTCACCATTGACCAGACGAGGAAGTCGAGCAACCAGCCCAAGATGCAAATCCACTCGGCAGGTCCATCTGCGAATCATCAACCCATGCAAGAGAAGGGCCAAGCTGGCAGCGCACCGAGCAACTCTCCACCCTTCCAACCTTTGCCTTCTCGAGCCGGCGCCTGGGCGGCCATCGTGAAGGGAGATGTTCAGAGCGGCAAGACCGATGATCCGTTCGTGACTGGCCCTGGCGAGGCGATGGCAATGAGCGACGACCCTCCTGTGAAAGGCGATAACATGAAGTCACCCCAGAAGGAGAGAGAGGCTGATGAGCAGTCCTCCAAGGACAAGCCTGCCTCACCCACTCTTTCTCCGAAGAAGGGGTCACGCCAGACCTCCAAGAACAAGGGCAAGAGCACACTCAACGCGGCGGTCCAGTCCTTCGTTCCCTCACGGGCGTCGTCTGCTGCTGCTGCTGCTTTGAACGCGAAGCTCAACCCAAACGCGCAGTCCTTCACGGCCTCCATCCCGTCATCCCCTTCAATGAGCGTCATGTCTGGCGTCAGCCGCATGCACGGGAGCAGCATTGCCGTGAACACCAAGAAGAACAACCGATCGCTTCACGCCAGCGACCCCACGCATAACGTCGAGGGCGGCGCCCACAAGGGTCACGCAAAGAAGCCTTCCCTTCCCGGCCAGCCCACTGGCATGGACAAGCGCTTCGTTACACCTGCCGAGCAGGTCGTTGATCCTACCGAGCTCTCGCAGCCTGGCCCTCCCACTAAGGAGAAGACGAAGACCGGGACCCGTCATGACACCCTTCCTGATCGCACTGGGGGATACCCAGAACTGCCCCTCATCGCGAGACCGAAGCCTGTGCCCGCGATGCCCGTTACCGCTGCGAAGAAGATGACGACAACACCCGTCAAGAAAGCTGCCGAGGTCGTCTCTAATTCTCCGCCTCCAGTCACGCACGACAACTTCCCGACTCTAGACGAGGCGGCTAACACGGTTGCCAAGAAGCGTACCGCCAGTATCATCAAGGCCGGAGTGCCTGCAGTGCCTACTCCTTCCCAGGCGGCCATGCCCGACGGTGGAAAGGCTGATACCACGCACAACATGGCTCAGCAGCTCGCTGTGAGTCATCAGCGGAGCGTCACTGCCCCTAGTACAACAAAGGCTCAGCAGCCCAGGCAGAAGCCTACGGAGGAACAGAAGCCACAGGACGGCAGCGCATGGCAGATAGTGGGGCCTGCCAGAAAGAACCCCGGTGGTATGGCTAGAGGTCACGGCAGTCGCGGTAGTCGGGGCGGGCGGTTCTGGCAACCCCGGGGTGCTCGAGGTGATCGTGGTTCCGGTGCTGAGGAGCGCAAGGGTGGCTGAAGCCATTGGGAAGGAAATGGCTGATGAATGCAGCAGATTGTGGTGGGCAAAGGGACCCGGCCATCCAAGGCGAATACGAAAAAGAAAAGCGTTGTGTGACGATATCATTGAGATACCACTGGTTCAGGTTCAGGATGGGCAGAAACGAATGACAGAGGAACGGACGTGAGGAAAACGGGCTCGATGAATCACGATCCATGATGCTCATTGGAAGTTGATAACGACCAGGGATAATGATGCACGGTCGACCATCGGTCATCAGGGCGTTTAACGAGAGAAATTTTTATGAGCATGGGGTTTTGACTGAATTCCATGAGCAATCGGGAAGTTTTTGTCTATTGGGTCAGTCTGTAGAGTACAAAACAGTCATGAGAGAATCGAGTGAAGTTGATCACACTATATGATCTTGTCGTCCTTGGCTTTACTATCTCCACCCTCACGACCCTCGATATTGATGTTCAGTAGTGATGGTGTGTGGCCTTGGCCTTTCAATTCGGTTTTACTTTTGTTTTTTTACCTGGCCTCTTCTTATTCTCCCCTAGCATGGGACAGCTCTTCGTGTGGTTCCACCAGGGCTAACATTCCCCAGCTCAGCTCAGCCCAGCCCATAGGATCCCTTCCGCACTCTTCTTGGACGGACTCTCAGTTCCCAACAACCGTCAAACACGGCTCATATTGTTGTGTGTAGCTTCCACCTCGGCCCAAACGGTCCACTTGTCTGCCCGCCCGTCATGCCTTCTGCTGTACCAGCCCAGTCACCGTATCCTCGATTTGCTTGTCCGAGAGACCTATCGAGCAGCAGAGAAATATCAGCACACATCCATCCGATGCCCTAAAAAAAATTAAAAAATAACTCTACCGCTCCCATACTTCTCCTTTCCAGGCTTCGTCTTGGTCTTTTCTGCGCCGGCCGGGAAAGAAAGGAAGAAAAAAAAAGAGGATGGTTCGAGTTGGAACCGGTGTTGCAGGGCAGCTTTTTCCCCCTTACCTTCTAACGATTTGCTCTCCTCCTTGCCAAACTCATATCTCGCGTAGACCTTGGGCTGAGTCCCCTGTGCCTCGCGCAGCATGATGGGTGTGGAGGGGTTGTGCTTCTTCATTGTCGGGTAGGTCCTCGTCAGGAATGCCCTGTCGCGCGAGTGAGGGAAGAGTAGTTAGCAGACGGTTTCTCTTATCTATCTCCGTCTCTCGGAAAGAATGGCCCTCCATGGCGAGACAGAGTGAGAGAGCAAGGGAATGAGGGCAGGACTTTGGGCGGGAAGTGGTGGTGGTGGTGGTGGTGCTGCCGCTGCTGCTTGTGCCTTACCTGGTCGCGGCGCTCTGCTCTGACGTCTGGCAGAAGAGGAAGCGGACCTCCTTGAGGGACTTTGTGAACGCGTATTTGGTCGCCATCTCTGAACGGACAGAGGGGAGGGTCAATTGGCCGACGTCGTGGGCTGTGGAGAAGCTGGCTGGACTCGTAAGGTGTGCCCTTGAACTGTAGCTAAACACATGCGCATATACACACACTTCCCAAGTCTCGTAGCCGACGGCATGGGAACGTTTGACGGGGTCCCCACTGTTTGCATAGTCTCTATAATTGCATAAGTGACGTGCTAGGTACCGGGGTGCCATGTTAACGTGTAACACATCCCGGCGGGCAGCGGCAGAATTGTTAGCAACGCGCGCCATTTGAGTGGTTATGCCCACAGCACCTTTTTCTTATCTCCGGGACAGCCGCTGCCAGGCTCAGCGCTGTGGTACGCTGCAAAGCTAGGGCCCCTACCCCCTCTACCCCAACTTCGTTTTTTCTTGCCCTCCATCTGCCACCTAGGCGTTCAGCATTAGTTGCTTAGGGGGGTGCTTCCCTCCGTATCGCCCGCCCACAGCGTCCCCAAAAGACCCGAATTTGTCGCACAGCTCCTTTCATCGGACCCCGAATCGACGACGCGATAAGATTCACTTTCTCAACCTCTCTCTCGCCCTCTTTTTCTTACCTTATCTCTGTGTCACCATCACAAACCCTCCGACCACAACTGGAAAGAAAACACTCCGCTCTTTTTTCTTCCTACTACTCTTCTTCTTCTTCATCCTCCCCAACAGGAAAGGCCAATTCTATTTTCCCAAATCTTCCAGCAAATAGAAACTCCGCGACCGGAACAAAAGAACACGGCGAGATATCAAGGAAGAAGACAGACAGACTTCAACAAGGGGAAAAAGGAAAGACAAAAAAAAGAAATAGAGATGGCTCCCACATCCAACTTCGCCCGCGCCGCAAGGCCGCTCTTCTCGTCGACCTCGGCCGCCTTCCAAACCCGCGCCGCCTTCTCGCGCGCCTCGCCTTTTGCCCGCCAGCAGGCCTACCGCCGCCAGGAGTGGAGCCGGAGGTGGCAGAGCACCACGGCCGAGGGCGGCGCCCAGCAGAGCTGGTTCAAGCGCATGTGGGATAGCCCTATCGGCCTGAAGACGGTGCACTTCTGGGCGCCTGTCATGAAGGTATGTGCACATCCCTATAAAGACATAGACAGAGGAAGAGAGAGAGGAAGAGAGAGAGAGAGAGAGAGAGATTAGCTGACGACGATGACCTCTTCCTTCCCTTCCGCAGTGGGCCCTCGTCCTCGCCGGCGTCTCCGACTTCGCCCGCCCCGCCGAGAAGCTCTCTCTGACCCAGAACGGGGCCCTGACGGCCACCGGCTTCATCTGGACCCGCTGGTGCCTGATCATCAAGCCCAAGAACTACCTGCTGGCCGCTGTCAACTTCTTCCTCGGCATCGTCGGCATCATCCAGGTCTCCAGGATCCTCCTCTACAACGCCAGCCAGAAGAAGACCGTCGAGGGCAAGGTGGAGGCCGCCGCCCAGGAGGTCAAGGATGCGGTCAAGAGCTCGTGAACCCCGTCAGACGCTTGAAAACAGAGAGGGGCGAGGGAGAGTGTGTGTATGGACGGCATGGAGTTGCCTCGCCGGGACGGGGATGGGGCTCCTGCGAGGTCGGGAAATTACTCGAGAGTAGGAAAAGACCAGATGGGGTAAGAAAAGCCGTTGAATCCCCAAGGGACAGGGGGGGAGGGGGTGAACGAGGTTAGGAGGAGGGAATGGGGAGCATGGCGGATACGTTGCGCAAAAGCAGAACATGACCGGCCTCGAAAGTCATGGAAGGCTGTAGGACATGGCTACCGATGACCTGGCGTGTGACGCAGGACGTTTCTTGCTTCCTTGAAAGTGATATAATATTTCACAAGTGCGAAGGGGGCCACCCATTGTTCTCTATAGCCTTCCGTGTGTGTTCGCAGCCGGCGCGCTGCTGCCCCCTTGACAAAGAACGAGAAGGAAAGAGATCAATTATAGATGAATATTCCGTACTTAGTCGGTCGCTGGTTGGATTATTGATTGCTGACCGTGAGCAAATCTCTCGTGGTGCTGTTACCTTCTCTTTCAGCCGCTTTTACCTGGGGGAGGAGCAGGCCTGTGTGTATTGCTGCATTACTCGGAATCTTGTATTTTCATTATCAAGTACGACTAGGCGCATGAGTCCTCCTCCACTAGACAGACAAAACATACCAGCCCAGTATGACCAGCACACACCCCATCCCGCCTCACGAGCGACACGCAGGCTTGAGAAACACGCTGCCCAAGTTTCAGAACAAACTGCCCCCCTCATATAAGGTAATCAGAACGCCATTCTCGATTGCAAGGTCTCCTAAGCCATGACTCGAAAGGTAAATTGTTTCCGTTTCCCCCTTAGTCCCAGTGCTGTGATAACTCAATTGCTTTCATGGTACTTGTATCAGTGTCATTGACGCGTATTAACTCGCCCGCCGCAACCGCTTCCGCTTCCCATCATCCAAGATCGAGAGTCCTTCAGCCTGCGCGACTTTTCGTTTCGCCCGTCCGAATACTGGCTGGACTGTGTAAAGACACCTCGGCGGTAACCGTGAAAGCGAGCCCAACTTTTCTACTTCTCGAGGTTGAATTCTGCGCTCGGGCCATGCTTGCGCTGCCTCTCTTCCCCGATCTTCTGCCTCGTGCTGGGCTCTCGCTTTGTTGCTTCGCCACTGTAGTGTACAGGACAGCATCGCCAGCCTCTGTGCCAGAGTTCTTTTCGGCTGCGTTCCGCTCTAGGGTATTTCCTCGTCCAGAGAAGGCTCAGCCTCAGACACCAGCGCATCAGTCGACATGTGCGGCGGAGACTCATGCAGAGCCTCGAGCAAGACTGCTGGCGGTGCTGCCTTGGTCAAAGGAACACATGTTCGCACAGGTGGGGGTGGCGAGACACTACGCGCCCTCATCATCATCTCCATCTCTGCTGCCTGCGTCGGCATATCGTAACTAAAGCTGCGGACAGCCGGCAGCATTTTCGGCCGCTGAGAATGCGCATGCTCCTCCACCTGTTGATACCGCTCCATGATCAACTGGCTTTTCTCCCGTTTCAACTGGCTCATTGATTTCGTCGAGGACAACGAGCTCACCCTACTCGTCGCCCGGCTTGAAGATAGCGAAGATGGTGTTCCTGGTCGTCCATGCGGGCCGGGAGTCGCCGCCCACCGTGCGACGGTACCGCTGCGGTCGGGGAGCCTCACAAGGCCGCGGTAGGTCATGCCGTCGACGATTGAATTTTGCCTTGATCCTGGCGCTGGTCTGGGGCCGACAGGAAGAGAGGGCGCTGTGACAGTTGTGACACACTACATCACGCTGCACTCGCCCTCCTGCTGCTGACCGATCTTGCTACGCGTGATGCGTTCGCGCTGGCGAGGACCGTTCTTGCCAGAACGCTTGAGCTCTTCGAGGCGCTCGCGGGCTTTGGGAAAGTCCTGGGCTGTTTCCAAGTGTGTCAGTTCATCATCTCCACACCGTCGGTCGAAATCTACAAAGCGGCAGACTTACCGGCAGCTCTCCAGTACCACCTCTTCGCATCCTCCATGTTTGCAGGAACACCAATGCCCATTTCCGTAAAGTAGCCCATCGCGTATTCGGCCTTGGCCAGCCCTGCCATTGCAGCCTTGCGCGCCCACAGATATGCCTCAGTATCGTTCTGGCCCAGGACATTATCACTGCCGGTCAGATACCATCCGCTGAGAGCCAGCTCCGACTGGTGCTCGCCCTGCTCCGCCGCCTTGGAGTACCACATAATAGACAGCCGCGGATCTATTGGGCAGCCCATGAGGCCATACTCGTACGCGCAGCCCAAGCGGAACTGGCTGAACTTGTAGCCGAGCTCCGCGCCCTGCTTGAAGAGCCGGAAGGCGTAGGCCGAGTCCCGGAGAATCACATCATTCGGCCCAGCGCTCTCGTACAAGAGCCCGAGTTCGTGTAGCGCATGGGGATTCTCGGCGTCGGCAGCTTCTGCTGCGCGCTTGAGCCAGGAGATGGCCTCTCGAGGGTTCCTCTGCTGGCCTAGCAGTCCTTTCAGCAGGATCATGCCGACCTTGTACATGGCTGGGGTGTCGCCCAGTGTTGCTGCTCGCTTGTACCACTGCATAGCTTTCAGGGGATCCCTCCGCGTGCCACCGCCTTCTTCGTTGCCAATTTCACAGCACACTGCTGTACGGTATGCCGCTGCAGGATGTCCAAGCTTGGCTGCCGACTGATACAATGTGAACGATTCTTTGTTATCCGATTCTCCAAACATGCCCTTTCCGATGGCATCAGCAAGCGTAAACATGGCCTCGGCATTCTGTGCGTTCGACAGCTTCTTCAGGATCTTCTGCGCATCCACCAAATAGCGCTCACGGACCTTCGCACGCGCTTTTGGATCAGGCAAGTTAGGCACAAGAACATCGGCCGCTTCTATCAGTCTCTTAGCCAGACGGAACGCAGACTGCTGGTCTTGCGAGTTGGCCTTGACCCTGTTCCTGAGTTGCTCCAACTCCTCTGCCGTGACGATCGGATCTTGTGAGCGCGCAGCACCTGGACGCACCGGACCATTCTGCACGGAAGCAGAGGCAGGCGCCGGTGCCGGCGCAGGTGCCGGAGTGGGAGCTGCCGCTGGCAGGCCGCCGTAGTTACGCACAGGCGGTGGTTTATTGGCCAGCGAGCCCTGTATGTGACCTGCCCTTACAGGAGCGGGATGAGACGGCAGCCCATCAGCGTTAGGAGGCGAGGGCTGATGCCCTGGTCGCACTGGTGGTGTTCTTGAATTAACAGGCAGTCCTCCAGCAGATGGGCTGGGTCGATTCGGCATCTGGTCATACTGGGCCTGATAGCCCATCGACGGTATAGGAGGGGCATCCGGTGCCATTTCGAACACTGCTTGTTGAGACGCTCGCAGGTCAGGTTGCGACTTACTCTTGCTGAGCTCCGGGACCCTGTTCGGTCCCCTTTGTGCTTCTAGACCGCCATTTCGTAGAGACAAATCTAACGAATTGCGTCCTGCAGGCGCGGCGTCGAAGTTGGGCAATTCGGGTTCGGGTGGCAGCTGATTCTGGGGCGGGTAGCCATTGGCGCCTCCGTCGTCGTAGTATTCATCATAATAACCGCCCTCGTAATACTCTTGGCCATAGCCGTCGTATCCGTACCCTCCTTGAGGCGGTGGTGGCTGTTGCGGTGGTGGACCTCGCTGCTGAGGATACATGCCCTGAGGCGGTGGTCGGTGCGCGTGGGAGGTTGCTGGCCGGGGAGGTGGTGGCATTGCACGACCTATCTGGTTGCCATAGGGGACGGAATCTGCCCGCTGGGGTACAGGTACGTCAGGCGGTCCGTCCATGTGAGGCATCGTTCTCGTTCTCGACGGCGGTCCGAAATCTTGGTCTGGGTTCTCGCTATATCCTGCTCGTTGAGGCGGGGGACCCCTCCGCTGGTCTGGATAGCCCTGTGGCGGATAATTGCGTGGGGGGCCCGGAGGACCTCGCTGGGAGTCCATGGATGGTCTCGGGCCGTAGTCGTCATTGGATCGACCTCGCACGGGGGGCCTGCCTTTTGATTTCTTTGTATCAATATCCAAGGAGCCCATCTGGGTTAGGATTTGTTGCTCCGCATCAAGATTTGTTCTCCGCTGTTTGCCTGGAAATGTCGGGAATGGGCTGTCGCCGAATCCTGGCTGTCCTGGAGATTTTTGAGACTCGATGAGTGGCTGTCTCGGACGGTTCACTTGACCGTAGTTAGACGCATATGCCACGACCTTAAGAAAAACAGCAAACGCTGGTGAAAAACTTACTGAGCGGATCGGAGTTTGGGTGCGCAAAGGGCGGAGGCCGTCCCCTTCCTGGGCCAACTCCATTGTTGGGAGGGCGGCTAGGTCCTGAAGGTCCTCCAGCATAAGGTCCCCGATGACCATCAGCTGTCGGAGGTCGCGGGATAGGGCCACCACCACGGCTTCCGTTCATAGACGGTCCTCTCACAGGGCCACCTCGCCCTGGCGCTGGTCCATACGGATCACGAGGAGGCGGTGGGCCGCGCTGGCCGTACCCATCGTCGTAGGGCGCCCCGTACCCTTGATCATAACCGTTCGATTCGTAGCCGTACTGATCATATCCATAGTCGCCCTGGTACTGATCATATTGGGGTTGTTGTTGTTGAGGTGGCCCGCCGCCATTGTACTGGCGCTGTGGCGGTGCTCGTGGTGGCCCAGGTTGACCTTGATAACCACCTTGATAGGCCATTTGTGCTGGTTGTTGGGGAAGTGTAGCCTCCGTTCTTGGTTCCTCTCCTTCTCCTCTCGACCCAATACAGTGCAATCCTGCCGACCCGTCGCTTGGACAACTTCTGCCTGCCTGCCGAATTCGTTGGGTCTGCACTTGTAGAACGTCAAGTCTCGTATCAGTCCATCGGTCAGGACTAGAATCGAAGCAAGAGCAGCTGAAGATGTAGGCGCAGAAGGAGGGGTAGTCGTGATGGTTACTGCAGCGCAGGACTTCGTGTGATTCAGAAGTGGTTCAGCCAGACGGTGACTAGCGTGTTGCTGTCAGACACAAAAGGAGGGAGAGCGTCTCGGACGGTGATTGTTGAGGTCTGCGACAGTAAAGATGCTGCCGAAATAGCCTGGCTGCACCGCAGAGTAATGTTGTTGGGAAATGGCCGAGTCGTTGTGGCAGTCAGTATGCCGTACTGGCACAGAGAAAGAAAGATCCAAACTGGATAAGGGAGAATAAATCAACAATAAAATGAAATTAAAGAAGGAAATCAATGCTATGCGATCTGGAACCCGAGAGCAGAAAAGACAACCTGGAGAATCGGGGTGGGTATGAACTGCTTGACTGTCGTGAAATGGGTGTGGAGACAGAAGAGAAGTCGAAGTGGAAGGAAGGCGTGAGCAGAGGAGGCCACCAACAACAGCCTAGTGGTAGTAGTGGATTGGGGACGGGCGGGATGGGGTCGGACTGGGGTGGGGGAAGGGTTTGCTGGGACCTGCAGCATGGAGAATGGCACTCTGCATAGGCCCCTGGACCAGGGCCTGGCAGGGGGCTGGCAGGGGCCAATTTGGAAGCAGGCAGTGTGCTGGCAGGGGCTGGTGTGAGAGACACTCAAGGGCTGGGGGTGGGTGCTGAGTTGTTCGCTTCAGACCACATGAGCCAGCACGGACCAACAGCGAGGGGTTTGGCCGAGTTCCATTCTACTATGTAAATTACACGCTATGCATTCTCTTGTGTGGCTAGCAACCAGCCGATCTTGTTCCAAGTCCCTACAACAAATATCCTACTACTTCATCGTCATGGTTAATATGTCTGTAACCCAAGCCCCAATTCTCTCTTCTCCGCTGACCAATTGTATGACTACAACAACACAATAAGAGTAAATAAGAAGGCCGCTACTGCAGACCAGCGCCTCGGTAGCTTCCCGGGCCTGTCAAGTCGGGAAGATCCTGTACGGCGATCATTTCCGCTTCCCTTGTTCGGATCTCCAGTGCTGTAGCAGCTTTTTGCCTCTGGATCAGATTCAGTACCCTCACTTCTGTGACAGTCCACAAACAGAACCCCTTGTCATGTTCATCAGCGCCGGAATATGCCTTGGGTGATCAGGGCGACAGTTGTCCCCTCTGCGACCCGCTTGGGGTCTCGTGAGACTTGATCAGGCGCCGATGCCGCCTCCCTTGGATCTTCTTCTCTCTGTTTGACCAACTCGCCAACGAAGCAGAGAAGCGAGGAGCGTCAGCACTCGTAACAAGATCGAGGCTGGCCCTTGTCTTGTTGAACTTTGTTTGCCATCGCCAAGTCTGCCTCACATAGCCAGCCTATACGGTACTTACCTTATAATGCAACCTTCTTTTGAATTATCGCACGGCTTCCATTTCCGGGTTCTCTTTATATTTATATCACGCATTGACGATCAAGATTCGTGCATCCTGGAGCCTCAACCGGTACTTGTATCAGAGCAACGGTTGGGCAGCAGGTGATTGGCCCCCTCCAGCACCCTTGGTTCAGGGTGCATGCTGGCAATCTTCTGTGTTTTCAAACCGCCATCCCACCTACCCGCGTTACAATTATACCGCAAAAAATTCGGAGACAATTGAAACCCAACCGGTTCTGTCACAGAGTCAACAGCCCCGTCAACTTCCGGTTCACCTCGTTTGAAAAGTCGAGAGTCGCGACTTTTTAACTTTTTTCATTCTCAAAATTATGGACACTTGCACGCGTCCAAGCTCAAACTCGGCTATCACTTGATTCGAGCAACAGCGCGGGCCTCTCACAATCCAGCGTCCGCGTTTTAGGTGGCCAGCCTCAACCCGCTGTCGCTGTTCTCTGCTGCCAAGTACCGAATGAAGTTTTTTGTGTGGTAGTGGCTGACCTTCACAAGTGCTAATTTAGCGATCCTATACCCACAATCTCATCAAATCCCCAACCAATTTTCAAAGGAATCTTGATGCTTCTGCTCGTATCCTGGGCTGTGTGGACGGTTCAAAGCTGTGGAGCACACGTCTAGCGAAACGGCAATCACTCAGCTTGCAAAACCTTGTCCAAGAGTCTCACTCAGCATCCATCATCATGAAGGGGCCAGGGGGTTTCTCCAGTCAGTCAAGACACTCAGGCAGGCAGGCAGGTAGGGAGGCAGCCGTGTTGTAGGCAAAAGAGGATGTCTCGGCGGACCTCAACAACACTTCTGCTTGCCAATTCCATCCTCGGTGACAACGTCATCTACGAAACCCCGCATCGAGTCCTTACTAAGGAGAACCTGTAGCCCCCCTTCAGCGCGCCTATCAGGACCACTACAGCTTGGGTAGGCTGCGCACGCCTGCGCCGAATAGAGTAGGCCTGTGACCACTCACAGCCGCGAACGGGCCATCGCCTGAACGGCACTCTAACCCACCCGCCACCACACTGCACAGTCCACTTGGCGCACCCTTCATTGCATTGGACCAGATCTTCCACTTGAAACTTGATTCATTCCCCCGCGGCCTAGCTCAAGCGCCCTACGAAAATGGGGAGGGACGGGAGGCTCCAGGATCCGCATCTCTGTGCAGCGAACGGGATCGTCGCTGGTGCTAGTACACTGATCATCGCATGAACTTGTATGATATCACGTCCTCTGCGATTTGTATAAGCCACACGATCTTCCCCCCCCCCAAAAAAAAGGGGGCCTCCTGCCAGCGAATGCTGCACGTGGACCGACATGTGTGGCTGAGAGTGCTTGGCTAGTACTGTGTGTATGAGAGGCGCCAACTTAGTAGGTAGGTAAATACGACGCTTGCAAGATCGCATCTATTCAGCACAGCCCACCTGTCCGTAGCATGCCTGGGATTCATGCAGCCAACCATTTCAACTAGTAGTATGTAGGTACAGTGGTTGGTGGCGGTTAGTACCGACTCTAGCTGCGGGACTAGGTATCGTAAGAGAAGTCTAAACCATGCAGCCGTTGAGCCTCGCGTATCCACTCAATGTTGGAAGGGGAAGAGGGTCCTAAATTTTATTCTACTGGCCTTCTGCGCAGTCCTCACATTTGTACAGTGCCTCAAACATCACAGGAGTTAACTGGTCGCGAACCGAAGGTCTACCCCTTGTGGTGGGTAATAAGTCAAATCATGTGTAAGTCGGTGGTTCATAACATTGCTGTGTTGACGTCGAGTCGTGACAGAGGAAGAACCTAGAAAACAAGGTTCTTGATCCAGGATGGAGTGTAACTCATGCGACTACACGTTGATCACGACTACACGTTGATCTCGGATTTACACTGTATTTAGTAGTCGGACTGGAATACGCAGCATACCACAGAAGGCAATAGCAAGTCTCGACCCGGAGAAGCACATGCATGCCACCATCTGTCAGAAGGATCCAGGCCTCGATGGTGCTCATGCCCACACATGTGCACCTTTCTCAGTCTATGAAGACACGCTCCCAGTATCTTCTGGACTTTGGCATTTGGCTCGGCCACGTCGCACTGGTCTACTTGCCTTGGCATTCATCCAAAATGCGTAACTCCTGTCTCTCTTGGTGAGGAGGGTCCAGCATGTTGTAGCGAGAATTCATAAGAGTAAACTGAAACGTAGCAGCTTCAGCTAATGACTCCAGTCCCTGCGGCGGCACAACAATGGCAGTGCCGCCGCAGTCGAGGTGGATTTCAGCTCGTCTTCCAGAAACATGCGATTGCGCGGCTTGATAGCTTATACATACGTAGCACACGAATGTAAACATATTGTTTTCAACTAGCATGCAGCTCATCGCAATGCGACAAGAACAATTGTGCGTAAAGAACAAGCAAAGAGGGTTGAGCTGAAGTGAAATCTTTCATGGTTTGCGCGGTTGTTAGACGCAATAGCAGCGGACGCGGCAGCAGCTGTGTAGGACTGCTTCAGTGGGTCTTGTTCGGGGTTTACACCAATGGGAGCGCCGCCGTTGCCAATTCCGCCCGGCGGCGCCGATTTTCTCCAGTGCTACATCAAAGACGTCACGAGCAGTCCGTACTCACTGCCCATGCAACCCCCGTGAAACCGGGCCTAACCATCAACGAACGAAAACTCCAAATCCTTCACAGTCCTCCCTTTCGTTTCGCTCTTCACCCTCAGTCCCAGCCATGCCAAAGAAGCCAATAAATTGGGGGATGATGGCCAAGATGTTGGGCGGGTAAGGAACAAAGCCTGAAGATCCGAGAATTTACCATCAGATCGATTCAGTGACTGACGCGAGAGTATGGCAGCGGCGCGGTGATATGCATTGGCGGTCCGGCGCTCACATACTACGTGTCGCCGACCGAGGAGGAGCTATTCAAGAAGTACAATCCAGACCTGCAGAAGAAGAGCCTCGAAAGGCGGACGGAGAGGCAGCAGGAATTCGACGTGTTTGTGAGCAAGCTGAAGGAGTATTCCAAGTCCGACAAGCCGAGTACGTCTTACGCTGTTTCAATCCCTCCCGAAAAGACATGTATTGATTTGTGAGTACAGTATGGGTAGTGCAGGCGGAGGCTGCAGAGGAGGAGAGGAAATTGAAGCGGATGCAGGCCATCAGGAGCCGCGAGGAGGAGAGAGTCAGAAAGGAAGCGTTGAGGAAGGAGCTGGGGCTGTCGACGGACTCGAGCAAGTGAACTTTATGTGTGAAATACCTCGAACATGGATTACATTGTGTGTGACGGGATGGCATACAGCATATGGCAGGTTGGGCGGCGCTCAGGAGTATCTGGCCAGCATTGAATTTGGATCATTCGACAGGAAATGAAGGGATTTGACATTTGTGAGCCTGCAGGCCTCGAGCGAGGAAAAAGGAGAAAAGAATTCCATCACCACTCTTTTATGACTGATTCAGGCTTTACTGAGACATATTTTTTTCATCTTCTGCCACAAAGACAATATCTGAACCTCAATGCGTTCGGTACGCCATCACTACAGAAGCCTTGTTCTTATATTGCTGCTATGGCTAGACCATTTGAGTGGGTAAGAGAGAAAGAGATGGATGAACTGGTCCGTGCTTTCCCAGGGATGCTGTTGGCGGCTCAGCAAGGGATTCCAGCACGCGGCAGGCTCCAGTTCCGGGATCACGTGGGCGAAATCTTTCTCGCACCAAACCTCGACTACCCACCTCGTCACCTCTCTGCAGTACAACGACGCTGTCGACGGGTACGAGCAAATTGAGAAAAGTGAGTATACCGAACCTCTGATCTATTGTTGTCATGATGGATTTTTTAGGTGCTATAAGCGAATTTTGGCGGGTTGAAAAGTCTGGCAGGCAGAGAGGGGAGGCAAAAGCTGGGCGGAGTCGGACAGGACTCGCCAGTGCAGCGCAGCAGGGAAAATGCAGCAATAACTGACATGGAGCTTCCAAACACAGTCAGGCACACCACCTGGAAATCTACTCCGACCGAACTCCCCCTCCCAACCTTTCTCCCTCTTTGTCTTCCGACACACCCACAACCCTCATCCAAACAAATATGGCCGACATCCAGGAGCGCCTCAAGAAGCTTGGTGCTTCGTCGCGAATTGGCGGCAAGGGCACCCCGCGCAGAAAGATGAAGCGCGCCCCTGCGCGGTCCGGCACCGACGACAAGAAGCTGCAGCAGACCCTCAAGAAGCTCAACGTCCAGCCCATCCAGGCCATTGAGGAGGTCAACATGTTCAAGAGCGACGGAAATGTCATCCACTTCGCTGCGCCTAAGGGTACGTGGATCCCAACCACCCCACTCACATTGGGAAGGAGAGAGAATGTGCGAAAACAGAAACCAAGAAAGACACAAAGAGGAGGATACATCCTTGACGAGGCAGAGGGGTAGAGGTTGATTGTTCAATGTCGTGGGGATCATACATATGCTGACACATGCTCCTGCCTGACCTGAACAGTCCACGCCGCCGTCCCCGCAAACACCTTCGCCATCTACGGCAACGGCGAGGACAAGGAGCTTACCGAGCTCGTCCCCGGCATCCTCAACCAGCTCGGCCCCGACTCTCTCGCCTCCCTGCGCAAGCTGGCCGAGAGCTACCAGAGCATGCAGAAAAACGAGGAGGGCAAGGAAGCCGATGATGACGACATCCCCGAGCTGGTTGCCGGCGAGAACTTCGAGGGCGAGTCCAAGGTCGAGTAAGCGGGTCTCCCGTTGAGGCTGGCCGGCCACGGGGTAACCCCCGGTGATGGATGGGACGATGGCGGAAAGGAAAAGGAAAAGAAGGGGTGACTTGTATTACCACTGCTCCGTCGGTCTATCTACCCGCGGGCAGGTTGGTGGACACTGGTGGTTGTGGTAGTTGACGATCGACAATCTCCCGTTTTCGTGCGCACTGACGACAGGCAAAAAAAGAAAAAATGGCACCCCATCATCCTGACTTCTTTTTTTCCCCCTTTGGTTACACAACGACTTGCGGTCAGTGGCAACGGAACGGCGGATCGGGGAATCTTCTCTAGAGGTATACTCTACTCTAGTATCATGGACGAACAGTCCACCTCGCCATGGGTTTTGCGAGAAAATGAAGATATGAAACAAAATTGAACCCGCTGCAAGTCTTTCCCACATGATGGTATATGATGATCACTTGAGGCTATCTCACGACTATAACATGATCTGTACACTGTCGGATGTTGAACTCTAGGAAAGCCTTGTCTATTAATGGACAACACCTTAGACATCCAGAAAATGATCCTCATCGCCCACGTTTCTCACCCATCCCTTGAGCGCTTCGGCCCTCACATCCTCTTTGACCCTCCGCCTGACTGCCAGCTTCTCTGCGTCTTTCACATCCTTGTACGGTCCTCCATGAGGCACAATCTCTGGTACCCCAGCCCGGATGGCAACATCCTGAGCCAAATGCCACAATCCTTCTCTATTAAGCTTACTTCCACCACGAGGATCCGTCTGTTTCCGTCCTTGCAACACTCCCCCGACGATATTCTCTACAAGACCATTCGCTGTCCAAGCGGTCGCAAGGTTGCTAGCGACATATCTCGCCCCGCCCTCGCCCCCTCCTCCTCCTCCTCCTCCACTAACTCTTCGCGAAAAGTCAAACTCCAACGCCGTCGTCTTGGTCTCAAACGGCCAGAACTGGTAGCCACCTGTCCATCCGCACTGAACCTCTGTCACAGCGGCCATCCGGCCCCGATGAGAAAAGCACCGCTGACAAGCCGTCTCGGAGAACTGGCTCTCCGGCAACACCAGTGAGTCCAGGTAGATGCCTTGCGGGCTCACTAGAAGTGAGGTGAGCGAGTTGAGCAGAGACGTGCACTGCTTAAGCGCAAGCTTGTCCGAGCACGACTTGGACAGCGTAGGCGGTGCATCGGGCCGGGCGGGTTTCCGCCGCACAACGCCGAGATGGGAGAAGCAAGCACGGCCCAGCAGCAGTAGGTCCGGCGCGGTCGGGTCAGCTCCCGAGCTTGGGAGGGCTACAGAGGACGGGGAGGGCGAGGAGGAGAAGGGAGCAAGCCCGTTCTTCGCCATCATCCGCTGCGACAGTGGTGCCTCCCACGGGGCGGCGTCTTCCTGCGCACTCATTACCAGCTCCATGGAGGCGTCGCCGCAGGGTGCCTCAGAGCAGTACATGTGCAGAGTAATCTCGCCTGCCCACACGAATGGCTGGTTGTGTCCACTGGTATCAGGATCTGTCCTGCGACGAATGTATGGAGATGCCTTGCCGCCCTCGGGGAGGAGGAGTGCCCGGCATTCCTCCAAAATGAAGTGGTTGAGTGCGCGTAGAGCAAGAACCTCAGCGTGCCAGTCGTGTAGGATGCGGCCTTCAGCAAGGGGCAGTTTGGAGACGGGGAGGCATTTCATGCCCGTACTTAGTGATTTTTTAGCCGGATTCTCGACGAGGGGAACAGGTAGAAATTACAATCACGGACAAGTCTTCTGGTTAACTTGTCAACATGACGAGTTCTGTGCTGTGAGACCTACGCAAGAGCTAGACACCTGAGAGATCCGTCAGCATGTCGAGCGACGATGCCCGCGAGAGGCACCCACTCGTGGGCTCCATTTCCTCGATTCTGAGGCTTCCTTTTCGCTGAAAGTTTGTTAAACTCCTTCAGAACGGTGGAGGCGATTGCATCTGCCTCATATGTCATGAGTAGATATGCGCGTATAGATATGAATACGTATATATTTAAGAGAGGTCTTGCTTGCAGTTGCGGTGTTCTGTCACCAAGCCATGCATGTACTGTCAGAATAAGGAGAGGTGAGCGAGAAGATGGTGATGCAGGTACCCAAAATAAAGAAGAAGAAAAAAGTGCAGCAAGGTTTATGCTCAGTTCGGTGAAGCCAAGAATAACCAACGACAAGAGTCTAGAATATAATTGTAGGATGGAATTGATTCTGTCAAGGTTTCACCATCCATTTTTATACTATCTGCGAGATGCAAGACTGTCACTACCGAGTCAGGGCGGGTGCTTAAGGTCATGAAAGTCTTGGTAGGATCTAGGTCTGCCAAGTGGGCGGCAGCCGCTGGCAGCTGGCGACTCTTCAAGCTGACTAAGTTCTCACCTGCCCACCCCCCTGTCGCATAGAGGCGCTCACCCTGGCAGGGGCTGCTAACAATTTCTGAAAAAGCCCACTGAATCGAAATTCGAACAAAATCGGTCGGCAACCTCATCGCCATCAACGTCAACCCATCAACAAACCCGACCCCACCACTCGTACCGCCACGACAACACAGTCAACATGAGGACGTACGACGACACTTTCTCGGGTCAGAAGATCTACCCTGGCAAGGTACGATGATGCATCTCCCGGAGGACAGGCCGCGACCGATCGCTGTAGACCGTGGGGTTTTCGGCAGCTGCAAGAGGAACAGACTGATTGAAACCCGCGATTCTGGTGGCGCCGACACTGTCACGGTCATGGCGAACGGCCGGCTCTTGGATCTTTTGGTGAACTTCTGGAATAGTGGTGCTAACGGTTCTGGTGCTTGCAGGGTAAGCTCTACGTCCGTGGAGACTCCAAGATCTTCCGCTTCCAGAACGGCAAATCCGAGTCCCTCTTCCTCCAGCGCAAGAACCCTCGTCGTATTGCCTGGACTGTCCTCTACCGCCGCCAGCACCGCAAGGGTATCACTGAGGTACGAACGAATCCGATTTCCCAAATGAATACATGCCTATGTTCTCAACAAGGGATTCCCGAACAACTCCTCTCCTTCACACATATATACGCGACGTTTTCCATCCCCCCTCGCAGTCCAGAAAGCTATAATCTTCCGGTTGACGGAAGGTTTGAGGGCGGTAGGAGTTGTATGCTGACATGATGCAACAAACAGGAAACCGCCAAGAAGCGCACTCGCCGAACTGTCAAGGCCCAGCGTGCCATCGTTGGTGCCTCGCTCGATGTGATCAAGGAGAAGCGCTCCATGCGCCCTGAGGCGCGCTCCGCCGCCCGCCAGGCTGCCATCAAGGAGAGCAAGGAGAAGAAGGCTGAGGCCGCCGCGGCCAAGAAGGCAGAGAAGGCCAAGAACGCCGCTCAGGCATCCAAGGGCCAGACCCAGCGGATTGTCGGAAAGCAGGGTGCCAAGGGCTCTGCTCCCAAGGTCAAGGCCACCACCCGATAAATGGTGACGGTGATGGCTTGAGAGAGGTGGAAGACGAGACTGGGTTGGCATCTGCTTTTTTTCTCTAGGTCTCCGGGACAAACAAATGACATCAATCAATTTGAGATTCACGGGGCAAAATGGCGGGCTGGAGTCGGGTTCTCTCTACCTTGTTGTGCTTTAAGAAGGAAAGCCTGTTGGGTCTTGAAAAGGGAACCTCTACCGAGGGGGAAAGGTTGCATGGACGGGACCCCTTACGAGCAGGGACATGATTTCCGCGCGACGCATAGGTAGCTTACAGACCGAGCAACTTATGCATTGATCAAGAGAACCTGTCCATATGGCACTTGCGGTGACGACCTCCTCGCGTGTATACGAAGCTGCACAGCGATTGAGTAGAGATGGCGAGCTTTCTATTGGACTGAGATGTAGCAGCAATCTAGGTCTTGTCTATAGCAAATATCTCTCGAGTCGCCCCCCCAGGGACACTTCAGCGAGGGATCAACCAATATTTGTGTGAATGACAGTGTCATTGGCCGCGCACATCTACAGCTTCGCCAGAACAGACGCAGCATCCGTTCCCTCGACGCCACCCTTGGCAGCCTGCTCAGCGTAGGTGACCTTACCGTGGTCAATGACCAGCGCATACCGGCCTGTTCTCTCGCCCATGGTCCAGCCGATCTGCTTGGAGAACTTGGTCTCGCCGTCACTCGCGAAGATCTACACAGAGGTTTCCATTACATGTCAGCGTCCCAGCCCAGCCCGGTCCAGCACACACAGAGACCCAGGGAAACTTACGATGAAATCATCCGTGACGCCGTTCGACTTGCCCCAGGCACTCATAACGAACGGATCGTTGTATGCAATCACGATCACCTTATCAACACCCTTGGCCTTGAGGGCCTCCTTCTGCTCGATGAAGGTCGGGACGTGCTTCTCGCTGCAGGTCGGGGTGAAGGCACCGGGGACGGCGACGAGGACGACCTTCTTTTCCTTGAACTCTGCAGGTTTGTGTTAACTCTCCAGTCCGCAAGCAGTTCTTTTGCATGCGCACGCACACACGGGACGTTTCAAACATGAGTGTAGGGAGACCGGAAAAGTAGGGCGAGAAGTTAAAGGAGAGGGTATTTATTTACCTTTGCTAGCATCATATTTCTGGGGAAGTCCACAGGCGTTCAGGCCGGCCTTCTCCGGCGTGTAGGGGACATACGTGAAGGAGACATCCTCCGGAAACTGCTGACCGACGAGGGAAGCCATCTTGAGGGTCTGTGGTTTGTGTTTTGTTGTTTGAATTTGTGGTCTAAATTCAACAGATTGAGTGGTGATAACAAGAAGCTGAAAAGCATAACCAAGCAGGCAGGCAGGACAAGAACCAGAAAAGGAGGGGTTCCAACCCGAGCTTTTTGAGTTTCATCGCCGAGCTTCCACTGCAGACAGCAGTGTCTCATAATCTTGCCCCGCCATGACATCTTGCAGCGCCTTCTGTGCCTTCGACCCGCCCCACCTGCCCGTGTCCAGGGGTATACGGTATTTGTCAACATCCCACTCCGAACCCGGGCATATTCTTTCCCTCTCGTGGCCGGTCCGTCCTCTCATTTGTGCCCCCCATCCAGAGATTCTCGTTTCTGCGAAGTGCACTTCTCGGAAAAACGAGGTCTTCTCGCCTCTTCTTCCAGGTTGTTCTTACGAAGATCAACAATATACCACACTATCCACTCTGCTTCCACCGGCTATCGGAGCGTATACGCGTTCAGATGATCTGAGCTGAGCTGCGCCAAGAGCTCGAATGCCGAGCTGCGGCGGCCGTGTGGACTCGATTATTGATCAACCTGTCTGGTTTGTATCTTTTTTCTTCTTCTCCCGACTCAATTTATCATGTGAAGATGGCGTGGGTCTCGACCTGTTACCTGTCTAAGTTGTTGGATGATCTCGGAAGTCATGATTCCGGGTCCAGCATTCTTGCAGCATGACGTCCACGATAATTGTTGTGTGCTGCATTTGCTCAGGGCCTCATACGCAAGAGAATCTGTCCACAACAGGCAGATTCCTAAGCATGTCCTTGACATGACTGGCTTTCCCAGCTCACATGCAGCTTACCCTGGGTTCAGGCATATCGAACTCGTGGATAATGATGGGCGGCGCCTATGACACGTCTGCCATCAGGATATCAAGACAGCCATGTTGATCGCACTCATCTGATCGACGCGACCTTCACTGGGTCAGTGCCTCATCAAGGATCTTGACTGAACGGCACAGAGGCTCCCCTACCTCACTTCATATTGCAAGCTACTGAGATCCTTATGAGGGGAGGATCCGGAAAGCATTGTCCCCAGAATGATCAGCACGTGAGTTGGTGGTCTCAAGTCACGTTCGCTCCATGCTGCCTGTATGACGACGAGTGTAAAGAACTGACAAGGAATCAGTATTGGGGTATCTATGTGTATCTGTCTATTTCCTGTCTGCGGCATCATTGTGTACTCGGGGCCACTCATCAATATCCTGCCCTCCTGGGGCCACACGGCTGGTGGCTGCGTACTGCTCGCCATCAACCCGACTCGCGGAAGTGAACCGCACGGAGTACTCATCAGTCCGCATGATCGACAGTTCTATCGGATCCTGCTTCTTGTCTTTGATAATAATGGCGTCGTCCGACTCAGCGTCGTGCTGAGACACACCGTTGGTGGAAATCTGGCCGATGGTCCGACTATTCTTGGACGCTCCGTAGCCGCTCCGATCCAGGTTCCCATAGCCACTCTTGCCCAGTCCTCCCTTCGATGACATTCCCATCTTGGTCATGGCCTTGCGTGCTCCGTCGGCCAGCCATGCGTCCAGCACGGGGAGGGAGATGACGACAATGCCCACTGAGACATCCAACGTTGTCCAGACGAGCAGCTCCGTGTACGTCCAGGTGATGTCGCTCGTGAAGTTCGTCCTCAGCATCCTCATGAGGCCGAAGAGCACAACCAGCAGCCCCACGGCCCATATGAGGAACAGCCGCATCTTCTTCTTGCTATTCATCCTGACCTTCCAGAGGATCACCACAGGGCTTGAGAGCAGGATGACACCCTGCACGACATGCGTGATGTTGAGCACCTCGCCCTGCAAGACCGTGTTGACACAACTCGCCGGCGTGTCCAGCTGACCACCGTAGAGCCTGTCCCACTGGGCACGTGCCGGGTCGCACGAGAAGCAGAACCAGAAAATGGCACCGATGATATAGACCGCCAAGGTGAAGAGAAACAAGTCGCAGAACCAGCGCCACTTGAGGGACGTTCGGTCGGCAAGCCGCCGGATGAAGAGGGTGAGGGATGTCTTGATCAGGGCGACGGTGACATAGAAGATGAGCTTGTCAATTGTGCCGTAATAGTTGAAGATGTTGTACTCCTCATAAGTGTGTTGCCACTGTCATGACACGAAAGATGGTTAGCTAAAAAAAGAATTCCTTCCCAGTGCAAACCAAAGATACTAGCAGACTATCTCGGTCTTACAATGTGGTCCCCTCCTCCAACAATGGCCATGACGAGCTGACACGCAGTGTAGGTCAAGCCCATACTCTAGATTCCTCGAACCAGTCAGTACCATCGAAATTGGGAAAGGGGACAAGGAAGAAATGAAAAGCAGGACTTCTCACTTACCGCTGCGGCGATGGTAGCCCAATCGTCCGCCCCAAAGCGCATCTGCGACACAGACGCCCTCATGGCCAGGCGTGCGCCAGTCACGCCCGTGATGGCCACCAACACGATGACCAGCCCAGCAATAACGCCTGGCCTCTTGGAGGTGAACTCGTCGCCCGTATCAACGGCTGCAACAACATAACCGTGGGCAGGATCCTCGTCCACCAAGCCGATAGCACGGAGCAGACCTCGGACGATGTACCAGTCCCGCTGGGTGTTGGGCGGGCTACCGACATGAGCCGAGGACTCATTATTGTGGGGGACCCACGGCTGCTGCGTCGAGTTGGTCGACATAGCGGTTGGGGCTTTTTTCTCTCTTGATAGTCGGCTTGTCTCGCACAAAGAGGACTGGCGTCTCTTTTTACGCAAGCGCAAGAAAAACACCTCGTGGGCACCAAGGGGAAACACACACCACTCCTCGTCGTCGTCGTCCTCCATTTAGGAACAAGAGGAGGTCCATATATCGATTATAGACATCCCCCCGAAGGGGCTGTTAACCTCCTTTACGGTGGTCCGGAGCCGAAGGCTTCATTACCAGGGAAGCCCTTGAAGATATTGTGGATTTTGGAGGCAAAGATAAAAGAAGTGGGTTTTTCCAGACAAGAAATAGATCATGAGCTTGAGCTTGTTTCCTATCGACCCAGCTCTGCGCATTTGCCAAGAGTTGCCCTTACTATGAGTGGTCTCGGTGTCAGATGGGGCTGCTCGTTCGTCTCCTCTGCATAAAAAGATCGATCGAGTGTGATGGGAAGATTTATGTCGATTTGTGCAACTGAAGAGTAAGCCAGGCCATCCTTCAGCTTCATTTGCATGTTGTTTGAGAAGAAAACTTCGGGGAGGCTGTCATCTTTTTCTTTCTTCCTTCCTGTAATTTTCCCTTCCCTTCCCTTCTTCTCTCTTCTTTTAAAAGAAACTCGTGCCTTGTCCTCGTTCCATCGTATTCCCTTGTGTAGATCGGACTGCGAGTCACAAATAAAGTTTCGATCCCAGGTCCGAGGTAAAATGTTACCATCTATTGATTGTAATCTTCCTATCATCTGCCCAGGTGAGCCCTCTGTTTCGTATCCGCAAAGGTGGACAGATTTTCTCCGTCTTGTTCATGCAGCTGAAGGGCGCCATATTTAAGGTTTGGAAAGAGCTTTGCATTAAAATTTTCACCGCCTCTACTCCTAGTATGTATCACCACCGGAAATCCCGTGACAAAACACTGGTGGCGGCGGGTGCGTGAAAAGAGATTAATAGTCCTTTATAGAAACTGAGACCGCGGCCACCTCGACTGGACCCCACAAAGCCAAGCATGCTATAGCTAGCGGACCGAGGCCCATTAACCGTTTACCGTAGTAAATGGGTGCTTCACCCACAGTGATCATCTCCGTCCTCTCCATTCTGGCTGGTACTACAGAATAGTCAGGAGAGGGGGGGACAGAGAGAGAGAGAGAGAGAGAGAGAGATCTCTTGTCTTTGCCCCTTCTTCCTTTCCACAGTATTAAGCGTCTATGTATGCTACACACTAAGCGAGGATGTGGCCTAGAACAATTCGGTGCAAGGCGAGCTAGTGCATTGGGCCAGGAATTTAACCTCGATATTTAATATACTTTGTGCAAAGTACCTGCAATCACGAAAATCCTTGCTTCTTTCTAGAACTATCCTGCGTCACTCGTTTTCGTTACCTTTTCCTCTTCTGCTTTTCTCTACCACCTTTCCGGTACAGTAGTGTGTTGTGGCTTTTTTCTACAGCCCAGTCATGGCTGCTTGGCATCTCGTAAGGGTTTTGGCTCTCCTGGCCAGCACCGTCAATGCGGTGGCCAGGACACGGACGGACGCTGCTGTTTCAGCCCAAGCCATGACCCCTCGAGCGGCGGCGGCTGACTGCACAGGCGTCAATGCCGTCAGTTCTCTCTGCACGACGAAGGAAAGCTCGTACCACCGTGACGTCTTTTACGTCGGGGGCCGGTGGATCAACACGGCCAGCGGGAACATCACCGCCGACCACCTCTACGTGGAGAAGCTCACACCGGCCGGCGGGGTCACACAGTCCAAGCCCTTGGTCTTCTTCCACGGCGGCGCGGTGTCAGGCGTGCAGTGGCTGAACACGCCAGACAACCGCAAGGGCTTCGCGTCGTACTTTCTCGACCAGGGCTACATGGTCTACCTGCTCGACCACACGGGCGCCGGACGGAGCAGCCAGGAGGACACCACCGACTACCTCCTCTGGAACAGCACGACAGTCGAGGGCGTGGCGTCGGGCTTCACAGACCCGCAGGCCAACCCGACCTACCCGCAGGCTGTGCTGCACACGCAGTGGCCAGGCACGGGCAACAAGGGCGACCCGTACTTTTTGGCCTTTACAAAATGGGTGATCCCCTTCACTGAGAACTGGGCCTACGGCGAGTACTCGATGCGCGCCTCTGGCTGCGCCCTGCTCGAGCTGCTGGGCCCTTCGTACCTCATCTCGCACTCGTCGGGCGCGCAGTATCCCGTCGTCATCTCCAACGACTGCCCGCAGTTCGTCGCCGGTAACATCAACCTGGAGCACAGCACCCAGCCCTTTTGGAACTACGGCACCACCGTTAACTCGGGCTCTGACTTCCGCCTCTGGGGCCTGGCCAACACGCCCCTCTCCTACGACCCGCCCGCCGCCAGCTCCGACGAGCTCAACAAGACCTGGGTCGGCAACGACACCCTCGCCCACAGGCGCTGCTACCTGCAGGCCGAGCCCGCCAGAAAACTCCCCAACGTCACCAGCGTGCCCTACCTGTGCCTCACGGGCCAGGCCAGCGTCCACATCACCTATGACCACTGCGTCATCGATTTCCTCAAGCAGGCCGGTGGGAACCCGGACTGGATCAAGCTGGCTGATCGGAACATCACCGGCAACGGCCACTTCTCCATGGTGGAAAAGAACAACTTGGAGATTGCCGCCGTCGTGGACGAGTGGATCCAGAAGCAGGAGGCGGCCACCAGCAGCTCGACATCATCATCATCCTCCTCCTCGAACTCGACATCCAGCGCTGGATCGTCATCGAGGTGAGAGCCCCTCTCGCACGAACCCACACACCCCATCAGCCTAATTCATAATTCTGTTATTACACTTAATGTCATCCAAATATATGAAGAGCTGATTTGTGTGTTCTGTCATAAATTATCGAAGTGCTTCTTCGTTTCCCTGGAGCATAATATGTGCTTTTGCACCAACATTGTCCCAGTGCGATTCTTAGCGGTTCTTCAAGTAGTTTGATACAACTTAATCAAATAATCCTTGAACCTGGCCAACTTAATGTGCCCACGCTTGCCTATTCCTGAATTAAAGGAACCGAGAGCCAAATAGTTGTGTAGAGCGCTAGCCTTACTCGGGCATGTCTATATTAGCGAAGGTATTATAAATAGTGGTAGTAGGAAGATCCAGATGTTTGGCTTTCATTTGATGTTTCAAATGTAAATTTTTAAGTTCTAACTTCTATCTTGATGTGAATCATCATCCGGTACAAAATAAAGTTCCATCTGATTTTGAGAATCGGATGACTAGTATACAGATCTGGTCCTGCTGGTCCTGTTCAGTAATTATTATAGGCCTATTGTCATAAGTCACCTATTTAGGTACTCTCCCGAAAACCGAGTTTCTTCCCGCTCGATCTTCCGAGACACGCCACAACCCAAAAGTGTGAAAGCATTAAAGGCTAGACCCATACCAGTTCACACCCCGAGAGGGCGTACTTGCCATTCATATGCCGTGTATTATGACGCAACCCTGTCATGCACGCTGCATTGGTCACATAAAGTACAGTAATACTGTATATGCAGTGGCACGCTGCGGGACGGCGCGCCTTGCCGTGCACAGTACCACCAGCAAATCCGAAAGGATTTCTCCACTATTGGTTGGAATCTGGCGCTTGATTACTGAGCCTTGACGACCATAAAATCATTCCGTTACCCGCTGCTTAGCAACGACACCATGTACTACTATGTCTCCTCTAGGCTTGCCCGACAGGATCCCTTAAGAAGCAGTCCTTCAATTAACACAAACCATAACTCGTCTCTTTGGGTCAAGTACACACAATGTCCAGCGAGGCTAGACCGCCCTTCCCACCTTTTACGGCCGAGACGGCCAAGATCAAGGTCAAGGCAGCTCAAGATGCATGGAACACCAGGTGCGCCTCGACTCATTGACTAAGTATGTTCCCAGCAAGCTGAAGCTAAGATTGATTCGGACTAGAAACCCTGCTCAGGTCAAAATGGCATACACCCCAGACTCCATCTGGCGCAACCGCGACCAAATGTTTCAAGGTCGTGACGCCATCGAGGCTTTCCTGACCAAGAAGTGGGAGAAGGAAAACGGCTATCGCTTGAGAAAAGAATTGTTCTCCTTTATGGACAACAAGGCAAGTTCCACACCACCAATCTAGGGAATACCCTATCAGCCGCACACATTGGAACGGGCCGTCGAGGCGGGAAGTCCCGAGGGTGCAGCGGCATCCTAGGGATACATTTTCTTTTTTTTCTTCCTGCTGTTGCTAATCTATTTATACAGATTGCCGTACAGTTCTGGTATGAATGGCACGACGAAGAGGGACAGTGGTACCGGTCCTATGGATTGGAAGACTGGACGTTCGCGGAGAACGGCTTGATGAGGAAGAGGCAGAGCAGCATCAATGACGTGAAGATTTCAGAGGACGAGAGGTGGTACAAAGACGGTGTCGATGTCAATACTGTTGACATTAGCGAAAAGCACTGGTAGAAGTGCTGCAGACCCGTTGAACTGAGGAAAACCTACTTTACGGATGAAAATCATGGTACCTACTAATTGAGAGACAGAATTGTTCATGACTACTTGGCTTACGAGCATTACTAATACTGAGTGGGATTCTCTTAGACCATTCACCCTATCGTGATTGGCACTCAGGTAATGAACCCTTGGGACCCCTGTGCGGTCTGGAGTAATTATGAACATTATTAATCACTGCCCTACATAGCCCGGCGCGGGGGCGAGGACCATCGCGACGCCTGCTCAAGTACCCTCTTGGGGTGGTTGTATGAATTCCGTGAACGAGCTCCCCATCTAGGTCAATCTCGAAGCCATAGTCAAGATCAGAGAACAAATCAACATTCACCGGTTTTGGGTGACATGTAACCCTCTCTGATACCTGTCAGCACACTTCCGGTTCAGATGGCACAGCTCTTTGAGTGTTTGCAGCCATGATGCGCCAGGAATTTCCACAACTTACCTACTACTACACCAGCAAGATGCTGATTTCGCACTTGAGTAAGTGTTCCGATCTTACATAAGCACTGGGGCGTCCGATGTATTGTTACAAGAGGACAGATCAACAGGGTGTTACCCACAGCTTGATGAACAAGACTGGGCCTGGGGGCTGGACGTGCGCATAGTGTACGGCACACTCCTTGTGAGTACTCAATCATTACGTGTTTTCTATCACATATACCACCTCGAGACTGAACTCCAGAATTGTGTAAGCAACGCATTTCTATGTATTTGTCTTATATATATACATGTATGTATGTATACGGCCGTCTCAATATTCCTCCAACTGAATGGCACGTCAACTGACGGTAGGTTTCCGTGGCAAGACGCACAGTCTCGAAAGACTAATGATTTTCGTTCCTCTCTCTGTCTCGTTCATCCAAATGAGAACCATCGGCTCGAGACACACGAATATCCGCTTCCTTAGAGTCTCTTCTGGACCTCGGTGGCACCATGAAGCAGACCCTCCACGACATTGTCCGGCTCAGACAGGAAGGGAGAATGAGATCCCTTGCAAGTGTACGTGATGGCGTTCTCGCCCAGCATCGGAGCGAGCTGCCTCTGGATAACAGGCAACAGAGCCCGGTCGTCGTCGCAGAACATATACATACACTCAATATCCTCCCAGGGCTGGTAGGTGACCTCATCAGTAAACACGGCTGCGGACTGGTGCTTGAGCTTGGAGATGGCTCCCTTCTGCAGGTCGGCGGGCACGTCGTGGTAAAAGATCTCCTCAGGTGTCCTGGCAAAGACACGCTCACCCTGTTCGACCGGTCAGTCAATCGGTAACTACAGTCTTGAAAACAGAATCCTTGGAAGAGGGAGATAGATCCCTTTGGGAGGAGGAAAACACAAAAGTGTCTTTAACCATGTACGGTATGAAACTCACCTGGAAGTCCATCCAGGGCAGAGGGTTGCCGCCCAACATCTTGATGATGCTCATGCCCTTGGGCGTGACAAAAGCAGACAGATACACAAGCAGCGTAACACCGCCCTCCTTGCCCTCCGCCTTGCGCTGCTTGAACCCAAGACCCTTGACGGCCTCGGCACCGACCAGGCCTCCATACGAGTGGACCACAACTATGACCTGCCGCCCCTGGTCCGCCAGTGCCTGGATCTCGGCACGCACAGCAGCCACATCGTCAAAGAGACCCTTGTTCGGCGGCTCGGCGCCCACAGACGGATATGCCACGGCTTTTGTCCAGTAGCCCTTTGCATGAATTCGATCCTGGATAAGCTGGAAGCAGTCGGGCGTGTGCCAGGCGCCAGGCGCCAGGACGAAGACGGGGGCAGCTGCAGAGTCGGACATGGCCGATGGAGTGTGTTGGTTTCTTGGGGGGGAGGTGATATTTAGCAGGAAAAAGTTCTGACTGGACCACACTGAGAGGCGAGATGAGCAAGACACTGGACAGACGGATGGCATTCACTGGAGAATGTAATGACAATTTCGAAGAGGGGGGTGTGTCCTTGGAGACATACTAAATAGGACAGAGACGGGGATGAGGGCTCGTGATGAACAACATGTGTACTCCACCTGCCGCAGGGCAGCAGCTACCCGACGGTTGGGTCCTCCTCGAGGGGAGAAGGTGTTTAGATCCCAAAGCATATTACCTGTGTGTTCCTTAGTGCGGGCGTCTGTCAAGGAAGGCCCCTTGGTGTTCTCCGCGAAGTAGACTATCTCTTGGTCCCGTGGCTTGTTGGCTTGTGGCCCGGATAAAACACCCGGCTATTCCATCGGCTAGGGCACTGGGAAAAAGTCCAACGCACGCAATATCCCTTTTCGTGCATTTTTTGTTGCATATTTTATTTACCTCTGGTCTCTTTTCGGGAGTGTGAAATTTGGGGGGGGGGGGGCTTGAATGGGGGGATCAAAAGGTCGCATTCAGCTTTGTACTCTGGAAAAGGTGTATAAGCGAGCATGGGGCCCGAGTCAGTCCCATACCGCTGTTCACTAGGGGTCCAGGATCCATTATTTTCTAGCCATGCCCTCTCTGGTCGCTTCAAAAAGGTACGCAGAAACAGCTCTCGAGTCTCGAGAAGGTCTAGATGAAGGTCGGAGGACCCAGTTCCTCCTCCAAGAGTGTGACGCTGTCTGCGTGGTCTTGTTGGGAATGAGGCATGATCATCAGGAGTTGAATACCATGGTACGCTGACCGTTGCTTGGGTCTCCGCTTGTTTACTACGAGTACCCACAAGAAACTCCACAGGGGGGCTTGTATTATAGTACTGGGACTAATCCCAGCCGTGCCATAGTATATTCAATCGTCTCAACATACTACGTATGGTAGTGATTCTCTTGCCATCCCATTTAATTGGTATAAGCTGTCACATTCCAAATGCGGGGGTTAGAAGGCTGGATCTCTTTGGCTCACTACTTACTCTCTTCGAGAGATAGATAGTAGAAGCTATCCGGTCTAATGAGGAATATGATACGCAGCTTCATGATAAGCTTGTCGCATTCGTCCAATGACAATGGGACTGCAAAATATATGTATGCACTGGAGAGCGATGTCACATACAGATCATCATGACAGCGAGATTGAATTCAAACTCGTGTAAAATTTCATGCATCTATCTCCTGGTTGGGGGTTTTTAGGTTGAAGGGTTTCCTCCCTCTTAGCGGGTCAGCGAACAAACCAGCCCCTCCCCCCCCCCATTACCACCATCGTACTATAGTGGGCTGAGAGACATGCCATTCACTTGAATGAAGAACTCTAAGTAACTAGTATCCATGGAAAGGGGTTGTTCGTACATAGAGTAGTCGTCATGTGATGGAATTTATGAGTGTCTGTCAGACTCCCGAGTCCGACTGGTCTTACTGTGTGTGATGATCAGTAAAGACATGAATTTACTGTGTTACATGCTGAGCTGCGTCACTGCAGGTTGACACGATGGATCGATCTGGCAGAAAGCAGCACGTTTTTACAAGCATATTTTATGTCCCAAATGACTCAATTGCTCCACCATTCTCAGCTGCGGCAAATAATCCCTACGAAACACGACCTCGCTTAGAAAGTTGTGGGCTCTTCTTTTTCTTCTTCTTCCTCCTTCTGCTGCTAGTACTACTGCTACTGGCACTACTACTACTACTCTCCTGAAAGCTGCAGCCTTTTTATCTCTCCTTGGCTTTAAAGTGGGCATTAAGTCACACAAAAAGTGTTTCGTGCAGTGCGGGTTGATGCTGATCAGCCCAGAAACTAAGATTACTAGTACTAAACCACGGGACGGTGCGAAGAGAAAGATCATCCTTTAAGTCCAAAATGGTAATAACATTCGAAATTTTGCTGGCTCAGTCTTGGGTATGATTATGGGTATGAGTAGCGCTACATATGCCTAACGGTAGTCTAGTCCTAAGATCCTGGGATGGCCCACTCGCCGTGGTTCCGCGTGCGAATCAATCTCATGCCATGTTACAACAATCCTTGATCTCCAACCGGAAAGACGAGAAAGCCAATGTGCTCAATATATGCTGGCTGTTCCTTTTTTGATAGTCTCGAGCGAAGGAGCCAAGCCCAGCAACGCCCTGGACATGCCGAGTCATTTGCGCGAGGCCGGGGCATGACAACAAAAATCCCCTTGGAAAAAATTCGCGGCACTCGCTTAAAATTTGTGTCAATTGATGGCCCGCCAGCCCCTGAAGAGATCTCAGGAGGTTCAGACCTTCAAGAGACGAGGGGTGGGGGTAGGGGCACTCAGAGAGGGAGAACTGTAGAGAGAAATGTCATTGCAAGAACTCCTGGGGAAAAGATCGTCGTCTTGAGACTCTGCCAGGCTTTCTCTCAAAACCATTCTATATGTCACATCGTCCTCCTGCAAACGATCTCATCGGGACTTGCCTCCAGTCCATCATGCGACTCTCAAAAAGAACAAGGACATTATCCGAACGGTCCCCACAACCAACACTCCCACGAGGCCGTTAAGCGTCCGAACTCTGTTCACCTCCTTTTTGGCCTATCCTCTGCGTGTGGGATCTGGCAGGAAAGAAGAAGAAGGAAGACGAAGAAAACTCCGGCATTATGGCCGTTGAGAACACCGGGCCTGAGCAGGTCAGCACAACGGCAGTGCTGCTTGCCTTGGCGACGGTATTCACAGTCCTGCGATTCTGGGCTCGATATCAAGTTGTCGCCAAATATGGACTGGACGACAGCTTGCTTGTCGCTGGTTTGGTGAGAACTCAGCATCCCTCTTCTTTGGTCGTCGAAGTCTTCATGGGAAGCGGGAACTAACTTTATCTGCTTATGCAGATTGGCGTGTTTGTGGTCGGTGGGCTTAATTTTGGTAGTAAGTTCTGATGCCCTTGTACATGAAATCTTTGGTTTTCTCCTTTTGTGATTCAGACCTTTTTTGTCCTCTCGAGAGAAGTTCGATAGTTGACCAGCCGCTCCCTCTTCCGTCTCTGCAGTGGTAAATTATGGCATGGGAAGACATGCCGACACGCTCTCGTTAGACCAACTCGAGGAGGTGCTGAAGCGTCTCTTGGCCTTCGAGTGCGTGTACGTCACGACAGTGGCGCTGGTCAAGCTATCTATCTTGTCCATGTACCTGCGCATCTTCCCCAGCCGCGACTTCAAAATCGGCGCCTATACAATCGGCTCCATCGTCATCGCATGGTGCATCGCCATCGTCCTGGTCTCAATTTTCCAGTGTGATCCGATCGAGAAGGCGTGGATCCCTTGGATGACTACGGGCACGTGCATCAATCTAAGGGCCTCCTTCATTGGGAACGGTGTGCCGAATATCCTCACCGATGTCGCCATCTTGGCCATGCCTGTCAAGCAGGTCTGGCATCTGCACGCCACCATGGCGCAGAAGATCTCGCTGCTGTGCACGTTCGGCCTCGGCAGCTTGTGAGTATTCTTTGCTATATAAAGGCATATGCTTCTGAGGCCTCGTTTTCGCGCTTGTGGACGGATGACAGCTGACATGGTTCATAACAACAATAGTGTGCTCGTTGCCAGTATCTACCGTTTCTCTACTCTCATGAGCTTCAATGAAGAAGACACTACATGTACGATCCCTCCATTTGGAAGAGCGAAGAGGAATAATATACTATCCACACCGAGTCATACTGACATCCTTTCTTTCTCCAAAGTCACCCTCGCAACCCCTTGCACATGGTGTGTCGTCGAGTCCGCCTGCGGCGTCATCTGCGCCAACCTCCCGACCCTGCGACCCCTGGCCAAGAAGTTCTCGAACAAGTTCGGCAGCTCCGAGAAGTCCAGGAGCCGGACGAACGGGAGCCTGGGCCCCACCGAGCTGGTCACCATCGGGCGCTCCCAGCAGATGAACAGCCGCATCACCAGGACCAAGAGCCCCTTCGAGAGGCTGGACGATGAGTCGAGCGAGGGCGACGCCTGTGAGGAGGCGGTGGCTGGTGGAGGCGCCGCTACGACCATGGGGAAAACCACCGTGTCTTCGCATGAGGTGCACGTCACCACGACCGCGTACTCGAGCTCGGGCCATAGCCTCGACTTTGATGGGAATCGGGGCCGTACGCAGAGCCATGGCCAGGAGCAGTGGGGGAAGGAGATTGTTTAGAAGAGCGTGGGTGGTTTTTGATACTGTAATAATATTCATTATACTTGGGGGTTCATAGACGACGTTCCCACGAGAAACAAGAGACTATATAGGGAAGACCCCCTTACTTAGTTGCCGTCAATCACCAAAAGATTGGGACAGAAAAGGGCCAATAATAGAAGTCATCATCGATGCCAGACCTTCATCATTATTTTTTACGAACCAGGATCTCTCGCCAGAACGAAGAAAAGGTAAATCACTGGATTTTTTATTTTTTTTTGACCGTTCTGCAATCAAATGTCGGCTAGCCAGAATATATACAGCTCCAAGGCATCGTCCATCACAAGAGAGGGGGTCCGCGATTGGTATGGGTCGCGGGCCTTCTTCCGTGCTTCCAAGCGAGCATGCTGCCACATGTCAACCAACGCCAGAAACACCAAAAAAGATCGAGAGGGATCTGACGTTCAATTAAGGTTGGGTGGGCACAGGTGAGTGCGGGGATTTTCTCTGGTATTGGCCCCTAGGGTATGACAAAGTGTAACGAAGTAGGGGTCGCATTTTGATCATACCAGGACTGTACAGAGTTCGGTTGCGTGCAAATCGAAATGTGACAGAACATGCCTGCGCGATCCTACGATCCTTATTGGGCACCACCCCTGCTTGTCATCATTGTCGGTGACAACTTGGAATCGGGATGCTGGTAACAGGATAGCCTGCGACGGGGTAAATGTTCTACAAAAGATGAAGGGGGAAAGATTATATGCATTTGGTGTCTACCCTATGTGTAATGTATAGTCGTCTAGTTAATTTGAAGGCTTTTACACCCTCGTCCCCTTTTGCCGCTATCTGACGCTATGACTTCCCTGCTGCAAGTCTCCACGCCCTCAATGGCAGGCTCTGTAGGTGCAGGACCCTTGGTCTAATGTACATCAAAAAGGTGAGAACACCTATGGCAACGCAGAGGATGTTGACAATATAGTAGCCGTCTTGGACCATCTCACACGCGCCGCCTCCGTCGATACACCGCTCCTTGTCGGCCTGGACGGCGCATGAGAACGGCTCTGTGACCAGTGGCCCTTTCAGCTCTGCCTGCAGCTTAGGTTCGCCGGGATGACAGGTTGCACTGGTGAAGGAGTCGACGAGACGGAGAACGAAGAAGCGTGGGAATGTGCCGCCCAAGTTAGAAACGCTGCGATTACAGTCAGCAAATGTATGTCATGTTGGAGGTAAAAGGTGAGAAGTGGAGACTGGTGGAGGTGTGGGGGGGGGGGCTTACGTAGCAAGCAGAGTCATGTAGGTGCCGCCGATGACAGGGTCGGAGATCCTGGCGTGGAAAGCCGAGACGGCGACAAACATGATGGTGTTCATGAAGGTAGAGAAAACATGCTCTGCAATGACCACCAGCAGATACCAAATTGTGACACCCTGGGCTGGGAAAATGACTACCACAAACTGGGCAAAGACAGCGGCAACCAGGCGACCGACAAAGCCCCAGCACCAAAGACGCATGGGGGTGTATTTTTGTGACCACACACCGGCGTAGTAACCCAGACCGATCTCGAAGGGGAAGTCGATCAGGACCGTTAGGGCCATGTTGTCCGTGCCAAAGCCCTTGTCTAGCAGCTTGAGGTTCGTGACGCCGTCATTTGCCTGGAAACCAATTTTTGCGATAAGGTGTACGATCATGATGGTCTGTACGCTCTTGAGCTTGAGTACGCCCCACATAATCTTGTAGACGTCCCAGATGCCGTCCTCGTTCTTTGTCTTCTCTTCCTTCTTCATGGTGGCGAGTCCGATGGTGACAATGATGTACAGCCATCCGGCCATGTTCAAATACCCGCCGAGACTGATGAGTCCGACGTCGAGGGGTTCAGCTCGGAAGTAGCGGTTGGCAAAGTCCTTGGAGTTGAAGGCGAGGAAGACGGTATAGGAGAGGAACTGGCCGGCAGTCAAGCCGACCGTCTGGGCGGTAGACGCGTAGGAGACGTTGCCCGGGGTTAAGAGGGTGAGTGCCCAGCCATCCACCGCAATATCCTGCGTCGCACACATGAGTACGAGGAAGAACCACCAGCCAGTGAAGTTCCAGACACTCGGGCCGCCCTCTTTGCCCACCGTAGCCATCATGTCCTCCACCATGGAGCCAAGCCACAGCATCCCGATGCCAGAGAGCAGCTGGATGGGCAGGATCCAGCTCTTTCTCCGGCCGAGCTTGGGCGTCCAGATAGCATCCACGACGGGGCTCCATAGCAGCTTGAGAGAGTAGGGGTAGGATGCCAGGCTGAAGACTCCAATCTCGCTGTACGACATATGGTTCTTGAGCAAGAACGGGACAGATCCTGTAGCCAACCCGAGCGGTACGCCCTGGAGGAAGTATAACAGAACGAGCAGGCCAAAGTTCCTCTGGTCGTGGCGAGGGAGGTCCCAGAATCCATGATTGTTCAGCGTCGGCGTCTTGGGCACGGGGTCGTCGAGGGAAAAGGATTCGCGGGACATGAGGTCCTCAGTGACTGCGCCCGAGTCTCTCAGCTTCGATGAGCCCTTGCGGCGCAATTCCATATTGTTCATCTTGCCGTTGGCCTTCCCGTTGGCCTTCCCTCTCTTGGTCACCTCGTCTCCAGAGGTATCCACGGAGAGTGGCGACCCGTCTGGTTTGGGGCCCTTGGAGCGTCGTGTTCGGACCGGCATAGGTAGTGCGTAGGCGACTTTGGGGGTGCCACGACCTTGGTCACGTCAAGGAGAAAAAGAGAGAGAGGAATCGAAGCGTCGAGGACCGACGGAGGGGGTTTGAGGCGCGGCGGGCCGAGTTGATTCTAGCGGGGGGAGAATAGTGGGAAGGTACGTGGTTTTTGGCAAGAAAATAGTAAGGCAAAGAAAGAATAAGGAGACCGGGGTCTCAGCTGGAATCAATTTGAGCCCGTCAGCGGCAATGATAGTTGGCTGGACGGAGGGAGGTGGTGTTGGCCGCTCTCTCTTTTCTCTCTGAGGCGAGGGTGGGAGCTTCAACAAGCAATGCAGTCGGCGAAACGGGCAGTAAATTTGGAGGGTCCTCCTGCAGGTCCTGCAGGTCCCACGGGGGCGATTCCGGTGCCGCTCGGCCCCAGACGCCGTTGCGGCTACCGTGTCCTTCTAGCGTCTGACGAGCTAAAACGCTGCCTGCAGTGGCTTAAGAATTGGTAAGCGGCCATGAGGTTGGTGCTCTCGTACCAAAAATAGTATCAAAGGTGTAAGAAAGTATCCTCACGTACATATTGATAAGCATCTTTGGATTGCATCGCGAGATTCAGCGAATTCACATACTATTATGTGTTTATTCTTGCACTGGAATGTATGAGGGTTGCACTATGCATCAGGATGAGACATATTACTGTAGTTAGTACTGGTTACTTAAGTAAGTACCGTAGTCGATATTGGTTGCATAAAGCGATAGATCAGCCCTTGACCCTAGAGTCTGCCACCCTTTAACAGGCGGGGTCGGCCTAGCACCTAAACAGCCTCAAGCCAACGACGCGTCCATCCACGGCAGGGACGCGTCTCAGCACACTAAACATTATACAAACACAACCACATAGCAAATATGGCATCAAATTCAACAGAATTAGACGACGAGATTGCCACTCTTAAGGCGCAAGGTGGGTTCTATTGATTTGGCTCTTCTGCTTTCAGTTCCTTTCCCGATTTTTCCTTTCCTTTCTTCCTACTCTTGGATTTTCATTTACTTACGGACTTCTACAGTCGAGGCCCTCAAAGGTCAGGTCAAGCTACAAGCAAATGCCCTGCTGGACACGGAGTCGACAAGGCAGATCATCAAATCAGATAGCAGCCTCGAGGCCTTGCAGGATCGTCTGGCCAAGCAGCAAGCCTACAAGCAGCAGTGCCTCTACCGCACCTGCGCTGGCATCACCACATTTCGTGTGCGTGATCCGGACCCAAACGCCGTGGACCATGGCATCGTCTTGGGTATCCGCATTGAGGTCATGACGCGCTCCAAGTTCCTGCGCCCGTACTACGTGCTTTTGAACCGTCCATACACCGGCACCGAGCCCAGAAGGCGCCTTCTGCGTGTTCATCGCCATACCGTCCCGCCGTGCATCCCCCTCAATGGTTTGGCTGCCCGGTACCTGCCTGCACCGAGACCTCCTAATGCTGAACACGAGAGTGGTGGTGATGTGAAGGTGGAGAGGCAGCAAGACCTCTCGCGTTTTGTCCGCGCCCTGCGTCGTGAGATCGTAAGGTATCACAACCGCGTCGCTGTCGTGGCCGACCTGCGCAAGGCGGTAGGGCTGGACGGCAAGAAGAAAGATGCGAAGGAGCGCGCGGAGAGGAGCTCCATCATGGCCATCAGCGCCGCCGATTCGGAAGCCAAACAGGTCAGGATCGACTGGAAGGACGGCCGGTCCGGACGTCTAGTCATAGGGGATGACGGAGAGGTCGTTAAGCTGGTGGTCTTTGGAGAGAGGGGCCGGGATCGCGAGGTGACACGGGAGCTGCTCAGCGGCGGCTCGCGTCTTGAGGACGTCGCGAGGAAGCTTGCCGCTGTTTGAAGACCTCGGCACTTTTCGGCGCACTTTCATCTTGGAGGGTAAGATGTAATGAGGCATCAAAGACACCCTCGAAACATGCACACAGAGAGCATTTGATGTCTATCATGTTCGAACATGTGATTATGCCATTGGTGCGGTAAGTTTTCCTTCAGCGGATGAAGACCATTAGACGTCTTGAACGCGTCGAGTTCACTTTGAAGCTCCATGAATTTGGATTTCTTGTTTCATTCTCCTGGTAATAGCTGATTGTCTTTCACAGATGTCACATTCTTCAGCAATATAGACCACCTCAAGATGCCAACGCCATGAGCGTATGTGGCGGCCGCTTCGGGTCCTGTCGTGCTTTTCCACAGGCCCGGCAATCCCCGCAAACACGCGAGATGGCCTAGCAGACTTCACAGTGGCTATCTGGTCTGCCCTGTTCACCTTATCTTGAAGCAGTCCCTTCTTTTCTCACCCAGATACGAAACAGACTTTCTTCAGTGAATGGCTGGAGAATATGGGCCCAATCGACTCTTCATTCCCAAGGCCAGCAGCGGGCATTTACAACTTGATGACGAATGACAATTGGCAAGCAAGGTAGCACGGGGGTGAGGGAGGAGGCCTGATCAATGCGACCCTACCTCATTGTGTGCCAATCACACGCCTGAAGACAGTGATTAATAAACATTAATTACATGATGCGCATCAATGTCTATGGCAAGAACCTTTAGAGACAAACATCGCAACATCTCCTCGTGGTGCCAAGTATGAAGGTGGATAGATAAGGGAGAGAAGCCAGCATGCCAGGTGCAGGCTCTACTTTGGCAAGGAAAACTTGCGAAGGCGAATAAGTCTCTGCTTCTTGATAGAACAGGCAATAGTTTTGTTTCCTTCCAGCTTACTAGTATGCAGCGATCAAGGTTTGACGGCCCATCGGAGTCATCAGGCGTCTACATAGAAGCTTAAAACTTAATAATGATGAGTTCTATACCTGAAACTCGTGTGGTGTAGGGGTTATACGTGACAACTCAGCAAGTTACAGGACCATCGTCGCAATGCAATGTCACGCACGTGATTGGTCAATTGCAAAAAGTAAGCTGAAAAGCTGAATACTGGAGAGTGAAAGCGTAAGCGCAAAGCCAGTGCCTCAAGGCAGATATGGGCTTACACATCCTTGAGTTTGCAGAGTCCGAGCTCTATGGCCTCTTTTTGGGTCCGAGTCTGTCTAGGACGGTGCCTTGACACACGCCGCAAAGGCAAGTCTCAGACCAAGATTGACCCGGAGCAATGGGACGGCTGACCGGAGCGAGCCCAATGAATAGGTCTTTACCGGCCCATTTTCTCTCAAGGCTGCCGTGGACACCGGATATGACCATGAATGATAGGCTATCAGGTCTCAGGTGGCAAAAGTCTTTGTTTCTCTGTTTCTCAGCACCAGAGAAAAGGAAAACGATCTAGGGATATTGAAGATGGGCAATAGAAGCCATCATCTTGGATTCTGCCTGTTGAAGTTACGCAAGTCTCAAAATTCAGCAGGCAGCTTTACACAGACTTTGTGCGATGACTTTTATGAACAGAGCTAGGAAGACCGACAGTTCTTGAGGGGTTATATAAACCACAACCTGTCGTCTTGATGATAGACCGGATCAATCCCCTCAACGCGCGCACGGTTTGAAGCCAAAGAAGACCTCGTCGTTCAACCTCTCAAATAACAACTAGCACAAAAGCAATTACTGGACACGAACAACTCGCTCTGCCACGGCTTGACCCCCCTCCCAGGATATTCATTACTCAGAAGTCAAAGGCTTTCTTCTACTTGCCTGTGCATTGAATAATTCCGCATACATGATCATCATGGGGTCTGTTTCCGTCATCTTCTTCAGCTTTGCTGCTCTGGGGGTGCGGGCGTCCCCTATGAACTATAAGCCCATGGATGTAAGTCTCCGTCTATCACAAGTACAACTTGCTGCTTACTGACGCCCTGCTTCTTTCAGATCGATACTGAGACTATTGGTATTGATCTCCCTACCTTGTTCTCAGCTAGCAGTCAAACCCCAACATCTTCAACAGACGCGGTATCGGTACCAGTCTCTTCTGCCCTGATTTCTTCGCTTCCTGTATTTTCGGACGGCCCAACAGACATCGCATCTGGGACTTCAGTGTCTCCAACGCCCGAATCGTCGTTGGTCTCGAGTTTGCTCCCTGCGTCTCCCACCTCGGACTTTCTCTCCACCCCAACAGCTTCCCCAGTCGACATCTCCTCGCTCCTGTCGATCTTTCTCGAGACCCCTTCAGCAGTACAATCACCAATCTTGTCTTCGGCTATGCTCTCGGGTTTTGCTTCATACCCGTCGCAGGGTGTCGGTGATGATGGCAACCAGGGAGGGAGCCGTTACCTGCAAGTAGGGCAAACGAGAGTTTGGGGGCGAGATATTGCATCGTTCGCTACAGACACGTCATACACGGGGACAGTAGCGGCTGAATCGGTGACTGTGGATTCTCAGTACTACCCGCAGACGACGGGTCCGTCGTATGCGACTCCGAGTCTTGACAGTCCTCCTCAGACAACGGACCTGTTAATTGAGACAACGAGCTTTGATGAGCCTCAGACCACAAGCTACGACGAGTCTCAGACGACGAGCTACGACGAGCCCCAGACCACAAGCTTTGACGAGCCTCAAACCACAAGCTATGATGAGCCTCAAACGACAAGCTATGACCAGCCTCAGACCACAAGCTTTGATGAGCCTCAAATGACGGACCCATCCTATGATACTACGAGCTTTGGTGAGCTTCCTCTCTTGCCGGTCCTTTAGGTCATACGCGACTGCGCCCATCGATGGGATTTCTTCTACATTAGACTCGATGTCTTATTACAAAGAGCGACTCCAGACGGTGCACAGACGCCTTCATCTCTGAGCTCGTCTTAATGTGTATCGCCTTCTCGTCCTCCGGCGTCCAACATGTATTCGATTTTCTACGTTGGGAAGAGTATGAGAGGAGGAAATACGTAACTCCAGCGCGTTCCGAGAAATTTGTGATTTTCTTTGGCACTGGATTGCTTCGATTGCCGTTTTGAGAGTCACATTGCGCCGTGATGGGCTGGGACCATTTGGGTAAACGTCATGGTCTGGTCTTCTTGGAATTGTTCGGATTTGCACTATGCTGGTTTTAGAGGAAAGGCGTACAGATATGATATTAGACGACGGATTTGACACGAGCTCGAGGGGCTGTTACGTTTGCTTTGCAACATGGACGCGAACATTGCTTCTCCCACTTAATATGCTGGGAGGAGCGGGACTTGGGCGACGAAAGAGATATTTCCCAAACTATATTCAGCACTTTGCTGTTTGAATTTAATACGCTAATATCTGCTGCAAGTTTCCTTCGAGACTCCCACTTGACAATTGTGACCTGGCGTTCTCGGCTGAAAATATCCGTCATCTAGATCTGACATAAATAGAAACGCCTCACTCAGTGCGTTTCTGGCATACATGATGCTCTTCTCGACAAGATCATATCTTTACTCAATACAAGTCACACAATAACAACTGGCGAGAATGAAGTGGGTCGGAGAGGGAGATACGGAAGAAGACGATATCATCGATGAAGATATGCTCACCTGGAGCCACGAAACTCGTTCGGTGTGAAGCCGCAGCGGACAGGTTCCCACTGACACCAAGGTACAGGGTTCCCTCCGGAATGGGAAGCGGAGTGCCCGCAGCGATGGTACCTAGGCTTGTTGGGACTTGGACATTGCCTTCGTAACTCGTCCCCGTCGGTTTCGCTCTGCTGGTCCGCGCGTTCGCGACGGTCTTGATGCCAGTGACCAAGTACGCACTTTTCCTCCTTTAGACTATCCGCTCCAGCACAGCCCTCACTTCTCTAAGAAGAACAGAGTTTTTCAAAGAACTGACCGGAGTTTTGTAAGTGACGAGTGGTGAAGACGGAGGTTGAGATGTCGAGCTGCTCTCGGGGCCACGAGAGCCTGAAAAAAGGGCGGAGAGTATTACCTGGAAGCCGGCCGTCTCGGTCCGTTCCGCTGAGTAGCTAAAATCCTCCAGCCGCTGTATGTTCACATCGTCGTCGGGGATAGGGATCTCTTTAGACTGGAGGGAGTTTTGCTGCGGGAAGCGCACGTCAACGACCAGGCAGCCCAGCTCAACTGTGCCGATGGGGATAAGACTATTCAAGAGGACTAATGAATTTGGCATAGCTAAATTGACACACAAGTGTGCCTGGAGATCATTCGCGTTTTATGGATTCCCCCCCTCCCCCCCTTCCTATTCCTATTGGTGTTGGTGGCCTCTCTGGGGGACGCACTATGAACACGAATGTCGAAATAGAACGCACCGTGGGAGGGGGGCCAGACGGCGTAAGGCCTGTGGCGCCAAGCAGCGAAAGCAGTGACACTTATTTTTGCCTCGCGGAAGCTGCGCGGGCCAAAGTCGGCACATATCGTCACCCACTCACCCGGGGCCTGATTGGCAGGTGCAAAGACGGGCTGCCACAGACCGTTCCACGGGATTTCCAAAACCCCGTTACGAATGTAACGGCGGCAGGACTCCTCTCGTCAACTTGCCTCGCTTTTTCTTGAAAGCTGATTGCTCAGAGAATCTTGCGCCTGGCGAATACGCAAGCATGACAAGATCTCCTGCCTACTTTAGGTAGGTGAAGAAGAAAGAAAATACTACTAACATCCGTACGCGCATGCTATGCACTGCCCACTACGTACATCATGGATGGCACATGTTACTATGGTACACTGTAGTGTGTAAACGAATACGCAGGTACTCGGGCGTGTTACAGTGGCCTTCGCATTAGAGGAAGGGTCCGTAGCGCCGATCCGGTCGGGCTAGGACCGAGTCTAGCAGGGTGAGATGCCAGGGGTCACCACTGCCAGCGCTGACCCAACCCTCGACGTCAGCCGAAACACACTGGCCCAGAAACGCTGTATGAGTCGTTTCGTCTCCATAGAAATCTCCAGATGAACCGAACTCAACTTTCTGTCGTTTGAACAAGCTGGCTTGTACACGTTCGACATTTCTTATCTCGTGGGAACTTTCCTTGTTGTGGCTATTGCTTCTGCTACTGTTTCTCATTGTTTCCTTTTCATCTTAACGGTACCATAATTGGGAAGTTCAAGCGCGCCCGTGTCCAGCTTCGCGTCCTTCCCGTCCAGTCTTCCTCGGGTGTCTGGTGTACAAAATATCATCTATCTGTTTGGCGAGAGTGACCATAACACCATGGCCCCTCCCGTAGATGCGGCCACCCGGAAGAAGGTGCTGAAGGTCATCTTCATATCTTTACTTCTGGACTTGGTTCGTCCCCAACAACCCCCCTTCCAGTGCGCAGAGAATGGGTTGTGTCCTAACGACGAGACCTAGATATCCTTCACCTTCATCCTCCCACTATTCCCTAAGCTTCTCGAATTCTACCGCAACGCTGAAGCCCCTGCCGATGCCTCGAAAGAACAACCACAAGCGCAGACCCTCCTTGCATGGATCCTTAGCTATCTGAATGCCTACAAGGCCGCCTTCGCCCGGCCCATCGACTCCCGCTACGACATCGTCCTGCTCGGTGGCGCCCTCGGCTCGCTCTTCTCCCTCCTCCAAGCCGTCGCATCCCCCGTTATCGGACACCTCTCTGACAAATATGGCCGGCGCACTGCACTGTTGACTAGCATGATGGGCAATATACTCTCGGTCCTGCTGTGGGTGATGGCGGTGGATTTCAGGACATTCCTGCTCAGCCGCGTTGTCGGCGGGCTCTCTGAGGGCAACGTGCAGCTCGCCACCGCCATTGCGACAGATATTTCGGATAGCTCGTCCCGTGGCTCGACCATGGCCCTCATCGGCGCATGTTTCTCTATCGCCTTCACGTTCGGCCCGGCCCTGGGCGCCTGGCTGAGCACCATTGCCACAGTGGCCGCGAATCCCTTTGCGACCGCCGCCGGTGTCTCTCTGTTCCTGATCCTGACCGAGACGGTGTACCTCTACTTTGCTCTTCCCGAGACCCTGCCCTCTATGACCGAGAATACCAAGGGCGATCAGGCGCCTGCCAAGAAGGATACCAAGACCGGCGGGCCAAGTGTCCTCCAGCGCACAAACTCCCACTTCCTCCTCAACGCCGCCCACTTCGCTTTCCTGCTCTTCTTCTCAGGCATGGAGTTCTCACTCCCTTTTATGACCTACGACCTCTTCGGCTACAGCTCTGCCAAGAACGGTCGGTTGCTCGGTTTCGTCGGACTGGTGGCATCCATCCTTCAGGGCGGCGTCACCAGGCGCCTACCACCACTCCTGTCCGTCAAGATCGGGGTCACGGCCTGCTTCGTCGCCTTCCTGCTGCTCGGCCGTATCACCTCTGTGTCTATGCTGTATGTTGCCGCGACGTGTCTGGCGACGACCTCAGCGACGGTGGTGACGGGGCTGAACGCGCTCGCCAGTTTTGAGGCGAGCGAGGGCGAGAGGGGCGGCAAGCTCGGCATCCTGCGGAGCTGGGGCCAGGTAGGACGCGGGTTGGGCCCCATCCTATTCACGAGCGTGTACTGGTGGGCGGGGCGTGAGGTCGCCTATGGAATTGGTGCGGCTGGCATTGCCGGTGTCGTAGCCCTCGTGTTTGGTGGGCTGAGATCACCGCCTGGATCTGAAAAGGTAAAGGTCAACAAGGCTGCTAAGAAGGAATAGGTTTAATTCACCATGCTCTGCTGAGCGTGTTGTGTCATTATCTTTGTGCGAAGATAGTATATAGCGAGTAAATGTTTATAGAGAAAAAGAGGCAGTGCCGTGAGTAAGTAGCTCAATACACACATACACACATACATGCATGCATGTACAAACATCCATTGCCAGCCAAACCCAGATGCTTCTTGCTTGCTGTCCCTCGTACAGCAAAGATGCTGCATACAAGAGCCCATGCAGACTGAAAACTACCTGTGTTGCCTCAACAACTTGGGAGTAATCCAGTGACATGCTCTGTCCTGAAGTACAGGGGTGGGCCACTGTAAGTCGAGTCTTTCTAGAGCTAGGGGCGCTACCAATGTACCAACAAAGGGAAGGGGAAAAGGAAAGACAAATAACGAAAGAACAAAACACAAAAAATATATGCCACAACAGTGAATCGAACCCCTGCCGAGACTTGCACTCGGAACCTTCAGCTGAACCAGTTAGCACTAGGAGGCTGACGATCTTCTATTGATCTACAGGGGCATCAGTCGTCGTGGACCACTGCACCATATTGTCTGATGTTGTTTCTTTTCTTTCTTGGAGGACAGGGGTTGTCAGCTGCATTATATTCATGGCTTGCTTGATGATGCGGCTTTCATCAAAATGAATGTGGACATAATGCTAGGAAGACAGAAGAAGAACGAGGGAAAATGGTGATGACCACCTGGAGGAGAGAATATAAACAGCCATTTTCCTGCCTCTCCATATTGAGTCCAACTGAGTTCAGTCTTGACGGGTACATGGCGTTTTGCTGTGTGCACCTTCAACACACACACACCCGCACGGCCCCAGCCGTCCTCCCACCCTTCTTTGGTCCTAAAACGCAGATTGATGCTGCCGCCCTGTCCTCTTTATTGTTTTTGCTCCTGATGAATCCTCACATGTATATGTTTCCACATTCGAACCTTGCAATGGTACCCACATCCAGACTTCAAAAGTATCCAGGCCAGTTCCTCCAGCCTTTTGAAATATTCACACTCCAATGTCATACAAACTTATGAGTCTGCAAGCCACTCGGCTGCCAGCTGATCGTTGACCCTGTGGCGCATAGGGGGATCCGCATCGTCTTCCGAATTCTCGTTCCACGAATGTACCGACACCGATCCAAAGCTCATATCGTATCCGCCCCAGGAGGATGCTAATTGGGCGCAACCACCAAGTCAGCCAAAAAGGATTCCTCGCACTTACAACAAGAAAAGCTAATTCAAAAAAAAAAAAAAAAAAAAGAAGAAAAAAAGAGTCATGGTCAGGACAGGGGATACTCACCAGCCATGATGGGTGCGTTGGGGTGCCAAGAGGGCTCGCGCACACAACAGTTCCAATGGTTGGTCGGACGACTCCTCCACGCCCTGCCACCGCCAGGCACGCGGCCGTTCCAGTGCGTGGACATGCCCACATCGATGGTCTTCTCCAGCGTCGCATCCATGTTCCAGACGTACACCTTGCCGTCGTGGCTGCCCGAGTACACATACCTGCTGTCGGTGCTCCCGGGAGGCGAAAAGTGACAGCGGATGAGGGTGCCCTGGACCTTGTGCCCGCGGAAGGTGACCACGGAGTTGTCGTCAGGGTGCGGAAACCAGTCGTCCTGATCGTACTCCTCCATGCGGTAGTCATAGGTGGTGTGCATCGTGTGCCTGCGCGGGTTGAGCCGCGCGTACTGCTCCGTGGACATGGCCATGCGTAGGTCCCACAGCTTCATGGTTTGATCCTTGCTGTTGGAGAGGATATACCGCCCGTCGCCCTTGCTGTCGATGTACGTCAGCCCCTCGCAGTGCCCGACAAAGGCGCCCGCCGCGCGGCCGTCTGCCATGCTGCGCCTGTCCCACACCTTGATCACCTGGTCGTCAGAGCCCGAGTAGATGATGTGCGGGTCTTTGGGATTGGCAAAGGCCACAGCGTTGACGTCGTCCTCGTGGCCCACAATGTTGTGCAACACGCGGCGGGACTCGATGTCGTACACCACGATCGAGGCGACGTTGTTGCCGGCGATCAGCTCTCTGCCGTCGCCGCTGAACCGGATGGACCAGATGGCGAAGTTGTCCCTATTCCGCCGGGCCCACGTCGGAGCCGGGCGGCCGTTGGTAGCATCGACTACGCCGCCGCCGGCGAGGTCGAGCTGGTACGGGTCACCTTTGTCGTTGGGATCGGTGGGGGCGAAGGCAACGTGGGACTGAAGGGAGGTATAGGCGAGCCACCGGTTGTCGGGCGACAGGTGTGCGTCGGTCAGGGTCCACTGGCCCCAGTTGAAGCTGGCCGTCTTGTAGTACCGCCAGTTGTACGGGTTGCTCGTGTCGTACATGCGGACCTTGAAGTCCTTTACGCAGGCGTAGAAAAAGTTGCCGTCCTGGGAGAACTGCCCGCAATAGACGGGCGCGTGGTAGTGGATAAGCAGGTCCGCCTCCGAGGAGGGGATCATCTGCTGCGCCATGGCCGACTGGGCGGTGCGGCCCCAGCCGATGCCCAGCTCGCGGTCGAGGACGCGGCGGGCGAGCCTCTTCTTCTGTTTTTGCCTCCTGCTGTTGCTCAACAGGCTGCTGTTGCTGCTACTGCTGCCGCCAGCACAAGTGTTGACTGGAGGATCCAGCCGGTCGGTCGAGCCGAAGGCGCCCGAGTCCATGAGCTTGCGACCCTCCTCGCTCGGAACCTTGGGGAAGCGATTCGGGTCGGGAGGGTTTCGGCGCCGGCGCCGGGCCCAGTAGTGGTCCTCATTGTCGTCCTCTCCAAAGATCTGGCCTAGGTCGCGGCCCTGAAGCAGAGCCAGCAATTGAGGCCTCGAGAGTACATTCCCACCTGTGTGGCTCATGAGTTTCTTGTATTAGTATTGATGAACAGGTTCGCAGTGGCATCAGAGAAGACAGGGCAGAGGTGACCCAGGAGGAAGAATAGGTTTGATGCGATGAAGATGAGTTGTGTAAGCTGGGTTCATATGTGTGATGATCCCCCAGTAAAGCAAGCTGAAGTGGAAAAGATGGGGGTCTTCCACGTGGCAGATGGGTATTCAGGGTCGAGATCTCACCAAATAAGCGGCCAAGGGTGCCCAGCGAGATGGTTGTTGTCCGCGCTGTTTCTTCCTCGCCCTCATCGTCGTCGTCGTCATCTTCTTCCTCGTTCCCTCCAACCTGACCGATGACCACTTCTACCGAGTATCCTTGCTCAGCATCTGAACAGAGTCGATCAGTTTTCTGAATATCTCATAAGTACCACAAGCAGATCAACTAGTTACGAACCGTGAAACTCGTCATCGTCACCCTCGTAGTCCGGATCATCTTCATCTTCATCATCGTCGTCGTTATCTTCATCGTCGTCCTCTGTCGTTTCGAAGTTTAGAGCTTCTGATTCCTCCGCTGCTGGCTCGAAAAGGTCATCGTCATCACTATCATCATTGCTATCGTTTCGGATATGGGGCTGACTCCCTGACGCCTGCTGGAGACTCTCGCCATATCCGTTCTCGTCCGAGTCGTCCTGGTGGGGATATCTATAACTCATGATGGGCGAGACTAGAGTGATAAGGCAAGAATGATTTAGATAGGTATGGTGGAAGTAAGTGGTGATATGCGTCGTCTGCCGCCCGGCGGATCCGGTGGAGAGAGGTTGGTTGCACAGATGTATGGATTGATGAGTGAATGGTTGGTGACGGTGATGAGTAAGATAGACTCCAGAGGGAAACGCTCTGGGCGAAGACTGCCACTCCACTGATATGAAATCACAGCTTTTAGTGAGTGAGCTATTGCAGATAGATAGCAGGGTCTAATCCTCCTCCTGTTGAGGAGTTTCATATGTGCAGTGTCTATGGACTCCCCAAGTGGAGACTGTCATTGACGACATGATATGCAATGACACGACAGGGCCCCTCTCCACAGTTACCATAGTACAATACTGTAGGTGCCAATCCGTCGCCCGCCCGTTTCCCCGCCTCCGAACGCTTGGCTCCGGACTTAAGTTTCCGGCTTTAACCATGTGGAGAGGCGGCGTCTGCCAATAAGGCACCTTAAAAAAAAAAAAAAAAAACTGCCATACGCAGTTTTTCTTTATTTATTATATCTGTACATAAAAGGGAATCAAGGAAAAGTTGATTCATGCTATCCATGTGTTTTTTTGGGGGAAAGGGGGGGTAGGAGCCGGGGGGGGGGGAACATTCACATGTCAAAAGGATACTCTGTCTCTGATGGCCCTCACTCAGTCTACAACATGATTTGGCCCTGATTTTGAATATTGAAGCCGATGCGACAGAAACCTGCTCTCATCCTCCTTCGGAAGACCTTGACTTTGTCGTGATGTTTCACCTCACATAGTCAAGTCCCCTTCCTGTGCGTCCTCATAGCATCACTAGCCCCCACAGCTCTGGGCGGACAAGCGGCCACAAATGGGTGAGTTGGGGCAGGGCTGAGAAGTTATGCTAGAATTTAGATCGTATTTTTCAAGAGACAACTGAAGGCCCTTCGAAAATGTCATAGCGGAGAACGTCACACTTTAAGAGTGCTGAATCTGGTGCCATTATGATTCTCGCAAGATCACACCTCACAGAAGAATATCCTCCTGACTTGTGATCGTTGAAACTTGACATTCCCGCACCGGGCGGGTGTGTTGTTCCTGAAACCCATCACATCACTGAAGCTTCCTCTGAGTCGCGACGGGCACATCTGGTCCAAAGAAGCCCAAAAGATACGCTGTCCTCGTCAGACACAACATAGTCTTTCGTCCTGGTCAGCCATTTTGTTTTATTTTGTTTTGTCTTTTTCTTCTTCTTGCACTTTTCATCGTGCTGCTAGCTCGGGTGGGTGCAAGAAAATAACCAAACTCACCGTCACACCAACATTTCCCCAGGTCATACTATTCCAGCCAGCCACGTTCGCAAACCTCACCCAGCCCAGGACATGATAGCACACATAGACATGTGATATATCGGCGATCCAACAGGCGATCAAATAGTTGCGCACGACCTTGATCTCGGATGTCGTGTACAGCACGGCGGAGGCGACCAGGAATACTAGCCCGTATGTATTTCCCAGCTGGAGGGCGACCAGTCTGGCATTATCGTCCACCGCAGACGACAGGCCAGTGGATGTCTGCTCTGTGACAAACCATGCCGGGTTGAGGGTTGCTCCGGCCCAGCCTGCGAGCCTGTGTTTGGGGGCAAGGGTGAGTTTAGTTTCATCAGCTGGAATGGTCAAAAAGCAAGAGTGAATGAATGTCATGATTAGCAGCAGGAAGAGGAGGACGCACAAGCTGAGAGGCTCAAAGACGGTAAAGACCAACCGAGGAATGGTGGGTAGACGAGAAGCCATGTTGTCAGCGAGGTAGTAGTTTGTGAAGCGAAAGAGAAATGAAGGTGGAGAGCGTGGGCTCCTGGACATGGAACAAGGTCTGTTAGAGAATTCAACCACAGCAGCAAGCAGTATGGTAATTAGCCCAACGACGATCCTGCGGCGGGCCGAGCCTGTTTTCGAGGGTCTAAATCCTACAGTATAATTGAGTGACAAGAGAAGACGGTTCAGCCAGTCATGCCGTACTTTGAGCATGAAAACAATATAAGATAAAATCGTTCTTAATCCCAGGAGTCAATTTGCTGTGCTGCTGCGACTGTAGTGGCCAGGAGCTTGGTCTTGATTGGTAGCACAGGGCCTCGACAGCCTTAGAGAGGGGAAAGGAAGAGATGGAGAGGGGATAACGGGGGGGTTTACCGCCCATTCTGCAGGCATGTCTCTTCTCCAACTGCCGCCTACAGAAAGAGGCGGGTCGCCCGCTCAGTGAGTGGCAGTCTGCACCCATCCTTGAATACAACCTCCCTCCCAAGACGGCTCGCCACCTTTGACCGCTGCCTCAGGCTCGACTACTTGTTTGTCTGGTCACGACAGACACCTCTTTTTCATCTGGTGCCCGTCTAAGGGAGCGGAAACTCCGGCGACGAACCCCACATATGCATGGCGATTGATCCTCGGGCTTCGACAAAGGCAATCCTCTCGTGAAGCTCGAGCCCTTTCAGGGGGGCCGTCACCCACTCTCCCAGATGCCCCCTCGCCGACCTACACGATGGCCACCATCGAGCCGCGGCTGATGCACCTGCTCAACAACACGAACGCCTCCCCCGAGGACTCCTACTACCCGCCCCCAGACCTCCCGCCCATACAGAGCTTCAGCAGCTTCGCCAAGACGTCCAACATTTCCCTGCCTCCGCTCGAGCCCGACGCTGGCAGCGGCAGCAGCAGCAGCAACAACAACAATGAGAAGCAGCCCGCCTCCAAGTCTGTCCACCAGATCCCGTCTCTGGCATCCATCCGAGAGGAATACAACACGGGCCGCTACAATCACGATGGAGGAGGAGCAGGAGCAGGAGGAACAGGAGGATCTGTATCCGGACCGAGCCGGCAGAACCTTGGCGGTGCCATTTCGCTGCGGATGCTATTCGACAACCCAGAAATCAACGAGTCCTCGCACTCGCTTAATCACATTCTCGATGATGTGCCCGAACCCATGTCCGCATCGTCGACGACGGCGGACGATCTCTCGACCAAGAAACGCCAGCGGGCCATGACAGTCAAGGACGACATCATGCACCTGCCGCAACCTCTGAAGAAGCAAAAGTCGACGCAGAACATCAGTCAGAATATCATGCCTCCTATAATCAATGGCCTCTACGAACCGCCGCCGAACGCGGCTGTCTTCCCCCCAATCGCTCTTGACGACGGAAATGAGGGTGTCGCACCCGCAAGCTTGCATACGTTGAACCAGCTGAGTGGCAACAGTGCCAGTATGCCGACCAACAGTGTCGAGGCGCCAGAAGCACAAGAGACGTGTTCCCTCAGCGAGGCCAGGCCAGAGTATCCTGGACTCACAATAGAGACAGAGCGGCCCTTGGCCAAGGTGAAGAGAAAGGCGGCCAAGCCGAGGAAGAAGTGGTCAGAGGAAGAAACCAAGCACTTGTTACTTGGCGTGAGCAAGTACGGAGTTGGCAAATGGACGAGCATCTTGGACGACCCTGAATACAGTTTCAACGGGCGGACAGCGGGTGACCTAAAAGATCGATTTCGCACATGCTGCCCTGACGAGCTTCGGATAGGGCCGAGCAAGAGTAGGGAGAGCCTGCGTTCTCAGGACAAGTCTGCCAGTCTGTCACCAGCCGAGCCACGGCCAAAGGGCAAGACGAAGACGGTACTGTTGTTGGAGGACATACTTGCCGACCCAGAGCACCCAGCAGGACACTCCAGCAAAGAAGAACCAGTGCTGGCAAGGTCTTCAAGCCAGACTACAATAGGACAGCAGGAGTCTGACTCGACAGCCAAACCGAAGAAGAGCAGGGCGCACCGCAAGAAGATTGAGGATCTCCAGGCGATGGGTATACACGGCCCGTTCAAGAAGTCCCACAGACGGGAGAGGCGTCCCTTTACGCAACAGGATGACGACCAAATCCTCGAGGGTCTTCAAATGTACGGGCCCGCTTGGACCAAGATTCAACGCGACCCCAGGTTTGACCTGTCCAGCCGCCAGCCGACCGATTTGAGGGACAGGGTGCGCAACAAGTACCCTGATATGTACAAGCAGATCGAGGAGAAGCAGGGACATACTAAGGAGCCCATCTCGGGTGGACCCGCTCTGCCCTCGCGTCCTGCACCGTCATCCAGAAGCAACAATGTCATGGAGCCGACTGTGAACAACATGATTAACGAGAACTCGCTGATGACGCTGGAGCCACACCTACGCCAGGCAGGGTCCAGGGAAGAGGTCACGATGCCCAAGTGGGCAGGATCGCTTCCACCTTCTGCATCCGCATCCACCGGGATGACCGGAGGTGGGAGCTTCCACGAGCTGCCAGGCATGGACTCGTTCTCAAGAGAAACTTTGGAAGGCGAGGTGTTGGAAGGCAACGAGCAGTCCGCATCCGGAGCCTTTGTTGGGATGATGGACATTTCCAGGTTGCTTTTGGACGAATGAACCTCGAGCTCGGGCATCGCATACAGAACCTGCCATTTGTGTACAGCGTGTTTTCTTTTTAGTGCTTGGCAGGACGGGTATTATTTGAGTTCATGGAGGATTTTACGAGGGAATATGGGCGTTTTCCTGTTGTCTATTCAGACAGGCTGTTGTTTCGATACCTTGTTGTTTGGGGATCCTGGAGCCTGCTATGCACGGAGTAATGGACGGATGGTTTCGAGTTGGGAGGATGAAAAACCTGTAAAAAGGCCTCCTCACCTTGAATCGCCTTTCAATTTAGAATCTGGAGCAATCTTGCTAGAATTAAACAAAGCGATTTGGTTTCTTTGCGCTCAATTATCACTTTTCCCAATCTTGAGTTGATCATGGTTTGGGCCCTGGTGATAACAGCCTGCGAGAAAGGAGCACACAGGGGGGCATTCGGCGGTCTGCTTGAGCCGACAAGCAGGGATCACGGGGTTTCGCAAGTGGGCAGGCGTGGCACACTCCCCAGCAGGTCACGTGCATCATTTTTTTTTTTCAGGACTAGCGCAGCGCTAGGGTGAAGCAAACCCACTGCTTGCCAAATTTTCAACTCGAACAGTTTAATCGGGAACTTCTTTTCCTTCTCGACCAGCCAGCTTCTCTACAACCACCCAACCACCTCGACAACAATCCAACCACAAGACAGACAAGATGGGTCGCGGTCGTAAGTAATGCACCAATTGACAACTCCTATGCATGCTTTAGTGGCATGGCTTGCTCGACTTCCACCAGGTTGCGAGCTGCTGCAGTTGATGCTGGTTCTGGGAAACCCAATTCCTACAATGCAAGAGAACACCAATAGATGGGCCATCATGATACTGACTGCATTTCTGCGATACAGCTAAGAAGCACCAGAAGCGCCTCAGCGCGCCCAAGCACTGGCTCCTGGACAAACTGTCCGGTTCCTACGCTCCCAAGCCCTCTGCTGGTCCCCACAAGGCTCGCGACTGCCTGCCCCTCATCGTCTTCATCCGCAACCGCCTCAAGTACGCCCTGAACTACCGTGAGACCAAGGCCATCCTCATGCAGCGCCTCGTCAAGGTCGATGGCAAGGTCCGCACCGACATGACCTTCCCCTCCGGCTTCATGGACGTCGTCTCCATCGAGAAGACCGGCGAGAACTTCCGCCTCGTCTACGATACCAAGGGCCGCTTCACGGTCCACCGCATCCAGGCCGAGGAGGCCGAGTACAAGCTGGGCAAGGTCAAGCGTGTGCAGCTGGGCCGTGGCGGTATCCCATTCTTGGTTACGCATGATGCCAGAACGTGAGTTCTTGAGCCATCTGTCAGCCGTTGGACCAAGCTTTGGTTGATTCCGAATCCACGCGTTCTCCTCGTCCCCCTTTGCGCGGGCGAGGAGAATGAAAGATTCATGATTCGTCGAAGCGAGATCATCAACGGCTGGTACGTCTCTCCTTTACTTCTTGGTTGCTAACCCCCTGCTATAGCATCCGCTTCCCTGACCCTGCCATCAAGGTGAACGACACTGTCAAGATCAAGTGAGTCAAGCTCGGCCAACACCCACCCAACCAAACCCCTCCGAAAAACATAGTTACTTACCAACTTTGCAGCCTGTCCACTGGAAAGATCGATGACTTTGTCAAGTTCGAGGTCGGCCACGTTGCTATGGTCACCGGTGGTCGTAACATGGGTCGTGTCGGTGTTGTCACCCACCGTGAGCGTCACGATGGAGGTTTCAACATCGTCCACCTGAAGGACGCCATCGACAACACCTTCGCCACCCGGGAGGCCAACGTCTTCATCATCGGTGCCGAGCGTCCCTGGATCTCCCTGCCCAAGGGCAAGGGTGTCAAGCTCACCATCGCTGAGGAGCGTGACCGCCGCCGTGCCAACGCCATCGCCGGCAACTAAGCGGCTGACTGGCCTGGTGATGATTGATGTTTGGTTCAACTGGTCTAGGCAAAAAGGGGTTCTCACTTGAAAATAAAAAGTGACGGCATGGACACGGCGTTATGGACGTTTCGGCTCTGAATTTCCGCTATGGTAGATAGCCAACCCAATAAGCCGACACGCCGAGGTCGCAGGGTAATGAATTCTTGCAAACGTCCTATTCGTCTTCCTCTTTCTCAATCAAAGTTGTGATGCTCACTCCCTGCACACACTGCGTGCTCTTGCGCGGCCCTCCTTCCCCTGCCACCCCCTCCCCTCCCGTAAACCCGAGCCTCAATAGTGACCCTGAGCCGATCCATTCCGATTACTTTGATGTCGCATAGTACTACTATCAGACTGATGCAGAAAAGGTCCACGACTATTGCCTAGGAGGTAGCCCTTACCTAGGGCGCAATCGGCTTCAAATCATCACACCCAAGCAAAATAAAACTCGAAGCTGGTCCTTTTTGAGAGCAGAGGCGCTCGCTTGCTTATGCTTGTGGTATGCTGTCGGATTCCGAACGGACCAATCGCCATGGAGGAGGCGTTCTATGGAGGTCTACTTACTGCATGACATGGAAATTACCGCGTCCACACAATTGGGAACACGGGATTTTTCTTGGACGCGGGAGGGAACTGACTTGCAGAAGAGGGACACTGTCTTGAGGCGCCGAGCCGTATGTTCCTGCATGACCCATCCAAGGTGTGTGTAGGCATGGTAGACTTTGAGAGCATCCTTGGTGCTTACAAGATGACTTAACGTCTGGGAGCTCTCCCAACTGCCGTACTCCCTAGGCGCAGGAGGAACCGGTCACACGAAGCATTGATAGCATACAAAGGCTTCCCAGTCTGCTAGTACATTGAAAGGGGGGGAGGGGGGGAATGCGCAGGCGTAATGAGGCTCGTATTGTCTTGTTTCCTTTCCTTGACCATCGCTTATTCGGAACTCATTAGCTATACTCTGTCTGGACTTGCTACTACCTTGAAAGTTCACCTCAGCGAATACACTTTCTTCCCCACTCTCATGATGAGCCTCATGACGAGTTACTAAATGGTAAGACCTGGCGGTCAGAAAGCTTGGGTGCTCTAGTGGGGCTCGGCCTACGTGATGTGTCTCATGCTCCCCACCGTTTTGCCCATCACGTCAGCCACATTTCGAGACTGCCTTTTAGCTGCCTGCGTTTAATAATGCGCCACCACGCTGAGAGTTTTGCGGGGTGTACCAGGAGATGGTTGCCTCTGACAATTTGCGTCGTGGCCACTTCCAAAACTGGCTTCAAGCCGGAGTTGGGACAAGAGATCGTCGCAGCTTACCCAATGTCTACCCTGCAACCAAGTAAGCCACTATGAAGACAATATTAACATCCTCTGCCCATTAGACAATATAAAAGCCGTCTTGTGATGTGGTCATGGTGCGGACATGACAAGGGAATTAAATTGTCACTCAGCATGACGTGAGCAAATTAGTTTCCCTGTCGCCCTCGCCGGCGGGCAAGAGACCAACGACCGCAATCAGATTTTTTTCTTTTCTTTTCTTTCTTTCCCTTTTTGCCTTTTCTTTTTCCCTTCCTCCCAGTAGTCAAATGTCTGTGATCGGAAAATCTAGTATACGTACCCCCCAGATCGTCCATACTTCCCAAAAAGGAATCCCAACAGGCCCCCAAGGCCACCTGCCTCTCTAGGCAACCATTCTCATAGGGAGAGTCAGGAGGGCAAAGGGGAGAAAAAAGAGAATAAGCTCGTTCCACAACACTTCTCGAAGGTAGCAACCGAGGGCCGGTTAGCAGTCAATGCAACCACGGATCGCAATTCTTACGTGGCCGCACGACAGGTGCATGACGCCGAGCAAAACGCCTTGCGGCCCGCTGGGTGCATCTTGCCTGGCAGGAAGCCAGGCCAATGCAGAGATCGTGAGGGGTTTTCCACCGTGCGCGGCAGTTCTTGCGGCTTACTTGGAAATTGCAGCAGCTGGAGGAGGCAGATCGTGTGCCCCTGGAAATGATGGGGCGTGATGATGCCATCCGTCCTGCCTCGTGTGTACTCGCGCCGTGCTTGCTCTCTCCACTGCCTGGACCTGTCTAAGGCGGTCCCGCAGGCAATCTTCTTTTTCCCCTTCTTATGTGAAGTGAGCTGGTCCTCTGCAAGGCCTTCTGCGCCTCAGACGAGACAACGGGTGTAGTATTCTCACTTTCCCCTTGGTAATGTATAGCGGTGTGCGCACACGTGAGACTTGCAGCACGCAAGTCGGCCGGATACACGGAGCCCTGAGCCGGGACGCAACCCTCTTGTCCCCGTGGTCAAAGTGCTGAAGGTAGTGTGGGCTGCGGGTGTCATCTCAACAGAGTTCCGTCAACGAGCAACGTTTATAAGACGGCGGAGGGCTTTGAAATGGTTGACATGGACGAGAAAAGCAGTGCAGTCAGAAGGAAAAATGATCCATCAAAGAGCAACGCGAACAGGCGATGTGGGGCTTCCCCAGACTTGGCTTGTATGTTGGGACCTTGCACGGGCCAATCGCAGGCCTGGCCGATGACGGCGATGGGCTTGGAGACCATCCCGACCAACGCCTTCCTCGCCTCAGCTCGCCCCTTCACCCATTGTCCCTCCCATCGTCTTCGTTTCGGGACTGTGATCTAGAATCACCCCGAACCCCGCCAGTCATGCACGCCCCAAGTCTCTCGTTCACCGTTGTCCCGAAGCACAACTCCATCGTCGACGGTTGCACAGCGTCTGTTTCACTGCGGAACCTGTCAAACTTCCCCACAAATTCAGAACCAGGTGCTATGGCGTTCACCCTCCTCTTGGCTCCTCACTGCATCCCATCCAGGCCCACTAGTAGCTCGACTACTATCCTCCCACTCCCATGAGGAGAACAGCGAGCCGAATCGAGGATGGGGAAGCAGGATGAATCAGTGCGCCCTGGAAGAGCAGCAGTAGCATCCTTCAACCTCTGGCTGGGGAAAGAAGCTTTGAAGACGTCTGACCCTGCCAGACCAGATCTCTGCGATACAACCCCCTTCCATGCAGTCAGAAAGAAGAGGGTGTTGTACCAAGCCTGCACCTGCAGGACTAGCTGGCAGGCCCCGAGACCGAGATCCACCAGCCACTGGCTGCTGGCCCCCACCATCGCCTCGACGATCTACCCTGGCCTTGACGACACCTGACCATCTGATTGAGGTGCGTCCCAGCTCGCAGGGCCGAGCTGCATGATGCTCGGAAACAGGTTCCTCGGGACGGCAGGCGCCTGTCTGGAATCCATCTTTATTTCTTGTGTGCGAGTGCCGTGAACCAGTCTAGGACTTGTTGCAACATGCAGGCTGGGGGGTCTCGTGCTTCCAAAGCATTGATTCTCTTTCTGACCAACCCACCACAAAAGGTGACCGCAACTCCTGCGTATATTGCGGCAGCGATCCGTGAGGGACTTGCGGGTTGGTGCCCACAAGACTACTCGGAGAGGCACTTGGGCCGACATCCTCTTTATTTTGTTTCTTTGCGTTTTCCTTCTTCTTGTCTCTACTTTCCCTGTTGATGAGCTGCCGTCACGTAGCTAACCTGAAAGGGATATCCTGCGGAGAAATCCGGTGAAGTGGCCATCCGGCAGACCGCGATTGTATCGATCCTGCCACCAGCCTGGTTTCGAGGCCTACAATGCCCATCAGTTGCCGCTAGACCACACCCGCAGACCGAACAAGATGAAGATAGTAGAGAGGTATTTTGATCACAACGCCTTGAGAGCCCTGTGCGTGGTCTTTCAGCATACATCTCGTCTGGGACCGTCATTTGTCAATTTGTTACGCAAGGATACAAATATTCACGCCACCCTATGGGGCTAGAGCCTCGACCAACGGGTCAGGACCTGACCCCGGATGGCTTTTGCTCGATACCGACATTTCGGAGGTTTGCACGATCCTCCCGCCGTTTTGATTCGACTTTCCTTTTTTCTGCTCACTAGCTTTTAGGTAATGGAAACTCGTTCCATGCCCCAAAATCCACACTTCTCTCGTACGTACCTCCTTCACCCACTAGGGCTGGGTGGTTCTGGGCTCAAGGGTGATATGCTTCTTCTACAGCCTCCATCCCTCTTACGGCAGGGTTTGTGTAAGTCCACGGCTAGATGGATCAATAGCCCCTCCGCCCACCCAGCACATGAGTTGATGCTGTCCAGATTTTCCCGGTACCAGACGGTATTGCCACCTCCGCCTCGCGGAGCCCAGGCGCCCCTGAGACCAACAACGACATAGTTTCCTTGTGCCGCAAGTGCCATCGTAAGCAAAGGAAAAGAAGAGAGAGAGAAAAGCAGTCCTGTGCATGATGTCGTCAATGTCTACCGATTGGATTTCGCAAGCGGTGGACCCCACTCCTCGAGGCCATCGTCGGTGGCCCTATTCTGCATCTGCACTCAGCTGGCCACTTGCAAGCGGGGTTTATAAATTCAACATAAATGGGCCGTGGCAGTCCACGTCCTGTCTCCTTCCGTCGTCTCTTCCTATTCTGGCACCTTGATTGCATACAGCTCACAGCACACCACCACCACCACCACCTACCCGCCGAGGGTGCAGATATCCGTTTGTGTGGGTACCCCGCGCCTGACCAACCCGTCCAGTCTGGTGAGCCTCTATCGCTCGGATCTGGAACCGGATAGACGCTACCACCTACCTCACTAAGGCAGTCATTGGAGTCTTCCATCTAGAAATCTACGTCTGTTTTACTCGGCAGAGCAGGTGTTGCGCCTTTGGAATCCGTACCCACCGTCACTGCCGTCATCGCCCGCCACTATTCACTCCCTGCTGGACGAGGGGGGCTATGCTCTCTAGTCACTCACATATTCACTATCTCTGTCTCTCTATCTCTCTCTTTGTAGCAGAAACAGCAGCAACATATTTTTTCTTGAGGCCTTTATATTCCCAACGACGCCCTCTGAGGTAGTAGTTCGGTCTGCTGGCTTCCAAATCTCCGCTCTTCGCTATCTTAGGTCATACTGTCTGACGAGGCTTCTTCATCTTGCATCGTCTTGCACCTCGTCGCGCGAGGCTCGTGACTTTTGTGTGATAAACATATGACACTCGAGATAATGAGCACGACAGAATTGTAACGCCGCTTCTTGAATAGAAGAATTATTCCTATTTCCGCCAGATCTACGATCAGGCGGCACAGATCCGGATCGACCGCATCCTGGACCCCAAGTCCAATCAAAAGCCCCGATATCAGTACCTCACAGTTACTATCCCAGCCGCCTGCATGACACTCAACTCAATCTGGAGGGCGCTGCCGCCCTCCAGTACCAGGAGTCTAGGCCGTTGTTTCCGCCCGGGAAATAAGCTGCAGATCTCTACCAGCAGCGCCGCTTTGGCTGGCGCTGCAAGGTCGTTGGCCGTAGCCAACAAGGCCATCCAGAGAAGATATACCAGCACGACGAGCAAATCATCATCTCAGAGTGCTCATACACAACAGAGTCCGGCTTCAAAGTGGAGCGGGAACGGAGTCTTTGGTATCGCCCTCGTCGCCGGCCTAGTGGGCTGGGGTCTTGCGACCACGACAATGGGGCGTGATGGAAAAGGCGCCATGTTGTTGGACAGCATTGGGCACTTTCCGCGGTATGCGAGTATGAGGGAGATGGAAATTGTGAGACTTATTTCTTTTCCGTTTTTTAGTCTCACTCGTACAAACAATGATGCCAGCTCCGAAATCAGGCTCCGAAACCTCGATAATTGATCGCATTGACTGACCACACGGACAGGCCATTGAAGAGATCCGAGATGAGCTCGGGGCTGAGGACGACATCATCTCCACTGACCCGGATGACCTGCATGCACACGGCTATTCAGAGTGGAGCACGACCAACCCAGACGGCTTGCCAGTGGCCGTAGCCTACCCACGAAGCACAGAGCAAGTGAGCACGATCGCACGGATTTGCTACAAGTACCGCGTGCCCATCATTGCGTACTCTGGTGGCAGCTCGCTCGAGGGAAACTTCTCAGCGCCGTTTGGGGGCGTCAGTGTCGACTTTGCCTACATGGACCAGATCATCCAATTCAACCAGGAGGATATGGATATTGTAGTGCAGCCTAGTATTGGATGGCAGGATCTCAATGCCCACCTTGCCAAGATGGGCAGTGGCCTCTTCTTTCCAGTTGATCCTGGTAAGTAGTCTCTTTTCGGCAGCCTGCTTTGGAGCAACAAAAGTGATGATGGCTGAGCGAGATGCAACAGGTCCATCTGCCAAGATCGGAGGAATGATTGGCACAAACTGTTCCGGGACGAATGCTGTCAAGTATGGCACAATGAAGGACTGGGTCATCAACCTCACGGTCGTGCTCGCTGATGGGACTATCATCAAGACGCGTCGGCGACCGAGGAAGTCCTCCGCTGGGTATAATTTGAACGGACTATTTGTAGGGTCAGAAGGCACGCTGGGACTGGTCACAGAAGGTAAGGCTACTCATGTATCCACCCATGACTTCCCTACGAGATCAGTCCCAACACATGCAAGTATGTTCTGTCTAACAACAAGGTCAAACAGCCACGCTCAAGCTCACCGTGGTCCCCGAAGACCTTTCCGTAGCGGTCGTCACCTTCCCCACAATCCGCGACGCAGCAGCTGCCGCGGCAGAGGTGATGCAGACGGGCGTGCCCGTCGCGGCCATGGAGATCATGGACGAGGTGCAGATGCGCGTGGTCAACCTAGGAGGCGCAACTGCCCCGCGCGTGTGGAAGGAGATGCCGACGTTGTTCTTTAAATTTGCCGGCACCAAGGCCAGCGTGAAGGAAAATATCGGCACGGTGCAGAGCATTGCGAGGAGGAATGCAGGCAGCAACTTTGAGTTTGCAAAGGATGCGCGCGAGCAGAAGCTACTGTGGAGCGCGCGAAAGGAGAGTTTGTGGAGCATGCTCGCACTCCGGAGGGAGGGGGAGGAAGTTTGTGAGTCTGGCGGCGCCATTTTTATCCTCAATCCGCCCCCCATTTCCTAATCTATTGCTATGCTGACATTCCTGCTCAATAGGGAGCACTGACGTGGCTGTCCCCTTCAGCCGGCTTGCCGACATTATCGAGGTCAGCAAGAAGGAAATGGATGACCTAGGCCTGTTCGCCTCGATTTTGGGACATATTGGTGACGGCAACTTCCACGAGAGCATCATCTACAACCCTGTCAATGGTGAGCGGGAGAAGGTTGAGGAGTGTGTCAAGAATATGGTCAAGCGTGCCCTCGACATGGAAGGGACGTGTACAGGGGAGCACTCGATTGGCTGGGGCAAGAAAGACAGCCTCTTGTTGGAGGTCGGGCCTGAGACGCTTGCGGTCATGAGGGCAATCAAGGCCGCCTTGGACCCGTATTGGATCTTGTGAGTACATCTTTGATGCCCTTCTCTGGCCATTAGGATGGACCGGCCCCGCTCACTCTGTTGAATAGGAACCCTGGGAAGATCTTCGATCGGCATGTCTGAGTCTTACTTAAATACGGGCCTCGAGATGGCCTTCGTGCAGATGATGGAACTTGAGAACAATAAGCTCGAGTTCTGGCGCCAGGGTAAAAAGTGAGGCAGGGCATCGACTGATAAATGAAAACGGTGATGAGTGGCATTGTCTCTTGAGTCAAAAAGAAAGAAAACAAGGATGAAATCCAAGCACAATGGCATGGACAGGTTCAGCATTCGGTAGATCCTGGCAGCATTTTAAAAGTTCATGACAGTTTCATCTCGGGGTACATTTCTGGACTTGCTACATACTGTGTGGTGTGTGAACAGACAAGAGGAACTTTGTTCTCTGTACACACTTGATTTAGGAAATCAGACTGTACTGGAGCGTCCTGACCCTTCTACGTTCCTATGATGGGGACAACAACACCGTCATCAACGCTTCACTCTCACTGAAATTGTATTCCTTAGTTTTCCAGCCCCTGCTAATGAGGGAGGCGCATCTCCTCTCTCTTTCTTGACAATTAAGACAATGCAAATTCCAGAAGGCATTAGCTGGTGAAGCCTCTCCCGGTCTTTTCCAAAATATTTACCTGCCTCTTGTTTCCAGTCTAGGTATTAAAATATAATTCCATCTTCGACGCCCACTGCACTCTTTAACCCTTCATTGTTAGGTTTACAAGGTGAAGGGATTCCTCATTGTCAAGACTTTGTTTGCTGGGTTTGAAATTCCCTACCACTGTCACATATGTAACTTCACTGACAAAGCAAATGAATAGGAGCTGTCTCTTCGGCATGCTGCAGCTTTATCCATTTCAAACAACAAGCAAGCTTCTGCAATCTTGAGCAGGCTTGCATTTCTGTGGTGCACCTTCCCTGTTTCCCACCTCTTCTTCTAGCGCGTTCACCTAAACTCTCTCTACTTCTGCATTCTGCGTGCACATACATACAAGGCGCCTGGCTGTGCTTCATCGCCCCATCTCCTATCTCCAACCCTGTCAACAAACAACCTTCCTGAGGACCTCATCCTTAGGCTTCCACCTCTCCTCTATTTGCTTTATGCTGTGGCTGGGAGCAGTTTCTTCTTGGAGAAATAATTTCACTGCTCCTGCCTTTTGTTCTTCTTCTTCTCTCTATTGATACTGGTCTAGCAAATGCAGCAGCAGATTTCACCCCTGTCCGAGGCACATCAAGTCCCATGCTCGAAGAGCACCAAGTCCAGACAAGTAACCACAGTCTATCAAGCATCACCACTGAATGCATCAGTCTCGACCTCATGACAAGTCAGCACTTAACAACCCGTGAGGGTCACCCTCGAAGGCAGACCACCATGACCACCCCTACCAGGGCCCCTAATACTCATGCGAGCCTGCGTAATAGCCCCACGACCAGGAGCACACCTGAAATCTGGATGCAATTCGCATCAAGCCAGGCTGACCACTCCAGAGCCTCACGCTATCGACATGCCTCCCGTCAACGTGCCTCACATACCTCCCCTCGATCGAGACATGGCACTGGTTCTCCTGCCCAAGGGCTGTCCCCACAGCATCAGCCACGCAACAACACCTTCCACCAACTTTTATCTGGTGCAAACATGTGGGACATCACCAGCATCACAATTAGGCTTAATCGCCTTCCGCCTGATATTACTACTCGAGACATTCATCTTTCCCTGGTCAGATACAATCTCTTCCTTACAAGGATCGAAATCTTCGAGAATGATGACGGTCAGAGTGTCGGCAGCGCCAACGTCACCATTGACCCGCCTCCAAACATGTGGCCGCCCTGGCCTGGACCTGCTGAGTCCTTGGATATCTACAAGGCGGACGGCTCCTCTGTTCGCGTCCCTGTACAGGTCCAACGCGTCAACCGGTACGATGATTGGATCAAGACTCCGCTGGGCAAAGATGTACCACGCCAGATCAACCTCCCCACCGACCAACTGCTCCTATGTATGATGGCCAAGGAGGACACCATGCTGAAGATGCCTCAGAATGAGTACCAAACTGTGCGCATGGCTGTCCAGTTCTTCCGACGCTACATCGAGATCTCGTTCAGGCTTGACATTTGGGGCAAGACGGGCCCGCAAAACCTCAAGATCCCTATCAAGTTCAGTCACATCAAGAAAATTGTCCGTATCAAGCAAGACGATGGCACTTGGGCCCTGCTCATACAGCTGCCCAGCCCTCCCGAGATTTTCAGCAGACCAGACAGCGTCGCCTACTCTCACGACGACCAATTGTCAGTATGGCAGGAACGGGACACCTGGATGCGCCAGCTCGAAATCACAAACCAGATCGCGCACGCCACCCAGCCCTGTGCCAGCACAGCGCCAGCCAAGCTGCACAAAGAATACCGGACCGTTGATGTTGGCCGTTGGACCAACTACTTCCTACGCCTGCCGACCAATCTCGAAGATTTGTGGATGCGCTGTGAACGACACCTCACAGATTACAACGTCAAGATTGAGGAAGGCCACGGATTTACCATGGTGGAACCTGGCCAGACCACCGCCTGGACACTTCTCGACAGTTCAGCGCCACGAACGACTATGGAGTGGCTCAATATGAGCCGTGTCCACCTTCCCTTCGAGGTTCGATACCAACTAGAGGCCTGCATCTCTCAGGGTCTACTTAATGAGTATAATATCGACGCGGAATTTCTCGCGAAACTCAACAGCTTCGACATCGATCGGGCTCGTATGATGCTGGAAGGCATTGCTGACCACAACGTCCCTTATTACAAGCCCATAAGCATGTTCGAGGACCCCAAGATCCTCTATTACTGGCCTACTGCTAAGGTCCCAGCTCATGCAGCCATGGTCCGCAAGGCTGTCGTCACTCCTACAGCCATCTACTTCAAGACTCCTTCGGTGGAGCTCACCAATCGAATCCTCCGCCAATACTCCGACCTAACTGACCGATTCTTGCGAGTTCAATTCACGGATGAGCTGACCTTCGGCAAGATCTGGTCTGACCAGGGCTCTAGCAAGTCGGATGAGTTATATACTCGTGTCTTAAGGGTTCTCCTGAATGGTATCGTCATTGGCGACCGTCATTACAAGGTTCTCGCTTGGAGCAACTCTCAGTTCCGAGAGCATGGGGCTTTCTTCTTTTGCGCCACTGACCACGTCACCTGCGAGAGCATCCGAGAGTGGATGGGTGATCTCAAACACATCCGCTCGGTCGGGAAATTCGCAGCACGGATGGGACAGTGTTTCACTACCACTCGCCAAGTGAGTGGTATCAGTGTCCCCAAGATTGTCCCAGTCAGCGATATTGAACGTCAGAAAGATGGCAAACTCTGGAACTTCACCGACGGAATTGGCAAGATCTCCATGTTCAACGCAAGAATGGTCGCTCTTGAGCAGGACCTGGTCGATGTGCCCTCGTGCTTTCAAGTGCGAATGGGAGGCTGCAAGGGCGTGCTCGTGGTCTGGCCCGATGTTCCTCCCAAAGAGGTTCACATACGTCCCTCGCAGCAGAAATTCCTAGCACCCTACAACGGTCTGGAGATCATCAAGGTCTCTAAGTTCTCCCAGGCCACGCTCAACACGCAGATCATTCCTATCTTGAATTGCCTTGGTGTCCAGGATAAGGTCTTCCTGGAGCTTCTCGAAGAGGAGCTGAAAGAATACGAAGAGGCCCTGACTTCCGCAACCAAGGCTTCCGGCCTTCTGCAGCAGCGGGTCGACGAGAATCAAATCACATTGGTCATATCCGAGATGGTCAAGGTCTTCATGGACAGCAACGAGCCATTTCTATGGACTCTGCTCCGTCTCTGGAGGTGCTGGGCTCTCCAACGCCTGAAACAGAAAGCCGCAATCGGTGTCAGCAAGAGTGCGTTCTTGTACGGCTGTGTTGACGAGCTTGGGGTCCTCAGAGGTCATTCGAAGGATACTGAGGGCCGTGGAAAGAGGGACGAGCACTCTCTACCACAAATATTCCTTCAGGTCCCAAAGGAAGGCTCTGATCCCAACAACGATACCAACTATAGGGTCGTGGAGGGACTTTGCGTCGTTGGACGCAACCCGTCCCTCCACCCTGGCGACATCCGAGTCGTCCAGGCCATCGATGCTCCTGGACTACGCCACCTCAAGAACGTCGTTGTGTTTCCCCAGCGAGGTGATCGAGACATACCTAGCATGTGCTCTGGCGGCGATCTTGACGGCGATGACTTCTTCGTCATCTGGGACCAGCGACTGCTGCCCAAGGAGTGGAACTTCCCGCCCATGGACCACGATACCGAGTCTGCTACGCCGGGATTGGACGGTTCTCAGGACATTACGATCAATCAAATGTGTGCATTCTACGCGCAGTACATGAAAAACGACTCTCTGGGACTCATAGCCACTGCGCACAAGGCCTGGGCGGACAAAATCGGCCCCAAGCACCCAAAGTGTAAGTCAGCTCGCCGCTTTCCCCTGAAGAAGAAGATACAAGTATCAATACTGACACCGTCCTCAGGCCTTGAGCTTGCCAAATTCCATTCGCTGGCTGTTGACTATGTCAAATCAGGAACACCGGCGGTCATGCATAGGTCTCTCAATCCCAAGAGTTTCCCGCATTTCATGGAACGCGAGCGAAATTCGTACAAGTCCAACAGGCCTCTCGGCCGTATCTACGATCGGGTCAACATCGAGGTGTTCAGCCCAGCATACGAGATGGAATTTGATGAGCGGATCTTGTCGCGCTTCCAGCACTCGGACGAGGAGCTTGAAAAGGCTGGCAAGGTCAAGGCCAAATATGATGTCGCCATGCTCCGGCTCATGGGCCAACATGAGAGACCTATCAGCGAATTCGAGGTTTGGTCGACCTTTGTTCTCTCTCGGCCCCGTGTTGGCAACGATTATAAGCTACAAGAGGTGATTGGTCGTGAAGTCTCTGCCCTGAAGGAGCGGTTCCGCGTTGCTTGTGTGGAAGCCGTGACTGGTGTTGATCATAAGTCGGCCATCTTCTCCCACTCCGACATAGACCTCGAGAATCTTGACCGCTTTGTGGCGGCCATGTACAAGGTGACTTATAACGAGGTTCAGGCCACACTGGCGAGACGTTCGATGCCTGTGCTCAACGAGGAGGGCCAAGGAGTCACCGGCGGCCAAGGTCCCGACTCGCATATGCCCCTCATCAGCTTTCCTTGGCTGTTCCATCGGGAGCTGGCCAGGATTGCGACCGGTGGACAGCCAGTCACACGCAAGTGGTTCGGCACCAGCGGCGATGCTGAGAAAGCCCAGAAGAGCGTTCACGAGGACATAAAGGATGAGCAGGGAACCGGAACCGGTGAGCAAAAGGTTACGGACAAGAAGCAGGGAGCTGAAGATGAGCACGTTGCCCGCACTGTGAGTGGAAAGATCTTACACCGCGGCGACATCCTCGACCTTTTTGACGAAGGTGCTCGGTCTGGCCACCGTCAAGTCGACCAGTCGGTGGATGACCAGGACAAGGAGCGGGAGGAAATCGAGTTCGAGGAGATGGAGATGGTCGATAACGGTGACGAAGACGCTCTAGAGGCTCTAGCCAGGATGTGTGCCAATACTGGCGTACGTGATGAGCACTAAAGAAGGACTGACACTCGACTCCAGTGAGCATGGGCCAGCCTGAGGGATGACTTTTGGGTCTATTTTGGGTCCTTCTGTGCGCAAAACGGGGCGCGATGATGATGACACAGGGGGTACTCGAATTTTCTAGATCAATTGTATTTTAGTCCAAGAAATTGACACAAGATGACTTGCTCTTGTGACCCCAAAGATCAGAACCTTCGACAAAAAAGGACTGAAACTGGCTTGAATTTAGTAAGTTATTCCACAGAGTGCCCTCGAGGCGAATTCTCGAGCGTTTCATCTTTCCATTACGATGTGCAAATAGAATATATGCTTTTGAACAACACGCTTGGAGAAACAGATGTGAAGCTCATTCCAAAGAACTTTGAGAACACCAAGGGCTGTCTGTGTGTAAAGTAGTCAAGAAGTTTTATTTTCTAGACATTTGTGAGGCACTTCTTATAGTAATCTGACAAGGTTTTAAAAAACCGCAGATGCGTAATTAATATCTTCTCACCCACACACACCCACACAAGACAGCCCAGCCACCTCATCATATCACCACCCACCCACACCAGATGCCCTTCCCCCTTCTCTCCTCAAGTTCAGGTTTGCAGTGCTACCAGTCCTTCTTTTTCTTTAGGTGGTAGTGCAAGCAGCCGCAGCAGCAGCCTGAGCAGCAGCCGCAGCCGCGGCCGCCTTCTTCTTCTCCTCGGCGGTCTTGCCGCCGGTGGTGGCGCCCTGGTGGTGGCGCTTCTGCAGCTCCTCGACGAGGGAGCGGGCGTTGGCGCAGTTGGTGTTGGTGTTGGTGGTGGTGACGCCCTGGTGGTGGCGGGCCTCGAGGAGCTCGGCGTCCAGGAGGTCGACGGAGCGCTTGTTGGCGGCGTTCTTGGCGGCCTTGTCCTTGTGGTGCTTGCCGGCCTTGGTGGCGGCCGTGGTGGTGCCGTTGGTGGCGGCCGTGGCGGCAGTGGCGGTGGTTGAGCCGGTGGTGACGCCCTGGTGGTGGCGGACCTCGAGGGCTGCGTTGGAGGGCTCCATGGTGGGCTGGAGGAGAGGGGGTTTGTTAGCTTTGTGTTTCCTCTATGTTTTTGTGTTTGGGGGGTTGTGCATGTGGGTTTGTATATGTATCTTACCAGGGCAGCGGCCAGGCCGAGGAGGGTGAAGATGGCGAATGAGAAACGCATTTTGAAGATAGTGGATTGGGTTTTGGGTTGTTTTAAAAACGAAGGAAGAAAATGATACTGCTCGCAGTATTAATGAGTGATGGTAAGAAGAAGAGTGAAGAGAAAAAAAAAAGAGTGGTGTTCAGGCCGGCTGACCGAGATAGAAAAGAGATTGAATGAGGAAGAAGTGGTTGGTTGGGATGAACGAGAAGGAGAAGACCTATTCATCGAGGGTACATCAACTTATTTATTCCTGTGAGAATTCGTAGTAATGATAGGTGTGCGCTTGGACATAGTAAGTGTAGGTTAGACGTGAACCGCCATCGTCTTCCTGCAGCAGGGTGTGCAATCAACGACTGCCCCCACCGAAAGAAGAAAAAAGCCTCTCTCCTTCTATCCTAACCCATGCTTACGGAGACATCTTCCAACGACATGTGTCTGAAGTTCCCCGGCCGTTCAACGTGGCACATGGGTTCTGCCCATGCGAGCAGGAGGCACAAGGAAGAAGGAGGAGGAGGAGGCGGTGGAGGGAAGCATTCCCGGGGCAAAGGGTACAGCAAGGGTGAATAAAGATGGAGGTCACTGCTTCAGGAACACTGTTTTGGCTAGCGAGGTTAAGGTTATCTGGCACATCTCTTGGCAGCGGGATCCTGGGTGAATAAGGATAGGATGAGTAAGTGGAGGCTGAGCGATCTGCTGAACTCAATGCGAATCATGGAGGAACAAAGATTGATCAGAAACGTCGTGGAGACTCAGGATCCTAGACAAGGAGAAGTCTATATGTGGAGTCTCATGTGTGACAACGCTGCCGTTCGCTAAGCTAAGCGCTGAAAAAAGGGGGGGCGGGTTGAGGGCCGTGAGGTAGCGAGTTACAGGGCTATGTTAGTACGTGAGTAAAGTATCTTAGCGGCAATATGCCCCCCTGAAGAGTTGGTGCTTCAGCCACTGTCTGGGGAGGACCCCCTTACCATCGCCGCTAGGCTCCCCTGTTTGAGGCCTGGGCGCTCCTGTAGATCCTGCATCGTTATATACAACTGGAATTAAAAGACCTGGTAACGCTTGTCGATTATCAACAACCTCACTGGCACAATGTTTCTTTTCGAGAAACATCTCGTCGTTTCTCGCTACTCTACTCGCTGTCGTCCGACATCCCGAGGCATGCCGTCCCATACACCAGATGATTCAAGATTCGGACACGGCGCCTAAAGCGGACACGAATTTGCTTCTTCTTCTTTCTCTTTTCCCTGCTAGTCGCCGCCCTTTGAGCAGTGAGGTCACATACCCCATCTCCAGGCTTGTCGAAACATGCCGCACGGTAGCTTTTCAGCAGCAGCAGCAGCATCTGCATCATCATCATCAAGCGAGGAGAGTCCTTCATTTCTTCCTCCAGTGATCCTGCTTGCTTTGGCCAGGGCCCTTCCATGGCGTCAACACAAATACATACACACACACACATACACAGACCGTTGAACGATAAGCTCGTCACTCTAGTGTAAGTTGAAGAGGAGAGGAGGAGGAGCAGAACAGGGCATCCAGAAGACTAGGACGCAATGTTGATGCCCATTTGGTTCACCTTTATCGTCTCCAATGATATGTCACGCCCAATATTGCTCTTGGAACGAATATGAGAAGCGTTTACTGGGTCTGTGCAGGTTGAACGGTGGGCCTTCTCCAGAAAGCCAAGAACACTTGTTGTTCGTCTGATCGCACCTCAACCCTTTTTTTCCTACCTCGCGAGGTCGTCTGAAGTTTTTGGATTGCTTGGGCTGGACCGTTTCAGCGGATCCTTTTTGAGACGAAGGCCAATTAATCTGCAGCAAAATAGACTTCCTCCTTTGCGTTGTTTTTTCTTGTTTGGAATCTTCTCTCTTTTCTTCTTTGATTGATGATCAGACCCTTGAGGGTCTCGGATTCCCGCACACATGTGCCATGTATAGGACCAAGACAGTCATAAGTGGGGAGGAGGTGAGATAAACAGAAGACTGAAACAGCACATTGGCAATTGTTCTTGTGTCAATGGGACGGGGGAACATGTTAGGATTTTTCCTATCTTCAGAAAAGGTCCTGGGCCTTTCCACACAGATGGCTCGGAAAGAATGTGTCTTGCTACAGGATTGCTTCCTAACGAGCTGTGCCTCGCCCCCTCCCCAACCCACATCCAACACACATCCGCCTTGAAAGTTCCTGTTGCATTGGCAGTCGCACTACTCGTCGATCTGGAAGGCCCCAAAAAGACGCTTCTTATTTTCTGTCTCTCTCTTTCTCTCTTTCTGTATGTGCAAGATCGGGAGTTTCTTTTACTTGTTGTATGGAAACAGCGCACCTCCGTGCAAGTCACGCGGCGACACCCAACTGCGGCGAGTGGTCGTCGTGGTATTGGAAGATGTGAGGAGAGTCGCAGCATCAGCAATGGCCTGCGTCTGCGCAGTGATATTATCCAGCGTGACCTCGTCTACCTTCTTGGTCCATCCCAACTCAGTGGGCAGGCGTTCATTTCCTGTCGACAGGACTTCGATCAGTACAAGTGCTCGCACAGAGAGAGGGGAGAAACACAAGTACAAGAGGGTGGTGGGACACTTACGGAAGAAATACTCGACAAGGGTCCTGTTGACCGTCGACGTCGCCAGATCGCCAAAGGCGATGACGGGAGCGGAGACCTCACCCAGACTGAAGCTCTCAGTAGTAGAGGTGAAGGTGTAGGTGGGGTTGAACGCCTTGGACTGGACCTGGCGGGCAAGCTTTCCCATGGCGAGCTGGTTGGAATCCAGGATCTCTTCAGTCCAGTACTGGATGGTCAGGTCGAAGATGCTCTCGTTGAAGACGTGGTTGTTGCCAAAGTAGTAGTCGTGACGGCTCATGCTGGCATCGTGCTCGAGGACGTTGTGGGCGTTGAGCATGTCGAGAGTGAAGTAGGTCGCGTTCGGCTCCGGGTTGATGCCGATTGCCGCCTGGAACATCACCTGGCCCAGGGACTCGGCAAAGTTGAGACCGTTCTTGAGGCCAGCCACCACCGCGTCCTCGGTCAGATTACGGCCGTTGTGTGGCAGGAAGCCATGGTTCGCCAGCGTGTTCATCATCGGGCATGGGCCACGGTCTATTACCCACATCATCAGTATCATGCCAGCTATCAGACAACAGCCTTCTTATTTCTCTCAAGGGAGAGTCTCGCAGAAGTTTGGGATTTCCTCGTCATCACCACAACACAACATACCATCGTCAGGGCCACCGGGTGCCCAAGTGTCATCAGAGCCCTGTCTGGACTCAATGGCGTATGAGCAGACGCTGCCCACACCGAGGCTGAACAAAAGGAGTGTGTTCTTCATCTTGAGATTGGGAGAATCTTTCCTTCAAAGTCTCTGGCGAAGACAAAGTGGGACCAATGACTTGATCGATGCTGGAATGATAGAGCATTGGGTTCTGCCACCGCTCGATGAGTTGTCTAGGCTCTGTGGCTTCCCAACACACGAGCAGTTGTCTCCTTTATATATCTAACCTAACCATCTCCACATTGCCGTAGACGGACTTACACGGCCTGGCCGTCAGCTGCATTTCTCCCCTCGCCGCATCTGGGCAATATGCACAATATTATTACCCATCACTCAAGAAAAAAGACACATATCAATTCGTCCCGCCTCGATTTCTTATTCGCATCCAAGTTGACCCTATCAACTCATCATCCGAGACCGAGAGAGGATATTTCCACCTACCTAGATGGGCGGTGCTCGCTAGGGAAGCACTGCAATCCTTATTCGCCAGCCCTTTCGGTTCCAGGGTTCTTGTGGTGCTTCTCCCCAGCCTGCCAACCGGGACCCTGTGGGCGGCCCTGGGTGTGCGTAGTATGCATGAGACAGACAAGGTGGGGGTTACTTACAGCTCCTTTTTTTGGAGAAAATGGCAGCACATCTTGGCCCTCGGGGAGTGAAGGGAAAAGGGGTGTGGGGTTGGAGGTGCCAGGAACTCCCAAGAGGATGCATTGGCACGGTTGGCAACACGAAAATGCAAGCATATATGCAGGAGAAGTCACTATGTACCTGCTTTATAAGACACTAAGAAGTAAAATGTGGTGCATCTGTTCATCTACCGTCTCGAGGCAACATCGCGCCAGCCAATGGGAGCTTTCGGGAAAGCAATCATCTCACAGGGGCCTTTGTCATTGGGTCCCCACCCAAAGATTCCCGCTTCCCACTCCTTCCGCTCCCCGGGGCAGTGCACATCGGCATTGTGGTGGGACTATTTGCAAGGTGCATACATCAAAGGCTGCACAACGGTTTCTACGTTTAAAAAAAAAAAAAAAAAAAAAAAAAGGTCGGGGTAAACTTAAAAATGGGGACCTACGGGGCATAAACTCCGGTTCGCTTGATCCAAGTGACAGCTCTAGACAATGGACTTTTATACGTCAACAACTTAATAGATGATCATGATGTCCTTCCTTCCTTGGTTAGTGGTGTCAGTCTGGAGGATGGGACCCTGGAAAGATGTTTGTGTTGATGGACGTGCTTGTTTGGTTCACACTCCACAGTAAATCAAAATCTGAGACAGTGTAAATGTAGAAGGCACTCTAGGGGCTGTACAAATGGTAGAAGGGAAGATGATTCCTTCTTTACTATCTTAAAAAGGCGCCTTGCCAACTGCCTGTCTATATAGAAAGGAACAGTAGGCGCTAGTCCTAATTAGGACAGAAACACCTGTGACTCACAACTTGCCCTAGCCTAGTGAATGGCTAAGGGGTTAGTCACTATTTCCTGTGACTGCCAGCCCAGGGCCCCACCTTTCATTCAAGCCCTATGGCTGCTGCCACAGTAAACATCTTAAATTGTGTCGTATTGAGAAGCAACAAGGCGCGCAGTTCCCATTTCTTTCTCTCCGCTTGAATTGTTTACATAGAAGAAAAGTACATATTGCTACCGTGCTCTCTCCTCGGGTCCTTGGTTTTTTTTTTTTTGGGGGGGGGGGGGGGCAAGAAAAGGAGAAGAAAAGAAAGAAAGGGGATAAGGAAGAGGGCAGGGGAGAAATGTCATAGCACCCTGTGTCGCGCCAAGAGAAGGTCCCAGGCAGGCACACAGGCTTTAATTAATTGGGGCTATTCGCTCTCGCAAAAGATGACGACGTACATCGTAAACGCATCCCTGATGTACTACGTAGAAGCTCGTCAGGTTGTTGTTGGAACATACATAGTATAAACACCACACAGCCCCAGTCCTCCAACCTGCTGGGATGAATTACTCAGCTCTTCAATTAGCAGAACAAACCTTTCCCTTGTAGCGCGATGGCTTCAAGAAACCTTATAAGTAGAGGTCGCATGATCATGGATATTGCCTCGTGACTTTGATTTGCGTCACTGGCTAATCAATCCTGGGGTAGCGTGTCATGGTTGATATCCTGTGGTACATACACAGCCCTCAGATAGTCATCAAGAGAGATCACATTCTGTTCTGCCAGGGCCCTGGCATTGCTCTCACGACCAAAGGTCAAATAGAGTTAAAGGGACGGGAACGGCAGGCTGAAGTATGCCTAGGAAATTCATGGCCTACCTGACGCAGGAGATCGACCTCCTTCGGATAAAAAGTGTCGTATGATCTGCCTTTAGACGTGATTTGGTCAATGGTCTTGTTGATGCTTTCTTGGCTTCAGTATGCGAGTGGGCGTGCTGCTCGGACACTCCGTTACCTTAGTCATGACTCTCGGCCTTCTCCAGCCACTGATAGCTAAGGTGCTTCTTTAAATTACCAACCAAACTACACGCTTCTAACTCGGCCACATGCGTTTCTCAAGTTGCTCCTCCTTAGCACACAATGACGCATGGCATGCGTACCTGGTATCACTCTAGAGGTTCTTAGTTGTGGTCAAGAACTAGACTAAGAAAAGGACCCCAGAAAGAAACAATTCCTTTAGAGCTTGCTAGACGGCCAATATCTCGCAGTCGTACCAGCCAGTGCTCCAGACATTTTTTGATGCTCGGCGTTATGTAAGAGGAGGCTTCAGGGATGTAAAGAAGGGCAGGCAGCAGGAAGAGGTAAGTGATTCTCCTTATTTCTCGAGCGGCTATTTACAAGCGAATATGCATCACCACTTTACTGTTTGATTGGCAAGACAGACTTCGACCACCGCTCCACAATATCAGTGGTGCAAGCGTTCTCTTCGGCAGCGTAACTGCTGGAATTACTTTAGTAGAGGACTCATTCTTGAGGGCAGTGGGTTTTGCTTTGGTGAAAGCTTCCAATGAGCAGTGAGTAGGACAGTGTTGCTGATATTAGAAGATCTGAAACTGAAAATGGCATCTGTAGGGAATTCTATCTTCGCAGGCCACAGACATTGATATTACGCATGAAAGATCGGTGATAATGTAGAATTATATGGAACGAGTATAATTACATCCACCTCTGTCTTCGAGTCTTGAGGCCAGTTTATACGTTTCTGATCCATTAAAAGTATATCATACTTGTCCTCGAGCCTATGTACCATCGAGACGCAAGCTTGCGGATTTGTGACCTGACTGGCACACTATGTGATTGAAACCGCAGCGAGCCTCGAACTGGTTCATTATTGTCTTACCGCCCTCTCAAGTGTGCTCAGACTGCTGTTCCTCTTGAGTGCATTGCAATACAGAGATGATGGCCCTCTAAAATATTCGCTGAGTGAGGCAAGACGCCCTGGACTGGAGTGGATCTCCAACCCCCTTGTTAAAGACACACTCATATACACCATAAGACAAGAATATTCGAAAAGCACAGATAGTCCTTTGCATTGATACCGTATGGCATTGCGAGGCGCCCCTTCTCCATAGGGATACTCTGTAATAGCATGAACGTTCGTTAACCCTATCCATCCGATCCCGTTCTTTAGGTGTTGCTGGATGCGCTCGCTGTCCAGACCGATTGATGATGATGATAAAGATAATGACCAAACTCCACAAACACCTTGCCTGTCTTGAATGCCCTTCTATAAGTCCCCTCCTTATGATCACGATGGTCCAATCACAAGGTTTTTGTTGCCGTGCCTGTAGTCCCATAGAACCGAAAACCCCCCATCCGTGTCCTGAAAATGACAACCCTGAAGGACATTTTGTGTGTATGGGCGCGCGTGTCTCTCAAACAAGAGACTCACTTTGCTACCGCGTCCACAGCCGCAGCCGCTTCACAGTCAACCTGTACAATCTCGTACACAGCAGCGCCATCTTTCACCTCGATCACCAGGGCGGTCAGGCTCTTCCCGTACACGCAGCCCGAGTCGAGACCAAACGTGTACCCCCTCTTGCCCTTGCCAAACTCCTTGGGAACCTGCAGGCCAGACTTGGCGTCATGGCCATACACGACCGTCGTGATGGGCTCCGACTCCTCGCCCTTCTTGTTCTTCCCTGCCTTCTTCTTCTCCTTCTTCTTCTCGTCCTTGTTTCGCCTCTTGAGCAGCCTCTCCTGGCACCTGCTCCACTCCTCATACCAGTACGTGCCCTCGCGCCCGCTGCTCGGCAGGGCGGCGTCCCCAGAGCGGTCCTCGAGACCCTGCGACACGGTCATCTTCTTCAGCTCCTCGTCGACCTGGGCGTCGTCGAGCGCCTGCAGCGCGGCCATCGCACCGCGGGCGCCACCAGCGCTGGCGCCCACCCTCTTGGCCTTCTCGACGAGGTAGGCGCGCACGGCATCGCGGCGCAGCTCGTCGACGGGGTACGTGATGGTGCGCATGTTCATGACGGCCCAGGGGTCCTGGGCCTCGAGCGAGACGTTGGGCACCAGACCGGCGTGGACCACGACCATGTTCTCAAAGGTGGGGGGTTGGCCGTTGCCGCCGCCGCCGCCGCCGCGAGGGATAGGCCCGATGTGTAGGATGAGTGGGCGCTCGGCCAGCCACCGGATCTGCTCGTCCGATAACGACCGCGCGGTCTCGCGGTCCCGCTGGTCACCCTTGGACAGTGCAGCCTCGGCGACCTGGTGGGCGGTCAGGGCGCTGGCCGGGTCGACCTCGTCGTCCTGCCCTTCCTTGATCTGAAACTTGTCGAAGGCGATGGCCATGGCGTCAGACTCGGCGGCGGTGGCGGGGGACTTTTTGTTCATGGCGGCGTGGGCGAGGAGGACGCGGTCCTCGTGGTTGCCGCGGACCGAGTGTGCGCCCAGCCTCATAGCCATGGCAACGACGCCGGCGGAGTCAGGGCCCTTGTTGATGAGATCGCCGGTGAAGATGAGGTGGTCGCCCTTTGTGTTATTGAACTGGACCTTCTCGAGCAAGTCTTCCAGCGCCTTGGTCTGCCCGTGTACATCGCCGATGATGACCAGTCGCCGTGCCGTCCCGCGACCGCCATCTGCAGACGTGCCCTCGCCGCTGTACACAGCAGGCACAAACTCCTCTGGCAGCGTGTCGACGAGCATCTCGGGCATGCCTTTGAGAGGGGGGCGTGCGGCCGTCCCGTAGCTGGTAGAGCCGATGTTTTCGAGGAGAAACTTGTAGACGGCCTGTTCAGTCTCGGTGACGGTGACGGTGGTGGAGTCGCCTGGGATCTGCGGCTCGTCTGTGGGCTCGAGGAACTCCTGGAAGGGGCCAAATGCAGAGACCTTCAAGCGCTCGTAGGAGAGGAAGAGGGTCAAGCAGAGCGTGAAGATGCCGATCGTGAAGAGGGTTCGTGGGCGTCGTAGCGTCGTGTCGGAGAGCAAGTTGGTGGCGAGCATCTTTGTGGAAAGAAACCTGTTGATAGGAGGGAGGAGAAAAGAGGAAGAAAGAAGGAAGAAAAAGAATAAGAAGAAAAGAGAAGAAAAAGAAGGGTACTAGTTGGGGCAAGGCGGGATGGGGACAAACGACTGACTGCTGCTGGTCAGGTCGTCATGAGGGTGGAGAGATGTCGGTCGTGTCCCGCAGGGGGAAAAAAAAATTACGAGACGTGACGCAAAGCGGGTGACGATATAGCTTAACTATACAAAAACAAGAATATATAAAAAAGGACAACTTGGAGAACAGGAAAGGGGAAGGAAAAAAAAAAAAAAAGGTACGACAAGAACAAGAAAGATCAAAAAAGGGTGAATGGCAGTTGTTGAGAGTGAACGAGTGAGCAGCTGAAAAATGAACAACAGCGGAACGAGTACCCTCAGATACTTAGCGGGAGGCTAAGATGGAATATTGGCTTGGCTGCCATGTCATACTTTTTTTGTTTGAACTGAGCTGCTAAAAACGGAACCATAGCGCCGCCACCACGTGGGTAAGTGAAACGATGATCCTCCTTGGCCGCATAAGGTCAGAGGCCGTTTGTTTCCTGGCCTTCCAATACAGGGTAAGGCTTTTTATTTGGTCTTCCTTTTTGCCTTTTCCTTTCAAGTATTTCACAATTAATTCAGGATATGCTCTATGCACTTGGTCTCTCGGAATTACAGACCCAGTCAGTATCAAACACGTCTCTTGGATACCATCAGACCCTTGTCGCACAGACCCTTGTATACATAGTAGCAGCCAATCAACCACTTCTTCTTTTTTTTCTCTTCTTTTTTTAACCAGCAAAGGAAAGAGAGGGAAAAAAAAATTTAAAAAAAATAGGACACTCTACAGAAGATAGAACGTTTCCCGCTCATAGTGATGGCGCATCATCACTTATTTGGATCTGTCTCTTCAACGAGGTAGGTCATCTCCATATAGACACAAGGCTGCAAGGTACTGACTGTATCAACCACCCCAGCGGCGTAGATGTCATGATTTCATTTGCGACTCAAAGCCTCACCCAGATCTTCTTCAGACCACACTCGAATAGGTCCCCATCTTGCACAGGGTTCTTTAACGGCACAGTCCGTAACACGACCCTTTGTACTGTGGTGGTGGTATTTGCCAGATGTTTGCCTCTCACCGTCTGCCTCTGATGTTGGAGCAAACCAGTCAGGGTTCACCTGCAACTCCCCATCGACCCACACGCGTGAGCTCGTACCATACAGCCGTATGCTGGCCGCAGGTGACGATGGGATGATTCTTTCATGATAGCCTCCTGGTTGACCCAATATCGCGTGAACCACCTTCCAGTAGCAATGGAGGCTCGGAAAGGCCAGCCAAAATTTATCTAGGGTGGGAATCGGAAAACCGGGAGCAGAAAGAGGAAGTCCACTTCTGAACCTGGATGCAAGAGCCAATAGCCAGGCGTAACAAACTTCATGTAGAGCCTAGGAGCGCCTGGGAGGCCACATGAAACTGGCGCACATCACAGTGATCGAGCCTTCACAACAGAGGAGGGGCAGCCGTTGTGAAATCATCCAGGCCGGGCACTCCGTGTATGGTTCTAGAAATCGGATGATCGGCTTGCATATTCCACAACATTTGCCCAATGTGGAGCAATGACCTAGAGCCCCAAGTCCGCAGCGCGTCCTAGGCATGCTCATCAGACAAGCAGCCCGACTTCACGGCTGTCGCGCACAGATATTTGACACATTATTCCGAGGAGGACCAGGCGATACATTGCCGGGTATGTGAAGGTGTGACGAAATGTCCTTGTGTGGGTATCTTGCTGCGTCGTTCTCTTTGGACGAACCTCTCATGAAAGAGGCACCTCTGTTCGCCCTACGCCCGTTTTTTCATTGGTCCTTTTTTTTTTTTCTCTTCTCTCACCTTCCCTTCCCTCTCTTCCAATCCCCCAGCCGCTCCAGAAGTATCTGCTGCGTCTGCTTGTGTCCCCAATCCATATGTCTCCCTCAGTAGATCAGAGACTGACCAACCACTCAAGGCTTCTTCTCCTCCATCTCCCGCCGATATTTCTCATTCTCCACCTCCCTCCAGTCCCGCGGCGCCTCCCCATCCCCCTTGGTCTCCCCCCGCGCCCCACTGAACGCGCTCTTGCCCGCATAGAGCTGATACCCTTCGCCCGTCTCCTCGCTCTCCTGCAGGTTCCGGAACGCCACCGGCTGGTTGCCCCGGAATCGCTTGCGCATGTCAATCATGCCGCGGCGGCACTCGCCAAAGCCCTTCTTCAGCTGCTGGCATTTCGTCGGCAGCGTCTCGGCTAGGGGGGAGCGTAGGCACTCGGCGGCCGTGTGTCGCTGGACCATGACGCATTCAGATTCTTGGAGGCATTGTGCCAGGGCGGCTCCTGTGGTGGTGGTGGTGGCGGCGGCGGCGGCCGTTATGTTAGCTGGACGAGGACTGGGCGAGTTTAAAGAGGGGGTGGGGGCGGCGGAGGGGGATTGGAGTCTTGTCCACGCACGTATTTCCTTACATGAGCTCGGCATCGCAATGGGGGGGAAAGGGATGTGTGGAAAGGCTGGGTGTTGTCACAAGTGGAACAGGAAGAAGGGGGGGGGGGGGGAAGGAAGAAGGCAAGAAGTTGATTGTCACGAGAATTCGTCGCGGCTCAAGCCGGTCGGTGGAGTGAGGATGACGGGTCGAAGCTTTTGTATAGACCCTCTGCTGCAGGGGGGTTGAGAAGGCTGCACTACGAGGCAGGGGCCAGGGGGTCTGGGCGCAATTGTTAGTTCTTGGACAACGATTTATAGTGCTCTCACTGCAGCCCCCAAATTGTAGGACGGAAGAAGGGAAAAAGAAAGACCAGAAAATAAAAGGGGGAATAAAGGCAATGACTGAAATTGAGGAATTTGCCTTCTTTTCTAAATGCTTATCTAGTCATACAGATTTCGAGAAGTAATAAAAAATTTCAAGTATGGGAGTGACGAACCGCAGCTCATGTAAACTGCGAATCCACGGCCGTTTAAGATGTCAGTCATCTAGACGTAATTAGATAAAAAGATAAACAATATCGCCCCAGATTCCTCATACTCAACTCAATAGCCTTCAATCTCAAGACTCTCGACACAGAAGAGGTCACAAGACCTTGTGCAGTCACACGAACCCGGCTGTCAGCCAGACTCTATTACATACGCGTCTATACATGATTATCACGGTCAAGGATAAAAAGAAAAACTTGAAAAAACTTTGACAAAAAGTCTGTGATGTGTATTTGACGCAAGGTGGTCCTTGGGTCTTTGGGTCTGGCCAATGTGTCGCCTCTGATTACTATTATATATACAACGTGCTTTCTAGCCGTCCGCACGTCCTTCTTTGCGAAGTCTTTTGATTCCCTCCGCCGCCCGTGTCCCAACTGCGAGCCAGACAGCCAAAGCAAGTGTTGCTTGTTTGCTGCTGCTGCTGTGATATCTCATGAAAGCAAAGAGAAAGAAGAAAAAAAGGACCATAATACCAGGACCACCATAAAATGCTAACTTTTCGTAAGGATCGTAAGAATGGTACAGTGTGGCTCAAGCAGAAGAAATATCCGCGAACCAGGTTAAACAAAAAAGGAAATTGCCGTTGAGGCAGGATAGATGGTACAAGAAGGTGGATGCTGTTTGTGGTCTCAGGCTCTTTACAGAGCAGCGACCGCAGCCAGGATGGCGAGGACGGCGGCACCGGTACCAGCCTTGCTAGCACCAGCAGTCACGATCGGGCTGGAAGTAGCAGTGCTGGCGGTGACCGCAGTGGTTCCGCTGGCAGCTCCAGAGACGACGCTGCCGCCGGTGGGGTAAGGCGCAGTGGCTCCAGTAGCACCGACGGCGCCGGCCGAGGAGGTGACAGCTGTGTAGGTAGCAACAGGGACCACGCCGACCTCAGTGGTGCTAGAGCCGACAGAGGTGGTGAGACCAATCTGAGGGACGGTGGCGCTGATGGCGGTGGTGATGGTGGTGCTGGAGCTGGGAATGACGGAGCCGGCGCTGTCGCTGCAAGGGACAACAGTGGTGGCGGTCACAACAATGGTCGTGGCAGACACGCTGGCAGGGATGGTGGCAGTGGTGGTCAGGTATGTGGTCTGGGTAGCACCAGTGACAACGGCAGGGTTGCCGGTAGCGTAAGCACCGCAGAGACCCTGGAAGTACTGGATAGCCTCGGCGACAGTCTCGTCCGAGTCTCCGTAAGCGTACAGGCACTCGTAGACGTTGGTGACAAAGGTGGAGTCGGGGCAGTAGCAAGAGGTGTCCTATAGGGCATCCAGAGTTAGTTTATCTTGCTAAGCAGGCTTCTTTCCCACCTTCAAATTCAGAAAGGTTGCACTTACCGAGTTGTCAACGCAGTCGACGACGTAGTTCCAGGTCGCGATACAGGCAGGGACGACGGTGGGGCAGGACAGGGTCGCAGTAGCAGAAGTAGCAGACACCACGGTGGTAGCGGAAGAAACCTGGACGGGGGAGGAGCCCGAGGTGGTCTGCTGCTCGGGGGAGGACGATCCAGTGGTGCCGGAGGCAGCGGGGGAGGTCTCAGTGGAGGAGGTCTCAGCGGGGGAGGAGCCAGTCACGGTCTGGCTCACGGCGTGAGAAGTCGTGTAGACAGAAGTCTGGGTCTCGGTCACGGGGCAGATGGTGGTGCTGACGGCAACAACGACGGTGGTGGTGACAGCCGAGCCAGAGCCAGCAGGGCAGTTAGTGACAGTGCTCGCGCACGAGGTGACGGTCTGGTAGGAAGTCGAGTAGATGGTGCTGGTGCCGATGTAGCTGGTGACGTAGGTGCTGGAGGTCTCGTAGGTGGTCGACTGCTCGGTGCTCGAGGCGACGACAACAGCAGAGGAGGTGGTAGCGACCACGACAGCAGACGAGGTGGTGGCGACCACAACGGAAGACGCCGAGCCAGCGGGGGAGGACTGAGAGACAGGGGAGTTGCCAGAGGTGGTTGTCTCGACGGAGGACACGGACTCGACAGAAGAGACGACAGAGGAGATGGACTCGACAGAAGAGACGACAGAGGAGATGGACTCGACGGTGGAGGTCGCGGTCGCGCTCGCAGGCGTCTCGGTGGTGGCGACTGAGGTGGCCTGGCTCGTGGCGAACGTGGTAGCGGTGCTGCCGACCTTACCAGTGTTCGAGTGGCCAGTCTCAGCGGGGGAGGAGCCGGTAGAGGTGTGGCCGCCCTTGCCACCAGCGGGAGAGGTGGAAGTGTGGCCGGCCTCGGTAGTCTTGGACTTGACGATGGCAGTGGAAGTGGCCTTGGTGACAGAGGTCGAGGCGGAGCCGCAAGCAAAGGAGATGGTAGGGACGGAGATGGAGCAGGTCGACGAGGCAGTGGGGATGCCGCTGCCTGTCTGTCCGGTAGGGTAGACGACGGTCACGTTCTTGGCACCAGCGCACTGAGAGTTCTTGATGGTGCTGCCCTCGGAAGAGCAAGAGGCACGCTGCTTGCAGCTAGAGCCATCAGACATGGTGTACTGGAACTCCAGGTCGCAGGAGAACTCGGTGAAGATGCTGAAGCTGTCCACGGTGAAGGAGGAGATGTCGTCAGACGAGCCGGAGCTGGAGGAGTCCGAGCCGGAAGAGCTCGAGCATCCGAAACCGAAAGACGAAGAGGAGTCATAACCACAAGAGCCACCGAGGGAGTTGGAAGAACGAGGAGCATAGCGGCTCTGGAAAGCACGCTTTCCGAAGCCGCCGTCGCCGCTCACGCACTCGGTGTTCTGGAAGAACAGGCCTCCGTAGGAGCTGACAGATGTGCCAGGGCTCAGGCTGCCGAAGCCCGAGAAGCCCGAGGACTGCTGAGAGCTGCACTGGTTGCTGCTGGTACCCGTGCAGGAGTATCCAGTAATGTCGTTGAAGCTCTGCGAGGGGGAGGGGTTCAAGTCAGCTACCAAGTGAGACCAGATGTGGGGAAGGAAATAGGACATACGGTGGCCGATGCGGTGGCCGCAAGGGCGAGAATGGAGAAGGACTTCATGGTGTTTGGTTGAGTTGTGAGATTGTTTAGTTGTCTTGGGAAAAAGCGATTGTCTTGCAGTTGTAATGTTGTGTGTGTGGTGGTTCAAAGCCAACGAGCGAGTGTGGATATGTAAAATGGTTAAAAACTGTACTCTGTACTGTATAGCGAAGGAAGATGAGGAAGCAAAGGAAGCGAATGGCCTTGGCTCCTAATAGAATGGAAGTTGGGTTGTTGAAAAGAAATATAGGATGGACAGAAAGAAACAGGCTCTGAAGAGTCTGGAATAAAGAGGATGTAGGAGAGATGGAGACGATAGGAGGAGAAGGCATCATGAGAAGGGCGGACAAGGCGCGAGCTATATACCAATGAGCCATCAGAGCAGGCTGGAGGAGGCGAAGCATCGCAGCTGGTGTGGACATGGGGGACAAAGGCGACTGAGGGCACGCCAACCGGCCGTTGACCAGCGATTAGACTGGCGACATGGGTCGAGCGGTAACCAGGGGATTCCCATGGCTGCATGTGGCCCCCCTGGTCATTGTTTCCTTAGGATGTTTCTTTCTCGGGAGCCCTTGTCGTACCCACAGGAGGGGACCTGTCGGGATCCAAGCTCAGACCGTAGCCCTGGTTGTAGGAGGAGGAGTAGGAGGAACATGTCGGCCACGGTCCCCCATCAGGACACACACACACACACACACACACACACACACACACTTGGGCCTGTCTGGGTGGCCGTCAGTCAGATCGATTCCTACAAGAGTGTAGTATATTGGGAGCACGCACAACACGATCTGATCTGGTCCAAGAGCAGGGAAGAAGGTAGCCGCAAAGGTGACTGTTGTGTTGGGATGGAGCGGTTACGAGAATAGCAGCACCACCCGAAAGCCCATCTCGACAAACTTGGCAGCCCCCTTCCTGTCTGTGTTACCCTTCTCGGGGCTCCTTTGACGAGAGAAGAACAGCGTTGGTGGGATAGCGCCAGGTGGAAATGAGCCTCTGGGCCTTTCAGGACCGTGCCTGGGTCTGGATCCGACGGAGAGCCATGAAAAAAGAGGGCAGCACGGGCAGCAAGTGGTGCATGGAGAGAGAGAGAGAGAGAGAGAGAGAGGGAGTGGTGGTGTGGAGTCCCCAATGCGCGCGGCTCTAGGTGAAGCTCTCGAAGGGGAAAGGCTTGAAGCCTGGTAGTCAGGGGCGGCGGCTCGTGTCCATCCATTCTTGGGATGGGGGATTTTTTGGCTAGGTACCCCTGCAGAAAACCAGGGGGCCACTGCCCATAGTAGTCCCGCCGAGTACCAGAGTACTTACGGTTAGCTACGTACCATACTTAGCACACACAATGATAGTTGCTGAAGTGCTGCTGAGGAAGAAAAAAATAACCACGTATATACTCTGGCCTCTTAATCAATCCATCTGACATGAGAAGGCTGAATCCTAGGGTTCTCACTGTAAAAGTTTAGGTTTGTACGCCAAATTCTAATTTTCCACCTTCTATTCTTTCCCTCTCTGACCACCACGGGCTTCTATGCTCGGCCTGGTCTGGCCCTGGCCTGACCCCAAATTC